TATTTATTTATTATAATATTATATATAATTAAATATAATATATAATAAATTAATTTTAATATTATATTTTAAATTTATTATATAAAATAAATATTAAATAATATATATATAAAAAAAAATAAATAAAATAATTAATAAAATAATAATATAATATTATTTTTATTATAATATTTATATATTAATTAAATTATTATTTAATTTTTAATTTATTAAAAAATTAAAATTAAAATATAAAAATATATTTTTATTTTATTTATAAATATTTATATTTAATTTATATATATATAATAAATTATTATTTATTTTAAAGTTATTTATATAAGTAAATTATTTTTAAAATTAGTATTTTTATATAGATTAAAATTATTTATAAGATTTAAAAATTTATAAATTATTTATTATTTAAAAAGAAAAATAAAAAAAAAATATAAAAAAAAAAAAAAATAATATAAAAAATAAAAATAAAAATAAAAAAAATATAAAAAAAAAAAAGAAAAAAAAAAAAAAAAAAAAAAAAAAAAAAAAAAAAAATAAAGAAAATAAAAAAAAAAAAAAAAAAAAAAAAAAAAAAAAAAGAAAAAGAAAAAAAAAAAAAAAAAAAAAAAAAAAAAAAAAAATAAAACAAAAAAAAAAAAAAAAAAAAAAAAAAAAAAAAGAAAAAAAAAGAAGAAAAAAAAAAAAAAAAAAAAAAGGGTGGGGAGGGGAGGAGTAAAAAAAAAAAAACCCCCCCCCGGGGGTCATAGCACGGATCCTAATATAAACAGATATTCTAAAAGCTGAAGCATCGTTTTCATCCAATAGCCCCTGTGACCGTGTATGGCCTACGGCTTTGATTGTGTTCATATTCTTTTTTGATTACAAACGGCCATCCCAATGGTGTGGAGGGCAATAGGCCTGTCGCTTGGCCTGTCACTTGGGCCTGGTCTCCCCACCCATGCAGCAGGAAGTTTATCATTTTAAGGTTTCTTGGCACCACTCCCAGGGTGCGCGCGTATGCATTATATTTCGCCCTTGCGTCATTTCAGACGGACCTTCTCGAATTACATTTATTGAGCCTCTTCGCTTGATTTCGACCAGGATAGCAGCCCATATGATCAAAATGCGTCTCAAATTCCACCATCTCGTTTTTACTGTGGGCGCTGTGCTCTCGGTATTGCTCTTTCTGAGCCTCTGCCCCCTCACGCTCAAGCGGATCCCCTCAAATTACATTAACACCGCAGTCGACGGCTACTACTTCCAATATCACCGACTGACACATGTCCGACACCGAAAGAACTGGTTCCGACCCTCTGTCAGAGGAATAATCGATGGCTCCTTTTTCGAGGTCGACTCTACCGCACCGTGGAGAGTTGCCTACTCTTCAAACAAGCCGGGAGTGGCTCCTGCTGCTGTCACACAACCTAACCAGCGACCCACAATCGTCACTCTCAACGCAGGCGACGAAGACAGCGACATTTTGGCCGCCTGGAAGCGAGCCTGGTATGCTGCTGGTTTCAACCCCGTCGTACACATTGAAACCGATCATTCACTGCAACACAAGATGGAGGCCGTCTCGCAAGCTAATGCTCTAATCTTCTGCGACAAACATATTATACCCCTTGACTTCCGACCCAATCTCCCTGGTGGACGAATGAAGGAAGAGTTCTCTGAAAACAGAGAGAAGAACGGTCATCACGGACGAAACAGCCACCGATGGAAACCCAGCGAGTACATGCCCGATCTGTATGACGACAATGATGTAATTGACAAGCTCAAGGGAACCCCTTCGAAGACAACGATCTACTCCCAGATTGAAGACTCTCTACACATGGGCCTTGTTCACTTTGAGAGTATCGAGTTCATCCGAGACCTTGTTCAAAAGCTCTCTTCTGACCGTGTCTCTCCCGGCGAGGCCTCCAGAGACTTCCGTGTCTCCATGGAGAACACTCGAGCTCTGGCTGTTTACACACCAGCTAATCTTGAGACTATCACTGGATACTCTTCTCTTCATGAGGACACTGTGGCCGGCATGATATCTTCCCACAAGAGAAACATGTTCTCTGCTGTCTTTTCTAACGGTCTTCAGGTGGTTGACCCTTACGAGGGTATGAGTCAGATCTTCTCACTCCCCTCCCTGCGACTTGCTCAGCGCCTGGGAGCTTGTCCCAACGTCCCTCTGGCCAAGACCTGTCCTCCCATTGCTCCCGTTCTGGAGTATTTTAAGCTGCACAAGCTCACTGAGAAGTCCCACGACCGAGAAGGTGAGGCCCAGCTTGTCGCACCCAAATTTAACGAGGAACACATCCGAGAACTGCAGAAACTAGGATGCATGATCTGCCAGGACCAGTCCCAGATCCGGCTTCTGAGAGCATACAACCTGCGACCGCGAACTTTCAAGATCGGCACACTCGCACATCCACTCACTCGAGTCGCGGCCGAACATGTCTCCACTGATGTAGATATCGAGATGGTCTACGACTCTTCCACTGCTTACGAGTCTTGGGTTCACAATGTCACTCATAGAGTCATTTCCAGCGATCGATTCGGATCCGTCCCCAAGGTGCTCATGATGAAGGATGTCCTCTACAAGTCATTCTTCGAGCAATCTAACTCCATTTGGCTGACCTGGGAAGACTCGTTCGTCCCTAGCTCCGAAACCAACAACGATATCGAGTACCATCTGGGCTTTGTTCTTCCACCTGAGCCGGATTCCAGAGTGCATGTCAAGAGTTTCAAGTCCATTGGTGAGGGTCTCGTGTCTCCTCATGAGTTCTTCAACAACGGAGAGACTATCATGAAGGCTATCAACGCCCGACTGCATAATGATGATGGCAATGACTCCATCCTCAACACCGTTGAGGGATGGAACATTCCTGATACCGAGATCTGGAGATTCCTCCAGGAGCTCAAGTCTCTCCACCGAAGAAACCAGAACATCAACTAAGTGACCTCATCCAAGCACTTGACGAGCCTTTCGCATACACTGAGACCGCTCTGTCTCTTTGTCTTTCATTTGAGCCACCTAATCTTTACAACGTCTCTCCATCAATACGCGAGTTGAAGCTACATAAGTCGTCTATTTCAGCTAGCTCTCGATAAGCAGTCGCCTGTCACTTCCCCAGTACCCCCAACATGGTCTTAACGACATCAGCGCAGGTCTGCAAGTTGTTGCGGGACATTTCCAGCTCCTGGTGCCGACTTCGGATCCATTGAATCCCTAAGTCAATTCTAGGTTAGTTTTCTAATGCATTTATTTATCATCTCTCTCTTGATTTTCATGGAATCGTAGTCAGTTGTAACGCTCGTAATACTTACCGTTTTTCGCCTCTTTGAAGATCAATCAGGCTCATGGACTCGTTCCATAACTGCAGGTCGCGAATGAATTCCTCGAAGTCCTTCATTATTTCCTTTCGGATCGCCTCGTCTTGCTCAACGAGCTCGGCGTACTTGCCGCGAATCATGCTCTCAAGCTCGTTAGGAAACATGATCTCAGGGTCGATGGCATAGTTGGTGAGAGAGTTCCTCTTGGAGGACGAGCTTCAAGCCTCCAGAATCTGCTTGTAGGGCCCCTCCTTGGAGTTGAGTAACATCGGAGAAGGGTGCGCGGCACTGGAGCCGGGTATCTTGTGGGCGTGTCGAAATATCTTCGTGTAATTTAGGCGCGAGGGATCACGATCGGTATCTTAGAGGGTATATGTTTGTGTCGGGTGTGCTGTTGAAGCGTCTGGAGTGTAGAGAAGAGTGAGTGTATATGTAAGTGAGGGGTTGTCTTATAAGACACCCTTAAAACAACCTGTTGGTGCTGTACTTGTACTCATGTTGTATGTGTAACTATTTTCCCACCTTAAATTGATGTTTTGTCTGTGTTGTTAATTAGGCGAGTTTGTTTTGGTATGCATCCCAAACAATACACCAGTGAAGCAAACTGTGGAGTGCTGTGGCGTGATTGAAAGATATCACGTATAAATCAACTTCAATATAACTCGTTTACAATTTCACAATGATTTATATACTACCAATATCCCTTTAATCTCTCCAGAGCCCCATACTCCCCCAATCTTTACATAGTAGTCAATCAAATAAGGTTGTAAGTGTGTTTGGTAACCCTAGCAACCGCGTTGGTGCACGCGTCTCACTACACCTCTCTCTTGAACAAATTCCACTCGACGATAATACCACCAGTGCGGCAATACACCAGGGCCGACAACAATACTACACTGCGCGCGCATCTCCACCACTGCTTGAACGACTGCCCACACATCCCGCATTTGCTCCACCATACTTCCATCTCATGATACCATGCCCTCGAAGGGCTCCAAGAAACCTAGGAAGCATGGCCATGGTGCAGACCTGGCAAGTGATAGCTTGCTAGACCAGCTGTTAGCCGAGTCGGATGATGGGCAGGAACAGCGACCTGCCAAGCGTCGCGGTATTCTGGCGTCAGCGAGGACGAAGAAGGATCTGAAGAACACGAGGACTGCTAAAAGGACAATGAGTGAGATGGCACCTAGCAAAGCGTCTCAGGAGAAGCCTAGAAAGGCAGCAAGGTCTCAGACTATTGGTCACGGTGCCTCTGATACCTCAGGCAAACAGACGAAGACGAATGGTAAGGTTCAGAAAAAACATACACAACCATCACAAAACGGAGACTTCACCAAACCGATAGGTGTACTGGACATGGATGACAACGACACAGACGACCATGGACGACGATCACTGCAACAAGAGACCCAGCAGGTCATTACGCCTACAGAGGTATCTTCTCCACCACCACCAGACCCAGCCGTGGGCATGGTAGGAGGTAACAGTGCGGATGAAGAGCTGTTTGAGGTGGAGTTAGAGACCGCGGAAGGGTTCAGATACAGGCGACGACTGACCAGGCGAGAGCTGGAGGAGCTACAGGCTGAGGAGGAGAGCACTTCACCTCAAGGGGTTGAGATGATGGAACCTGAGACTGAAAACTCGGAAATGGACCCCGACCATGTCACAGACTCGACGTCACACAGTAGCGTTCATGTTGGTGCCCGTCCAAAGGACTCGTTTGTGCCCATGTCGCCAAAAGACGTTTCGTTGCCGCTCAAACATACACCAGTGATACAACAACAGGATATGCGAAAAGTACCTGCAAAGACGCCCGAGCGCAACCACGACAACCGGGGAAGACGGATTAGTTCTCTTGGGAACGGCTTTGAAGGAGAGCCTCATGCAGACGTGGATGCGCAAAACTTCTACAAGCACTTTGAGCCCGGTCTGCCGGAACCTCATAAAGCACGGCTTCTGTTGACGTGGTCTGGTAAACGTGCGATGATGAATCACAAGACCAGGATGGTTCGTGAGAGTGCTCCTCAGGGTCTGTCGGAAACTGACGAGACTACAGCTCGACGCATTGTTCGTGTAATTATGGAAGACATTATTCGAGACATGAAGGACGGCAAAGTGAACACCAGTTGGTACAATCGACCTGAGCCTGACGGTGACGACCATTCCAATTCACGGTTCACCAAGCCCAATGCACAGAACATTGCCAATGCTGAGAAACTCGCGCTGTTTAAGAAGCGGCTGGCTGCCCAACAAGCAGAGATCAAGGAATGGGCCAAGTTGGAAGCGGAGGCGCGAGAGAGACTGGATATGGCCAAGGGTAAGAGTCAGAAGTTAGTTGCACAGCTTCAAAAGCCGTTTGATTCGCCGCCGACCCTCCCTTCTCTGTTGAGCGATGTTGCACTATCTGCATCCACGTTTTCCCGTCAGATTGACCAGGTTGAAGACGCTGTGAACAAAATCAACAGTTGCAACGTTCGGGCATCCAAGTTCTGCGACGAGCAGTTCCAGGCGCTTGATAATGTGTTAGAATCTCGAAGCAGGAAAAGACCAAGGCAGTCTCAAGATTTCAGAACCATCTTTAATGCTGATAGGTTCAGGGAGTCGACCTTGGACGGTGAGCAGACCAGAGACGTTCTCAGAACGCTTAGTCGACTCAAGTGAAAACATTCCCATGTGGACTATTTGCATTGTGGGATTGTAACAGATGCTGATGCACTAATAATTGGCATCTTTACCCTGGCAGTTGATTGTTGGATTCAGCAGCACTGCGCAGGCGTGTACTATATATCAAATTAATTTATTACGATTAAGGACTCGGCGCTTTATACTTGTAAATACTGGCTACCGGTTTTCTAAAATATATTGTCTCATGTACATATCCCTTCCGTTACCCTCGTCAAATCTCGTTGTTTGGGGCTTCTCCTCAGTGGCCATCGAGACTTGTTCTCAATGCTGTCGCTGACTTTTTATCGCTGCTCTCCGTCGCATTCGTTCGTGCTTAGTCCCAGCCCTACAGATACTTCTTGGCCAAGCTCTTGATTCGCTGGTCGAACACTGGGCTGGTGATGGGCTGGTTTACAAAGTAGAATGGCGACAATAAGGTCTTGACGTAGAGGTCGTGGACCTCCTGAAAGAACTGACGTATCGACTCCTCATTTCTGGTCTCATGCAGCAACATGATTTTGATATCTCCGGCGGTCACGAAGGCAGACACCAGATGACTGTAGAAGTTGTCGACTGTTCGCAGGTACAGCTGGTTGGTCCTAGATGCGGTCTGCTCCACCATGTCAATAGCTGCGTGTAGAATAAATGGTGCCAGCTCCTTCATTTCGGGCGAGAATCGGGAGTTCCCATCACCTCCTTGGCGGTATGTGCCGAACTCTTGTGTGTAAATGGGGTTGTCTTCAGTGCCCACGATTGCAAGGTAATATGACATGACGGGCTGTGTGTAGTATGATGTGTGAGAGAGAGCTGCTTTGTGTCTCCAACTGAGGTTTGATGGCGCTTGGGGACTGTCGTTGTGTGATTGTAGCTTGTCCTCAGTTTCAGGGTGCCGTTGTAATGGTGGTGGTCCTTATTTCAATGTGCTGGGACAGCACACGCGTAAGACGCATGATGAGAATTTAAGCGATTCAAAGGTGTGGATAAATTCCGAAAAATATAATTTAACGCTATTGAAATAAAATACTCATTGATATTTGCGTAAGCCAGAATCAAAAACATTGGCCCCTACCATTACACCAGACATATCTAAAATACATATATTCATCATGTTGTACTAGCCTATAAATATGCCTCACTCGTTATAAATCTGAGGGACATTCTCATAGTATCGCGTGCCTGTGTAAGGACACAGGGGGAACACGGCCAGTAGAGTCTTGGTAAGATAACCTAGAGTCGAGGGCTCCAAACTTCTCCAGTTGAGAATCTTGGATGGACCCCAGCTTGGTGTTAGGGGATCCAGGATAAGAATTGGCAGCTGGGTGAGTGCACATCGCTTCCATGTGTGTCCTTCTGTAGAAACGACCACCTCGAGGTTCTGTGCTTGAGCATTCATATCGAATGACTCACTGATGAAATCAGTTTTCACGGTTACCATGCCCAGCTCAGGTGTAAGGGGGATAGGAGGTTCCTGTTGTCCTGCAATCTCGGTGAAAGCACTGAGAATGGCAAAGTCATAGCCTGAGAGCTTCGGCGACACGCTATCCCAGTTTTTGCTGACGTAGAAGAGTACAAGAGAGAATAGTAGTTTCTGCATCTCTGGGATCAGTGTGAGATCATAGAACGCAGAGAATCTGGCCTTGTCAAGCTCATCTGACAAGAAGACGGAATTCAGAAGTTCTTCCAAAGTGCCGTTGGTCTCGGCCATGTGTTGGGTAATATGTTGGGAAGGAGAGAGGTTGAACTGAGTGGCGAGATGCTCAAGATAATTAGACTTGAACACCATACCAGCCTGGCCATCTTCATCTTTGAACAGCTTCTGGGCCACTCTTCCCCAGACTTGGAACTCCCACTGGGAGCTCTGCATAGCTTCTCCAGCAGCCATGGACGACGGTCTCAAAGGAACAGCATCATGAGAGAGCGATGTGGGAGTAATCAGAGGTACAAATGCGACACGTGTGACCACGGTAGAAGGAATAGGGAACTTGAGGACGTTGGTGGGAGTGACAGCGTAGAAGATGGAAAGGAATGTGCCATGAGGACTGATAGCAGCGCCAGATATGACAGCCTCGTAATCAAGAGTATTGAAACTTGGTGTAACACCGTTCAAACTTCCATTGTTTTCCTTAGCTGTTGTGAGACGCTTCATCAGCAGAGCCATGGTCTGTTCCTGTTGCTCCATGGTGTTGGAAGTAGGGTTCCAGTAGACGACTCCACCCTTGTATGTTACAATAAGGACCTTGTCATCGTGAATAGCGATATCTGACACCGTGTTTGAATCACCCCAGAGAGGTGATTCAATTTTTCCTTCTGGGCTCACCCAAGTGAGTCTGTGTGGTTGCGAGACAGCGACTGTTCCATTTACAAAAGACATAGCAGCAATCACAAATCGGGAAGAAGAGATGAGGGTGGAAGGTTCGCCAAGCTCTTGCTTCTCATTATCCCAAGTAAGCTTCACGACCTCGTTAGCGTCAGTTACAGCTACCAGAGCACTACCTCCATATGGAGTGGCGTCCCATGCGAGTTTGACAATCTGTCTGTCACGAGTAAAAGTAGAAGCTACTATCTTGAGATCGTTTGCTTCGACAGATAACACGATGATTTCGCCTCGACCAGTTCCCACAGCGACGTAATTGTTTTTATCGATTGTTGGCGACCATGCAAAGCTGTGGATCTGGAAACTGTAGTACTGTTCGCGGGTGTATTCCTGCTCGGTAATTCCAGGCACGCTGGGCGTTCCGGCACGTGAGCCCTTGGGTGTGTCTTCGCCATGGTCAATCATGGAGCTGTCTCCGTTGGTGGGCTCTTCCACCACTGTAGGATGGTCTTCTCCGTTAGTCTCACCAGTCTCCTTTTTGACGCGTTTGTACAGCACATCAGCAACGTTGTGGCACAGAGTCCACGAGTGCTTCTCCACCTGGCCTCGGTGGTCGTAGATGAACAGCTCATGGGTGGTATTGAGCAGACCAATGAGACAACCGTGCATCTTTCCGAGGCCTGTTGGAGACCAAGCAATATCAGCCACGTGCCGGTCACCGGAGCCGTACTGGATCTGGTTGCCCGGAATCGACGTGGAGCCCCCAGCTGTGACGGGGATGGCGTCCATGGTGTCAGACTTGTTGATGGTGAAGTTGGTTTCGGGGAACTGGGCCCAGTTTCGGTCTCGCACACTGTCAATCTCATCGTCACGCGAAGTGATGGGTCCGTTGACATTGAGAACGACCGCGTCCGATCCTGCAGCAATACTCAGATCACCATCGTCCGACCAGGCCAGAGCTCCACCAGTTGCTGAGGGTTGGATTCTCGGTAAACGAATGTCTTTCAACATGGTGTGCAAGTGTCGCGTATTTATCTGGGAGTCTGTATCGACTGTAATTCGATTTGGATGTCGGTTAGGTGATGCAGTAACGGTCGGATGAGGTCTGAAAGCCCCGTTGTTTTTCGCGTCTGATGTGACGAGAATAATTTGTCGACTGGGAGGTGTTGTGCATAGCAGAAGCATCCTATAGCGAATTGACTATGACAGCCATGGACATCTGTGACTTGGAGGAGTCACGGGACCGAATGTGGGCCACAAGTAGTGGAGTTTGTAGATTATTCTCTAGAAATCTCGCCCGATAAAGCTCATAAATCAAATCCTGGAATGTCATTGTTGCCAATGTGATGTTATGAGCATAGCGTGTAAGATGGTGCAGAGTGATGTCAGGTGTAGCGGCAAGTAGAGGAACTTGGGACAGTGGTAGTAGGGAAATATGGTCATGTGTTGTCTGATGCCTAAGTTATTCTTCATTTTAGGAAACACATCCCCTTCTTGTTGACATTGAGTCGTATATGTCTTTTTGTGAAATTTACTTGAACATAACTAATTAGTCGACTCTTTACTTGATGATTTACTTGATGCAGATTCGTGGACTTTCTTCGCTGAGTTGACAAGCTCATTCTGAGGCTCACTCCCAACCATCAAACCAACACAAGAATAACCCTTGCTGGCCCTTGAGACCCGCTTATCCTCCGCTTGCATAGAAGGAGTAAAGCCACCCCTCTCCCGTCTTCTGGATGATGCCGCATCTCCCACGCGCGCTGTGTAGACTCAATGTGCCCATTAACAGGAGAAACCCTACAGTACGGGGTACGCACTTGGACAGCATACGCGTTTGTGGGTTGGAAGGGGCTCGTGATGCTCATTGGATGTAAGTTTCGTCCTGTTTTCAAGAGTCGCTCTCTTTGGAATACTCGATCGTTTACGATGTTATAGCTAAGAGCAATAGAGCCAAGAGCATGAATTTGAACCGAACAAAACATATGGCATGATTGCTGGAGCATCGAGAGATTCAAGAACACAATTCTGAGATCATTGCTGATAACTTAGATAGATGTATTGAAAGAAGATTAATGTCGGTGTTAAACCATGGTTTAGTGGTGCCGTATGCTCGTGTCTTTCCATAGCTACTACTGTATATTATAACAGGTTGATAGCTGCTGTAGTGAAGTCAAGCTTCGTGTCTAGGATACGATACGATTCACGATTGGCTTACTTTTTTGAGCAACGCTAATTGGCATGGATCCGGCCTGTTTCCAAACAAAAAAACTTGTTCCAACACCAAGCGCAATATCAATCACGGAGTAATCACCTCACATTCCGTCTGTCCGGCTGCTCATCATGTGCGGGATTTGATGTCTGCCGCTGAGCTGCTCTGGGTGGAACCATCTCTGCAGATGGCATTCTTCCGGATGCATGGACGTCTTGGCGCTGGATTTTTGATTTCTCGAAAAGAAGGGGGAGCGCCTGTTGTTAATACAGTATGAGTACCAACGGGTATCGTAGAGACGGTGCGAAGATTAAGGTCGTGGTTATTTCAAATTCAGTTTTTGTCGGCATCAAACAAGCCACCATATGGATTCTATAGGCTGCTTTTGCCCTCCGATTCAGATGTACCAGTGCTTAGATTACAAGTTGCCCACGGAAAATGAGCAGGTTACTATTGCTTGGGCTTTCATGGTGAAGAGAGCGAGCTGAATCTCAGATGTTGGACCGCTTTAGAGGGTCTGTAAAACTCTATCGTGTTTGTATTGCTATCCCATGGTCATCAGTCAAATATCTACAGTATTATCTACGGTTTAGTAAGCAGGCACGTTCAGGCTCACTACGATGTAGCATGCGATACGAATAAGGTCTGGCCTTAGAAAGGTTTATGGCGTTTGGGTTCGCCATAAAATAATGTGAGACCATGGAAGGATACGGGTCTGGAACCACAGCGGTTAACTTCAAGAGCCAGGTAATAGTATTGACCAGGGTTCCACGGTCTCAAGTAAATACGGTTTGATTCCGTTTTAGAAGAAGTTCCAAAAGTGTGGCCAAAATAGACATCTGTCTTATGGTCCTGATGTTAACCAACACAAGTGTAGATACTCCTACCAGAAGAAGAATCCCAAAGTGGAAAGACAGATATGACCGTCGAAGCGAGTACGAGCCCAGCACAGACAAGCAGTTGTGGAGTCGGTTGTTTTACAATCGTGCGTGATGACACATGTCCACCAAACCACATGGTCATAAATAATATTGCGCGTTGTCTGGCGGTTCGCCACGCTATGTACCTTGCCACCTCCATCTATAGCTATAATGGGGAGAGGCTTAGTATGCGTCATGGCAGCTACAGTAGTGTCTCGTAGCACAGCCAAGTCCACACAGCCGGGTGGCAACCGTTTCTTTACTGTCCCCGACCCGACCGAAGCCTATCACTGCTTTTTCCAGATCATCGTCGCTGCCGTCAGTAGAGGAGGGTGTACTAAATATAGAATTATTTGCTATCTTCAGGGGCGTTTACCCTCCCAGGCTTGGAGCAGGCATGTATTGCGGTACTGATTAGGGCGAGGGATTTTTTTGAGTTGGGGTCAAAAACATTGCAAACGAGGAACACGAGGATCACTGGGGCTGAATGTAGAGCGTGAGGGCATCTCTTGGCACTCATCGAGACATTCCCGGGGATGTTTGAAACATTGAGGCGTGTTTACGTGTTGGTGTTGCATTTGGCATTCAAGCGCGAGTCGTGATAATTATCCGTATCTGTGAGGGACGAGTCTATTTGGGGACACGCTCAAATATTTTTTGGAGGCTGCAAGGCCTGCCGCTGTTACTTGGTAGAAGCAGGAGTATACACACTACCGCTGCACTTGAGGGGTGATTGGAGTGAGCAGTATAACGAGCTACAAGTACTTGTACGTCGCGTGGAGGTTTTAATATGCGAGTTATCCGATAATCCGAATAAATACAATGATTCGTATCGTACTATATCAAATGTCCGTCTATAGCTCGTCTACTTGTAGTTTGTCGACGATGATTTGAAACTCGCTAATCATGTTATGAAATTCAAATAGGAATTGCCTAACTCGTCGAGAGGGCCCTTTCACCACTTGGATACGCCTGTGTTTTTTTTGTCGATCATGGTTTGCTAGAGGAATGAGCACAGTGTTTTTGTTGTGCCGTAGAAGCCAGTACGACCAACAGATTGCTCAAGAGCCACAACGTGGTGGACGGAATATGAGCAAAATATCTGGAGATGCAACCCACGATATTACCACTAATTAGTGCAACGTGTAGGTATTTGACATACTCTCGTACCCATGTCTCGTGGAAATTACAGTATACAGACGTGTGAGGCCAGGCTTGCACTGCAGCGCAGCGTCTTCAGCCACGCGAAGAGAATCCGTGGTGGGAGATGGGCAGTCTGAGCAGAGCAAGAACGGAACAAGTTGATCATGGTTCGGCTGTTAAGTTTTGTCTCCCTTCTGGTTGGGGATGAGTAAGAAAGATCATCAGGGTTCGTTCTACCATCCCCTCTACCAGTGTTTTGAAAGCGCACTTCTCTTGGGCTAGCTCCGCAGTAACGCAGCCCGAGGCCCCTAGTACCTGGGTTTTCTCCACAAGCGTCATGGGCACTAATTAATTTCACAAGGAGACTGAGAGCCTTGTCCAGTTCACACACCATGGCAGTCCGATCTTAGGGTTCGTCTAGGTTGCACCGTCTCTGAGTCTAAATACAGTACCCTCAGAGTTTTGTTGGCTTTTTTGCTTTTGCAGGTCTCCCTCGTTGTCATAGGAAAAAAGGTGTGTGCGAGTGGCTTGTCTAGTTTGCACAATGGTTCATGACTCCAGAGAACAAGAGCAACTGTCAGGTTCGGTCATTTGACCGTGATTGTAGGCTGGCATCTTGCTGTTTTCGTTCGCCCCGCTTGAAGACTCGTTTTGCATGACGCATTCCGTGGTAGTCACTGTAAAAAGTGGGCTCCGCAAATGGCTATTTTTACCACACGTGTAGAGGGATGATGAATCCTTGTTATGGTTTTGTGAGAACTCGTGTGAATTATACGAACCATCTCGTTTCAAAGTGTAAGTACTTGAGCCCATACTCGTACAGACCCAGTCCAAAGTAGCAAAAGAAAAACCAATCGTGCTCAAAGTATCCGGGGTCAAACACGCCTGTCTTTCCACTCGCCCTCAACCCAACATGTTTAATACATATTGGCTCTGGCTTTGGAGCTTGCTAATGTAAATCGCATCATCTCAGTGGCTATTATAGAAGACTCCTCTATCACCCGCACCCATCCGTCTCAGCAAAGCTGCCAGTGCATGGATGAGGCGCAATTGGTCCTTGAAATAAGTGGGTTGGTGGTGTGACTGCACACCAATCATTTTAGCCCACCGCGTGAAGGCTATTTGGCCACATGAAAAAACAGGCATGAGAGACGAATCAGCGGACTCAACTATCCGATCTTGGTTTGTTCGGGTGGCACACCCGCAAAGATAGACGTGCTTCAAGATTAAAAGGACCATATCCACATTCGTTTCAGCAGAAAGGGCCAAACACAAAAGCAACGGAAGGGAACAATCTAAAAAAAACCCTCACATCACCTCACGTCTTTGCTTTGCACATCCTTAAAATAAGCGCTTCGCAACGTGTTAAGGTGTTAGTATTAAACGCAGCAGGCTGAGCAAGAGTAAGTAACACCCTACCAACTAAACTCTGACAGAACCTACTTGGTGAGGTGTGAGACAACAGAAGGATAGACAGTTACAAGTAGAGTGTGTGAAGGAGCCACACAGGTGTAGATGGTGGTAGCCCTAGGTCTGTGGAATGAGCACCAGGCCGGATGTGCACTAGTCGGGCTGTCAAATATCACCGGATCTCACGTCAAGCGCAACCCCTAGCCCCTAACTCCTCACCCCTCCCCACAATGCAGTCTGCACAATGCAATGGACATACCGCCGTGCGTGGATCTGCAGCTAACCTGGTCCTCTATATGCAGTATGGCCAGAGACACATGAAGGAAACAGAGACATGCTTTGACTTCTCCATTTCACATATTAATCTTCTGAAATACTCATCTCTTCTCCTGCCACTACCCCGACGAGTCGACACCCGGTAAACGACACCCACAACAACATGTCGGTAGTGAAATCCAAGCCGTCGCTGCTCAAGCTGAGGCGAGGCAAGCGAGCAGGCGACACTGAGGTGCAAGTGGTTGAGGTCAAGATGGAGGATGGAGACCTAACGGTTATGGCCGAGCCCAAGAGTGGATCCAAGGCATCCAAGTGCGCTAAGAGCCTCAGCAATGCCGCCAAACTCCCCCAACTACATCGCCAGAAACCCCACCCATCACCGCCTGGTCCAGTTCGATCCACTCAGTCACCGCCAAGCCCAACTACCCAGACGACCCCTCCGCTGACATGCAACACCAACTACTTTCCGACGAAACGAAGCCCGCTTTCAAACAGCTCGTCGCCCACATCTCCCTCGCATGCCGCCAGTCGGCCACCGCTCAAACCCCGTAGTACCAGCGACTCACGACGTTTGTCTAACGCCCTTCGAGACGATTCCTCCCAAACGGCACTTTCCAGCCACACTGCAGCATCCTCAACTCTGTCAAGGTCCCAACCCATAAACTCAAACTACGCTAATAACGGTGGCCACATCCACCAGTCCAACTCTCCAACAAAAACGCATAATAACCAACACCCGCAACCCTTGCATCTCCCCCCAACTCCGCCCCTTGCACACTCCGACACAAAAGCAGCAGCGTCCATGGGCAAGTTGAAGCTCACGTCGTCCGCGGGATTTTTCCTGCCCGAACCAAAGCCCTTCGAAAACGACCACGACGGATACCACAGCCACGATGACAACAACGACCACGACCACGTGCTGACCCCAGTCACCTCGCAGGACCAGGACCCGGACCTGTCGCTGGAGACTGCGCTGACTCCCGACACCCCCAGTAGCTCGCCCGATGAGCCCGGCAAACGCGAAATCTCCCGTCTGGCGTCCATGGTTTACCACATCAAGTCCCTCCGTAACCAGCAGCTGTACGGCTCTGCAGAAGCCGCAGCACAGCGAAACCACGAGGCGCGTCACTTTTCATACGACTACGACCCAGAGGGATCTTCCAAGGAACGTTACCAGCAGCGAAAGCACATTCCCCCATCTGTTTGGGCCGCCGCTACAAGAGTTAAGGCCACTCTGGAAGTTTACCACCACGCTGTTTCTGTCGCACAAAAGCACGTGGACAGAGAGTTTCCAGAAGTCCATCTCGGATACAACCCGTTACAGGTGCGTCGAAACCGAAAACTGAGAAAAGGAAGCCACCACAAGCCCTCGCTGAACATCAACTGTGACACGGTGCCCCTGGCTTCGTCTGTCTTTTCAAAACACGCACGAGACTCCAAGGACTACAAATACCCCTGGGAAGTGGACGTGCCGGAGCTTCTTTCGGACATCGGATGGAGAGCTCAGAACAAACGACACATGGTTGACGGCCAGGGCAACTACGTCTATCCTATGGCCCAGCATAGACAGCATGACCGACGAAAGAGCTGGGTGAGAATCGCCACTCCTCTAGGACGGTCCCAGGAGTGTGTCGACACCTTCTCTTCCGAAGAGGAACTTCGAAGAGACCAATCCGATGGCTCTAACAAGCTGCCTTCTCTGGCCAAGCTGTCGGACAACGAGAAAGAAAAAGAAAAAAGCCACAGAAACCTGGGTCTTGGGGCGGGCATCTCTGCCGGGCCCTTTTCCTTTTCTGCAGGCGTTGGAAGCATGGGAATGGCTTCTCATCCCAAGCTGGAATCTCCCTCAAAGTCTCTTGTGAGCGTCAACCGAGTGAACTCCTCCTCTCCGGAGATTCAGGTGACCCTGGCCACCCCCACTCCTCCTTCTGTGCATCTTGAGTCTTCTGAAAATGACAGTCCTCACGACCACGAGTCTTCAGAGAGCTCTGTTGAAGGAGGCCCTGAGCTGTCCAAGCTGCTGTCCATTTCTCGGCCCGCCAGCAAGGTGCCCTCTTCGGCCAGTCTCCGAGCCCCTGCTCTTTCCATCGTGACCCACAATCCCGAGGTGTCCAAGACCTCTCTGGTCACTGCCGACCAAGGGTCGCAGCTCTCCCTCCATTCGGCCCACTATGACGATGGTTTCAACGAGCATCTTACTGAGCTTCAGTATCTTGAAACCTGCTTCATGCTGGGTCATTTGCATATGGCTTCCTCTGCATACGGTACTAAGCCTCCTCCCTCTAATGCCGAGTTTGTCCGAGAAGTGACCGACATTATGGAAGAGGGCTTTTTCCAGTTAACTAACATATACCTGCCAAAGGTTGGCGAACAGTATGACGCTGTTGGTAGTGAGGTCGATGCCCTCAAGCTCGAGCTTTCCGACAAGAAGGACCCCCTTCTAGACTATCTGCTGTACGAAGCAGAACATCTGGTCACCGAGGTGAGTACCACACTCAATCTGGAGACCCGAAAGACTTCCGAGCGTCTCAAGCAAATTGAGTGCTGTGGAGCTGCTCGGGACCAGGTCTGGTGTGTGTGCTACTTTCTTCTGGAGTGGTTCGTCGTCCTTGTCATGTGGTTCATTTGGGGCATTGTCACTGCTGCTCGCAGCGTCAAAAACACGTTCGTCATGTTCTACATTACCATCAAGTGGTTATTGTGGATGTAAAATGGCGTCGCATTCGACATCTATTTATTTATATATACATATATATATTATACATGCATATTTATCTTCTCTTTACTCCGCCCTGTAAGTGTGTTCTGTGAGAGAGTAGACTTGCCTAATCGATGTACAGTAGTTTCCTGCATATTAGAACGACCAATGTTACGAGCAACGTCGTTTTTACACGTACAGTATGTACGAGTGCTGTAACCGGATAACTGATTCGGAGTTAGTCACTATTGGCGACCGGGTATCCGAATGTTTACCGCTGACCATCCAACATGGCTTTACACATTGAACTCTAAGGGAACCGTGCATTTTGGACTCAGTCGAAGCGGCTAGAAACATCACGTTTTTGGGAGAAGTTGACATGGTTGTGTGGTATCCCAATTCAATTACTCACCAAATATCAGTTCCTGCCGCCTAATTGTACGTTTCGGATAAAAATCTGTCTCCGTTGATCAATGTTTTCTTGGGCATTTCTTTTGCCTACTCTTTTTTAGTCGCATTGAGGCCAACAGGAGCCCCATTGAATCCGCATGAAATCCAACACTGTTCGGAAGTTTATTTAGGGGTGATAATCTTTGGAAAGCCGGCTTTGGGTGATATTTCGGGAGAAATAGGCAGTCATATATATACGTGGTTGCCCTATGATGTCACATGACTTCTGTATCTTTCCCTATCACCTCTCTGACAACTCGCATCAGACAATCCTGTTCACTCTCCTACCTCACCCAACCCCGCATGACAGGAAGGTTATCTCAATAGTATAAAAGCAAGTGTCCTGAACGTGATTGACCGATCTCTATACCACAAGGTACAACACAACCACTTACACACCACACAATGGCTCCCCTCCCCATCGCTCTTAACGGAGACTTCAGATACGTGCTTGCAGCCTCTGCCCTGCTCCCCGCCATTGGCTTCTTCCACTCTCTCAACACTCTCTACTGGCGAGCAAAGTCCAAGACCAAGTTCCCTCTCCTCTTCGCTGACGAGACTGTTAAGGTCGACCCCAAGATCGATGCGGCCAAGAAGCGATTCAACTGTGCACAGAAGGCCCATCTACAGTTCACCGAGAACGTGAACCTGACTCTTTTGGCCGGCTGGATTACCGGAGTTTCCTACCCCAAGGAGGCTGCTGGTCTCATTGCTGTCTGGGCAATCTCCCGGTTCCTCTACGTGCTGGCCTATTCGACCGGCGAGCCCAACCGACGAATGCCCCCCAACTTCTTCAACATCACCTCCCAGGTTGCTCTCATTGCCTCTGCTATCTTCACCTCTTTCAAGGCCATTGTTTAGTGATACAGGACGGCTTATGTAATGAATATATGAATGCGATTGACAAGACAGCAATTACAATTTCAATACGAGTATAGTTCGAATGATATAAACACAGTTAACAGTACGAATGACACTTTCGGTAGAATGACACACCCCTATTTACAATAAATACTATTAGTTCTCGTTCAACAGCCACTCAAGCGTAATGAGTGCGTTCTTGGTTCGCTCGGCAACATCCAAAGATGGATCACGCAGTTGCGCATCCAACTTCTCCTTGTAGCCCAGTTTGACAAGAGCACGAGCTCGTCGCTTAGCGCCCTCACGACACTCACGGTCGTTGTTATTGTCCACGTAGGTCAGGTTGATGACCAACCACGCACATGCAGCACGCACATCGTAATGTCGATGGCCAGTGAACTCGGCAACCTTGACAAGAATAGACTCCTGCTCAATCAACATGAATCGGAACTCCTCGGGGCCCGCAGCAATATGGGCCAGAGTGTAAATGATGGCACTGAGCATGCGTGTGTATACCTGGCGCTTCTCATTGACAGTCTTGGCAAGCTTGATCTGTGAAGACGAGTGAGTGGCTGTGTTCTCGGCCACAGTCTCGGTATGCTGGCGAGATATGATATCAATCTTGTTCTCAAGGAGCTGCATGAACTCACGAGCCTCCACCTGGGAAAAGAAGACCTCAACAAAGTTGGCCTGTTTCATCATCAGGTTCCGTATCAACTCGTGGGCCTGCTCCTGGACTTCGATATCAGTATCACCGAGCAAGGTCAGCAGACGTTTGCAAGTCAACAGTCCCATTGCCTCCTCAATAAGTCTGTCGTCGTTGTCAGGCGGCAGCACTGCGTGTCTCAAAGCCCAGGTGGAGTTGAGTCGCAGAGGAGTATAGTCGGAGTTGACACCAGCGATAATCGATTGCAATACACCTCGTTCAAAAATGTTCTTCTTAAAGGGCGAAAAGGGAAGAATGAGGTTGCACATGGACGCCATGATGGCAGCCTTGACCTCCAGATCTTCAATGTTAGGAGACTCTCCGTCCTCTGTTTGATCCATGTTATCAGGCTCTGCGTTCACTGGTTCCGAGGGAGTCTCGTCCAGAAGCTCGATGATACCTTCTACAACCTCTTCGTCAACAAATCCAGTTCGCAGCAACGATACACTTCGAGAAAGAGCTCGAACAAGGTAACATGACGAAATTTTCATCTTTCGCACCGCTCGAGCTCGAGGGTCTCCAGATGGAGGTGTCTTCATTCGCATAATCTTGATGACATGCGACAAGACCCCACAGTCGACAATTCGAGCTCTGAAGGAGTCCTTATGCATTCCAATAGCTGCCACTAGAAGAAGAGCATCAGCAATGACTTCTTCCAGCTGGTTGCAGTGGTTAGAGGGCTCGACTTCAGGTACCCTGGAAGTCACCAGAGTGCATGCCAGTTCGATGACACGGGCCTCAGCAGCCAAGGTTGCCATATCTATATGGTCTCGACAGAGGAGGGCTAGAGTCTTGCACACTCGGGGGTCGGTGTCTTCTGGACCGGACAGCATGGGCACTAGAACAGGTAATAGAGGCCGGGCAATCTCGAGCTGTTGTGATGCTGGCATATGCAGATGCAGGTTAGAAAACAGGAAGCAGACAGCCAGTCGCACTTGGGTGTCTCCTGCTCGTAGTAGCAAGAAGAGGTCTTGTAGGAGACGTCCGGAGCTCCAGTTGGTGCCCGCAGTCCCCACCTCTCCCTCCAGCAGTTTCATTGCTAAGCTGTGGCGAACCACATGGCTCAGTGCAAAAACTGCTGACGCCAGGGGTTCTGTGTAGATAGAGGGGATTCGATCTCTTTGGGAAAGATACTGTTGGGTGAGTAAAAGGATACGAGCAGCAAGGGGTTCGCTGAGGTCTTCTCCTAGCCGTTGCACTCCAGGGCGAGAACGTCCCAGTAGCGGAACAAGAGGAGTGCATAGAGAGACGACGGGTAGGGGTGTTGAGGGCACAGAAATGTGGTGCGACAGGGCCTTGAGCAGCTGGGGCGAGTCTTCGATGCATTCGTTTGCCACCGTGTCGTTTACCTTGAGCAGAGCAGCCAGTGTTCGCAGCAGCGCGCTCATGTACTGCACCTTGTGACTGTCAGCCTCCACAATAGCAGTGACGATGACTCTGTGTATTCCGAGCCGCACAAATTCGTTCAGCACCAGCGGAGCACAGCCAGAGGTGAAGGAGGCGATGATCACCGCCGCCTGGGTGCGCAGCTCTTCGGACCAGGGTCCGTCCTGGAGCACCTGCACCAGAGAGACCACCACTCCGTCACATTCGAGGTAGCGGGTCTTCTTTTCGTCATGGCCGATAATTTCGTTTTTGAGGGCTTTGCAGGCTGCCAGCTGGGCGTCGGGTGACAGCTCTCTCAGGTTGCATATTTGTGCCACCAGCTCTTGGTCAGCGACAGGTAGAAACATGGCTGAGTTCGAACGATGCCTTTATGCGGTATGAGTAGATATGGTGGTGCGATGCAGCAACGAAATTAACCTAAAGTGGGGATGGGATGGGATGTTGGAGAGAGGGGGGTGGTACAGTATATGAGCCTCCTACGGGAATGCCAAACTGTATCAACCCGACAAGTGAAAAGAGAAAAGACTAATGTCCACAATTTTGTGCCTGCTGATAACTCCAAAACTCTCCTGTTGATATTATTTTCCTGTCGTCGTGTATCCTGGTCCATTGTGGTTGTTATGCTCCTTGCGACTTGTTACACAGTAGCAATGGTAGGGTGTACAGAACTCACACAGTGTGCGTAAGAGGTGATATCGTACAATACGGTACGGGTATGAGCACCGGTAGTACCTAGTATACTGTGTACGTACGTACAAGAATCGCACAAATACAGATACTTGTAACCCTGACAGTGTAACACAATTATTCGGTAGCTCTTGTCTATGTTGCAAACTTGACCGCTTTCTTTTCATTCCCCCAATATGAGACCAAGCGAACTACAGTACATACTGAAAAGCTGTTCAGACTCGCAGTCACATGATCTGACGTCTCTGATAATTCTGTGGGGGGTGCACGGGAAGAGAGCTGTATTTTGGGATAGATATAAAAGATGAAGGCTTTGCTATTTAATGAGTACACACAGTACATACTGTACGGTAGCTACTGTACTTGTACAATACTTTGTGGTGTGCCACTGCCATACCTCACTCACCTCTGCATGCATCGTCCTGTATGTACAGTAAGCAGGTGCATACAAAGTTCAGTCCACCAACATCACACCTAACGACTCTAAAAATGGCGGTCACCTCGATTGCCCTGTATACCCTGGCTGTGTTGCTCATTGCCCACAGCGGCTACTCGGCCTACGAGGCCTCCTACAATGCCAAGTTGATGGCCCAGAAAATAGCCGTTCCCATTGACGTGAGTTCATGAGACCAACGAACAGACGACACAACGACTAAAACGACTAAAGGAATCAACGAAGAGCGATTGAATGACTCAAGCGATTGAATTACCTAACGCCGATCGACTGTCCGACTTATTGCCCGTCTTTACCCCCAACTAACCCAGATCAAAATCGAAGCGCTTATTGGTGTCTTTCTGGCTTGTTTCACTCCGGTGCTCAGCATCGCCGGCACTCTGAAGCCCGTCAAGTTCGCCGATGCTGCTTCCGAACTTGAGCTCAAGGGTGAGAATCCCTTCCTGTATTTGGAGAAGCGGTCTGGTTTCCAGACATATTCGGGCATGATTGAGAACCTGCGAGTTCAGCATTTGGAGGGTCAGAAGACAAAATAGAATGGGAATCTGTGATAATATATTGATAATTGAATAATGATGGATGTACACGGCTTCTAGATAATCATTTAGTATGTTACGTTGCCGGATATTGGTTTTGAGAGATGATGTGTACGTAATCACTCGTGCATGGTCAGACTTTACTAACCATGGAAGCTTCTGCAACTGTAACATCGGAATTAATTAAGAATTGAAACAAGAAGGTGTAGTGATTACAATTTTGTAATATGAGTCAACAGTGGAATTCATAAATAATGCGACCGTACCGACGTATTTAATGGGTCACTAATTGCATCATACTTCTATACTGTTCTCCTTCTCTCCCACCTCTGATCCGGAACGCCTTCATGCTTGCACTAAGTTTCAAGTATCAGTGCAGTGCATAAAAAATTATTGAGTTGGGTAAACTTCAGATCTATCTTCATCACAACTACAACACAATGTCTGCTGTGAAACGAGCATCGAACCATTCGACGTTATCGCAGAAGGTGTTTGTGCGAACTTCCAAGGCCGGCAACGCCACCAAGGTCGTTCGAGAGCAATACCTTCGAGATGATATCCCCTGCTCGTCCCAGGGCTGTCAGTACTGCAAGAACAACCTGTATGTTGCTGACGCCACTGGAAAGCGACAAGAGCCCATTCTCGAGACCCAGCCTAACAAAACTACCAAGCGTGGCCCCCATTACCTCGTTGTCGACACAAACATTGTCCTGGACGGTATCGATCTGCTGGAAAGTGACAAGGGCTTCTATGATGTGATTGTGCCCCAGATTGTGCTGGAAGAAGTGCGAAACCGATCGCTGCCTATCTATGCGCGACTGCGAGCCCTCACCAAGAACGACGACAAGCGGTTCTACGTCTTTCATAACGAATACTGCAAGGACACTGCTGTTGGTCGAAACAAGGGAGAGTCCATCAACGACCGAAACGACAGAGCCATCAGAAAGGTGTGCGAATTTTACACCCAACATCTTGGTAAGGACTACAACGGGACCGCGCCCGAGGTGGTTCTGCTTTCCAATGATGTCAACAACCGAAAATTGGCAAAGGAGGAGGGAATCACTGCCCTCGGTCTCAAGGGATACGTTTCCGAGCTTGTGGACCCCGGCCAGCTCATCGATATGATCCCTCAGCGAGCTCTTGAGGAGGAGGAGGGAGCCAAGCCCAAGAGCGGCAAGTCCGAGGCGCTTTACCCTGAATACTACCCCATGTCTCGACTTCTAGGAGGAATCAAGAACGGCACTCTTTTCCAGGGAAACCTCACCATATCCCCTTACAATGTTCTCGAGGGTTCCGTTTCCACAAAGGCGTACCCAAAGCCTCTCTTGATTCTTGGCCGACAGTCTCTCAACCGTGCATTCTCTGGTGACCAGGTTGTCGTGGAGCTTCTTCCAAAGGACAAGTGGAAAACTCCCTCCACGAGTGTGATTGAGAGTGAAGATCTTGCTGCCAATGAGGGCGGTGAGGAGAGTGGAGACACCGTCATGAGCGAGTCTGAGCGGAAACTGCTGGCTGACGATGCCCTCAAGGCCCACAAGAACGAGGCCGATGCTGCTGAGCGAGTCCAGCCTACCGCTCGAGTTGTCGGTATCATAAAGCGATCTTGGAGATACTACGTTGGTCACATTGCTCCTGGCTCAATCATTGATGACGTCTCTCGAGGCCCTCGATCTGTTCTGGTTGCTCTCATGGACAAGACTCTGCCCCGAGTTCGAATCAGAACTCGACAGGCCGCTGCTCTCCAGGGACGACGAATCGTCGTTGCCGTGGACTCTTGGCCCGCTGACTCTAGACACCCCGAGGGTCATTTTTGCCGAGACCTTGGTCCCATCGAGTCCAAGCAGGCTGAGACTGAGGCGCTTCTGCTGGAGCACGATGTCGAATACCGACCTTTCACCAAGGCTGTTCTAGACTGTCTTCCCGCCGAGGGTCCCGACTGGAAGGTCCCCCAGGATCTCGTCAAGGAGGCTGCCGAGAAGGATCCTCTTGTTGCCAAGCGACGAGATCTACGACATCTCAACATCTGCTCCATCGATCCTCCAGGATGTCAGGATATCGATGATGCTCTGCACGCTCGAGTTCTTCCCAACGGAAACTATGAGCTTGGTGTTCACATTGCTGATGTCACGCACTTTGTCAAGCCCGACACTGCTCTGGATCAGGAGGGTGCTTCTCGAGGTACCTCTGTCTACCTTGTCGACAAGCGAATCGATATGTTGCCCATGCTGCTCGGTACCAACCTGTGTTCTATTAACCCTTATGTGGAGCGATATGCTTTCTCTGTTCTCTGGGAGATGACTCCCGACGGCAAGATTGTCAATACCGATTTCACAAAATCCATCATTTCTTCCCGAGAGGCCTTTTCGTACGCAGAGGCTCAGGCGCGAATCGACGACCCCTCCAAGACTGACGAGCTCACTGAGGGTATGCGGGTTCTGCTCAAGTTTTCCAAGCAGCTTAAGCAGGGCCGGATCGACGCCGGTGCACTGAACCTGGCTTCTCCCGAAGTCAAGGTCCATATTGACTCTGAGACCTCCGATCCGGGAGAAGTTGAGGTCAAGGAGCTTCTCGAGACCAACTCTCTGGTTGAGGAGTTCATGTTGCTCGCCAACACTTCTGTTGCCAAGAAGATTTACGAATCTTTCCCTCAGACAGCCATGCTCCGACGTCACGGAGCTCCTCCTGCCACCAACTTCGAGACCCTCAACGACCAGCTTCGAACCATTAAGGGTATGTCCATCTCTCTTGAGTCTTCCAAGGCTCTGGCAGACTCTCTGGATAAGTGTATTGACCCCAACGAGCCCTTCTTCAACACTCTGGTTCGAATCGTGGCTACCAGATCCATGCTGGCTGCCGAGTACTTCTCTTCGGGTTCTTATGCATACCCTGAGTTCCGACATTACGGTCTGGCTTCCGAGATTTACACCCATTTCACATCTCCCATTCGACGATACGCTGATGTGGTTGCTCATCGACAGCTGGCTGCTGCCATTGGTTATGAACCTCTCCACCAGTCCCATCGAGAGAAGGACCATATGGAGTCCATCTGTAAGAACATCAACGTCCGACACCGAAACGCCCAGTTTGCTGGACGAGCCTCCATTGAGTACTTTGTTGGCCAGGCACTCAAGAACGTGACTAAGGAGGAGGATGCCATCCACGAGGGTTACGTCATCAAGGTGTTCAACAACGGTGTCGTTGTGCTTGTGCCTAAGTACGGCCTTGAGGCTCTCATTCACATTGACGATCTTGGAGATGCTGAGACTGCTGTCTTCAATGAGAAGGAGTACAAGCTCGACATTAGCGGTAAGTCCATCCGAGTCTTTGACAAGGTCAAGGTCAAGGTGGAGTCTTACAAAGACAAGCAGGAGAAGCGAAAGGTGAAGATGGTTCTTCTTTAGGCATTTGCATAGAACATGTATTTTATAGATAACGAATTGGTATTTAATAGTTGACACACGTGTAGTAGATGTAGCAGAGCAAGTCGGTACAATAATATTTATAATTACTTGTACCACATCGTACAAGTAAGTAACGCGTTGCGATGTACAACAAGTAGATCATCAAATTGGCTAATTACTCTAGTCGCACATGACATCGCGTATCAAAACACGTCACACAAGAAATAGTGTTGAGGACTAATGTCATGAAAGTAGTAACCTATAGTATGTACAAGTACAGTAGTCCTATTTTGGGTCGTTTTCAGTAAAAATTTCGCCAAATTAAAACTCTTTCTTTAGCTTCGGTTGTTCAGAAGAGCGTATGGCGCTCTGAGTCATCAGTCTGCTTAGTCATGGGTCTGGGTTCTAACAAAATCAAAGTTTTCCAGCCTTCGTGGCCAAGTGGTAAGGCGCAGCACTAGTAATGCTGAGATCATCAGTTCAAATCTGGTCGAAGGCATTTTTTTTTCCAACCACCATAATGTATTTTTTTTTTGTGAAAATGATGGTCGATTGTGTCTACTTATACAATATAAGTACTTGTACTTTACATTTTTATAGATCTCTTTATTATGAAACTTCTCCCAATGTCATTTTCCACCTTCAATTACATACTACAAGTAGTACATACACCGTTGTACAGTATACACCTTCAGTTATGAATGCACAAGATATGTGCTCAACTTTTTGTACAAGTACCCCCCATTTCCCAATTGATTTTCCTGATTCTCACTCCCGTTCTTATACTGTACTTGTACACTCTTATCTACTTGTACAACCAATTACTACATCGTATCACCCACGCTAAATTAGCTACCCGTAACACTAATACAGTCAAAACGTACAGGTATGCTCCATACCACTGTTTCTATGAGATTAAATACTTAGTGCTGCTGGACGACACCACTCTCACTTGCGTGAGAAAGAATGTACTTCTTGTAGTCCTTGATGGTTCCGTCAAACTTTGAGACGGTTCCCTTCTCGGAGACCCAGATCTGGTTGCAGACTCGGTTGATCATGTCAACGTCATGTGAAACCATGAGGATACCTCCCTTGAAATTCTTGAGACCGTCAGCCAGAGCGTCAAGACCTGCAGTATCAAGATGGTTAGAAGGCTCATCAAGAATGAGGATATGGGGGTAAGAAACACAGAGAGAGGCGAATGCAACACGAGACTTCTGACCTCCAGAAAGCAGAGCGAGCTTCTGGAGACCGATGGAACCAGTAATACCAAAAGAACCGAGATGTCGTCGGTACTCCTCCTCGGACTTGCCGGGGTTGATCTTGGCGAGCCAAGCGGTGGGAGTCAGGTTGAGGTCCATACCGTCAACGTGGTGCTGGGCGAAGTAGCCAACTCTCAGACGAGGGTGCTTAGAGATGGATCCGTCAACAGGGCTCAGCTGGTCAGTCAGAAGCTTCAGCAGGGTAGTCTTACCGCAACCATTAGCACCGACAAGAGCGATTCGGGAGTCCATTTGGATATCGAGATCAACGTCCTTGAGCAAAAGTCGCTCAGGGTTGTAACCGAAGGTGACGCCCTGCATCTGTAGAATGGGAGGCGAGATTTTTTCGGGCTCAGAAAATCGGAACTCCACAGCCTTATCCTCCTCGGGCAGCTCCAGAATGGGCAACTTCTCGAGCTTCTTGATTCGTGACTGGGCTTCTGAGGACTTGGCCGCGTTGTATCTGAATTTGTCAATGAAGGCCTGCAGATGCTGTCTGTAAGCCATCTGGTTCTCGTACTCTCGGATAGCATTCTTGTATCGCTCCTCCTTAGTGGCATAGAAGGCGTCAAAGTTGGCGTTTCGATAGTAGTCGAGTCGCTCGGAGTGCTGGTAGATGATATCGGTGGCGACTTCGTTAAGGAAGGCTCGGTCATGGGAAACAACAAGAACAGTGGAGGGGTAGGTCTGGAGGTAGTTGGCAAGGTAGGTGATCGAGGGAACATCCAACATATTGGAAGGCTCATCAAGTAGCAGCAAGTCAGGCTTACAGAACAGAGCTCGAGCAAGAGCCAGACGCATTCTCCATCCACCGGAGAAGGAGTTTGTGGGATTTCCTTGGGTGGCCTGGGAGAAACCAAGACCTGACAGAATGGCAGCAGCTCGAGACTCGGCCTTATCGGACTCGATGTCGACCAGCTTGGTCTCGACCTCCTCGAGGTTGGTCTCCAGGTCGACCTGCTCGTCATCGAGCTCTCGGATCTCAGCACTGTTGTCGTCCAGACCCTGCTCAGTGAGGGTCTTTCGTTGGGCCTCAATCTCTGCGATTCGAGTGACGGCAGTGTGCTGCTCCTTGAGCAGATGCTTTCGCCACACATCGGCGTCCAGAACGGACTGGATTGCAGAAGTCTCGTCTCCAGTGATTTCCTGCTCGACGTGGAGAATAGTAATGTGCTTGGGGACGGGAAGCTCTCGTCGAGAAAGAGCTCGCAGAAGAGTAGACTTACCAATACCGTTCTGACCGACCAGACCGTATCGTCGACCGTAAGACAAAGTAAGAGAGGTATCGGACAGGATTCGCTGACCCATACCGACGTGCAGATCAAAGTTGTCGATCTTGATATCCTTGGTCTTACCGGCACCAGCCATACCCAGATCCAGAGGGTTAACTGTGAGGAAGAACTCGTCGTAGTCCTTGCTGTCCTGGGTCTCAGTGACAAGCTTGGAGGCCTCATACTGGACTTGGGCAGCGTCCTTGGCAGCTCGAGCAGCCATCTTAGCGGCAATCTTCTTCTCAGCCTTCTCGAGCTTCTTCTTGTCAACTCGAGACTCGACCTTTCGGCCGCCAACGTGATCCAGATCAGCAACACCAAAGATGTTGTTGTTGAGCACACTGGCCTGTCGGTTGGAGGCGTGGTTAACGGCAGACATGAGAGCCTGCTGATCGATGATCTGGGACTGGGCAGAAGCGCCGGCCTCATTGATGGCCTCCTTCTGAAGAACAGTAAACTCCTTGAGCATGTGGTCGTAGAGCTGCTGAGCAGCAGGCTTCTCAACACCAGCTCCAACAAGCAGAGAGGCGATGAAAGAGGCCTCAGCTGTCAGGTCATGCTGGGGACCGATGTTGTTCTCAAGATGTCGAATGTAGCCAGTGGCGTAGTCCACAACCACGGTGTCTACGTTTCTCGCGGTCTTGGTGACCTCAGCGGCGATTGAAGGCATCTTTGAGGTGTGAGGTTGGGTTGGTGGTTCAGTATAAGTCCTTATTTGCCTTTATTTGCATTAACCTGGTGATGAAATTTCCTTGGAGCTTAATTTGTATACAGACTGTGAGTACGGAGCAATGCTGATGTGTGTGTAGGCAATGGAGTAAGGAGAACAAGTGGCACATAAAAACAATTTCAAGGGACATATCTATATTTTAACACATTCATGACCTATCTACCACTCATGTCCTTCTCGATTTCTCCTCACACTACACCAAGCCCCCAAACTGCATGTCATACTTACATATAGATGGAACACTGGATGTGTCGTATCATACTGTATCGTACCTACTTGTACACTGTAGCTACTGGCTACTGTACTGTAATTGCCATATCTATACAGTTACTTGTCTGTGGACCAAATAAAAAAAATCATTCTATTATATTTCCATGCAACATCTACTGTACTGTTAATCACTCGATTCTTGGGGTTCGTGCAAGGTACTCAAGAATGCTGTTGCCCCAGAGCATGGCGGCTCCAATAGGGCCGGGGTGAAGATCATCAAACATGTACTGGTTTTCGGGGATGGCACGCACAAAGTCGCCCACGTGCCAAAACTCCAGGCCCATCTGGTCCATTACATGCTTGGCTGCGGAGTTGAGCTGTCGCACCTTGTTCGAATGGAACCGGTTGTGTCGGTCCGAAGTGCCGTCGTTGAAGAAGGAGCCTTGCTGTGCCCGAGGAGAATGCATCTGTCGAAAGACAATACGGGAGTTGGGCAGAATCTTCTGAACCTCCAGGACAAACTTTTCCAGGTTAACCACGTACTCACGCACCTGTTCCTCGGTGAGGTAGATGGATTCGGTAATGCCTGCGTAACCGTCCAGACGGTCGTATCGAGCCAGCTCCCAGAAACCCACGTTAAGAACAATCAGCTCCAGGTCGTTGTGATGAGGCCGAGAGTTGACGATATCCTTTAGCAGCTTCATTCGTTCCCAAACTCCTCCAGGAAGCAGATATGACTTCTTCTTGTCATGCCAGATTTCATCAGTGTCGAAACCAAAGAAGAAAAAGGTGGATAAGGTCATGTTGTATTCGGGAGAGTAGCAGTATCGAGGGTGACCTCCAGACATCTTTGCGGGATCAGTGACCTCGTCTGTGTAGTCCTTCTGATAGGTCACCTTGACATCCTGGCCGATCATTTCGCACGAGAAGGCGGCGTTCTGTCTGTCGACCGAGTCACCAATGAACAGCACAGACTTGTCTCTGAGGTCAGGGAAATCCATGCCGTCTCTCAACTGAAGAATAGGAGGCGGGTGAATGGCCTTGCAGTCGTCATTGTATCCGACCCAGTGGGTGTTGTTGAAGTTGTTCTTGTCGTAGTCGATGTAACCAGGCAGAGCGTAGGGGTCGCAGTTGACTCGGGTGCCTCTATACACGTCTGGCGACGAGGTCGATCTTTTGGGGGCGTTAGCAATGTCGTAATAAGCAGCCTTAACGGGGAATTCTACAGCCTCGTCATCGTGCGACTGGTTGGTACTGTCGAGTTCAGTGTGGCCTTCCTTGGACCCACTACTGCTCTCGTTTGTGTAGTCCTTGCTCTTAGGGATCGCAAATGTCGGTGAGGGGAAAATGAAGAATCCCATGAGCGTAAAGAGAAGGGCCACGAATGTAATGGCCGCAATAATGCGGAACCGTATTGCCGTCATTTGTAACGAGTGTGTGTCGGTTTGAGGGTGTTTCAGATCGCAGTAGTGATAAGGAGAAAGAATGAGCTGGCTTTAAACTTCTGTATGTTGGGTGTGCGTGCACTTTCCACACTCGCTGTACCTGAATCAACTAAGCCAGTCATGGACAAAGTATACTGGCAGCACAGCTGTGTACGTTTATGTCTGCTTTCCTGTCTACTCATACCAAGGATGTGCCAAGGCGCGTACATGACAGGTCGGAGTGAAACCTGTGCGTGAATACCTCATCTAGTGGACACGATATTCTCGGGCTTTTACGGTGTACCTGATGAGCACATCCGCTGTGTCGATCTCACATGGGGCTGAGCATCGTGCAGTCACCACGCACAGTGGACCTGTACTGGACGTGGAGTACGACGTACCCCCCGGCTCACTCAATGTCTACAGGGGAGACCACGCGTCTGCATCCCAAGCAGGAGACGTGTCATGACTGGCCAGGGGAAGAAAGATGTGGCTAAGATAGGGCGGCACGCGCCCTAAGCTAACAGCCTAAATGGTCCCTTGAAACTCTTCACAATAAAATCCGCGCGTGCTTTAACGCTCTGGAGAAGGGGGGGGGGGGGACTTTTGAAAAAAAACAAAAAACCAACAACAAATAAGACACACAGGGCACTGCGCACAATGCGCTTGTTGGGGTCCGTTTGCTTCATGAAGGATTTTCACAGTCATCGTACGTCGTTTTTTTTTCTTCTTTTTTTTTCTGCATATTGTGCATGGTTTCATTGGAACGATGACGATGGTTTGACTAGAGAGTCAACTGTAATTGTTGGGAGGTAGTTGATGAATGGCATGGGAAATATGTACAATTACAGCAGAGGTATACTGCCAATGAGGTGTATCGACAACGTATTGAAGACTACAGTATGGGGTTATTCCGGCATAATTTAATGACATACTTGCTGGAAAGATGGACAAAAAAAAAAACAAAAACAGTCAGCACAATAGCTGTTAGTTCTCCATTGGAGTATGTTAACTATGGGTGTTTTTCCGCCAGTTTGATCCTGAGCTACCTTGGGCTCGGTACATCCCCTGGGGTGAGATAATGAAATATTGCCTTCAAACGGTCCAGTAAACTACAAGAAACAGTTACTGTACTAAGACAGTCTCTAACTCTTTATATTCAAAAGTTCAGGCGTCTTCTTCCATGAACACCCCTTGCGCACAAGAAGATGCCCATGGTCAGCATCTGTTCCATGTAAGTTTAGGAGAGCCCATAGAGAGCGCCATAAGTGTGTAACCTCACCAGTACATATGGTACTGTGGCGGGGTTTCTCTGAATTCACTCGAGCTTCTAGTGCTCGTACACGTATAACCCCTTTCTCTACTGGATGCTTTTGACTGTACTCTGTGTGGCTTCTGGTGTGAATTATCGAGACAGGTGGTACATACTATACGGTTTTAAGTACAGTACATGTAGTCTCCACACCGTCCAGATGTCCAAGCGTACGAATTTGCATCAAAGAGAGTGTAGAACCGCAGGTGGCATCTACCTGTACACCGACGAGGAGAGCTGAAGAGAAGAGTATGTACAGTGCTGTACTGCGACTGTCACGTATGAATATGGTCTTCAATTGGTTTAGCCAAACAGTGTCTGAAGGTGAGCGACACTTGTAATGCCAAAACATAACACGGACTGGGGGTTAATGTGTGCTATTCATCAATTGCGTAGTTCGAGCGACCCGGCGACGCCTAATTGGTAATTCTAGGCTTTCTAATTCTAGAACGAGAGCTCGAAACCAACACAGTGTGGGTTTCTAAAACCGACTGTGCATCAGCCGATTCCGGGGTTACATACATGTCTGGAGCATGCATAAGTAAACGAAGGCTATTATGAATGAACAGTCTAGAGCAGGTCTAAAACCTATGGTACCGGGTCGCAGTGTCAAGCCTCGGGGATGCAAAAACCAGCCCAACAGAGTACAACATAACAAAGACTACAAGTAGGTGCATTCACAAAACAAACCGCATGATCATGTAACACCCCGCTCACTTTTATAGCTACAGTATCGTCAGAATAGAGTCTCCGTCTAGCTAGAGTTACGTTTGACCCGCCGCACAACCCCGGACACTCCACCTGGTGCCTGTTGTGACACACTTCTGGGCAGTAAGCCCGAAAAGGCTGCTAACAATGAGGCGGAAGTGTCGACCAGTTAATGTTCCGAGCGGGGAGCGGTGCAGCTCAGTGGTTCAGACTCTCTAATGAGTGCATTTATTCCACTCTTCTCTTCACCCTACAAGGACGGCACGATCATTACTTGTATCCACTCAGCCCGTACAAACGCTTCAGTATGGATTGATTTATCGCAGCTACCCATAAGTTAATGCAGTAAGGAATATACCCGTACTGTTACATACAAGTACCGTATTTCCACTTGAATTGGTACGACAATCGTTCATATCTCAGTCTGCTCGCCCAGGTTGTGGGACAGAGTTTTCGCCTGACTGAGCCGCAACCTGGGAGCACTGAATGCCGAACATCGTTGAACATACGTAACACGAGACAGATCATAAACGAGCTGCTCTTCTGGAATGCTCGCATCCCCGTGGGGATGCATTTTAGACGAACGACGAATTCGGATCGGACCGGAATACTCAAAACAGTTGCAGGGTCACGCCATGTGGTGTGAGATACTTTGAAACGAGGGGATATGATGCCTGTGACTGCTACGTGAGGGGTAACTGATGGTCCAGGCGAGAGTTATATTGTGTAGCAAAGTTGACTGGAGTGAGGAACGTCATCAGACGAACTCTTCAGTACAGGTACAGTCTCTATCGTAGACTATGTTCACCCAATCGTATAGTCGATTAATAGACACTCAGCCTTCAACTGCTTGTTCATTAAGCATAGCGCCCACAGCAACATCTTTGTTATCCTCACTTACTTCCCTCACAAACCTGCACCCATAGAGCTCAAAAGTATCCACTGGTGCCTCAAAAATAAAGTACTTGTACATCAAAACCCTTTGATGGTGCTCATTTAGACGCGGATGTCCCCGGGACTTCCGAACGCTAGCCCACGCTACGTCCGGAAAGTACAGCCCATCATTCAGCTTCCAACCGCTGGAACGTGCAGTCACGTGATATGGCACCATCTGCACAACCATCATTTGGTTTTTCATTTTCATGCAAGAGTCTGATCCGTTCCTAATTACTTGTAGAACTCTTCGCGCCCATTCCTTCTTTGGTCGTCAGCATCGGAACCTTGAAGTTGGCGACAATGAAAAAAATTTGTGCAGTCAATTTAAGGTTTACGGACGTTGTCGCTTTACCGGAAAAACATGAAACCGGAAAAACTAGACATTGTCGGAAAAACATGCTGTGGTTGTGAAGGGAGATAGAATACACACACTTCACATCGTAATTAAACACTATAGGGATGCAGATTTATTGATACACAGAGCAATCAGAAGGAACTGCAGGGTCTGATGTGCCGATAACAGGTCCAAGTGCTCTACAGTATGTACTGGCGGCGGTGGTGTGCATCACATCAGACAACCTGCAATGCACATTCTTGTACTGAAGTGAGCCATGCAAAACAATGTGTTGTTTAAGCTGAGCTTTCCATAGAACTACTGGACACTGGTGCTATTCAGTTGTTTGCCACCAAACACGGGCCATTGAGTTTCTTTTCGTATTAATAGCTGGGCATTGCCTCGACGCAACGAATGAACTCTCTCATTTTTGACACACAACGTTTTTGAAGATGCAGCTATTTATAGCTCGTGTCGTAAATCCTTGAGCCACTGCACACTTTAGGCAGTCAGATACGCCAGGAGTATTTCTATTTGCTCTCAACAGGCTTCCACCTATAGCCGGTAGGGCTTATCTGAGCTATTAACGGTTTTTGCAATTCTTCAATGCATATGGACAGATGTGTAAGGGGGGGGGGGGGGATTAGAAAGTCTGGACCTGGTAATTAGGCCATGAATATGACACGCTCTTAGAAACCACGTGTCTTAGATGGATAGATGGATGGCCGTTGGCATGACATGTTTTTAGTCCACATGATGTATAGTTAAACAACTCAAGACAGTCTAAAAGGAGCTACTGTAAACAGTCGAAAGTGTACCTAAGCGAACACGACTTGTACGCTTTTGTAAGGGACAATGGTTTTATGTTGAGTTGAGTCATGACTCAATTCTATCCTCATTAACTCAGGAGATCGGCAACCTAAGTTACTATTACGGGCAAGAACTTGTTCAAGGGTTCATGCTATGCAATGACCCCCACGGACAACCCCCCACCACTTGCAGTCATAAGAAACAAATAGTCAGCGGATACTCGAGTTCCCCTTGAGATCCCCTAGACTTATGTGGTGTCAGATAAGATATTTTCTACAGACTCTATTACACCACAATAGCCCTTGTTCATGGCCTACTCGTACAGTAGTGGCAACGACGCCACAATGCACGGGAACCATCCAATCCAGGGTCATTTACTTGTAGGTTAGCCAGCTTTGTACGGTACAGTACGAGTAAATGTCTTCTTCTCTGCTCCGTGCCAGATATGTGAATGATTGCATGATTTTATCAATTTTTTAGGAAACTAGAGCAGCTACGAGGCGGCTGAAGCGTTTTGACTACATGTTAAGCCACCAAATAGCTCGGTTTTACGCGTCTCGAGGCGAGCGGTACATGTAGAGAGCACTTTGAAGAGTCAATCTCTCTTGGCTTGATAAGAACTGGCCAATAATGAGCCGCAGAGAGAAGCCAAGGCTTATGTTTTTGCCCTGGTTTCTGTTGTCTGGGCCTGTAAGCCACATGTCGAACGTCTAGTACGCATGCTTGAACCAAGCAAGGTTCAAAGTTTTTCCGAGCAGTTATTCCGCGGTTGAAACATACAACACCAGTCAGATACATGGAAACTTAAGGGGGATAAAATTTTATCCAAATGTCGTGCCAGACTCAGGGTCTTCGGGGGTCTCTACGAAGCCATAACCATAGCTTCATTGGACTTGTTGTGTGCCTACCAAATAGGGAGAGTGCCGAGTCACCTCCCAATGCACTAATCCGTCGTGTACGCCACCTTGCGAGTTCCCAAACTGGCTTCTGCCAGGTACTCAGGCGCATTAGTCCGCAGTTTTCTAAATGTGATCGAAAGTTTCTGTTTCTTATGATGCCAAGCTGAATCACCTCCCAAGTAAGGGCGCTGACAGTTCATGTAATTACAGTGTTGCATGCGAAATCTAAATTTCGGTCTAGACTGGGTTTGTTCCAGTCCTCTTAATTTCTGGGCCGTATGGTCGCATTGGAGATCAAGAGAAATACGGAATCGATACACCCGTCTATGGGCTACAATTCAACACCAAACAATCGCCCGACACGAGACCCGATACGTCTCCATAGCGCTCCCGTTCAGCCCCTCGCTGATCAATAGGTTCTTGGTTTTGGGAGAAAACGAAAAAACTTATTTGTCACACTACTTGGATTTGTCACTCAACCTCCCACTGAGAGGCCAGGCAAGGGTCATACACACACAAGCAAGACAATTTGTAACCGTGCTCTCTGATGCAGGTGCTCTGGACCAACAGCATTACCAACTGAGGGTGGTTAGCCTGAGTCATTCGCAAGCGGCGTACATGTCGACATTGATCCCGGTAATTGCCTCTGTCCCGCTTCTCCCGCTCTATCAATGTGCGACATCATGCTATCGGAGTAGAGCGAGCTGTTAACCGGCGAGCCGCAGGCTGCGGCGTTGACGGCTTGTGGTATCTCCCCCTCTCACGACACTCTCTCAACAGCTGACTTTTGAGCCAACGCCCCCACTTGATAGAGTTTTAATGTACAAGCAAAATGAGTTTATTCGTTTGGGTGCTTGTGCACAGTTTTGTTCTTTTACTAGTGCAACACATTGCATTGCATCTATGAGCCGTCCTTGCTCGGCCCTTCTTTATTGCCGCATATATAACGCGTTCCATAGAGGAGACAAGATATAAGACCTGCCGGAATCCTGGGATGAAAGATTTTAGTTCCACGTAAACACTACCGATTTACAGCTCGACTGCCAATCCCAACCTCCTCTCAACCAAACAACAACCGCTACACCGTTCCTACAAGTGCTCGCTAAAAACTATTTTCAGCCTTGCATCAATCTTGATCTAACAACTACACCATGATCATCACCCCCAAAACCCATAACAAATCGGCTCTCAAGCTAAAGCTGGCCGAGCCCGAGCGACACTACCGACAGGGAGATATTGTCGCCGGTACCGTGGTCATCCACCCCACCAAGCACGAGCTCTCCTTTGACGCCATCTCCCTGCAGCTCAAGGGTTACATCCAAACCCGATCGGAGGACGGAACCCATTGCCACCAGGCTTGCTTCCTCTCTATCGACAAGAATCTCGACGCCAACCTCACTAACCTGCCCTCTCAGGGAAAGTCCAAGGCTTTCCACGCCAACCAGGTCTACCGATATCCCTTTGAGTTCGAGCTCCCTATCGATGTGCCCAAGGAGGGTATCACCGCTCGATGCGACGCCCAGTACCTCAAGCTGCCCCCTTCTTTCGAGATTGCCACTTCCAACGTTGTTGGCACATACGCCTCTATCCACTACGTGGTCGAGGCCGCGATTCTCTCTGTCAACGATAGGGAGCAGACCTCTTATTTCCAGGGAACGTCCGGAGCCTCGTACGGTATTGCCGGCGGGCTGCGATCCAACCCCGGATCTCTACCTGGATCCGCCAACAACTCTGCTCCTAGCTCCCCCGGCACTCCTTCCACAATGATGCACACTTCGCCAATCCGAAAGGTGTCTGTACCCATTCTGGTCGTGCCCAACTACCACCCTCACACCCAGGCCAACCTGTTCAAGCCTGGTCTTCTGCAGCAGGCTGAAGCCGCCGGTGACTCTGCTAAGGCCCACGCTAAGTTCAAGGCCGGAGACGTCCAGCTCATGGGAATCACCTCCATGAACAAGATCCCCATCATCAAGACCTACAAGACCAGTTCTTCTTCTACCATCACTGTTCCCCTGAACATCCGATTTACTCCTGAGGATCCCACTGGAACCACCCCCGAGGTTGTTTCCATCTCTGCAAAGCTCCAGGCTTACACTGTCATCTCTCACGAGATCCCCCAGTATCTGTGGTCTTCCCAGCACTACGATCCCGCCTCTGGCAAGCCTGTTCCTCGACAATCTGTGGCCGAGTCTTCTCGAAACTTGTTGCATGTTTCCCAGAAGATCCGACCCGCATTTGCTCTCACCGACAAGGCTGACAAGTACACTGTCAACTTTGCTCTGTGCATCCCCGACAAGATGAAGAAGTCTCTGGTCCCCTCTTTCAACTTTGCATCCATTTCTCATGGTTACCGACTCAAGTTCTACGTCACCTTTGCAAACAGAGTCATTGCCACTGTTGCTTACCCCGTCATTGTGTCTGGATACGCCGCTGAGTCCATCTCTGCTTTCCCCTCTTCCGCTTCTCTTATGTCGCTCAACAACGCTGGTGGCAACGACGCTGTCTCTATCCCTGTTGATGTCAACGCTCAGTCTACCAAGTTCGTCATCGGCTCCGGTCTGCCCGAGTACGAGCACGATGATCCGGACAGTGCTCCCATGTCTAGAAACACTTCGGGCACCAACCTCGCATCTCTGGCCACCCAGAACTCTGCTGCCCAAAGTGGACACCAGAACAGTGCTCACCACATTCTGAACCTGAACCATGAGAACAGCAGAAGCACGAGTTCGCTCGTTGGAACCCTGAAACGAGCAATGTCTGCAACCTCTCTTCACAAGAAGAAGGATTAAAGAACACCCGGGGCTTCTGTAAGAAGCTAAGAAAAGCTAACACTAATGGTCCATGTACAATGTTTGTAATAATTAATTTAATGATGATGATGAATTGGATTGTACTTTTAGCTGCAATGCCTGAATGCGATCTCAGAGCTAATGAAGCGATTATGCAACTATCTTTCCTCTCTTTCGAGTTGCTTTTTCCGAGTGATATTTATAGATTGAGACAAGCTCTGAGGATTGGATTACTGTAGAAGCAGCTAATATATACGTGACAGGTGTCAAGATGCTGTTAGTCGCATTCTCTCATTCACTGTATAAATACCTTGTCAAAGGCTATTTCTATCAAGACATTCATGACTTCCGTGCAGATGAAGGATGATCTCGATGGAATGTTAATTTGTGAGATTTTGGCGAGAAAATACGAGCATGGGAAGCGAGGGGGCGGAAAGTGTCCATCGCGTGGACACTTCCCAGCGGAACTATCCAAACGTGTTCCGATCACGCCACCAGTCATATATAGCTCCGGTTAGCTCCAATACATTAAGTTGGTGGGCAAAGCTCAGCTTACGATAGAGATGCTAATTAATACAGGTACACTTGTATTGTATGTACGCGTGACGTTCTTTTTCGACAGTGTTTGCATAGCCTACAAGTAGATACTCGCAGGGTAGCGGATAATCTTGTACTTACTGTAGATGAAACGGACCGTGACTTCAACTGTTCGTACAAGCAGTTAAGTGGCCTTTATACAGGTACATACTGTGCCCGCTAATTCACGACAGATTCTTATCTGTACAGACAATGCCCATTCGCTTGTCTTAGAATGATCAACGGTGTGTTGGCAGGTGCCGCCTATAATCGGATATCGGTGAGACACTCGACCGTGGCACGCTAAAATCTTCGGTTGGTGGCGACAGTCAAGCTACAACATGTAGTACCTGTAGCTATTCCGTTTACAGTAACGCGACAGTAGATTGTTTTCCAGCCTAGCGCGCTAAACATTTATCGGAAATACATGGTGAAATCAAAACAGGCAAAATCGGACATGAATAGTAGCATCTTTCGGTGCTATCGATGTCTCGTATACCGACTATCAACGTCACCAACGTCATCTCGACACTGCCACGTCTAGCTAATATAGCCGTTATCCATTTCTTGGCCGCAGTAGCAATGATAACTCTAAGCTGCATACCAGGAACTAAATAGGTAAAACTGTACCCCTAACCCTTACAAGCCGATTGTTCTATTCTGACTGGTTCGACCAACCTGCATGGACAATGCAGCAATGTCCCGCCTAGCCGTGCTTGTTCTCGTCATGTCAGATCTCATCGCGGATGCGGTATTTAGGACGGGGTACTGAAGAGGGATAATATGAATTGATCCACTTTAATGGAGATGTCGCCAATGCAACACGCTATCTTCCGATGTCGCTCTTTTAAACGATTAATCTTTCGCATGTGCCGAAGAAAGCCAAAGCTAACTTTTGCCAAACTCGTTCTTCAGTTACCTTGTTTTGGTCATCGGTATACAGCCAGACCAGTCCAAGTTAATCTTTTCTTCTACACACAACCACAATGAGCAACCAGGACTACTACGGAGTGAGTGAAAACACGCGACAGACACTGCGGAACAGCTAGCAGTGCGCTATGGTCGAACAAAACACTAACTAAGGAGAAGGGCCCCCAACAGCCCCCCCAATCCTACCAGCAGGGCCCTCCCCAACACGGTGGAGGATACCCCCAGCAGCAGCAGCAGCCCTACTACGTCCAGCAGGGTCCTCAGCAGGGAGGAGGAGGAGGAGCTTGCGCCGGATGCCCCTCTGCAGGAGGCTTCTTCGGTAACTGGTGAGTTATACAGAGATGGAGGTGTCACAATTGGAACGGCAGGAGCTGTCAAGAAGTTTCAGGAACACGAGGTGTCAAGCGGAGAGACATGACAGGAGCTCAGAATGAAGGTGTCTGTGGGCGTCGTAGGTATCTGGTCTGACCCGCATACTCTACACCCGCGTTTTTGTTCGTGTCTCTGTTTTCTCGTCTTGTTATTGTCGACTTTTATACTAATCCCAGTTTGTCCATGGTCTGTGCCATGGTTTGTGCCAACGAGATTATGGGCGCCATCGGCCAGTGTTAATCACGTGTACACAGCATTTGTTTACTCAATAATAATTCCTTCTGTATTTTTATCCCCCTAATTTCCGTATTCCGCACGACTTTCACATTTGCCAATAGTCTTTGGCTATCGTAACTTTTTTGGCTGCACCTGTTCATGCAGGCCTACATGATCGTTGACACGCCGACGCCTGGGTCCTTGGTCTAACAGCAGTAGTTATGACACCTGGTCCGACTTCCTAGCTGATAGATACATCGACTTTACGAATTTGCCGGCTAACGAGATTCTGCAGGGCGCTTCTTGGCGCTGACACACCTTGATAATATGGTTACAGTTCCGGCTACATGGCTCAACACGGAATCTCCAGGGTGGAGGGACCAAAAAGCACACACAGCCTTATATGGAAGTAGCTGTAAGTGTATTTTATCTGATGGTGGCAAATCGAGTTTGATCGCCTGCTGATGATCTCATAATATGATGGAAAAGGGGTATTTGGGATCATGGCTGTAACTATGCTGTCTCAGTGACGTCATTTATTCAATCCGTGAAAATTGATCACGTGTGAATGTAGTTTATTCCTGGGGTTCGGGTATACGGGCATTATGAGATACGGTGGATATCAACTTAATCAGGTTGAGACTATTGTGTAGTATATTGTATATTGAATAGCAGATATATGATATCCGTATTAGATCTGTCCCTTCGTTTACACGAGTATGTGCCTTCTATAGTTCTATATCTCATGTACAGCGCTTACTTCTACAGTTGTACGAGTACATCACAGAAAGTTGCACACTGCATTATCACGGTCCATGTTTCCTAGCTTCAGCTCGTTCAAGCAGTCCGCGCAAGAGCAGGGTGAGGAAGATGAAAATGATAGACGCAAGAGATCACGCCAAGACAGAGACGACAAACCCAGAAAACGCCACGAACGCGGCAGCGACAGACGCAGACACAGGCACAGGGAGGGACTCAGAGACTCGGAAAGACGGTCTAGAAGAACAGATCACGAGCACGACAAACCGGCATTTACGACTGATGTGATTAACGAGAGAATTGGCCATGCCAGCCATTTATTCTTTCTAGACGAGACTGGAGATGATGCATTGTTGAAGTTCTCACAGCCTTATAGAAAGGAACTTCCAACATACAGGAGGGCTTCCAACCTAGTTGTGGGAGACCACCTCCGGATTATCCCTAGCAAGGAGGATTTTGAGAAGTTTTTAGTAACATTATGTCGGGTGAATCCATCAGAAGTGCCAAGCTCCAGTCATGATTCAGGTACAGATTCCGCTTACTATCTCAAATACCACCAGTGTCCTAAGAAGTCAGTTCCTTACTACATGGTAGCCGAGGAGGGGTCTTCCACTGTGACCACCGACAGCTTCATCTCAATTGAAGAGACCCCATCTACTACCGATGATATCCTCAAGGGTTTGTTGCAGCAGAGAATGCAGATTCAACGAGACTTGAATATGCACCCCACCGTCAGTCAATGGGAGCAGATGGCTGCCATTCAGGAGGCGATTGCGATTCTGGGCTCATCCAAACTGAAGCTAAGTGAAGACCAAAAGCTACAGTTGAATATTTCTGTTTTCACTGTCGCCCTGAAGGGGCTTCCCGAGGAGCCAGATATTGTGCTGAGGTACATGGATGCATTCGAAGGTCTTCTCTCACTCAATAATATTGATTCTGATGTGAACACAAAGTGGAAGTCCTTCACTGCGTACGACCAGAACCCACCAAAATCACTGGTTGCTGACGTGCGTATCTGGGAAAGAAGAGTAGACGCGCTACTGCTGGACAGACACAGCAACTTCACAACAATCTACCTTGGATTGGAGAAGATCTTCGCCGACATTAAGGAGTGGAAGACCAAGGATGAGTCAGTTGACATGGATACTATTTACCATGCTAGTCTTCGGCGCTTGTTTGTCATTTGGGACGATCTAGGATACACAACGTGGACTGTGAACCTCATACAAGCCTTACTAGAGCACGCTTTCTTCTTCAAATATGATGAGTCTTTGGAAGACTTTTGGAGCACACGGCAGCCCCGACTGGGCGATTCGCGATCCAAGGGATGGAAGTACTCGCCCAAGGATCCAGTTTCATTACCTGAGGGCACCGATGATCGGACCCCATTCGACGAAGTCTTATTCGAAGACATTTCGCCCTTTATACAAACTTCTCAAGACAACCTACAGCTGCTCTGGGCGTGTTTGTTACACATGGGACTTATCATTCCGGGAAAGACCCTTCCTCGGTCTCTTATGTTTGAAATCTCAGAAGACCAGATTGTCAACAACCCCCAGGTCACTTCTCAGGCAATTCATCTGTGTGAGTTGATTTTCAGGGAAGTGGAGGATGATCCCGACTATAAAGCATTTACTACCTGGTGGGGCGATTCGGACTACACGGCTGACTCTTCAAACGAGCTTTTCGAGGTTGGTACGAGAATCAGGAGCATGGCAAGTAGAGGCTTGGCCTTTGACCCTAGAATATTTAGCAAGCTAGAACAATTCCTTGATACGGAGCCAGGCTGGCAGCTGTTTCTCACTTACGGGCAGCTCACTGGGCTCGACTGCTCTTATATTCTCAGAGAGGCTGTTTCTCGCATCCCGATGCCATTTTCTTGGTGGAAGGCATACATTGAGTCAGTTGGAAACGCGGAGAAACAAGAGCTGATGCATCTGGCATTACACAAGTTGCCATGGAGTCGGGATTTGCATGTTTGGCTGAACCAGTGTGACTGGGTGTCTCCTGACCATAAAGAAGCAATCAGAACCGCCATGATGAGACGACAAATGAACATCTCGTTGGGCGTTCTTGATGATGATACATCGTAGTACAGTATATATGTTATTACAGGACCTGCACATAATTTGAGTCAACATGCTTCATCAATCTTTTGATGTTCATCTATAATCGTTAATTTTTGAGTCCATGGTGTTTCACCACTTAGTCGCTGGAGCCTACCTTGGCTAGGTCGTTTCGTGAAACAATCTCTCGGAGATCAGTTCTCTGACTCTGGATTAGGATGGTTCGGGGTCCCTGGATCTGCAGCAGCTGGTTACCGGTCCCGAACCATTTGGCCCAGGTCTTTCGGATCGACTTGTTGGTGTTCTGGACGGCTCGGTGGAAGTCAGAGTCCAGGTAGCTCTTGAGCAGAGAGTTGTTGGCCAGTAGTCGCTCAATGAAGGGCAACTTGGGCAGCTGCAGCAAAGGAGCAGAGTGATTCAGCTTGACGAACTGTCCATGGGGGTTGGCGCTGCCCTGGGAAGTGGTGTATGCCAGCAGATTTGCGGGGTGGACCAGGATGTCCTCGTCCTCGGAGAGATCAATCTTGAAGATCTGACCTCGACCAACGAGTGCAACATCACCTCGTCCGGTCAGGTAGGTGTTGCCCCATCGAGTGGTTCCACCTCGAGCAGAACCAAACAGAGAGGTGTTGGGCTGGACATGGAGAGCAGCTCCGGCCCAGGCGAACAAAGCGTCTCGCTGGGCAACGGTCCAGTCGGTTCGGCCGTCCAGAGACACAATGGCCAGAGAACTCTGGTAAGAGGTGTTGGTAGAAACCAGAAGAGTGGCAGGAGCGGTGGCCGAGATTCGGTTGTAGAGGAAGGGCATGCCCTGGACAGTTCGAGCGAAGGCAGACAGAGATGACAGACGAGAGGTGATGGTGTCGAGCTGACCGTTGATACTGACAATGGAGCCTCGTCGGGCAAACAGCGTGGAGGAGGCGGGCAGAGACACAGACACCAGGGAAGGGGGAGTGCCAATGGGCTGGAACTGAGGCAGCAGAGGGAAAGGCCCTCCTCCAGAGACGGAGGGAAGGTCCTTCAGTTGCTGCGAGACATTGTTTGCGCGTCTAAGCGAGGTCGAGAAGCTGCGCAATTGGAGACGCATTTTGGATGCTGAAAGTTGTGTGGTTCCGCGTGCTGCTGTGGTGAACTAAACTCTCACCAGTGAAGTTGAAGGGCTCGTACGTCATTAGTCCGGGTTGCTCACTCAAACTCAATTTTTTTTTACCAGCATGGAAAACAGATAGTGAGTATGGCGGTTGGGATGGTGTGTGGAGGAGGGTGTGAGGTTATTGATGTTACGCGATTTAAGGGGTGGCGACCATTCATTTGATTCATTTGCCATGTGGTATCTTTCCCGAATGACATGTTCTGTTACTCAACTACGTACGGCCTTGACCATCTACACACCCAGAACACTTCACTGAACGCCACTAACCAAGCAAAGAGCTTTTGCAGTTTCTAGAGAACACTCCAGAAACCATGGTAACGCCCATGCCAAACGGTGGCACCGAGTTCTGGGTCGAGACTAAGCCTGGAAAGAAGGTGTTTCTTGACAGAGGAAAGGGAGAGGAGGAACTGACAGTTGAGGAGGCCAAGGTGTGGCTTAAACAGCAGCTTCAGGGAAAGTGAGAAGTGTGTTGGTTCCAATGGAGGGAGTAAATAGGCCAATTAATTATTTATTATGTATTTGTCTTGTATGAGGGTGAAGATCACCATGTTATTGGACCACACCCCAGTGGAATTTCTACTGTATATAGTTGTCGATACCCACTCATTACTTGAGAAACATATACTTTAATACAGTATAGATTGGCTAAAGGGTTAGTGGACACCTAGACCTGCTTGACGGTGTCACCAACTATCATCTAAGAAGACTTCTGGATAATCTCGTTGGCAATCTTGGCAAACTCGGAGCTGATGAAGACATCGTTGTGCTTAAGACCTCGAATGACTTCAAAGTCAAAGGGAACACCCTGCTGCTTCCATTTCTTGGCAAGGAGCTGAGGCTGGCCGTCAAAGGGAACAAGCTCATCAATGTCAGAGTGGACAATGGTGTAGTTGATCTTGGGGCAAGCCTGGTGATGGAGAAGGGGGCTCTCCTCGTCCCACTTGGCTTTGTCCTCACCCCAGGCTGGGTTGGTAAAGTAGGAGTAGGTGGGGTGGTCATCCACAAGAGTTCGCAGATCGTAGATACCCTCGGAAAGGATAATGTTAGTAGGGGAAGCAAATCCGCCCTTTTCCTTGACGTCGGTGTCGAGCTTGAGAGAGTGGAAGGCACCGGCAGAGTGACCAATCATGGTCCAGGGGGCAGCAGGATACTTGTCGAAGATTGACTTGATAGCGTTGTAAACGTCCTCAGCAAAGGTCTTTCCAGAGACCTCGGGGGCAAGTCGGTACTCGATAGAAGCACCCCAGACGTTGCCATCGACAACAGCCTCCATAAGCTCATCTCCATCCTTCTCGGTCTGCTTGTAGTCGACCCAGGCACCTCCGTGCATGAAAATGACCCAGTGCGAAGGAGCCTTAGATCCCTTAGGGATCCAAACATTAGAGTACTGACGAGGGTCAGGGCCGTAAGTGAGCTTGGTGATAGTGGTCATTGTTGGGGTTGGGGTTAGTTGCGAGTGGTTCTCAGAGGGCAAATGCGCTGTGATGGTTCTTCAGTGCGAGGGAGAACTGTTATTCTTATACAATCAGATCAGACGAGGAGACCAAGACTAAAATAGCGCGATGCTAAGCGGTGAGCGCTACTGAAGAGGTTGTCGTGCTGGGAAGTGTGGTGAGGTCAAGAAACGGAGCTAGCGATCAGGTGAGGCACTGGTTAGTTTCCCGTTGAGTGCCTTGGTGATACGATGTGATGGGTGCATGATGTGGGTTCACGAAGAGGTTCAAAGATGATGGCTTTCTGCTGCACAAGTCAAGTACTCCCAACGAGTATACTGGAACTCTGTGTGTATTCTCCCCGGCGTGTCAAGTACCAACCTTAACATCCTCCACTAAAAGTGCTCTCTCGCTTCTTCTCCTCTCCCCCACACAGCACTCACAGATGGGAGACGATTGGGCCCAAAATCGAACTAAACACCAAATAGATCATGCAATCGCAAGTCCGATTATAGCGCCGAGGACATTGCCGTCTGATTATGCTAATATTGAGACACATGATCATCTATATGCCATATCGAGTAAAACTATAACTGCCTTGAAGATGGGGAATCCCCTCTCTGTGCGGGGCACACACCAATTGCATTCTGAGTATTCGCTCAGAGTTACCCCAATTACCGGTTTTGCTTAACCGAGAGGTTCCCCAACCGAGTTTTAGTGGTTTAAGTGTTCTTCAGCTTCTTGAGGTCCAGTCTATGGTGTTGTACCAGGCTGAATTGTTCCGTCTTCACGTTTGCGAGCGGGTATGTTAACCTATCCAGTGATGAGACACAACTATTAGAACAACTGAGTCAGACGTGATTTCCATCAGTATATCTTCTCATAGTATGTACTGTACCTCTGGTATCCATCTGCTAACAATTATGGTATGTACACTGTACCGTATGCTACTGAGAGCTAGTGAGTAATCTCTCTCTCTGCGCTTGATCTAGAGAATTCTCGACTCTGACATAGTTACTCACTTAATGCATGACCGTCCTATACGGTATCTTACCTGAGTAGAAGTATACCAGTTGTCAGTCACAGTGTAAGTACACTATAGGTAGCTACTACTTGTACCAAGTATGTACCAAAATGTGTAGAGCTGCACCCTGTGCCTGTAACAGTTACAACCGAGGAGCTTCAATCCTTGAACTAATCTCTAAGCTTCAAGCTAGACCAACTTCAAATTACAGAAATGGCAACCACTTCTAATATCCACCATGCCATCTCGTTCCCACTCTACAACTACTCCCGCTCATATCATTCACCATGCAAACTGTATTAACAGAACTATTTTTACAACCGTAGCGGCCGTCTCCCCTTTTTGTGGCATCCTCCATCCACTCTAGTTTCTCTTCTTGGAGTAGTCGACCTTCATAATCAGGTTGTCGAAACCATGACCATCCATGGCCTCGAGAGCAGCCTGAGCGTGTGACTTGAGTGTGTAGGTAACAAAGGCAAAGCCTCGGGGTCGGCCGGTATCTCGGTCCTTGGCAACGTAGACTCGGTTGATCATACCGTACTTGCCGAACATTCGTCGCAGATCGTCGTCTGTGGCCTCCTCCGACAGGTTGGTAACTCGGAGAGTGAGCTCGTCGTCGTCGTCGCTTCGGCCACCAGCAGCACCGCCAGGACCACCAGGACCACCAGGACCCTTGTTTCGAAGATGAGGGGGAACGTAGCCTCCAGTCTTCGCAGCGCCAGCAGGCTCGTCTCCACCAAGAGATCGACCCATGCCTCCGGCAGCTGTGGATCCACCAAGAGTCTCCTTGTAAGGACACTTCGAGGTGAAATGGGGGCCCTGACAAAGTCGACACTTGACTCCCTTGTCCTCTCCGACACGAGGGGCGGCAGCAGCTGCCTCCTCCTCCTCAACCTCCTCCTCGGGCTGATCAGACTTAAGGCCAAGCACAAAGACGATATCTTCTCCAATGGTGGTGGTCATTCGGTTGGGACCAGGAGGAGCTCCAAGCTCCTTGCCGTACTTGGTCCATTTGGATCGCTCAGCAACACAGTTGAGCACCTTCTCTGTCACGCTCTGGTTCTTGATGGTGACGGACCGCTTGTACTTCTTGCCATCATCCATTCGATGAGTCACGATGGTCTTGGTGCCATCGGCGTTCTGTGTGATCTGGGGAGTAGAAAACTCGTCGTCGTCGGCCCACTTTTCGTCCATTGTGTTCTGTCGAAAGTCTTCTGAACCTGTGTCTTGATGATGGAAGGTCTGCATATTTTTCACCAACTAAGTTACCCTGGCTTTAGAGTTGTGAGAAGGGCTAACAGTACATAAGGGATATATTGGGTAAGTAGTGGGTATTATGGATGGCAGAGACTATTTTGACACTCGCATATGGGGTTTAACAACAACCCTTCTTTTGTTATATGAAAATTCATCTCAACAGTGGTTTTGGGCTAATTTTGCACCCATCTGAGATCTAGCTTCACGTGATTCGAACTTCTCCCAGCCTGCAATGTACGAGTTTTGTAGCAATGGTTGTGTGTTCGATTCCAGGTAGCGTCATATGCAAATGTAACACTGTCCAGCTATATACAGCAACTGTGGGGAAAATAAATGTCTTGGATACTTGTACCGGTACTTGTGATGCCGTAAATTATCTACAGGATTATGGCATATTTCTCCCGGCCCCTCGACGAGATCTATATGTAAAGTACAGTTCTCGTAGTTGTAAGACGAGATTGGTGATCTGAAGAGTAAACTGCGATCACCCCGTTGTACAGTATGTACAAGCACAGCCAGGACACCACGTGTAGGTTACTGTAGCTACATTACAGGAAGTACGTACCTACAGTTTGTCCAGCAGAAGAATGTCTCTTGTGTCATGTGAAGCAAAACGTCGGAAGTGAAGCAGTTCTAGAACTATTGCTGCCTCGATTTTGGGTCTACAGTAATTGGCGTAAATTCAAAAGTGAGGTAGGTACTGGATTATACCGCCCTTATAAATCGTCTCAAGTCAGATTTATGAAGTCTACTGCTCCGATATCGTCAGTTGACCCTCCGATCCACACGCATACCTGCACATGGACTGTTCTTGTGTGTCCAAGTAGCCTTTTGATGGATACGAGCAGCAAGGTTGGCAATCGATTGTGAGTCTAGAGGAGATAAGAATCCAAAGTTTGTTAAGCGAAGCAAGGTAACCACGTACGCAATGATCAGGGTGTGAGTGGGAGGAGTGGCTACTATATTACCTCCTAGGCCCTGGCGGGGACGGTTTTCTACTAAGAATCAGGGACGGGTTCAACGGCTGGGCTGTCTCAGAGCAAGGTCTCTGTTGCCTCCCCCGGTGATCATCATCAGCCTTGGGGAGAGGGAGTCGCGTGCAGAGGAACAATGGGCTGACTTGCCACGTGCACGAGAGGCTCCGACGTAACATACGGCACAGTACAAGAACCGATAATATCTACCCCGCTGCTGCCTTCTCCTCACCGCGGATTTAATTGCTGATACGGCAATATACTCGTACTGGAGGCTGCATGGTCCACTTTTTGTCTCTTACGGTGGGTACATCATTTTCTTAGAGAACCATCGGCACTAAATGGGAAGTCTAAGCTTCGGACAGCGAGAGGGTGACCATGGAGGGCTAGCAAAGAGTGATAAATAGTGCTGAAGATGTTACTTTCCTGTACATTTCGATAATGAACCAACAGACTGTTTATACTTAGAACGACACATGATCTGAGAACAAAAAACCGCACTGTGACGGCTGGAACTGCGGATGTGTTTTAGGTCTCAAAGTTGGAATTCCATCTGGACGCGCCGCACAAAACCAAGCGCCTTTTAGCTCTTGAGCTGAGCTAGTCTGGCATAAACTGTTTAGCTGCGCCCCGCTGGAACAGCTATACAAGACTTGCGAGACCCATAGGTCTGGACAATGGCAGCTATACGAGAATATGTGGGGTCGCTTCTGAACAACGCCACGGGCGGCAGCGCTAACAACTCCAACTCCGGCATCAACAGCGCGCCTGACAGCGCAGGCACTTCTCCGAAAAAACATTCCTTGGCGTTGCCCCATACTCCGCCAACAGGCACTTCAAGAGCCGCCTCTCACTCGTCGGCATTCAATTCCGCCTCCGACGAGGCCGACGACAACGTGCAGTTTCGTGACATTCACCCGGCCGCTCTGGTGCGGACCGAAACCGAGGATGTGGACCGCCAGCTCAACCACTTCCACTTTGAAGACAGGGGCGCCAGCAGTGAGCCCGAGCAGATTCCGCTTCGAGGACGGCAAGGCCGCAAGGATGACCCTTATGGCTCGACCTTCTTTTCTGCCAAGGAGACCTTTCTGGATGGACGAGACAGAGACATCAAGCTGGTGATCCCAGAGACCCGAGACAGCAGAGAGCTGAGTCGTCCTAGACGATCACCGGTCAGTGCAACGGCCAGCAGCCACAGCGGAGGAGGCTTCTTCTCGAGAATTCTGCAGAAAAGAAAGAACTCAGGCCGCCAAAGTATCGAGGCAGAAGAGCAGGAGGATGATGAACAGGACCAGGATGGGGAGGACAAACGAGCTGAGGGATGGTGTGCCGATGTCATGGGATACGCGCCGAACTACTCAATGTTTTCTGATCTCAAGTACGTCAAGGTTCGAGCTCATCATCGGCCTAGCCACCAGAAGAAACGAAACTTCGATCGGTTATTTCTGGCCCAGGAGCTGCGAACCCACGACCCTTCGGACCCTCTGGCCACCGACAATTCGCGTCTGGCAAGCCAGACTGCCCAAAAGGTAATTTCCAGCAGTCCCATTGGCGCCATTTGGGCCATGAAATTCTCTCTTGATGGCAGATATCTGGCTGCTGCTGGCCAAGATCGTGTCCTGCGGGTGTGGAAGGTCTGCACTCGACCTCAAAACTCTCCTTACGAAGACTACTTTGGATTCAAGGGCACCAAAATGTACGCCCCTGTGTTTGAAGAGAGCCCTGAACGCGAATTCCGGGGTCATGAAGGAGACATTTTGGATCTGTCATGGTCCAAGAACAACTTCCTCATCTCTTCATCTATGGACAAGACTGTGAGATTGTGGCACCCTGACCGTCAGGAGGAGATCGCTAGTTTCCCTCACAATGATTTTGTCACTTGCGTGGAATTCCATCCCAAGGACGACCGATTCTTCGTTTCTGGTTCCATGGACCGACAGCTGCGACTGTGGTCTATCCTGGACAATCAGGTTGCCTTCGCTAGACAGGTTCCCGACATTGTCACCGCCGTGGCGTTCACCCCCAACGGCAATACTGTCATTGCAGGATGTTTGCGAGGTCAGTTGTACTTTTACCAGACCCACCAGCTTGTTCTGCAGACCCAATTGCAGGTACGAATCTCAACCAAGGTCAAGCATGCATACAAGAGCAAAATTACCGGCATCCAGGTGGTGACGGAGCCCAAAAAGTCGCGCACTCACAACAATATTTATAACCCCATGCACGCTGCCGTGGCAGCTGAGGACGATTACAAGATGCTCATTACAACCAATGACTCGCGCATCCGGTTGTACAACTACCGAACCAAGGCTCTGATTGCCAAGTACCGAGGTCTGGACAATGATCATTCTCAGATCAAAGCCTCATTTTCGGACGACTACAGATTCATCATTTCTGGATCTGAGGGAGAAAGAACCTACATCTGGGACACCATCAGATCCGATAGTGGTACAGGTCTTAACCACGTGTCTTCAAAAACAATCAAAGCCTACGAGTACTTTCACTCACATCAGAGCACAGTCACCGTGGCACTGTTTGCTCCTCTGCAGACTCGACAGCTGCTGGATCTGGCTCATGATCCTATCTATTCCATCGTCAACCCTCCAAAGGTAGTTTTGGGACAGAACGACATGACTCCCGAAAAGGCTCTGTATCCTCACCACGACGGTCATATCATCGTGGCTGCTGACTATTCGGGTAAGATCAAGGTGTTCAGACAGGACTCTGCCTACACCAAGCGAAAGCTCGCCGAGGACTCTGCATCTTTTATCCAGTCGCGACGTTCGCTAAACAGCATTGGAGGTGCCTCTGGCAGGTCATCTCCTCGAGGCAGATCTTCACGATCTTCTTCTGCATCCGCCTGGAACCGATTCTCTCGAGGAGTGAGATCTCCCGCTGTCTCACCTGGTACATCGGTTCATAGAAAGAGTTTTGGCGCCTCTACCAGCACTGGGCCGGCTCCTTTCGGTGTGATTGCTAACGGTCTTTCCAGCGCCAACCACACCATCATGGATCCTTCCACGTTCCCAAGGGCACGCAAGTCTTCCACTTCTGGTCTTTCCCAGATTTCGAGACGTACTTCGGAGTCTCTGTTCTCTCCCGAAAAGTCAGTTCCTGAAATTCATGTCAATGATGAGGACGGTCGTGAGATCGAGCCTACTGGTAGCATCAGATCCAACTCAGTTCTCATGACGGACTCCGACCAGGAGCTGGACGAGGACACGGACCAGGAGGAGCAAGATGAGCTCACTGAGCAGGCTTCTCTGGTATGCGAGAAGTGTGGCTCGCAGAACTTCAAAGTGAGAGTCATTGAAGGCATGGTGATTCTCTGCTGCTCGGCTTGCCGAACACCCATCAGTGAAGCAGCATCTACATAACATTTCACCCAGACTCTTTGAATATAAATTCACCACTTGTTGCAACTGTAACCTTTATCTTAACACTGCGTGTAGCGTGACGATTTAACGTGCTTGTGTAGCATAACCATCTAAATATAGACCATGGAAGGAGTGTATGTACATACTGTATATATACATATCGATACCAATACAGCTGTGCACTGTAGACATCCAGTACATACGAGTACGGTAATTGAAAGCGTTTCCACGGATCAGTGTATCTACAGAGTGGGTCTCTGTTTTCCGGTATACATGATTTGTTTCCATCGCAAGCTTAGATTGTGTTATTATTGTAGCTACGCCATAAAAATCTGCTCGTATCAGTAGAGAAAGCTACCCCTATTGGGAAGTTGGGGGGTACTTGTAGTTGCCCTGGTGTACTTGTAGAGTCATCCACTGGCCGAAAGTGGAACCGGTACAGGTACAGTATGTAGTGTAGGTGTATCTTCCTCGCAATACAAATGAAGCCTCACGCACTCAACGATTAGTATTTGCATCATACGATTCAATGAATGAAGCATATACACAATACCAATCATATCAATCTCCATCAATCAGCGTTGCCTCTGGTGGTGGTTATAACATTCAGCCTATCCCAGGGCTTGATTTTAAATGCTCGTTTGATGGTATGGTATGGTTCAACTTTAGTGCACGTTTAGTATGCCTTCGTACCATTGGAAAACGTCTTGGTATAAGGACACTGTGTGCAGCGGCCTGGGCAGGTGTCAGAGAGTACATGAAGCACTATACTTTAGCTACAAGTTGTAGGTGGAACCCTTCGGGTTATTTCCGTAACCACGAAGATGTCGTTATCGGTGTCCGTTGCTCGTCGCGTCAATTCTGGTGCTGAACACGAACAAATTGCACAATCGCTTGTAGATCAGTTTCAGCTGCATGTACGGCGTTGCTTGGTCAAACTGTGTGCACTCTGGCATGAACCTTTCTTTATGGCTGGAGATGCCGTTGTCGACCGTTTCGGACTCGGTCATTAGTTTGTCTCAATAAAATATTATTCGCCTTGTATTTAGGTTGTGCGCCAGTGCCATAGATCACCACGAAAAGAAACTGGACTTGCCTTTCATAGATGTATAGTAATTGCAATAACACGCTTCGACAGCAATAGAGAAAACCTGAATACCAATTTCGCAATCTCAACCTCCCACGAACAAAAGAGACAAATGACCCCCAAGCTCTTGGCAGGCACATCGGTGCAGCTACCCGCAAAATCTCGCAAAAGAAACCAGACAGCGACAAACCAAATCCATGAAAAAGTTCATAAATTGGCTGTGATGGCCCACCCAATACTTTGGGACTGAGTTTGTGACGTGCAGCTACAGCGCACCAAGCAGAGCAACGGGACCTCTGTCTGGGAGTTATATAGATAGATCGCTTTGGCTTGCGGTTGGCACTCTCTGAAAAGTTTGGTCCCCGTCGATTCGCTTACAATATTCTCCAGTTTAGGTCCTTTCTGTACACCAAACTGAAAAATAAGGAACTAGTTACCTAACCAGGTTCAGAACCAACAACAGCGCACACTCGACGCATCATATTGCCTGAATCACCACCAATGGTCTTCAAGTACATCGGAGACACTTTGGGTCTTACCCCGGTGCTCAAGTCATCCTGGGACGTCCATGCTCTCATTATCATGCGATTTTTCCGACTCATGGCGTTTGGCCAGATCTCTGTCATTCTCGCCCAGTTTTTTGATGCCCATGGCTTCTCTCAGGACAAGACCGGTCTTTTCATGTCCCTGACTCTCGCCGGAGACGTTGGCCTGTCCCTGTTCCTTACCACATATGGTGACCGACTCGGCCGAAAGAATGTGCTCCTTATTGGAGCCGGCCTCATGACCCTCTCGGGCCTCGTCTTCTTCCACGAGTCCAACTACTATCTCCTTCTTCTGGCCGCCATTTGCGGTGTCATTTCTCCCTCTGGTGCTGAGGTTGGACCCTTCCGAGCAATTGAAGAGTCCACCTTAGCCCAGCTCACAACCCTGGAGGCCCGAGCTGACGTCTTTGCTTGGTACACTCTTTTGGGATCTCTCGGAGCTGCCCTCGGAGCCCTTGTCGGTGGCTGGACCGTCCAGATTGCCCAGGAGAAGTACCACTTCACCAAGCTTGAGGCTTACAAGACCGTTTTCCTGACTTATGCAGCCATTGGCTTCATCAAGTTCATTGCTTCCTGTTTCCTTTCTCGAAAGGTCGAAGCTCCAGCTGAAGAGACCGAGCCTCTTCTTGCCAACGATCAGGAGAACGCCACCGAGGAGCGAGCTGAGCTCCGAAACAACATCAAGAAGCGAGGTGGTCTGCGAAACCTGCTTCCCAACATCTCCCCCGAGTCCCAGAAGATCATTACTACTCTGTGTCTTCTGTTTGCCATCGACTCAATGGGTTCTTCCCTTGCGAACTTCTCCTGGATCTCCTACTACATTCAACGAAAGTTTGACATTTCTACCGGATACCTTGGTTCCGTCTTCTTCGTCACAGGTATCGTGGGTGCTCTGGCCACCCTTGTTGGATCTGGTATCTCTCGACGTCTCGGTCCTCTTCTGACCATGGTCGTCACCCACCTTCCTTCCTCTGCTTTGATCATTCTTCTGCCCGTTCCTTCTACCGTGCAAGGTGTCATCACCATTCTCGCTATCCGAGCCTGCACTGCCCAGATGGATGTTGCTCCTCGACAAGCCTTCCTGTCCGCCGTGGTACTCAAGAACGAGCGAACTCTGGTCATGGGATGGGTTGGAACTATCAAGACTCTTGCCCAGCTGCCTGGACCTTACATCACCGGTTACCTTGCTCGACACAACAAGCAGTGGATTGCTTTTGTTGCTGCCGGTTCTCTCAAGGTCATCTACGATTTGTCTATCCTCTCTTACTTCACCCGGGTGAAGCTTGATCGAGATCAGAACTAAGCGTCTCACAACTCACACTAAACATACACAAAAAGACAAGAATGTGTCACCTGTATAAGTCACATGTCAACATATAAATTATATAACTGAATATACGAATGAATATGCAGTTGCAGCTGTAATGGTCATGCTTTTATCTCTCCTCTCCTCCAAGTTACCATAATATATTTGAATAAATAATTAGCGTTCATGCATCTCATGCAGTTGTGGATGCGAGACGTGGTTTTGTCATCTTTCACACGCCATGAACATTATATCAAACGCCCTATTTTCGACAAGAAACAGATGCGGCTACTGCAAGGATAGAGAGGGTGCAGAGCCGCAAGGGACACTGTTCTCTTTCAACTCCGTTCAGATGACAGCCGCACAATACCAAGCACTCATAGATCGGGGCTTCAGACGATCTGGCACATACATTTACAAGCCAGACCTGGCTAACTCATGCTGCTCTCAGTACACGATACGGCTCAATGTGGAGGATTTCAAAGCCAGTAAGAGCCAACGGGGTGTGCTTAACAGGTGGACCAACCATGTTACTGATAAGGGAAATGGAGGAAAGAACTCGGGCAAGAACAACCAATTCGATCTGGTAGCAAAGATCCAAGAGGGAGAGACCGACGCATTCAATTCGAGGCTCGAGCCCAACAGTTTCACCAAAGAAAAGTACGATCTGTACGCAAGGTACCAGAAGCATGTTCACAATGAGGGCCCTGAAGATATTAGCGAGTCTGGATTTCGTCGATTCCTGTGCTCTGACAGTTTCACTGATTCCACAAGTGATGTCTGTAAAGGTCTAGATGTGCCAGATAGACTATCTGGAGGCTACCATCAACTATATTACCACAATGGTAAGCTTGTGGCTATGGCAGTTTTGGACATTCTGCCCTTGTGTGTGTCTTCTGTTTACTTCCTCTGGGACCCCGATTATGCTCAGTGGGGGCTGGGAAAGGTGGCTGCTATGAGGGAGATTGCTCTGGCTAAGGCACTGGGTGTGCCTTACTACTACATGGGGTACTATATTCCCGACTGTGTCAAGATGAAGTACAAGGGAGAGTACCATCCCAGTTTTGTGTTGGATCCTGAATCGTTGACTATTTCAGAACAGGAAATCGACGATTATCCCTTCCCAGAGGGCATTAATGTGGAGTCGCGTGCATTGGCTGGAGTTGGTGTTTGGGTCCCTCTTAAAGAGATGAGTAAAAATATCAGTACTATGGACGACTCGGCACGGTATTACTCATACGTCCGCCGCAGTGCAAAGACGGTCGACAGACCCAAGGAGGTTGCTGCGAGGGTGCGATATGAGGATTTGAGTGGTGCAGGCTACTTGAAGCTCGAGGAAATGATGAAAGGCCTTCCCAAATTTGCTAACAAGAAACAGTTTGTGGCTCCTCAGAACGTCTTGGACGTCATTCCGTTCGAGGGACAGAAGATCGAGTATTTCAAGTACGACGATGACATGTACAGTGATAGTGAAGATGAGGAGGAGGTAGAAGTAGAAGAATGGGATAAGAAGGAAAACGAGAAGCAAACTGTGGAGGGTGTTTTAGTCTCCCTGGCATCTCTGGTTGATAAAACTAACTCTGCATTTGCTAATGAAATGGCTATGGGTCTGCTGGCCGTTCGAGCCACTGCAGGTTCTGGTCTTGGAGACAAAACTGCCATTCTGATGGGTTAGACTGAAACAGTTATATCCTTTAACAAATCAAATGAAGCAAATATTTTGTATACAAGTAGCTCATCTCATGCCCGATAAACTGATACCACCCGTCCGTATGCGTGATGATGCAATGTGCATTCCACCACGCCCCTTGCGCTGCAACTCTAACTGATTCGGGAGCTCTGGAACCACTGGACCTTAGTCCCTCACTTTCGTTGTTCGAACGTCATTGAAACAACCGACAGGAACCACATACACGACCGACAGAGACTTGCCCATTGCTGAAGGTTCTCTTGTCCCTATTCTCACCAGTGGTTTTTTAAAAATCTCGCCACCCCGAATGTAATGGCAGCATTGGATATTTTGATGCTGGCGTTCAGCATTTGGTACACAGGATGCTGTATGTACCAACTGAACGTCCTTCAGCGACAGTACATTTCGTTTACAATGTATCACGATAGACCTCCATTACTTCTGTCATTCCCCTTTTGGTTGGTGATTGCTTTGCCCAAGTACACTTTGGATACCCTGGAAAGAGTGCAGCGGACATGGTTCAACCACTTCCTGGCTTCCGTGGTGGGGATTCAGTATCTCATGGGTTTACTTGCCTCGGCTTTGTGGGTCAGACGAATCCGAGAGTTGCGATACATGATTGATAACGGCACCTACTATGACCACTTCCCGGACCCAGGTGAACATGCTGACTATGAAGGTGAAGACGATTTCGAGCTCGATGTTCTGGACGAGACGGTACCCGCCATGAATGGGGCTGTTCTCGTTCTCGCCTTCCATGTCATGCTGGGCATAGTCATGGTGGTCATCCTGATATCACAATTCATTGCCAACCTCGGAACCATCAAAGTGACATAAAAAAGACGACTATGTGAGTTTCCTTCGCCACTAAGACATGCCCCTCCATGGCTTTGCATCATGCCTGACACTTGAAGTGCAGGCTCCGCTATGCAGAGAGAGCAGTCTTGGCTGTTACAGACTTACTTTCATGAGAACGAGACTATCCGTGATACAATGAGATATTGACGTGCTACGAGACAGATGATCTAATAGAAGAATAAAATACTTATTAAATAATGATTGGAACATACTGAGTGTACGTTTTTTGCGCTTAAAGGAGAGCGGCCATGACGGCGGCACCGACAACAACGGCACCGACGGTGTTAAGGGCACCCATGTTGGCCTTCTCGGCAGTAGCGGAGCCGGCAGTGGTGGGGACGGCCTCAGACGCAGAAGCAACGGTGGCAGAGGCCTCAGAAGCAGAGCCGGAGGCTGAGGTGATGGTCACATTGCTGACGGCCTTGGTAGTAGAGGCAACAGAAGAAGACGGGCCAACGGTAGTGTTGACGAAGGACTTCGTAGAGTTGACCACAACGGGGGTAGAAGAAACCGCGGGGACGGTGGAGTTGGCAACACCGGTAGCGGTAGCGTTGCCAAAGCCGGTATGGTTCTTACCGAGAAGACCGAAAGTGGGCTCAGCAATAAGAGAGCACTCACCAGTGCAAGAGGTGATAGTCTCGTAGACAGTTCGCTTGGGCTTGGAAGAGGATTGAGCAGCAGCCAGAGTGAGGAAAGCAACGGAGGCGATAGAGAACTGCATTTTGTCTTTGGTTAGCGAGTGTGGTGAACGAACGAGTGTGATGATGAAGAAGAGGAGGTTAGGAGGAAAGGGCCTACAGTTGTATATAGGTACTATCGCGGTAACGCGACGCAAGGAACAAAGACGTTAGTGTCCTACTGCAAGTAGCTGTTTTCAATTGGCTTGGGTACAGTTGAGACAAAGGACTATCATGCAGGACGCCACAAGGAGACCAGGTGTATTTTGTTTTACGTTGGGTGGAGATTGTCCTTGGACGCTGGGTAAGCTCTTTAGGCTGTTGAGAGTATTGAAAACACCTCTCTGGGGGGACTAAAATACCCATATGATGTCCGGTTTGCCTTGACAGACAACCCAGAATATGTTTTCCATGCCTAGACCGACTTCTCGCTACTGGACTTGGCAGATGTTAGAGTTACAAAGGTAGCAGGGCTGAAAGGCACAATGGGGGAGTGTACAGAAGGAATGTACGACAACCTTCGAGGAGATTAGGTGACAGAAAGGAGAGAAGATCGCCCAAAGGAGACACGACGCGGTCGTGCGAAGAGCTACAGGACATTGGAATGTGATACCGAGCTCGCCCACGTGCTTTTTTGTTCTGGTGTGGTCTGTGAGCCCATTTTAGGACCTGCCATCTGCTTGGTTTCACGCCTCTGCATCTACTTTTAGCTACAAGATGGGTTTCACCCAATACGAAAAAAACTTGAGTTTGACTTCCTGTCGAAAAACCAGAGCACAAGGAACTACAGTAAATTGAACGGCCAGGGGATCTTTTGGAGGTTGACCCTCGGCAACTTTCAGAACCGGCCGCTGCGGTTACTTTTTATTTTGAGTGCAGCGCGACACCTGTATTATGAGTCGTACGCGCAATGAGAACGAGCTGAAGATCTGGTTGCTTCTGTAAATGTGGCCAAGAATGTGCCAAGCATGCGCCTGTTCAAATAGGCATGCCTTCTGGGAACGTAGTTATATCCAAGAACTGATGACCCATATTTCACTCACTGTGATACTATGGAACAAATATCAGCCGTGTGGCGCGCTTTAATACTCCTATGATAGAATAAATCAACCTTGTCCATCATTGTGCCTCTACACTGGGTGTATTCCATCCTGACCCGGCTGTCTGTCTCACATGATTCATACGGAGTTGCAGGCAGAACTCATAACTACTTGTGGCGGCTAAGGAAATGAGAATGAGTGTCTGTGTCTTTTTACAAGATGATGGCCGGCTGGTCGTGCAGCCGTGAGCAGTGCTTCCAAACAGTAATGACCTACAGTATGTACATCTGTGCAAACAGACCTCTACAGTAGCGCCACACTAATGCCTGGAAAACAAAACAATGCCCGTAACGGCATGAAATTCTGTGTGAATTCTTCCTCTTCAGCCTCATTCGCCAATATTATATTGGCCAAAGTTAAGCCCGATTTACAAGCATCTGACGGCTGGATTCTCTACCTATTAGTTCGTATGAAGTTGTGCTTACACACAGTGTAAGACCTGAAACCCATCAATAATGAGTAGACTAGCGTGAAGATTGTAGCAGTTTCTATTGTATAGCGGCGGCTTTTCTGACTATAATAGGTACCTACCTACAGTAATTCTCGTACTGTAGCACGACGAGCCAGCTTGTGCGGAGTTACTAACAGCTTTCATTGGCTATAGGATAGGTTGGAGTAATTGACCTTGAAGAAACAGCCTACGTGTTTTAACCAAGTCATCAAGAACGACCTTCATCCATACAATTGTATCTGATAACGTAACAGTCACATCTTCGGGTCATCTTCTCGTATCGTCGTACCCAAATAAGGGTCTACATCCTCTATTCTTGCGTATACTTTCCGTATTTTTCATTATAATGCCAAAAGAGGCCTCTATCGACCCCTAGATTGCCAATTGTGTCATATCCATCTTACTCTGTCTTCTTCGTCTTCGAACACAGAGACTTGGTTAGCTCCAACGCGATGCCACCAAGAGTGCCGACAAAATAGCCCAGGTAGGCACCAGCCAAAATTGTGATGGGCCACTGCTGCCAGGGTCGGTCCCAGTCGTAAGGAATGGGAATAGCTCCCAGCCAGGCGCCGATGAGGGTACACACGGACGCTGCATAGACGTGGTCCAGAGGACGTCGCATAGCGATGATGTCTGCCCACACCTTGGAGTCGAGGTGATATGTGAAGAAGAGAGGTAGCACCGCCAGAATTGACATGTGCATGGCACAGACGAACGTGTTGTGGACCAAGGAGATAGCAGGAGCTCCAAACAACACGAGAAGGCCGAAGATGATTACCGAGAAGAACACTGACAACGCAGCAGCAATCATAGCAGTAGACACATCGGTTCCGATCTTTCGGCCAGGCTTGTTACCCAACACAACAACGCAGTAGCCCATATGTAACAGCAGCAGACCGGGAAGTGCCTGTGTCATGACCTTAGCAGGGTCATGTGTGATGCCAGCGGAGAAGATGAACCGCAGGTACACCAGCAAAAGCGTACCGTAGACAACTGCTAGAACCTGAGAAGGTCCACTGGGAACGTGAGCCGGGCCATTGGCCTTGGTCTTGGCAGCTTTCCGAGTAGCCATGTCGAAGATGGTTTCTGGTTAAGAAGTTTTGATTTGGTGACGAAGGTTATGCAGGTTGCGTACATATGCACTCATCGAACTGTATGGCGGGGGGTGGCATCGACACCTGATGACGTAACAAGGCGCGTTTTTCGATACGAAAGCGAAGCGTGGATTTCTTTCTAACGCGGTTGGCTCCTTTCGTGAATCAATCTTAGTCTGCTTCTATTAACAACGGGATATAGAAATACCCAGTACATTGGAATTTCCAGCCAACTTGGTAGTTAGCTTATCGCAGATTTTCAATCAGCTTGATCATATACAGTATACGTATTGGATAGCTTTGACGGGGAATAGGGATAAGGTCTGTTTGTATGGAATGCGTTTTTCACAGTATGTACTATACAGTAGCCTCCTATCTGTTTGCCTTACGTTCTAATGTTCTCTTTCCCGGGGGTACCCAGCGAAGTATAGATCTGGAGGGCGATGCTCTGTTCCACCAGATCGGCAACTCGGCAGTGTAAAGCCACGTTGGGGAAGTACTGTAGCATGTTCTACGTTGTTGGGTATGCTTATGACCAACAGTCTACATACGGTCCATGGTGCCCGCTGGTATATCTCTACAACTGAAAAGAGTGGGGTGTTCTGTTCTCACTTAGGATGGTGCTATTTGTCGACAGCTGCTTAGCCTGGCAACTGGTATGTACTGTAGCTACAATACTGTAACTACAACTTATCTAAAAATACACTAATATTAAAATATACATTATTGTGTCATTGACAGACTCAAATACATTTCTTGAACAGGTCAGAGATGAGCTCAAGGTCCTTCCAGATCAACTGCTGATATCGCTGACCCAGACGGTTAGCATACACGTTCTGCTTGTTTCGGGGCAGGTTAGCAAATCGAATCAAGGTGTGGCCATCAAGAATAGGTCTGTGGGGACTGTTTCCAGTGCCAGGCAAGATGGGATCGTACCTGTAGGCTCTAGGATGTAACCCACAGACGTGGGCTTCCTTGTCGGTGATCTGAGTCTGGATGGCATAGAGACGTCTGTAGGCATCTTCAGGGCAAGGGACGACGTCAGTCACTGATCCATCACTGCACACACCAATCACCATGAATCGATCCTCGTTTATGGGTACCATGGCCGAGGAATCGATCACCTTTCCAGAGTAGAATACAGAACGTCTCAGGAGACGGGCTCCAGAGTACGACTGAGGGTCATCGGGGTCGTACTCGAGGATGTGCAGTCGTTTCTGGAGATCAGCCACAACAAATGTCAGGTTCTCACCCTCGATAGCAAAGTCACAGGTGGTAACCAACACCCTCTGCAGGTCACGGGCGAACGGGATCATCTGGTACGGGTCCATGGAGAACCCGACAAACTGGACAGATCGGGTGGCATCACCGAGCAGAAGCATGGAGTTCAGACTCTTGGCAACGGCCACGTAAGTCTGCATATCGAGGAAAGCAACAGGAACGAGGGTAAGGTCATCCTGAAGAGCCTGTACAAGCAGCTTCTGGCCCTGGACAGCTAGAAGACGACCAGATACCTCGCAGACAGCAGTGAAGGCCCCACGGACACGGTCCTGAACCAGCTTCTTGAGTCGTCTATTGGTCTCGGGTCGTTCCTTCTCAGGAACAATCTCAATGACATCAAAGAGGTACAGAGCACCTCGAGCAGCGAGATCCTCACCTCTAAGAATGGAGGTTCCGACAGCCACCACCTCCCGCTTTTGTGACTTTCTATCAGAGATGGACAACTTGACAGACTCGCAACAGAGGGCCGCTTCAGCGGGCATCTCGAACTCATAGGAGTCAATGACAGTCCACGAATAAGGGTTGACGATGCGAATGGCACCCTGATAGGTAGTGGCAGGCATGATGTCTGGTGTAAGACTCTCGATCACCTCGTCGTCTTCATCACGGACAACATGGGGAACTGTCTTGTGAGTAGCAATGACATAAACGTCCATGGTCTCGTGATATGTGACTTTGGAAATGGTCTCTCCGCAGAGCTGGACATGCTTCACGGGCCAATTGGTCTCGAGAGAAAAGCTAGGGTCGAATCTGCACTCGGCCACCTCTCCCGCTTGCGTCAAGTAAGCAAATTTTCCGTCCCAGGAAGTGAAAGCAACTGCGCCCTTAGTCTCACCGAACTCGATTAGTCGCGGAGAAGTATGCAAAGTCTTGACTAAGATGTACGCGGTTTCACCAGTCACTCCAAGTGTGTGTTTTCCGTTAATAAGAGGGACTTGGGTAAGTCGTCTATCGGAGTTGATTGTAGGGGTTCGCTCAAGGAAGATCTTTCGGAACCTCAGCTTGTCATTGTAGTGATAAGGCTCATAAACGACAAGCTGCTGAGGAGTGAGGAGAACCAGGTAGTCCCGAAGAATATGATCGTCTCCAAGGGGACTCAATGCGATGTCCACAAGTTCAAGAGGGGCATCATAGAGCTGACCGTCCTTCTCTTTGATGAAGCCAGACAGATCAGAAGCATCTAGAATGAGACGATCGTCGGAATTCAGACCTTGGAGCAGAAGAGACCCATCCGCGTAGCACACAACAACAACAGGTCGCGAGTCTTGAGCGGGAGATCCCTGGCGTGTACGTTTCTTGCTTGGTGCACCGAAAGTAAGGGAGGAGTCAGTGGCGTAGATACCGATGGCCTTGGACTCACTGGCAGGCTCGATAGAGACCTGCGCAGCCTTCAAGAATGGTCTCTTGTTGATGCTCACGGCCTCCAATATCTTCACCTGGCCATCAGACAGCAACACAAGCACGTAGTTGCCCAGTACACGAGCCTCCACGGCTGTAGTACCTTGGGGCAGGGAGTATTTGTGGGGCTGTCCGATCTTGGCGTCGTAAATGTTGACAGTTTCCAAACAGACCTGGAGGAGCGCCGAATCCAGCATTGAAGAAGAAAAGATTGTGGTGACATTCGAAACAAAATGCTTCTTGGTCTTCTTCTTCTTGGTACTGAGAGAAACGTCTTCAATAACCCCAGCGGCATCAACATAGTACAGATATGAGTTCTCACTGTCAGACGAGACAACATAAGTTCGAGATTTGGCAACCTCCCCTTCCTCCTCAAAACGCACGGGTACTGACCAGAACTGGCCTCCCGGCATGTCCTTATACAAGGACTTGCGTTTGTATGGCATCAGTGCGCTTGTGAGAATGGCCAGAGCAGAGTTTGCACCGACACCTGTAGTAGTGACAAACTCAACACCTTGACTGCCTCTATTCTTGCCCAAAGCCAGCGATTGCATGGGTCCCATACCAAGCATGCGGTCGGCCAGACGTAGCTTCAATGGACGATTGGTAGTGTCCTCTGTTTGAGCTGTGTCACCGCCATAAAGATCATCGTCAGACTCGTTTCCGTCATCTAGAGTCTCCTCGGGCTGACTTTCTGGCTCACCATGGTACCACTTGACTAAGAGCGAATCTCCAGCTCGAGATCCAAGGAAAATAGTTCCATCAGGCCCAGCTGCAACAGAGGAAGGCTGGGATAGGATGAAGTTGTCTGGCTCAATAGGTCGCAGTTCGAGACTAGCCACACGTCTACCATCCTTGTTGAACAGCAGACTGAAAAACTGGCCATCTTCTGTCACCAAGAGGGCGGTATTGCCCAACTCCTGGATGAAGCAGACCTCAGCACCTTCCAGTCGCAGGTCAAGAGTCGACTGGTCCCTCGATACGATGAGATCAGAGTTTTGTCGATGTGTGTTGTTGACCATGACACCTGTGTAACTAGCCGAGGAGTCGATGTAGAGAATGGTGTTGGCGCAGATGATAAGTGAGCCACCAAGAGGAGCAGGCAGAGGAATGACCTTCTGGGCATCCACTGGCAGGCCATTCAAGGTACCAATTACGGTGGAGTTCTTCTGATGGACGTCGACACTGACGATAGCGTAGCTCACCGTGTCCTTGAGAATATTCTTCATACCCACCCATGCTCTCTTGGGCTGAAAAAGGATACCCATTGTCGTTTCTCGGTACTCGTGAAGGAAGCAGATATCCATCACGTTCTCGATACGTTTATCGAGCCTCGATGCCTTAACAATGAAGGAGGGATCAAATACCTGGCCACTTTCTGGCATCTCATCGTCATCAAGACCCTTCTCGATAATAGGCAGAAACGCCATTCGATCATTCTGGAACAGCAGACAGGTGTAGAACGAGTTCGCCTCATCTGATACAGCAACAGACGAGCACTCGGGCTCGAAGAAGTTGCTCTCGACCAAGCCTTTTTCGTAGTAATGCAGCGATTTGGTGTCGATGGTGAAACTGCTAGCATTCCATGCAACAATCACGGCCTTGGCATGCTTGACAGAGATGTAGAGCGAATCCAAATCGTAGTTGTCGATTGTCTTTATTCGGGTCACGCCCGTGACGGTTCCATCGAGGTAGTATTCGGTGATGAGCTCGAGTCGAGGAGCTTCATCCTTGGTAGGGATGTCGTCCTTGTATCGGAAGATCTGGAGCAGCTGCGAGCCCTTGACTAGCACCAGGTTCCTCTCGCCGGTGAAGTTGCACGACAGACTGTGAGTGACGGCGGTCGGCTCTGTCAGATTCTTGAAAATGTGCATGTCGTGCTACTGTGAGACAGTATATCCTGTAGTTCCAGATCGTGATGATTTCTTGGACTTTCAGAACCTTAAGTTTGGGAGTTCGGACGGGATGGTTGAAAGAGGTGTGACGAATATTGAGGGGATGTGTGATGTAAGGGCAATAGTTTTGAAACGAAAAGGCATTTAAGAGAACTTCTGGATATTGAGTCGTGACTGGATGAGCCCTGTGTCCAGATGTTCCTTACGAATCGCACAGTGTTACTTACATTAGTTGAAATATGGAGCGGGTGGGTCGGGCAGTATTACGGCTACCGAGGTGGAGTGGGCCTATTTGACAGAACAGTATTTACTAAAGTCACTTGTTTTAGTGCAAGCTACCAAGCCGGGTATCCATCTCTACTGTGGCCCAGCATCACACCTATCGCCTCTTAATTACAAGCACTTTCCAACATGCATAACGAGGTAAATACTTGCAAGTTCAACATCAACCGCCACACTTTGCTAGATCATGCAACTCCCACCCGAACTGATTACACTAGTGGCGACTTTTCTCGACTTCAAGGACCTGTCTCGATTAACATGTGTCAACAAACACCTCTATGAACTGCTGGCAACTGACATCTGGAAAGACGTCTACTACTCTGCAGGCTACGTTCCCCCTCTACTAACATGTGCGCCCCTGATCCAGCATGTTCATTTCGACTCAGCAGTCACAACGATGTTCTTCAACCGAAAAAACTTCCCAGCAATCAAACAATTTTCTGTATCGTACTACGAGGATATAACTCCGTGGATAGGGTTGCCTGTGGGCACTGTGTTTCGCAACTGGAGGCGGGATCTGTATCAGCAGTTCTACCCCCAGCTAGCCGAGTATCTCAAGGCCCACGAAGTTACTCTTGCCAGCCTTTTGCTCTACGACCAGTCCTTTCTCTACTACTTCATTGAGGCAGACAGTTGTCACAAAATCGAGAGGTTACGATTCGACACCAACTTCACCGACACAGTTCTGTACCATGACAAGGTGTACCCTCCGATATTGCGACTAGCAATTGTTGAGAAGTTCATTCGCGCTGTAGAAGCTGCAGGGTGCAGACCTCCCTTTGATCGTGATCAAGGCAGCTTGTCATTTTGGAACCAGATTGAGGACATTGAGAGAGGTCCTGATGGTCCCATCATGCCACCGCTTCCAGCTGATTTTGGAGACTTGTCTGGTGAACGGACTTAATCGAGATCTACTGACCAATCGAATCGTTGTCGTGCATTGTCATTATATAAAGATGGTGAAGATTTACTCGTCTTTCACGACAGGCTTGGGAATGGGCTTTCGAAGGACATTTCCGACCTCGTTGAGCACATAGCTGGCCAGGAAAAGAACAGGGATGTGCAGAGGATTTCCAGCAGCCCATGTAAACTTGGTGCCTCCAAGGTTGAGCTGACCATAGACCACTGCCAGGAAGGCTACTCGCAGAACGGTCCAGGGAAGTCGACCAATGTAAGACGAGTTGGCGGGGGACCCGGGAGTGAACTGACACTGGTACTGGTTGCCAATTGAGATGAACAGAGATGCAACTGTGGCAGCAAGCCAAGTCTTGTTAGAAGTAGGCACCCGGGTACACATGAGATACGAGGCGTAAGCAGAGGCCAAAGTGCCCAGGCCGCCGACAATGGAGAACTGGACACCCTCGTCACCCTGGACGTTGAGGGTAGTTTCGTTGAGGTGATTGAGGATGAAGGACATGGTGTGCTAATCGATAGAAGATGAGATGAGCACAGTTGGAGATGATGTTTGAAGTCCTTTAGAGTTGTATCGTAGTCCAATTTCTGCATGTGAATATGCACCCCACAGAGACGTTTGAGTGCGAGTGCTGTAACGATTGGGACCTTTTGAGTATGGAGCTTTACTTCATTGGGGCGATGAGAAAGTCGCCTGTATGTCTCCCTGTTATATTTGAGCTTCCGTGTGTTTTTTCAAGTAAAATAATCGTCGCTATCATTAGCTACAAGCATCTCTTTCGGATGCTTGTAATAGGCGTTATAGACGTCGGGGTTTTGAAGGCAAGAATCTCAGTTGCCTTATAGCTGGTCATTCAGCTCAGCCATAGCCAGTTTAGTTAGAGGGAGAACCCAACAGCTACATTACTGTTCGCACTTGTCTCTATGACCCCTGATACATCATCTAAAAGAGCCATGTGCTTGAACATCCTTTCTTGTATGGATTTACTCGCAAGGCCCCCACGATGTATGTACCGTTCGTAAATTGTGAATAATATTTGACTCACTCAACCTCTCGATGTGCCTGCGTGTACAGTAAGTACAAGTACGGTAACTCCTTCGGTCCTCCCAACGCGTTGTCTGTGAGGCTTAGATCGAAATGTCTACTTAATCATGTACCAATGGAGAGTCGAACGCAGTTGCTCTTCCACAGGCTGCACACTCTCGATGGTCGCGATCCAGGGTTTCGGAATAAATAGAGTTATGCATTTCTCGGTGTTTTTTTCGGTTACTGGACACACTATATGTCGCTTCAAGTGTGGGGAAACGACGGCATTTTTGCGACTTCAGGAATTCAAACACTCAGAGCTACAGGAAGAGGTAGGAAAGCTGCATGCGTGGGGATAAAGAAAAGAACTACTTCCGGAGTTGATTCTCTACTACATAATTTACAGACTGATAATAATTAACTCATTTGTGTGTCACAGGAGGCCTTTTCCATAAGAAAGCTTGCATGTCACTTGACAGGGCTGAAAGTGCCAGACAGTGTACAGTACATCCTGTACGTACATACATTTTACAAGTAGAACTAACAACGGTCTTCCGGCTATACAAGGGAAAAAAAGGAACAATGAGCCATGTCAAAGAAATGGGGAAAAAACAAGCGGTGGATTAAAGGTTCTAAATGGAAAATTATAGGCTCCATCAGACAACCGGAACTAATAACAACCATTACCAATACGACCCCCGATATCGCATACCTCTGGCAAGCGGCATCGGCCCCCTTACTATGCCGTACCGCTATCTCCGGTTGCCGACATCGCCTATCATAACGCTGCAACCATAGTTAGAGCCTAAGAGTCACCCCCAGACAAAGTAAAGCTTGGGTGGTGAAAAATGATGCAAGTTGGCACGGACCTAAATTATCGAAACCCGAAGCGCTTCTTAGCATCTTATTCACTCGCACCCATCTTCCCGACGCATCACCCAAGGACTTGACACGTCTAGTTCACCTCTTCTAACGACACAGACCCTTCTTTCCGTTAACTCCGGTTCCGCTCACCAGATCAGGAAAGCAAGTCCGAAGTAATAAAACCTCGACGACTTCCACTTTCACGCTACACACTACACACACACCATGGCCGTTATTCTGGATAAGCAAAAGAAACAGCCACCCAAGCAAATCTCCACTCTCGGCGGATTTGTGGCGGGTGCTATCGCTGCCTGTGGAGCCGTCACAGTCACTAACCCGATCGAGTTGGTGAAGACCCGAATGCAGCTGCAGGGAGAGCTGGCTGCTCGAGGAGAGGCCAAGAAGGTCTACACAAGCCCCCTACAGGCTCTGGTGAAGATCTACAAGTCCGAGGGAATCAAGGGTCTCCAGTCCGGACTCTTCAGTGCATACGTCTATCAGATCGGTCTCAATGGTTGCCGACTGGGCTTGTATGAGCCCACCAGAAAGGTGATTGCCAACGTTTGCAACATTGATCTGAACAAAGAGAACCCCGTTGGTCTCAACGTGGCCTCTGGTGCCATCTCTGGTATCATGGGAGCCGTGGCCGGATCCCCCTTCTACCTGATCAAGACTCGACAGCAGTCTTACTCTCCTGCATTCAAGGTCGGAGCGCAGACCTACTACAAGTCCATCGGCGACGGATTCCGACAGATCTACGGAGCAGAGGGCTTCAAGGGTCTGTACCGAGGAGTTGACGCTGCTATTCTGAGAACTGGTGCTGGATCTTCTGTCCAGCTCCCCATCTATAACTGGGCCAAGGAGCTTCTGCTCAAGCACCACATCACCGATCCCGGAGCCTCCACCCATCTGGTTGCATCTGCCATGTCTGGTCTCGGAGTTGCTGTCGTCATGAACCCCTGGGACGTTCTCATGACCCGAATGTACAACCAGAAAGGCAACATGTACAAGAATCCCTTTGACTGTCTGATGAAGACCGTGTCCATCGAGGGACCGTTTGCTCTGTATAAGGGTTTCGGGGCCCATCTACTGCGAATTGCACCCCACACCATTTTGACCCTCATGTTCATGGAACAGACCATGAAGTGGGTCAAGTGGTTTGAGGGCGTTCCCTTTTAAATAGACTACAACTATGTATAGTAGAATAGACAATTAGAATATACTTACCATACGACGAGGTATGGAAGGGGGCTTATGACGCTGTTGTTGCACAGCATCTCTAGGAGAACCTGTTATCTTACATTCATGCACTGATATGAAGGCATGCATATTAAAGACTATCCAATGTCAGAACAATCATTATATACACTACAAGTAGACACTACTGCACTGAACATGTTATCATCACTTCTTCCAACCATAAGTAGCACTCAGTCTAGACTGGAGATGCTCCTCTGCGGTGATGACCTTTCCTTCGTTAGCTCCTCGGCCAGTTACAGAGGCAATCTTTGCACTGGGGACAGGTTCAAGTCTTACTTCTTCCTCGGGATGACAGAAGAAGACACACGAATATCGGTCCGTTCCCTCGGCCTGAAGCTTGGCTGGAAACTTGACTCTGTGAATTGTGCTCTTGAGAATACCAGCTGTCCAGTAGCTGAGCAGATCTCCAATGTTGACAACCACAGGTGGGGCCATACCAGGCTCCTTGGGTCCAACGTATGGGACAGGCTCCCACTTCTTAGATACGGGGGACAAAATCTCGAGTCCTTCCTCTCCCTCTCGTTGGAAAAGCAGAGTCAAAGATCCGTAGTCTGTGTGTGCTCCTGCCCGGATTTCGTCTTCGGGATCGGCCTTCTTCTGACCAGGATAGTAAAGCAATCTGAAGATTGATCCAGATGGGTAATCACGTCTGTGTCGGTCGGCAAACCAGTTTGATCCTCCTGAAGATTCGTCAATCTTGAGACCCATGGCTAGCAGTTTGAGAATTCTTTGTGAGAGGTTGTAAAGCTTGGTCTGCATGTTTGCAATGATGTCGGCATTCTCGGGTTTCTGGAAGAACTCGGGCATAGGTTGAATTGGCTTCTCGTTGATGTACTTGCCAAAGTTGAAGCCCTCCTTGGGGTCACCCTTCTTTTGGGTAGCGGGATCAAGGGTCTCGACGTTGATAGCGTTGTAACCTCGGTTCTCAGCACCAATGGGGAACTTGTTCTTTTCCTCCAGAGGAAGAGCGAAGAACCCCTTGGACATGTTGAACATATCGTCCACCTCCTTCTGGGTGAAGCCTGATCCTTCCACGAACAGGAAGCCGTCTCTGGAGGCGCACTCGAGCAGCTCGTCCGCAGTTGTCTGGTTGATTGTGGATATGTCGACGGTCTTGACGGACATTGTTAGTGGTGTTTTTCAATTCAAAAAAAGTGATGGATCTGAAAGGGTGAATAGTCTGATTTGAAGTCTTTTTTTCCTCGTGCGCTCCAGAGCCAGATCCTTATCAGGCCAACCCAATAGGATTCAACTAATACTTAAACTCTCCTGCTATGCAGCAGCGCGCAGTTGATCTGTGTCGTATGTGCGGTTGTTACTCGGGTCGACAAGGAGCCCTGGCAGCTTAGACGATAATATACGTGAAGTGTTGAAGCCGGCTATTGGAAGAGTGTTTGATGAGATCATAAATCGACAAAAATCGTGAAAATCGTACATAAAACGCCATAACTATCTAATGCCTCGGTGGATCCGACGGCCTAGTATCACCAATTAGCGCTTCATATTACTGATATCTGAACTTTGTTGTTTAGCTGTGGACTCCGTGGAGAGAGGTCTGAGTATGTATATATACTACATGTATGTGTCAGCATTGTTACTCAAATGTGGTTGAGCTTAGCATCCGTTGAGCCACATCTAGAACGGACAATCGATTTCTGACCACCTGCTGTGAGCATCTCTCATCGGTCTAGCCTACTGGTAGGACATGATTTTGACATTTCTGGGGATGCATCTGGGGTAAGGTAAGGCAATCAATCTACAGTCAGTATATGTACTCGTAGCAGGTGACAGATGAAGGGATGACAGCGTGGTGCTGTGTACGAATGTAGATACATTGTACTTGTATGCGAAAGTGCGTCTACATCGGAATCAGTTTGGTTGGTTACGGCGCCAGATGAGCCGCAGTTCCATTCAACTGCCTCTTTAAATATGTCTCAGGTCTAACGCGTTCGTAATCAATTTTGAGATCCACTTTCAGCCCAAGGCTTACCAGCACACTCCATAGACATTCAGTCGGCAGGGTAACCACCACACACGGAACAAGAAAGTGTGAACGTGTTTGGGGGTAGAATACGCGACTTTCAGACGGATACCTAAACATGAGTGTTCTGGTAGTCGTATTTTGAGCGATTCCACCCTAACTAATTATTCATAGCTACTTGTAGTACGAGACCCAAGCTTCTCACAGCCAAGACACACAGCCACTAAAACCACATCACCCAATCTAACCACAAACCAAGTTCTCACACTTGATACTGTATCCAAAAAGGTTCTCGAGGTTCTAAGTCTACAGTGTGTTCCGAGAATAATGAGAATATATTTTCGGCACGATTAAATTGATAGATGAAGTAGTCAGCCCCAGTACAACGGCCCACATGTGGATATTCCATGCACCAGAAACGCGCTCCGACAGCCCGAAATTCCACCCACACGTGACCTACCCTAGCCGCTGAAATCTTAACACGCACCTACATCACCACAGCATAGACTAAGCCCCTAAGACGTACAGCTTGTCACAACACTCATCGCCATGCCGATCAAATCGCTGGACGCCTTTGCGACGGAGCGACGGCTGTTCAAGCCCCAGGCCCTCTCCGGTCTCAATGGCTCTATTCTCGGCATTGACGCGGACCACTACTTGTCTGTCATTTCCGCTCTGGCAGCCACCTACCCTCAGGTGGTCACTGGAGGATCTTCTCTGCCGCCCAAGGTGCGAGACGTGCTTCTTAGGGACCTCACCACCCTCAAGTCCCACAAGATTACACCCTATTTTGTCTTCCGCGGACTTCCGGCTGCTTCGGCCAACCCCCACCTCTTCAAGCAGTATGACCTCCAACATGCTGAGATGCGAAGCCAGCGACGACAGGCTGCCTGGAACCAGTATGAGGCTGCATCCACCGAGGCTGAGCATGCCACACTCGCAGCCTTCCATGACTCGGGTCTCAACCCTGTAACCACCTCCGCAGCGGTGTTCAGAAACATCACTGGTCTCTTGGCGGAGAACAATGTGGAGTACTCGGTCGCCCCCTACTATGCATGGGCCCAGTTGGCTTACCTGGTCAGCACCGAACGCATTGATGCTGTTCTGGGCCCCTCAGAACTGCTTCTGGCTCCCCATGTGGACAAGATTCTAGTCACCATGGATGACAAGAACGCCAGCGTGCTCCACAAGAAGGCCCTGCTGCAGGAACTCGGCGGTCTCACTAATGAACTTTTTGTTGAGGTTGCTTTGGCCGCCGGCTGTGATCTCACTGGAAACTACACCTTCCCTCCCTTCGAGCACCCTATCAACGTTATGGGTCAGCCCACTACTCCGATCCGAACCGCTGCCGACTCGCTCGCCCAGTACCCCTCTATCTACACCGCTGTGGCTACCTACGGCGCTGACCAGGGCGTCTTTGCCGCCCGGTTCAGACGTGCATTTGCAGCATTCAAATTCTGCCCCGTTCTTCACGCTGACGGCCATGTCGGCCCTCTGCCAAACACTGGCGACGTGCCCAACGACTCACACGACTTTCTGGGCCAGCGACTCCCCGATGAACTCATCTACTACCAGAATGCTGGTCTCATTGGACCTGACCTTCTCACTGTGATCGTGTCTGGCTTTGCTGCTGAAGAGGCCGGCCTGGACGGTGACGCTGATATCGAGTACCGAACTCTTGTCAAGAAGCTGCCCGATACGTACTCCAAGTGTCTCAACCTCATTACCCAGTCTCTGCACCGATACTATCACTACAAAAAGTACAACATTGTGTATTTCTGGCAGCCCGAGACCGAACACAGCCTCAATTCGCAGTTCCAGCCTGCTCTCTACGTGGGTCTTAACTGGAAGACCGACAAGCTTGATGGTCTTTCTTCCAAGCCCGTGAGCGCTGTCAATGTGTCGTCTGTGTTGGACCTCATTTCAAACAGCTCTGCTGACTGGAAGAAGGCTTCTCTTACCACTGACCACAAGGTGCTGCTCTCAACAAACACACAGATTCTTGCAAACACTATTTTGCGACTTCTTCAGCTTGAGGGCTACATTGACCCCAAGACTCACTCTCTGACCAAGTGGGGAGAGGTGCTACAGGCGTTCGGAAATGAACCTATGGCTCTCCCCATTCTATCCCTGTTGAGAAACAAGCTACTTGACAACAAACCTCTGACCCCTCAGTCTGTCACCGCCTTTGCTCCTTCTGCCTCCCCACTTCTTCTCAAGGTGGCTGGATTTGTCAACAGCACCAGTGGCACCTACAGAGGGCGGTTCAGCCGACTGGCCCTTGCGATGTCCGGTATCGCTGCCACTCAGACCCGAGCTACTCGATGGCTCCTGGAAGCAACTCTTTTCTCTCTACTTTCCTATGCTGCTGACAAGGGACGAGATGCCTCAGTTTACGAGCTTGGTCGAGCTCTTCCCTTCAACACTCTTCCCTCTTCCATCACCGTTAATGTGATTGACCAGCTGCTTCGTGGAGCTGCTCTGGAGGACGTCGCCAAGGTGTGCTACCACGGTGACTCTGCCGCCAAGATTGTTTCTGAACAGCTTGCTCAGTTCAAGGCCGTGTGGCAAGCTCTTTTCGCTGCCGCCGAAAAGGCTCATATGCTTGACCTGATCTCGGCTGATGTGTACAAACAGTTTGTTGAGGCCAACGACGTGTGCAAAAATAAGTTATAATGTCTGCGACTCTGCAATAAATGTACTTGTAGATAACTCTGTTGCATGTATAAGTACTCGTAGTAGTAGATATGTGTGCCAGGCACTGTAATGAATGGTTTTGCGGGCGAATCGATGTATGAAGGGCTTAATAGATGTTTCGTATTCATCCCGTCATGGTATGGTATGTATTGTGTAGATTGTACGATACTTGTTTATATGGTATCAATTCGTACTTGTCGAGGGTATGTGTGTGGTGTTACAGTGTGTACTGTAGTATGTACGACATACAGTGTTAGCTAATGTTGTCTTAATACTCGAAGCTATGGCCTGTTGTAGTTATGAATAGTCTGCTTTGGCACGATAGCATGTCCATGTCTGTGTTAGTATGCAACACTGAATCAAGTTCAGTTCAGTGGTGATAGACAGGCCTCCCTGCTGTCTTGGCAATGGACTACTGCTGTGTCCATTACATCTTCCACAAGCCTTTGCTCTCAACAAGTAGGAGCCAGCTTACATAGCTACTAAACTTCGCTAGTGTAACGTAATATACATTGAATAAATAATGAATGCACGTCCATAAATAGATAAATAAGGGAGGCGTGGGGAGCGACATCCAAAGGCAGTGAAGCCCACAGGTCGCATCACCCACACTTGGTGATTCAGATGAACTCATCATCGCGTACTTCTAAACATGCTTTGGCGCGAGTTGCTGAGGGTGGACTGAGAGCCCCCAGCAACTGTGGCGGTGGATGCAGAAGATGCAGATGCGGCATTGTTGGGAGAGTTGGGGAATCCTTCGGTGCCAGAGGCTACAGTGCCGCCTGATGCCATAGTATTAACTGTGGCCACAGTACTGGCTGTGGCCACAGTGCTGGCTGTTGAGACCGAAGACACGCTTGCTGCAGAAGACGTGACTGCGGACGATCCCGATCGTGATGATGCCACATTGGGAGGGTTGGTGGAACACCAGTGCTTGTGGTAGTTCCAAGCCTTAAGCTGACACTCTCGGCTGCAGTACTTGGTTCGCTTGCACCGTCGACATTTGGCGAACTGACGAGGAAATTCCTCCCACTTGCCACAGTCAAAGTGAGCGCACTGTCGAATACCGCCACGAGCCTCGTTCTTTCGACACGAGTTTCGCATAATGACACCAGCCCAGTACTGGATCTCATTGGAGTACTCCCGAATGGTGAATTTCTCCACAATAGGGAACACATTAATTGTCTCTCCGAGAAACTCGGCACAAATGTCTTCCTCGGACTCGAAGTCGTAGGTATCGTAGGCCTTCTCCCAGTCTGTCTTCTTGCGGTGAGACTTTCGTGTCACCCGCTTGTGGAAGGCCGTGATTTCCCGCTGTTTCTGAGTTCGATGGTCATCCAAAAACTGATCGTCAACAACACCATCAACATCTGCAGTCTCATCCACGCAAATGGACTTTCCCTTGTAGTCGTCTTCATCGTCCACATCAACAATCTTGACAACAGGGTCTCCCTCGTGAGATCCAAACTTGGATCTCATGAGAGGCTGGGGGACTGCGGCTCGTCGAAGTGGAGGCAGGTTCTTGTCTCGAAGAGACAAGTCAGGCACGAAGTGACATGTCTGGATGCACTCCTTGGTGCTGCTGTACTTGGACACATAGGCCAGAATCTCCAATGCCCATAGCACATCGTCATCTCGAGGCATCAGAATGCCGTTTTCAAAAATACGTGGCATGGAGGCGATGGAGCTCTGGATGGAGCTAATGGCGCCCTGAGCAGTAACAGGGGCGACGCCAGGACCAGGGCGAGGGGTAGCTGTCTGGCCAGTAACAGTAGGCTGGCCGGGCTGGGCAGGCTGCTGCTGTTGCTGCTGTTGCTGCTGTTGAGGCTGGGATGCTTGCAATCGACGTGGCTGGAAATCATCAGATCCCATTTCCACGTCGCCGTCGGCGTCTCGCTCTGCAAACAGAGCAAGGCCCGTATCAGTATCCACCATCTGAGCGTCGTCGTTCTGAGACTGAGACGAGTTTTGGGTAGCAGTGTCGAAGCTCTCGACAGAGGCTCCCGACCGGAGAATCGCACTCTCACTGAGCAGCTGTCGGAGGCTGGGGGTGGTGATGGTAGTGCTGCTGTTCATGATGGTTGTGGTGGTACTGGAGGTCGACGAAGCAGAGTCGATCATGGACGAAGAAAACGACGACTGCAACGACGATTCTCGGGAAGACCCAGCTTGGGGTTCGTCAGGGACTGCACTCTGCGTTCGGCATAGGCGCGAAACAGACGACACTGCTGATGAAATGGCGCTGTGAAGTCGACAGTCTCGTCGCGCTGCCTGACCCTGGCTCTGGCTCTGCCCCGGGGTGTTTTCTCGCTCCTTGTCTGCAGACACCTCTCGAGTCGACCCGCAGAGAGAAATTCCAAAGGGGTTGGACGCAGTAACAGCGTCACTTCTGTCCTTGTCGTCGGCCTGTCGTCGCTGCATCTCCTGCTCGACCTCTGCTCGTCGACGTTGGAGCTCCTGTTCGGCCTTGGCATCTTCCATCATAAGCAGGTAGTTGTCGAGCACGGTGGCGAGCACTGGCAGTAGGCCAGCCTCGACAATGCGTTTTCGAATGGCCTCGGTACCGCGAGTTCCGACAAACACCAAGCACTGGAATGCTAGAGCCCATTTCCATGCCACCAGCAGGTTTTTATCGCTGTGCTTGTCGTCATGCTTGCTCTCCTGGCACGTTTTCATAATTGCCACTAGTCGTTCTAGACCGCCATCCGTACATAGTGTTTCTCGCACTCGTGCTGACGACGATGTGAGATAGGTAAGGTGGTTGAGCGAGTTGATAAGGGGCTTGTCCGAGGTGCAGTCGAGAGCTCGTCGGTCGTAAAGGGTCGTCGTGATGGTGACGGAAGCCCTGTTGGAAGGGACCGACCGAAAGTTGGATTCTCGCATGCTCCAAACAAGAGGCGTTACCGTTGTGAGGTTCCGTAGGTGGTAGTTGCCTTTATGTGTGTTGCAAGTGTGGGTGTGTGGCGACGTGGCAAAGTGACTGGTGTACTTGCCGATGTAGCTATGCTGAGGATGCGGTCGTCGTGTGTCGTGTGTCGTGTGTGTTAATGTGACGTGATACGGTTGTGAGAGAATGCGCACGCTGGGGTCTTGTATCTGGTGTTGCGGTAGGTCTCCGCTTGTGGTGTTTCGTTTAGTCGTGTGGTTCGTGAGGTTGCCAAAAGCTAGGCTGTGGAGTATTGTAATGTCCCGTGGTGTTTTTTCTTGTTCACCAACTGAGTGGCAACGATAAGACTATCTCCTCAGACAAGTCTCTATGCGTCTCCTTAAGACACTCCAAAATCGCACGCTGTTAATGCGTCGTCACTCTCTTAAGTGTATGCGAGGTGGCGAGTTCGAAAACTTTTTTCCCAGCTTCAGACTTGGCTCTCGTGTGCCAAGGATAGCCAGATAGAGTGTTTGGAAGGAGCCGGTTCGGGTTTAAAGTAACGAACGGAGTAGCTCGCAGAAGGAAGGTGGCCAAGAAGACGGCTTAAGTTTGGTCGTGGAGGCGGTGATCGAGCTGTAATAGAGCTGGGTGTCGTTTCCGGGGTTTTTTGTCCCTCTGTTAGCCCCCAATCGCGTAAATTAGTAGTCTATGAGACTTTGACGAAAGTCAGGTCGTTTGGCCACCCAACAATTAGCTCCCACGCCAGGTGCATAGAGTTTGCGTTTTGAAAACTCAGTCCAGCCACAAAGAACTCAGTGGCAAATGGTGAATCTAAAAGCAAGGTAGATGCGGCACATTTGGCTCGCCAGCTGAAACTGCATTTTTGACTGTGCCATTGGTTGGAAAGGGATAGTCATGAGAGGGGTGGCGCCCTAAATGCTGCTCCTTGGGATTCCACAATGAGAGAGGGGACACGCTGGCTATCTCGTTCGTGATTTTTTGTGCTGCAATCGGTTTGTTCGTGCCCAATGTTCCTCGGCCGCCTGTCATCTATGGTTGATCACCGATAAACAATGTGGCTTACTGTACAGTCAGTAAATAACAGTGGCAATGTATGGGCCAGTATTATTCTTGCTCCTTAAGCAGCACAGTGTCCCAATGAGTAAACAGTATCAAGCGGCGGGAAAAGTCGGAATCGTCAACAGGCAACAGCAGTATAAATAGGAGTGCTATTGGTACGAGTACATTTACAACAAGTACGGACGAGACTGTATACTTCTCAGTTTCACATTCTCAGAGCCACCACACAGAAACTCCTTCTTGTTGACACCCAGAGAATGTGCGGCTAAGTACGCGAGTACCACACAAGACAGCTGTACGTAAATACGTACACACCCAGCTATCTAAACCGATCCCATACCAACTAAACTAAACGTCAAGGTTGTTTTACTTGTTTTGTAACAATATTACAGGCGCAATGCTGGATCCGATCATTCCATCGGGCTCTCACCTAATGGCAGCCTATAACGGAACTTTCAGGTCCCCCAACGTTACAGGCTCATACCCATGAAGATGGCTACAAGGTGGGACACTATCGGGGGCCGATTAATAGGTTTCACTTGTATATCGTACAAGATGGAGGCAATGAGCAATAGGGTAAATGGATCATTGCAACAATCGAACTTAAGTGAGGGAAACGGCATTTTAGAGTCCTGTCATTGGCCCCGGTCGTCCCATGTCATATGAGGATCGATCGAAACTCTTGGAGAGGTTTGCCACCGGCAAAACGCCCCATTCTGCTGCATCGGCTCCCGCAAAAAACGTATTGTTGGTCTATTGTCCAAGCACCCTCCTGTGCATGCATCGCCTGATTGACCGTGCGTTTTTCCCGCTGAGTTGTGCCTTGCCTGTCCAATGCTGACAGGTGCCGTTCGCCACCCTATCACCCTTTATTGTTCCAGTTAAGGTTCGGGTGGGAAATTGAGCGGAAATTTCGGCCCTCGAAGATGACGTAAATATTGCTGGGGGAAGTGAACCAGCCAATTCCGAAGTCATTGAACGATTGCCACCATTTATCTGGATTATCTACTTTATTGCTTGCAACTGTGAACCACGGCAGAAGTTATTACGTGTCCCTAAATGCCGGCTCAACGGTCATTTGGGTGGCAAACCACAAAATCGAAACCGAAATAGAAAATACTGTAGCAGGACTCACCATACAGTAATGTTGCTATGTGAATTGTGAATCAGAGGAGAGAGAATCAAAAGGGTTACTGAAGATATCTGAGACACGAGATAGTCCCCTTGTCCCCTTGATTGTTTGCACAACTTCTCCCAATGTCCCCTGCTCGATCCGTGTGGCATTCTTCGGGATGGTTCCCCGATACCAATCACGTGATTTGCCACCCTGGGCATAGTTTTTCGTTTGGACCTTCTGAGGGTTCAGACACACTAAAATCAAAGTTCAGATAAACCTCCAGCCCATGGACTCCTCTGTCATATCGCATGTCTCATGCATAAGTCGAGTCTAGAGTTCTTCTGGGCGATGCTACACGCGATCACATCTGCTCGTATAGTCGACTAGACAAGTCATATGCGCTTGATTTGTCAGATATTTGTACGCTGATGGAATGTCGTCATCGATTGCGTTTTGCCATCGGCACGGGTTTTGTTGAGCTTGTGGTTGTCAAGTGCACTTGTATCATATCCCCTATACATCCACCATTCTGGTAGCGTAAAAACAAATTTTCGATTTCATCTATCTGGAAGCAGTGTTTCATTGGAGAATCTGAAAACAAGCACAAGCTGTTACTTGTACAAGTACTTGTACAAGCGCCATTGCATTAAAATCGTTCTGCAGAAAGATATCGAACTTGTAGAAGTACATTGAACGTCGCGGTCCTTCACCACTTCCTACTGTACACGCCATAGTGTGTAAGTCTGGATAACATCATCAATAAATAATTACAGTACTCTATTGGAAATAAACATCAAACAGCAATTGCAGTTCCTTCAAGCTCTTCCAAACACAAAGAGCAGCTCTGCCCGAGACAGAGTGCTGACCTCCTTCATGAGCTCTCTGTCACCGTTGATGACAGAGCCGGCCAGCTTACGCTTCTTGTCCTGAAGCTGCATGATCTTCTTTTCCACAGAATCAACCACGCTAAACTCGTAGACATCCACATCGACGGTCTGACCAATTCTGTGGACTCGATCAATAGCTTGCTCGGAGACCATGGGGTTCCACCAGGGGTCCAAGAGCACCACTCGGTTGGCACAAGTCAGATTGAGACCGAGAGCACCACACTTTAGCGAACAGAGCAGCACTGTAGTATCGGGATCAGCTCGTAGAGTAGCGAGGGCAGCGTCTCGCTTCCTAATAGGCATGCTTCCATCGTACTTTACGTAACGGATGTTCTCTCGAATCAGGAATGGTTCAAGAACATCAAAGAACTTGGTGAACTGACTGAAAACAATGGTCTTTCGAGGATCAGCCTTTAGAAGCTCCAGAAGCTTGACAACCTTGGCACTGGCATGTACATCCTTGCCGTTAATAGACACCTTGTTGTCTCCAGAAGAAGTACTGGAGCTTCCAGCTCCATCCATACCCATGTCAGCAAACATATCAGCAAGATCATCGAGGTCTTTGCCATCGTCGGCTTCAGCAGAGTAACCCTCAAATTCGTCGAGATGCCCACCCGTGGCAGCTTCCTTGGAGACAAGATATCGATGGTCACAAATCTGCCGCAAACGCAAGAGCAGAGTCAGGGCCTGCATCATGGATCCGTTGGAAATGGTGTCAATCTGACTTCCAATTCGCTCGTTAACGGCGTCGTAGAAAGCTCTCTCATCAGGCTGGAACTCAATGTCAACCTGGTGAACTCGTCGAGCCTTCATGTTCATCTTGGAGTCCTTGAGAACAGCTTTTGTTCGTCTCAACATGAGACCAGAAAGCACAAGATGCAGCTTCGCCATTGCAGTTCGAGCGGCTCCCTCCTTGGAAAGAGGCCCAGAGATCTGTTCCTTCCATACGACAGGATCATCGTAAGGAGGAACTCGAATGAACTGAAGCAAGGCTTGAAGTTCATCAATATTGTTCTGAACGGGAGTACCTGTGAGACACCATCTTCGATCAGCGAAGACTCGGCAGGCAGCCTGGTACATCTGAGACCGCTTGTTCTTGATGGTATGGGCTTCATCAAGAATGACTCGCCAGAACTTGACTCCCAGAAGAGGAGAGTTGTCCTTCTTGATCTCGGAGGAGAGTGTCTGGTAGGTGGTGACAATGACATCATAGTCTCTAAAGACATGAGAATCAGAGGTTCGACCAGGACCGTGGTGCTTCAGAACTCTCAGACCGGGAGACTTATCTTTGATTTCCTGCTCCCACTGAGTGGCCAGGGACAGTGGTGCGATGACCAGGGTAGCCTTGCACTCTCGAGGCTCACCGTCCTTGGAAGCGGTCTTCGCATGCAGACCTCGAGGGTTAGATAGAATCAAACTGATAGACTGAACAGTCTTACCTAGACCCATGTCATCACAAAGCATGCCCCCCTTGTGTTTGTTGGTGGGGACCTCTCGTCCAAGAAGCCACCGAACACCCTTCCGCTGATGTTGCATAAGAGTCACAGAGAGTCCAGGAACAATACCCTTGAACCGCATGTTCTTGAGGAACTCACTGTCCCAATGTTTTCTGACGAGATGACCTCGATCTCCCATCTCCTTCTCCTGAGCAGCTCGCTCCTCAGACCTTCGAGAGGTGGCCTTCTTGCTAGAAGCGCCCTTCTTTGTCTTGTCTTCTGGCTCCTCTTCCTCCTCATCAGAGCTCTCCTCGTCTTCGTCATTATTGCTTAGAATATAGGGAAGTAACGCTTCAACATCTCCAGCCGTAGATGCAGGGGTGTAGTTGAACTCGGGTGCGGGGGCAGACGAGTGGGCGTTCACGCCGGTTAGGGCAGCGTCCTTAACAAGGCCGGGAGGGCCACGAACACCATAGTTGACACGTGGAGTGTTGTTGGGCTGGTTATATCGATCGTATCCAGACTGCTGCTTACCAGCACCAGACATGATGGCCAGTTCAGACTCAGAGAGTCCGACAGAAGCTTGCTGGAATCGCTGCTGATGCTCAATGTTCTGCTTGATGGGCGAGGAAATGGAGAAGGCCGATCTGGAGGGAACTCGAGGTTTCATCGACTGCTTATACTCCTCGTAGGCGGCTCTGTTTGCAGACTCCATTGAGTTGCTGGGGGTCTTGATGGGCGTGGAAATGGGTTTGGATGGGCGCCGCAGTCCAGCAGCAGAAAGATCAGACTTGGGCTTGGGTTTGGGGGCTGCATGCAAATCGGGGATCTTCATGGGTGCCATGGGTTCATCATCAAATATGTTCTTCTTGGTTCCAGCAGTGGCCTTCTTGGATGCTGAGAGCAGAGGGTTGGCACTGTCAAAGACGGAGTTTTTGGGCGACATGGACAATCGGTTGCGTCGTACTGGAGTAGCGACAGGCCGATCAGGTTGTGGCATTCGCTTGACGGGAGAAGTGTGACGTTGGAAATCTGGTGCAATGGCCTTGGGGCTGTCAGACTTATTAAGGATACCATTCAGACCATCCTCCGAGTCGTCAGAATTGTCAGAATCATCAGAATCATCAGAATCATCAGAATCGTCAGAATCGCCTTCTTCCGAGTCGTCGCCGGAGTCGCCACCTCGACTGAGGTTTTCCTGGTAGCTCTTGGTTTGCCAGGGCTTCGTAGTTCGAGGAGCGGCTGCACTGCTAGCATCGCTGTGATCGCTATCATCAGAACACGATTCAGTTTCATCACTGTCAGACATGATTTGGCGTCTAGAACGGGTCGAAGGGGGATGGGCATCCATCTTGGCGGAGAGTCGAGCCATGACGGTAGGCTGTGTTGGCTGTATGTTCTGGCGGGTATCAGGCTGTGTAGTGACGATAGAGACGAGGACCTATCGAATCGTTAAGTATTTTTCTTCTATGCACTATATGCAGTTAAGAAAGACAATATGTGCATTTGCAGCACGTCGGACAGGACAAGTATTGGCGTTTTTGCTCTGAAAGTGGCTGAAAACGGGGGAAATCGCGTCAATATTGCTGGATGATCATGCCATACAATATATGAAACGTCAATTGCAAGTTTTGATTGATTCCAGTACAACTCCTTTTCAGCTATTCTCAACAATAGGTGGAAGTGTTGAGTGGCTGCTTAAGGTTCCATTGTTTACAACGTCACGTGGGGTTGTTGCCACGGTTACATACCTGAGGGAAGAGGACCGTTCAAAAAGGTTCTGATGGCGAATAGAAGCGGGATCAAGACACCTATCGTATCGTACAAGTACGAGTACCACGTGTGTAAAAACATAAGTAGTTGAGTTGTCACACACATCCGAAAACTATTGTCACCTACACTACAAGTAGCTACGCTTACCGATACAGTAGCTCTTACCCACGTTCAAATTACGGGTTGCTGTACTTACTGTATTTTGGTTCTTCCTGCAGTGCACACAGGCTACAATATTGACTTGTAGGAAGTTGGAGAGGATACTGTGTGGAAGGGTCCGACATCTGTACAATAGTTAACTACAGTACGATATCGGTAAGTACAAAACTACAATAGTTTACACTAGAGCTGTCTCAGATGGGAGCCAATATTCATATTAAATCTCCGAATCCGGGGAGGGGTTGAGTGGGGTTCAGGTCATCTTCTGAGGGGTAACGAGAGTGTGGGAAGTTTGAGATGTGATCTTGAGAGACAAACAGGCTCGAATATACCTGTCAGTCGCTACGACTTGACAAAGAATTGACAAAGGATGGAGACAGTGGAGCCTCTATTGAATCCCAAGGTCTTATTGTCCACTTCGGAGCTCTTTAATTACTATACAATACTATGCCCAGCTCTTTAAACAATTAACTCACTTTAGGACCTCCACCAGACAGGGTGTGTGATGTTAATGCATCCGAGGGTCTACTCATGCCCTATGGCGACAGGGTGTGATATCAGCAGTGGCTCTATCTTATGGCCAACACACTAAGAGAAGAGGTCACACCGTACTGCTCGTTTGTTTCAACTCGGTCCTTGCTGTTTTTGCGTCATATATTTCCGTGTCTTTGAAGGTCTCGCATCCACCCCCAATTGGGTATGGTTGCTGCCTTGTGCCAGCCTGAGTTACCTCTCTTGTATGTTGATATTCATTCCGTACCTGGCTGCAGTGCCAACCAGTGCAAACTGTAGAGGAGAGGCCACCCTGCTGACATTGGAGCTATAGTATTATATGAATTCCCCGCCTGGCGTTGCGAATGGATGGCTGTAGAAATGTGCATGAATTGGTGCTGAGGTTACAGTGGTATGTGGGATAGGGGCAACAATAACACACTGTATCAGTACGACACGGCTATACGGCACAGTTTACACTGCAAGAACAGAACGGTACATACTGTGACACACATTATAACCAAACCCGAGATATTAAAACAGACAAGAAATGGTGCCTTATATTATATATTTCACGCATTAGAGATGGAATCATTATAGAGTTGGCCGCGCCGTTGAAGCTTCCATAGGTATCAACACGAAGGGTTTCCTATATTGGCTCCTTACGTACAGTTAAAGTGGAATGACTTTTAAGCCAAGATTTCAAGATTTGTAAGGCCTTTAACACATGGGCTGGCCGAGAGAGTGGAGACTTTCCCCCTACGAGTAGAACACGCGAGCTAAACACTACGAGTAGCTACTCGTACTGTACGCACTCTGCACCGCGGATGTGAGACTCATCGAGGTTATACACCAGAAGTCTTCGTTGGCTTTACTTGGCTTCCTACTCTGTGGAGAGCGCCTGCCGTTCATCTGTACCCAGAGGTAACCGGGACAACTCTCGTCTCCCGGCATGGGCGTTTGAGTTTGCAAGGCTACGATCCTTGTGTGGGTGCGGTACGGGATTTGAGGTGGGTCTTGACCACGCCCCTGAGGTATATTCCACGGCGGTCTTGTGCTGGGGTCAGAAGAAAAAGTGACACTTTACTCGTAGCTCCATCTTAATGTGGAGGGGATCTAAAACAATATTGCGATTGAACCAGTAAACAATAAAAAGACAATATGGTGCCAAGACCACTTGTTTGTGCCCTGGAACTCTGACCCACACAGTCCGGCTGAGTCTCTCTGCTCCCTCAAACCTCCTCCACTACGATTGCATCATGCTACATTGGCCCGAAGTCTGTCAGCCGAGTCGAACACCATCAAGCTTGAGCGGGAGAAGGCGCGAGGTTAATTTCATGCGGCTGTTATGACTGTAAACCTGGGGTTGACTCTAGGGCTCTACTGGCCCCGAAGGAACCATTGTATACATTGGTTGCGCAGTAACTCTGCCTGAAGAAGACCCCCCCCCCCCCCCCCAACCGAACAGGGTATTCTACAATCATACAAGAAGGAGATATTTTCGCAGCTTTCTTTTGGCTGTTCCTGGAGTGTAATTTTATGTAACACACATGGCATGGAAACTTCGAGTCTAAGTCACGTGCACAATAAATAAAATATGGGATTCGGTCTAGACATCAACGAGATCATCCAAATGGAGGCGAAACAAACCCAGGGGGACAGACCCCGAAGAACTACAGAGAGAAGATGCCTTTATTCCCCGTAGAATCCAGACCCAAATTTCCTTGTACGCTGTTTATTTGCCTCATTTTATTGAACCAATTTGGCCACGGCTATATCCCGCGGATTAAAACTATCATGCAGATAACTCGGCTTTTCTCGTCTGCGTCACTGCACGGCACATGCACTCATCACATGATACCCGATGGACAGCGTGATAAAAGGAGAAGATGATCCTCGGTTTCTTTATCGTCTGCTTGGTGCTCCGGAGCGGGCTTCACACTGGGAGCATATCGAATGAACAGCCTCCATGGCTGTTCAGACTGCCAAGTTGGGCACACCAAGCTAGAATTAGCTCGTTGTCAGGCATTTATTAGTCTTGGCTAGCCCTGACCGACTCATTTTCAGTTAGGCTTCTGACTTGGTCTATTTTGGATACTCCTACGTAGCTCTGCTCCGATAAACGCAATTTTCACACGGTGACTATAGGACAGCTACTATGACTAGAACGGTGGTTGGCCGTGTATACGAGGAAAAAAGTACATAGAAGTATTCACCAGGGCAAATGACGCGCCCAGTCCCCATTTTATCCTTGTAGCAAGTCCCAGATGCACAGCCACATCCCATCGTTGTGCTTCAAACCTCCTCCTGAGCTTTTCTCTCGCTTTGCCCAAACAAACACACACACGCCAACAGAGTAAGCGAAACTCAGTTCATTCTCACACCTATTCCTCTACCAACAACTGTCAACAATCGCAAACGACAACCACTGGGTAAGTATAAGTATACACGACGACACACGGAGCGTTGATACCGACGCCGTTTGAAGCCCGCTGGCTCGCATGCTCTACTCTCTCTCCGTCAGGCCATTACTAACGCAGCATGACTAGAAAAGACGGAGGAAGGGGGTCCCTCGACTTCACAACAGAGGGCCTCAATGAGGCGCCGCCTCGAGTGTCGCAGGATGATTCCAACAGTCAACGGCCACGGGAACGACCACATATCACGTTCTCACCTTCTACTAACGACGTGCCGCATTCACAACGGTCACCACCACCACCACAACAACAGCCACATAGCCCCCGACGGCCTCGAGGGAACTCTCTGAGAACACAGCTTTTTGAGCGTCATCGACAACAGCAGCAGCAACAGGCGCCAGACACGACAAACGACACAAGCATGGATATATCAGGGGATTACAGCTGGGCTACGGACCCTTCAGAAGATGACCTGAAGGAGGGACCGTACCAGCGGGAGGACAGTTTTGAAGAGGTGACTCCTCAGGACATTGACAAGAGCATTGATGGTGAGTATAACCTCCAACGCAGATACTTTATGGACATCCTTTACTAACCCAGACTCGGAACCGTTAGCACGAACGTCCTCCGTTGGAAGCAAACGGTTATCGCGTATGGCGACCCAATTTTCGACTACACCCGGCAACATTTCAGAGCGGCTGCCAAACTACGCCCTGGAGAACAGCAAGCCCAACTCGTTCAAGGAAAACCTGCTCTCGTGGGGTCCACAGAAACAGGTGGTCAAGTATTTTGGAAAGGTGCACGACTTCGTGCTCAACATTCAGCATCTGCCTCCCTCTCGCGATGGCCGCCAGTTGCCTCTGGAGGTGCCAACGGGAAAGAGAGAGCTTCTGGACGAGCGACGAAACAAGAAGTTCATCGATAACGAAATCAAGTCTTCTATTTATACACCGTGGTCGTTCCTGCCTCGACAGCTTTACGCCCAATTCTCGAAGCTGGCCAACCTCTACTTCTTGGCCGTGTCCATCATGCAGATGATTCCCAGTTGGTCTACCACGGGTACTTATACCACAATCGCACCACTCATGTTCTTCATTTGCGTCTCCATGGCCCGCGAAGGTTACGACGATTGGCGACGACACAGACAGGATAAGGCAGAAAACTACCGGTTGGCCAAGGTGGCGATAAAGAGGGATAAGGGTGGAACCATCAGTGAGACCAGCAGCTCAAGAAACATGGAACTTGACTCTTTCTCCTCTGGGGACTCTATATCTGGCGCCTCGCCAATCGAGTTCAAGGAGGTTTATTGGAAAGATATCATGGCTGGAGATATTGTCAAACTCAAGCAGGACGACTGGATTCCTGCAGATATGATCGTTTTGTGGGCTGACGGTATGGGCGACCAGGCCTATATCGAGACCATGGCTCTGGATGGTGAAACCAACTTAAAACCCAGAGAAGCTCTACCTCAGATCCAAACGCAATGCAGCACGGACGCGGGACTGGCCAAGCTCAACGGCCATCTCAACACCGAGGATCCCAACATTGATTTGTACAACTTTGAGGGTCGGTTGGAATACGAGGGTGACACATACTCGCTTGGACCCCAAAATGTGGTATACCGAGGCTCCATTCTTCGAAACACTCCTAATATGCTTGGAGTGGTCATCTTCACTGGTGAAGAATCTAAGATTCGAATGAACGCCATCAAGAACCCTCGAACCAAGGCACCCCGACTCCAGTCCATGGTCAACAGGATCGTTATGGTCATGGTGGCATTTGTACTCATTCTTTCTGCATTCTGCACAGGTGCCTCTTCAATCTACTACCATTCCGATGGTCGACACATGTGGTACCTCAGAGGTCTGGAAGTCGGTGTTGTGCCCAACCTGATGGGTTTTATCATCATGTACAACACTCTGATCCCCCTGTCTCTGTATGTGGCACTGGAGATTGTGAAGGTCTTTCAGATCTACTTCATTCAATCCGACATTGACATGTATTACATTCCATCCAACACCCCTTGCGAAGCCCATACTGCTACAATCAATGAGGAGCTGGGTCAGGTGAGTTACATCTTTACTGACAAGACTGGTACTCTCACTGAAAACCTGATGGTGTTCAGAAAGATGAGTGTTGGAGGGCGAGCGTGGATCCACGAGCTGGACTGCATGCTTGAGGCTGCCAAGGCCGCCAATGCAGTCAAGGAGGCCCGAAACTCCACCGAGATGAGTAAGTTGGCAGGCAAGGCAGGTGTTGGAGATTTGTTGATCCACAAGCCTCGACGGTCTCGAAAGTCTCTCCGATAGAGTATGGGCAGCATGAAGCTGAAGAAGAAGTCTATTGACCCGTTTGATGATTCTCAGGATAGCCGGTTTGCCCACAAGAATTCCGGTGGTATCAAAGCTTGGGATGGTAGAGATTCTGGTGACTCTGAGCGGGGAGGAAAACAATGGGATGGAAGTGGTGCCTCGGGCTCCAAACCGCGGACTTCCAATGTTCGTTCTATCGGAAGACCCTCCAACGCCGGAGGTCGGCCTTCTGTAGTTTTTGATCGCACTGCAGAGGTGGAGCACGAGAGTCGACCTCGAAAGTCTCAGGGCATTCAATCCATTCACTCTCCAAGACAGTCTACTGATGAGCTTTTCCGACAGGTCATGGCCCTTCCTCGAAAAAGTATGACTATTGAGCCCACGCAGACTCAGAGCAGCGAGGCTGAGCCTCGACTGTCTCGGGCTCTGTCTACGCGATCCCTGTGGAAGGCTTCTGCCGCTCCCATGAAGGATCAGGAGAACCCCACCACCCTGGACTTGCTGAACTACCTTCAGACCAACCCCAACTCGGAGTACTCGATTCGTGCTAAGTTTTTCCTTCTCAACATGGCTCTGTGTCACATGTGTCTCCCTGAGGGCAACCTGGAGGAGGGTATTGAATACACCTCGGCCTCTCCAGATGAAGTTGCCCTTGTGGCTGCTGCTCGGGATCTCGGATACATCATGAGCAACAGATATAACTCCACTGTCACTGTGCGAACTTTCCCTGACGGTTTGGACGATGATCCTGTTGACGAGACCTACGAGATTCTAGATGTCATCGAGTTCACTTCAGGCCGAAAGCGCATGAGTGTTGTTGTTCGAATGCCCAACAATGAGCTGTTCATATTCTGCAAGGGAGCTGATAACGTCATCGTTGACAGACTTCGAAACTCCGCAATTGCTCATGAAAAGATTGACCGGATCTCCAACCAGGCTGCTGATCGAAAGCGAGCTGAGGCCGAGGTTGTTCTAGAATCCCGAAAGAGTATGGGCGCTGCTACTTCCCCTCGTAAGAGCGGTGTTGATACTGATGCTCGAACTTCTTTCGGTATCCCTCGTCCATCTATTAACCTCGGTAGATCTAGAGACCCCTTAGATTCCATCGACGACTGGCTCTACAAGAAGACTCGAGAGGAAGAGGACGTCCATGAGGTTGCATCTACTGCTCGAAAGTCTGTGCAACTCGCTCGAAAGAGAATGTACAACGAGCCCCAGCCTAGACGGTCTATGGATGTTCGACAGACTGCTCATCGAGTATCTATGGGACGTGTCTCTACTGGCCGAGTGTCTTTCGCTTATGGTGAAGAGCGTCTCCCTCGAAATATGGACGATATTCTCACTCGAACCACACCCAAGAAGAATAGTGGTGGTGGTTTCGATCATGAAGACGCTGCTGGAGACTTGTCTGTCGAATTTGGTATCGATGACGAGCTGGTCAAGAATGATGCCTACATCATGGAGAAAACCCTGAACCACATTGAGGAGTTTTCGACCGAGGGTCTGCGAACCCTGATGTATGCTCACAAGAAGCTGGGCCAGGAGGAGTACAAGCAGTGGAAGAAGCTCTACGACGATGCTCGAACCTCGTTGGAGAACCGAGCCATGAAGTGTGAGAAGGTGGGTGAGATGATTGAGCGGGATTTTGAGCTCAGTGGAGCCACCGCTATCGAGGACAAGCTGCAGAAGGGTGTTCCCGAGACCATTGAGAAGCTGCGGCGAGCCAACATCAAGCTGTGGATGCTTACAGGTGACAAGCGAGAGACTGCCATCAACATTGGGTACTCTTGTCGTCTTATCAAAGATTATTCGACGGTTGTCATTCTCAAGCATGATGAGGATATCGTTGGAGCACTTGCCCAGTCTCTACTCAAGCTTGACACTGGCAACGTGGCACACTGTGTGGTGGTTGTAGATGGACAAACGCTGTCGATAATCGAAGAGGATCTCACTTTGATGAGTCTGTTCATTGATCTCGGTATCAAGGCCGACTCAGTTATCTGCTGTCGAGCTAGTCCTTCACAGAAGGCTCTCATGGTGACCAACGTGCGTTCCAAGGTCAAGTCCGCTATCACTCTTGCCATTGGTGATGGTGCTAACGACATTGCCATGATCCAGTCTGCCGATGTTGGTATTGGTATCACTGGTAAGGAGGGTCTGCAGGCAGCTCGATCTTCGGATTTTGCCATTGCGCAGTTCTCTTACTTGCTCAAGCTGCTGCTTGTCCACGGTCACTGGAACTACGACCGAACCTGCAAGTATGTGTTGGCCACTTTCTACAAGGAAATGCTCTTCTACACCACGCAGGCAATCTTCCAGTATAACTCCATGTTCACTGGAACATCGATGTACGAACAGTGGTCGCTCGCCATGTTCAATACCCTATTCACTTCACTCCCTGTGATTGTGCTTGGCATTTTTGAGCAGGACCTGTCCGCGGCTACCCTGATTGCAGTTCCCGAGCTTTATGCTAAAGGACAGAAGAACGAAGCATTCAACTACCTTGTTTACCTCGTGTGGATGACTATTGCCATCTCACAGTCTTTGATTATTTCGTTCATGGCCTTTTACATCTGGGGTTTCTCAAGTCTCCCTGATATCGACAACACTCTCTACCCTCTTGGCATGATTACCTTTACCGCTGTTGTGTTGCTGATTACACTTAAGCTTCAGATGATGGATATCCAGAGCCGAACTGTCATTGCGCTCGGAGTTACCATTATTTCGATCGGTGGTTGGTTTGCATGGAACTTGTTCTTGTCTGCTGTGTACCATAATGGCCGGGTGAAGATCTACTACATCCCCGATGGTATGGTATCTCGATGGGGTAAGGATTTGTCTTGGTGGGCTGCTCTCTTGGTCGTGACCATTGCAGCTGCACTGGTGGACATTCTGTGGAAGGTGTTCCGAGTGTGGTTCTTCCCTACTGACACAGATTTGTTCCAGGAGCTTGAGCAGGATGACTCTATCAAGAAACGACTTGAAGAGGAGGCCTACGAGGAATTGCAGCAGGGCTGGCGTCATGGTAACTGGGTGGCTGATCTGGAGGCTCAGGGAGCTGATGCTCCTGGCACTCCTCGAAGTAGCAGAACCAGAAGTACACGCTACTCAAACTCTGTGCGATCCCCTGCCAGCCCGAGATACTACGATGAGTACACTCCTTACACATCTTCATCTGGGAGAGAGTCATCTTCTAATGACCATCAGTCTAGAACCGACAAACTGCGACAGAAGCTGCGATTCCCTCGTAAGAAGACTTCTGGTGAGTACGAGCGTGAGGTGGAGGAGATTCTCAAGCGCCGAGCGGAGGATGAACGGTCTCAGGCTTTGAGAGATATAGAAATGAGGCGCATGGCCTAGTTAGACATTGCATTATTTATGAATTATTTTGGTGGTCTTAGTTTCTGTAGTCATGAGTAGAATCCGCTGTCATAATTTGTACCAGCTGAATACCTGGGCATCCTCCGTGGGGCACCAACAGTGCCACAGATTGGCAATCCCGACTCGGTCTTGGGGAGATTCAACTCTGTAGGTCTGTATTCGCGCATTCTTTGGAAGCGGTCCATTTCATGAAACTTGGGTTGTTGTGGACCCCTGAGACAGGCATTCAGAGCAGTATTAAGACCTCTTTCGAGTTTCATGATTATCCGTTCCATAGAGAGATGATGTTCTGCTACCCCTATCTCCACTCCCTCGTCCCAGTCGCTGTCGCTATCCTCATGGATGTAGTGTTGAGTGGGTACCAAACTCATGTACACGGTTGAATTAACAGTATGGATGTCTGGAGAGGTTGATGTTACTATATAGAAAGGAGTCGTGACATTCTTGGTGTTGTGGACGGCAAGATTGGTGAGAGGAACAGATGAGGATACCAATGAGACACAAGTATACAAAATATGGCTAAATAACTGTAGCTCATAAAGCGGTTTTCACTAACGACAGGCTATACTGTAGGTTAGTATAACTACAATACTTGTACAGTAGGTATCCAAACAAACAGTCTGCTTTGAGTTAACAGATCCCCAGCTCGTACACAAGCCTTTGCGAGGTGCAGTATACTGTAGCCTTCGCAGTTGAAAATGGACAAGGACACATATCCAAAGACATTCACCAGAATACTACAAGCACTGTATGATGCAGATGACAAGCGAGACACCTCCACATCTGCTTCCGCAACGCTTCCGCAACTCTTCCGCAACCTGTACTGGCGGAAACATTCATGCTGCATGTCAGAGGCATGATAAGGATCTCAGTAAGTAATTGGAGGATACGGTAGCTACAAGCTTCATATTAAATCAGTTACGAAACCGAAATATGGGGTAAAAATCCAAGAGGAAGGCTCTGGCCAGATATTTAATTAGCAGTCAGAAAAATCAAGGGTATTTGGTTCTATATCACGCGTAGGGTTGACACTACGACTGTTAACGGCACTGATACTAGGGCAAGGTCTTATCCAAAATAAGAAGGAGGATGCGCCTTTTTTTGGCAGGGTCCCGCGATTGTGGAGATGCGCATTAGGCGAAATCTGACCAAATCAGGAAATTCTATGCGGGAATGAACTCGTGTATATCTCGAGAAGTAGAGAAGATAAGAGAAACGTTGAGTATGTATTTTATAGCTGAAGTTGACCTCTTCGTGTTAAGACATTATTCCAAGCAATACGTGTCATTCCCTGGTACTTTCTCCTACGGCATTGCTAGATCAGATCAAGCCTTGAATACTAAATGAAACTTTCAGGAACCCGGGGAAATATAAAACTACCAGCTTTCGCTGATAAGCTGGGACACTACCATCCACCTTCTTTGCACAACAATCAACATGCGAGCATCTATTTTATATGCTGGGTTCGCTCTTGCAAGCTTCATGGATTCCGAGTATGGTGATCTGTCCGTCGAACAGAAGCCCATCAAGGATCACAGTCATTCACACCACCATCATGATCACGGCCACGGTCATGGAAATGGACACGTTGAGGTAGAGTATCTGAATCTCCCGGGTAACAACTTCTACGAAGATCTGGATGCCGAGCTCAATGGACCTCTTTATGCTGGCATTCAAACCTTTGCTCATCTGGGACATGTTTCGTGCTTTGATCCCACCAACTTTGCATCCGAGCAATTCGATATCGCTCTAGTTGGGGCTCCTTTTGACACAGCGGTCACTTTCAGGTCGGGTGCTAGATTCGGACCGGCTGGAATCCGAAAGGGATCCAGAAGAATGTCTCCAGGACAGGTCAGTCCATACAGAGAGGGATTCATGCTCTACGACGATTGGGCCAAGTTCGTTGACTGTGGTGATGTTGCCATGCATCCCCTTGACAATAGATACGCGCTTAACCAGCTCTATCGAGGAATGAGAGCTATTCACAACCACACGACCTCCACTCTCAATGCCACGCATATTCCCAGAGCCATTCTTATGGGTGGCGATCACACTACCACGTTGTCAGCCTTGCAGGCTATCTACGAGAAGATTGGACCTGTTTCTGTCATTCATTTTGACTCCCACATCGACACCTGGGACCCCATGGTTCTGGGAGGCAATGTCTCTTCATACATGCAGGTCAACCATGGCACCTTTTTGCATTACGCTGCTGAACGAGGCTACCTCAACCACGGACACAACCTACACGTTGGATCTCGTGCTCCCTACGTGCGAAAACACGGAGATATTGAGCATGATAAGCACTGCGGCTTTGCTATTGTGAACGCTCGAGAAATCGACGAAGTCGGTATCGCTGGAGTTGTTCAGAAGATCAAGGACCGGGTCGGAAACACCAACGTCTATATTTCGGTTGACATTGATGTTCTCGATCCCGTCTACGCACCTGGAACTGGTACTGCTGAACCCGGAGGATACACTACTCGAGAATTTATGCAGATTCTCGATGGCCTTGAGGGAATCAACATTGTTGGAGCTGACGTTGTGGAAGTGGCTCCTGCTTACGATGGTCCTGGTGACGTTACCTTGCTGGCAGCAGCACAAGTGATTGACAGTCTGGCATCTCTGATGGTCATGAATGGACCCCTTTCTACTAGACAAAGCACAAAGTAAGATATATGTAACAATTGTATTATAAATCAATCTCATAATCATCGTATCGTATCGTTATCTCTCTCTCTATCTCTCTCTCTCTCGAGTTTTACTCTCCAAGAGTCAGAGCCTTGTTCCAGAAAGTGACCTCCATCTTAGTGGCAGTGGCGAAGATCTCAATGAGCTCCTCCAGTCGCTCAGGAGACACTTTCGGAGCCTCCTCCTCCAGAAGAGCTCGTCCGGTCTCAGTGGCACAACCGAACTTGGGATCAACGTACTTGTCGATCCAAGAAGAGTACCGGTTACCGGGCTTGTACTCGGGGTGGTTCTTACCGTTTCGAGCAGCAATTCCGTATCCAAACAGACAGGGAGAAGTAGCAAACTGAAGAGCCAGCCAGTCTTCAGCAGCTCCTACATCAATAAGGTATCGGGTGTAGGCGTAGCACTGGAGTCCCTCCTCGGAGTTCTCGAGCTCCTCAAGAGACATACCGTTCTCCTTGCAGTGGTCAATATGCAGACCAAGCTCGCTCTGGATAGTGTCGATGATTACACCAGCAGCAGCGGTCTGAGCAATGTTCTTGGCCTTGTAGCCGGATAGGGCGGCAGCTCGAGCATAGTGTCGCAGGTAGAGGTAGTCCTGCTGCAGAAAGTAGTAATAACACTCCGGCTTGAGGTCTCCCTTAGCCAGCTGCATAACGAAGGGGTGCTCAACATACTGCTTCCAGGCAGGTGCAACCTTGGGGTGTGAAAGAAGGTAGTCCAGGAAGTGGCCCTTCTGGAAAGGAAGAACTCGCATGTTGTAGGTGTGGTTGACGGGGCCGTGTCCCTTACCAATAGGGTGGGCCTCAAAGATGGCGTTCTGGATATACTGGGTTCCCTCAAGAACCGCCTGGGGAATGTCCTTACCCTTGGCCAGGTTGGAGGCAATGGCAGAGGCTAGAGTGCAACCGGTACCGTGGGTAGACTTGGTAGTGATATAAGGCATGACGAGCTCAGTAAAGTCCTTTCCATCGTAAAGCACATCAATGACGACCTTATCAGTATCGTTTTCCTTGGCAGGCTCCTTGTCCTTGGTGAACGACAGATGTCCTCCCTTGATGAGCACCCACTTGGCACCAGTCTTGTGAATAGAAACGGCTAGATCCTTCATGTCCTGAACGGTCTTGGGGGTCTCAAACTTCTTCTTCTCAAGGACAGAGGCCAGTTCGACGGCCTCGGGAATGTTGGGGGTGACAATAGTCGCCAGACCAAACAGCTCCAGGTAGACAGACACGTACTCAGCAGGGAAGAGGGTAGAGCCAGAGGTGGAGCACAGAACAGGGTCAATGACTGAGGCCTTGTTTGCGTGGTGCTTCTTCAGGTAGTTGGTGACGGTGGTGATGGTCTCCTGAGAAGAGAGCATACCAGTCTTGACAACGTCAACACCTACATCGGAGAAGACGGCGTCCAAACAAGCGGTGATGAAGCCCTGGTCCTCAATGGGATGGATCTTCTCGACTCCTGTGGTGTTCTGAGCAGTGAGACCGGTAATGGTTGTCATACCGTAGCAGCCATGGACGGTGATGGTCTTGAGATCGGCTTCAATGCCAGCTCCTCCAGAGGAGTCCGAGCCGGCAATGGTGAGAACAGAGGGAGGTCGAGTATCAGTCATGATCGAATTGAGTCAGCGACGGTACGAATTCACAAAAAAGAGGGACGGGCTGCGAAATATATACCTGGCTTCTGGAGATGGGCGCATAACCATGACTCAAAAAGACTCAAGTTGACGGGTTAGGGGACTTGAAGAGACTCAATATTCGAGTCTAAGAAAACTTAAATGTCATATTGAGGAACCCTGTTGACGAAAATGAGATCCGTGTGTCAGATACAGCAGGTGTGCGAATGGGTGATTTCGAGGGCCAAATGTAGAAGAGACCTTACATACTCATCTATGTTCCTAGAAACGTCCATTAAACCCCTCTCTACAACAAAAACCTCTGTAATAATACTTGCTGTGAAACTCTGCTTGCGCAGGAAGAGAACAGAGAAATTCAGTCAACCAGTAATATTTATGCACCTCACGAAGTATCTTCCTGGTACGAATGTATCGGGTGTAGGTACATACTATACGAAGGGGAAAGGAAGCCACAGAGACTTATTTGGAGCTGAATAAAAGCTACATATTATAGCGCCTCATACAGTTGTCAGTCTCACTAGTGACGATCCACCTGCAAAATGTCTCTCTGTCCCAATAACTGCTAATTACTTATGATGTCCCAGCATGTGTTCCCGTGTATGAGTCTCGTACGTACCCCCCACACTTGGTCGTCACCACACATTAAAGATTGGGTGCAACCGGTATAAGCTCGGAAGATAGAGGCAGGAGCGGACAAAGCGTGTGTATGAAGAACGTGCCAATATCCTGTTGGGGTTCCTTGTTATGGTTTGGATATGATTCATTTGAGTCATTTGAGTCATTTACTGAGTCACAGCTTCTAAACCCCTGACTTATATGGCGTCCCCAAGTTTACACAAGTAGTGTCTGATACAAGTCTTCCTAGAGGTATGAGAGTATGGCCCTGTAACTATAGAAATGTGTTAGCTACAATACCAGTACGAAGCGTACACCGTGGCGTGTTACAAAAGGAATAATTGGCGACTCACCCACTTCACCGGCGAAGCAGATATGGAACGGCACTTGAACTGGCTGTATCATGGCTAAATTGACCTCAGACAAGATGCCCCACAGGACCTCTGTCTTGTTCTCTTCGTAATTATTTTTACTGTAGCTTCCTCATAACAAACTGTATGTGGACTTCCAAACAGAAGTCGAAGATTAATCAGCATAATTGTTACATCATGGCTGACGTTCCTCTGCCTAGAGCATGTACAGTAGTCTCTTATACCATCTCACATACCTTTTCACTTTGGTCACGTGATCCTACGTTCTGTTAGGGTTGTTTCATAAAGCGGTTCAATCAACAAGCCGCAATTGGGAGAATATTGATCATATAGCGACTCATGCATGAAGACATTTTCTGTACCTTAATTTAAAGACTCGGTTATCAGCGATGGTAAGTAACCGGGGGTGGTGGACTGGGTGGATGTGTATCGTGGAAGTGGTCTAACAAGCGGTTTTAAAACATTATAATTCAAGCAACCTACAGGGCCTACACTAACCCACCCTACTATCTTATCTGTATGCGGCACGTAGAGACAGAGAACATTCTAGCCGATTTTCCCCGCTCTCGAGCTTATCTGTGGCAGATCAAATTTGAAAAGTCCGAGTGAGACCAAAACACACAACCGTACACACGCACCATGAGTAGACACACATCTACCATTGTTGGTCTGCTGACATGCCAGAACGAGCCCTACCTCAAAGCTCTCACTACCCGTGTCATTGGGTGTGAGGAAGTTCCCAAAACCAAGAAGACCCCTGCCAAGTACGAGGTTGAGCTCGAGGACACAATCTTGTTCCCTGAGGGAGGAGGACAGCCTGCTGATCTTGGCACATTGTCCTACGAAGAGACTTCCGTTCCCGTGAACTATGTCAAGAGAGATGGACTCATCGCCAAGCATGAGACCGACAGTCCCATTGAAGTAGGTACTACTGTCAATGTTGACCTGGAGTGGGCTCGACGTTTCGATCACATGCAGCAGCACACTGGTCAGCATCTTCTGTCGGCCATTTTCGATACTCGAAAGCTTGAGACCCTTGCATGGAGCCTGGGTGACAAGTTTTGTTACGTTGAGTTGCCCAAGCGGGTGACCCGCGAGGAAATGGACGCCGTCCAGGCTGAGGTCAACCGCGTCATTCAGCAGGACCTCAAGATCACTACTACCATCATTACAAACGAGGAAGAAAAGGCTGCAGCTGATCCTTCTGTAGTTGAGAAGATCCCTGATGATTATGATGTCAATAACGGTGTTATCCGAGTCGTTAATATCGGAGACATAGATCATAACCCCTGCTGCGGTACTCATCTCAACTCTACTCGAGAGATTGGATCTGTTGCTCTGTTGCATACCCAGGCCATGCGAGGCTCCAATTGCCGTGTATTCTTCGTATGCGGTGACAGGGTTCACAAGTACGCCTCCGAGGCTCACCGGACCATCAAGATGGTCAACTCTCACCTCTCATGCCTTACTGAGGACATTGAGAATAAGATTTTGGCTCTCAACCAGAATCTCAAGGATGCTTCGAACCGAGAGAAGATGTGGATGGCCGAGGTCGCTACTTTTACCGCTCACAATGCGAAGCAGGATCTTGAGACTAAGAACGTTGTTTTCGTGTACAAGCCCGAGGCTTCTCTGGATTTCCTCAACGTCATTGCAAAGGAGATTGGCGATCTCGCTGAGGGTAAGACTGCCATTCTTGCATGCGGCCAGGGTACCGCTGGAGGTGCTATCATGATCATTGGAGACAAGCTCGACGAGGTATCTGCCAAGGTCAAGGACATTGTCGTTAATGTCAAGGGAGGTGGAAAGGGCCGGTGGCAAGGAAAGGTCACCAAGTGGGACATGGGCGCTGCCGAGGCTCTTGAGACTTATGCTTTGAGCATTTAGAAAACCCATAGTGTACGGTACACTATTATAGACGAACTGGATCCTTCAAATGAATGCCTTGATTACATGTAAGCAGTATGAGTAAGAATAACGAATAAATAGATTAGTAATGCGAGGTTGGTGCTGGGGGATTAATGAGATCCAAAACATCTTTGGGGATGAGCCCTTTGGTTCTCCATCTCCATCTCAGTTTTCTGGACAGCGAATCCCACCACATGGGGCGAGAAGGTGAGGTACCGACACTGCTCTGTGCCATTGGTTGGCGAGAACGAAGCTCGTATGAAGATTGAGCTTTCCGCACCGACCTCCCAAATCCAGTTGAACGGTCAGGGAATGCCTTGTGTGTACATTTCGTGCACACAAACTCGGAGTATTTGCAAGCGTCTCGTTTGTCCATGGACTCGAGGAAGCTTGAGAACTCGTAGAGAGGTGCAAAGCAGGTGGTGCACTTCTTAATCGATGCTTCAGGGTTCTTGAGTGAACGTTCGTAGTCGGATACAAAGTAGTCCTCGACGAAGACCAGGGGTTCGTTGTTGCCACAGTCGGAGGCCTGTGCATGCAAGGGGAAAAATGTCAGTTCTTTGTGATCAATGAGATCCAATTTCGACGGTCTGTGGCGCAGGAATCCTGATCTTTTACGTCTAGGAAGTGTCGAGGGCGCTCGAGACTCGATGGGTCGCTTCTTGCGTGGCGTTTCATTGATCTCATCGTACACTGACGAGAGAGTGATAGACACCGTGCGAGTTATCGAGTCGAAGCTTGTTCTTTGTTTCGTTGGACTATCTATGCTCAGCTCTGTGGACTTTTTTGGTGTCACAATATCACATGAGATGTCAAGATTCTCAAAGGCTTTCAGTGTCGAATTGCCTACAGGTGTGGAAGTCTGGACTTCGGAGTCTCGTCTGATGTGGAATGTCGGAGGAGAAGTCCCCATGAGATAGTCTTGCCGTTGTCGCTTGGCCACGGAGATTTTAGGAAGAGGGCTTGGAGATGCTGATGCAGAGAGAGGTTCGCATGATGCCCGAGTGATAACGCCCGGAGAATAGTCGTAGTCGTCTGTGTTTTCCTTTTCTTCATCCATCTGTGTTTGTGGTTGAGTCGGGGTGATGGTTTTTGCTGGCCACGGAGACTTGGTTGGGGTGAGTCTCGGCGAGTCTCTCATGGCCTGTTTCGGGGTGCTTCGTGGAGATTTCGAGAGTCGGGCAATCAGAGAGACGCCGGACGCCAGTTTTGCTGAGGGGTGTTGGTGTCCAAAAGAGATCTTTGGTCTAGACTCGGTCATTGTGTCAGGGACTAGGCGGGGCTTTAGTCTAGAATTATATTATCCTGGTCGAGGCTAAGCAGTGAAGGTGGGTGGGTAGAGAGGTGTAAGAGGGCACCTATGGTCGAAGTGATAGACAGCTAGGAGAACTGTATCGAGGAGACACGATCCCTTCGGGCGGTGGTCGGAATGCGTCAAAGGACTCTGCTGTGGATTTGGGTGGGTAGCGGCTAGTGACTGTTTGGGGATCTCAGGGGGTTTCTTGATGCTGCTCGAGGCACATCACTCCTGCATTTGCTTTGTTGACCCACTGCTCGATTCGTCAAACACTAATAGACACTGTGAAGTAGCAATGACACGCTGGAAACACGGGATAAATAATAAACTGATGAACTAAACAAGGAGGTCACATGTGAGCGAGGAATGTAAATATTATAAATATTATTCGTAAGGACTCGGTGCAGATGGAAGCCTGACCTGGGTATTCTGTACATGTTCTTTCCATTTTTAGGCCTGGTGACCGCCCATCCCAACTACAACTAAGCATATATACTGTAGCACACACAATAGAAGCCTCACACAGTTTAATTTTAGTGCTTGGAAAACAATCATACTGCATACCGAATAGGCAGATTAACACAAGTCCTGCTTCATATATGCCAGGATTGTGACAGAAGCATGTGGGGGAGACTTTAATTTGCGCTACAAGTACAGTGCCCACATAGTATGCCGTGTCACTATCGAAAGCCTTCTCTCCTGTTGAGCTCCGCTGACACTTGAGGCGGTGTTTTGGATTAGTCATTCTTGGCCACCAAAATCAAACCCTTAAATGTGCGGGCGGCATGTATACAGCGGACCTCACGCCTTACATTCGTCATGAGTTGTAAAACTCTGGACTACGTACATTTGTCTGATTTCGAGGCAGCAAATTTTTCAGACCATTCTCCACGTTTTTGACTTAATCCGGTACGTCATATCCATCCGACAATCGCCCAGTCCCCAAATTGGCGCGCACTTCCAGAAACCCAGCTGGTTGTTTGAGCGGCAAGGTTGCGTATTGAGCATGCCAGTTTTCCGTGTGAAGAAATAAGCAGATTTTTTTTCATTTTCCATACATCCTGTGACAGACTTTCTGCATCCTGTTACAGAACGATACAAGTGCCAGCACAGTACAGTATGTACTTGTGGTATCTCTCTTTTAGTTATTTGGTATTGGCGCACACACTCGGAAAAATGAGGCCTCGATGTGCATGAACCCAAACGCGTCCTCGCGACATGCATACACATACATTTCGTGAGAGCTATCTCTAAGTACAGTGCTTGTACTCGTACAAGATCAACACCAGTCCACTCAGTCTTATCACCACAGGAAAACACCAAGCGACATACAGCATGCATCCAAAGACCGTGCCACGGGAAATGCCGCCCGATGAACAGAGTCTGGCACTTCTACAGGCTGCATGGGCCAAGCTGGACCCACTGAACAAGGGAACGATTGCGGCGACCCAGATGTTAGCTGCGGTGGACGCCATTGAGGCTAGCTTCGGAATGGTCCCGGGCAAATTCATTTCGCGACGCGGAAGGAAGGTCATTGCAGATTTCGCGGACGAAAACCCCAGGAAGCGAGTCACACTGGAAAAGATGGTCAGGTTGTTTGAAGCCTTTGACAAGTCTGTGGAGATGGAAGGGGAGCAGTCAGTCTCAGGGTGGATGTCACAAAATGAGGATTACTCAGACTATTATGGAGACGCTCAAAGGGTGTCTGAAATACAGACACCCGGCCCAGAGGTGGATGTTGGGGCAAGCCCTCCAGTAAGTCCCAAAGCCAGTTCGCTTCACACAGAGGGGTTTGGTATGGACCGAGAACAACATGGTTTTCCTGATATTCTTGGTGAGCTTCCCGATATCCTGCCTGAATTGGATCACCCGAGCCCCACGAGAACAACGCAATATGCCCCATTTCAAACCACGAGTGCATCATCCCATGTGAAGTATGTCCCAACCAACGAAGGAAGATCCACGAGTGCTACGACCAACTACAAGCCTTCCACCATCTCGCCAATGACACAAAGAGGATCACTCACATCGCCACAACGAGCTTCTCGCCGTGGATCCACTGCTTCCAGCAGACCCACCACATTGAACTCCACACAGACCCTGGGCAATGAGTCTTCTCGTGATGGCTTTTCCATGAGTGACAGAAGCTTCAACAGAAGTACACCTCTACGCCCAAACCGACGGAGCTGGGCGAAGTCCAATGACGAAGCTTTCTTTGAACGCATGCGAAAAGATGATGACGATGGTGATGATGATGGTGACTTTTCAATCAGCATGGCAGACGGTGACACGGACTCACTCATGAGGATCAACCATAAGCATATGAATGAACTACACCAGTTGAGAAACTACGCAGCCTTCTGTGAGACTCAAATGGAGGATTCTGAACTGCGCCACGTTGATCTGGAAGCTTCGATACTGGCGAAGACGAAGGAGTGCCGAGAGCATGTCTCCAGAACAAAGGCTCACCAGGAAGGTCTCGAGCAAGTGTCACAAATGATCACCGAGTTGACAGAAATTCTGGGTCGTAAGCACAAGAGAAATTCAAGGACGGGCTCCATCTCAAGTACACCAGATTCTGACGTGCTGGAAGCGTACAAGAATCGACTTGAGGTACAGTTGGAAGCATTGGGAAAATCCGGGGAGCTACAGGAAGCGGAAATTAAACGCTTGACAACAGAGAAGATCGAGCAGCAACAAAAGGTTGAGGCTCTGGAAGCCCAGATCAAATCGCTGACTGACAGCCTGACCAAGGTCACCGACAATGTTACCACTATGAAGGCTAACAAAGAGCGGGAGGACTTCTTAGACTTCGAAGCTAGGCTCAACAACCAAGATCCAAGCGACTTCTCTTCCATTAACGAAATCTTGGAGCAGCAGAACCTCATCATCAACGATCTCAAGGAGAAACTGCTTGAGAAAGAACAGAAGGAAGAACCCAAGGATATCAAGACGGAAACGGTTGCTCACGTTGAGCAGTCAACCATTTCCACAGGGCTTAAGAATGCCTTCACCATTATTATCATGGTCATAGCTTTCCACCTCATTTCGGAGATCTTCTTCCCTTCGAACTTACCTGAAGGCGTTCTATGGTGGATGAATGCCCCCGCTCCCATCGAGCGAGTGTTTGGTGCTCTGGATGCTTGGGTCGCCCGTCACGACGACTTCAGAATGCCTATGTAGGGGATCAAGCTGTACTAATTATTAACAACATGCATGCATATATAAATATAGAAATAAATTACGGTGGGGTTTTACTCAATGGTGTTGTTATTCATAAATCATAAATCATTTAATAAAAATTATTTTTCTCCCCATCGATAGATGTTGCCGGAATTGTCTCCAGCATAGAGAGAGATACTGGGGGCGTGAAGAAGCAAAGCGTTGATGCGACCTTGAGAGGCAGTCGTTCGGGTGGACAACTTCTCCAAGTTCCACTTGTCATCGTGGGTTAGCTTAAATGTCTGTGTTAGAATGTGGTTAGAATGGTGGGTGGTGTTCGAAATATACTCACAATAATCTCTCCTCGATCGTCGCCTACGACGACGAAGTAGTCTCCATGCCACTTGTACGTGGGGTCCGAAATGAAGGCAGCGCAATAGTTTGCTGGTCTGCCTGTTGTGTTCAACTGGCGAGTAACAAGATGATCATCGTTGATGGTTGTCACAACGATGGAGTCACTTGTCAGCAGAGCAATGTCACCACTGATTTCGTTGACCTGAACATTGCGAACACCCTCGGTGGTGAATGTTCGAATGAACTTGAAGGTGGACAAGTCCCATTGGATGACCTTGCCCACATCATCAAGGGTGATTATGTAATTAAAACATTCTGACACTCGAATGTGCGAGATACAGGCTTCATGGCCACGCAGGGTGTCCAAATGGGAGAGCTCATACTGCAAAGACTTGCCATTCTTGGTGATGACCAGTCTGTGAACACTCACCAGACCAGCACGGTCAGCGGTGAGAACAAGCATGTTCTCCAGAGCGACAACCAGCTCAATAGGTGACAAGTGCAGACCTTCAAACACAGTCACAAGCCTGTTATCGTTCCACACCTGGAGGCCATGGTTACGGCTATCAGCACGCAGAACAGTAGGAGGGAATCCCTCCACAGTTACAACCGCGCGCTGTCGATAAGTCACCTTAAGCTGTGAATTGTGAACAAACAGATCCTCAATGACTTCGGGCTCGTTGGTGTTAACAGTGAAGTCGGGCTCTGTAGCAAGATCCCATGCCACCGCTCCAACATCACCAGACTTGGGGTGGGGTTTAGTCAGAATTTGAGAGGGTGTCTGTCCAAAGTTGTGAATGATTCCAATGGTTGCCAGTCTTTCCATTTCATCCTCAATGACCTCCAAGTTGATAGCTCCTCGGTACGAGAGATGGTGGAACACGTTGAGGGAATCGATAGCCTCAGGTCCCTGTTGGCGAGAACCAAAAATGAGATCGATCCAAAGATGCAAATTGTCACGGACGTACTGAGACTCCAGTGCTTCTCGGTTTCGCTGTACAAAAAGTTTGGGGTCGCCCTTGGCCCAAGGAGGAAGTTCCACATCACCAACCTTGGCATCACCATCATTCTGACGCTGACCAAACGAAAAGTTGTTCGAGTTTAGCAGAAACTCAGGCAGAAAGAAGAACTCAGGAATGAGTTCACGCACATCGGTGGTGTTATCACGAGAAGCAGACAGCCAAGCCTTCTTGATGGAGTAGAAAAGTCGATCAGCATGGTCGAAACGGCCACCCTGAAGCAGCAGGTATGAATGCACGAACGGCTGCAATCGAATAAGGTAGGAGGTCACAATCATGGCCGACGAGTAATGAGTTCCATAGTGGAAGGGGGGACTTCGAGTGTCGTCTAGCTCCAACAGCGCTTCATATCTGTTCTTGAATTCATTGGCACGATGGGAAGACTGAGCACCCATGGGCTTGCTTAGATCTCGGAAGGTCTCCGGCTTGCTGAAGTTTAACTCCTCACTGTCATAGTCAGCCAATACCCAAGGGAATATCGGGTACTGGGTGATATCGTTGAATGTTCTTCCAGCCAGAGTGTTGAGAATCATCAAGTACGAAAAGTTGGAGAGCTCACCAGCCATCCACTTCTTGGTGGGGATGTGGACTGCAGAAGAAGATTTAGAGAAGCCTAGCTTCTGAGAGAAAGATTTGGAGGACGAATCGAGATCACATGCATGTGAAATGGCATACAGGATGTCATCGTTCTTGAGCTTGGTACGCATTGCATCTCCCATAGCTCTGGTAGACCGGTTGTTCAGAAGCTTGTTGGAGATAGCGTCTCTCACACGAGGAGTAGCAGCAGTCAGCAACAAACTGCATCCGTTAGTGAAAAAGATCTCAATAGCTACATCACGGAGAAGGAATCGCCTCTTGGTGACTTGCAGAATGGATTCCAAGGGGAACTTGAGCGCCAAAGAAGCAGCTCCACCAGAATTAGATGTAGCGGGTTCGGCCACTCCACTCTTCTCACCCGAAATAATTCGCAAGAAGGGGTCTCTCTCTGCGATGGGAGCTTCGGAAGCGTTGACAACCTCACCATCGGATCGATGAAAGTACTTGTCGACAACGTACAAGTTGAAGGCACCAAGAATAAGAAGTCCCTCAGTAGCCTCAACTCCAACAATACGTCCGACGTTCCAGAAGTCCACAATGGTGTCACCGGGCTCCAACATTCGGATGACCTTTCTGTTCTTGTCCTCGACAGGCGAATCATCAATGTGATTGAAGTCATCAATAACCTCAAACGACTCCTCATCTAGGGACGAATTGAGACTAGTCGATTCGTCACCAATAGCAGTACCAGCAGAGCCGGTAGGAACAATGGAATTGCTACCAGCAACATCCTTGGATTCATCTCCTTCGACCTCGTCAAGCTCAGCGTCCCCACCATCGATTAGATGCCTGTCCATGTAGCCTTGAATCCACTCAGACTCATCAGGGACCACCTTTTTGTGCATTCGGATACGGCCTTCCGACAAGTCCAGACGCCATGAAGACACATTGGACGATCCATTGAGTCTACCAGCCTCAGCATCAACACGAGCGTGCTGGTCAAGCAACATTTGGTAGTGCTCATGTTTGTCCTGAATGTTCCTATGGAACTTGACCTTTTCCGAGTCCAGAATAGACAGTTGCCAGTTGACAATGTTGTTTCGATAAGTCTGGTACACCATAGACTCCATGGCATGATGAGTACCTAGCGTATCCAGCTTGAGCTCTGAAGCAGATTCCTCGGAAGCCAGAAGCTCCTTGCCTCGTTCATAGACTGTCGGAAGGATGAAAGAGTCGAAATCAGGTCGAACCTCAGCAACCCATCCGATAGCCTCGTCGTTGGTCATCACGGCCAGCTCGGACAGAAAGCTGCAGATCTCACCACCATGGTTACGACTAAACTGGTGACAGGCAGCCGGGACATCATCAGTCTTCACAACGAATACAGCTCTCAAGAAATCAAACAAATAGCGTTGATCAATGTTGGGAATGGTTAGCAACCGATACACCTGAGTGATCAGGTCTCCCAGAACGCGGGTGTCTCGCAAGTCCGCAAGCAGGAAATTCTGGTATTTGATGATTTGGCGAAGAATACTATTGCCAGCTCGAGCAGTGGATGCTGTAACGAGACATCGGAAAGTCAGTGCAACGTAGATTCGCACAAGACTAGATTTAGTCTGGTAGAGGGCCTTGGAAAGCTTAGAAAATCCATGCACATTAGACAATCGTGCAAGAATAGATCCAATGGAGGTGAATAGTAGCTCCATCTTCTCCGTAGCAGCGCCAGTCTCAATATGGTACTTGCTGTACTGGGACAAGAATTGTCCTGCGTTGGTAAAACACCGAGGTTCGAAGAGAATACTAGACTCGCAGTTAACAATAGCTGCTAGAATGTCTTCACCACAAAGAGTGTTGATTACGTGGTTACCTTCAGGTCCAACAGAGTCCCAAAACTCCCCGAAATCACGTCTGCTCCATACAAGATCCAAGAGTATGTTTCGTAAATGGGTCTTCATCAGATCGTGCAGGCGGCCGGACTTGTCACCAAACTTATCATCGTCCTTAAACAAAGCGTAAGTCATTCGACAACTTCCCTCGAGATACACTCGGAAAGTGGTGAGCTTGCAGAAGTCACCATTGGTATGCCGAAGTTCGTCATAGCTGCTCATAATATCGAAAATGTATTCCTCCACATTCTTTGAATCTTCCGAACCAGGCTCCAACTGGCGATATGCCTCACAAGCAAACACCATCATCTCATTAAGAACCAGAATAGCTTCAGGGACATTGATGATGGCGCTAGCATGGTAAAGCTGGTGAAAGTACTCAGGAAGGGAGCACTTGAGGGTCTCAGGGGTGAAAGGTAAGCCAAACAGCAAGGACAGACCGAGAATCCAGACTTCTGACACCTGCCACCATCTTCCCAGCTGAGCTGTCATGAGTGTAATTCCTCTAGTAGCCCGAATGAATTTCTTCTTGAAAGCAGGGCCTCTACTGGAGAGTACCAGAGACAAGAGATGGAGGCCGTTAACAACAACCTCGGGGTTCTGGTCATCGAGAAGAGAAAGGAACCACTTGATGGTGACAGTCCTAGAAAGCTTTCGAGCGAATTGCGTCACATCAACCTGACAAGCGGCTCGAACGAACGCTTCCAGGACCAACATTCCCTGTTCTCTTCTACTGTTAGTTATGGCCATGTGACCAGACAGTGGCTGGCCCAGACGGTTGTAAGGGAGTGCTTGCTTCACTGAGATGGAATCGCTCAGGGCGAAGGTGATGAACAAGGTAATTGACCGCATTACTTCACTGGAGTAATTGGCACAAATGATAGCCGTCAGGGTTTTGCAGAGATCAGGATAGATATCGTTGGGAAACACTTCGGCCTTCACAGCCTGCAGGAATGTTTTCATCACACCTGTGTTAGTAAAAGTCGTTTTTAACAAGTTTGCAACAATACTCACGCATTTTCACCAGTCTAGTGACGTTAAAGTCATGCTCACGGCTGGTACAGAATACCACAAACTGATGTAATAAAAGCTTGAGGGTCTGCGTAGAGCTGCCCTTCCAGATGTCGAATTCGAGGATCAAAGCCAAGTACGCCATAGGGTTTATGATGATGGAGTCATCAGTAGACTCAGAGACAAACCCAACAAAATCAAGAAGAATGCTTAGGTGACGGACACCAATGATCTCCTCCTTCGTCTTCAGAATCATCGCAAGAATGCTGTATCCCTCCTTGTGCTCAGCTTCATCAGACATCTTCCAAGATGATTGCAAGGTAGAGCAGAAGATGCGGAGCGCCGTCCTCAGCTGTTCGGGAGTAGAAGCGTTTTCCACCAGTTGCAGCAAGACATGCAATCCACCGTATGGGTAGATGGCCTTGTCCACAGGCGATGTTGACACAACATAGGCCCCACCTTCCATGATACCCATGTACTCCTTTGATTTGGTTTCATCAGATTGCTTGTCATCAACGGTGTTGACAACTAGTGTCTTCAAGGAGCAGTTCAGATCTGTGGAGTAATGAGGATTACAGGTTAGAACAATGGCATGCTGAGGAATAGACAATGCTGGAGGGCCAGGCAAGCTGTGGGACGTGACCGAGCCGGAAGAGTCAGTTTCATTTCTTTCAAGTTCTAACAAAGATGCACCTTCGTATGTCAGAAACTTGCTCAGGTTGTCCTGATAGGAACCATAATAACCGGGCCCCAAGTAATGAAGGAATGAGACTGTCTGATCAGTGATTGCCGTGTCTGTGATGAGGAGAGAGCCAATGCGGATGCTTCCATTGGACTGGTCCTGACGATCACCTCCAAGTCTTACACTGACCGTGTTCTTCTGGATAGATCGGGCTACCACAGACACTGTGTCCTGTATGACACTGTCGAGATAGCAGTAAATCTTACTCTTCTCGTAAACAAGAGTCACCAGTGTCCATCGACCAAGCGGAATGTCTCCTTTGACACTGTGAGTGTAATTGCCCCATTGGATATGCAGGGAGCTGTGCTTGTCGTCTGACTTGACGCTGGCTTTGATGAGACTTTGTTGAAAGTCGTAAATGTCGATGATGGTAGACGACGTGTTTCTGTCTATTTTCACCCACACACTAATAGAATACTCTCCAGAAGCGGGAGGAAACCGTTTGTGTAGCTTTCTGAACTCGAAGTAAGACTCCGGTCCAAAGTAGAAATGCGAGGGCTCAACCGCTAACTCAGATGTCCATTGAGACAGCTTGTCGGCATGCTCCGGCTTGTCAGCTTTTTTTAACAGTCTCGCCACCACCGTTGGATCCACACCATATTGGTCAAAGTGTTTAGCCAGTGGCACAAGCAGCTTCTCTGGTCCGGAGAGATCTTTGTCAAGCGCCTTGACAGATAGATCATGAACGTGTCTGGCAAGTCCAACATGGTTGAATAGCGCCACAGAGTAAGGGTACTTCGCTAGACTGTTGTGCACAGCGTTAACCAATGGCGGCAGCTGCGGTGGCTCTGTTTCCAAGAGATACAGCGTCAGAATCTCAGCACTGATAGTGTTGTCAATTCTCCCGTCCTCCTCAATCAGACACTCGAGCAAAGTATCAATGAATCCCTCTGTTGAACTGTGAGTGTCAAGGCACTGCTTTAACATGTCAATCCCCGTGCCTTGTCTGAAATAGGTGCAATTGGCATCATTTGACCGCAGAGCCGAGCATAGAATCTGAAGATACTCTTTGAGACCGCTTTCGGCCACAAATAGCTTCTCCATGATCAGCTCAAACCCATATGAGCTGCAAAAGACAGCCTGGCTGGCTCCGCCCAAGGCTAGGCTGGAAGTGAGTTTTTCGGCAGATAAGGGAATTTCATCCAACCGTAGTTGCTGTAGCAAAGACGATATATCGTCGGACATTTTCTCGGGCGTGTAATCCGTAGATATCGAAAGATTCTCGGTAGTGTGTTGGAGTAGCTTTGGCTGTCGTACTCACAAGTGTATATGCGTCAACCTAGTTTATCGTGCAGGAAGCGAGGGGTGATAGCCCGCAAGATGAAGGTCAATTCGCCACGTATATTTGGTAGTGATTATGTGTCTATATTGCAGAGGGAGTTTTTGGTCACTCTATACTTCTTACGTAGGCATCTCTCACAACATGACACTTGCGCTTCCACCACTTTTCGACTCTTACCTGGGTTGGGGTCATGTGACCTGCAGTCCCGCGTGGTTACATGTTATCATAGACAAGGAGCACTGGAAATTGGTCCACTTCAGAACCACTGTACTTGCTGTTGATGAACGGTCTGGTCTGATCAAACGGGATATATTTTGGATGCATAACAACATAATATTTATCACCACGTGCACACCATGGAGCTGTCAGAAAACTCACGCGCCGAAGGCTCTAATAATACGGGATATTTATAGGCCTGAACCTACACTACAAGTGTATTGTACCGGTATACGTAACCGAAAGCAATTAACTACGGTACGATATTTGTAGACTACCACAAGTAGTACAAGTACGAGTATCTTATAGTACTCGTACGGTACTTTTGCTGGTTGATTGACAGCTCATAACTGAACTCGAACACAGTGATGTAACCAGTTGAAGTGACTTAGAATGGGAAGAGTCGATAGATTAATAAATAGGTAAATAAATAGTGTACCGTGGTCTAACCACCGTAGTCGTAGCAGTCGTGACTATACCCAGAGGCACCATCTTGTGAATGATCTGCTGCATGATGTCCTTCTCCGTCGGGAGGTCGGCTCTCCCACTCATAGTAACTGTCTGGAAAGACCCGGTATGATCTCTGGAACAGGTGGGTTTCAGCGCTGTTCCCACGGTTCGACTTCTGCAAAGTGGATCGTCGCCAGTCCTCCTTCTCCTTCATCTCATACCGCGAGATCAATGCATATGGGGGCTCCTTGAAGATATCCTCGTAGTCACAGAAGGGACAGATCCACGTCTCCTTTTCTTTTTCTTTTTCTTTTTCTTCGTTTTCCGTGTTCTTGTGCACCCTGTTCACCTTTCGTTTTTCCTTCATGTACTTTCTCCGACTTCGGTTCACGAACCTCACCCGTCTTTTCGAATACGTCCACTGGGGAACCTGGGTTTGTGGCAGGTTATCAATAGGAGTCTGTGTTTCAGCATGTGTGTATGTAGGTTTCAGCGGGGTCGTCACTTGTCCAATACCTGATTCTTGAGAATGAAAATCAAACGAGTAGAAACCATGTCCTTCAAACAGATCTGCCACATGTGACAGTGGGCTGTCTGTCTTACCATACCCCACTCGAGCCGATCGTCGCGAAGGGGGAAGCTGGGGTCCATCATGCTGGATTCCTACGCTCACAAACTGTTTCTCTTCTGGTTTCGGGAAGGACTTCGACTTGTCTGAGCTCCGGATCTTGCGGTTGATGTATTCAGTCCAATTCCCGGCATGGTCCCCCGACAGTCGAATATCTTCTTCTTCGTTTGCTGCGCTGGGCGTGGATAAAAGGAGCGGCAGACTGAATATGGACCTGGAGGCGGCTCTCTGGCCTCGCCTCCTAGAACGAATAGGTAAAATTCGCCTCTCCACACTCATGGAGAGGAAGAGCAGTGTGCGTCACACTCCACAGCAGTACAGTAGGTACATCCGTATAGGGTTTGGGCACGTGTGAGATAGGGGCTGATGGTAAGACATTCGGTTCGAGATTCAGTGATGTGAGTATAATCAAGTAATTGCAACTACTGTAAGTACGATGGTGATACGAAGTAATTGGTTCCACATATCAACGGCTGACAGGCAAGTGAAGTAAGGTGAGAGTTCAGGACAAAATGCTACACAACTACAACTGGAGATACACAATGATACCATTTATTATGCTAGTATTAATGCGACGGTCTAGACGAATGGTGTCTAGAAGAAGACTCTACACGAGTGGACGTTGCGGCGAGCTTCCGTGCAGCGTCACTACCGTGAGGAATGAATGACAACCGGCTAGTAGAGGCAAAATTAGGGACAACTTTCTTGCGCTTGACCCGAACGCTCTCCTGATCATGATCAGGCGCGTAAATCCACTGGACACAGTCTCGAAGAATTTCTCGACTAATGTCCATCTCGAGCTGGAACTCAGCTTCCCGCATTCGAGATTCAAAGATCTCACAGCCCTCAATCAGAGGCTCACGCTTGTGGCGCTCCTGGTATCGCTTGAACTTGATTATGGACTTGAAGTCTGTGATCTGTGTACATCCTCGAAGTTCAAGGACAGCCAGGTTGGAGGTGTAGGGAAGGATACGAGGGATAGAGTCATTGGTAAGGAGGGTGCATCCGTTAAGAGAGAGTCGGTCTAGAGAATGGCCTCTGTACCATGCGAGCTCCCACATTGACTTGTCGCACACAAAGCATCCTGCCGCACCCAAAGTATTAACCTGAGTCTTTCGAGCAATTGCAGAGATACCTCGGTATGAGATGAGATGACCCATTTGGGTTCGACCAACGTTGAGCAGCTTCAACTGAGGACATTTGCCAGCGAGAGCCACAAGACCTTCGTTTGAGACCTTCTCACAGGCACGGAGATCAGCAATCTGCAGACGAGGACAGTTCTCAGCAACCAATTTCAGGAATGCATCATCAACTTTGGTACAGCCAGGAAGCACGATCTTCTGAAGAGAACCACCAGCCAGGAGACCAAGGGGGGGTACAATGGCAGCACAGGTGTAGAACTCCAGCCACTCGAGAGCTCCACCAATCTTGTGCTGAAGCAGATCAATTTCACTCTGCTGAGCGTTTGAGATCTTATGCAAAACAAATAGCTTGGTGGGGGTGTCAAAGTAGTCGTTCATTTCAGCCTCACCGTTAGCAAGCTGATGCAGATTGGGCTGGCCGGTAGAACGAGAAAGAGACCGATGGTGACTAGAACGAGACCAAGTGATCAAGTCTTCGGGGGACCCTGTATCACTGCTCATATGAACAAACTGACGCCACTTCTGAGAGTCGCAAAAGTGCAACTTGTTGTAGAGAAGCTTCCGAGAGACCTCGAACCAGAATTTATTCACCAACAGGCACCCGTGTAGCGCACCGTCACCCTTGAACATCTGCTGGGTGGGGGTCTGTTCCTCCTTCAATGCCCGTTCCCAGGCCTGGTGGGCCTTCTCCCTGTCTCCGTAAATTAGAAATGCGTGTCTGAGAGATAGGGGACGTCTTCTCTGTGGCGGAGGCTCATGGGGCACCTGAACGTCTGCTTCAACATGGCTCAAAATATTGTACAGAATCTCGGGGATGCGCAGAGCCTTGTGGCACTGAGAAGAGGTAGAATCTGCGGAGGAAGAGAACTCCGAATGAACATCGGTTTCAGACAGGCAAAAGTCATCCTCACTGTTATTGAATTCCTCAAAATCGAGCTCTTGAACTTCCTTGATTCGGTTTCGGTTCCGATCAATAAACGGATCCTCTCTGAGCGACGAGGTGTACTTGAAGGGTTGAGTCTGATAGTAACTCGTAGTCCGTCCTTTGGCACGGTGAATAGGCTGAATAGGTGAACTTTCGGGAGTCTGCTCGGGAGTCAAAAGCCCATTGTTAGATATGGCAGAAACGCCGTAATTGCTCGTATCAAGTCTAGGCGGAGGATGGCGCTGCTGAGGTCGAGTTCCACCGTTGTTTCGCTCGACCATCCATCCCATGAGACTTTCCTGAGGGTTGGCCAGAGGCTGCGCTGGAGGTGCATAGACTGGTGGTTCTCGGTCATCAATACGGCCAGAAATGGACCTCACTCGCTCGGCAGCACCCAGAGTGAGACTTGCAAGTTTCCCTCGAAGTCCCCGGCGGCTCGGGGTAGGAGAAGACGGGCTTTTGGGCAGCTGGGAAGGTCTCTGAGGACTTGTGTTGGGAGTTGTCCCGGTAGAACTGGACGATGCAAAGGAGGAAGACGAAGCGGGAGTGTCTTCAGGGCTGCCAAATATCAAAGCAGATGGAGTCGAGTAGGACCTCCGTTGCTGTGTGGTTGACCAGTCGCCCTTGGACCGCTTAGGCGTAGACGGTTGCATGGCGGAGTAAGAGTTGGGGGATGTTGTATGGTTGTTAGCTGAAATTAATGTCGAATTATGATGCTATTGGGCTGAAATTATCTTGTCGTCGTATGTGGCGATGCTGGTGTAATTACCGGTGTATCTGTGTCGAAAAACTCCTCCAACTCGCCAGCGAGTCCTATCCTCAGTTGGTACAGAAGAGAGAGCAAGAGAACCAGGGGGTATCGTTAGTATAAGAGGATGCACTTCAAATTGTAACGTCAATAAGCGTTGCACGAATAGATCAGGGAATCCAGCATAGGAGGATGCAAAAGAAACCACAGGGCTGGCTCCCGTCCTCATTGGAACAAGTCATTAGTGTAGCTACAGAGGATTGGGTTTGAGGAAACCCCTGGCTTTGTGTTAGGCTACATGAGGCATGCAAGGAAATTATCGGTTAGAGTTGGGGTGGCTGGACATCCCGACTGAGGGAGAGAGAGTAGCAACAGGCCAAGTGGGACAGAACACATGTGTTTCAGCTAACGCAGCTGGGGACGGTAGCTCATAAAAGCTGCTTTAGGTGATTGTTAAAAATTTTCACTCCAGCGTCCCTTGTTTGCAAGTTGCTCACTTAGTGGATACGCTGCAATGTCTAGAGGTCCTTGTGTGGAGCTTCAATGTGGAGCTTGCATCGGTGTGGTCTTTCTTGTGTGGCAGGTAAGTTTGGTTCGGCCACAGTTGGGACTCCTATGCAACGGATGTATACTTGGGAGTAGTTAATCACTCGTTTTTCTCGCAGCAGCAGGCCTAGCATCTGCAAAAACCTGGGCCGTCACAGTGTAGCAATTTGCGCTTGCATCCCCAGGTTAGAACCAGCCACGAACCTTGGACATTTTGATTGGGACCTTATCTGCTTGGGTTAGGCCTTGATAACTTCTCTTAGACCAAAAATAAGAGGAAAGATTGGATCTGGGCGCTTTTTAATCGTCGGCGACAGGACAACTGATTTTGATTAATTCACGTTCTCACGGCGAATATTATTGAGTGAATAATAATGGGTAAAATCTCCAGAGATTGTCCTCTATCTGCATGATGCTGGAACCCCCGTTTGGCTTTTTGAAATGCGGCTGGTTAAGCATTAGAGCTGGGCTCCACGGCACAATGGGGACAGGCAATTGGGGGCTTTCTTTTTCCACTTTATCGCCCTCTGTCACGGCAGAGACAGAATTAGCAAGTGAGACATACGGGCGGTAGAAACCGAAATAGAACAAGCACTCTGCCCTGGTAGGTGGTGGGTCGGACTGTCCTCTTTTGCACGAGCTCTACCAAGTCGTAAGTCGTATTATTTTATATTATACAAGTCAGGCGATACTACAACTATGCACTTGTATGTACTGTACTGTGGACTGTACTCGTACCGGTACAAGCCCCCAGTAGTTACGCGCCATTGACCAACAGGCATCTTCACACACAAACCTACTCAACAGACATCCGCACTGTAGATCCTTCTCAATTATTGAACGATCACACGTAGAAAGCACAGACTGAGGCTGGTCCTGCCTCACTCCGAGGCTTGGTGTATCACGCGATGCGGTTACAGTAATCTCGTACTCCACTCCTGCCACCTCGCAGTGGTTTTGCCTCATCGGGGTCTAATATCTAATTTGTATCACACCCCGCAAATTAGCCATCTCCTGTGAAACAAGCCTGAAGCTCCCTCTTCAGTCCCATTTTACTCTGGACCAGTAAGACGAGAAGACAAAAGTGGCGGCTGCGTTGTTGCTTGTATGGATATATTTGTAGGACCCCCTTCTGGGTAGACGCTGTATACTTTGTCTCCAGGTCGAGAACATTGCCTACAATACTACAAGTACTGTAGGCGATTGTGCTCTTGCTCGTGACAGGGCAATAATATAGGTGAAATTATGTCTGTCAGGTCAATCAGCGGGCACTTTTCAACTCAACTACCGAACACTATTGCCTAAGTAAGTATTCTTTATAGTGATGGCTGTGAAGTCGCTGGAAAGCTGGTGATGCAAGCAAGATATCACTACAGTAAAAATAAGACAGAACCTTTCATTTCCCCTGTGTTTAATCTCACGGCCTCCTTAACCGCGCAAGTACAAGGGAATAGGAGTTGGGCCACTGTATACCGAAATACCCTACAAGTAGGGTGCGACCGAGGCACATCGAAAGCGAAAAGGGGGCAACTATGGTACTCCTACGGAGGGCCCTATAAAGTGAATGCAAGCCACAGAATATCCTCCTACCTTACAAGTGCTGGTCTAAGTCACATGACTGGAAACATACCAGCAAGTGGAGGGGATCTAAGCAACGAGTCGGAATATTCCGGATCGTCTTCGGATCGTCCTATCACACCGTTATCCGTCTACACTGTACGATCGTACATACTACCCCTACTCCTTCTTGTAGTCGACAGGTAAGTACAGATAGAAACGGTTGGGATGAGCTGCATGCTGCAACTTCTGGCACACGTAAACATGCCGGACGTGTTTACAGTTCAAAGTAATATCATCAACATGAGTCGACGAAGAGCACCTGTGAAGAGCGACCGTATCGAGGAACTCGGCGATGAGGAGGTCATCACCCGAGTCGAAACCAACGTGTCTTATTCCACAACCATCCCCACCAAGAAGACTGCTTCTTCGAATACCACAGACAATGGATTCTCTCTGTTTGACATCATCAGATCACTGGGCTTTCTGCTCTTTCTGGGTGCCACTCTGAGCTACTACATTACTGGAACCTGGGCCTGGGGCTACGAGACTCAGCTGACGAACCCTGCGTATCTTCGACATTCCTTCAAACACAACATTTTGGGCGCACCTTACCTGAATCTTACAGATGATCAACTGAGTGTTTACGATGGAACTAGGGCTGGAGAACCCATTTATGTTGGTGTTGGAGGCAAGGTCTACGACGTCTCAGCCAACCCCTTGACCTATGGACCCGGTGGCCCCTACCACTTCTTTGCTGGACGAGATGCTGCCCGAGCCTTTTCAACCGGCTGTTTCCAGACTGATCTGACCTGGGATGTCCGTGGTCTGGACCCCGACACTGTGGCGAAGGACATCCGAGGCTGGCAGCGATTCTTTGAGAAGAACAAAAAGTACTTCTACGTTGGCCAGGTTGTGCATCCTGAGCCCAGCGGTGAGCCTCCAAAGTTCTGCCAGGGTCAAAAAATGCCTGGAGGAAGGCATTAAGAGTTGCGAGTAATTGACAGCACCCATGCTGTCTCATTATAGCTTTGTGGCTCCTCCTTGCTTTTTAGAACGCTCTGTCTGGGCTGTGCACACGCACCACATGCGCCAGTAGATTGAGGTAACGGCACCTACATTCTCTGATTGATAGCGATATCTTCTGTGAATATATGGTATACGATGGAATGCCTGCTGTACAGAACAAAGGAAACCGTACATACAACTACTGTGTTTCAAGCGCACCAAACCCTCCTACTATCGGACTCCATGACAAGAGGAACTAATCTGCGTATCGCAAGAGCATTGGGTCCACGCCTCCAATATCAGGATAGGTAGCCTACAGTACATACTGTACACAACAGTCCGAAACCGTATCGTAGTCTGAGCAGTCTAAAATTACCACAGTAGACCCCTTAATACAGGGACGCCGAGATACTGGCATTTAACCACTTGTTAACTGGTGCTGGAAGACACGCAATAGTAAAACGTGGTGGCGCTGAGTTTTGTTAGCCTGCTATTTAGCTGGGCTTGTATCTGTACCGGTACGGTGTCGGTACGTGCAACTCGCTTCCTGCTGCCTACTTGTACCGATACAAGTACAAGGGACAGGTAGTTCGGAGAAGTCGATAAGTCTACAAGGTGACCTTGCATTAGTGCAGCACTAGACACCACCAGATGCGTCCCTTGTGCCGTCTCCTACTTGTAGGGGGTTGGGGCCAGTATTTTTACAGTGGCCTAGCAATCGCTACAAGTACTCGTACTGCAGACCTCTGGCCTATCCATTCCTACTCGACTTTGACAGACTGTCTCACCCGATAAGCTCTCAGTCCTGCAAAGCCGTTTGGTGGCCATGTTTTGAGCTGCAGTTGAGAGGTCTTTTGAAGATGAAGACCAAACAACCTATAGGCATTCGGTGAAGAAAAACAGGTTACATTGGTGACTTATAGAACCCGGGACACTAATACTCTAGAAAAAGAGAGCAGGGAGAAAATACACAGCCAGTAGACTCGCCACCATCGTCACAAAATTGTATTTTGGGTCCCACTGTTACATCTATGGCACTCCCATTGCTAAACTCTAGCTAGTGCCGTGCGTAAATTCATGCAGTCTCTAGACATTTGGCCATTTGGGGAGGGAGCAGTTGAACTATTAAAAACCGGAGTCGACTTTTCTACGTTAAGGGCAACTGGATCTTCATCACACGGCCACCATGTCCTACAGAAAGATATTTGGCAAAAAGAAAGATAAGGAGCCCGAGGAGGGCGCACCCAGACCTCGACCTGAAGACGCCCAGAGCGTCAGTACAGCGGGCACAGCTGGCAGCAGTTATATGTCCTCGATTTTTTCGCGGAATACCAGAAATACATCGGGGACTGCTTCTACATCCGCTTCAGCTGGCTCCACGGGCAGCGCCAGAAGCTATCACAAGGAGGGAGCAGCTGCGGGACGAGTCAACGTGTTGGAGACTATCAGCGATGTGGCAGATACGGTTGGAGTGGACGTGCCTCAACAGGTGAAAAGAGGACAGTTCGGTACAAGCGACAGAAACCACGGTATTTCCGCCAGCCAGCCTAGTTTGTCTTCGCCAAATGCTTACCTGGGCGCTGGAAGCCCTACAAACCTCTTCTCTGGAGCCCCTTCTAGTGGAGGAGCCTCTTCTCCTGTGTTTCCCTTCGCGGTGAATGAGGTTCACATGCGAGAAGTCCACGAAAGCTTGGCTCAGCTGAACGCTGAGTCCAGCGCGCTACTGCAACACATATTCAACGGTGTATTTACTCCAGTTATGGCGTCTACTGCCTTGCAGAGACTCATGAGAGACTTTATCAATTTCACCGAAATGGCCTCTGACGTGACTGTGCAACAGCTGGCACCCACCATCAAGGTGGTACTCCATCTGAGTGATAACCTGCTTGGTCCCGAAGATATCCAGTCGAGAAAATTACTGCTACGTACCCTGCATGAACTGGGCCGTCGTATCGGGGTCTTACCTCGACTCTCGGGCACCGTCAGCGAGCCTCGAAATTTTGCTATTGGCGAAATGGCCTCCGAACTTGAAGCGTTGCCACAGGTTCTGCGAATCATGGACCAGATTTGCACTGCCCAAAGCGAGGTGGCAGACCAAGACGGTGCCTTCATTGCACCAGTTCTTCGTGGTCTTACACCCCAATTCTCCGTCCTCACACTCTCTTTTGGATACCCGCAGCCGGAGCAGTCTCACTACGATATGGTGTCTCAATTAAGTACCTCGTCGCCACAAAGTGTCCATCTTTACTGCCACAAAAACCAGATTGCTGCTTGTGCAAACTTCAAGCCTCCCTATAGAATCCCCACGGACCCTCAGTCGCCACCCATGTCTCTTTCCATCGCATCTAACGACGGTACGGCATCAGGAACCCTCGGCGGATTCATCTACCCCAAAATTAGCGCCAACGACCCTGCTCTGGCTGCCTACGCTCGTTCTACCTTTGCCATGACCTGCGGTCATGTCTGTCTCTCCGAGAAAACCGGGCAGAATCCCCCTGTCTCAGCACCCTCCCCTGTGCTCATCAACATGTACCGTGCTGCTCTGAAGAAGGAACAGGTGAAATACGCTCCAAACACGGCTGCATACACACAGTTTCAGAATGCTATCGACGAGACCAAGGGTCCCAACACTTTGGGGTCTGTTGTTTGGGGTGAACGAGCTGTTGTCAACGGAGCCATTTCCGATGTGGCTATCATCAAGTGTGACACTGGTCTTACATGCCGAAACACTCTGGGTGACGATGTCGTCTTCACCGAGTATGACCCTGCTCTTGTTTTTGGTAACCTCGAGGTTCGATCGGTGGCCCAGAAGCTTGTTCCCGGAATGAATGTTTTCAAGTACGGCTCTACATCAAGATACACTAGGGGTGTATACAACGGCCCCAAAATTGTCTACTGGGCTGAGGGACGAATTCAGAGCAGCGAATTCGTGGTCACCACAGACTCAACTCCCATGTTTGCTCTTGGAGGAGACAGTGGTGCCTGGCTTCTTCACAAGGTCGAGTCCGAGAACCCTTCGCTGAGTGTTATGGGTATGCTTCACTCTCACGATGGAGAGGTCAAGCAGTTTGGACTCTTCTCACCCATGAATGTTATCCTTGATAGACTCGAGCAGGTTACTCATGTCAAGTGGGGAGTGGTGGGAACTACCGACGACGAGGGGGAGGACCTCGCAGGGGGGAGTGACAGTGATGCCAGCGAACACAACCACAGCGATTAGGTAAGCCTTTAGGATGAGGTGGTGGGAACCGCCACCTCACAAAAGCCGACGCGGGTGCTCAAAAGCCTATTGGCTCATTTGGTGAGAGGCCTAATGACGTCACCATAAGGCCACTTCCACGCAACACAACACACATGTTATTATGGTACGACACCTTGGCCACTTATAATACATTGTGGTGGATCAATTGAGCTCGTTTGATGGCCTAGTCTAATCTTTTATGATGGGACGCGTTTCTATACTGGAAGCGTCCCTCGTTAACACTGACACCCCAGGCGGTTTTGAGCAATCACAGTCGCACTGACTATATATTTATGTATCAATTAATGCCTATTTATCGATTAGACAAAGAGCAGACCAGTAAAGAGAGCGAGAGTGACCTCGGGAACACCAACAATGCTCTGCTTTTTGATGTGTCGCTGGGTCTGTCGTCGGTAAGACCACACAGAGAGACCAGTGAAGCAGATGGCACCGGTGACGTAGATGTATCCGAGAGAGATTTTCGCCCAGCAGTTGAAGACGCAGTTGACCTCCTTGTCGGTCATCTCACCGACAAGACCGGTGTATCGGGCCCACATGACAGCCAGGGGTCCGAGGGGCTCAACAACTCGCTTGAACAGGGGAAACAGCAGGGTGATAGGAGAGTACCACTCATTGAGGGTGATGTTGGAGATGTCGAACTTCTTGGCCAGCTTGTTCTCGCACTCGCAGCTCTCAAGAGACTTGTTTTTCAGGAGTGCAACGCCTCGAGCAGTGTGAATGGCAGCAACAACGGGGAAGGCAGCAGCAAACAGAGTGTAGCCAGCAACGGTGCCGGTGAACTGGTAGAAGGAAGGCTCCTTGATGAGTGTCTTGACGGTGTCGCAGAATCGAGTCATTGTCAATGTGTTGTTTTTCAGTTGTCTAGAAGGTGTGAGAATAGTGTTGAGTGACCTGTCACATGGGTTTGTTGGATGGGGTTAGGGAAGCAATGTTCCGCCTTAGACGAGAAGGATAGACTTTTGAATATGCAGGACCTGCATTATCTACTGGAGGCGAAGACATTCAAAAGGACATATTGTAGCTTGTATTTTGGCAAATCGCTCAACCCATAACCACGTTTGCTTGGTGTGGATTTCTTTGTGTCTTTTTGATATCTTTGGCCTTGTTCTCATGGACCTAAATTCTCTGTGTGGAGTTACTTTGCCACAGTGGCAAAACGACCAAGCGAAAGTGAGTTAAGGTGCAGCACGGTTAGTAATGGACCCTTTGATTGGCCACAGTTTTGTCTGGACAACTCAACAACCGCTGGAATAGCGATACTAGAGGTTTATCTACGACGAGAATGGTTTTGTAGAGGAATCACCAGAAGAATCTGAAACAGTAGAAAAACCAATGGCAAGTAAAGTTGCAAGCCGTTGCATTTTAGAAATGTAACAATGAAACCATCTGAAAGTCAAACATGTCGCCATGGTAGTCCCGGCAGACATGGAGCTCTCGCGACCCCCTACAACAGTTGTTTCCTTTAACAAGCACCCACTGTAATTACCGTATGTACTGTAAGTGGGGTTTTGAATTATTTTACAGGCCATCTCATAATGACTACTTGTAGGGGCTGTTTATTCTGTTTATTACACCCCTGGCCAACTTGGGACAAGCACAAGGGCTACGAACATTGATATTTCTCTCACCCACTTTAAAAACATGACATCAAATCCACCGTATATTACAATCTATATATTTTAATACTCCATGAGTACTTTAAGTTGTTTGTTGCCTATGTACGCCGTTTCTTGTACTGGACTGATCGAGCACCTCCATCCTTGGGTCCTCGTCGCTTAGAAGCACCCTTGGCATCCTCCTTTATTTCGTAGGGGTTAAACTGTTTCTTCTCCTTGGCCTTCTGTTTTCGGGCAGTCATGGCAGCCTTCTTCTCGGCGGCCTTCTGATCGTCGGACTTGAGAATAGAAGCACCAGCAGAGTAGTCAAACGGAGTGAACTCCTCGGACTTCTCCTTTGCTACTCCCTTCTTAGCCTCCTTGTCAGCTGTGTACTTCTTGTTAGACTTGGCAATAATGATATCATTGGCATGCTCGTGCTCATCTTCAGAGTAATCAGACTCGTCGTCAGCAGCGGCATCCTGCTCAACCTTGACCTCCTCCTCAGCGTTCTGGACTTCGCTATCAGATTCAGTAGAGTCAACAGATAGGGGTGCGACGGGAACCGCCAAAACCATCATATGCTTATCAATCTTGGAAACACCAAGAGGACCTAGAGCAGTCTCCTTTACATGTACAATAGACGACTTGGAAGAGTCGAATTTGCCTGTGATATCTGACTGTCCGTCCTGGGCTGCCAGGAAGATGACCTCTGCGATTTCAGAAAACTCTGCCCCCTCAATAGACTCGGCAGCGAGGACGGGCTCCTCCTCAACCTGCTCTACCTCAACATGCTCGTCCTTGGAATCCTTGATGACGTCCAGAATCTCCTCAACGTTTTTTCGAACAAGAAGCGGGAGAGACTTGGATACACTGAACACAGCCTCGGGCGTTTGAGGCATTCGGTTGGCAAGTGAAACGAGCAGATAGTTAGGCATCACGTAGCCAGTAGACTCGTCCTCCTTTCGAGCCATGCTGTCTCTCCACAAGAAAAGAGCCTTGGCGACTGAGACACTAGGCCCAGTGATGTGGAACTGAGAAATGAGACGATTGATACCTCCCTCGTAGTCGAACGACTTGAGATAGTACCTTGGGTCGTAGCCGGTGTACTCATACCTCTGGGAAGCAGTCTGTCTGCTCTTTTCCAAAACTCCCTCGATCTTGTCCTTCTGCACGAGCGCATTCTTCAGCTGATCGTAGATGTTGAGCAGGAAGTGGGTATCTGCTCGGGCGTAGAGAAGCTGCTCAGGCGACATAGGTCGAATTCGCCAGTCACTGAGTTGGTACTTCTTAGAAGTGACGAAGTTGGCGTAATGCTGGAGAAGGAACGCTAAACTGTGTCCCTTGAGGCCAAGGGCCTGGGCGGCATGGAAGGTGTCGAACAGAGACACAATGTACAGACCGAAATCTCTTTGGAGCCACTGAATATCCATAGTGGCTCCATGCAAAACCTTGACAATCTTGGGGTCAGTCAAAACCTCATTGAAGATCTCGAGGTTTCGGAGAGCGATGGTGTCGATGATGTAATCTTGCTCCCGAGAGGAAACCTGCACAAGACATGTGATGCCGTAGTATGTTCGCATGGAATGATGTTCGACATCGATGGCTATCTCCTCCTGGGTCTTCAGGTGGTCAACCATGTCTCTGAGTTTCTCCTCTGTGTCAACGTAGATGTATTCATCCTCTCCTTCAGCCTCCCATGGTCGGTTAGGAATGACCTCTGTCTCCTCGTACACCTCATCTGGGTAGGGCTGCTCCATTATCTCCTTGGCGTAGGGCTGTGGGTAGTGATCTCGTCTGTCATCTTCAGTCACCAATTCGAACGCGTCCTCTAGGGGCTCCAGAGCATTTGGTTTCGAGGTGAGTTTGGGTTTGAAGGGAGTGTCTCTCGAATTGTCGACCTCCCACATCTCCTGGGGCTTCCATTGCGGCCCCTTGATCTCGCTAGATGACTGAATGGCATTTCCTACTCGGATCTTCTCTCCGAGCGTCTGAGGGCCAGTCTTCTTGGACTCGGCAATCTCAACCTTGTCTCCCTTTTTGTTCAGCTTTCCGAGCTGAATGTCGGTTTTCTCGTACAGGTCATCGACAACAGACGAGAACTCATTCCAGTGTCGGTTCACAGTGTCGAGCTCGGGAGGAAAAGATCCCACTTCGTTCGGGGCAATCTTCTGGGCCAGCTGGTTGACCACTCCAATGAGCTGTGATGCATTCTCCTTCACGCTGTCGGCCACCTTGTCATCAATAGAGCTGTAGAACTTGATGTCGTGCGAAGCAAGACCACGGGCAGCCTTGGCAGTCTGTTGGGCCAGTCGCACAACACTATCGATTTCCATCTTGTATGTGTTGTGGTGATGGGAATGGACTGGGAATAGGCTGTTGGAAAATTGATGCATATACAGAGAAATAATTTACGATTAGGTTTAGGGCTAGCTAACACAAATCGGGTAGTAATACGGTACATACTATACTTGAAGTTGGAGGGTCCAGCGGATATGGTGAAGTGATAGACAGGTATTCTCTTATCCGTCCTACTCTATTCGACGAGCGGATTTTTTTTATTTTTTGTCAGTCTCTTTGGTGCAACCACCGAAATCTCTCTCTACTATACTGCTTGTGCTGTTCTACGACGTGCATACTTGTATTACTTGTAGGTCGTCTAGCTAGATTGTCTATACCGAATCTTTTATGTACAATGGGTGCTCATACAAACGACCCAGTTATCTATTCTTCATCTTCAGCCTCCTCCACCAGCTCCACGATATCGGTTCCAGGAATCAGACGAATGGTCACATCTGTCTCTCCTGCAATGATGCCCCACATGATGGATCCATCCCATTGTTCTGCAATGTCATTGTAGAGACCTTCCAGGATATCTGGGTCGTTGGACCCCTCTCCAAGAACCTCCTTGATGGCTGCATCCATGCTGCTAGAGCTTCCAAACAGCCATGGCCGGTGTGCAAGAAACAGAGGATTCTCTACCTGCTCCAGCACTCCTTCTCGGAACTTTCGGTTTGCAGCCACCAGCTCCTCATATGTGAGACCCAGAGACTGGAACATGGCCTCTGTAAGTTTTCGAGAGATGGGGGATATGGGAACCTCATCGGGGAAAACTCGAGGCAGCACGTACTTCCACAAAATATCGTCCATGTAGAGATCAGACGAGAGGAGAGGCTCTGTGGGCTTGAAACCACTCTCAGCGACATCCGCCAGCTTCTTCTTGTTGTATTGCATCTTCTTAATCTCCAAGAGAACCCGTAGCTCGGACATGTATTCGTTCATACCCACAGGCTTGTGATCGTGAGCTCCCCACCACCATGTAACCTTTTTGCCTTCCTTCAGAGCCTTGACTCGGTCTGCACGAGCTCGCTGGGCCCAGGGGTCGTATGTGAGGTTTCTCGTGCGTGCCAAATCAAATATTGCGGTGCAGCCGATGAGTGCTGATCCAGTGAGGATGCCTGTAGCCTTGACTGCTCTGTATGGCCACTTTCCGTATTTGGCCCTGAAAGTTGATCTCCGCGGATAGGCTAGCAGCAAGACGCCCACACCCATCTGAGCAGCACATACAATGGTAAGTGCATATTTGTTATCGGCCGCGGGTACCAGTTTGCCCCACATGCGCAGGACAAATGAGGGCTGCTGATACTTGGGAAAGAACCCATCTTGGTCTTTGTCGTTTGCCATTTTCTGTGTCACGTCAACTTCCTAATCAAATGCTTTTATGTTGAGTGTTTGCCACGTTGTGTTAACCGCCCGTTACTTGTTGTAAGGCTTTTCGCTCTTCCTCTCGGCGTAATGAGTGAAGATGGCGTAAATCAAGTCAAATCCTCCTGTTCTGCACGATATGTGATGGAAATGGCATGCATGACTAAGGGGTCCTAACCCTACAACTACAGTAAAGAAACACGGAGTTTGATACTGAAACTATTTCATCCAACAGGACACAGCTATCGTGCACAGAGCAACACTACAGGTAGAAAGAGGTTACCAGCGAATATGTTTTCAATATATCTCAAACGGTGGACGTTACATAAAATCAAGGAGCGTAATCATCAACGGCATCATCACTTGAAGCCACATGTATAAGTGTATGTACTGTACTTCAGATTTGTGCATGATCGCCACGAGCAATATCTGAGAGCTTATAATATAAGTCAAAAAAGGTGACGAGGGTGGTATCGCGAAGGTGGCGAAGACACCAAGTGTGACAGACCCCGGCTAATTGCGGCAGATTGTTATTGAGGGCTTTTGGCTCAAACACGTCGAATAATTACAAGTGCCCTATTTGGACTCCTTCATATCGATACTGCATTTGTATGGGCAGGAGGCGATTATACAGTGAACTACAGACGACACCATAAATGGAGTAACCACTGTAGAGATAGTACGGGCTTGGCTATCGTAACCGTGTATCACACCCTGGATATATTGTTCTTAAACATTAGCGGCCCATTGCCTAATATCACCGGTGTCTTACGACTCAGCAGTCATTCGTGATTACAATACCTGAAAGGAGGCTGCCTCCTTTGTCACAGCTTACTAAATTTGAGTCAAGCCCTTTTCCAGAAGCCCATATGCATGACGACGCGTGTACGAACGCACAAGTACTATGTTCATTCGTTGTCTTTGGTGCACCCGGTTATCTGATTGTTAACATTGATAGCAACATCGCATTGTTGTTCATGCCTGAGCATTTTATCAATCTGACCAAGTGCACGACTTCATTCGAAGTCGTGCACTTTAATTACGTCACGGTCAATTTTGCGTGAATAATGCTCCATCGGTTAACTCCTCCACTCAGCGTAACTGGGTTCCGCACTATCTCTTGGTTAGGATCATTAACACGAAACTTCATTCCCCTCTAAAAGTAATAGCGACAACAGGAGCATGTATTGGTAATCGATCTACTTTTATGTGGGGTTAGCTCGCGCCGTGCATATGGCATGTTGGCCATGGCTTCATTGTGGCTTGGGGCCGTCTATGACGAACACTATATATTAGTAGGACCTCGTCTCTAATGAGGTTACAACTTCTTATCCGACTCTACAATACCAAGAAAAATGGCCCGCACACCTGTCTACTTCATTCCTCATGGAGGCCCCACCTTCATGTACGAGAATCACCCTGGAGGAGATAAAGGAGCCTTTGACTATCTCAGACATCTTGGACGAGATCTGATCCAGAAACACAAGGAGAATCCCGACTCTGTCAAGGGCGTTATTGTTATGTCGGCCCACTGGGAAAGTGCGAACCAGCAGGACGAGAACCCCAAGGGTACCGGTAACAACGAGTTTCCCAAGGTCAATGGTAAGGGTATTCCCGTGGGAATTGTGACTGACAAAAACGACAACTACCCCAACCTCGAATACGATTTCTTCAATTTCCCAGCCCACATGTATGAGGAGAAGTTCTGGGCTAAGGGCAACCATGCCTCTGCTGAGAAGATCGCCAAACTTATTGATAACACCCCTGGCTACTATGCCCAATTGAGAAGTGACAAGAAGTGGGATCATGGCGTGTGGGTCGCTTCCAGAGTTATGTTTGAAGAAGCTGGTGAGGAAAAAGGTGCCCTCAAGTTCCCCATCATCAATATTTCAGAACCTGCAGGTGACGACGTGGACCATCTGAGTCCTCGACAGCTGTCTGAGAGATTCTACAACCTCGGCAAGGCACTCGCACCTCTGAGAGATGAGGGATATTGGATAATTGGATCCGGTATGTCAGTTCACAATCTTCGAGAACGACGTAAGTTTGCTGATGGTGGAGAGCCCGAGTATTCCCAGCCTTTTGAAGATGCTGTCAAGGACGTGGTAGAGAATGTCACGAGTGTGCCTGTTTCTGATGAGCAAAATCTGGAAAACCTTTCAGAGCTTTGGAAGAACCCTCACCGACCAGCTGCCCATCCCACCGCTGAACATCTCTTTCCCTTCTACTTCTCAGCAGGAGCTGCTGACGGTGACAAGGGTGTTCAGGAGTACACAAAGATCTCAGGCAGCACTGCATGGGGTCTATTCAAATGGGGTGGTTCCACAGGAGATTATTAAATGCTGTTTTTAGCTGTGTCTAGCAATACCATCATACCCCTCAGTTTGTGGGGAAGATCCTGAAGAATGTGCGAGCAAGACATGTGATTCGTAGCGTTCGAGCATGGGTGGCTTGTTTATGCCTTGGTAATTTTCACCTTTAGAGCCGTATGAACTATATTGAATGGCAACCGAGAATACGATCGAAGTGTTCGTTCAAGGCTGAGCATTCGTATGCCATGTTCATGTATAACTCGTGCGAGATATTGTGGACGGCCCGTTCCGCATAAGTACTGTCAATACATATCGAATCAAAACCAATGAAATTTTCAGCCTCTTGCAACCGTTGAAACATTAGGTGTCCAGCTATCTCATGAACCGACGGTTATCGGGAATGAATTCCGTAGAGTTCCAGGAAATTTAACCTGCCAGTTTAGCACCAACCCTTGAGGTTTATCAAAATAGGCGTTTGGAGGAGATCCACTTCTTCTTGAGGTCCGCTGGAACAATGAGGGCGTACGCAATGAAGGTCCCACTGAATTACTCGGGGGAAGCATGATCCTCTTTGTTTACAGAAGGAACCGTTAACTGCCGAACTCAATGCGTCTCGATAGCACGAGTACATACTACTTGTAGTACTACTTGTAGCACTTCCGGTACAGACAGAAGTACGAGTAATTGTAACTATACAAAAAACAAGGGGTAATCAGAGCCTGCATAGGTCCTTAGAGGAGTTATTTCATGAGACGCATGCACCTCTCTAGTCCTTGAAAGTCTTACCAGTTCACTTCTAAGCGGTGGTACGAGGTGTCTCGTCTTGGCATGTCTTTTCGAAATGGTAGCGTGCACATGAAGGTCTTCGATGCCACCTTGCCGATGCTACCATCATGTAGGTTTCCTGTGAAGCATGATCTGACAGCCAATGATAGCGGGAGATTATGCCTGTTCTGGTTGTCTCGAAGTGAGACGGTTGTTTGATGCTCGCTAATCTTGCGTCATTACTGCCATGCTCGGTTAGCTAAAGGACCTTGGAAAATCCCGTTCACACCTCATTCTTCCTGGGGCTCTGCAGGTCCTATCTTGAAGACAAATTACCTCAACATTCCGTACCAGAGTCTGGCGCAGTAAAGCTTCCTTTAACTTGGTCGGAGTCAGAAGGTTTCGGTGGAGTTGGCAGTTGAGAGAGAGCCACAATTCATTTAGAGTCTTGGCTGCATCGGAGCCAGACTTGATGTCAGCTCTTGGCCTCTTGGCATTGATGTGCATGTTTCCGGTAGACAAAAGGCGGTGGGAAATTGAATATTTTTCCATTTCCAGGAGTTAGTATCTACATCACTCACCTGATTAGTTAATTTAAGCCTTTCTTGCTCGCAGAATAATGGTGACTTCACTGATAACGATATGAACCATGCTTGATGGCGACTGAACCGTATCAGAAGTTATCTTTCTCTCCTCCTTCGGGATATTTTCAAGCCACTCTATCTAAGCTCCATACTGGACAAAGACCACGTTATATATCTAAGGCAGAGATATCACAAGTGCTCGTATTTATATTGGTTTCCTTTTGACTGGGCTCAGCAAGAGGTACAGATCAGCTAACTACAGTATCATTATTTTTGTGGAGGATGTCATTCTGCGGTAACCGTGGAACGAGAACAGGGTGGTGTTAAAGGAGGCCAGCCTCACGTAAACAAATCCCCACATCAAGGAATGTCGCCTTTCCTATGCATGTGTCCTTAAGTCACTGGCAAACTATAGCCGAGAAAGTCCCTGTTACTTGTACTCTACTGTACTGACGTCAAGCTCAAGCCTTCGAGCTCTAACTGTCTTCTTGCTTTGCTCGAAACTCTCCTTAACCGAATGAACCTGGGCACGGCACTGTGGCTGTCAAGATTTTATGATACGATAAGGCCCAAAGAAACTCACATGAGAATATGGGGTATATATAACAGAAGTGCGTTCTGCCCATTTTATATTATCATTTTCATTCTATCACCACCCGTTTCTCAATGACTTCACACCTTGGTGACCACCTCGAGGATCACCTGGAGCCATCCAGAGATGACAATCTCTATTATCATGAGGAGGAGGAAGCTCCCGGTTACCAGGCATACACTTCTCAGGCAGATTACCCTGCGAAGCCTACCTACTCTGGAAGTGGTTCATCTCAGCGACGGTTCGATGACTATAACACTTCTCTTGAGAAGAAGGAAGGTGATATCGAGTTCACCGAAGTCGTTGATGAGTCTGAACACTACTCGCAGAAGTGGTCTACGTATACTGACGAGTATAACCCTGACGGGCTGCGGGTCGCAACAGATGAGGAGTGTATGACTCTTCGAAAGATCGCTGCTCCGATCTCTGCCATGACTTACATGCTGTCTCTAGTCGAGTTTGCCGAACGAGGTTCCTATTATGGGCTAACCAACGTCATCTCCAACTTTGTTCAATTCCCTTTGCCTCCCGGAGGAAACGGCTGGGGTGCTACACCCAAAGACTCTCAGTCCACCGCTGGTGCTCTCAACCAGGGACTCCAGGTTGCTACTGCTCTCACTCTTGTTCTCCAATTTCTGTCCTACCTCACTCCCCTTCTTGGTGCTTACCTTGCAGATTCAAAGTACGGGCGTTTCCCCACAATTTGGGCCGGTACCATCGTTTGTGGAGTTGGTCATGTCATCATTGTTATTTCCGGTATCCCCGGTGTTCTTGAACACCAGAAGGCCTCATTAGGCGTGTTTATCGCTGGGTTGATCATCTTTGCTTTTGGAACAGGTCTATTCAAGCCTAATTTGTTGCCTCTCCTTCTGGAACAGTACCGAGAAGATGATAACTGGGTCAAGAAGCTCAAGAGTGGTGAGGAGGTTGTTATCGACAAAGAGTCCACCCTCCAGCGAATGACCCTGGTCTACTACTGGTCCATTAACGTCGGAGGATTCCTTGGTTTGGGTACTGCCTACGCTGAGAAGCGAATCGGCTACTGGCTCGCATTTCTGGTCCCCACTATCCTCTACTTCTTCCTTCCCTTCTTCCTCTTTATTATCCGAAACCGGGTTTATAAGGCTCCTTCTAGCGAGGACTCCATCATCGCCGGTTTTGTCGGTGTTATGTGGCAGTGGCTCTTCAGAAAGCCTTCTACTTACTCGGAGAAGTTCGTGGCTGATGTCTGGACCACCCTCAAGGCTACCCGTTTCTTCCTTTTCTTCCCCATCTACTTCATCAATGACAACGGCATTGGAGCTCTTTCCAACTCACAGGGAAGTTCGATGATCACGAATGGTGTTCCGAACGATCTGCTCAACAACTTCAATCCCATCACCATTATCGTGGCGGTGCCTATCGTCAACTATATCCTGTATCCTCTGCTGCGTCGATACAGAATCAACTTCCGCGCTTCGTTTCGAATCTTCCTGGGTTTCATGCTGGCAGCTTTCTCTCCCATGATTGGAGCCATTCTGCAGTGGCGAATCTATGAAACTTCTCCTTGTGGATACTACGCAACAGATTGTGACAAGGGTGTTGCTCCCATCACCATCTGGTGGCAGGTCTTCCCCTATTTCTGCACAGCGCTATCTGAAATCTTTGCCGTCACTACCTCCTACGAGCTGGCCTACTCCCTTGCGCCTGCCCATCTGCGATCTATTGTCCTCGCTCTGCTGCTCTTCATGTCGGCTTTCAGCACCGCCATTCAGACCGGTATCACTCCGGCGCTGGTTGATCCCCATCTGATTTGGCCGTTTGTGGGCATTTCAGTGGCGGGTGCAGCCTTTGCCATTGCATTCTTGTGTTGTTACTGGCGTCTCGGAAAGGGCCAGGAGGTTTCTGTCTAAGGAGGATGTTGCATAAGAAAAGTATGAGTACAAGTAACGAGATACTGTAATAGCATTGGGCCCCTATCGCCCCTTATAAAAAAAGACAGTAATAGTCCAAACAAAAAAAAAAAAAACAAAAAAAAAAAAAAAGTCTATAACTTTCGGCCTATTGAATCAATAGGAGGAGGCCATTACCTGTCAAAGCTACAGTATGTAGTAGTATCCACTAATTCAGCAATAATCGTACGTAATACTCGTGCTTGCACTGTAGCTACCCCTTATATGATCCCCTACCTACAAGTACCGATATACTGTACGTCACGGTAATTATTTGTAGTTTGGGAGCCCACCAAGAAATACCAAATGTACGACCGCGACGGTGCAGGGTATGTATGTGTATGCCCACTCCAAAAGGTAGTCAAGGAAAGTTCAAGGCCAAAAACGCGTTCACGCCCATGTCTTACAATAACAATGTGTTTGCAAGGTATCATACCTGGTCTGCCTCGGCAAGTCAAACGTAAGCATACCCGTCCCCCTGTTTGGACGCCGCACTCCCAATGCAGGTACTGCCCCCTAAGATGTTGCATTAGCAGGATGCTAAATTGTCGAGAGATAATTGTTTAGCCCACAAGTCCGTCAAATCATGATATCTCGGATTTTCCATTAAGTACGACGACGGTTGTGGGGGATAATCAGCATCATCGTGCGGTGCATACCAAAGATCTACACCGCAATCAGACATAGCCTATTGTCTATTAAACCTAGATCAGGTGGGCACCAACGGTATGACGGTTACCATGTCAACGCTATGCAAGCATAAGGTTCGAAGGTTGAAAATAGGCTCGGAGGGTAAACTCTCACTAGTCAAGACTTTGCCCCTGAATGGGTCATGAGACAAAAGGACATGCTGACCTGAGTGCCAGATTGAAAGAGAATCTGCTGTCTTGTTTCTCCCCGCCTGTGATAGTTTCAAAAGAGACCAAAGAGGCCCTGCATGGCAAAAGGAGGCGCAGCGGTATGTGATCTTCAGGGGAAGGTTGAAACCCTGTCGACAGATCTGCAAAGAGGAATGAGCGGGAAAAGTGACGCGCTCAATGTTTGGTGCTCAGGGTATTGGATTGCAGATCTGCCCAGGGCATATTAGACTTGGCAGAAAAGTCACTACAAGCACATATTTTAGAGACCCAAATCATTAGGAAGGGAGTTATTGTTACAATAAATAAATGTTCAGGCGTGAAGAACCTTGGTGCATGCCAGGTGTGTATGGTAGACGGGTGGAACGGTCTGTTTAAACACGTCCCATCTCTCGAACGCTCCATGAGTGGCGTGAAGAAGTGAATCGTTTAGACTTTGTCTGCACAAGAGCAGCACGTTCTTTCTGGACGTCAACAGCAATTGAAGCAGGTCGCTTCATCTTCGTAGTTCCCTGGGTCAGGGGTCGTCGTATAGCCTGCTGCTGGTGCTTCTCTCGATGAGAGAAGCATTCATCAATTGTATCGAATTTGTGGCCACAGGTGATGCAAACGACCTTATGTTTCAGAGGAGCCTTGCAGAATATTTCAGCGTCGTCTTCGTCATACTCGTCCAGATTGATGGTGGGATCGACATAAGGATCCTCCGTATCGGAGAATAGGTCATCGGATCCGGATGAAGCAGATGATTCCTCTTCTTCGGGCTCCTTGATGGCAGTAGGTCGCTGGAAGAATGGGGCAACCTGCAGAACAGATGCTCTCTTGGCTGATCTCTCTGGGAGAATAGGTGACAGAGACATCGATGCTGGGCGGGTGGTTCTGGCGGAGGAGAAGCTAGGGGATGAAGAGACAACTGCCAGAGAAAATCGCTTAGATGGAGGGGGTTTGCTAAGAGGAGAAGGGGTAGTGGGCGGGTTGGCTGCTATGATTTCTGCCTTGTTAGTGGTGGTGCTGGTGTTGATGTTGGTGTTGGCGTTGGTGTTGGTGTTGGTTTTGGTGTTGATGTTGTTGTTGGTGTTGGTAGATGAGATCATTGTTTGTGTTGTGGCGGGTCCCGTGGGAGTTGTAGATAGGGGCGATGGGCTCTTGGTGTTCTTGGTGTTCTTGGTGTTCTTGGTTTCCTTGGGTTTCTTTTCCTCTGAGATATCGATCAATGATGAGTAGGAAGCGTTACCACTAAAGATCCGTCGCGTATTGTCTGCCGTTTTCTGGGGCTGGTCCTTGCTTCGTGACTTGGGTCGTGTAACTTCTTCATTGACAGTCTTGGCTCGGCCCATGGTCTTGAGACTGCGTTCTGAGTTGGAGGAGTTGGAAGACATGAACGAAGTGAATGAAGAGATGCTGGACTTGCGTCTTCCCAGGTTCCGCTCCCTCTCAGTGGATGTAGCTGTGTCGTTAATGGCAGGCTCGTCGAAGTTCAAGGACTCTCTGGATCTGTTCTTCCATCGTGAGAGAGTCTGTGATAGTGACAGTTTTGACACGTGCCGGGTGTCGTCATGACGAAGTGCCATTGGTTTGTCGGAGCAAATTTGATGGTACAAGTACAAGTATGTTGGAGAAGGGGTCCCGGAAAGGAGCTCCTGTATATATATTTAGCCTTGTGGAGAGAGTTGGCTAACACTTTGCTAATACAAAGCACAACCCACGTTTAATTAGAGTTGTTTCGGACAGTTCCTCCTGGTGAATGAGGCCGAATTGCTTCTAAAGTGTCTGTGTGGTAGGAATTGAGCCGGTGTTTGCCCTCCAGACAGCGGTTGAGTATGAACTGGGTCCTATATATGATATTTCTGGTTTGAGACTCTGATCCAGCAAAATCAAGGGCAATCTCCAGTGACTATCATTTCGTGATCCGCTCCCGCGAAAGGTAAAAGCGAAGTCTAAACACACGCCAATGGCCTGAAACGCAAAGTTGAACCGAGTTTGTGTGTCTGTGGGCTCCAAATTCACAAAAACCAAAAGAACAAAGCTGCAACGACCACACCACCACAACACGAGCTTGTTTTCCACCGGTTACATCTGCAAGGTAAAGAGTCGTCACTCTCCTCTTTTTTCTCTCTCAATACAGCATTACTATTACCTTGTACAAGTACGATTCTCGTACTGTACAGTGCGCGGCTCACGGAAATGGCACGTGATCAACAACAGACGAAATTGACACTGCCAACGGCCAAGAGCCACGGCACCCAGGGATGAATCAGGGGTAGGTGCTACATAAAAGGGATTCACCCTCCAAAAAGACCCGTCACAATGTGCTGGAGCATTTTTGTTGCCAATATCGCATTATATTATTTGGTGGTACGAGTCTAGAGAGTCTAACAAGGCAGTGGGAAGCACTTGTTCGTTAAGCTTGTACCCCCTTCGTACGTGTTCCTGTAAATATAGAGAGAGAAGATTTGATTAGATATATAGAATATTGAATAAATAGCAAAACACCGTGGGGGCATCCCCGCTGATGCTGAGCATTTAACCCCACTTGGATCAATAAAGCCACACTAACCCATCTGTCATTTGCACAGCTATGTTAGTAATTTGTCGTGATGATCAGAAGAGCTCTTGTAAGAGGATCAGTGTAACTATGACATTACCGCAGCATTGCACCCAACAGAAGTCAAAACGACGACTGGTTTTGAGGACGCTCAATTGTTGGTAGATTGGTTTATCATCATTTTAGCTGGACACTCCATTTCCGATACTCACTTGTTCCAGTGCTGTGTGAGAGAACAAGTTTTTCTTCAACGTGAGCTTAAAACCATTTTTTTCGCCAATTTACCCGGCCGTCAAGCCCTATGTGTAATCTACGTGATTGCGGGTTCGATTTCTGCATGTGTTCGTAATCAGATAAAGTTGAGGATCATTAGAGGCTGTCGGCGGTAATATCGACACTGGGTCTCAAGGTGGCTGTCGATTGCAGTTGTAGAATCTGAAACACCTCCTCTCGTTTCAATCTCCATGAAATCACGGCCTCAAAGTCTGAATGAGGCTCCAGAAGCGTCATCGATGCATCCGGAATGACACCCGGTTTAGGCAGCCCGATAGAGTTGATGAGACTGAATCTCGAATTACAACTACAGCACACCATACAATACATGCTGTAGGTGCTGTACTCTGTGCGGTAGACCCGCTTTTTGCTGTTAGAGCAAGAGTGTCGATATTATCTGATTGACTTTTGTTCGGCGATGTTATCTCTCGTGTTATCATTTGCTTTGCCCATACTGTAATTGAGGAGCCCGTATTCAGATGTCAGTGGGTTACAGTAGTTGGTGGTTGATGCCAGTAAGAGATCACCTTTGGATTGAGATTGACCTTCAAGCAAACATCCAATTCTACAGTACGAGTAAGTCACCAATGACATCACTGAACGTGGCAGTCTCGATGGCGTCTGTTTGTTTGTACAGGAAGCACTATTGTGGCGGCTGTTGCAACCGCCCGTTTTTGTCTGAGAGTAGTGGATTCGGCCTTTTTCTCCTCCGGTTTCATTTTCACTCGTCGATGTGTCTTTTTCGGCGATTTCATGGCTCAAAAGTGCCGAGACCTTACTGAACTCGTGGTACATACATACTGTACATACAGTATGGGGCTCAGTGAGTGCCAAAATAAGTTGAATAGCTGCTTTGAAAGCACAAATGTTGTAATGGGCTGTTTCAGAGCTGTGGCAATTATCTAAATATCACTTGTCCGATGCTTGCACTTGCACTCGTACAGGACGGCTCTTGGTGTTAATATGGCGTCCCACATCAGCTGATAACGCAGGGTGAGGACAATGTCACTGAGACATGGATGCTTGATCTGATACTTCAATGTCCCCGACAAAATTATTGGATGCTCCTGTATAGAGAAATATATAAATACGAGTACGAGTACACACGATACCCAAGACATAGACGACATCGAGTGGAGAGCCAACTCAATAGTCGTTTCAGTCTGGCGGGGACATGAGGGACCTCTATCTTCTCAAGAAGTCACCTGCCCTTATGCTGTGGGGTCGTCAATTCTCGGCATTGCCTGCATCCTCCAGAAGTTGACCCGCAACGCTCCGTTAGTCCCTTGGCATAGGGATGAGTCGGAGGAGGGCAGACACAGGAGAACATTTGGAAGCATAAGAATACGCTGGCTCTAGGATAATGGCAATGGCAATGGCTTGTGTACAAGAACACATACCATTCTTGCCGAGCTCTAATCAACGTGACCAAATATATTTGTGCCTTCCTTTTGTGCGTGGCCGCTCCGGAATAATACCGTGCTACCCCGTTGTGTCCCGCAATATGCCTCTTCCCAGATTGGCTGCAACCTTGTCAGCCTTTGGACGTGTGAGACGTAGGAATTTGACAGCCGCACATTTGATATGGGGTAAACAAAGGAGAGGAAACTGGGGCTGTAGTAAAAAGCTGGTAGAAGCATGTCCCGTGACATTCCACACGTGTGTGTCTTTTCCAATGCAGTTCCAACCGCTGTTGATCGTCAAATATACCACTTCGGAACTCAGCCGGACCCTATTATAAGCAGTGTGGCTTCCCCACTATAGTTAAAAGTGGCTTAAACCAGATGTGGCTATGGGGCGGGGAAAAGTTGCGCTGACGTTTGTTGAGGGACGTCTAATTAAAAGCACAAGTAGTAGAGATGAGCTAACAGTAGGCCGCTGAGAATCACTAACCAATCATGTTGCTTGCACCTCATATGACAGGTTACAAGCGTAACATTGGCACGGTGTCAACAACAAACCTATAGCGATGTCACAGGTCATAGGGAATCGTATGTTGAGCCCCAAAATGTAACGTTTTGGTATTAGAGTATCAGGCTAGCAGGGTGAGGACACGCAGAGGAGTCTAATATACATCACAAGGTTACTACAAATACATTGTGGGGTGTCATTCAGATCAGGAGTGCCATCTCAAATCATCCCGCACTTACACCACCACTCTCTTCTCTCTCGCTCATCACACTCACTTTCCGTCATTACATCATTATTCATTACATTAAGTGAAATCAAAGTGTTTATCAATGGAGTTATCACTACGGCTAAGCGTCTTTTCGAGCGTGTCTGAAATGTCCACAGCGTTGGCGTTCTGGAACGCATGTTCAGACAAAAACCGGAGAATCATCAACCATTCCAAAACCGAAGGGGTCAAACAGCTGCTCATGGCAATGTGATAGAGCCATCTAACAACATTTGAAGAGCCCCAGATAACTGACGTTGATGTCAGTGTTCCACCAACGCTCCACATAGTCATGCAGAAACTTCTCGTCGTGCGAGTTGTACATCTCCAGACCTGTCTGAAGCACGTCTGCGTGCGCCAGAGTTAAAGTATGGTGGTTTTCGCGATATAGATCCCGTGTCACCAGACTCTGGACCGTCGCATTCAGCCGGTTGGTTATTTGCTGGAAATAGCCAACCAAAAGCACCTCGAGAGTTAGCGAGTCATCGTCCTCATCGTCAAACTCCAAACCCTCCAGATACTGTTCGTCCTCGATGGTGGAGATTTCGCCTGCCGAGGCCAGCCACAGCATGTTGTTTGCAAGCACCTCGTAAAACTGCCTCCATAGAGGTTTCTTGGCCGACGTTGGACACGGTTGACTGTGATGTGCTTGGGATAACAGTTGCTGGAACGCAGGGCCTCTTCCCTCTTCACGTACCGCTTTAATGAAATGAGTTAAAACATGATACCTTCTCGAGTCGCGTTGAGAGGGGAAACCGTAGTTCGTAATCTGCACTCCGTCATTCGATAGTTGGACAGCCACGTCGTGGTCACTCTTTCTGTGTAACATGATAGTGTCACTGGTGATGGCCAGGTAGTTGTTCATCTTCGCCAGACGTTCGGAATCTTGAACTGTGACGTTGTATTGTAAGTTGAGCTCCGGTAATGTGTCGCTGGATGCCCCCAAGAGTCCCAGTATATATACCAGCGATGTTGCCTGTTCCAGGGTTATTCCAGTGTCGTGGTCCAGCACTATGAGTAGACGGTTTCTGAGTAGCGTTTGTCGGTGAATCTCAAAAAACTCGGGCCCTATCATTGTCAGCAACGGTACCAGAGCATAGATGGGGTGTCGTTCTGGCGCCATTGGCTTGGGCCCTTTTGTTAGCAGCGACCAGAGTCCATTGAGCACTTTCACTTCGTCTCCCTTTTCTAGAGCCTTCATAGTTGTATCCAAGATATTGAGGTAATTCCAGGGCTCGTCGACAAGCACTCCCAGCGCAAAGACGGTATTTCTTCGCTCGCCCTCGTTGTTGCCAATGTTTCTGTCCACCACAACTGCCACTCCTGGTTGTCCATTGTGAGAGAGGTAGACCACATCGTCCTGCTGAAACGATGACGGAATAGCCTTGTACTCGACGCCGCCTAGCCCTTCGCCAAATCCTTTGAGTATCGAATGGCCCAGCTTCACGTCAAAAGTGGCATAGAAGAGCTGCATTCTGAGTATCGCATGTATGGAGTCAGTCTCTGGGTGGTATGTTTAACTTCCGACAGGCTTAATAAACTATCGCCGAACACGCAAATACGGGGTAAGACGTGATACCAATTTGTAATATTGTACGAGAACACGGAATATGTTAATATATGACAAACAGAGGTGGATACCGGGAATTGCGTAAGGTGATATGGATGTTAGGTCTTTCTTGCCACAGACAATATATACTGACCTACAAATGTACTGGTATCTGTACCCTCATGATTGATGTCATAAGGTCACTTAAAAAATAGCCAGGAGTAAACAGTGTGGTTAAAATTTATAATATATAAAAAATGAAAAAATACAAGTAAAAGAAAAGCAGCTTTTGCACCAGCACTGTAACTCCGATACAGGAAATCGAAATCTGGTCTCCATGGTTCTCGAGTATGAGAGCGTGGTATGAGGGATCGAAACGCTGTTTACGTAATTGTATTTGAGTGCAAGAAAAACCCGAAGAAAAAAAGTGAAAACATATGAAATAAAATGGTACTCTACTGGACGGGGTAGCTACTCGTACACCCCTGCACGCCGTCCAACTACTGTATTACTTAAGTTTTATGCTATATAATTACATCTACTTGACCAGCTCGTTAACAAAAGCGGAAAAGTACTTTTTGAAGTCCTTGTTCTCCAAGGTCTTGAGTTTCTCGACGTAGTCCTTGGCGGCGTTGTCGGGCACTCCAATCTGAGGGAAGTACTGCTCGACTAAATAGCTAAGGAACTGGTCTCCCTTCTTCAGATAGATGTGCTTCTGAATGTTTCCAAGCTCCGTCACCAAAATCTTACTCTGGGCGTCCTGCAGATTGAAACCCGACGAGGCAGGCACCTGCCAGCACAGTCCAGAGAACTCCAGCACAATCTGCTCGAAGCCGTCAATCTTCTGGCCTTGGTCAAACACGCTCTCCTCGGCAGAAGCAGCTTCAAGCTCACCGTTGCCCCACAGCTGAATCATCTTGGTGAGACAAGAGGCAGCGGATCGACAGGTATAAATGTCGGTGGGGTCGGAAGCATAGTGGATGACTGACTTGATGATGGAGTCGGCCAGTTGCTTGTCCTCGACAATGGCTCCTCCCATTCGATCTCGTAGAATCTGCATGATGAACATGAGGTATGCACGCTGGATCTCCACCTTGAGCACCTTGTCGTCAGTGTTTCCGGCGTCTGCGGACGCAGACAGCTCCTCAAGAGAGGCAAACACACGCTGGCAGAGTGGAGACAGCAGAGATTTAAGCATGTTGTAGACACCCTCGTCGTTTCGGAAGGAATGCAGCAGATGGCCAAGGAAGCCCAGGAAGTCGGCAAGCTCGGCATGAGAGCATCTCTGAAGCAAGATTTGGATGAGAGTGGATATCTCGGAGAGAATGGAGGAGCCCAGAATGGGCACCAGACGGGTGAAGACCGTTCGCGCAGCCTCCCGGACCTTGGTATCAGGGATTCGGTCGAGGGCTACATTGACCACCTCGGCAGAGTTTTTGAAGAGCTGGAGAATGCCGTCCGGCAGCTTGTTAGAAGATCCATCCAAGCCGTGGGCGAAAGTGCCAATCGCAACCAGATTATGGTGGACCAGAGTGATGGACTCGGCGTTGGGAGGAGACACTCCAATGGCCTTCTCCACAGCAGTAAAGATAGGTTGGAGAGTCTGTTCGACTCCGTTGGTGGCAGATGCCTCGTCAAGAATGGAAACAAGGATACCAGACAGTTCGAAGAGGTTGAGCTGGGCGTTGAAGGCCGAGCCAGCGCTCTCATCATCGGAGTCAGTGTCGTCCTCAGTCTGGATGACTAGCAGGGGCCGGATGGAGTCCACCAGCAGCTGAGCGACCTGGCCAATCTGAGGCTTGACAGACTTGCAGAACTTGTGGAACAAGATCCAGGACCGCATTTGAACCTTTGTGGACTCGGAGTTCTGGATGCCCAAAGGTGAGACGAAGAACTCCAGCACGCGGTTTAGAAGGTTGGTGTTGTGTTGCGAAAAGAGCGAAGAATGTTTGACGACAATTTCCATGAACAGCAGATGCACGGCGGGCTGGGGGCATTGAGCCACGGCGTCAGAGGCAACCATCTGGAAGAACAGGTTGTTGAAGGCCTGGGTAGCGGGTGACTCGTTCTGCCCAGTCTTGACAGTGGATAGAGCGCCCGATCGCATGGCCTCGGACAGGGTCTGAAGCTCAAACATACCCAGTTCGATGTCTCTCCAATCAGCAGTAGGAGGCAGAGAGAGAGCCTGGGAGATGACAGGACAGACGTCATCAAGGAACAGCTGGTTGTCGATAGATGCGCACATATCCTGCAGGTTTTTGAGCCGTTGTCGCAGTTCGCAGAACTCGCCATCCTCATCCTCCTCCCACTCTTGGTCGTCAAGGTATCTGCACTTCTTCATGACAGCCTCAAGAATAGACCGGACCACGGCATGGCGTTGGTCGGAAATGAAGGTTCTGTCAGCAGGGAAGTTTTCATACTGGTCGGCGGTGTTTTTTGTGAGTCTGTTGGGGTTGATTTTGGCCTTTTCTCGCTTGGAGTCTCGTCTAACCAGCTGCAAGTAGGAGCCCACAGAGGGTAGAACCTGGGACGAGGTGTCGTCGTACTCGTTGCCGAGGTAACGCAGCAACAGAGGGAACATGTCCAGAAGCAGAGCCTCACAGTTTGCGCTGAACTCTTGGCTTTCTGTTTCGACAATGTGAATGAGTTCGGAGCCGATGGAGTTGGCCAGCTTGGCAACCCGCTCGTCGAACTCAATGTCTGCAGACTGCGATAGAGTGTGAATGATGCTGGTGAGGTTGAGCGACTGGATGAGCTGAAACTTCGCGTTAGGGTACATTTTCTTGGCGACAATCTCACTGAGACAGTCGCAGGCGTGAATTCGGGACTTTGGAGAGCTCAGCAGGTTGAAAATAGCCTCCAGCGCCTCGGGCTCTGCAATGAGGGTCAGCTCGGCCCAAGAAACCCATCCTCCGATTACGCGAAGAGCGTTGTTGACAATCTCAGTGGCCAGGGGCTCCAGTTGCTGGTCCTTGTAGTACATGAGAATCTTTTTCCAGGAGTCTGCCAGACGGGCCATATCTCGGTTCCGGATCAGATCCTTGAGGTCGTTGTTGCGCGACTGAACCGCAGGATCTCGAATAATCAGCGTGTCTCCAATCTCTCGGTGGATATCGTTCAGTACGCGTAGGTACAGATCCGCCGCACGCGGGTTGCCAAACTGGTTCTCGGGGCTCTCCAGTAGCCGCTCAAAGTCGTAAAAGAAGGTGTCCCAAATTTCCGTGTAGGTCATAATGAACAGATAGGCCAGGGTTTCACCCAGCTTGTTCTTCATGTGGACTGGATCATCAGCAAAGCTGACGGCCTGGCCGACATTGACGTTGGCCTGTCCCTGGCTGAGTCCACTGCCCATTCTCACGTATGCAAAAAGGTGATCACGCACATAGACAAGCTGCTCACGGTTGAGCCGACCCAGAGCCTCATCAATCACCTGAAGACTAAAGTATCGCGCAGCATCACTTCGCTTCCGGTCTCCAGCAAACATCGCCAAGCACATCTGCCAACCTTCGTCAGACGCCTTGACCTGGTTGCAGAAATCCAGGGCCTGCTGTCGCACGGCCGGGTCGCCGACGCCTTGGATCGCGATATCTACCGCCTGTTCGATTTGGTCTTCCATTTGGTTGATGTTGTGAATTTTATGAAAACCACGTCTTAGTTGCAAAGCTAGATTTGTTTGAAAAGTTACCCGGAAAATTACACACTGTGGCGAGTCACGTGCAGTTGGTGGGGCAACCATACCAAGTGGGAAACCTCTCTGCACGCGTGGTGACTATTTTCATTTTCTCTGTAAGCAGGAGCTCTTCATATCACGCCCCATCAATTTAATGAATTTTACGTGCAAAAATTTCCGCCCCGCAAAAAGTAAGGACCCCTTAGTTATTACTTGTACTCTATTCTTGACACCCAACTCTGTACAAGTATGAGGTTGTTGACAGTGTATTTACTATGTGTTGGACTGTTTGTGAGTCTGTCTGTGCAGGTCTGTGCCTTAGAGAAAAAACACCAACTCTGTACGTAAGCCTATTTCTCTTGGGTGAGAACCTGTCCACGTCTTCAAACTTTGATAGTATGTAGTGCGCATCACGTGAATGACATGATAAGCCGACTCGGCATGAGTGCGGAAATGACACCAGCGGGGTATATATGGCAATGACGATGGTATTTAGCTGGTCCGATCTTGATCCCACGTTCGACCGAACATGTCCCGATCGTCGCCACCTCTTGAATTACACCACATCCCCCAAAACATTCTTCACATTCTTGCTCCCGATACTGGATGTTCCTTTGATTAAACTTCGGGTCACCTACAATCGCCTCATCCTCTCAACCGGACCTCCACTTTCTACACCAACCACACATCCCTACATCAAAAGACGTCCAAACGCGGTTCTTTTGAAGCACGGAAACCAGCAGGACACTCCCCTAGCATAACTCGTCACGTGACAATCCTTTTTATCCGCCCTACATCCAGAGTTGCGGCTTTATCCAGCCACCCACCACAGCCATCATGTACCGACCCACAACCGCTACCAGACTCAGTGTGGCTCCCTGCCGACTCATCATAAGACACAAGTCATCCAAGTCACCATCTCCCGCCTCCAACGTGGCTCCCCAGCCCGTGAAGAAGGGCGAAGAAGACGAGGTCAAGGCCGACGCCAAACCCGAGGCAGCTAATAAAGCTCCACAGCCCAAGACCGCCTCCACAACTGCTACATCCACATCCACTACATCCACCGCTGCATCTTCGCCTGCCCCCTCGGCACCAGCTCCTCCATACGAGAACAACCCTTACATGTTCAGTCGTAGCCACTTCACCCCAAACTTCTCGCGACACCAGAGTGGCAACACTTCGTCCCCCACCCGCATTCTCGGCATCCAGCCACACCCCTTCACCGTCAAGGAACACACCGGAGAGTCCATGAACGAGATTTTCCTCCACAAGGCGCTCGCCTCACACATGCAGCCTCTGCTGCTGAGCCTGGACGACCGAAAGAGAGAGATCCCCAGCAAGGTGTACAAGTTCCGAAACCAGCGACAGGTTCCCAAGGCCGAAAATTCGCTGTGGCTCAAGTCTGTGCTGCGACAGCAGACGCACTCAGACATGGACCTCATTCCCCAGGAAATGCTCCAGCAGATGGTGCCCTTCCGGCCTCTCAGTGACGTTACCCGAAAGTTTTGGGACGTCAAGATGAAGGTTGACTTCAAGCGGCAGCAGCAGCGGAAGCAGGAGCCAGAAGAAGAGGAGGATGACTCCTACTGAACGCTTTTTTGAGCGCCGATTTTGTGTCTCACTTATATTCTAGAATGAACCCCGCTATATCATACTGGGAACATTAGAGTCCAGTTCCCACTAACTCATATAACTTATTGATTTATTACGACGTTTTGTACCAACTACTCTAGTTTCCCGATGCATACTTGTTGACGTAATATCGAACCAGACCTTCCATGGCGCTTTCGTCGCCACATCGCACGAGATTGGCTGCGTCAATGTTAAGAGGCGAATCTGGTTCTGGCAGAGATAGCATGGCCGACACTGCGGTGCATGCAGAAGAGATGGTCCATGCTGGGGACCACTGCGTCTTGAGAACGTCAATGCACACCTCTCCGGTTTCAAAGTGGATGTTTGGGTGGCAGATTTTCGTTCGGAAAAACATGGTCGGTGGCTGTAGCGGGTAGTTTTCGGGGATGTTGATTTCCACCTGCCAGAGACCGTTTTCATATGCAGTGCCCTCGGTTCCTCTCATGACGGCAGTCCATTTGTAGAGACTATCGCCGTCGGCTGTGAGCGATGCTAGGCAAGGATTGGGGTCTTTCTTGTATGCTGCCAGCTCCTTGATGAGTCGTTTCTGGGAGGCCATTTTCAGAGCGTATGATTGTGCTTGAGTAGATGTTAGGGCGATGGCTAGGGCGGCAAGAGCGAGCTTAAGAGACACAAATGTGACGCAGAAGACAAATAACAGAAATGCGGCGGTAACGAGATAGCTCAGAGAGGTTGCGACGAAAAACCAGACGTTGACGGTGGAGATCCGAGGTAGAGATTTCATGCGATGCAAGCCATAGGTACAGTAATATATCACATGCGTCAGTTGGGAGGAGAAAAGTGCTGTGTCACGGGGGTTGGGGTCCAACCTTACACGCACTGTAGCTTAATATCAACGGTCGTCCTGGGGGGCGTTGGAGTAAGGTTTTTACCTTGCATAACCACACAGAATAATCGGCATCGCGATACTTAGACAGCACTACAGTACCACTTCAACACAGCGCACAATTTTATCAACATGTCACACTCACACCCGGTACGGCGAATTCTGTCGCCCAAAGATCTGGAAATATTTGGCGCCAGTGACACAAAAAAGCAAGTGTTTGGGTTCGTGAAGGTGCTCAACTACTATGTGGTGGGCAAGGGCAACTCATACGAGACGCTGAAGCACCCAATCATTGGCAAATTGGTGGCCATTCTCGACAAGGTGATTGATCTTGTCGCCAAGTATCCGCCTGAAGATGCTACGTCGTCACGGTTCGGAAAACCTGAGTTCAGAGATTTCCATCAGGCTCTGGAGGAGAACGCCAAGGACTGGATCTCGGATTTGGGAGAGTTGGAGGACTGGCAGCTCGTGGAGCTCTGTACATATTTCGCTGCCTCTTTTGGTGACCGAACGCGAATTGATTTCGGATCTGGCCACGAGCTCAACTTTATCTGTTTCCTCTTCTGTCTGAGGCAGCTGGGTCTGCTTGATGTGCCAGAGTACAATCCTGAGGTGCACGATCCAACAGGAGAGGCCAAGAATGCCAAGTGTGTGGAAGATGAGACTGATTCCTCTGCAGCAGTTTTGACGGTGTTTGTCCAGTATCTTAAGACCATGCGTGCTGTTCAAGCAAGCTATTGGCTGGAGCCTGCAGGCTCTCATGGTGTCTGGGGTCTCGATGACTACCACTTCCTACCCTTCATGTTTGGATCTGCCCAGCTTGCATGCCACAAGTACCTGCGGCCGTTATCCATCCACGACATGGAGATGTTGGATATGTGGAAGCATGAGTATCTGTACATGGGTTGCATCCACTTCATCAACAGTGTCAAGACCACTGCTTCTCTGAGATGGCATTCCCCCATGCTGGATGACATCTCCGGAGTCAAGACCTGGGCCAAGGTGAACCAGGGTATGGTTAAGATGTACGACGCTGAGGTTCTGAGCAAGCTCCCCATTCTCCAGCATTTCATGTTCGGTCAGCTGATCAAGGCTCCTGAGGGGGTGTCACCTCCTCCTGATCCCAATGCTGAAGTGCAGCACATTCACAACCATTGGGCTGACTGTTGTGGAATCAAGGTGCCCAGTGCCATTGCAGCCTCTGAGATGAGCCAGAAACCTGGAGATCTGCGCAAACTGCGTGGTTCCGGTGTTTTGCCTTTTGATTAGGCAATCCCCAGCTTCCATTGGCACGAAATTATACAATAGATAGGCATATAAACTACGATACAATACAGGATGAGGTAATGATTAGATGATATGGCGAATAAGCAAAATAAATATAGGTGACCGGGGTAGCTAGACCTCAGAGGGATCTCCGAGGTAGAAGCACTGGAACGAGAGGCTGTTTACAGTGGACCCAACCAAAACGCCGTTTCTCTTGTGCCAGACAATCTTCTTTCGATCATTCTGGCCCACGGGTACCGTGCAGAATTGAAAGGTAGACATGTCTAGCACACCTCTGGAGAAGACCAGGTGTTTGCCAAACTGAACAGGGTGTACGTCGGCAACGAACCCATACTTTTCGGGGATCAAGTAAGCCTTGACTGAATCAGTAGAGCAATCGTAGATTATTCTCCACGATGCGAGCCTACCCTCTTTGAATATGACCAGGTTGTCTCCAAAAGTTAGAATGCGGTGATGCCACCACTGTTTTCCTCTCAAATTGCCATTCTTCTGCGTTCGAGAAATATGGCTGACTGACAGAACAAGCTTATAATGAGGCAGGGGGGAATTTAGAGAGCTGGTCAGGAGGTAAATGTAGTGAACATCTTCCTTGTATGACTCCACCAAAAAGAGATTCGAAGTTGGACTTCCAGCCAGTGCCAGTGCGTACTTCTCGTTTTTCTGAGGTAGAAATGTGTAGAATTGTGAAGCGTAAGACGCTTCTTTCACGTAGGGCTGAAAGCAACGAATGATGCAAATCTCTGTGGGTCCTGAGAGAGAAGCCTTGTAGCTGGTGCTGAAAAGAGCAGCAACGACTCTGTTGCTAGATGCCTCACCGAGGTGGAAGTAATTCGAGCAAATTCTGACATTCCACCAGTAGCTGGGATCGCCCACATTCAAGCAGTCTGTGTTTGGAATGGTGCGCAGAGTTGTGTTAGTCGATTTGTCCTTCGACGCACGAGGTGCTGGCTGGTGGATCCAAGGAGTCATGGCGCCGGTTATGGGATTGAAGAAGGCATGGGTGGACTTGCCAGATATGACGTAGCCCTCAGTGATGGGATTCACCACAGACCCGGGGGTATAAAGCTCCTGCGACACCTTGAGAGTCTCCTGGAAGTGGCTGGAAAAGTTCCGTGGGTCGTACTCTGTTGCACTCTTGGGTTCGAAAAACAAGTCAACCCAATCGAAACATTGAGGTGGGTCGACTGACTGATCAACATCTGTGGAATCACCGGTATCACCGACCATCATCCATCCGGGAATGAACTTCTGAGGGACAATCTTGGTCGCGACTTTCTCCTCGGTAATCTCCAGAGTGGTATCATCTTCCGAGGGGGGTTGCGTGGTCTGTGTAGTGTCGGACTCGTGGACAGCAGCAAAGGTAGTCTCCCAAGCCTCGGGAGCCAAAGGAAAGACTACCCGAGATTTCTCAATGGTTTCAATGTCCCATTGGAAGTCAGCAACAGGACCGTCATTGCTGAAGTCGACCTCAAAGGCGGTGATGAGAGGATTGGCAGCAACAGGAACAGGTTCGGTGGACTTGGGTCGTAGCGTGGCCTTGCTCTTGGCCGGTGGCAGGGCCTTTTTCTTGGAAATCTTGAAGCTGTGGTGGATTGCCATCGCGTATGGGTGTCCGGATGAGTAAAATACATACATTGTGATTCCAATTATATAAATATTGAGATGATTGCAAGACATTGGCCCTGTAACGGGTGACAAGCTGATAATAAATATGAACAAGTGCGGTTGAGGCACACTTCTTTGTTCTGCGCCATACCTGACTGCAGCTGATAAGGACGGATTTTTTACCAAGCAAACCGCAGCTGTGCAGCTGTGAATACGGGGGGCTTCCACTTGAGGAGCTCCGAGTTGACCTTTCGGCGCCGCTTTTTGAGCATCTTTTCATACTTTTCGCACACACTGTCTGTCAAACAAATGATGTGTTGGCCCTTGTAGTACTTGAGCATGTTGTATGTCTGCAGGGTATGCAGCACATCTGTAGTGGTCATGGCGGTCACGGAGGCAATGTCTTCGATTGTCATCTCCTGCTTACCCTTCTCCATGAGCAACTCAATAATGGTGTCTGCCCAATAGGCTCGGTATGACAGCAGACCCAGATCTGAAAGAGGCTTTTCTGGGGAACCAGTCTTGCCCTCAGCCTTGGAAAGGGCATATGAGAAGTCAATAAGAAGGCGGCCATAACCGTGACGCTGGTATTGCGGCAGTGTGAGAATACAAGCGACATTGTATCCCTCAGCAGACTCCTTCTCCTTGGAAAAGTATCCTACCAGATGGTGACCCTTCTCATCTCGTCGAGTCATGCAGTAGAAAAGGAAGGGGTCCACATCGTAGTAGAGAGTCTTATGATCCAGGAAAAGCTTTGAAAGGAGACACAGGTTTCGGCACCATGTTCTCTGCTTTCTGCCGTCAATCTCGAAGAAACTGACTGCCTCATCTCGATAGATTTCGTTCCCAGGAGGATGTCTCAGAGTGGATTTGGATCTGAACCGCTCAAACTGCTTCTTGGACCCGAAATAACACAGGGTAAAGTCGCAAATGTAGATTTCATCTTCTTCGGTCAGCTCGATAGGATAGGGAGAAAAGTACCACGGTTCGATGACATGATTGCCTAGAACAATTCTCTGTAAATTTCGAACTCGAGCCACCTCATGACTGCTCTGTGTCATACTTCCTCCAGTTCTGAGCTTCTCAATCTCCTCGTCACGGTTGAAATTGTCGGGGTCCTGGGTGGTGCCGTTAACCTGGAGGTTGTCCAGGTCCATGACATCTTCCGAATTGGCTCCAGGAGTAGTTGCAGCCGAATCTGTGAGCTTCTGCTTCTTGGAGGGGTTCTTCTTCTTCTCCTTGCTGCTCTCCTTTGCAGCACCACTGAGAGGCTTCTTGGGCTTCTCTGGCTCGGGCCAAATGACACCCTGTGACAAGTCGACTCGAGTAGCCGCAATACGCTCATCCAGACGCTTGTTGAACTCGACGTAGTGCACATAGAACTCGAGGTTACCACGTCTCATTTGCACGCTGAGAATTTCAGCAACTCGGTCCTCACCGTCTTTCTCGACGTGGACTTTGCAGCCCACACGGAGCTCGTTGATTGCCACGTTCATGTCGACCTTCTGAACGGGCGCAGGAGTCTCCTCGGACCCCGAGGCTTTGCCGTTGGTTTTGCCGTTGGGCAAGTCTGCTTCTGCGAGAGCCATCTTTGGAGGTGTTGTGAGCGACAGTAAACTGCCTGGGTGTTATATAGCTTCGTCGCGCTATTGCTCGTTGATGTTCGGGTGGCGACAAAATTTTGATAAACTGAAAATAGTTATGGTCACGTGATGTTGGGAGATGAGTACAGCCACCTTAATAGAGACAGGAATGTGCCAGTTACTGTAGGGGGGAATTTACGAAATATCGTCTTGTTATATGATATTATTCAGTTATTAAATCTGCGATTATATTGGTGAAACACACATATATCCAACTGTACAAGTACAATGTACATGTAGTTGTTATTTCATTTTTATTTGGAGACCATCCATTTTTATGTTTCCGGAAAAAAATGAAAATTGTATAAGTATGGTTCTGGAATTGGGTCCATATACTGTGCCTGTATTGGTACCACTGGCCTACAAGTAGAGCGAAGGCTGAAAAGGAGGGAAAGCAAAACAAAAGAATGACAACGCCAACCAATACAATTGTACTTGTAACTAAAAATACATTAAATATGCGAAATTCTGATACACCATCCCTCTAATAGGTCTGGTATATCTTGGGTTTCCATTCGAGACCGGGATCACTTTCTGCTGTGGCATTGGGCTTCTCGCGCCACATTTTGATGCTCTTGTCAGCCTCACAGGTGATGAGGCGAAGACCAGTCTTGTCGAAACTGGAGTCGAAAATACCGTTTTCACTCTCGATAGATCCTGGGATGGGAATAGACTGGGTGCTCTGGAACATATGTCCAGTCTTCCAGTCATAAAAGCCAATAGAGCCGTTGTCGCCTCCCGAAAACATGACGTTGTCTTGGTTAACGGACAGGGTATTGATGATAGCGTTCTGGTCGTCGTAGTTGAGCACTAGATCGCCCTCGGGACACTTCCATTGCTTACTGGAGTTAGCAGAGGCCGTGGAGAAAGTGAACTCCTCGGGATGTAAAGTGAGGCCTCGCACACTCTTCTTGTGATGCGTGAGCGTTGTCATGGTCTTCCCGGCCTGTAGGTTCCACAGTCGCACAGTCTCATCTGCCGAAGCTGTAATCACCTGGGGTTCAGAGGCCTGGAACTTGACTCTGTTGATAGTCGACTTGTGTCCACTGAGAACAACCACAGGGTCACGAGTACGAATGTCCCACACACGGGCCACAGCGTCTCGACCAGCAGACACTAGGACATCCAGAGTAGGATGAATGTCCAGCGAGTAGACTGCAGAGAGATGGCCATGGTAGTGTCGAACGACCTTGTTAGTTTCCAGATCCCAACACTTGACCATCTTGTCTTCACCTCCCGAAAACATGTAAGGATGTCGTGGCGACACTCCCAATGCTCTAACACCCATAATGTGTCCTGTGAGAGTCAGTCGCAATTTTCCTGTAGCCAGATCCCAGATCTTGATAGTCTTGTCTGCAGAACCTGTAGCAAACCACTGGTTCTCTGGTTCAACACAAACAGATCTCACCCAGCCCTGATGGCCTGTAATGACTCTGTAGATCTCCCATGGTGCGTGCCACGCCGGTTTCGACTGTGTAAGGTTGGCTCCGAGATTAGTGAGACTGTCGTGTGTAGTTGGTTGGCTTGCAGAGGGCGTGTGTTTCGTGAGTGCCGAGGAAGAAGCTCCCATCAGAGCCTTCTGGCCGCTCTGAGATCCTCCTGCGATTCGCTGGACTGCCACACCTCCTGTGGCTTCCACTGCCAAACCCTTCTCTGCCATTTTGGCAGCCACCTGCTTTGCTAGGTATGGTGGAAGTTCGAGGTTCTGGAACTCCCTGAGTTTTTGAGCACGTCGGATATTTCGAGAGGGTTCATTTTCGCCGGTCGCGAGAGTACCATACTCTGGAAACAGGTCTTTGGCGACAGGCATGTGTGGATTACAAGTTCCTTGTAGTCTCTGATTATGACGGCTGAAATGTTCATGCAAGTTATTCAGATAGCCTTGTACAGGTTATGAGTGGTGTGAGCAGGGGAACAAGTTGGAAACTGGATAAACGAAATATGATTGGCCAGATTCAACTCTGCTTCAAAAATGAAACAATTCTTCTTTCACACTCCAGATATTACTCCCCCTGAGCCTCGTTTTCGGTTACTGTAACCCTCCCCTAATTATCGTTGTGCTCTTGAACTGGGAGGCGTCCACATAAACTTTTACACCATTTCCTCTTTCTCCCCACCGCAACCATGTCCAACAGATTATTGGGAGTCCTTACAAGTGAGTATTGAAAGGCTGGAAAGGGAAGATGAGTCCATACATAAGTTCAATGTGCCATTGCGAATATCCTGACACCAAACAATGGCATGTTTGCCAACTTGGCGTGGGGGTGCCGCACCGCACATCCACAGCAACACGCAATCTCGAGACCCCATACTAACCCAGCCATCGCCATTCCTGTCGGTGTTGGCATCACCTTGATGCAGTCCGCCATGTACGACGTTCGTGGTGGCTACCGAGCTGTCATCTTCGACCGTCTTGCCGGTGTCAAGCAGAACGTGATCGGAGAGGGAACCCACTTCCTCGTTCCCTGGCTCCAGAAGGACATTATCTTCGATGTCCGAACCAAGCCCCGAAACATCGCCACCACCACCGGATCCAAGGATCTGCAGATGGTTTCTCTGACCCTGCGAGTTCTGCACCGACCCGTCATTTCCCAGCTTCCCCACATCTACCAGTCTCTTGGTCTCGACTACGACGAGCGAGTCCTGCCCTCCATTGGTAACGAGGTGCTCAAGTCTATTGTCGCTCAATTCGATGCCGCCGAGCTCATTACCCAGCGAGAGGTTGTTTCCGCCCGAATTCGAGAGGATCTTGTCAAGCGAGCCGGTGAGTTCAACATTGCCCTCGAGGATGTCTCCATTACCCACATGACCTTCGGAAAGGAGTTCACCAAGGCCGTTGAGCAGAAGCAAATTGCCCAGCAGGATGCCGAGCGAGCCCGATTCATCGTCGAGAAGGCCGAGCAGGAGCGACAAGCCGCCGTTATCCGAGCTGAGGGAGAAGCCGAGTCCGCCGAGGCCATTTCCAAGGCTCTTGAGAAGGCCGGTGATGGTCTGCTCTTGATTCGACGAATCGAGGCCTCCAAGGAGATTGCCACCACTCTTGCCCAGTCCAACAACGTCACTTACCTGCCCAAGGGAGGCAACGGATCCAATGGCGCTTCCTCTGGCAACTCTCTTCTTCTCAACGTCGGAAGATAATTGTATATAGATATTTTGTAACTAAACTTGACACACTGAATGATAGGTTTTGATGATTTCGATGCAAGTACAAGTAGCGCCACTGGTACTCGTAGTGTAGCGATAGCGTGTCCAGATGTTGGTTATAATATTTGTGGTCGTGGAACACCAGACTTTATGAAGTGCATTCGTACCATAAAGCTACAACTATGAAAGAATATTAATAATAATTGGGAGCCTGACAAAAGAGTCCCTTTGCAATATAGGAATATTGACTCTACGATACTCCTGTCTCTTGTACCGTTTGTTGTGTTGTCCACATTGTCCACCCCAGCTGCTTCACTCACTCACACCATGAAAGTTCGAAAATGCAGGACAGGAATAATTATTTCTGGGTGTCGTCTGGGAGTCTGACACAACACCATACGTCATGTTATCGGTATATGCTGACCAGCACCGGGAGGCGCCGTTCCCGAAAAAGGCATACAAAGCTGAGCTTCAAAAAACTACGGAAAACGCAGGACTAGGCCTACAGGTGTCCGAATTCCTGAGCGAGGCTGAGATCATCCACTCGCTCTATTACCGGTACCGAAATGCCCACCATTGCGCCGAATGGTTCAGGCCTTTCTCGATGTTACATCGACGGGTATCCCAGGTTGCAAACTGGATTGTTGACTTGCACAAAGCCACCAAGAAGCGTGCTCCTCGACTGATCACTGCTATCAAGATATCGATCCAGAAGATCCAGACCAGGTACCTCCAGCCTGCCTTTTGGAGCTTCTACAGCGTCCTGGCTCTAGGACAATACGTCACAGTTGGATTTGCATTGCTAGGAACCGTGGCAAGGATTGCCAGCCTTTTAGCACAAGTTCACCCGATACCCAGGACAGTAGGAAAGGTACTCGATGCAGCTGTTAAAAAGGGAGCTGAGGTCATGTCCGATGATATCGGTGAGGTTCTAGTTAGGGTCACATCTGAGAAGCCTGCAAAATCTGACAAGATCAAGAAGATGACCAAAAGCACAGTTACTAAGACTACCACGGGAGGAAAGAAGCTGCTTAAGAACATGGACATCGACGATATCTTCTCGACCAAGAAGAAGACCAAGAAAAACATAGAGAAGCCTAGGGTTGTTGAAGAGAATGTTGAAGAAAGTATTATCACAAATGATGATATTGAGGATAATTCTATGCTGACTGAGCCAGCGCCGAAGGCCAAGAAGGTCAAGGTGGCCAAGGTGGAAAACTTCTTTGAGGAATCCAAGGACAAGAAGAAGAAGAATCCTGCTTCTCTAGACGATAGTCTGGAGCCTCCGAAGAAGAAGAAGAAGATACTGGATTCAACAGACGGCATGAAGAAAAAGAAGAAAAAGTCTAAGAAGAATGCCATCGACGATATCTTTGGCTAACCGCATACCCATATTTAATCATTGCATTTATTAACACTGTACACACTGCATCTGGCGTAGGTGACCCTTGAGAAGTATCAGGCTCATATTGTATTGTAACATTTTTTTTTACAAGTGTTGTGTGTATCATTGTGGTTCTCATTGTATGCACTTCATTAAATTACTGATTCATCGAACTATTTACATGGAACCTACAGAGAGGTTCCCTCCAAAAAATGCTTTGCCCAGTTGGGCAGCACAAATGATGCCTCGTGGATTTCCTTGTTATAGTATCTGACCAGACTGGACTCTTCCTCTTGAGTCCACTGTCGCTTGGGGATCTTGAGATTGGTCGGCTTCTTACTGCAGACCATCAGACCCAGCTGGCCAGAGGTGTAAGTGGGCAACAGAGCAGCGCAGTATTCCACAGATGCGAAAACACCCTTGCAGATGTCACGGAGTTGCTTGACAAACTTGAAGTTGAGCCAGACGTTCTCCGAAGACTGGGTGATAACAATACCGTCATCATTGAGGGCGGTGTGCAAAAGCTGAAAATACTCGCGCTGGAAGAACTTTTCAGCAGGGCCATCGGGGTCCGAAGAGTCAGTGATGATGACGTCGTACTTCTCATCACTCCGGGCAACTTCTCGGATGAACTCGAAACCGTCTCTGATATGAACTGTGACCTTGGTGTTATCGAAACCTACGGCCATGTTGGGGAGATACTTCTTGGAGAGCTCGATGACGCTCTCGTCAATCTCACACAAATGTGCAGCCTCCACAGACTCATGCTTAACGATTTCTCTGAGAACTCCACCATCTCCGCCTCCAATAACCAGCACTCTCTTGGGACACTCATGCGACATCATGGCTACATGGCAAATCATCTCCTGGTACGCAAACTCATCTCGCTCAGACACCTGTACCACTCCATCCAGAACCAGCACATTTCCGTACTCCGTGGATCGAAACACAAGAACATCCTGGAACTCGCTCTGCGAAACATGCAAAATTTCCTCGACCTTCAGCATCAGGCCCTGGCCTGGAAAAGAGTCGGAAACTTCAGTGAACCAAGAGTCTGTGTTAGTATTGATCAGATGCGCAACCAGAGAGCCTACGGTGGTTTCTGACACTCATTCAGCCGTGGTACTTCACTCTGAGTCAGGTCTGATCTGTAGGCCTCATCTTGAGGCACTTCGGTATTGCGCCCACGAACCCCCTCCAACGCAAATACTCACTCTTAATACTGGCGTGTTCTAGTTGCTTGACCGTCATGATTTCTGCGTGCAAGGAACCGTCAGGAGTCTCAGAATGGGGATATAGAAAATAATTTAGGTCCAGAAAAGAGTGCAGTGAAGTTGCATGAAAACTCAACTGTATATCCATGAGGCATGTTCCAGGCAGGTCAACCCGCCATGTCCACCTTGTGAGAGGATAACAGAGCCTTTCTGATATTTTTGATAGAGAAAGCACTTAAGTTAGAATAATGATCCGGCAACGATCTCTTTGTACTCGCACGAACAATTTTTACATCCAGTCCTGGACACATCTTCCATACAAGATTTTTCTCTCGGCAATTTTTTGCGCCGCACTAAAAGTCAGATAGAGATGATAACAATTAGAGTTGCCACGTGACCAAAAGGGGTGATTTTTGATCCTGACAATTACTCATCTTGCTCATTAGAACCAGCCCTTGTACCATTTTTCCGTCGTCCTAACACCTGTGGCTCACTAATGTGGTGCTATTTCCAATCCCAAGTCGGATTACGTAATTCATGCAGGATGCCAAAATTTATCTGAATCTTAATCGGAATGATTTATTCACACAACTGAGGCCCTAACGAGTGTTCAAAGTCGCCCAATGAAGCATCCTTATCACATCGTGTCTCTTTCTCCTGACGGAAAGACCATGTACGCCGCTGCTGCGCGACAGGTGGATCGAATCTGCCTCGAGACCGGCGAGTGCAAGTCCACTGTCGTTGAGGAGTCTGCCACTCGAACAACCACCAAAACCGGAGATAAGCCTGCTGCTGCCAAACGAACCAAGTACCTGCCTACGTCTGTGTCTCATGTCAGATCTCTGCAACTTTCCAAGGGCGGAAAGTATCTGCTGGCCACCACAGACGAGACCAAGTCTCTTGTTCTGCTTGATCCCACAACCCTTGAAGTGATCAAGAAGGTGCAATACCCCAAGAGACCCAGCGCTGTCGCTACTGACAAGGAGGATCTGAACATTGTTCTTGGCGACAAGTTCGGAGACGTGTACGGAGAGTCTGTGGAGGATCTGCTCAAGGTGGAGGGAGAACTCAAAGACGAGCCTGTGCTGGGCCATGTCTCCATGCTCACAGCTCTGGAGCTGGGCTACGACTCCAAGGATCGACCTTACGTCATTTCTGCCGACCGAGACGAGCACATTCGAATCAGTCGGTTCCCCGCTTCCCACGTCATTGAGCAGTTCTGCTTTGGCCACCAGCAGTTTGTCTCCAGCCTGTTGATCAACGATCTCGATGCCTCCATTCTCTTCTCTGCCGGTGGAGATGACGAGATCTTTGTGTGGGACTGGCTCAATGGCAAGCAGCTGCAGAAGCTGTCTCTGCGAGAGCACGTCGAGAGCTACCTTAACGAGGCCCACATTTATGTCGACAAGAAGGGCGTTGCTACCACCCACAAGGAGATCACAGTGTCTTCTCTGCAGCAGATCAAGGACACTCCTTACCTGCTCGTCAACGTCGAGAGCACCAACGCTATTATTGTGCTCAAGATTGTCGACAACAAGCTGGAGGTTGCCTCTGTCTTCGCCACTGAGGCTCATGTCATTTCTTTCAGCGTGGCTGGCAACCTCCTGGTGACCTCTGAAGTTGGCTCTGAGGGAGTCAAGGCATACACCATCACCGACGGAGTCGTGACCAAGAGTGACAAGGAGATTCCCTTTGGCTCTTGCGAGTACGAGGACGATTCCGAGCTCATTTCTCTCTTCAGCACCAAGTCGTTGCGAAAGCGAGGAGAGTTCTAAGTGGTTTGTTTCTTGACGGGGTTCTAACAATGGAGGGAGGTGTTACTTGCAAAGAGTAGCCAGCATATGTACAACAATGCCTCGAGGAGGTTTAAAAGTAACTATTGAATACATGATAGATTTTTATTGATTGAACAGACGTATCCTAGTGTACTTGTGACAGACCACACACTTGGAGGGCTGGCCCCATCAACTAATTTCTCCTCTATTTTTAGTTTAAGTTCACAAGGTTGGATTTTTTTTCGGGGAGTGTCTCAGGTGGCTTCAGCGCATACTGTATCGAGAGAAGAACACCCACGTCACGTTTCGTTTCGTGGTTAGGTTGCCCAGCTAAATGAAAAATAGGCCGATCATCATCCTTCCACGTGATATCTGAGCTGTGTAGGAGCTCAAGTTGACTGTTTTTTTTTTTGCTTTTGCCACCCCAGAACGAATACGAATACCTAAATACACGTGCCCTCAGCGCAAGTGGACTCACCACATCGTCGTGGGCTACAGTTCAAGGGCACCATCTACGGCTCTCTCCACACGTCGTTCTTTTTTCCTTAGCCTTTTTTGCAGTGCGCGTGTCCCAAACCCCAGCTCTACACACCAGCACAAACAAAGTTAAGCTCAGGGTTGTCGTTGAGGTCGCTTACTGTAGTCAGTGCTCGTATGGTTCGTTCAATTTTCGCCAAAAATCGTTTTGCCTTTGTATCTTGGGAATAACATCAACTGTGGTTCTTCAACAGGCCTAAGGAACGAAACAAGCCGGACCAAGATCAGGTTCAAGGTGAGTACTGAGAAGGAATAGAAGGCCTAAAGGCGCAAACCGACAGGTGGCAACAGCTCCACACCGACCACGAAGGCCACGAAATCAAGGGGTCCTAAAGTTAGTCTTTGTGGCCTCGACGGTCAGCGAAAACGCGAGACCACAACGCGATCAGAACCAGGACCTAAACAACACAGGACGGGGTCACAATAGGCTTGAACAGCAAGTACAAGCTGTGATCTCTCTATATTTGATTCTCAAACCACCCCTGACTACTTCAGCGCCTCTGTGACACAGCCCCCCTATCATCCGACTAACACAGATGCTACAAGCAGCTATTGGAAAGATTGTGGGATTTGCGGTCAACCGACCCATCCACACAGTTGTCCTGACGTCCATCGTGGCGTCAACCGCATACCTCGCCATCCTCGACATTGCCATCCCGGGTTTCGAGGGCACACAACCCATCTCATACTACCACCCTGCAGCAAAATCTTACGACAACCCTGCTGATTGGACCCACATTGCAGAGGCCGACATCCCTTCAGACGCCTACCGACTTGCATTTGCCCAGATCCGTGTCAGTGATGTTCAGGGCGGAGAGGCCCCCACCATCCCTGGCGCCGTGGCCGTGTCTGATCTCGACCACAGAATCGTCATGGACTACAAACAGTGGGCCCCCTGGACCGCCAGCAACGAGCAGATCGCCTCGGAGAACCACATCTGGAAGCACTCCTTCAAGGACCACGTGGCCTTCAGCTGGATCAAGTGGTTCCGATGGGCCTACCTGCGTTTGTCCACTCTCATCCAGGGGGCAGACAACTTCGACATTGCCGTGGTCGCCCTTGGCTATCTTGCCATGCACTACACCTTCTTCAGTCTCTTCCGATCCATGCGAAAGGTTGGCTCGCACTTTTGGCTTGCCTCCATGGCTCTGGTCTCTTCCACCTTCGCTTTCCTGCTTGCGGTGGTGGCTTCCTCTAGCCTGGGTTACCGACCTAGCATGATCACCATGTCCGAGGGCCTGCCCTTCCTCGTGGTCGCCATTGGCTTTGACCGAAAGGTCAACCTGGCTAGCGAGGTGCTCACATCCAAGAGCAGCCAGCTCGCTCCCATGGTGCAGGTGATCACAAAGATCGCCTCCAAGGCGCTGTTTGAGTACAGCCTTGAGGTGGCCGCCCTGTTTGCTGGCGCCTATACCGGAGTTCCTCGACTGTCCCAGTTTTGCTTCTTATCTGCTTGGATCCTCATCTTCGACTACATGTTTTTGCTGACCTTCTACTCTGCTGTCCTTGCTATCAAGTTTGAGATCAATCACATTAAGCGAAACCGAATGATCCAGGATGCTCTCAAGGAGGATGGTGTATCTGCTGCTGTTGCCGAGAAGGTAGCCGACTCTTCTCCCGACGCCAAGCTCGACCGAAAGTCCGACGTTTCTCTTTTTGGAGCCTCTGGCGCCATTGCGGTGTTCAAGATCTTCATGGTCCTTGGGTTCCTTGGTCTCAACCTCATCAACCTGACTGCCATCCCTCACCTTGGCAAGGCGGCCGCCGCTGCCCAGTCTGTGACTCCCATCACCCTCTCCCCCGAGCTTCTCCATGCCATCCCCGCCTCTGTGCCCGTTGTTGTCACCTTTGTGCCCAGCGTTGTGTACGAGCACTCCCAGCTCATTCTGCAGCTGGAGGACGCCCTCACTACCTTCCTGGCTGCCTGCTCCAAAACTATTGGTGACCCCGTCATCTCCAAGTACATCTTCCTGTGCCTGATGGTCTCCACCGCCCTGAACGTCTACCTGTTTGGAGCCACCCGAGAAGTTGTGCGAACCCAGTCTGTGAAGGTGGTTGAGAAGCACGTTCCTATCGTCATTGAGAAGCCCAGCGAGAAGGAGGAGGACACCTCTTCTGAAGACTCCATTGAGCTGACTGTCGGAAAGCAGCCCAAGCCCGTGACCGAGACCCGTTCTCTGGACGACCTAGAGGCTATCATGAAGGCAGGTAAGACCAAGCTTCTGGAGGACCACGAGGTTGTCAAGCTCTCTCTCGAGGGCAAGCTTCCTTTGTATGCTCTTGAGAAGCAGCTTGGTGACAACACCCGAGCTGTTGGCATCCGACGATCTATCATCTCCCAGCAGTCTAATACCAAGACTTTAGAGACCTCAAAGCTTCCTTACCTGCACTACGACTACGACCGTGTTTTTGGAGCCTGTTGCGAGAACGTTATTGGTTACATGCCTCTCCCCGTTGGTGTTGCTGGCCCCATGAACATTGATGGCAAGAACTACCACATTCCTATGGCCACCACTGAGGGTTGTCTTGTTGCCTCAACCATGCGAGGTTGCAAGGCCATCAACGCCGGTGGCGGTGTTACCACTGTGCTTACTCAGGACGGTATGACACGAGGTCCTTGTGTTTCCTTCCCCTCTCTCAAGCGGGCTGGAGCCGCTAAGATCTGGCTTGATTCCGAGGAGGGTCTCAAGTCCATGCGAAAGGCCTTCAACTCCACCTCTCGATTTGCTCGTCTCCAGTCTCTTCACTCTACCCTTGCTGGTAACCTGCTGTTTATTCGATTCCGAACCACCACTGGTGATGCCATGGGCATGAACATGATCTCCAAGGGCGTCGAACACTCTCTGGCCGTCATGGTCAAGGAGTACGGCTTCCCTGATATGGACATTGTGTCTGTCTCGGGTAACTACTGCACTGACAAGAAGCCCGCAGCGATCAACTGGATCGAAGGCCGAGGCAAGAGTGTTGTTGCCGAAGCCACCATCCCTGCTCACATTGTCAAGTCTGTTCTCAAAAGTGAGGTTGACGCTCTTGTTGAGCTCAACATCAGCAAGAATCTGATCGGTAGTGCCATGGCTGGCTCTGTGGGAGGTTTCAATGCACACGCCGCAAACCTGGTGACCGCCATCTACCTTGCCACTGGCCAGGATCCTGCTCAGAATGTCGAGTCTTCCAACTGCATCACGCTGATGAGCAACGTCGACGGTAACCTGCTCATCTCCGTTTCCATGCCTTCTATCGAGGTCGGTACCATTGGTGGAGGTACTATTTTGGAGCCCCAGGGGGCTATGCTGGAGATGCTTGGCGTGCGAGGTCCTCACATCGAGACCCCCGGTGCCAACGCCCAACAGCTTGCTCGCATCATTGCTTCTGGAGTTCTTGCAGCGGAGCTTTCGCTGTGTTCTGCTCTTGCTGCCGGCCATCTTGTGCAAAGTCATATGACCCACAACCGGTCCCAGGCTCCTACTCCGGCCAAGCAGTCTCAGGCCGATCTGCAGCGTCTACAAAACGGTTCGAATATTTGCATACGGTCATAGGTGTACAATAGTGAAGGAAACAGAGTTAATAAATATATACAATTAGTGTACGTACATCTGGTAGAACAATGTGTTGGCATAATTAGGGACGGTATGAACTGAGTCCTGCCAACCTGATGCTAACTAATGTGTGGTTGTAATTGGACTGGGTCGATTTTCGAGAAATAAACCAATAAACGAACACGTTGTTCCTAGCCCCTTTAAAGAGACAGTGCAAGTACTGTACATACTGTACTTAGAAGCATACTGGTATGTACTGTATGTACTGTACATGCTTCATCTGGCTGGATCAAAGACGATGATCAATACACAGGGACCCAACGGGAATAGAAATCACATAGGTGTACAAGTATTTTATAATAACAAGTAACCAAAGAAGCTGTCTTAGTTGGTCGGTTCTAGTACTCCAGATTGGTATGTCCCCTATGTAATACTTACGTCGATTTTAATAAAGTTCATGCACACCACCATCTAACATCTCAGCCAAGTTTACTCCACACCATTATCATTACACACGCAGCACTTCTGGTATGGCATCTCTAGCAACATTTCAGGTGGAGAACGACATTGTGGACGTCGACAGCACGCCCCAACAAGGATTTGATCGAGACGACCTGTACAAGTACGACGATGTTGAACAAAAGGCGATCCTTGCAGCCCATCCATGGAGAACAGATCCCTCGTACTTTCGGAACGTGCTGGTGTCTTCAATTGCATTGGTGAAGATGGCGATGCATGCTCGATCAGGTGGTGCTATTGAGGTCATGGGAATGATGACTGGAAAGATCTTGCCCAACACATTTGTTGTCATGGACTGCTATCCTCTTCCAGTGGAGGGTACAGAGACAAGGGTCAATGCCCAGCAGGAGGGTATCGAGTTCATGGTGGAGTATCTGCAGGGCCTCAAGGACGTGGGACGCCGAGAAAACATTGTCGGATGGTACCATTCGCATCCCGGCTACGGTTGTTGGCTCAGTGGTATTGACGTGGACACACAGTTTCAGAACCAGCAGTTCCAGGAACCGTTCCTGGCGGTGGTGGTGGACCCCAACCGAACCATCTCAGCTGGAAAGGTCGAGATCGGTGCTTTCCGAACCTATCCCAAGGATTACAAGCCCCCCAAGAAGGCTACTAAACAAAACCAGGACCAGAGCGTGCCTTTATCCAAGGCCAAGGACTACGGAGCGCACTCTGAGCGATACTACGAGCTGGACGTGTCATTTTTCAAGTCCTCGCTGGATGAAAACCTGCTGCAATTACTCTGGAACAAAAACTGGGCCGCCACCTTATCTCAGTCGACTATTCAGCTAAACCACGACTACACATCCAAGCTGATGCTTGATCTGAGTGAGAAGAATGCACAGCTAGCGATCGGGCTCGGCGAGAAAACTCCCCAGTCTCAGGGTCGAGGTTTCCGAGAGGCTATGTCAAAGGCTGACAACGAGCCTCACACTAACCTGCTCAACTACAGCACAAAGGGCCAGTGGGAGGCTGTGAACCGGTCTGTAAAGGATGGAGTTCAGATCGGGTCCGACGAGCTGCAGGGTCTCATGTCTCTTGAGATCCAGAGACGGCTGTTTGGTCGAGCGAAGTAGGAGGTATAGCATATTTAATTTAACGAATTCATCAATACAAGGAGGGACAGAAGTGACAGCACGACGACATACATTTTATCTTAGCAAGGAGTCACTGTAGATATTAGTCACTGTATACTACAGTATGTACAGTAGATTCTGGTTCAACTGTGGTACATGCTGGTGCAAAAATGTGATACAAATGCTCAATTACCACAACTTTTCTCACCAACTTACACGAGTTATGTCCACATACTCGTAGGTGCTACAATACAGCATCGATCGAATACAAATACTACCCAGAACACTGGAAACCGTGTTCAACTACATGAGGAGTTGATTTTATGTGGTTATATTATTTATAAAAAAAAAAAAAAAAAAAAACCTGACGAATCAAGACTCTTAGTTGAGGGGCTCCATGGAGATCTCAACGTACTGAGGGTTGACACAGGAAGCGGCAGCAGCCTCAACAGCAGTGGGCCGGAGCTCCCACATGCCGTTCTGGACCTGACAGGCAATGAAGCCCTGGTTCTGGTAGGTGAGTCGGTTATCTCGGTAAGAAAAGCCGGTCAGACCGTTTCGGACCTGGTTTCGGTCAGTGAATCGCATGGAAGCCTGGTTGCCGAGCTGGATGAATCGTCCCTGGTTATCAACGAGCTGGCCACGGTAAGAGAGCTGGCCCTGGAACTGGTTCAAGTTGCCGTGGCTTCGGTTGTCGACAAGCATGAGACGGCCGTCATTCTGGACGATTCGGGAGTCCCGGAATTGCTGGTTGTTGGCAATTCGGAGCTGGGAGTCCTGGTATCGAGCAAGACCGTTCTGTCGGGCACCGTTCAGAGAAACGGTGACGGGCTTCGAGCAAGGAGCTCGACCAGCATACACCTGGTGGAGGTGGTCGGAAGACCGCTGGTTGTCAGAAATATCGTAGGCATTGCCGTACTGATCAACGGGGCAGGCCTGGAACTGCTGCTGGTCGTTGTATCTCCAAGAGACACGGTTATCACCAAATCGCTGGATGTTGATGTTGTTGTTTCGTCGGGTAGACAAGGCGAGCCGGCCGTTGTCAACGCCGACGTATCGAGCGGAGGCGTCGGGACCAGCAATGTTCAGATCACCGGCGATATCGATGAAAACATTGACCTCTCGAAGAGGAGAACCATTGATGTCTCGGGCGTCACCAAAGTAGAGGTTTCGGCCGTCGGTTCGCATGGCAATGTTGCGATTGTCTCGCTGAGCAGCCATGTGGTAGACGTAGTCAGACTGGGGCCATTGGTACAGAGATTGGTCAATACCGGCAAGGGAGTATCGACCGTTGTCGGTGTACTGCTCACCCTGTTCGGCAAGAGCCAGGGAGGCAACGAGGGCGAGGGCGGAGGTGGAAAACTTCATTGTTAAAAGGTGTTGTTGATAGAATCGAATGGGCTGATAGCTAGAGAATGAGTAGGGATATGGAGGGGTTTATATAGTAACGCAAGTTGTAGAGGTCCTACAATTGTAGAAGTCATAGGATCCCTAAACATACCTTACAAGACAAGTTGAGAGAACAAGGAATCCGTCAGACCTTACAACCTGAACGTGATGTTCCCCCAATCTTGATCTTTTGGTCTTTCCCTTTTTGCCAGAGGAAGTTAGAAATCCGTGAAAGTGTGAGAGGAGTAAGAGTCGCGGTGTAGTCTCTCTGTAAAACAAAAAATAAAAATAAAAAAACTAGATACAAGAGTGTAGAGCTTCATCATTCGAGATACCACTCAACTTTGAGCTGCTCCAGCACCAACCACAGCTATCAATCTTCGCACGTAGAGTAAAGACAGAATCATGCTGCTTCTGGTAATTGAAATGTTGTGTGGGTTATTATTCAACTGTCCAAATCGGGCAGGTCGGCTTTAACACATCTAATGGTGGGGGTAAGCAAGTCATTAAATCATCCAACGGTTTAAGTGGCTTGTGTAAAGTATTTCGAAGAACATACCGTACCGATCCAATAGTACGACTTAATGGTACGACACCAATAAACAAACATATTTGCACCATTTAATAGACACTTCTTCTGTTGCGTTGTTACAAGACCACAATTGAAATCTATTCTTAGATCAGAAGATATTGTTGAGATGCTTGCTACCTATACTGACAGCCGATATCCAGCACTACTCACCGCTTATTGAGATTCTTCCTCATTAGGAAACTCCCACAACTTGAGACTACAGTCAACCGGCCTATCTTCCTCCCCCGCGCGCTCGCCAGAACTGGTAGCCACAACACCTATTCCCGTCAGTGGGTTGGAAGCGACAGCAGACACAGGAGAAGAGTGAGCTTTCCAAGACGACTCACACAAGCGATCAATGCCCATATCTATATCCTCCCATGTGTTGACATGACCGTCCACAGTTCCTGCCACCAGTCCGCGTCCTGTGATTGTCTTATCAGCCCACAGTCTCTGGCTAGTCTTACCATCCCAGCCTCCTAGGGTAGCGACGTGTCGGAGACCCATGCGGACGTCCAGAACAGGTATTTCAATGGCTCCTCTGCAAATCAAATGCAAATAATTCTCGTTGGGCGACCACAATGTTTGACAAATACCCTGGGCGGTAGGTGCAGAGCTGGTTTTGGCAACTTCCCCCATAGTGTCAAAGTCGTAGAGAGCTAGACTTCCCGAAAACGAGGAGACAGCGACCTGCTTGGATGCATGCGAAATGTGTGACACCAGGCCGAAACTGGGCATGTCCCATTGGTATTCGGGTTCTGAGCCGACGTTGTTGACATTAAAGAGTGCCAGACGACGTTCTGAACCTGCGAATAGGTAGTCTGAACCAGGTCTAAAGGCAACACTCGATGGAGTGAGGAATTGTTCGTTGCTCATGTCGGTCCACTTGTAGCATCCCACAGATTGACTTCCACCCAGAACGTTCGTAATCTGAATCGGCATTCCCCTTTGGCTCACTACCGCAAAGCAGGAAGAGTAATCTGCCAGTTGGAAGCCGGGAAAGACGGAAAAGGAAACAATTGGACTCGAGAAAAACGTTCGCGTGTACGGATACAGATTGTGGGGCTGCTTTTCTTTGTTGGACAGCAGATCAGGGGGAACAACAAACAGTCTCAGGGCATGATCTTCATTATTGGTGATTAACGACGAGCCGTCTGGAGTCCACACTGTCTGCTTGAACACGTCAGCTGAGCGCTTGCCTGTCCAGGTCTTTGCTCGATTGGCAGAACCAGCCACGCGAGTCTCCAGTTCCATGCCTTGAAACATGTTTGCTAATTGAATATCTTCATTAACCAGAGACTCAGAAATGCTGTGGGTATATGTGGATCCTGTGTCTGCGACCAGGTTTGGTATTTCTAATGATGGAATCATTTTTGAGAGGCGTGTGGGTGCGAGTGCTTGCAATTGTGCAAGCAACATGTTGACTCATGGCCAAACTCTGATCCAAACATACTGGCAAAAAAAATCCAAAAATGAGAGGACGACAGGACTCGAACCCGCAGCCTTTGGAGGACGTCGTTCAGAAGAACCGAAATCCAATGCGCTACCATTACGCCACGTCCTCACCAATTTGATGGAAAAATACAGTTTACAGTGGTTAACTCGCGTTTGCTTACATAATCACCTGACACACCGTAATGATTCAGAAGTGTATGATTTATTGAACGCCAATAACCAGGCTTACTACAATATATACTGTAGCTGTAAAGAATCATTAGAATTAAGAATTATGTATTTCCTTAGAAAACATACATTTCCTTATAAAAAATAAAAAATAAAAAATAAAAAGCTATAGATGATTTCAATAGCCATTATATTAATGAAATGTTTCTCTATACTCCTGATTCTTCATAGGAATGATCATTGTCCAGATAGTACACTTTTCTTTTATCTGTTACCATAATACAGTGTACAGTACACCTTGGAATGCTTATATCATTATTTTACTGTCTGTAGTCCAAGCATGCGGTACGTGAACGATCAACAGCAGTAGCTAGAGGAGTTGGTGTTGTTGGCTCTGTCCTGAGTGCTTCTGTCTTCAAGTGCACTTCCTTGGATACAGTGTACACTACAACCTCTTGAGCAACAGTGTCATATTTACATTATTTACATATATCTTGCACAGAGTATCGGACCGCAATTAACAGCTACAGTTGTCTACCCATCTGGGGAATGCTGTCACATCTCTGATGTTCTCAATACCTGTAGCGTAGCTGATGAGTCGCTCAAAACCCATGCCGAAGCCTCCATGAGGAGTAGATCCCTGCTTTCGAAGCTCAAGGTACCACTCAAGAGCACTCTTGTCCATGCCTGTAGTCTCGATGTTCTTCAGCAGAGTGTCATAGTTATCTTCTCGAACGGAACCTCCAATAACTTCTCCGATGTGGGGCATAAGGAGATCGAAACAGGCGACAGTCTGCGAATCGTGAGGGCTCTGCTTCATGTAGAAGGGCTTCTGCTCCTTGGGGTAGTCAGTTACAAACACAGGCGAAATGAAATACTCTGTTGCCAGCCACTTCTCATGTTCACTTCGGAGGCCAACCTCATAGTCGGGTCGGTGGGCGAAAGGCTCCTTAAGGTGCTGCAGGTTAAGAATTTTGATCGCTTGCTTGTATGTGAGTCTGGGGAAGTCGCAGTTAGCCATGTCCCATCGATCGAGAAGCTCTTCCTTCTGTTCAGCGCTTCTCCGAGCATCCAAAAGATCGTTTCGCGCCTTGTTACCTTCTTCCATAAGAGGAGCAAGACATGACTTCACCATTCCCTCAGCGAGGTCCATGAGAGGCTCCAGGTCGTCAATGAACGAGATCTCGGCTTCTGCCATCCAGAACTCGCTCAGATGACGATTGGTATCGCTGTTTTCAGCACGGAAAGCAGGTGTGAAGGTCCACACTCGACCTACGGCAGCTGCCAGAACTTCCAGATGCAATTGGGTGGAAACAGTGAGGTATGCGGGCTTGTCTCCGAAGAACTTGTCTCCTTTGCCCCCTCCAGCCACCTTGAACACCTCACCGGCACCCTCACAATCAGAAGAGGTCAGCAGGGGAGGGTTAGTCTGCACAAAGTCGTTCTCGGCGAAGAAGTTGGTCATTTGAGCCATACAGAATGATCTGTATCTAAGAGTAGAGGAGTTGACAGAAGTTCTCCATCTGAGAGCAGGCAGGGTTCGCAGAAACTCTTGTTTGTGGAACTTCTTTTGAATAGGGTATTCGTCCACTGTTCCAGTAACCTTGACCGACTCGGCCTGGAGTTCCAGACCCTGCTTCTTGCCCTGAGAACTGACCAAGTTGCCCTTGACAGACACACATGCACCCGTAGTGAGATCGGAGGTCACCTGATCGGGTTGGAGCACAGCCATAACACCCTGGGCACAATTGCCGTCGGAAATGTTGAGAAATGCGACATTCTTGAGCTTCTGTACAGACTTGATCCAACCGTTGATGGTCACAGGTGAAGCATCCTGAGTGCCGAGAATGTGCTTGTTTTCAGTCTTGATCTGGTTGATTGTCTGGGGCAGAGTGGTGATGGATCGGACCGTAGAGGATTCGAACACCCGCTGGGTCATCAAACGAGTTCTGGCTATTCGCAGCATGTTTCGATATTGAGTATTTGAATGCCCTTCTCAAGAATCCATCATATTGACATGCAGACTCTTGAACCTTATTCTGGATTGGAATATTTATGTGAAGTAATGCAACAAAAATTGGGGGACTAAAACGAGTAATATCTGTTCTCGTCGATTTATTTTGGTATATTTTTATTTCCTACCAACCTGTATCACCCTATAGTAGCGTTCAGATACTGTCGAACAGTTGCTGGATTACTTACTTTTAAAGAGCCAGATTTCAACTGTTGATCATTTTTAGTTGAATATATAATTGAGCCGTTGGCTACCAGTACACACTGTAGCCGTGAAAATTTCTCCCACACTTTTTATACAGTACTACTGAACAAGTAATATAGACTTACCTTACCTTATCTACTGTACTCGTGCTATGGATAGCGGGATATCTTGACAAAATACCATCTGAACTATCAGAGAACAAGATGAGCTCCCAGAGTGTACAGTACATACGTAATACGCGTAGTGTTGTGTTGGAGGAAGAACCATTGCTGTATTCTACACTGAATGTTTTAGATCATTGTTGAAAGCGGCCCTCAACTTGACCCCAATTTCCACTCATATGAGACTTCAATGTGTGGATCACAAACAATACAATACTGTACATACACGTATGTACTGGTACGGTAACACACCAAGATGAAGTGTCACTATGATATTTGTCAGCCTGCTCCGAATCCACTTGGTCCAATGTGGATCCAGCAACGCTGATCACTGACACAATAAGGCTGAATAGCTAAATGAGTCCGTGTTAGACCCTGGAGCTTTCTGGGGCTCTGGGCTCTATCTTAGCCCGACTCTTGTTGCCAATAGAATTACAGTAGTAGCAATCCAGGGCAGTCTCGCACGGGGAAGAACTGCCTAAGTATGTACTGTACTGTTTTGGGCTGTCATAATGTGAATCTTCCCTCGTCAGTATTGTATGATTAGCAAGATGCGCCTTCTACGAGGTCAGAGAATCGAATACAAATGATTGATAGGCATATATAATTGTTTTTTCGGAGTTGACTTCTGTTAGTGTATCAGGATAAATAATGACACTCAGTGTAAATTACAGAGCACTGTCATGATTCGGCAATTTACTACTGTAAGTCATACATAGTCCCAAGAAGTCAGCTCAGCTTCTGGATATATACACCACTCTTCCCTATATAAACCTGCTCCTTCTGTATTACAGTGCCCACCTCATTAAACCTACTGCTGTGTATTTATAATGGAAATCACACAACCAAGTTATACACAATCTATAGTACGATAAAAACGAGTACTCGTACTTGTACGAGTTCAGGTTTAACTTTTGAAAGTCAGGATTAGTGAGCAAGGCTGGAGCAAGGTAAGTTCCTGGCTTGGGGAATGGTACAAGAACATGCTGTGCACACAGTTTCCTAGCGTGGGCGGCTAGAAAATTGTTTATATTGGTACTGGACTACTGGTGCCTCCATTGACCCTACTTGAAGTAGTGTGTACTAATAGTGCCTAAGTGGCTATGTTAAGACAGGACATATTCTCCTCCCACCCCACCCTTTGCACGTACATTATCCAAGTATATTACAGAACCCTGTGTGGCAGAAAGAACCACCATCTTTATCCTGCACCCCCAAATGCACGTGACACATATACTGGGCTAAAATTTGTCTGTAGCACTATTCAACTCACCCCTGCCGCTGTTATTATCTCCTCTTTTCCCGCTCATCTCCCCTCTTTACCCCTTCCCTCTACGCCCCATGACGTTGTCTGTCAGCTGCCATGCAACGTTAATCCTTATCTTACATCCATCTTGTGCTAGCTTCTTGTGAAGTTGGGGGGTATATTTTACCAACATATTTACGACTCAGAGGAAAGCTCAGAATATACACAATAACAACCAGAGTCACAGCAACTACTTTTTCACCTGACATACATCTGACACGTCAGACTACAAACCACACCTTTTGAGAGAGACCATACACACCAGTCCACATCAAGCAACCACTGTATAAACCCCACCACGACCACAAAACATCTTTTACACCTCAAACAACTTCTTGCCACTCTCATATAACATCACAGCATGTCTCTCGAAGAATCCTGGATCGACGTGGACCAAAAGGTCACCGTCAAGCCTCCTGCCCGCTACTCGGCCCGAATGCCCAATGTGGAGGCCTTGGAAACAGAGTCCTCAGCCCTCTTCTACCACGCCCCAAGTGTCTACATCATCGAAAGCGATGCAGAAGAGGATGACGAGTACAACTGCGACTCCCGTGATGAAACCACAGACGACAGAACCCTGCTCTTTTCCCGGGACTCTAGAAACTCCCCTTCCTCCAGAGACTCTACCACCACAACCACATCCATAGCTGCTCTACAGGACTCGTTGTCGACCATCGTATCCCGCGACATGAAACAGGCTCGTGCATGTGGCTCTTCACGTTCAAAGCCACCTTCTTCTGTTTGTCTGGACTCGCTGAGGATCGTACCTGAGTCCCAGCTACCCAAAATGCGAGCTCGAGGTTCCGGAACTGTGGCACCCGCCATGTCTAGCACAGACTCGGATAGCGACACAAAGATGGCAGTGAAAAAAAGGCGTGTCAAGCGAGTTAGAACGGGTGTCTCTTCTCCTTCCATGGAGGTTTCAGGTGCTGGAAGTCCTGGCGGCACGGGTGGCTTTTCCCCCGCTGCCTTGGCAGCCGGCATCACCATCATTGGTTTGTCGTTCTCAGCCGGCTATGCCATTGGCCGACAGTCACTGCGTACGGCTTCCGTAAACTGAGATAGCGCTAGACCACTTGGGCCATCACGGATGATATTTATATGGAATTTACTATCATGGCGTTGGGTATTTATATAAGTTAATAATAATGAGTTGAGCAGTGAATCTTTCCAGTAATATCGTAATTACTGCTTATCGTACAAGGCTGGTATATGTATATGAAAAAGAGTAAATAAAATACCTACCATAGGTCGAGGCGGTGAGGTATAGTAGAAACTTGAACGGTATTTATAGCAAAGTTCATGTTTTGGAGTTTTTTAGGACGCTGCGTCATTCTTTAGTTTAGTTAGATCGCCACTCCCTCAGTCCTCTTATACTTGTACCTACTAAACATGCATGTAAAACGCACAACAGTTCATCAACACCAGATCACCACAACAAGCAGACACAGAAGCGTGTCGACAACGACAGAAACAACACAGAAACAACACAGAAACAACAGAAACAACACGTGCGCGTAATTCAACACATAGACACGTCCACATGCAGATACAAGCATTCGACTCCATTTTCGGAGACGCTTTTGACGACTCTCTGAGAATACCTGCTGAGACAGACGTTCAGGACCTAAACATGGCTTCTCTGGACACTATCAGGGAGTGGATGAGTCCTGACAATAGCAACGCTGATGTTAGTGATATCCAGGCGTCGATAGCACTCATTCCTCTGATCGAGTCTGATCTCCTCAACTGGTACCACGAGGTGGTACGAGTGCACTTCCTGGAGAATGTGGCCACTCAGTTGGATTTCAGTAATCTTGATTCACTGGAGAAGCTTGAGTCAATTGCACTTCGTCTTGAAGCAGCCCGTTTCCACTACCACAGACCTTTGGAGAGTCTATCATTAAGTCGTCATCTGGTTGAGAACTTCCAACATTATTTATTTGCATTATTCGAGATCACCTTTGGAGGAACGCCGTATCTCACGGCACTTAGGAACTACATGGTTTCCTGTTCGCTGCCACCTACAGACCGCACCATCAACCTGTGCAAGACACTATATAATCTCGGTCTGGGTCCCAAACTGGAGCCCATTCTGTCCAGCAGTTTGGTAGCTGGCATCGAGCGACATATTCTGAACGTTTATGGTGACGAGTGGACCCTTTCGTGTCTTCCCACCATGACAGTGTGGCTCAAATCGTGTCTTCCTCGCATTGAACAAATGTTTCTGCATCCCCCTACTCTCGACAGCTTAGTGTGTGTAGGACACCGATACGTGGCTCGGCTGCGTACTTCACAGCTATTTGACATCACTGTGGACTATCCTGACAGCATAGCTGCGATCCAGGACCTTCGACAGTGTCTAGAGTCTCCCCACCAACGAGCACAGGTAGTTGCAACCTTCCAAAACGCATGCCAGACTCGACTTTTGCATGCCGGTGCTAACACAGTCGACGTGCTCTCTGCATACATTCATACTACACACACATTTTTGCTACTTGATTCCAAGGGGGTCTTGTTGGAGAAGGTCACCCGACCCATCAAGAGATACCTCAAGGAGCGCTCAGATACTGTCACTTCCATTGTGTCTGGTCTACTGGGTAACGAAAAATCGGATATCAAGTCCCTGGCTGAGTATCTGTCAAAACCGCCCAGCACTGTTCTCGAGGATGATCTGGCTGACCCTCATTGGGTCCCTGATCCTCCGGATGCTCCATCGGACTTCCGAAAGGGCTTCGCCGACATTGTAGACGATCTTATCATGCTGTTTGACAATCGCGAGGTGTTTGTGCGAGAGTTTGTTGGTATCTTTGCCGACCAGATGTTGCAGCTAAGAGACTACAATGTGGGAGAGATTCAGCTACGTGCTGAGCTACTCAAACGTCGATTCGGTGAGCGAACTCTGCAGAATCTAGATGTGATGGTCCGAGATATCCAGGAGTCTAAGCGTGTGGATACAGGTGTTCACGCAGAATCCATCCAGGGCAAGGCTGTCTATGGTACTTTCCACGCTTCTATTCTGTCCAAACTCTGTTGGCCGCAGTTGAAGAGTGAGGAATTTCTACTTCCGTCAGCCATTGAGTCTCAGCTGAGTCTCTACGGTACAGGATTCTCAAAGCTCAAACAGCGTCGAAAGCTCAAGTGGCTGCGCTCTTTGGGTAACGTGGACGTGGAGCTGGAGTTGGAAGATCGAACCGTGGCTTTAACTGTTGCTCCAGAGATGGCTTCTTTTATCCACGCGTTCCACGACACCACCGAGAACTCCCTTGAGTATGTCCAGGAGAAACTCAAGATGAGTCCCGAGATGGCACGTCGATGTGCAGCCTTTTGGGTCAAGGAGGGGGTATTGCAGGAGAAGTCGGAAGGAGTGTTCCGTGTGTTGGAGCGCAAGTCAGAGGCCCAGAATGTTGTGGTTGCTGACGCGTTTGAGGCTTCTGAGGCTGGCCAGTCTGCCGAAGACAAGGCCATTGAATCGATTCGACAATACTGGTCTTACATTCATGCCATGCTGACAAACAGAGGTTCACTGCCTGTCATACAGATGCATTCGTTCCTCAAAATGCTGGTGCCAAAGGAAACGCCGTACACTGCTACTCAAGATGAGCTCAAGCAGTTTCTGCAAGCCATGGTGGATGAAGAGAAGTTGGATGTCGTTGGAGCCAAATTCAAGCTGAAGAAGTAGAAATAGAGAAGTATGGAGATGAACCTGTGAGGTTGTAGTATCGTTTGGACTCTTGTAAAGGGGATGGGAATACAGTTATGGAATAAGAGGCTGTAGTTAGGCCAATGTTGGATCAACTAGCTATTAAATACAAAAGCCATTGATATACTACGAAATACTCTCAACTACCATTAATACTGTTAATGTATTACAGTTTGTCTGAGTTATTACCAGACTAAGACTAGCTGGGCTGGACTGTTTAAGGCTTGCATCTGCCAGTGAATCGAGGGTACAGGGAGCACTCTCGAACAGTGAACCGGTCACAAAGCCATGCGAGAATTCGCTCAGTACCCAGGCCGTAGCCTCCGTGAGGGAAAGTTCCGTACTTTCGAAGATCAATGAAGAAGTCGTAAGGAGCGGTATCGATGCCCTCTCGCTTGAAGCCGGCCATAAGCTCGTCGAGGTCGTCGATACGCATAGAACCTCCGGTGATCTCTCCGACGTTGGGCATGAGAACATCGACGGACTCGGTGACTCGGGGATCGTCAACGCACTTCTTCATGTAGAAGGACTTGATCTCCAGGGGGAATCGGGTGAGGAAGATGGGCTTGCCGATCTCGTCGGTCATCTTTCGCTCAGCAGCCTCAGCAATATCGTCGCCAAAGGTGAACTTGTTGCCCTCCTCGTTAGGGATGTTGTGCTCGTTGAGCCACTCCAGAGCATCAACGTAGGGCATTCGCATGAAAGGTCGCTCAGGGGCCTTGAAACCGGGGTTGAGCTCCTGGACAAGGGGACCGGCAACAGGGTCAGCGAGAACGTAGTCCACAGTTCGGCACAGCACCTCCTCGATGTGCTCCAGGAATGTCTCGAAGTCAAGGAAGCCAAGCTCGGCCTCAATGTGGGTGTACTCAGACAAATGTCGTCGAGTGTGGGATCGCTCGGCTCGGAAAGACTCGGCGATACAGTAAGCGTCTCCAACCGAAGGGATGACAGTCTCCAGGTACAGCTGGGAGGACTGGGTCAGGTAGGCCTTCTCCCCGTAGTAGTCGAGTGCGAAAAGAGTGGAACCTCCCTCAACCTGGGTTTGGACCATGCAAGGAGGTGTGATCTCGGTCATTCCGAGCTCGTCGTAGACTCGTCGGATAGACCGCAGGAAAGAGGCTCGCACTTTCATGACGGCAGACAGAGTCTCTCCTCGCACAGTCAGGTATCGGTAGTCAAGCAGGTAAGAGGGGTCAGCGCCCTCCTGGACCTTGTTGGTAATGGCGTCGTCGCCGGAAGGAGCAAGACCGATGATCTCGTAGAAATCAACGACCAGCTCGTGTCCACCAGGAGCTCGAGCACCCTCAGGAACCTCCTTGAGGGTACCGTAGATGGCAACAGATGACTCGAGAGTCAGGTTCTGGGTCTGGAAAGCGTTGGCAAGATCTCCCTGAAGAACACACTGCAGGTATCCAGTACCGTCTCGCAGAACTAAGAAAGCAACACCCTTCTGGGTTCGCAGTCGATGGACCCAGCCAAACAGCTTGACTCGGGGACCTCGGTTCTCGGTGGTGTCTCTGATCTTGATCAGCTTGGGTTTGTCCAGAGACTTGTCCTCGGTGATAGTGATCTTCTTGGCAGCCTCCAGACGAGCAGCCTCGGCAGCCTCTCGATCAGCCTTGGAAGCCTCCAGCTGCTTGGCCTTCTCAGCCTTCTTAACTAGACCGTCAACACCCTTCTTGGCTTTCTTCAGAGCAGAGGGGGAAATGTCCTCGTAAGCGCCCTCAGCACCCTCAGCTCCGGCCTTGAAGACCTTGATCTGAGCATCAGGGTGAGAGTACAGAGCAAAAGCGGGAGTCTTGTAGGGAGAATCCTGAGCTCCAGAGGCAGAAGACTCGTCGACACCCTTAGTATCGTTGACGTAAATTGCGGGTCCAGACACAGACAGTTGTTCGACCTTTTTTTCGAGATCAGCCATGGTGATAGTTGCAAGTGCAGAATCAGACTCGAAATTTTCAGACGAACTTTGACTCATGTCGTGAGCCTGCCCTAACCCTGTGGCTGGGGACTAATGTGTGTCCCAATTTAGGGTGAATTATCGGTCATTACGAGCAGATGAATAAATAAATGTGTTCGTTGCAGCTATATCTGTTGGTTTCATTCTTCAATCTTTTCTTAATGACTATTAATGGCTGTTTTAATTACCACAATCCTCCCATTCAAAGTAGTAAGAGACCTGCATACATCATAACGTTGATGTGATGAGAGAAGTCCCAACTCAACATCGTGTAAATAAGATGTTGGTGTTATCTCGGCCTTCCTTTCTCGAGCTGACTGACATGTGAGTCATGAGGACCGGGTATCATTTGAGTGGCGAGTGTTTGTGATTGGCTTTTGTCCATATTGGGTGCGTACAAAGCTACTTGTAGGCGGTTGTGTTACGGGATTGTGCGTACCAGGCTCCATAAATCTAAAACCATTAGTTGAATCCATGTCAACTAAAGATCCGAAATTGCACACCAACTAAGGTAGCATTAATGCGGAGATGGTTATCTGTGACTCGAATGGCTCGTAGAAGACATTATTGAAGAGAGAGATGCATTAAAAAGTTTTCTGATGAACAGGCAATCAACTCCACAAACTTATCCACAGTACTTGACTCTGTTTCATCTCGCGTAAGTACTTGTACATACCGAATCCCAGAATATAAGGAACCATCTCCAACATTAGGCTGCGTTAGCTATTGACTAATGAAATGAATATTTCGGACAAACATCAGAAATTGGACACATTTAGAAGAGTGCTACTAATGCACTTCCATTCAAACAAGTACACGAAGCATTGATATTAGGATTATATAATCGCTCGACCGATTACATTCGTACACACCCATACCCACAAGCTTTATGGTCACGTGCCTCTCATCGCGTTGGCCTGCCTTATAGGTGTGTGTTTCACGCAACTCTACTGAAACGTGATGGTCACAACCCCTTCAACCCTAAGTATTGCTGTTGATGTTAGACAGATGGAGAGTAAACGAGTGGCGAAGATGTGAATGGTGTTATGGAGGAGGACCCACGTGACACTTTGTGACTCTATACTGCATCGTTATTCTTGTCATTCAATCCTATCTGACACATTCCTTCTACCCTACAAGTAGGTGCTTATCCCTGGTCAACCTTCGGACCCCGTCGCACCTGATAAGCGACGGGTTTTTGAGATAAGAATCTTGACAACGGAACCTGTCGTTGAGAAGTACATCGCTACTGCTACTGTAATACAAAGGATATTTACCCCTGGAATAATATCGTATTCATAGTGGGCATGTACTGTATACAATTGGACAACACGTCCACGTAGTTGAGCTACCGTGTATATCCGAAGGCACTAACACAACCCATTATTATTAAACAGCTCGTGAGCGGGGCTTAGGATGAGCACCTAGGGTGGCGCGTACTACTGTAGTTTAGGATGCTTAGTGACACACACGACCTGACCCTTTTAGAGGTACAGTACTATACTCGTACAATAGTTACGACCAAAGGGCTCGCCCACTGTTTGGCTCTCCCTTTTATGTTTAAGATAGCAGCACGCCTCGTAGCACCTGGTCAGTGTCTCTGATAACAATAATAGAGTTGCGTTGACACGCAGTTTGTGTGACCAGAGAAGGATACATTTCCCAATTGGGACTGCTAGCAAATGCGGCCAAGGGATTACGGTGAGGAGAAGGGTGTTCATGGATCGAAGGATGGGGGAAATGGGGAGATTATTGGACTGGGTGACACGTGTAACCTCCATCCTAAGGCGCCTCCACGGCCTTAAACCCACTCTTCACTCTTCCGTCTCCACTTAGACTTCGCCGTTGAACGCTAATGAGTCACTACCAAGACCATGACAGGCAAGAGGGTAGGTGAGGCCACAGGCTCTGAGATTGCATGGTTGGGGGGTCATGCCGTGAAGGGCTGGAGTAGTAGACACCGTGAGTGTTTAGACAAGTGTCACGTGATAACACTACACGTCCACACGTAAATATAGATCCCCATACCGGCCCCTCCATTGTGTCTCTCTCGCAGACACCTTCCTTTTACAACCCAACTTTGGAGTAACGACCGACTCACGTTTTTTTTCCTCCCAATCCAACTTTGTAAGGCACACGCTCAAAATCTCAAATCTGAAATTTTGATTTCACGAACTTCATCTGGATATCATATTTGAAAGTGAGTACACTGAAAACACTGACAAAACAAGACCAACACGAGTGAAATGACGCGAAAAACAAACGACGCAACTAACAAAGTGCCCCCCAAAGCTGCCAAGGCCAAGAACGACAACATGTTGATCGGTATCACCGTCAACAAGGAGGACGACTTCTCCGGATGGTACCAGCAGATTGTCACCAAGGGAGAAATGCTGGACTACTATGACGTGTCCGGCTGCTACATCATGCGACCTCCCTCCTACTTTGTGTGGGAGCAGATCCAGGAGTGGTTCAACATCAAGATCAAGAAGCTGGGTGTCAAGAACGCCTACTTCCCCATGTTTGTGTCTTCTCGAGTGCTGGAGAAGGAGAAGGACCACGTGGAGGGTTTTGCTCCCGAGGTTGCCTGGGTTACCAAGGCCGGATCTTCGGATCTCGAGGAGCCTGTGGCTATTCGACCCACTTCCGAGACTGTCATGTACCCCTACTACGCCAAGTGGGTGCGATCTCACCGAGACTTGCCTCTCAAGCTCAACCAGTGGAACTCCGTTGTGCGATGGGAATTCAAGCACCCCCAGCCTTTCCTGCGAACCCGAGAGTTCCTGTGGCAGGAGGGCCACACCGCCCATCTGACTGCCAAGGAGGCCGAGGATGAGGTCATGGCTATTCTCGACAATTACGAGAAGATCTACAGCGAGCTGCTGGCTGTCCCCGTCATTAAGGGTAAGAAGTCCGAGAAGGAGAAGTTCGCAGGTGCTCTGTTCACCACCACCGTCGAGGGCTTTATTCCTTCCACTGGTCGAGGTATCCAGGGAGCCACCTCCCATTGTCTGGGCCAGAACTTCTCCAAGATGTTCGACATCTCTGTTGAGGATCCCAACGGAGGTGCAGACAAGCTGTTTGCCTGGCAGAACTCCTGGGGTCTGTCTACCCGAGTCATTGGTGTCATGACCATGACCCACTCCGACAACAAGGGTCTTGTGCTGCCCCCTCGAGTGGCCCACACCCAGGCCATCATCATCCCCTGTGGCCTGACCGCCAAGCTTGCCGCTGAGAAGCGAGCTGCTGTTATGGACGCCTCCGCTGCCATTGAGAAGGCTCTGTCCGAGGCCGATGTCCGAGTCGCCTCCGATACCCGAGATACCTACTCTCCGGGCTGGAAGTTTTCCGACGCTGAGCTGCGAGGTATCCCCCTCCGAATCGAGGTCGGTCCTCGAGATGTTGAGCAGGGAAAGATTGTGGCTGTGCGACGAGACAACGGCGAGAAGATTGTGATGGATATTGCCGACCTGGCCACCTCTGTCCCCGAGCTGCTGGAGACCATCCAGAAGGACCTCTTCTCCAAGGCAAAGGAGACCTTCGATAAGCATGTCATCAAGGCCACAACCTGGGACGACTTTGTCAAGGCCCTCAACGCCGGTAACCTGGTTCTGGCCCCCTGGTCCGCCTCCATCGAGACCGAGGAGTGGATCAAGGACAACTCTGCCCGAACCGTCGACCCCAACAATGAGGCCGACGACAAGGCTCCCTCCATGGGCGCCAAGACCCTGTGCATTCCTTTTGAGCAGCCCGAGCTTGCTGCCGACGCTGTCTGCGTCACTGGCTCTGGTAAGAAGGCTGACAACTGGTGTTTGTTTGGTCGATCTTACTAATTGTCGGGTGCAAACCACGAGGTTAGTAGAGATGCTAAGCTGTTTAATCTTGCAGTGAGATGAGACAGGCTCTGCAGTCTCGCTGCGAGTGATAGATTGATCTTATCTTAACATGTGGGATGATGTCTACCGCATGGATGTAAAATGTATGGTATAGGTAATGATGATGGTTTTAAATAGACTGTGTGGTGCGTGATGTATGATGATGTCATGATGCTAGTGAAGTTGCTGGTATTACGTAGGCAGAATTCATGATTCAATGGCGAATTGCAGTGGTTATACAGCTGCTGTGACCTAAGAGACCTGTAAGATGCTGGCTATAGTACGATACCGGTGCAAGTACTCATACTAATACTCGTACTTAGAAGACTTGCTTCCATTGTTTGCTCCAAGCATATATACTCATTATAAACGTGAGGCAGATGCATGAGGTAATCCATATGAAGTATGATATGTTCTGCCAACATTATGTACGGATATACTGTTTATACATATATGAATAGCTCCGCCTTGTCGAGCTACGAGTAGTACTATATCCCCATCCTTCCTACGCGGCATTTCCCTCTACATTTCCAACACTTCTACGAGCCAAGTTTGAGTACAAGTACACGTACAGTATCGGATCCATGGTCAGTGATTATTTATATACATTATCTTGAATCTACAGTAGGTCTAGTGTTTAGGGAAAGGGCATACATGATATGTGGGTTGGTGGATCACATTACTCGATCCACGCTCACTCGGTATGTAGCAGTAACTACGGTACCGCACCACTCAGCCCATGCGTATTGTTTAGTAACACCCACTTTCGCTGAGAAATACAGCTGACTTTCTAACAGGAGACCCAGAAACCAGCCTCCTTGGCTCTCACAATCTCAATCTTTTGAGCCTCCACCTTGCCACTCTTCTTAGTCAAGAACCACAGATCCTTGACTCCCAGGCCCTCCAGATATTCGAGAGTTTTCTTATAGTTGAGTCCCACTTGGGCTACTCCGTGACTATCGTCTGACAGACACAGTCGTCCTCCTCGGTTAATAACAGCTTTGCAAATGTCAGGCCGGGGATAGGGAGTATTCCAACCCTTTCGAAGAGGAGCAGAAGACACCTCAATGAAACCTCCATAGGAGATGATGAAATCGATGTTCTTGATGATCTGGTCCCAAACATCTGGCCAGTTCTCTCGCACGTAGTTCTCGGTGGCTCCAAAGCCTTCTCTAATGGTGGAGTACAGTCGAATGAGATCAAAATGAGCAACCACCTCGGGCTTAAGTTTCTGTAGCATGTTCCATTGGATCTCGTAGTACTTTTTGTAGAGAGCATGTTCAGGAGTAGTCTGGTCGTCAATCATATCGGACACAGAGTCAGAAGCATCGCACCATTGGCCCTGGCTGAAATCAATAGGAATGCCGTTGACGTGGTGCACAGATCCAACACACAGGTCAAGACCATAGTGCTTCTTGAGCTCAACCGCTCGATCCCAGCACTCGGCTCGGATAGACTCACACTCAAAGCCCACCAGAATCTCTGTGTTGGAAGTGTTATCCTTCTGTAGCTGTCGAGCATGTTTCACATAATCGTCAAAGACCTTAGCGAGATCAACAGGAGTAGTTTTGGACTCAATCTCCTCAGGATACAGATCGGTCTCCCTGGATCGAGGCATATGTTCTGTGAGACAGAAAACGTCGAATTTCTTGTCCTTGGCTGCCTGGACACATTCTTCAAGACTATCCTTAGCGTGTTGGACGTACTGTCCCGAGTGCGAGTGGTGAGAGTGCATGTTGGTGGTTGAGAAGAATGTCAATCACTGCTTGTCGAGGCACCACTGTGGTTATCGTGAGATGCATGCAATTAGGCTTTTGATAGTGACAACGGGAAAAAAAGACTTGTGTAGCTAACCGAAGGTCATATGGGTCATAGGCGAGGATTTCGAACAATGTAGCTCCAGGAATCACTTCTTGAAGACTGGAGGAGCGTAAAAGATCGTTTCCGTGCGCATTCGCATCATGAGGGTGTTTTAAAGAGTGCTGTTGTGCCTTCAATAGCCGCCAGTAGTCATAAGCAAATACAAGAATCGGATTCCAATCAATTATTTTAATACTTACAGCCATGTCGTTACAATGCATTTTTATTACCTATAAATATGTTGATTTGATGCTGTTTTTTTTGAGGCGGTTCACAGTGAGTCAAGAAGAGACTGTTGGTGTATCTTGTCGAGCATTCTTTAATGCACTGAATGCTGGCAACTGGGGCGTATGTGCTGTAGTAGAGCACATCCTTTCTTTACAGCCGAGCAGACCTTTCATAACTCGACAGTGTATGGGTTCTACTCCTCCGCTCCAACAGGCTCGGGAATGTCTGTGAAGGAGACCTTGTGGGTGACAATCTCAATGAGATCTACCTGATGCCGGTTTTCGGGGTCCATTTTGAGCAGCCCCAGAGGCTTGTCGAGCTTCTTTATCGATCCTCGCATTCGCTGTTTCCCGTCAATCACCAGAGTGGCTTTTTTCTCTTCAAATTCAATGGATCCAACGCGTCTTGATCCCTCCTGCAAATGTGCCTTACTGACCACTTCTCCCTGGATTTCCACAATGGCCATTCCCGATGGGGTCTGGATCATCTGAGGCACGGATTCCACATGGTCGTTTTGTCGTAAGTGGTCCAGAAATATGTTGGTCACGTTCATGTCAATGGTTGTCAAGTACACAGTGAGTGGATCTCTTAATTTAGCACGCACTGTAGACGCGCATTTGAGTTTGGGTGTGGAGAAGGGAGAAGAGCTCTAAAAAAGGTAGAGAGAGATGGTTAGGTGAATAAAGGGAGTGGCTGACGAGATGGGTGTAAGCGTAATCTTTGTATAAGACTGTTTACTATATACCGAGTGAATTTTTGCTTCAGAATCTCATTGTATCACCCCTTTAGTGGCTCTCAACCTCGTCTACTTTTTCGAACCTCTGAATATGCATGTCCCAGCGCAACTCTACGTGGGATAAATATCATCTCCACCAAAACAGTCATTATCCACCTCAACCCAGCCATCATAATGACGTCTCTGGCCAACCTGATATACGCACAGACTCTCTACAAGTACGCGATCGACAACAGCGTCAAATCGGTAGTCGTGTTACCAGATATCCCCCAACCTATCGCCGAGTACATGGCAACACAAGTTCCCAAACACCCATTGATTCAACCCGACATTCTCAGCATGACAGGAGGCCCTTCCTCGCTAACTGCCGCCCATTGTCAAAAGTGGTGGCGTCAGATGATCTCATCGACGAAAATTGCAGAAAAGGAACTCGCTCTGAGCAGTTTGGCCAAGTTGGTGGATGGATTCAGACATGTTTTGTACAACGAGACGGTGGCTGGTCTGAAAGCCGACGAGGTGAAATTCAAGCATCTGAAGGAGATGGAGCGGGATAAAAAGATTAAGGCCGAAACTGAGCGATTAGAGAAGGAAAGACTAGAGAAGGAGAGACTACAAAAGGAACAACAGGAAAAAGAACAACAGGCCAGACGGGAGGCACTAGAAGCTAGCAAAGAGCAGGAAGAGGCCTCAAAAGCTCAGCAATCAATGACGAAATCTGACGACGAGGACGTAGAGATGACTGACGCTGTGGAGGAATTGAAGGAGAACGAAAACAGCAGTAAGAAGGAGCAGGCTGAAGTTGAGACTACAGAGGCTGATGTGGAGTCAGTAAAGGTCAAGGAGGAAGAAAAGGACACTGAGGTCGAGACCGAAAAGAAGACAGTAGAGGCTGAGGCTGAGGCTGAGGCTGAGGCTGAGGCTGAGGCTGAGGCTGAAGAGCAGAATTACAAGGATGAAGAGGAGCAGGCTGATGGTGCAGAGGCAGATGTCGAGTCGGACGCGAGGGAGGCTGAGGAGTCGGGGTCCGACAAGGAAACGACTGCCGACGTGGAGACCGACCGTGGAGAGACAGAAGAACCCGATGAGAGCGAATTAGACCGGGTGACGGAAACTCCAGAGGCAGGAGCTACTCCTGGATCCGAGGAACGGACTCGAAAGCGAGCACGATCTACCACTGAAGACTCTGATTCGCGAAAGCGGTCGCGCCGAAACACCTCTGCTGCCCCTTCGGCCAACCGCAAGTTTCAGAACGTGGCTGGCAATCTGCTCTCGAACATCTCATCCAACAAATCTGCGTCTTTCTTCACACACCCTGTCAATCCCAACAGTGCGCCCAACTACTACGAGTTGATCTTTTCGCCGACGGACATCCGGACCATCAAGGCCCAGGTCAAGGACGGACGTATTTCATCCACTTCTGAGCTTGAACGTGAGGTCGCCAAGATGTTTGCCAACGCCATCATGTACAACCCTTGGGACTCTGATGTAAACCTGTGGGCTCGAGAGATGCAGCAGGAGACTGATGCTCTCTTGACCTTGTTTCGGGGAGCAGGTGGGGAGTAGAACATAATTACGATTGATAATGATTACAAATGTATAACACCATGTTTGCAGTTGCAACTAAAGTGGTGCAGCTATGAGTGGCACAGTCCAGTATGATCAGACTCCGGGCAGATGATGATAGTGATGCAGAATAAATACAATATCAAAGTACAACAAGGGCAACATCAAACACAATCATTGGGGTTGCACCGCCTCATCTAGTAACTCGAACAGGGATCAATTAATATGTACATTTTATCTCTTCTGCATAAGAGCAGCGTTCTGTTCCTGGAATCTCTGGCCGACTCGTTCAGAGTGCTTGAGGAACTTCTCGGAGCACTTCTCGAGACAAGACTCTTCTCGGGAAGACAGAGCCTTGGAGGTGAAGTCGTTGACACAGTCAGTGAAGCATCGCTGGACGAGAGAGGAGTAGAGCTGGGTTAGTATGTGTGGTGTGGTGTTGTGTTCTGTTCTGTTGTCGTGGTTGTCATCAAGAAATTTGGAATACTCACTCGCATGAAATCCTTCATCTGCTTCTGCTCGACGAGCTGCTGGAACTCCTGCTGTTCTCGGTTGTTCAATTGATCCATCTTGTGTTGTGATTTGGGTGACTGATGTGTGTGATTGTCTTGAGCAACAACGAATACTTTTCACTCCCAGGTGGAAAAGGGTATCACGTGTCGAGTTTATTTTCCAGAGAGGGGCGAGTGTGATTGGGCTGAAATATGGCGTTCAAAGGCTTTTCAGAGTCCCGTGAGCATATAATATCATTGTGCACTGTTGAAATAACTACATCTTCTCATTCTTCTGATATTTCGCCCTCAATGAACCGCTGCACTCCTATTGCCACTCATCACCAAATCTCGGTATGAACCTTGTAGAGTTCGGAGAAGCTGGGAGAATCACGGCTTCAAGAAGTCTCATAAACACGCAATTTGAGCGGTATTGAAAATCTAACATTTTAGTTGGACTCATCTTATCGCAAGTACCGACCAAAAAACTTGAAATTCTCGATTTTGCGCGCCGAAACATCATGTTCAACGCACCTTCTTATGCACTCTTTATCACGGTGATATAGTTGTTCAGTATTTCTACAAGTACAAGTTCTGGTAAAAACCTATAACCTTACCCAACTCCATCACACCCAGTGAAGAAATATGCCTCACTGAATCCTCAAACAAAACACCTTGACCAGCGAATATGTGGAATGTCCATCTTTAGAATACACAAACACACTCGTACAAGTACCGTACCAGCCACATACTTCAAATACACTTCTCTATCACAATATTCCCTTGCTTAAACACATTGCTACAAGGGTTAAACCACAGGGTGCCATCTTACAGTATATGTATCGTACAGTGGTTAAGATTAGTTTATCTCCGGATCATCAGAGTTAATCATACCCATAGATACAGCTGCGGAAAGGCGATTGTTATACAGCATGGCACATTATTACAAGAACCGTGTACATCCACACTAAATCCATCACACCCACTACTCATCAATAATTCGTTCAATGTCATAATATCATCTAAATCATACATAATTACTGGAGCTTGTTGATAACAGCCATGGTGAACTCGTCAGTAGTGGAGTTGCCGCCAAGATCGGGGGTTCGGACCTGGCCCTCAGCAAGAACGTCGTAGGTAGCCTTGGAGATGACGTCAGCGAAGTCATCGAGGTTGAGGTGTCGCAGAAGCATGGCGGAAGACAGAATCATGGCGGTGGGGTTAGCGGTACCTCGGCCCTTAATGTCAAGACCGACGTGTCGGCAACCGGGCTCGAAAACGGCGTGCTCGGTACCCAGGTTGACACCAGGGACGAGACCGGGGCCTCCAACAAGACCGGCACCAATGTTAGACAGAATGGTTCCGTAAAGGTTAGGGGTGACGAGAACGTCAAACTGCTGGGGCCAAGAGACGGCCTGCATGGAGGCGTTGTCGACAATCATGTCGCCGTACTGGATCTCGGGGTACTCGGCGGAGACCTCCTTACAGGTGTTTCGGAACAGACCATCGGCAAGCTTCATAATGTTGGCCTTGTGGATGGCAGTGACCTTGTGTCGGTTGTTCTTGAGAGCAAAGTCAAAGGCAAATCGGGCAATTCGCTCGGACTTTCGCTTGGTGATGACCTTGATGGACTCAACAACACCGGGGACAGGGGAGTGCTCCAGACCGGAGTACTCACCCTCAGTGTTCTCTCGGATCAGAGCCATGTCAATGCCGTCGAGTCGGGTCTGGACACCGGGGATGTTCTTGATGAGAACGAGAGAAGCAAAAATGTCGAGCTCTCGTCGCAGGGCAACGTTGAAAGAAGTGTGACCGTGCTTCTCAACGGGGGTGTGGAGGATACCCTTGATGGCAACCTTGTTTCGGTTGATGGATCGAATGGCCTCCTCGTAGCCGTCGAGATGGTTCTCGCCAACACCGGTGACATTGACAACCTCCCAGTCAATGGGGACGGAGATAGTCTTGAAGATGGTCTTGACAGCGTCAGTAATCTCGTTACCGATACCATCACCGGGGATGAGGGTGACGGTGTACTTGGATCCGTACTCCTTGGGCTGGAACATGGTTCGAGCGTTGGTAGCGAGGGTTCGCTTGGGGAGAGCCGAGGCGGCCTGGGTTAGTATGTTATCCTAATGTTTTGGTGTCGATGATAGTTATTGTGGTGTGCGGCAATTAACACAAAACACACCAGCAACAGCAGCGGCGTGCGACAACAACGTAAACAGGTGTCTTCGTATCCGCATCGCCTCAATTGTTCTCCATTCCCCTGTCCCCACACAGTGTGCTACTGCCCGCTACTATTTTTCTCCGTAGCACATGCAGGAAAAAAAATAGTGGAGGGAAAATAAATACACGCATAGATGTTCCGGGGGTGGTGGTGACGTGGACAGGACCAAAGTAGGAGACTGTGGAGCAATCGGCGCCGGAGTTGCGACATACACTAGCCATTGGTCTCAATGGCGTCTTCCCCTGCCCCGAGTCTCTGTCTGTGATGCTGTTGTTGTTTCCGAGAAAATGTTATGGGTTGTACACAGATGTCGTCGGTCATGTAGCGCGCATCGCTGTGCCATGGAGCGGTGCTTCCATTGCACCTTGAGTCACCTCCATTGACTCGCCCGGAGTACTCACCTTAGCCAGGTAGGCGGTTCGAAGCATTGTGGATGTGGATATGTTTTCGATTAGACGACAAGATGTTGCCAAAAGGTGTCCTAGTTAAAGAAGAGAGAGAGAGAGAGTTTTATGTGGGAGGATGCAAAAAAAGCTTTTACGAAATTAAGGACGGCGAGGTTTAAACACGGCGTCAGAGCGAAACCTCTATTTCGAAGGAGACAAGCTTGAAGAAGAGAGCTGCGCCAGGGGCATTAAAAAGAGTGTCTGGCACGTCACACTGGGCTCGTGGCGAGCCATTCGATATTCCTAGGCCATATACTACTTGGAAAACTTTTTCCTGCGGCTCCATCTGTACCCTGTCAGCTGCACCATACTCCGCCAAAAAATTTACATTGTTACATTCATTTACATGTACACGTTTCTCCCACATATCTCCATGCAAATCGGAAAAACAACATCCGTCCGGGTACCCGACCATAGAGGCTTTTATCCGCTTAGCTCCGAGCAGGGGGGATATGAATGGGGGCTTAAGGGGTGTCGAAATAATCGGTGGAGGTCGACCGGAACGTTCAAATTGACTAACGATGCCAATTGAGACGTCCAACGGTGTCTCATACTCACGGTTGCTCCAATAACCGCGTTCTTTTGTCTCGTCATACTTGCACCCTTGGCTCCTCTCTTTGCTCCCATCCAGCTTTGACTTCTTCTTTGACTTCGAAGTCTGCGTGTGTGCAGTGCCCATTGGCCAAAAGTAGGAAAAACCTTGCACCGAAACACGATCCGGAGCGACCCGGATAATGGATATTAGTGGGAGTTTGGGGAGCCGGTGAACTAGCTTTGATCTTGGGAACAACGTCTGCGCTAGCGGATATGGTTAGCACATTTCCACAATTCTAAGTGTCGATGACGCAGATGAGAATCGAACGCGCACACAGAATCCAAACCTTAAACAAAAACCACGGGTACAACAGCCCAAATTGAACTCGCGATATCAGGGCAGAATCAAACTACAAGTAGCACTATCAAAATCGTGATCCTGATCAGATCAACGGCATCAACAATATGTCGAAGTCCCTAAACCTTTACAGATCGCTCTATCGAGAGCTGTCAAAGCAGTATGTCGCTGCAATGACCGTCCACATCAACGGTGAGAACCAGCGAAACGAAGCCAAGGCGAAGTACGAGGCGATCCAGAAGAAAACTACACCCAAGGCCATTGAGAAGCTGCCCACACCCCGAACTTCACATTACAACAGTACTGCTCTCAGAGAGTACTTCACAAACGGAACCGGAGAGGCCGAACAGATCCAGCACGCCGAGGACATGCTGCTGTTTCTGGAGAACCAGCGAGTTTACAAGGACCTGCTGGCCCGATACAACCCTGGAGTGGATATGGCCGATCAGGAGAGAGTGCGACTTTCTGCCCGAAGAGTCGGACTGGAAGTGCCCGTTGGAAAGAAGGACTTTGAGGATTAATTGTATATAGCGTAGTAATGAGTAACGAGTCTAGACGACGAATTATTTGTACGAGTATACTACAGTGCTGATAATACATGAGGTTTCTCTGCAACCGCCTACTTGTAGTAATGACGATAAACACATGAATTTGATACACAAGGTGGTACTTGTGCATTGCAGTCTCATTCATTTGTGCATTTAATAAATAAATATCATCGTCTAGTCACATCTTCTCTTAGGCGGACTCGTAATGTCCACCGGCTACCATTGTAGCAATGAGACAGCCCCCGCTGTTAACAATTCATTTCCTCCCACTGGTCCCTTTGATAACTTCCTGGCGAGCTCTAACAGCAGACCAGAAACTGCCGTAGCTCCATGTCAGCTTCTCAGCTCCTTGCATGAACCCATCGTATCTATTGAATTGCTCCGACATATCTCCATTGTTAGCCTGATGCTCTCTGATGACATCCAAGAACGAGTCACCGAGGTCAACGAGACGGTCCAACAGATGCTGATACTCTTCGGAGTCTCTAGCAATGCGGTCAGAAGACACAAACGTACCATAAAACTCCTTGGTGAGACTATTGATCTCAAGAACAAAATCAGACGACTGCTGGGCCAAGTGGTGAGCAATGAAGAATATGGTCTCTGCAATGGTAGCGGTACAGATGAACCAAGGATTGCCATGAGAGGTTCCCACTCCATCGTAGACGTCCTCAGCATAACGACCAACACCAACGGCGACGTACCCAGGATTTTCATCCTGGAAAGACTCCTCGAACTCAGCTAATCGTTGATGATTAATAGGGTAGTCGAAGGAGTGCACATAAGGCATGATAGTAGCAATGAGAAGATCGTCGTAGGGCTTGAGAGATGTACCTGCAGCTATGCTAGACTCCCATCTAACCGAGTCAAGAGCGGCCAAGAATATGGAGGAATCAAGGCCCGACCTTCCAAAACTTCTGGGCTCAAATTGTGCATTCAGCCGAGAACCAGCCTCGAAATGTGTCTTGATGAATTGTCGAATCGATCCAGCAGTGAATGTACATCTGCTTTCGGTCTCTCGATCTGAGTAATGTCTTGCAAGTTCCACGACGTTAATGAGAGCGTTGAACTGCACTTGAGAAGTGAAGAGATGGTAGCCCTCCAGTTCCTCCCAGAGATCAAAAGTCGGCTGATCCCAATACTGTAGAATGTACTCGACATCGGGTAGGATCATAGACTTGTAGATATACACATAGTCGTCGAGAGAAGCTGTTTCATTCCACTCCACCTGGGTTTGAATATAATGCGAGATCGTTTTAATTCTGAGTGCAGGTCCATCATTCTGAGGTCTACCCCAGTGCCCTGTGAATGCTGAGCCGTCAGTCTCAAATTTAGGCTCTCCCAAACCACTAACAACACGTCTGTTCCAGTCAAAGTACCCGGAGGGATTGCTGACGTGCTGCAACATGCCTTGAGTCTCAATGTATCCCATGATGATGTTGCTGAGTGTGTCGTTCAGTATACCTTGACTAGCCTGGTCATAGAACCGCCGCACAACTGAGTCCATGGTGATGGCAGCATCCCGAGTCCATTGGTAATAGTAGTCAGGGGCCGTTTTAGAGGGACTAGCGATAACAACGCCTACGGGAAGACCGTTGTTGCTACCTTGGTGTCCCACATTGTCGAGGACAGACTCAAAGGCGTGATGAGTCTGCTGAGCGAGCCACAACTCGAATTTCTGGGCGTCAATGAGTGTCACGTTTGGTCTCGCGTATGGTGCCAGCAACAGAGGCTTCTGATCGAATAGCGGAAGCGCTAGAGACCCTGGAAGTGCTAAAACAGAAACAAACGCTTGTAGCAACATCGTCGGTATGTGTGTATGTGTGTGTGTGTGTGTGTGTGTGTGTGTGTGTGTAAGGATGAGAATAGCGCAATCAAGCCATTTATAGCAAAAGAGAGAAGGTGTAGGTACCTGCACAAGAAGAAAATCGTGCTTGTCGGAGAAAAGCAAAACTGTCACTTCTGCACCATGCGTTCGCGCTCTTGTTTTGTTGTGGTAGTATTTTTTAGCACTCACGGTTCTGCATTGAGATTTACCTCTTGCTGTGTGACCATCCTTCCGCATGACCTTGGTACGTGATAAAGTGTACCCGCTTGAGAGATGTACAAAGATGTACGGAGATATGATACGTGTGCCGGCCGCGCGTAACGTGACTATTAAGATAAGTATAATATTTTCGACTCTACAAGCACCAAAAACAGGTCACTCGTTCTAGTATTTTTTTACCACATTTCCCCAGCTTTTGCTTTCATTCTTTCATACCACTAACGTGAAGACCAAGGTTACATGTGTAGGGATATTATTGGCACTACTGTAAGAAGGACAAAGAAACCACAAGGGGGCCGATGCCCACGATGACCCTGTGGACGGAGTCCTCTTCTGGGATATGAGCTGTGTCATATGAGCTGTGTCAGGTGCTTCACGGTCCGTTGTCCTGTTATACGGAGATATGTGGGTGGGCCATGTACGGTAGAGAGGGGGTAATAGCATGTAGTAAGACACACACACAGAGAATGTCACATGACCTACGATACGAGTACGAGAACACATACATACAAGTGCAAGGTACTACTGTATTCGTACATACAAAGTCTGGTAGAGTATGTACCGGTTTGTACGAATGTGAGAGTGTACTATAAGGGGCTGAGAATAGTGGCAATGAAAGTGGGGCTGGAAACAATGAGCAGGACCATTCAGAAAAATCGGGATTACATAATACAATACAAGTACAGTACAGTACTTGTACTTGTACTGTACTGTTGCAGTAATTCATGAAGGTAGCGAGATTATTAAGCACGTACTTCATCATTTGGACGAGCCACGAGAGATATTTTATACGACAAAGACGAATTCGAGGTAGAATACTGGAACGGCGGGAATCAGTCAAGACCCGTACATGTACTGAAGTCGAACGACTTGAAAACTTGTATACACAGTAATTGTTCATAGTGGGATGTCGAGGTCCACATAAATTTCTTAATAGTGAACTCTAATTTTGTGAGGCAAAATTTATAGATAGTGTAGCCAGATCATCACAATATCAGAGGAATTGAAAATGATACAGTTGTCCAATGCTATTGTCAAATAGTTACCATTTACAATCTGCTTTCCTTGAATAAGTCCTACATCCGCAGTCTTCGCGATTCCTCTATCAGCACAATAACCTAACCCTGCAGCTCATCTGCAAAGCCTGAAAAAATCTGGTGCTCGAAAATATCTTTATTCAAACCCACGATACATACACACCAGCATGGCCAGCGACAAAAAGAGAAAGGCTTCGAGCAAGCGGCTGACGAAAATCAAGGTCGCTAAGGTTCAGGACGATGGAAAGGTGTTTCTTTCTGACTGCGGTCATTTGTCCATCCCTAAGGACGCCAAGTTCTCGTCCGTGTCTGACAATGGAGAGACCTCCATCAAGGGAAAAAGCTCCCGAATGCGATACACCAGTGTGCCTGTGGACCACGAGAAGTACTGCGTTGCCGTAATTTCCTCTAAGGGCTTGGCTGATCTGGTCCCCGCCGAAAGCATTGAGCTGAAGGCCATGTCCAAGCAACTAGCCAAGAGAGTCGCTGAGAACACCGAGCAGAAGTCCTACAGAGAACAGCGAGTCAACCTGGGTAACGAGTTTGGAACTCTCAAGGCAAAGAAGACCCTTGCCAGTTTGGCCCGAAACAACATTGATTCCAACGAGCTTGTTGACTTTGAGGACGATGTCGTGGAGGCTGTCGCTACTGCCACTGCCAACCTACCCACTCAAGAGCAGGTGTCCATGGCAATGGATGATGCCCGACCCATCCCTAAGCATAACCTCGAGACTCTGGATGTCAACGAGATCTATCCTGTTGAGGGATACCTCACCGACGAGGAGGCTGGGTACATTCGAAGCGAGGCCATTCTGGACGAGCAGGATATCGGCAAGCGAGTGGACATGCTTCCTTACCGAACCTCACAAATGGTGCGAGACAGTCTCTACAAGATCACCGACAAGACCGACGAGACCATGTACAAGACCTCTCTTCTCTATTATCTGTCTCTGCTGATTGGATTCTACCGAGATCGTCACGTCAAGAAGCGGGAGGATATCAAAACCAGACTCAACAACCCCCCAGAGTACCTCATCGACCAGATGCTCTACCGGTACACCACTCCCCTTTCTGGTGGTCACAAATCACAACGGTACCACACTTACATGGTCAACTCCAGAAATGAGGCAATGTTGCTGTGTACTATCATTATTCTTGTGCTGAGACTCAACAACAACGTTGTAGACATTCCCATTCTGTCGCAGGAGGTTGGAATCAAGCCTTCCAAGCTTGCTGACGTTTGCAGACAGGTGGGATGCGCCATTAAGAACGCCTCTCTGACTCACATGGATGATATCGGACGACCTCGAACCGAGGCTAGCCACTGGAAGATTGCCTCGCTCAAGGCTCCGCTTAAGCTACCAGAGCTTGCCCAGCGACGACGAAGAGCCAAGAAATAGACTAATGCATAGATTGATAATGGGTGGAGATTTGGATGAATCCGAGATGAAATATTCTTACAGCGAAGTAGAGAGCACTGCATCAACATTGCTCAAATTCTCACTCTGGTTGGCCATTAGGCAATGGCTCGCTTTGATCCAGTGAAAATCACAGCGGACCCCTCCAGCGACTCGACACAGCGATGTCGACAAGTCTGCTACTGACCAACAGTTACTGACGAAAAAAGTTGAATATACTCGGTATTTCCGAAAGTTTTGAGATGTACCACAATCACCACGGCACATGTAAACAAACACACAAGTAACAATTACTTGTACTGTGCGATGTCTCAACGATCCTGGTGAAAGTACACGCACATAAGAGTAGTAGATTGCTTCTAGAGCTACACGACACAATACATACTCACCTCATTAATCATTAATCTTATACATATGTGGAGCTTAGATAACCTCTTCGGCATCGCTCTCAATGTCATCTCCAAGCAGCTCGTCGTCCTCGTTGATATCAACAGGTGCGTAGTCTCTTGACCACGGTCGGTTGCTACTTCCAGAGTGGCCGAAAATGCCTCGAGCGAACTCGCCGACGCCCTTGAGAGCCTCGGGGATCATGGTGATACCTGCAACAACGTAAGCCAGGCCCTTAAGAGCCTGCTGGACGACAGGGTTGCTGGAGCTGGAGGAAAACGAGTCCTCATCGCCCAGTCGAATGACACCAAACTTGGACTGGTAGTGCTGGAAGATCATGAATCCAATGACACAAGCCATGGCAATAGGAACAATAATGACGAAGAATGTGCCGATGACACCAAGTCCACCACCATGCTTCTTGCTGAACTCGCCCTTCTTACCAGGGCAAGGAATTGCATCAGCCTTGTCGAGCTCCTGGCCACCCTTACAAGTGGACAGGGGGATTCGTCGGTAGCCGGTAGACTCGTAGTACTCAACGAGGTTGGGGTTCTCCTTGCATTGGAGGGCGTGATCAGGGGGACTGGCACCCTTGACAAGCTTACAAGTTCCGTCTCGGTCTCGGACGTAGTTGAAATCACACTCAAAGTCCTCTCGAGTGCACTCACAGTCCTGGACAACCTTGTGTGGTTGGATGAGCTGTCTGCCAATGTAGCACTTGGAGTCGACCAGCTTTCGGTAGTACTGAGTCTCGTGGCCAAACAGACAGTTGCTCTGCTGAGTGGGGTTTCTGGGAGACCACAGCTCGTAGTCATCTCGGTCAGGATTGGACTCGTCCAGCTTGCACTGTCGGTCAGAGAGGCCAGAGAAGTCAATGTGAACGGTGGTAGACTGCTCTCCCTTAGACCGGGGAGACTTACCAGTAAGCAGGAATCGTCGAGAGTTATCGTTGGGCACGGTGGAAATATCATCAACCTTGACAAGATCCTCAGAGAATCTGTAGGGGTTCCAGGTGACACCCTCATCGAGAGAGAAGAATACCTCGTTGGTGGGCTCCTCTCCGTCAACAATAACCAGAATAGAACCCTGGTCTCCGTACTCCCACATGTACGCTCCCTTTTTAATTTCCCTCCAAGTGATACCACCATCGACAGTAAGGTAAGTGTTTCCGTCGAGGTATCCCTCGAGGTACTCTCCGACGTTACCGACACCGATCATCATACCAACAGCAGAGGCAGACGTGTAAGTATCTCGGTAATCCTTTCGCTCGGTGAAGCCGTGCAAGTTAAGAGAGCACTTCTCCAGAGACTGTCCAGAACACGAGTAAGCCTTGCCTTCAGTGTCAGCGGGGGGAGGGTTCAGGTATGCCCATTGTCCACCATCGTTGTGGGTGATCATGGACTTGAGCTGCTTTCGCGAACCCCTGGAGGCCTGTCGGGCATTGATGACAATGTTGGAGACAGCCACACCCTCGAGGTTAGCCATCTTCTCAAAGTCGACAAAGCCGACTCGGTTTCGGTTAACCTCATTGAGAGAAAGCATAAACGAAGTACCGTAGGAGTTCGACTTGAGAATGGCGCCGTACTCGGAGTTGGCCTTTCCGTTGACGGTAACATGCAGGAAAATGGCGTGGGTGGTAGATTGCAGAACGGTGTAGGCCAGCTGTTTGGGGACCTTAAAGTCCGGAGGGAATCGAGCCACGGAAAAGGACTCACCGTCCACGGATGTCTGGCACTCGAGAGTCTCGTCCTCGTCATTGATGACGGCAACAACGAGGAACTCCTCAGCAAGAGCGAAATCAAGCACGTTCTCGTGGGTCACTCTTTGGTTTCGGAAGTTGTCAGTAGAATAAGCCAGTCGGGACTTCTTGACGCCACCCTCGTTGTACTCAAACAGACAGTACATGAGGTTGTTTCGCTTCTGATCCTTGAGTCCGTTAACGTACTGGCACATGATGGCTCCGTTGCCGACCTCGGTCCATCGGCCTCCGTTGTTGTTGGTGTAGTGAGTGACCACCTTACATCGAGGGGACAGCTCGTCTTCACAGCCTTCGGATCCGGTCCAGATGAAAGCGTCCTTGTTGTTTCGGTCAAAAGTCATCAATTGCAGGCCTCGCTGGTTCGGGGGAGCAGGTGTTCGGAACGACTTGAATGACTCGCCCTTATCAATGGTGAAAAAGACCTTCTCGTCGGGGGTCAAAAAGTAAACTCGGTTCTTGAAGTGGGGGTTGGGGTAGATGGCAATGATGTCCTCGCCCTTGAGCACCTGCTTGAAGGTCTTGCCCTGGTTGTAAGTGACATAGAGATCGTTTTTGGAGGTTCGCAACAGCACCACCTCGGCGTCGTCGGGAGACGCATTGGTCATATCGTTGGTGAGATAGTAGTGCTCAACAATGAGTCCCGAAAACTCGTTGATGGTGGAGCTGATTTTTGTGCTGAGGTCATCGTCAGCCTGCGCAAATAACGCCAGCGACGCCACGAGCACCAGTAGCCGTGTCAATAATCTCATTGTGTGGGTGTGGTGAGTGTGGTGAGTGTGGATGTATTATGCGTTGTCCCTGTGCGTCTACTGGAGATAGCTAAAAGGGTTCGATAAGTGGCTGTGTTCACGTGACCAACTGAAATTAAGCGGGTGTGAGCAACAGAATGTGATGATAGTGTGTAATCAAAGCAAAGAAAATGAGCTGATGTGAGATGGAGCTGTCGTCAAAATCCAGCTCAAACGTTTTAAATTCACTGTCGCTTCGCGTGGCGCTCGCTAAGGTGTATCGTCTTGCTAATGTCGTGTTCAGTGTGTGCCAAAACGGTAGAATTGTAGATCACTGGGGACAGCCGCCTATAAATGATTTCCAAAAAAGTGAAAAAAAACGTTTTCAAGGGCTCGGACCGGTGAAAAATTTACACTCTTTTTGTGTTTGGAATTGGGGTGGCTAGCCACGGACGGGGGTAGACACGCCCTGTGATTGGATAGCAAAGTCTTGGCTTTTTATCAGATGCGCATGCGTCTCTCATGGGCCATATAGAGGGACGTTTAGCAGGTGCTAGTGGATGAAAATGTAACGTATTCAGGTGCGGATTCGTCTTTGGTGGTCTCAAAACTCCCATCCCAACCTCGATCGCTATCCGAAACCGCCGTTTTTGCCACCCCAGGCTCCTCCCATCTAATGGTGTGGTGGCAATTATGCACACTCATCAGATAAATGTCTCTTTAGAATTCCGCCAAGCGCATGTTCTGCAGCGCTAACAATGTACTACAGGTGGCACTGGCGACCTCCGAAACTAAGGCTTCTTTCCTAAATCGAAAACCTCGGATTCGTCCCTATTATTGATGACTAAAGTAGTTGCACTCGGATGAGTAATCACCGAGACAAGTCTCACACTATCATGTTCGTATTTGGCCTCCCCCCGCTTATTCCGCACTAACCTTGTTGCGATCGCCTGCTCCTTTTGGCAGCGCCCGAACTGTATATGCCGAAACCTAACACACAACACACACACAATGTCAGCATACCAGCGAGAAGAGCAAAACAACACTCGGCTCGAGGAGCTGGCGTCGAAAATCTCGTCTTTGCGGTCTGTCACCAATGACATCCACGCTCAGGCTAGCGATTATTCGCTTATTGATTCCACGGTGAGTATGACGGAGAGTGGTGGTCCATGAGGTTGTCATGCGGAGACGCACACAGAGAGAGTGATAGAGAGAGGAGAATGGTGCTAGAAGTCGAGGAAGTACCCAAAAGATGTGGCGATGATTCCTTGATTCTGATCATATTCACGACGTGCCATGGTAGTTGATTATCTTGTTGAACTGGAGGGATCACATGCTCACGGGCACGCGAGATTATAAAGTATGTTTTCTCAGCAGGCTGAAGAAGACCGAGCACGACATTTCATGATCCGAACGGCTTGAATACTTGATCTGAATGAAGCTCTGCCTTCATCTGGCGGGTCTGGTCTCACTATCTTTGTTCTATTGGCTTGTTTTACGAACACCTCTGACTTAGGGGTGATCTAAGAGTACGAACTTGGATACTGGCATTCTCTCGATCTGCTGGTTTCATCTATGGTATTATTATGTGTCTAGGACGTCCTCAGCTGGCTTCAACTCCTTTTTCCTGTATCGTGGAGCAGGGGAACCTCAAAGGAATGCAGTACCGGGGCGATTGTACCCTTCCTAGACATTTCACCCAGTCCAAAACCTCACTTCTTTTACCCTACTAACCCAGACGGACACTGTTGGAAACATGATGACCTCGGTCCGAGGGTCTGCTTCCAAGCTTGGACGGTCGCTCAAGGCCGGACACCCCATCTGGCGAACTGTTGGCATTGCTCTGGCCATCATTCTCCTGCTGTGGTTTCTGTTCAAGTTTTTTTAATGCATGAGGAGAGTAGAAGTACTGGTAGTACCATGAGCGCGTTCGGCGCTGTGTTTATAACTAAGAAGATTGATCGTAACACCACAGTACCGATACCCACGTACTGATCTCATAATACGCAAAGCCTTATCCTATATAAACAGAGAGCGCTGTTTACTTACTCTCGTCCTCCACCAACGTTAATATCCTTACCCAGCCGGTAGTTGGAGATGGATTTGCCCCAGTTGATCTTAGATCGAGTCACGGGCAGCTGTCGTCGCAGGGCCTTAAACGAATCCTCGTTTAGACCGTTAAATGACTTGTTGAGCTTCTCCTGGAACTGCTGCTCGGCTTTGGAGATGGCGTCCACAATGTCAGATTCGGACACAGAACCAAGGTCCACCTTCTCGCTGGACTTGAGACGGACATTTCCGTCCTCGTAGTAATGCACATCCACGTCGATTGTTCCGCTCAGAGAGCCACTCTCGAAGATGTACACAGACCGCCACTTTCCGTTCCAGTAGTTGGCAGGGTTATACTTGCCATCCACAAGCACAAGGGCGATAGATCCGTCATCCTGAGGAAAAACCCCAGCAGCCCCCTCGGAGGGGAAGTGGGCAGAAAAGTACTTATCGAGAGCCCCTTGGATGGGCGAGTCAGAGCCATGGGAGCCCGAGGGGGTGGCCTTCTTTGTATCAAAATCGAACTCGAACTTCTGGCCACTCTGGCTGTCATAGAAGGTGTCCTTGGAAAGCTGGTTATATTTAGAGACCAGGGACTTGGACTTGCCGAGAGACACAACCATGCATTGGTCGAGAATCTTGTTGTGAACGTCGGTTTCCAGTTTGGACAGAATCGAGCTGTTTCCATCAACGACGGTGCTGATGGCCTCAACGACCTGGTTGAGCTGCGTTAGTATGGGGGTACAGAAAGACGTTCAATTGGATCTAATTAGCGGCCTGCAAGATATCAAGGCACGCGTTTCAAGTTCAAGTTCAAGCAACCGAAGTAAATGACGTGACAACATAACCCGTACATCTTGATACAGGGGAGACTCCGTATCAGGCCCGTGCTGACAGCGCACGAATCCTCAACATCCGTCCGCCAACAATTGATACTCACCTCTCCGGGAGGGGCGTCGGCCACGAAATCGGCCAGGGCTTCTTGGTTCGATCGAGACATTTGTGTGGTGTGTTGAGGAGATGGTGATGTATATGCACACCACCAACAGAGTTAGCATACGTGTGATAAGTGAGCTATTTTTGGACTGATATTGGCGGTGATGAGTGAAGGAATTGGAGTAGGAGGGAACAAATAGAATAATTTAGAAGAGTCGATAATATAACCGGTGCGGTTGTATTCGTCCAGACTCCGTTCTCGGACTTCGCAGTCTAGGAACAGCGGTTACTTGACAAACCTTATTAGTTGACCACTTTACTTACCGAATACTTACAGTGAAAGTTGGTATTACAGTATGCTGAAAAAAAAACAAGAATAGTACAGTCGTGCAGAAGTGAAAATGACGAAGTCACTTCACTACCAACTACAGTATTGAGCTTCTGTTATCCTTTTTATCCATTTCAACTATCTCCCATAGTTGTGAATGTATACGATGGAATTGTGCCTCAATCATTCCCTAAACTCCATATATTAAATGCGATTCTATAGTTTCCAGTTGTCGTTTCTCTTCATTCATGTTTTCTTCGCCCTTCATCCACGCTAGAACTTGGAGAGCCATGTCTGTCCAGGGACCAGCATCTTGGCTGCGAATACCATGAATCCTCCTACCATCATGGTAACTCCTGCAAACACCTGAAGTCCGACAAAGCTGGTATGTCCTTCGTCCAGGGTGGCTCCTGCAATAGGCATGGCAGTAAGAGCTGCCCAGGAGCAGAAGAAGGTGACTACACCCAATCGCCTCCCAATTTCATGTGGCTCGGACACTTCCGCCACAAGAGCTGCAAACAGACCAATATAGGGTCCAGAGATGAATCCGAAGACTCCAGAGAAAGTGAAGAAGGCCGCGTTGCTGTTGGAGGGGATCCAGAAAGCCAGAAGAATGATACCACAAAGAACACAGCATACGGAATGCATGTTGTAAGTACCCACCTTGTCAGCCATTATACCCGGCAAGATTCTACCCAGAAAGGAGGCTCCGTTGTAGATTGCCACGAGGTAGAAGGAGACTGTTTCAGACATGCCGTGGGAAATAGCGTGGGTGGACATGTATCCCATGGTTGTGACAAGTCCCCAATACGAAACAAACAGCGCCGCGGTCATCATAGCGAACGACTTGTTCTTGTAGGGTTCAATAACCTCTTGTCGGAAATTGAAGAAGTTCTTTCGTAACTTCTTGTTAGGAGGCAGTCGAGAAGAGATGCAAACACAGCAGATGACTCCCACTCCAAGCATGATGTATCCAATGACTCTCACAGTGTCATTAAATCCGATTTTAGGCTGTAGTTGAGAGAAGACGAATGGCAGGGTCACACCTCCAATCGACGAACCTCCAACTACCACACCCAGGGCGGTAGCTCGTCGTTTGACAAACCACGTGTTACACGCGACCATTGATGCGTAGTAGACACAGGAGTTTCCGATAGACGTGCAGATTCCCTGAGCCAGCAGGAACTGGTAGTATGTTTTGCACTCAGAGGTTGCCATGATTCCTCCCACTGTGAAGAGCATACCGACGATAGCCACCGGCCGAGGCCCGTACATCTCAGCTAGTCTTCCGAAGAAAACTCCTCCAACCAGCAGAATGAAGAACTGTAGAGACGTGATCCACGAGACGGTCGATGCCGAGTAGCCGTCTAGTTGATGATGCAGATAGTAGGCCTCGAAAAGACCCACAACGTTGATGTATCCAAATGATGAGTAGAGACCCAGAGCTCCTCCAACCATGGCGATCCAAGCCCGGCCCCTATCGGGCTCAGGGAGCTTCTGCACAAGGGGCTCTTCCTTCTCAGAGATTGAACCGCTGGCCACAACCAACTGGCTTTCCACTGATTTGCAGGACATGTCGGTGTTCGTGGCAGTATATTTCAGTGTATGTTATAATACCGAATCTACAGTGGCCGGGCCACTTCATTAAATACGCGCAACTTCTGCATCTGCTCCAACTGCTTTTCCGAGAACCCGGCCAAAGTTCAGCAGATCGTGGGGAAGTGACAAAGACCATGCAGCATGAAGCTGAGTGTGCGGCTAACTGTGCATATTCATGCCGGCACAAGTAGCTACTCGGATATACTTCACAGGAGGGAGTAAAAAAAAAGCAGCGAAGGATAAAACTGAGAGAAGAAGTCAGACGTCAACATGAAACTGAAAAGCTGAAGGGAAACTCACACCCATTTTTGGGACCTTATTGTTACAAATTGAGGACATCCAGCTATTCGACGTTGGATCTAGTTCAGTGATGCTAACCTTCCTCACGGCTATCGACTCGAAGACATGCTAGCCTACCCTATTTTGGAAACGGCGGCTATTCGTACAAGCGCCGGTACTTGGAGAGAAAAGGAAAAGAGAGAAGACTACAATATTCGTATGAGTTTGGATGCGGGCTTGGTTTGCTTTGGTATACACAGCAATAAGTGAGGGTCCTTACCGGTAGTACGCGATGCCCAGGGAACAAGAACCGTAAACACTAAGGTTCGTAGACGGATATACTAGACAAGAGTAGAGATGAGCAACAGAGACTGCAGGAAGTGCTTGAATACTACAACAGACGACGAGAGATACTTGAACACAGGTACATTTACAAGGTGTTAAATCTATCTACCGTACTTGTACAAGTACTTATCAGATGCTTAAACTATATTATATGAAAAAGACATCTCCGAAACCCAACTTCCAAAACCATCAACTTGAGAATTTGAGCTGGTCATATACAGCAGAAAATTCTCCATACCCTACGTAGTCATATTCACTGAAGATTCGACAAACCTGTATCTACTGTATATTGTACTATGGAATTGTGTTGCTGGTTATTCGGGACTGCTGGTGCCTGTGATATTCACCTATGTCAAACAGACAAACAGATACTGTAACTTGAAGTGCTTTTTAAACAACTTCAATCTAAAATAACGCTCTACAGTAACGATGACACAGTTCAAAATTATCAGATCACACTGTGCCTAACCTCTGTAGGGTTTGTGTCGGACTCCGCAGACATACAGTGACAAGGCTTGATACGGACTCCGACAAGATGAAAAAATTACCTTCATATGTCTCAAGCGATGATGAGAGCTTCTACACGAGACGTAAATCAATCGGACTCGAAGCATCAGAACAGAAAAAGGGGAAAACACGGTCTTATATACTACCACGTACTGGAGGCCACTGTTGCTCAGCATCAGGACTCACTCTTAGCTGTTCATAACTGCTATTTCCTTCTTGTTGTTGCTCTGGTTCATTGACCAGAACATGTAATAAACGAGAAGAAACGATACAGTATGCGTCGATCTGCGACTTCTTTCGCGACCGGAGCACCGAAAGTCGCTCGGAGCTTGCTTTCACTGAAACGAATGTATGATTTACTGCATGTGTACACTGCAGCTTATCAGATGAACTGATATCAGATGGATGCAGATCTAAGGGTTCGGTGCCTCGGCAACTTCAACAAAGAGACAAGCTATTACTAACCCTCAAGAGAAGATTGAGCAACGTCATGGAACAGTTCGCTTATCAAAAATTTCCATAATTGGTGTGAGCGTGGTTCGTGAAAACAATCTGGTGATTACATAATCGGGGCCACTATCAAGTGATTCCTGAGGCTGGGAATGTGTATTATGTAGTCACTCACAAATGAAGTACAAACCGTGATATATCCGTGGGTATCATCTGATACTCTTCATGTTCGACTCTTATTATCCTGATCGCTTACAATACCTGTACAGTAGCTACTTGTACTTGTACTTGCAATCCCTGCTGTAATTAGAATTTCTGTCTATTTACTCCACGTACCGGTACCACGCATAAACTCTACGCGCCAACGCGATTAACGACAATGTCATCGTTCGAAAAAGTGCTGCTGAACCAGCCGGTGGTGTTCGACAACGGCTCGGGGACCATCAAGGCGGGCTACGCGGGCGAGGAGCTGCCCAAGACGTTTTTTCCTGCATGCGTCGGAAGAACCAAACACACCAGAGTCATGGCAGGGTCCATGGAAGGAGACACATTTGTCGGCAACAAGATCCAGGAGGTTCGAGGGCTGCTCAAGCTGAAATACCCGATGGAACACGGCATTGTGACTGATTGGGACGATATGGAACGGATATGGCACCATGTCTATAACAACGAGCTGAACATTCTATCTGAAGATCATCCTCTACTGTTGACAGAAGCACCTCTGAATCCCCGTTCAAATCGAGATCGGGCGGCCCAGATTTTCTTCGAGACCTTCAACGTGCCTGCTCTGTACGTGTCCATTCAGGCCGTGCTAGCATTGTACGCCTCAGGTAAAACTACGGGTCTTGTTGTTGATTCGGGCGATGGTGTGACCCACGCAGTCCCTGTCTACGAGGGTTTCAGCATCAATTCTGCCATCCAGCGTATCGACATTGCTGGACGAGACGTGACGGAGTACCTCCAGTTGCTACTGCGTAAATCTGGCACTGTGTTGCAAACCTCGGCCGAGAAAGAGGTGGTGCGAACCATCAAGGAGAAGCTATGTTATGTGGCGGCAGATCCGAAACGAGAAGAAAAGGACTGGGTGGCAAGTGGAGGAATACGAGACATTGAACAGCAACGGCCCGGATCTGCAGGTGGATCAATTTCGACCGTGTTCAAGCTGCCTGACGGAAAAGATATATACATCGGTCCAGAGCGGTTCCGAGCACCGGAAATCATGTTCAACCCAGAGATTATCGGTTCAGAGTACAACTCGCTGCCACAGATTGTCGCCGACGCAATTGCACGGACAGATCTGGACCTCAGAGCCGGCCTTTACGGAAGCATGCTGCTGTCGGGAGGAAACACACTCATGAGAGGCATGGGAGATCGTCTGCTGACGGAACTCAAGGGTCTGGCGCCCAAGGATACAAAAATCAAAATCTACGCGCCACCTGAGAGAAAATACTCTACGTGGATCGGAGGCTCAATTTTAGCAGGTCTGTCCACTTTCAAGAAGATGTGGTTTACCGTGGACGAGTGGCATGAGAACCCGGATATCATTCATACCAAATGTTTGTAGTTAACCAATTAACCAAGTATACGTGTACAGGCAATCGTAGTTACATCTTGTTCTGTTGTACGTTTATAATAAATAAGCTGGAGTGCAATTACTCATCTTGAGTAAGACTATCGGGATCCGATAGTGGCTCCAGTAACGTGTCGGTGATGCTGTGTCCAATGTAAGCCTGGGTCTCCATATCACTGCTAGTAATGCTGGGTTTGGCTGGGAGAGGAGGCAGATGAGCAAATGCTTCACGTTTCAGACTGGGTCTAGGAAATACGTCTCCTTCATCCTGACTGTCTGACACATAATCATCTTCATCTAGGCTATCGTTTTGTCGTCTTACTGGAATGACCACATCATCTTCATCATCATCGTTATGGTGAGGATGGGCAGAGTCCATAAAAAGCCCCGACATGAGCAATTGAGACTCTGTGATTGGTTGTGGTTCCTGTGACTCTGTAAGTCTCACTCTCTTCAGACTTGCAGACGGAAGGGTGAATTGAGGTCGTGGCTGTGTAGGTTGCTTGAAGGGAGAGTACCCTGGAGACTCGTCATCATCCGAGTCTGGGATGATCTGTACCCCTCGATTTCCAGGTTGTTGTGTACCGTGTGGCATTTTGTTGGCAAGTTCATGCTGTTCGTCATCGTCACTAATCGACTGCGCTTCTAGGTCCTCTTCATCTCTAGTATCACTAAGAGACTCATGAGCGTCGTGGTAAATGTCCATGGAAGCAGCAGGCTCATCATCAGAGAGTTCGATGGGTCGATTTCTCTGAGACTGGCTCCTGGTTGTAGACTGTGACTGACACCAATCGTACCCTTGTCCATCTCTATGCAATTCATCGTTTGTCTCAACCTCATTGGTTTCATCCACATCCTCCAGCAGTTCATCGTTCGGACAATACTGTGAGTCTGAGATGATGTGATCAGTGCTGGTGGCTGAAGTTGGCCCGTGTTGACTCGATTCGTGTGGAATCAACTCTTTCTGACTCTCTTCATTTTCTGAATCATCTTCACAGCTATCATCCTTCGTTTGTGTGTATCCAGCCCTCTGAGTCTCTGAGAAATCATCAGAATCACCTTCAGGTTCGTATAACGACTCTCCCGGGCCGTACTGGGTTTCTCCAGGCACGTACTGAGACTCTTCTTGGGTCGATTTGGCAAAAGAAACGTCTCTAAAACCCGAGGGAGTCTCATCAACTGTTTCTTCGGGGTCCAAAGAGTGATGCAGGGAAGAGGCAGAGCTAGGAGCAGGCATAGAGGAAAAAGCAATCCCTGAAGACGGGCTTGTTATTGAAAACAAAGGACCTCCTAATATCTCCTGGTCTTGGGAGGAGCTAGGCACCACCTGCACGTCTTCACTCTCCTCCTCTTCATCGCTACACAACACCTCATCTTGCCATTGTGAGTCGGCCACTATTTGGCCGGTGTTGTTTGAATGTTGTGATCCGTTCTCTGGTTCATCATTTAGTCCTCTTGTCGTATGTGTCTCCTGTGCATCCTTTGTCACTTCCTTCTCATGATATTGTAATCCCATGTTGTCGTCAAACACGCCTCTTTCTTTATCTTTGTTCCCACTTTCCGTCTCAAATAGTCTCCTGGCGACTCCTCCGTCCACAGAATCATCAAACTTCATGGTCAGGGGCGAGTAGTTAGGAGTGGTGGACGGAACCACACCAACAATGTACTTGTCTGGGGTTGAAGGAGGATGTGTCACGTCAGCGGGGGTGATGGGAGTGATTGGAGCCTGGCTGGGTGAGGGTCGTGACAGCTCTGAAGACAAAACCAAGGGTGAAGAGCTCATAGGACCTTCAAATCGAACAGTCTTAGAAGGAGCGGTAGGAGCAGCTGGAGCACCCAAATTCCCCACCAGACGCGCCTTCTTTCCACGATCTTGTAACGGTGACTCCATGGCAGCACGTTTACGCGTCCAGTTTCGAGGCTGCGTGCTAGGGGGCATTCTCGTGTTGAAAAGAAAGTGGTCGTCAGCAGGTTGAGTCTCAGCTTCGGATTCGTGATCTGATTCGGGATCGAGGTTCTCAACTCCGTCAGGATCATTAGCCTCATGGTCGCTGCTCTCCCCTTGAATTTGGCTGTCGTTTAGATCGCTGTGGGGCTGACTATCGTCATACGGAGTCTCACGCTCATCCCAGGGCTCAACAGCCTGACTGTCTTCTTCTCCATGGTCCGGGAGGTCTTCCACAAACTTGTTTTTACGGTGCAGGTGGTTCACAGGCGCCACATTAAGCGCGTTCTTTTTTCTGCTTCGTCGGCCATACGTTTTCATCGTGTGGTGCAACTGGTGTAGTAGTTTCGTGTGGCGACGCGTTTACTGTAGTTAATGGCGATGCAGCAAGCATGCAGGTAAGAATGAGGAGTGCTAATATAGGTGTAGCGCTAATTGGGCTGTCATTGAAGTGGCAAAAAAAAAGGGTGAGGGCAAAAGTACATGCTTAACAAGCAGACGATCGATCCATATATGTTTTGTGTTATTACAACTACCCTCAGCTGCAAAGCAAATCAGATCATGCCATAGAGTCGCAGCAACCGGATTTAGGCAATAGACCTATTGGTCCCTTCAAGGGAACATTTCCAAGCCGCATGGCTTGGGCACCTATTTTGCCTATAGTAATAGGAGAGTCGTGATGAGCTCGAAGGGCTTAAAATACAGATGAATGCTCTTTTGCGTAAATCCGAGCTGTCAACAAGTAAATTCGGAAAGCACAAGTGTGGCTAGTTCGCTGTCTAAGTTATACACGCCTTTACCAAGACTTTTCATGGCACGTACTTACGGCTCATGATTCTAAATAATATGAACACAATCGCATTTTTAAATTAGGAATACAACATCCTTGTTAGAGTAGCTACTGTACTTAAAGGCTGCAATAAGCACAACATCCTTTGCTACACCTTACCTCTTCATCACACAAACCAGCTCGACTTCGCTCCAACTTAACAGTTCTTTTAACAGTACATATCGTACATCACACACGCTGCTAAACCTACAAGTATCAGCTGCACTGTGACCACCACACATTCACTTCAGCAGTGATGTTGTTCCCACTGGAAATATGGGACATCATCATCACCTATGCCGACATTGACGCTCTAGTCCGCCTCTCGGGTGTAAGCAGCTACTTTCTAAAAAGCTGTGAGCCGTATCTGGAGACTGCCTCCCGGGCATGCTTTCCCTGGGCACAGAAATCTCTCCTGGGCGAACCAGATGGAAGTGAAGGAACCTGGAGACTCTCTGCACTTCGTATCATTGCGATGCGACATTTACGACCAGACTTCATCAACCCTACAGGAACCCAGAAGAACTGCAAAGATACTCCTCTCAGACGATTCCCAGACTTCAACAGCAATGACCATACCTCAAGACCATTCTTTTACGACGCGACACACACGGTGATAAAGGGAGTACCACTTGATGATGTGGCCAAAGCGGATGCTCCTCCACAGGCTAACCCTGCCCCTGCTCCGTCTAACTCTGCTCTGATATATCCCGTGGGGGGAGACACTCTTCGTGGTAATCGCAGATCTCTTTGGACGTCTGCTTCGGAGCCTACAGAAACAGAGGGACACTTCTACCAGGTCTACTCAGATCTCAACGGGTATTACTTGAAGGTGTACTTGGAGGTTATCGATAAGACCACATTTAAGTCGAGGCTGTTTCAGGTTCCAATCGACGACGATACAGAACGGCCTCTCGACGCTGTGTCGGCTCATAACGACCGTCTATTTGTGACAGTAGCAAAAAGAAGATCGTTCCTAGTGTTTTACTTCAACCCCAACACGGCTAAGTTCTATTTGGTGCTTCGAGCCACGGGTCACTACGGCATGTTCACACAAAACAGAGTGCTTGCTGATTTAAACACCATTCGTGTACTCTCCCATGAAGGCTACTTCTTCAACTATGAACTCCATGGTCTCTACACTGCTCCCGACTTTGAGCCCAAAACAATCATAGGTTTCACTTCAAACTCACCGAAATGGTCTCACTTCTGCTACCTCTCACATCCCCGTTCGAAGCTGAAAAGCACACGGTACGTCGCTTGGTTTGCTGACGCTAACGATTTTGACCTCAGAAAGAACCGCCAGTCGCTCATGTGTGTTGTCGCTGACCTAAAGGAGTACAGGATGTGGCGGGTACCTATGCACTGTGCGCTGTTGGTTGTAGGACTGTACCATAACACCATTGGCTGCTGGCTTCTGGACAAGGATATGCTGGTTACCCCTACACGGGGTAGACGAAAACTTTTGCTGGAAAAGACTGTCGCCAAGTGGAGAAGCGACCCTGAAGAATTCTGGGTCATCAAGTGATCAAAAAATCAAAACAAAACTGTCATCTATTTATTAATGCATTCTACTGTACTTCATACTGTAACCACATACTACTCTATTAAACTACCTCAATAAATCATTTCAGGAAAGATGGAAAGCTCCTCCTCCCTCGGAAATGGCCTGCAACAGCCTACTCCTCAAAAGTTCCTTGGTAGAGAAGTCCGGGCACTTGAGGTAGTTGACGCACGTCATGACACTGGGCAGATAATCGTCTGGGCCCAGTCCGTTTTCGGAAGCCTTGCGAACCACCGTCAGGCCGGGTTTGAGAGCCTTGAAACCCCCAATAGGCAACTTGGGGGATCCCGTCACAAACGACAAGAACTGACGTCGCTGAGACTCGTCGAACTCACTCATCACCTCAAGTAAGTTCATGAAGGTCTTGGATCGCTGGTCAAAGCCATGATCCGCGTGCACGGCCTCGGATAGAGTATCAAGAGACCAATCCTCAACACTGGGACCGCACATCAGCACAAGCTCTGCTGGCGAAAATGCACAGACTGCGGAGAACGGGAACACCTCTGAGAAACCGGTCTTGAACGCCTCAATTTGTTGGGACACGCCCGAACCAACTGTCTGGTCGACAATCAGATCCACGTACTCCTGGACATTGTCTCCATTTACAGGTATCTGACTTCCATTGGGCTTCAGCTCGGCCTGAGGGAAACCAGGAAGAGTAAAGTCCAGGCCTAGGTGTTCAATCTCGCCAGGAGACATTCTCTGTAGCTGCCGAAGTGACTTGCCGAGTTGCTCATCAATGGCTAACAGCGTCTCGCTGGTGGGAGAGAAACTGAGCTGCAAACATGCCAGTCGGAAGAATGTCGTGCTGAAATGAATGTCAATCAGCCGTGAGTCGATCATGGACCGAGCAACAAAGGTTCCAAGCACCTTGAACCGATGGAGCACCTTTTCGTTGTTGGAACAGGTGATCAGTGGGATGGGGAACAGCCCCTGCTGTGAAAAGGCGAACGCCTCGGATCCACCAGCACCACTGGTAGGGGTGTCGTCTCTCCACATTTCCAGCGACTTGTGTGCAAACTGATGCGACACAGTAGCGTAGAATTCGAGAGTGGGACCAAGTCCAGTGCCGACCTCGTCAAAGTACTCGACTTCAAGTACACTTGGAGACGAGCCGTACAGCTCCATTACTTTAATTGCGCTCTGGAACATGTGCTTTCGAGAGATTCGGACCTTTTGACGAATTAACTTGCCAATGGGAGGTCGGTCGTTTCGATCACGAGAAGAAGACGAACTGTCGTTGCCATTGTGGCTTCGTCGCTCACGGTAGTGCTCCTCCCACTTTTGAATACTTCGAGAGTAACCAAACGAAGTGCTCTCCAGGTATCGATGGCGAACATCAAAGGGGAAGAGGAATGGGTACAGCCGTGTAGCGTCCACGGTCCAAGCGGGAAGACAAAGAGAAGCAACAATAAGGGGCTCCTCCAGCTGCTTGTTGAATTTGGCGGTCAACTTCGAAGACAGGAAATGCGAAGGGTTAAGGTTGTACACGCTTCCAGCAATTTCGCCACTCCAAAGGTTGACGTTGTAGAGAGCACTGAGAAGCTGCATGATGGTAGCTGCTCGAGGAGAGTCCGAAAAGCTTTCAGGGGACTGCAAATAGGGAACGATGTCTTCGGACTCAAACTTAGGCTCATCTACAACAGGAGGAGCTCCCTTCGTCTTCTCGATGTTGATGGTAAAGTTGGTGTTCCAGATCTCAGAAGGAGACCCACATGCCTTGAGAAGAGCTCCAAACACGGTCGTCTCGTGAGTCACCTCCTGTCCATTGATAGAAAATGTTAGATGCCACTTGGGTCCAGAAGAAGCAGCTGCATCAGCGTATGACTGAGAGGCTCCCTCACCCTCGTCGTCATCAGCTTCACCAGCACCGTTGGCTCTCTCACCCTCCTCTTCGCCGTCCTCGGCCTCACCAGTCTCATCGATCTCAATATCAGAATCGTCGTTCACAACCCCAACTTCATCCTCAACAATCTCTTCGTCGTCGTCCCCTCCAACCTCTTCCTCTTCGCTGAACCCCAATGATTCATCGTCGTCTTCGTTATCATCAACCTCCCCATTTCCATCCTCCTCTCCATCCTCATCATCTTCGTTCCCTCCGTTATCCTCATCCTCATCATCCTCTCCACTGTCACTCTCCTCGCCGACTATGCTGCCGCTGGGAAGAGGCATACCGGTGGCAGCAGCAATGGCAGAAAGAGCCTGCTCAAGAGTACCTCCTCCAGCGCCTCCACTACCTCGGAATCGCCGCCGCATGAACGACGACATTCGTTGCTCGAACGCCAGCGACGTTTGCACCTTGGACCGGAAGAAATCATCCACAGCCTTGAACGTCGCAATTGCATGGATCGACACAAACATGTTTCGGTATTGTTTAGGCAGATCCGTGCCTCGCTCGGCAACCAGATTCAGTCGAACCTGCTTTCCAAGGGTGGTTTCAAGGTTGCCAGAGTCCGGAAGACCAGATGTCAGCACCTCAAATCGCTCGGTGCGAGCAAGACCCTCCAAAAGCTTGTCAACCAAGACCGCAAACGACTCCAGGCTGCCCTTGTTGGAGCAGAAGGTCTCAAGGAACTGTCGACGTCGTTCTACAAGATCTCCGTGGCCATTCTCAACCGTCAGGGATTGCAAAAGCGAAACTACCACGTCAGAATGCGTAAGCTGGAAAGTGGACAGAGTGGGGAGACGACTCTGCAGCATATCAAGACCTTGTTTGAAGTTGGGACCATCAAGTAACGACGCAATCTGAACTAGATCGCCGTTGTTGTTGGATGTAACACTGTTGGACTCAACGAGACCCTCGAATCGCTGAATGTACAGCGCAATGAGGGGCTTGAGGTTGCACGAGAAGTCGTAGACAATATCGTCTTCCTCGTCGTCATCAGAATCAGCAGATAACGCTACAAACTTGTTTGTTGATTTGGGAGGAGGGGGAATAGCTGAAATCTGATCCAGAATGCCTTCAGAGGCAAAAAGGGGGCCAAATTCTGCGGAGTGGTTCTCAATCAGGAAAATGGACATGTCGACAGCTCCTAGAATGAGACTATCGTCTTCAGACTGGTTCAAAACAGATGAAATGAAAACCGCAACTTCTGGCAAAGCAACGACAGTTTCCGATGGAGAAGCTGCTAGCAAGCGGATCACCGAGTAGACAATCTTCCGCTTCACTCGAACGGTCATGGTGGCTGCAAAAAGCTCAAACAACAAATGCAGAGTAGAAGAACAGAAAGAGTTGTAGTTGGGGAGTTGCTTGAGAACTGCTGCACGGGTAGGAGATGCTCGAGATGTTCTAAAGGGGCCATCGGGGAATCCCTCAACGGTCACTGCGTCTGGAAGAAGAGAGAAAATCAGTTTGACGCATTCCTCAATGAGCTGTGGGGGAGCCTTGACCAGTGCTGTGAGTAACTTTTCGGAACCAGAGTTACCCAAAATTCGTAGCAGCACTCCGGTGATGTCAGCCTTGACAATCTCGGCGGCCAGGTTATCACTATGACGAGCAATGATCGCCAAGGTCTGCAAAACCGTTCTTTGGGCGGCACTGTCTCCATGGACAAGGAGCGCTGTGAGTTGAGTGACAAGTTCGGACGAAACAATGGCCTCGAAGGAGACGTCTTCTTCATCACACGACTTTCCGAGTCGTTCGATCGTTCTGGCTACGGCCTGGGAACCTCGCTCAACTACCTTTTGGTCGCTGGAAGTCAGAGTGTTGGCGAGAATTGGCATCACCTCCTGTATCTGATCAAACATGGCTGCAGACAGATACTTGCAGCAGTTGGCGGCAATGTTAACGGCCGATCTCTGAACATGGGTAGCGAAAAAGTCGAGGTGAATGAGTGCGGCTCGAAGACATCCCTGTCGGAGAAGATGTTCTGCGTGTCCGGGCGACTCGGGATGGTCGCTAGACAGTTTCTCCAGCAGCTGCATGGCCTGTTCTGCGAAATCCACGTCTGTGAGGTTGGTGAGTTTGTCAGCGAGGATTTTGGCAATGCCGGCGCTGCAAATGTTGGATGAGACCGTTGGAGACACCTCCCACAGGTTGTACAGGGTTCTGCAGGCCATAATGGCGCAGTCCTGGGACTCTTCAAACAAGGGGTTGGTCATGATGGCGGCCATTTCCGAACATAGGTTGTCGACGGGGAATGAGTAGAGCAGAATGTCCTGGTTGGACATAAGAAGCACTTCCGAGATTTCCTGCAGCAGAATGAGCATCACGGTTGCATCTTCGGCTTGCCGGACATTGTCCAGCAGTTCTCTGACCCGATCGGCCTGGAAATTCATATGCCACGACATGCCTCCCATTTCTCCTGCTAGCGACCGCAGCAGACCGCTGGCACCTCCACTGCCACTGACGCCTGGTCGTGAGTCGTCCTCGTCATCCAGGTCATCCAGACCGTCGTGGTCGTCCTCCAGAACCTCGTCTTCGTCGCGGATTTCGTCCTCGAGCTCGCGGGTATCTCTGTTGCGGCTGAGAATGACGCTGTCACCCATCTCTGTGTCTCGGTTGTCGTCGTCCGTGTCGACTGCCATGTCATCGGCACAGTATCGGTCTCTTCGGGGCACTGTGTTAGTGGTGGTCAAACCAGTGGCAAATGTTGGTGCTGTGGCCTCAGGCTCTAGGCCGTCTCTGCAAATTGTCTGTATGTGCCATGGCCACATGTCTCGTACTCACTGTTGAATCTGGGCAAAGACGTAGTTGTACTGGTGGTCTACACCTTGTCACAGACCTCGAGTTATTAGACTTGTACCTGCCAGTTAGATTCACTCTGCAGCAGTGATGCCTATAGGGTTTGGGATAGGGAGAGGTGGTGTAAGGGAGTAGAGGTGGGAGACGTGGCTGAGTGCCAGGGTAAGTGAGAACCAGATTATGGCGCAACGTATTGCTCTCGAACGGAACACTGTTGTTCATATACTATCTGTTCTATGGTAATTCACTCTCGCACGCACTACATTAGCTGCTACATGCCACTCACACACCGGTTACCGATTCAGTCTGATACGTGTGGTTGGCCTTGCTGATAAACTCTGATTGCACGACAGTCACATGGATTTTGCGTCTTCGGACAACTCTTTACAGAAGTACGAGTGCACTGAGCAAGCAAGCAGCATGCGATGACGACGACATGGCGAAACAACGAGGTTGGAATATATAGTAAATGTTCCGATGACAGGTTATGAGCTGTCCAACACCAATAAAAATATTGTCTTTCTGAGCTATGAATCTATCAGCGCCTGGCTCACTCATTACGTCTAAAGACACACATTAAAACACCTTTATACTGTAGCTACGCTACTGTACATCCTGCTTATACCGTAGTCAAGGCACATAATTTACCTCTACATTAATTACCAGCTTATATGTTACAGTAACAGTACAGTACGTAGCAAAAATGGGAATATCCTGTAGGTACGGCAGTACGTACAAACACGTTGCACCGGTACGTACCCTGTTGCCAAAAAGATATATATACCTACTTGTTATAGCGACTATTCTTTCTCTGGTATGATGCCAAACATAGGTCATACTGTATCTACACCAGCTTGTTTGTCAGCAGGTACATGCTGGCACTCTCGTGCTTGTCGTGGTTCACATAGACAACTCCGAAAAACTACAATTCAGCTCCCACCCACCGTAACTTTTGTGGCTTTCGTATTCCGCTACAGGATCACAGTTTAATCGAATCTACAAATGCAATGAATGTATGTACAAAGTACTAATTACCACTGTCTCGAATAGGAAGGAGGTGGAGCAGCGGGGGGATAAACGTCTTGGCTGGGGTACTGCTGAGACTGGCGCGACTCGTATTTGAAAGGATACTGAGCGGGCGGAGGAGGAGGATACATGTTGGCTCCTCCAGCTCCTCCGATAGGTCCTCGGTTGCCACCCATGGGCGGAGGAGGAGGAGGAGCTCGTCGGGCGTAGTTGTTCTTGACGGGGTAAACAGGCATGGCCCGCTTTCGGTGTCGCCATCGTCGGAAACATCCAATGAGGATCAAGACAATGATACCTCCAACCACACCAACAATGATACCAACAAACGCACCTGTGTTTCTGCTGATCCAGCCACCCGCGTCGTCAAACCACGATCGAAAGTAGTCGTTGGTGTTACCCGAACACTGGCCTCGTAGGCACTTGCCGCCTCGACCACAGGGAGTTCCGTCAAGGAAATTGTACTGCGAACCGAAACACACATTGGGCAGGTTGGGGTCTCTGCAAGAAATGGAACATCGGCCTTGATCACACGCTTGGGTGACGTTGGCAGGAGTGTTGCCGACAAGGGTGGTTCTGTTTTGCATCAGAGTGAAACACTGAAGATCTCGAGACGTGCACAGACCAGCAATGCACTGAAGACCTCCAAATCCGGGTCGGGAGGGATCCTCGCATGATTTGCCATTCTCGGTAGTGAGATCAGGAGGGCAGGAAGAAGAGTTACCAGTGCAGAACTCGGCGGGATCACAGGGACCCTTGGAAGATCGACACTCCTGAGTGGAGGGAGCAAACTGGCACTGGTTACAACAGGCCTGGTTGGCGTCGTCACAAACAGCTCCAGTTCGGAATTTGCACGTCTTGGGATCGCAGCAGGTGTTGCCTCTGCATCCCTCTTCTCCACCACAGTCACAGTCCTCTCCCTCCTCGACAATACCATTACCGCACTCGTTCTCGGTCAGCAACTTGATACCACCAGTGTTGTCAATCAAACAACTAGTGTTAAGTGAGTTACGTCCAATACCGGCACAAATATTACCCTTGGTACATTCGGAGAAGGTAGTTTCTTGTTGGCCAGAAGCAGGATTCATGATCCACTGTCCGTTGGCGTTGCAGGCAGAGGTTGACATAGGACAGCAGTCATTCTTGTCGACTGTACCGTCAGAACAAGTCTGAGAAGTGCAATCGTGGACAGCCCCAAAGATATGACCAAGCTCGTGAGCCCAGACTTTCCATTCCAGAGAAGTCTTGGCCACCACGTTCGTGCCAGCCACCCAGGTGTTACCCTGCTGAGAAGCTCGAGCACCACAAAGCACACCAAGCCAAGACAGTCCGACAGTGGAGCCCTGAGCACAGTCGGTGAACAATGTCCAGGCAGCAATTCCGTCGCTGGATCGGTCACCTCTCCATTGAGAAAATGCAGAAAGACGGTCAGAAATGGCGTTGGGCTGAGTTGCAGTACACTCGTAGTTCCAAGGAGCTGAATCAACAGCAGTGGTGGGGCAGTCGGTGGAATTGGCCAGAACAAGAGCCTTGAGACCAAGAGAAATGTTGAACGACTGCTCGTAGAGCTGCGAGATGGTGTTCATGTTGGCGAGAATGTTGGCTCGCACAGACTCAGTTGAGTTGAAGTCCTTCATGTAGTTACAGTCGGCAGCTGCGCCAATTAGTGCAATCTGCTTGTGGTTGGGGCATCCAGAAGTGTCTCCGATGGTGGAAGAAAGAGCCAGGCCTGAAGAAGAACCTCCTCCTCCGATATCAGACTGTCGCTTGGACAAGATAGTCATCTCCTTGGTGACAAATGAGTAGTCGGTAGGCGACTCCAGGTCCTTGGTGTAGGCATCGGACTCTCTCCACACCAGCATGGAAGTGGGCTTGTCGACCAGCGCTCGCTTCATGAGCTTCATCTCGGCTTTTGACTGGTCGGGATCGGCGTTGGCCATGGCCCGGAATGACTCCTGATCGGAAATGTGGTAGACTGTGCCAGGGACGCCGAGCCCGGTAGGGTCGTCCACCATCCAAGCACCCTCTACCTGGGGCTCTTCATCAGGCACCTTCTTGACCATGATACGAGCCCAGCCAACCTTTCTGTAAGAGGCAGCCACGTCACCGGTCTGCTGATCGTACACATTGAGCTTTCTGTATGCGGTTCCCTTGTAGAGAAGAGAGGGAGTAGACGACAGCGCTTTGTCCAGCATGTCCACGTCAGAAGGAGTCAAGACCAGCTTGTACTCCTCGAATCCGGAAGGAGCCTCGATGGGGGACGAATCGTTTCGCATCAGATACTTGAACACGTCTGTGGGGTCTCTTGTCCAGCCCTCCAGCCCTCCATGGGCTGCAATATCTTCTCCAATATGGCCTATAGAGCGTTTCTTGAAGAAGCTCTCTGCATCTCTGCGGGCATTGGGGTCCGCGTGCACATACCACCGCTGCTGTAGTCGGTTGTAATGAGCGCCTCCCTCTGGAATGGGCACTTTGACGGACAGGGAGAAGGACGAGTGTGGTTGCAGCAGATCCGGGTCAATGTGGAAAATTGTGTCTGCAGGCTCGACATGCGATATTGGCTCCTGCCGTCGTAACGACATGGCCGACGCCACGGTGGCGATCGTGAAGATGTTTAATAGTTTCATCTGGGTTAGTAGTGCTCTCAAGTGGTAAAAACAGGCCAATCGGGGATGAAGCGAGAACACAAATAGGGGTCGTACATACGTGTATGCGATGAGAATGCGGTGAGTGAGCGTGTGAGTGTGTGTGTATGCAGAGAGCTCGTTAAATGCGTGTGTCGTTTGTGGCCGTGGTGGTTCTAGCTGGTGGAAGTGACTCTCTTCTAAAGTCGTCTATCTCTATGGTCTGGAGAAGCTGTTCTCTTTAAACTGCACCTTCCTTGGAATGTGTGCGGGTGTAGAGTTTGAGCTAAAGAAATGGTGTAGGTAGTGTGAAGAGAGGGTGGGTGAGCTGAAATATTAATGAAAAGCGCTGTGTATCGTCGTGTGTGTACCGAGTGGTTTCCCTTGCCATGTTCTGATGTTCTGAAACAGCCCCAACCGTGAGGCCAGATCTCCAACGTTGTGCGTGCGGCGCAGCAGCCCTGTACATACCTTAATATGGTGTCGCGAATCGAAGCGTGTACAGTGTGAAAAGAGTACTTGCACTATCTATATAAAGAAAGAGAGATCATGCACCGAAGCCGTTCGGCGGAGCATCTGCGGCCTAGAAGCCCGAGCCTTGTTGCGAGAGTATAATACCTCATCTTGGCAACCCGCAGTGTCTGCCAAAGGGTGGTAGTATTTGGCTCTTTTTTTCCGTGGTTTATTTTAGAAGCACACACTATTTCGCAGTGTTAAACCGAACCTTGTGTCAATCACCATGCATCAACCTTGTTAGTCACTGTAAAAATAGCATAATGAAAATAAAATTGAAGCAACTCAATAAATAGCAGCCTAAGGGACCATGATACATCTGCTGTGGCTATCTGCCTGCTGCAAAGTGGGGGGGGACAATATGTAAATATCCACTCGTTTCCAAGGTGATGATAGTAAGGCTAGAACTAACGACACCCCCCCTCGCGACGTCACTCTTTCTACAGTCTCCCTGGACCCTGACAAATTATGACTACTCTTGGTGTGGTAGCTCCGCCAAGCCTTTATACAGCAAAATGGAGATAAAACTTATGGTTAGGGTGTGTTACGAGGGTGTACAGCACACAGCCCAGGGCAGTGTTGCGGTTGGCCGTTAGTGGGTGGTTAGTTCAATCAAGACGCCCACATACAAGGTAGGGTGTCGAGAAGACCGATACGCTGTGCGTGAACTGTGCGTGAGACACATGTTATTTGCATCGTTGTCTTGATGTATTAATCTACTTGCATGAACCAGTTTCGCAGTCCGTGCAAGCTGGAGTGGAGGAAGAGGGGTTCGTATCTTCCTTCTTATCAGATTCTTTTTGCTTCTCCTGCTTTTCCTCCTTCTTTTCCACTTCTCCACCTTTATGTCCGTCGATATGTCCTAGATCCTGCTTCGGCGAAATCACATCTCTGACCAGTTTCTTGAGATCCTTTGAGTCTGGGTTAGTACTGCGCCATGCTGCTCATAACCCCGGTTTTCCGACAGTCGGCATCGCCCTATTGGCGCATTTGTCACCGTTACTAAATATCTCAGCAAAGTGCAGGCACCAGGGGCTGTGGGGGGGCTGTGTGTGGGGGTCTTCTATAGCTGTCCTTCGTATTATTGACCGCTCATGTGACCTTGCTGACTACTTGCCGAGTACTTGGCGGCGGTTAGCAGAACAGCAACCAGCGTTACGCCATCACCGAGCCCCCTGTTCACTGTTCAATGGCACTTAAGCTGACTGGGTTGGACTGTAGTAGCGTAATACCAAGAGCTGCTGCAACACACCACATGATACATATTGACAAGTGTCTCACGGGCCATCCGGTCACCGTATTGACACCACTCACCTGGGAATCCGCCGTTGGTTTTTCTGTCCCACAGAAGAATCGGCTTGGCTCCTTCTTCTGTTACAAGCTCGATCACAAAGGTGCCGCTGGAAGCAGGCAACAGAGCCACCTCTCCTAGTTGGTTTCCAAATGTAGACAAGAGCTCCTGGAGATACCAGGCCGCTCGAAGGTTCCATTTGCAGCCCGTGCAGAAATGAATAGCTACTCGAGGGTATGCATTCATGTTGTGTTGGTGTAGACAAGTGATCTGTCGATGGTCTGTCGATGGTGCTGTGCTAATCTGTACGACCGTTGGGATGACGTCAGATGAGGGAAAATCACATTATCAGTCCGGGGTATTTAACGTTAGGCTGGGAGAAAAATATACTGTACAGTAGAAGTGCAAGGTACAGTGAAAGTACGAGTACTGTACATACTGTAGCTGTGGATGTAGAGAAGACAAAAGCAAACAACCGGATTTTTTGTACCTACAGTTGGATACTGACATTGGAAGCATCTATATCTCTACTTTTAATTCAGCATATTGTAGTGTGTCATGTTTGAGCTGGTTTGGATGGAGCTGTACTTACGAGTGTGTTATGTACGCTGGAGGGTCTGGAGAGTCTGGGTTCGAAGTGCGGAGTTCCACCGGGGTTCGAAGTTGAATTTCTGCCGTTATTCCGAAAAGTCGTCTTTTTATTATATTAATAATCCCATTGTGCGTGAGAGTGCACCATGTGCCCAGGAGAAGCACTTGAATGACTTGCTGAGAACATTAGTTACACTTTTCTTATTGATTACTTGGACAAATCTGCAGCCTCATCTCCCGCAGAATTGGGAGAGAACTATTGCCAGTATTCTCAGAACATGCTCTCATAATCCGGCGTTTGCGACCATTCAATAAGTTGGAAACGGGCATCTCACCCTCCCGAACTTCTGTGAAACACCCCAGCCTACATTATTCTGTTTTTACCTCGGCTAAAATTGCTCCTATAACCGAACTGGTCCACAACCACAGGCTGTGATGTGGTCAGTTGTACATACCGTAATGTACATATTGAGAGCTTTCGATCTTATCGGCCAGCCGAAACCGCCCAGCAAAGCGATAATACCGCCACCTGGTCAGTATGTTCACATTCCATCAAATGGCATTTATAGCAAACATCGTCGAGTATTTGAGGCGTTTCGATAAGGCCAAGATGTTGCTCCGATATTGAAACAGAGTTTCGAGGCGGCTCCGAAAGAGCCGAGTCATGTGACTTGTGGTGTGTTTCAAGACGAATATACTGGTTAAAATGTTCACAATTATGCTTCCGCATCCATCCTCGTCTTGCTGTGCGTTTTCTGACCTACAGCATCCCAATATCTTCTCTTTTTCGGGAGTCTAGGCCTCGTTTACGAACCGATGACAAACACCGCATAGGACCACATCCCACATAGGTTACGTATCCGGTGAAACTGGTCTGATGAATTATATTAATTAAAAGGAATGACTTTATGGGAGGGTTTGGTGGCTGTAAGCCCGATGAATCGACTAAAAATCGAGTTGGAATCACTCCTGAATGCTCCAAATACAGTTGTTATGGCCCCCTCTGTTCTTCAAGTAAATAGACGCACCGCCACACATTTGCCACATTTATTTTCTCTTACAAATTACACTTGCCACAATTTTTGCTTCGCTCTTTCTACCCCAGATTTAAGTTGCTGGTGGGTCAACCGTAAGACTTATCAACAGTACCTACCAGATGAACGTGGTCATAGACAAGGGTAGAGACGGGGAAATGACATTCTCACAAGTGGTACAAGCCGCGGCAAACGTACTTTTATACACCCGTGGGACTCATCTAAGACTTAGCTCCTTATCTCAACCCCTCTTCTTTGGATGGCTCCCAAACTCAATTAACTGCAAGAGCCAACGTTCCACCCGCAGTTATCGTGTGACCCCATAGTCGTTGCCTTCTTCCTCCGCAATTCTTCTTTCCCCAACTCTTTCTCCTACACATTTTTGACCACCCGTTACCGCACGAACCACCACACACCCCCAAAAACACAGAGATGAAACCCGAATTCTGGCAAGATCGATGGAACAAGGATCAGATTGGCTGGCACCAGAAGTCGGCCAACCCCCACCTCGTTAAGTACTGGCCCACCCTCAATATCTCGCAGGGATCGACTGTGATTGTGCCTCTCTGCGGCAAGTCTCTAGACATGCGATGGCTGGAGGGGCTCGGATACAACGTGCTGGGTGTGGAGCTGTCCGAAAAGGCCTGCAAGCAGTACTTTGACCAGATGGAGCTGGAACCCAAGGTGTCCAAGAACGCCAGTGGAAAGTTCACAATCTACGAGGCCGGAAACACCCAGATCTGGTGCGGTGACCTCTTTGATCTCGACGCAGACGATGTCAAGTACGTGTCTGCGCTCTACGACAGAGCCTCGGTGATTGCCCTGCCACCGGACATGCGAGAGCGATACGCCGCCCATCTGGGGGCTCTTATTCCCGACCCCCAGGGCCTGATCATCACCCTGGATTACGACCAATCGAAGATGAATGGTCCTCCCCATGCTGTTTCTGACGCCGAGGTCCAGCGCCTGTTTGGCACCAACTGGAAGCTCACTTTGCTGGAGGAGGTTGACAAGAAGGATATGTTCAAGGAGGAGGGCATCGAGCCCGTTGAGCGAGTCTACAAGCTCAATTGATTTTGTAGAGATGTTAATGACTGATTATGAGTGCTTCAATAGGCTTTGTTGCATAATACATGCAGTGATGTAGACTGGCAGTCTTTGGTTGCTGGAGATTGTATCGTAAGTACTACTGCGAAGTTGCCAACCCCGGATACATGTTGGTATCCTACACATGTCTGCTGCAGTTTCAGATGTGCAGCATGACTGTGAGCGTAAAAGATGGAAATAGACCGGTGATAATGAGATTCTGGGACTACTTGTGGAATCCCCTGATTTTGGAGATTTCAATGCAATTTTCAAATTTCCCAGAACCCCGTTAATACGGCATTTAATCACCCCTTAGTTATACAAGTAGGTTCGTCAAATGTGCATATGCATACGTGCTATAATTAGAACTTGTCAAGGATGAGTAGAATCGCGTGTTTCGAGGTTCTTTACGTGTTATTTAGGGGATTGTATCGTATCGAGCTCCCTGTCGATGTTCTAGATAGGCTATCGCGTCTTTCACCATCTCAAACGCCATCTCAAACATTACCATATTTGCCATGTTTCAGGTGGAAATTAACTCCCAACTGCAGCTCACGACTATACGAAAATAACACGCTCAACACCATCACCACCACCACTACACATACAACACATCCCCAAGCACTCACTATGCCCAGCTTTGCAGACTCGTTCTGGTCGTCGGACTACGCGGCCGGTCTGGGGGTGGTGTTTGACCAGCTCGACAAGGGCTGTAACGAAAACGACGAGGTTCTGGCGCTTGTCAATGCTCGAATGGAGGCTGAAGAGGCCTATGGAAACCGTCTCAAGGAGATCCCGACGCAGTTTGGCGAGACCAAGAAGACTGGCGGGTTTTTTGCGTCCAAAAACGGAGCTCTGGACGAAGGAGCGTCTCTCAAAAAGGCCTATGAGGGGGTGCTTCACGAGATGGGAGAAGAGGGAAAGGCCCATCTGACTATCGCCTCTAACATGCGAGATATGGTGCATTTGCCCTTCTCCAAATGGGCGGACGAACATCGGCAACGTGTCCAGTACTCGTATAAGGTGCTGCGATCCAAGGTCAAGAGTTACGACAAGGAGTACGTGGAGGTACAGAGAGCCCAGAAACGGTACTTCAACAAGTGCCGGCTTTACGAGGAGCTCAAGGAAAGCAGTGGCGAGACGGTTACCCCGGCTACAAGCGCCTCTCCAGCTTCGATCGACCGTCAGCGATCAGCTTCCACTGCCTCTGACGCTACTACCATTGTCAGCAAGCCCAGTATCAACCACCATTCGAGAGCAGAGTCGATAACTGTTTCCGATCCCTCACGTGAGCTGTCGGATATTGGAGGACAGGTCTTTTCTTCTGCTGAGCTTGGGAATCTCATGAAGAAAGCCCTTCAGGATATCAAACGTGCCGATCTCAAGGTCGCGATCCTGGGAACATACGAAAACGTGTCTTCTGGCGATCAGATTGTGTCATGGATTCAACAGAACGTCCCCATTCCTTCGGATTCGTCAGCTGTGGCTTTTGCTGAGCGATTTGGACAGGATCTCGTGACCCAGGGCTATTTGCGGCTGGTGGGCCAGGTTGGATCCAAATTCGCAAACTCGTCTGCCTTCAGCTACCAATGGCGAAAGAAGGCTTTCATCGTGGCTGGACTTCAGGACGATGACGACTCTCTGGAGGCTACAGTCGACAAAGTACGTCCTTTTGTAGGCGAGTATCTTGGAGAGACGCTCTCTTCATACGTTTCTTCTCGAGGCGCTCCCACAGATGAGTCTCCTATTCAGCGCGCCCTTCGAGAGGTGTCTGAGCTGGATTCTCGATACAAAATCCAGGTTGCTAAGCTTGACGATGTGCGATGTACCCTGGAGGAGTCCGTCATTGACCACCTTAAGTTCATGGAGCGATGCGAGAGTGATCGACTCAAGGCTGTCAAGGCTGTGTTCCTTGATTTCCTTGCAGCTGCTTCTAACTCGCTTCCCGCTCTTCAGTCGTCTGTGGAACGACTGCTGCTCTTCCAGGAGGCTATTCATCCTGCCGCCGATCTGCGGTTCCTTGTCGAGTCGTTCCGAACAGGTCCTTTCACTCCCAAGGTGACAGTCTACGACAACTACTACAACTCGTCCGATTCGCAGACGACTTTCGGCCTGGACTTGGAACTGCGTTGTAGGGGAGACAGAAGGAAGGTGCCGTCCATTGTATCTACCGTTCTCAATCATATGGACGACCAGTACCCTCTTTTGGACAATGACGAAGTGCGTCTTAATGTGTGGACTGTTTCTGTCAGTCTGAAGACAACTCATGCCCTGAGAAAGGAATTGAATACAGGAAAACCAGTGGACAAGGCGATTCTCAAAAAGTACGAGCTCCCCGTTGCTGCATCCATTCTCAAGCTGTATCTTTTGGAGCTTCCCGATTCATTGGTTCCTCATCAGTACTACGATGTCGTCAAACGTCTGTATTCTGCAGGCCCTGGAGGACAGCCTCCCAGCCCCGAAGAACGAATCCAGTCGTTGCAGAACACCTTTGCACAGCTGTTGGTATCGAACATTGCCACTCTGGACGCTATTACCACCCACCTGGCCCGTTTGATCCGCCTTACTAACGCTGGAGACGAGTACATTCTCCAGCTGTCTCAGGAACTGTCGCATTGCTTCCTGCGACCTCGGGTGGAATCTCCTGTTACGTTTGGAGACAGACACGCCTACAGACTAGTCAATGACCTACTGGTGTACCGGGACCAGATTTTTCCCGAGCTGAAGCGCAAAAACTCAGCTTTTCGATCTTCCAACTCCATCAGCAAGAAGTCCACAAAGTCCGAGTCACGTGATTCGTCACGTGGAGGGGCAGTCCCGACCTTTTCCGACTCACCTGTTCGAAGACAGTCGCTTAAGAACAGACTGGAGGCTATCACCAAGAGTGAGCAGGACGCCAAGGAGTCGGCGGCTAATGCCGAGTCCAGTTCTGGTACTGAGTCTCCAGGTAAAGATATTCCCCCTCCTTTGCCTGACAAGCGTCCTCTGAAGGGTAAGGATAATGAAGGAGGTGCTCCCCCTGTGCCTGAGAAGGACGTCAAGGACGGAAAGGGTCCCAAGGGCAAGGTTGGCAAGATGTACGACCAGGAAAATAACACGGGTAGTTTCTCGTCCGTGTCTTCGTCGGCCATGTTCAATGTCCAGCTGGAGGACGGTAAGGAGTCCATTGTTATTGATGATTAGATAACAGTAGATAGGTATTTTATTTTATAAGAGTTATGGGAGCTCAAGTGCGTGGCACGTGAGAACGAGCAGTAATGACAGCATGTAGAAGTAGGTAGCAATCTGAAGTGTTCAGTATGTATCGTAGCCAATTCCATGCAGTTCATTGTTGGAGTACAAGTACAAGTACAGTACTTGTACTTGCACTGTGCAAGCTGGGGTGATGCTCGAACGTGGGTTACAGGTACTTGTACTTGTACTTGTAATGATCATTTTTATCAACATCTTTCTTCTCGAAAATCTTCGGGTTTTGTTGTCGCTTCTCCCCGTTGCAGTTATGCAAATTGATTTGGTCCTACATATGGTAAGGGACAAAGAGTGGAGAGTTGGAGAGTGTTCATCGTGACATAAAAATGAACAACAAGTGATTTTTTCACTAAAAATACCAATATAAGACGATCAACACTCATCTGAAATCAATTGGGCCTCCTCCAAATACAAGAACTAGTCTTCGAGCTCAATGAGGTTCAAATGTGGCTGTTCTCACACTTGAACATCATCAGGCAAAAGAACGATTAAACAACACCAATACAGGTGGTATCCACACTCTACCAATAATTATCACCTCCAATTTTACAAAACATCATTAGCAATATATCCTCGACCTTACATGAACTCGGTAAGATACTCCACGAAGAGATCCTCTCCGTCTCGGAAAAATCGGCCGTTTCCGACCATGGTCTGTCCAACGACCCAGCTCTCCTTATCGTCCTTGGCCTCCTCGTCAAGCTCAATGGTGCCGAAAGACTTGACGTTACCGGGGGGACCATGCTCAGTCTTCTTGCCCGTAAGAACCTCAACTAGCTCGGGAGAAAAGTTCAGGTGACCGGAGTACTTCATCAGGAACTTCTTGTCGGAGTCCTTGAGGTGGCCGACCAGAACGGCGTCCAAAATGGCGGTCTGACCGGACTTTGTGGTTCGAATCACGTCGTGACCAGAGGTGATGACGGCCTCAAAGGGGTACTTGGGGTCCTGGGAAGAGATGGTTCCGGTGATGTTCTGGACGTAGAGCACGTCGGTGAGACAAGGGAATTGGTCGGAGATCTTGGCGACGACTTTGAGCACGGGCATTGTGATTTGTGTGATTTGTAGAGGCGAGGCGTTGTATGTCGGTCGAGGCTGGTTGTATAAGTAATAGCATGGATTGGGGTTAGGGGTCAGATAGCGTAGGATTAGGTTCAGGATAAGGTTGTAAGGATGTCTCGTGGTGATGGAGGCATACTCACGATACTCGTCGCTAGCTACCGTGATTGTGTTCATATGACTGCCTAATTACATTAAATACCACTCAATTCTGCAACAATTATACCTATCGATAAAATGCCTACGCTCCTTGTCTCGTACTCTGTGCTTCCCATCAATGTGACCCCCACAAAGCCGCATAAGCGTTGAAAGGGAGAAAAGCGTTTAGTTCAAAGTAATATGGAAGTTGACCGAAGGAGGTGCCAGTGTCATTCGGGTAACCAGCGGTCACAGTACAATTACTGTACCGGTACAGTACAGTACTCTATCTTTAACGCTTCAAGCACATCTTGACAGTGATCGTCATATACAGTAACTGTGGGTGGTTTTAAATTTCACAGCATGGGAGTGCACACAAGTCAATAGATGCCAATAACTCATCTAGGGGCTGAATTACCCGTTTTGTAGGAAAGATATTGAAAAATAATTCGTTTATGAAGATATGATACAAAACTGTGTATCACAATTCCTCCTCTGACATCCCGTTTGCTCCCCACCAAAAGACCCTCACAACGCCTCGAACAAGCTCTCAGACTTCGCATTTTATGTACAAGCAGTATTGGTAATCTGACGGACTTAAGGATCGTTTAAATGATTGATAAAAGCGACCTGATTTGGATGGCTTCTTGAAAAGCGCGTCCAAGTGCTACTTGACTATAACCGTCGAAAAATCAATCCAAAATTACTGTACGTCTGTAACAAAAGTCACATCAGAATCAAATCACGCCAGTTGGTGGAGGTCGGAATTGAAACATCAGCTGGTACAGTTTGTAGAAGTATGCACGGTACAAGAACTGCTGATATTTCCAAGATACCTGAGCAAGAACATCAGCTATAAAATAGATATCAAATCAACAATGCAACATGGCTGGTCTCACCAGCACTATACTCGATCATGTGTGATCTACATTACACCGCCAACACACTTTTATCTCCTAAAATTCACTCTCTGACCCCCACATTTCTAATGCATCCATTTATAAGCCCTGCATGGTATCACACCACGTCGTACATTGAGATGATTGGATAGAGATATACTGGATCGATGGGTGGTATTTTCGTGTACAATGGTTTGCTTGAGTCATCATCCTCATTCTGAGAGTCCAAATGCGGGTTCTACGTCTCCGATCACAACTCACATCAACCTATCAACCGCCGTTACATTTTAATCTTAAACAATTTGATGGAGTTGTGAGTGACAGAACGAGGCAGGATTAGTGCAGATTTTAGTCACGTGGTAGGAAATCTGAAGAGTGCATTTGGTTTGAAATGAGCAGCAGATCAATCTTGTGCTTTCCAAATTGCAATCAGGCTACAATGCGGTCCGTTCATGGACCACTCAATCTGTAGTCATCCCATCAGGACAAAACCAAATGAAGTCAGTTTTTAATCACGGGGATATCCCCATAAAGCAGCATATTAATCACTACAACCACGGTCATACAGGACAGGTCCTAACCGCTCCGGCTATCAATCTGAAATCAGTCTGCCCTAAACCTGAAACACCTTCCCCAGCCGAACTTTGTTAATGTGGCAAAAAAATCCGCCGGATATCCGCTTCGACCCGGGAAGCCGGGCTGCTGCATTCCATGCAACGTTGTTTGGGGGCTATGGGGCTAGGGCAGAGCTGAATGGGGCCCGTGCGAGGTTAGGGTGGTGGACACAGCAGGAAGATACAGGTTATGAGTTGTCGTTTAGTTCCTCAACAAAGCCGGTTTGTACTTATATCGCACTCCTTCAAAGGCTTCTTTGGACGACTCGGTTATCGACCAAACCTTTTTCCACCAATGTGACATTGATAGTCATGTGAGATAAACAGCGTGTTGTGGGGTTGAGTATAGGATGCACTGTTTTTTTGATAGTCACGGGGGAGAGGTCTGGGTACGATAATTGTTTCGATGTCATTTGTGTACAGAAATTTCATAATTATCGTCTATCTCGGGTATAAATCCAACACGTGCGTTTTACATGATTGTACAGTTGCAACGCTGATCTTCAAGAACGTTTTCATTTGAGTGGATTTGAAGGGTTTAAAATCTCAGGTTATAGACTCGTGTATTGTCTTGTTGTAAATCAGCAACCCCTCATTAGCCACATTCTAGTTTTATTAGCCACACAGGTGATGTGCTTTGTGGGCACGCAGTTTGACCAGTATGTATTGGGATGTACTCGTACATACAGTATGATACAGAAAGGAGTTTGTTTGAGTCCGGCTTCTGCCCGGAGAAGTACTCAAATAACGCACTCTCTTCTCACTTACAATGCGCCGTATTACAGCTCGGTTGTTGTCTCTTTCTTTGCCTTTTTTTGCGAGGGCTGTTTTTACCGCTTGCCTCAGAGCCGTACCGCTATCACTAAACGTTAGGGGACATCTCGAGAGTTTATTTTCGAGGGTCATCCTCTAACGGCAGGTAGTGGATGAGCCGTGGGGTATATAAGAAGAGAGTGTTTGTGGGTGAGCGAGGGAAGCACAAAGATTCACTTGCACACACACACCAACAGCGTGCAAAATCATTACGCCAACACACATTGTGAGTATATGAGATATCGGTGATTAGTAAGACATCCCGACAGCGCAAGGTTTCGATGAGATGCAGTTTTCATTTCTGTCAGGTAACGGTTACCGGCCTTGAACGTGAGTGAAGTCGAAGTTGCCAGAGAGCAATGAAGTGGTGCTCCGCTGTACCTAAGCAACTGTTATTTCACAAGTCTGAACGCACCTACACACAAAAAACAGCATGTCCAGGCATACAAAGACGCTACTGAGATCTGGGGTGCATGATCACAGATGAGATGGTTGAGGGGAGGTCACGAGTGTGTTTTTTCCAGGCCGAGGTTGGGAACTTGAAGTCATGTGGTGCTGGAGTACACGGTGCGAGAAATCGGTAATTCCTGGTTCACTTTCTCAGCCACAGATACATGTTGCATGGGTGTGATCTGCTTCTGTGTTGGATCAGTGTGATCCATTGTTATGAGATTTGAACCGTATGAGTCGTCTGTCATACAATATTGCGGGGGTTGTGATATTATGCTACCCGATCCATGATAATGGCAGCTACTTGTCTCTACTACAATGCTGAATCTCACGTGATTGCATTTGAGTATCCAGTTTCAAATCTGGAATCACAGTCTCTCTCTTACACAAATACAACAGATACCGAACGCACAGTGAGTGATGATATTATCTTCTTGTCGCCACATTCAAAAGAAATTACAGCACTCTCTCAACCACGAACCCAACCAGATTCTCTCTGCATTGCAGTACGTTCAACAGTGAATGATACCCCACATTTCAGTCGAAACCACGCCATGCTACAGGGTTGCTCTGGTTACAGTGAGATGGCCTGTGACAGTGGGAGTATTGTCTGAGAATGGTCACTATGTCCTCAGATCTCGACATGAAATTCGTGTTCTACTAGTTGGTTTCCGCTCCTTCCCCCTTCACCCTTCTAGCCCCGTTGTAGCCACTCCAGAAATTGGCCAATCTTTCCCATACTAACCCAGATGTCTCTCAGAGAAATTACTTCACCCGACGAAATCCGAGATACTCGATCTTTCAGCCATCTCGAATGGGGCGCCTTCCTCTCCATTGATGATTACAACCACCGAGAAGAGATTGTTCTCGGCCACACTCCCATGTGCAAGAACCGACTCAAAAGCTGGGGTCTTTATATCGAAGATGGAACTCGAGTCGCTGCCTGTGAGACCCTTGAGCGACCCGCTCTTGTCCAGTGCAAAGATGGAAAGATCAAGTCGACCTCGACTTTCTCCATCGGAGCAGTCTTCACCCCCAAGGAGCACAGAGGTAAAGGTTATGCCTCAGTCATGATGAAGCAGATGGCCTCTGGTATCCCCTTCAAGCCCACTCTCACTGATGCTGATATCATTAAGGCAACCGGAGTCTCTGACGTCGACCAGACCCTTCGTGTCACACCTCTCTGGAGTGATGTGGGCACGTTTTATGAGAAGTTTGGATGGATCGGCACCACCGACTTGCAGTATGTCTTTGAGGTTGATGGATCTGCTTCACAAAACGGTGTCAACGGCACCCCCAATGGCACCAATGGCACCAATGGTGTTAACGGTCACACAAACGGTACTAACGGCCACTCCAGCGCCGTCAAGTACCTTTCAGAGGAGGATGTCTACCGTCTGGCAGACGTTGAAGCTTCTTCTTTCGCTTCTGACTTCGAAAAGTTCCCCTTCAAGGGCAGCTACAAGTGCGGAATCGTTCCCGATAGAACTGTCTACGAGTGGCATCTTGCCCGAGCCAAGTTCCTGGCCAAATTTGCCAAGGTGCCTGAGCCCAAGGTTTTTGGGGCCCAGATCGGTGACTCGTGGATGGCATGGCATCACATGTACAATGCTCGAGAGCTGGTAATCTTGCGGGCCAAGCTTGCCAAGGCCGAGGATCTGGTGGAGCTAATTGCTGCTGCCAAAAACCATCTTTGCAAGGACGGTTTTAGCGATCAGATCAACAAGATCATCCTCTGGGAGCAGGAGCGGGAATGGAACCACATCGTCGACGGACTCTCGTATGATGCCATCGACCAGGCTATTGAGAAGAGCCAGGGAAAGCGTGAGCACCGAGGATCCAGTATCCCCGCTGTCATGTTTGTCGAGTACAAGCTGCAGAAGGATGCTATGGAGTTTGTTGACCATGGAAAACTGACTTGGTGTTAAGCCTTCCGCTGAAGTCAAGATATCGGACTCGGAGGCCTGACCTGCTCACTGACAAATGACTTGTACGTCAGACTCAGACATGACTTTGCTGTGTTATGCAATCATGACTCTGGCCTTTCAAAACGCACCCAAAACGCACTAAACACACTGGCTACATTGTAGTTCGATATGTACGTGATCATCGTATAACTGTAATATTTATATAATACAGCAGGTTGGTTAAGATGTTTGGAAGTGTGTATGAAACCAACCCAACTATTGTTGGTGAGGTCTGTATGACTAGAAATAGTATGTACACCAGTACATAAACTGGTATGTACTTTACGATAGTAAGGTAATCATGACCAGTTGGGTCAGCGTACATTATGTACACGGTAGGTAATCAGTAATCAGTCTGTATCACCAGTTAGTCTTCGGGGCTCCGAACGCGTCCTTTTTAGTCGTCAACACCTCTATCGGAAGTCCGTTCTCGAAGCGAGAGTTCCGAGATACAGTAATCATGCTCCACTCGGACTCCGAACATCGGCGGTGATTTGCATGGTGAAGGACGAAGGGGGAAGAAGGACTCCAGGTGCTTCTTTGGTGCATGTATTCAGATCACGAGAGTTTGATCGGACATGATTAAATCTTTACAATCAGCAGAAAGTCCCGTGTAGTACGATACACGATTTAGCTAATGCATGTCGTGGCGGGGGTGGTGCAAAAGGGTGTGTGATTGGTGGTATTAGGAAGGATGGGGAGTGACAGAGAGTGCGCATGTCTAATTATGAGGGCCGAACAATTGGAACACAGCCCGTGTGTATTATTATAGGTGGTGGTTTGATTACTCCAAGTGTTGCAGGTGGCTATAATTAGGTCCCTCCCACCAGTATGTACAGTAACTTGTACAGTGCACATCATCAATATCAAGCTGTATGATCTGTCAGTAGTGCCTCTGGTGATCCCGATTCAAACAATAGCACTTCCGAGCGGTACCTCATTTCCCGGGCGACCTTATTTCTTTTGGACAATGAGGAATACCTGTCACCGATATACTTACTTCCGAGCCAATCGATGAGATTGAAAAGATAATCGGACCTGATTCGTACCGGTGCTTGTACTCTACAGGAGCAGATCAGCACCACAGAAGCCTTGTAGACGCTACGTCCGAACCCCACACACGCTGTAGAACTGCCCACAGATGCATTCCTGAGCGATTAAAACCCGACTAAGCTGTCCGTAGGCTCGTCTAATCAATCCGCTTTTGATGCCGGAGTTGAAACCTAGAAAATAAGGTCAAGCAGTACCTGACACTGTTCATTCTCTGATGTGAGGTTGTCCAATGGGAAAGGCGGCGTGAAAAAAGCTGGGACAGTGTATGCGTTGGAGATGATGACGTGGCCAGAGTCGGGTTGGAGCTGCCCTGGGTGATGTCAGAATAGGTCTGTTTTGCCGCCGGGCACCAGAACTGTAATTTGTATGAAATGTATGGGGTAATAAACAACTGCTATGGCACCGTTAACAAGCCTCGAGATATCCATATGTTCTATCAGGTAGCATCGTTGGACTGTCCCCGGACTCGCACAATACGGTTATCTACAAGTAGCCGGCATAGCCGGATTCCACAAGGTTACAAGCTATTTTCCGACGGGACGTGTGCCCATGCGTCTTGGGTCCAGATCAGATACTCGAGCTATACGGGTACGGGTAGGAGTACAGCACTGTCGAGATTATCTGTGCGTGCCAAGCATGCCAAGGGTCAAGAGCGACAGAACCGACGGGGGCGCGGACAATCAGCTCTTCTGATCTCCCCTATCAGCTACCACTTGCCCAAACTACTCGTATTTTCGAGCAATTATCAGATGGCCTCCTCCTGCGTGAGGGGATGGTGTCATCCAATCAGATATCGCAGTAGTCAGTGTCTAAAGTATATTTCCGCGTAAACAGCATGGAATCGCCCCGACATGTATCGTTGATCAACACCGAGCTGGGGTTGGGCAATATCTGTACACACAACCATACGGCGCTTGGGTTGGTGTCACACATCCATTCAGTTGGCTTAACAAGCGCCCGACCCCGTTCGGTTGTGGCTTGATCGCCTGATCAAAGGTAATCAAACCTCAAGAAAGACCTTTAACCTACAATGTACAAGGCCCCGACACACGGGGGACATTGGCAGCCTATTTGTAGCCGTATACGAGGTGGGACACGCAGCCTTGGCCTGCTAAGACCAGTTTTACGCGCTCGAGAGGCGACCAGCTTTTCAACTTTAAAGTGAAATGAAACTTGGCATACGTATTTGTAGAGAGGTTATGTGAACAGGCACTTGAAACTTGAAATTAAGAAGGAACAGACACGAACGACAACCAAGCAAACCAAGCAACAATTGAAAGCCACAGATGTTAGTGGCTGGCAGAAACAGGCCGTATCTCCCGAGGCGGGCTTGCTAATCCATCCTAACACAAACGCAAAAGGAGCCACATGTGCGTCTTCATCATGCATAATTACAAATAGACATACGGTGATTGGCCAAAGGACCCCGACGATCAGAGTTCGCTCCAAACACAACGGTATTACACTCTATTGTCAATAACCCTTGGGCTGTTATCAGATGGCTCCAAGAGAGATTTTAACCTGCATGGGGCCAATCAGCGCACCCGGAATTGCAATTCAGGGGTCTTGTAAGCGCTTGGATGCAGGTGGGTGTGTGTGCGATGGAGACTGTGGCACGTGCGGGCTCTACTTGGTGTTTTCCGGGATCCATTGTAGTTGCTGGAGGCGCTGTGGCGGCTTGGAAAATAATGTGTTTTTAACCTATAACCATTGCTATGAAATGTTTGCGGTGCACACATAGCTGTGGCAAAGTCGGACCTTGTGCTGTAACGTGACCGCACTGCTCTTAGTGTGCTGTTCCATAGGCTTTTTGCATGCATCGACGTGCCAATACAAAAACAGACGGAGGACTTAAACTGGTACACCTAAAAGTGGCTTAGGCTAACCCAGAAATATCTTTCTGTCGCGCGCCGCCAACGGGGGAGGAACAATACCAACGAGGACATCAGGACTTGGACACGACGACGATTCTCAGACGGTACACAAGCTCACGACACCAGACGACAAACCCGATACACAAGACATAGAGTCCACACACAAACGCATGAGCTCTTCTTTTGCCGCCATCAACCGGGCGGACGAAACGGCCAGGAGCAACGAATCGACGCCGAGCGATTCAACAAAAGCTCCCGCCCAAGCAAAAGCTCCTTCGACACAGCCACAGCCACAGTCGCAGACACAGACACCAACGCAGACGCCCGGATCACAGACACCAGTGCCACATATGCCACCGCAGCCTCATGAAGACACACGGCCAGCAGCACCAACACAGATGGCACCAACAACGACACCCATGTCGGATGTGCCAGCTCACCAACAGGTGCCTTCGCAGACGCCGTCCCAGATTCCCTCTGCTCAGGTGATTCCCCCCGTGCATCCAGCACAACCACCCTCAGAGATACAGACACAGGCTCACTCGGGGAGGGCGACGGAGGACGTGTCGCAGCCTCCGCAACAAATGGAGGGCGTGGCTACACAACAGACACAAGGTGACCAGAAACACCCAGAGAGTTTTGCACCAGCACCAGTAGCAGCCCAACAGGCACCACCCGCAGCACCTGTCGTGGATGCCCCAACCTCTGTTAAAAAGGAATCGACGTCGCCAAAAGGGAAGGAAATTGCGGGACCGTCACTTTCGCCGGTGGCTTCGCCAGCAACATCACCCACCGCTACGACCAACGCCCCGAAACGCAAGAAAAAGGCGTCGGTCATTACTGCTCAAGTGTGCTCCAACTGTGGTACTACCCGTACGCCTCTGTGGCGCCGAGCTCCTAACGGAGCCACCATATGCAACGCCTGCGGCCTATACCTCAAGGCCCGAAACATCTCGCGACCCACGCATCTAGAGAAACCACCGGCAACTGCTACAATTTATTTGCCAGGCTCGCAATCGACATCCCCTGCCCTGTCTGCAGCCGAGGTGGAAAAACGAGACAGCTGCGAAACACGGGATGGAGGATGCTGCGGAGGCGCATGCAAGCCTTCAAACATGCCGGACGACAAGGACATGCAGGCTGCATGCGGAGATGTCACACTGGGAAGTTGTCCAGGAGACGGCCATTGTAACGGAACTGGTGGATCGGCTGCCTGCTCGGGTTGCCTGGCCTACAATAACCGTATCAACAAGGCAGTCCAGCTTGCCAACCAGCGTAAGGACGATGATGGGACGAAAACTGAGCCCGAGACGCCTGGAACTCCTGTTTCAGGCTCAAGATCAGTGGTTGTCATTGCCTGCCAAAACTGTGGAACTACCATCACTCCATTGTGGCGACGAGACGACTCAGGGTCGACCATCTGCAATGCTTGTGGTCTGTACTACAGACTGCACGGTGTGCATCGACCTGTGCGGATGAAGAAGAATATGATTAAGCGACGAAAGAGAGTCTTGGAGAAGGACGGTGGGGGAGCAGCAGGGTCGGCTTCCAGCCCTGGTTCAGCTGCTAGTCCCGTGCCCACAGCAGCAGCCACACCTACTCTTGTAGCAGCACCACCACCAACACAAGCAGCAGTGACTCCCTCTTCTATGGGTCTGGGAGTGACTGGAGCGCCAGTAGCAGCTTCAGTGAGCCCATCGGCTGTGGCTGCCAGTCCAGCTGGTACTCCAGCTTCTCTGTCTGGCACGCCAATTGGCACTCCTGTTGCCGCAGCTGCTACACCTGCCGCATCTACTCCCACTCATCCCATGCAGCAGCAGCAGCAACAACAACAGCAGCAGCAACAACAGCAGCAGCCTCAACATCTTCAGCACCTTCAGCAGCAGCAGCAACAGCAGCAGCACCCCCAGCACATGCATGGGGCGGTTGTTCCCCCTCCCGGAGCTCCTGGAGCTGAACATCTGCCACCTATGCATTACCCTTTTCCTCACCCTCCTCCTCCTCCACACCCTCATGCTCATCCGTACTACTACCCCTACTATCCCTACCCCTACCCCTATCCCATGCAGGGAATGCCTCCCCCTCCAATGCAGTTTCCCACCGGTCCTGATGGCAAACCTGTTTCGCCATATGGCTATCCAGCTCCTGGTTCCGCCCCTATGCCTCTAGCGATGCCTCCCGCAGCTGGTGCATCGCCAATTCCCCAGGCCATGTATGCTCCTCCTGCGATTGATTTCACCCATTCGTTTAGAGGCAATCCTGGAACCAGCAATCCTGGAACCAGCAATCCTGGGGCGAGCAATGCCCCTGCTACTCCGGTTCCTCGCAGCGAGGCAAATTCGCCTGCCAGTGGAGAGAAGCGAAGCGCGTCTCCTTCCTACCAGGACTCTCTGCGTAAGAAGCAGTCGCTTGACCTATCAATCCACTCGCTACTGAACACCAATAGTGGAGAGGAGAGCACTCGGCAGAAACTCAAGGATTTTCTAGACATTCAAATCCCCGACAATCTGACCAGTCCTGCGGAGATTCGGGAATATCTGAAGGAAAAGCAGAGGGAGATCAGTGAGAGACTGAAGGATTTGAACTAGGATGCGTCCAGTTTGACAGCCTCGCTCCCCAAAAGAAAGCAGTTTTCTAAAAAAAACAGCATACAGTGAGTACTTCTTTACCGTGCCCACTTGCGATTGCCAATTTATACAGCATAATTGTCTGTACCTGGACATGTGCAACCCCCAAAATAATTAGAGCGTACAGTACTAACGGTTCAATGTATATTATTTATGACTTTACAGGGTGTGCGTAAACTACAATGTGATGTTATCGTAGCATTGGCTGGAGGTGTGTTGGTGATGTAACCGCTTCGACGTGACGCTGCCAGATATAGTCGTATTTCAAATGAGGAGAGTTGAGAACATGGAAAGGAGACGTAGATGCCAAGGTTGAAGTTGGTACAGGTAGACAGGAATCCGGCAAGAGAATGAGGGACACCCTCAGTTGTGACAATGGCACCAGGAGCAATGCAGCTCAATCATATGCCCAGGGTTATTGGTAAGTTGGTTTGTAGTTGGAGATGTCATTTCGGAAGAGTAAGTGACTAAGGTTCCCAGTATAGAACTACTGTACCCGCGGGCTGTCTCAATACTGTACGCCTACAGTAGTTACCGAACGAGTAGCTACACTGTGGTTCATAGCGTCGTATTGTAGAGTTACAGTAGATGTAGATGTTGTGCCTTGCAGGTGAGTGCATGTCGATACAGCAAGTGTCTATGCTAATATACTGCTGACACCTCGGCAAACGAGATATTATTTTGTCGACGATGTCCCAGCCTCGGCATTCTGGGCCAGTATATTATAGAAGACGTTGGAGCTGCCTCGGTGACAGCTAGAATTCCAGTACAAACCTGAAATTTGGCCTGGCATCTCCCATGTCAAACTGATATTATGAACTACAGCATTTAGCGGTATCAGATGGATCGCTACAAGTAGTGAGTTTGTTACAAGCCGACGTCAGAGAAGCAGGGTCAATGTACAAGTCGCATAGGTACAGACAATTGAGGCCTACAGCAGAGCAGGTAGATGTCGGTACAGAAATCTACCTGCCGTGAAATGATTGGTTACAGATTGTCATCCTGTTCAGGTGCTTTTGTCGCATCTTCTTGCTTCGGTTCAGACAAAGCGTGCGGCTAGAGGGCTAATTTTGTTCATAATATTGTGGACTGGGCTATTCCAGAGACCATTATTAAGTCACGTAAATGGGTTCTCTAGAAGTAGGAGTTCATTGACCCTCCCAAGCTGTTGTACCAAGACATCAGGAAGACCGGCGAGGACGCGAGAAGTGTCTTGTGAGACTAAGGGATTTATCAGCCATTCCTCGAGGCAACTGTTGCAAGATAGTAGGAATTGACTTAGCTCCAAAATAACCGGCTATAGTTGTCCCACCATCCCTGCGGCTTGTACCGTCGTCCCCACATTATCCCCTGTCGGTTAGTGTTTCATTTCGCCTATTTATAATATGTTAGAATATTTGACTGGTGGTACTGTAGATGTACAGTAGACATCTTCTGGTGGATAATTTTCTGGTGAGGGCCCGTGAATTGACAATGTGAGTGTTTTGGTTACTGTGAGGTCCATATGGAGGTTAGACAAAGGGTTGTGCAACAAACGATCCCATTTTAAACCATAAGAGAGGTTTTTGATGGTAGGCAGCTCATTGATCAGCAACAAATACTTGTACGGTGGGCCTTGAGGGCTTAAAAGTACATGAAACGGTGTCCATGGCGGTATCGCATATACAGTAGATTGTAGGAACGGCTCATGTGAGCAGATCCGACAGTCTTAGAATCGATATACAATTGAGCCCATAGCGCAGTCGCCGTGGAAAAACAGCTACTATAGCTGGCACTAAAAGTGTCATGTCCGAGCAAGCAGAGAGATGAATCACAACTCTTGGAAGAGATGCAACTGTGAGCACAACGTCGGGAACTCAGTGAGTTATAGATGAGTTACATAGAAGGCACAATTGAAATGTATCTCCTACAGGCAAGTTGTAAACACCTAGCACGGTTCACAATCAGCGCATTTCTCAATCTATCTACTACCTGTACCTGTGTCTGAGAACCACCTCATGTCAGATGTCAAGTTGATACTACCAGTACTGTAGACCTCTTTTCAGCCCACCCCAAATAGGGTTGACGGTGACAGCAAGCCGCGCGCTGATCCTCGAGGTAGAAATGTTCTAATATTTTGCCCCTCAAACAGCCGCTTCCTCGCAGGATATCTGCCCAGGTAGCTTGATTTGTCCTCTCTAACCGAACTTCCCCATTTCGTGCCTTTATTATCCGTATTTCTCATCACAAGATGTCTCTATTCGCCCGCTCTGTGCTACAGTAGTATTACGTAAGTTTGACAGGGCTATGAGTCTACTGTGAGAAAAACTCACCTGATGATGTTTCCTGAACACACGGAAAAGCTTTGGAATAGAGGAGAGATGTCGGTCAAAATGTTACAAGCTCATGGTATCTGAGAAATTTGTCTCTCGATCATCTTCTCTTCCCCATCTTTTGAACACAAAGAGTGCAAAAATGACCACCACTAGGCAGAATCCAGAAGCCTGTTATTACAAAAGTCTATTTTATTGATCTAAACTCAAACACGCGGTAAGTCTCAACCTTATCAAATACAGTAGGGGCCTATGTGCCCACACATATATCGGAGCTGTCTTCTCCACATTGAAGATTCTCTCTTACACTTGATCGTATTGCCTCGAAACATGACCAAAACGGCGGTCCCACGAAAACGCTTTCTGTGGCACCCTGCCGACATCGACACCTACTACTCGGATGACTATTTTTCTGACGAAGAGCGTGATTTCAAATATGGCCGACCCCGACCCACCCCCATGGCATCTCTCCTTAATCTCAACCTGAACGAGTATGAGCTCATTCGCTTCTACAATAACGAATCCACGCCACTGTTGGTGGCTGCCACAGGCAAAAACGAAGATGCCCAGGGGCTCTGGATGGCGAATGTCACGAAACTAGCATCCAGTAATAACGCTCTGAAGGAAATTTGTATGGCCTTCGCCACTATGCATATGGGACACAATCGAAAGAAGTCTATCTACATTCTCAAGGACGGAAGGGAGCACCCAAAGACAGCAGGCCCTCTAACAGACCTGACAAGAGTGGCGGGATACACACGATTGGAAGAAGAGGTGCTGGAGCAGATGTTCATCAGACTCACAAATGCAGTCAAGGCCCATCAGCTGCAAATAGTTAACATGACACTGGAGTCATACGAGTCGGTGTTGCTCTCAAGCGTGCTCATTTACCTGCATGCCATGAGCATGGGTCCATTTGTGCCTCTCTTCAGCTTTGATGGCGGAGTCGACCTGTTCAGTCTAGGACGAACCATCCACGATCTCACATTTATCTACAGTGATAAAATCGAGCCTTCGAATCCGTTCAACTACAGCTTTGGTGAGGACTCGGAAAACGACCGCGAGAAACTGCCACGGGAAGAAGATATGTGGGCAATAATCGATTTTGTGGACACAGATGTGGAGCTGAGTGTGGCAGAGAAGCGAAGGATCAAACGGTCACTGACAGCTGAGCTCAATAACCTAATCATGCTCTTTCATATGGACCGCGAGGCTCTGTCTGTGTCCCACATCTCAGCATGGTGCACGTTTTGGACCCCGAGCTTCTTTAGGCTGCTACGCGAGGAGCACAACACATATGCGCTGTTGTTTGTGTGTTATTGGTGTGGATATGCACACATGTGGCATATTCTGTTCTGGTGGGGTGATCGGATCCAAGAGGACTTATTGAATTTGAAGGATCACCTGCCAGAACGTGTACATCATTTCCTAGAGTGGCCACTCCAGAGTTGCACTCGGTTCGACATCAACTATGTCGACTTGCTAAACGGCAAGATGCGGCAGTTGTACATCTAGTCACTTTGTTGAGCTAGGCTCAGATGTCGCTGATAGTATTTAATTTATTGGAGATTTTCCTCTCTCTGCACAAGGGGAGGAAGTTACGGTTATCAGTGCATTCACATGCATAATATTGTATTATTATTATACAGCTGGGAGCAAGGGCCGTGCGACAACAACTAAAAGGCGAAGTTGAGACAATTGATGTAGGCCATTCTGATGACAAGACGTGTACTTGTGACTTTGTTTCACACACTTGGAATGGAATAAAAAGTTAGTCATAAGGTGTCGACAGCCAAGCGGCAAACGAAGAAGCTGCATATTGTGGGGTACAGTACATACCACTCAGCTGTAAAACTGGCAACATGCCAACACTATACTTGGAACTGAGCCACAAGTTTATATAAGCTATATATAGCATACAGTATGTCTAGCATATTTATATCTCTTTTACTCGCACCACTATGTAAATTTCTTCATTCTCAAGCTTGAACCTACATACATAACTTCAGGTAGACTACGTTATCAGCATTGGGGGTAAGTCATGAATCATCATTCTATGGAAGCTATATGATAATCTAAGGGGCGATGAAGTCTCGTCCAAACAGACCTCGCTTGAGCCAATCCTGAAACATAAGAGCTCGGGTTCGGAAAGAAACACACTGCGAAAAGTAGGCAGATCGCCAGATGTACATGCCCAGAAGACCTCCGGTGAAGGTTCCGTGCTTGCCGAAATCGAATACAGCGGCATTACCGAGGTAGGCCAGGTTTCCGAGGTGCTTGTACTTGAAAGGCTTGTAGTAGGCGGCGTCAATGTCTCCGTAGGGAACAGGTGTGTCGTAGGCAGCAGCTCCGATAGAGGCAATCTTTCGGAGCTTCTTTCCGAGATAGACACCCTGCTGGTTAGCTCGCTGGGCAGTGGCGGGCAAAGATGTGATCTTCTGGTCCACGTCTTTGAGCATCTTGGTGAGTTCCGAGTAGGAAAGAGTTCCGCTGTGATCGGCATCATACTCCTGGAACAGCTCATCAATTCTGACAAAATGCTCGGAAGAGTCGGGCAGAGTCTTCTGCAGAACAGCAGTCAGTCGCTTAACTTCTCCAACGGTCAATTTGATCTCGTGAACTCGCTTTTCGAGTGCCTCGGGAGTCTCCTGAGTGTTGGCAGAGAAGGGTCGAGAAGCAAGAACGTGGGACTTTAGAATATCTAGAGCCGTGTCGAGAACATGTGTTCGAACAGTAGAGCAGTCACCAATAGCGTAGGCCTGTCCCTCCGGGGTTCCGAGAATTCGCAGCTGAGGGTCGGTCTCAATGGCTCGTCTGTTGGTCTGGTTGGGAGCTCCAATGTCCTTAACAATGGACTTAGTAAGAGGAGATTGATCAACACCGGTGGACCACAGACAGAGACCGAAGGGCACCTCCTTGATGATCTTCTTGGAGGGGTCCTTGGGGTCAGCCTGGGAGAATAGCACTCGGTCCTCCTTGACCTCAACAACTCGCGAATTGATCAGAAGATCGATGTTGTCGTGCTTGAATCGCTCCATCGCGTACTCGGAGACGGAATGGTCAAAGGTGTTAAGGATGGCAGATCGAGACTGGATGACGTGGACAGAGACAAGGTTTCGCAGGGCCTTGGGGTAGTGCTTGGCCAGATCCTCGTTCATCAGATCGTAGACCTCGGCAGCCATCTCCACTCCAGTGGGTCCTCCTCCACAGACAACAAACGAAAGCAGACGCTTTCGCTCATCGATAGAAGTAGAGGGGAGAGCGGCCTTTTCAAGGTTGGCAACCAACTGGTTTCGGATACTCTTCGAGTCGTCAACGGTCTTGAGGAAGTGACAGTATTGCAGGCCCTTGACTCCGTGGGTATTGGTAGTGCATCCAACACCGACAACGACCTTATCGTAGGGAACATAGAAGTTGACAGTGTCTCCGGTCACTGGGTCTCTCTGGGAACACTCAATAAGACGCTCCTTGAAGTCAATGTTGTTGGCAGAGGCGTTGACAAAGTGAGCAGCAGCCGCAGCACAGATTCGTCGCACGGGTTCAGTGATAGATCGCAGCTCGAGAGTGCCAACGGTGGCAGAGGGAAGCATGGGGGTGAACAGGAAGTAGTTTGAGGGAGAAATGAGAGTCACGTTGTAATCGCCGGGTTTGAGGGCATTGAGCAGAGCTACAGATCCCCAGCCGGAGCCCAGAACCACCAGACGAGGCTTGCTGGAGCTTTCAGCTTTTTCCGGAGTGTCGGTATCATCCAGCCACGAGTCGAAAATGGGTAGGTTCTTGGGTCCTCCTCTTCTAGGTGACAGGGCAAGAGCATGAACGTCAATGTCACCACAGTCATCAATCTCCTTATAAGAGGAAATGTCGTAAACCAGGAAGGAGACAACCAGAGCGGTAGCTCCCAGGCCAATGGCTCCAAAAGTAGCAAGGCTGAATTTGAGGAACTTTTTGCCTCGCGACAGCGGGGTGTGTGTCTGAAGCGCGGGTCGAGAGCAATGCAGTGATCTGAAGGCCGTTCGGACAGCTGCTGGTCGAGTCAGTGAGCTCAGGGCTCCTGCACGTGTCAATGGTCGCAACATGTTGTGGATGATGCAGAAGGAGTACAAGTGCGAGTACAAGTACAAGTAACAAGTATCGTTATGCACGATAAGTTTAAGCGAGTGTAAGGATCCAATGTAGCAAGTAGAGACATGTCTCAAGAAGTGGTTGAAGGACGCAATTGGTGGCCGATTTGAATTTGGTAAAAACCATTGGGATCAGCGCGGGGAGGCGAGTTAAGCCCAGGTTTCGGCGAGCTCTTAGCGTTGTATCTCGCCATTCTACACACCCTCTAACACGAAACATTAAGGTATAAGCGAGGTTCCTCGGTTGCTGTCATATTTTGTATACACAAGCTCTCTGGGTCTCGTCATGGCGGATTATCCATCACATCCACTGCCACTCCCATCCTACCCGGCATAATCAAAGCGAGACTAGTAACTCACTAAGTAGCACTTTCGGTATATCGCGCAGGTTGCGAATATGCCGCAGCTTAACCCCGAACAATGATTAATTGAAAGCTTAAAAATCAATTACGGAGATAAACAGGCAGGTGGAGATGAGGACTCCAAACGGCTTGAGCACGCGCTGTGGGCTCATTTCGGAGATAATCCCACCTGCTTGGAGTGGACCGCGGTTGGTCCAACTGAAAAATAACAAAACCAACAAAAGACCCAACATTGGGCTACTTGTAGCTCAATAGCCCCATGTGCTGTAGAGTGCAACCAGTAGGTGGTGTGTATGTACTATACATAGCAAAGTGACAGGTGGCGAGCGTTATAGTACGCTCTCACAGATGGCATATCGAGTCCAGGCCCGTTAGGGAAAATTTTGTTGCACAATTGACCCAAAGCTATTGTCGCACCCCATCTCTCGAATCCTCCGACATAAGAAATCCGTCTTTTTGACATCTCCGTCCGTATAGCCTATCTTGTCGAAGCCCTAACCCCTTCTTGGCATAGTGGTGCATACTAACTTATAGCCCAGCCTCCTCCACATCATAACCACTCACTCATACGACTACTCGTACTCCCTTACACATCATGGGTATCAACAATCCTGTTCCTCGGTCGCTACGAAGCGAGTGTCGTAAGGCTGCCAAGATTCTTGCTTCTTTTGTCAAGCCCAACCAGATTTTCGGCCAGGACATGGTCATTCCGCCCCATGTTCTTCAGAACGCCGAGGGTCTTGTCATTCTGACCGTGCTCAAGGCCGGTTTCCTCTTTTCGGGCCGAGCTGGCTCTGGAGTCATCGTTTCTCGACTTCCCGACGGAGGCTGGTCTGCTCCTTCTGCTCTGGTCACAGCTGGTGCCGGAGTTGGAGGCCAGATTGGAGCCGAGCTCACGGACTTCGTCTTCATTCTTAACTCCAGAAAGGCCGTTGACTCCTTCTCGCAGACCGGAAACATCACACTTGGAGGAAACATGTCTCTGGCTGCCGGACCTCTTGGTCGAAATGCCGAGGCCGCCGGTTCTGCTTCCGCCACGAATGTGGCCACCATCTTCGCCTACTCCAAGACTAAGGGTCTGTTCGCTGGAGTGTCGCTGGAGGGCTCCGTGCTGGTGGAGCGACGGGAGGCCAACCGAAAGTTCTACGGCAACAACAATGCCACTGCCAAGAAGATTCTCAGTGGTTACGTCGAGCCCCCGCCAGACTGTGACGCTCTGTTCCGAGTGCTCGAGTCCCGAGCGTTCCGAAACCCCAACGACTTTGCCGACGACGACTCGTACTTCCGACACGACGGCGACTCGTTCTACGATGATATCCCCTCCCAGTTCTCGGACGGATCATCTGTGCGACGAGGAGGAGACAGCGACGACGAGTATGGAGGACGAGGCGGAGGAGCTGCAGCAGGCCGGTTCTCGTCACGAAACAGAGATGACGACCGAAGAGGAGGCTCGCGACGAGACTCGTCGTACTCATTCCGAAGCGGCCGGGACCGAGACGATGATCGTGAAGTGGAAAGCATTACGGACCGGTTTCGCAAGACACACTTCAAGTCGTCGTACTCGGATGACCCCTCTGGCCGAAGAGGCTCGACTCGGGGCAACAACGATGACCGATATGATCGGGACCGAGACTGGAGAGACAAGGGCTCTTCTCGGGGCGACCGGGGCGACCGGGGCGACCGGGGCGACCGGGGAAGCCATTACTCGTCCCGATCTCGAGACCACGAAAACGGCAGCAGTCGATCCAACCGAGACAGAGAATATGATCGGGATGACAGATACGACCGAGATGATCGGGACCGAGACCGGGGAGACCGATACGACCGATACGATCGGGACGAGAAGGTGGACCGATACGAGCGACAAAAGTCGCCTCGAGAAAAGCCGTTCAAGCCGGCTCCTCCCCCTCCTCATGCTCCTGTTGCAGCCGCCGAAGAGAAGGCTGTAGCTCTTTACACTTTTGATGGAGAGCAGCCCGGTGATCTGTCTTTCCGAAAGGGTGACGTCATTGCCGTGGTCAAGCGGGGTGTGTCCAAGGACGATTGGTGGACAGGCCGAAACGGCGCCACCGAGGGCATTTTCCCTGCCAACTACGTTGAATTGATGTAATCAGTCAGTTCTTAGTTCCCATTACCCCCACCGCCCTCTTCTAGTTCTGATGTTGACATTTTCTGCCATCGCTGATACGGTTTTAATCTGTGATATAGTCTGTCTTTTTGTAATGATATGATAATGATATTGACCCAGCACCTGTAGTGGAGTCAATTGATCTCTGGGCCATGACTCAAATCACTCATCTGGAGCGGCTAATCGGTTGACTGCCTAATCTGAAATAACGTTTCCAATACCTCCTCAGGTTTGGTCCCTTGAAAATGGGTGTTTAAGCATAATGATTGTGGTTAACGATTCTCGTGAAGGCATCTTCGAGAAGTAGTGGGTGAATCCAAGCTTTCTCAAATTATTCTTAGCCTTACTGACAGGTCTACTGCTGGCGATCCGGTTTACTTCAATCACCAACTAATTATAGTTAGCTCTTCCACTTGGGACAAAAATACATTTTCAAATCAAAGTTGAGGTTGAAAGATCGGCAGGTCGAGATTGGTGAGCGATTATGAGGTGTGTTCCACTGACGTTCCCAGAGCAAGTTCTGTGGGCCGCCATAAAACTGGCCTTTGTACAGTGCTACGTGTCTTCATCTCTAGGACCTGCAGATTAGCACCATTTTTAGCGTATCTTCTGGGGTGGCGTCGGGGCAGTGTTTGAGTCTTAACTCCGATAATTCCGTGCCGGATACATGATACATGATGCGTTCTTTCTTCAACTTTATGCGAGTGAGTGACGTCATGGAAAGACGGGCATTTCAGCTTAGTAAGCACGTTCGGGGGAAATGCGGAGTAGAAAATGGAAGAAACAAGAAATTGATGAAAACCACTTTTGAGGATGATTCCCAACGATCCCGGAAAAACGGAAAATCTGCAAACTTTTCAAAAAACACCGTTAAAACTTTCCAATGGCTCCAATGGCTTCCCAAATAAAGACAGAGGTAAATCCACCGTATTAGTCACCTTACCCTCGTTCTATCGAGCCCAAACACGGCCCATTTAGCTTAGGATCATGGCCGATTGTGCGGTACAGGGGAAAATATTTTCCATACTCACATCCCTACAACTCTAATGACCCGGCATGACGAACTTGGTAATCGATCCGGATAATAAAGAGGAAAGATCAGGAGAATGAGGACAGTGAAATTAGTGGTATGTGCGGGGTACAAGGGTCATTTGCGGATGCTAGAGGAGCGTGGGGTATTCCGATTGGCTCGATTGACCCGTTTCACGCCCCGATCAAGCACTTGTTCCACATGTTTCTATACTCTGCGTCTGCGGAGACGTCATTTTGCATGTCTGAAGTGGGTTTGGGGTTTGTATGGCTGTCGAGTAAAGAGCGCATGGAGATTTTTGTAAAATTCTAGAAAAAATACTTGTAGTTTCCTCGCTCATCATAGTTATCATCCTGGACTCTCACGTTCCACCCCCCCACGCTCACTACTAGCACTTGCTGTAGTCCCCTCTCTCGTCTATCTACCGCCCTAATGCCGACTGCACTATGCGATGTCCAGATAAGGTAGCAATCCACACTTCTAGGTTTGTGAGGTGGTGTTGAGGTACCGACTTGATTGAGACGACTGAAAGGACCTCCAGCTACATCTAAAATCCCAGAGGACGTGCGAAGAAGGTCTTTAAGCCCCTTTGTCTTCTAGCGACCAAACCCAACCCGTCAAGGCGACATACATCACGTCGACCTCGTCCCATTGCTGAACCTAAACCCACGCACTCCTTGTATAACAGGACGTGGTCAACTCAACTCTCTCTTGTACACATACACCACAACACACACAAAATCAATCATGTCCAACTCCGCCAAAGCCGCTGTCGTGCCCCCCGCCCCCACCGCCGAAGATATCGCCCGAGCCAACGCCGGATCCAAGGAAGAGCCCGTTTTCCAGGCTAAGAACTTTCTGTCCAAGTTCCGACTCGATGGCAAGGTAGCCATTGTGACTGGTGGAGCTCGAGGACTCGGATTCTCCATGGCCGAGGGTCTGTGTTCGGTCGGCCTCAAGGGCATTGCCATTCTGGATGTGCAGCAGGACCTGGGTCTGGATGCCATTGAGAAGCTGCACAAGGCCTACGGAGTGCAGGCCCAGTTCTACAAGGCCGACGTCCGAGACGAGGAGTCCGTCAACGAGATCATCGACCGAGTTGTGCACGATCTCGGGTCCGTCGACGTTGTGGTCAACTCCGCCGGTGTTGCTGACCTTGTTCACGCAGCTGAGTACCCCGCAGACAAGTTCCGACGAGTCATCGACATCAACCTTAACGGATCCTTCTTGGTGACCCAGGCCGCCGCCCGACACATGATCAAGCAGGGCACCGGCGGAACCGTGGTGTTCATCGCCTCCATGTCCGGATCCATTGTCAACTGGCCCCAGCCTCAGAGCGCTTACAACGCCTCCAAGGCTGCCGTCAAGCACCTGTCTAAGTCGCTGGCCGCCGAGTGGGCCGTCCACAACATCCGATGCAACTCCATCTCGCCTGGATACATGGATACCGCTCTTAACCGAGCCTACAACACTCTGTTTGAGGAGTGGAAGGACCGAACCCCCCTCGGCCGACTCGGAGACCCCGACGAGCTCACCGGCGCCTGCATCTACCTGGCTTCCGATGCCTCTTCGTACGTGACCGGATCCGACATTATCATTGATGGTGGTTACACTATTATTTAAGCAACCACATGCGTAGCTTGTGGTTGTAGACTCGTTGAAGCTGACGCGATCCGACGCGATTGTCTCAGAGGAATGGGTAAAAGACGAATAAATTAAATCTATTGTATTTTACTGAACGCGACATGTACCGTATATGCTAAGTAGTAGCTGCTGTGTAATGGAACCGTACGCTAAAGTATCGATGCGCCAAGCTGGTACACGTGCACCGGTTGCGATCTGAGTGTGTGTTGTTTCCGTGGTAACGGGTGTGAAAAGGGAGCGTGGTTGGAAATGGGAATGGGGTTTGATAATTTGTTTGTGACTGTTGTGTGGATTTGTATCGAGTGTTTATGATCGATGACGTTGGTAAGGGGTATCGAGAGGAGCCAGAATTGGACGTGGCAAACTATTTGACAAACGGACGCATGGGAACGGAACAGAGTGTTGAGTGTCGAGTACAATAATTGAGATGTAGAGCTGAAAGTGTTTCAGCTTATCAGCATCTGTTGTCGTGGTAGTTTCCTGATTACAATGTATGTACGGTAGGTGATCCCCAGTCGTGCTACAGCGTCACGATCGATGGGGCGCAACACCACACACTAGATCCTAAAGCTCGTGAGCATGGATGTAGTTTCTGGAGTTGGAATTTCGCAATCCCTTTTGCCCAAACAGATCTCAACTACAGTCGCAGCTAGTGAGTGTGTGCTATTGGCCTGCTGAGTGGCGTAAGGAGACGTCATGAAAAGTCCTCATATTGAAGCAGTTTAGGGGTGATCAGGGCAGTCGAGAAGATAAATGTGACAAGCTTGGATGTATCAACTTCATGATTAACTGTTGGGGACAGCCACTCGAATGTGGAAGTTGCTAATGGACTCACTCGACTCAGGCAGATGACATTATGATAGAAAGTGGGGTAGTTTCAGTTGGATGCACTACCAAGAGAGCATTATGTTCTATAAGTGGTGCTTGCGAAACATTCCGTAAACTCCACGGAAGTTCTCAGACTTTCAATGAGTCTATATCTCAACTTCTCCGGTCCCGATATCTTGTTTTTGTATTGAGGTACAGGTATCGCACAAAGGCGGTTCCTCGGCAATACGGGGAACGTCATTGACGCAACCATGGGTCCCATGCAATGCATTAGCAGCAATAACGCGCCGGTGGGTGTCGGTTTATGAGCACAGGGCGGTTCACGTTTACTGCATGATGATCTATGGGGTGACGGTGAATCTGTATCTGCTCTGAACGAACGTCGGTGATAGTCTCAGCCGCCCTGTACTACAACCAGTGCTGTGAACTTCCAATTATCTATAGAAAATGCAGATTGTTCATTTCGCATAAGAACGAATACTTGTACTTGTCTGACTCATTATGTAAAAAACAAAGGATCCTTCCTTTCTGGGATGTCCCCAAGGGAGGAGGGGGGGTGGCTGGTGACCCTGGTGAGGGGCTGGCATTGCCACAGGGGACCTGGATCATCTCTGGAACGTTTATTCGACTTTCAGAGCAGCTCCAAATCGTAGCACAGGACCTTTCTCCTTCTATTTTATTCGGGATTTTGTCCCGTGCCCCTGCATAGTTGAATAGACGGCACTACTTTCAGCACTTGATAATTAGAGTCAAGCTGACGGCGGGGAGACTTTTGAGAATGTTACTGTAAGTTGATGCGGAGACGACAGGTGAGAGTTATTCTTCATTTTGAGAGTGTACTTCAACTCGTTGATGGTTCGTTGCTTGCATTTCATGGGCAGAAACCATAGACATTCCAGTAAGATAGATTGACAGCTCACCTAAAGGCAACACTCAAGTTGTAGTCTCTTGTTGGTTCAAAAGCGAGCTTTAGATCCTGGGCATCAGCAGCCAGTGTTCGTTCTTTTTTTTGGGGGGGTCACAATATCACACTCTGTACTTGTCATGCACGAACGGAAATGCTGGTGACTCGGATCATCGGAAAGGTCAGCGTGAATCCCCAGCGAAGGTAAAGAAGTTGAATTAAAGGGAGACAAAGAAATACCACAATTTAGTATCATAGCATCTAACTATGCCTAACATATACCACGTGACTCTTATACTTGGTTTGTAGCTCTCCTGATTCTCTCACCATATATATTGCTGATCAGTTAATCCGAAAGACTATCCGTGTTTTTCCGAATGATCCGATTTTCCGAAGAGTGGACGTTTTTGGTCTCCGTAACGGCCCGAACATACACCAGGCATGCCTCTCAGTCTTTGTGTATAATTTTGTTCCACTGTTTCCCTTCCTTTTCCCTTCTTTTACATCGGCTCGGGCCACGGCGCAGATTCCATGCAAAATAAGAAGCCGAACTTAGAAGACACCAAGATGATATCTAGGAGATGGAAGGTGGACGTGGAGAAGAAGCAGGGACAAGACCAATACCCCGCCGCATCCTGTATTTTATTTTCTCTCCCCCTGCACGCCTCATCTCATCTACATGAGAAGACTGTATGATAGCGCGGTAGGTCTCGCTAAGAGTGCATGTTTTTTGCGTAGAGTTTTTTACACCTTATGATGTTAGAGTTAGGGCCTTGTTGTGCACCTACAAAGCGGCAAAGCGGCATACCACGGTGGGTTTGGTGGAATACCGTTTTACAGGTGTTGAGGACCTTTTGGCGGGGTTAAGCTGTGCAGAGAGGAGCCCCGTACCGCACTCCTCCATTGCAATACATGCAGGTATATTTTTTTGTGCCACGACTGAACACGACCTTGTCTCATAGAAAGCGGCTACTGACGCTATTTAATGCGCTAGTGTCAACCACTAGTGCCAAGGCTCGTTTACATACTGAACTCGTACTATACCAGTCGAACTCATCGCGCCATATCCCCGACCCCTCAAATGCAAGTTAAAGTCTTTTGCTGGTTGGAAAAAGTGCTCGTTTCACCTGCACAGCTTCCCCTCCGTCTCCCCTTCCTCCCATGGGACCATTTTCCTCTTGGCATCGGAAAAACAGCCGTGTGTTTGCTCGTCCAACCTTGTATGCGAGCTTGTGGAGAGAGCGAAAGTGAGGGTGGATAATAAACGTCTTGATCGTCGTTTGTAAGGATGATACGAGTGCCAGACAAACGGACAACCACCTGTACACCTGCCACACCGCAGACCTTTGCCTCTCCCTCCTCTCCTCGAGGACCCACCTGGGCCCACAAGCTGTACCTCCACATGCATGCATTGCTATCAACAACTTGCTACCGAGACCGGAACGTTGGTGACGTACAAAAAAAAACACCAAAATCAAACAAACAGAGTTGCCACCGCATGTTACGCAACACAAGCATGGCATGGGGAACGGCAGCCGGAGGTTGGAAACGTCGACGAGAACCGTGGCCTAACAGGAATGACAACGGTGTAGCTGCCTATTCCGGCTACTGCAGTAGTAGTCCCGCAGGTCCTTGTCTTTGCACAGGCACGTATCATAGCTCAGAAGACGGTCTTCGCAACCGCCCTCTCATCCATCGTAGCATCTTCCCCGCTGTCAGCCTCGTCAATGCCGGAAAATCACCCCCTGTCTGACTGCACCGCGCCTTTTGCACTCGAATGCACTCCCGGACAATTCCCTCAGCACTGTCTCACTTGAGTAACGTCGGCAAACGCAATCCTTAACAAGGTGCAATGTAACCGAGGAAGTTGGGAATAATAGTTGAGAATGTATCCGACTACGAGTGGAAGATCGTGTGCCGGTGAATGCCTTCTCGAAAACAACACAAGATCAAGCTATCAGACGACCACCACTGTATTTTTCTCCTGTCCTCGAAACCCGTTTCCCCACCTCATCGACAACACATTGCTAAATCATAAATAGCCGTATAACATTCAAGCCTCTCTTTATATATACCGTCTGCAAAGTCTACTTTTTTTTCTCGTCACCCTCATCGGCCATCTCTCCCTCTTTTCTCTCTCTTCATCTCTTCCCCACACTCTTCATCCAGATGCTCAACCAGCCGAAAAAACCCCTGTGGCCGAAAGTCAGACACTTCTTGCGAGAACCGTTTGCCGAGTTCTGGGGCTGCGTCATTCTCATCGTTCTGGGAGACGGTTCTGTTGCCCAGGTCACTCTCTCCAACGGCGAGAAGGGAGACTACCAGTCCATTTCGTGGGGCTGGGGTCTGGGAGTAATGTTTGGCGTCTACGTCAGCGGAGGTATCTCTGGAGGCCATCTCAACCCCGCCGTCACGCTTGCTTCTTGCGTCTACAGAGGCTTCCCATGGAGAAAATTCCCCGGATACATGCTGGCCCAGACCCTAGGATGTATGGTAGGTGCTGCCATCATCTACGGAAACTACCGATCTGCAATCGATACGTTTGAGGGCTGCAAGGGCTGTCGAACTGTGTCTGGTCCCAAATCCACAGCCGGAGTATTCTGTACCTACCCTGCTCCCTTCATGACTCGAACTGGCCAGTTCTTTTCCGAAATTGTAGCCTCGGCTGTTCTGCAGTTTATCATTTTCGCTATTAACGACACCAAAAACATACCCGCTGGTCCTCTGGCTCCCCTGGTACTCTTCTTCCTCATTTTCGCTATTGGAGCCTGTCTTGGATGGGAGACTGGATATGCCATTAACTTTGCACGAGACTTTGGTCCCCGACTTGTGACTGCCATGATCGGATACGGCAGCGAAGTCTGGAGCGCTGGAGGTTACTACTTTTGGGTCCCCATCGTTGCCCCCTTCATTGGGTGTCTGCTGGGCGGCTTTCTCTACGACTTTTTCATGTACACCGGGGACGAATCGCCCATCAACTGGCCCTGGATGGGATTCGACCGATTTCTCAACCCCCACAAGCGAATCGAACATGATATGGGAACTGTTCAGCAGAACGTGGAGGCTCCCATGCTTGTGGAAGCCCACCCCAACATGGGCTCAGTGCAGGAGAACCCTCTGTCGACGGGAACCGACGAACCCAAGGTCGATATGGACCCTGGCTTCTCGTCAGATAGCCAGACTGTGCATCTGGGCAGAAATATGCGAGCCGCTGACCATGAACATGTCGAGCAGGCTCACACGCCTGAGTCGGCCACTCCTCCCCAGCCTACAGGCGCCGCCCAGTTTCTGGAGTTCGAAAACCTCGACGACTCGGACAGTAGTTAGGGATATTTATTAGCATGCACATCAGCATGATTTACGACATATTTAATTGCATACAGACTTTTCATTGCTGCGAGTGTGACAGGCCTGAGAGTATCAGTTGGAGAGCGCACCCGCACCCCACGAACCAATCGCCAAGCACGTTATATAACAGAGACCCCGGTATTCCATAGCCGAAGATACTGTACGACATCAGCCTACGCCTTTACTATGTGGTTTGGTGACCTCATAGGTTTGGTGACCTCATAGATACTGTAGCTCGACAGCGGCTTAACAGTGCGGAAACCTGTCTGAACTATCTTACTCTTGTTGCAATAGACAAGTTACAAGCAGGAGTTGTATATTCTCTCTGATAAGGGCTTGTTCATCAAAACAGTATATATTGACAGACTTTCGAAACTTCTCTTATTTCACAGGCCTCAGTATCAGGTAGAGTATGTACTGGTACTTGTAGATTGTTCTGCCATTGCCGCACATGGTGGATATATTAGCTCAGACATGAAGATACGAGTTGAGTAATTTAATGAATAATATATCCGAGGTGTGAACAATGATGTCATGGTTGTCTCTAACCATCCAAGTACATACGGCACAGGCATAAAACAATATAAGCCTGTGGATTGTTAGGCAGCCTGTTATGGCTGTGAACGACTGCTATGGCGGCGCTGTACATGTATATGCGGTATGTACAGCAGAGTCAAGTACAAGTACCGATAAAAATATTGGTATTTCCATGTTGATGAAGTCCATGTTGATGATGACCTGGAATCGAAAGACTTTTTTAGACACCTTGTGCCCAAAGACCGACATGCTGTGGTATTACATCCTGTCGTAAGCTGGAATCTTTCGTAACTTAATTATTTGTACTGTAATTACCAGGAGAACACCCTAATTATTGTCATACATGCTATATAGTGTGACAGTAGGCAACTCCCATGACGCTACACTAGCAGAGGCGCTGAGCGTAGTAATGAAATGCCTTTCGTGTAAACCAAGCTTTCATCTTCAAAGACTCGTGCACTCCTGATAGAGATAATCGATTTGTTCGCGCTTGGCAGCTTCGCACATCCATTTGCTCCGCTTGCATCTCTTACAGAAACTGCAACCAGAAGTAAATGTAGTAGTGCAGCTTGGAATGCGACTTGAGGTCAATCTTGTAGAAGTCGTACGAATCAGGGTGGTTCCAGTCCAGAGGCTGGAAGGTAGGATCCGACTCGATCATTCGCACGTACTTGTCGTTCAGATCAGCTGGCAGAAACTCCGACTGGTTGGGAAACTCGGGGACCTTGTGGTACAGGTACCAGGCGACAGCCACGTATCCACAGGGCTCCAAAAGGAAGACAGGGGTGGGCCACACACCGAGGGCCAGAATGAAACTCCAGAAGAACTCGTAGCCCCAGGTGATCACAAAGGCGGCCCACTGGGTGTAGATGAACACTCGCAAGTACTCAGTCTGGGGGAACCAGCCGGAGATGAAGTACACCTGGGACCACTTGATTTCGTTCAGCAGAAGCGAAATAAAGAGACGGAAGAAGAGAATGATGACCCAGTGGTAGGCAAACACCTTTTCGAGCCAGTTGAGACCGCAGGCAAGACACAGAATGATAGCCACAAACTTTTGGGGAGGCACTCCCATGGCATTGAGCTTAGCAGAGGAGATTTTGGGGGTGGTCCAGAAGGGTGCGATGGAGGTAGCAATCAGCAAGAGCAGGAAGAAGAAGCCCGAAATGGTCACGTTTCCGTCCTCCATGTCTTCGTCGGGGAGTCGACCGTCGTGCAGTCGGAAAAGAACCATGGAGTGGGACAGAGAAAAGTCCTTGATCCAACACATGGCCAAATTGATACCAATGGCCGGAAGAAGTGCCTTTCGAAGACGGTCATAGATAAGAGCAGCTTCGTATCGGTTGACTCCTCCATATCCTGCTGACGTGTCTTCATTCTGAATATCGTCAACAGCCGCCTGAATTGACGATTGAAGGCCTCCCAGAGCGGAATCATTGTTGTTGTTGCTGCTGGAGGTAGTGTTGGTAGTGGTGTCGTTAGTGTCTGTGTATGCGCTGGTGTTTGTGTCCTTGCCGGCTCCTCGTCCCTCGACCACCAGCTCGTCGCTGCTTCGGGGAGACTCGTCCTCAATGGCAATCTGGTTGTCTTTTGCCATCTTGTGTCGTGTCCAAATGTGTCGTGTACGTGGTTGAAAGTACAAAGTGCAACCAAGCTAAGCTCGTGTGTTGGCGATACGAGTGGTGAACGTGCCGGAAGTTTATTAGGTGGCGCTGCGGTGTGAACAGGAATACAAGAGGTAACAAGACAGAGATGCAGGGTAAACAAGACCTATATATACCTGTGCGAGTGACACAAAAACGACTAATTCTAGCCAGTTACACAAAAACCTCGCTCAACACTCTGTAGCTCACACGTCCAAGCAACTCTTCTTCTCCATATCATCTCCCTTGCAGTTCGCTAGTGGCGACGGTGCATGTGATGCAGGACAAGTGCTCACGTGACGATTGGAAGGTGGTTGGATATATATCTCACACGAGGAAAATACATTGCACCAGTCACGTGAACTCCGAGTTCGTATTTATTGTAGTCCTCGTACGCATTCAAACTCGTCGTTTTACTCGAGAATCTACATGTGCTCATTGTACCCGTTCCGTTTCGGCGGCGGTTGCGATCAACCCCAACCCTAATGTTCCTATTTGGCAGTAATAGCCGTGATATCTCGATTGAGTAACCCTAGCCCTATCTACTCAATGTTTGGCAGACTCTATTCCCTGAGCTCTAAATAAGACAACTAGTCAAATCTTATATTTCAAAACGAGTAATTTCCTAACCCTTAGAGTTCCAATGTTACTATAGGAGAACTCATGAGACGAAATTTCGGACGTTTTTGTCAATATTCTGTTAATATTCAACCACTCAGCGACGTGTAAGATTATACATAATGTAGATATCCATAGATCGCTACTTTTTCTGATCATTTTGCGTCGCTTTTAGGCATTTAACCGCAAGCAAACATCAGCAGACCCCCTGCTATTGATCTTGCATCTTTCTGCGGAGTAGATTGAAAGATTTTTTAGATAATCACATGAATCTAATGTGTTGATGGGTTGAATGTGTTTTTACCAGAAGGAGGATTTGATGTGTTATTTGGACGGTGTCATGAGGGACTATTGTTGATTGTGGATGAAGTTTGGTTCGGTGAAGAAATTGATGGAGGAAAACCCCCCGTAGAAGTGGAGTGACATAGTCAGTCTGCCATCTCTTTCCCCTTTGCTCTGAACGTTTCCCCTCTTGGTTTAGCAGTGTTGCGAGAGTGTGCGGCACAAACTGCTGTGTTTTAGTAGCAGGCTTAGTCCTTATCGGATCGTCCTACTGTATCTACTTGTAGCTACATCCATCCACCGGTATTTATATATTCAGCGGTTTCTATCGGTTGGAAACATTTTCCGAATGTGTCAAATAAAACGTGACTTCTGACCTCTCTAAATGCTCTTAGTCAGTTACTTTCTGTCCTTCAGATTGGATCATATCTGATGCGGTTGCATGGTGAGTCTTGGCAACCTTACTGGGTGGTCTTATATAGACCCAACGGTAAGACATGACATTGCACGATACTAGTACAGATATCCAACAATATGAAGTACACTGCTCTCGCTCTGGCTGCCACGGCCGCGGCTCTCCCGCTCAACCTGCAGCAGCTCACTCTTTCCCCCACCAACATGATCGACCAGGTGGTGGGTCTTCTCCCCAACTCCATCAAGCAGTCTGTGTCCGGCAAGAAGATCGGTGACACCTTTGACCAGTCCGGTATGCCCCCCAAGGAGGAGGCTGCACGAGTAGCCCGAACTCTGGTTCACCGGGAGTCTCTCACCACTCTTGTGACCGTCAACAAGGACAATGTTCCTGAAGGTTACGTTGAGTACTACGCCGATTGCGGCAAGGACGGAAACCCTGTGATGCTCAATGTCCATATTGGAACCGGATTCCGAAACATTGCCGCTGGCTCCGAGGCCACTCTTTCGGTCCGAGTCGGTGACCACCCCGTCACTGAGAACACCAACCCCTGGTACCCTGGAGGAATCGTCAAGTCCACCGCTGGCTCTCCTCGAGTCTCCCTTCGAGGCAAGTTCGAGGATATCGACAAAGACGAGATTGAGGCCGTCGAGTCGTGCTTCCTGAAGCGACACCCCGACGCCAAGTGGTGGTTGCCCGGTAACAACGTCCACTCCACCCACTGGGTCAAGTTCAACGTCGACTCTTTGCACATGGTTGGTGGTTTTGGCGACCGAGCCTTCATTGGTGAGATCCCCGGTGACGTTTACCGAGAGGCCAAGCTGCTTGGCCACGGAGAGGGAGTCACCCTCTCTGAGGAGGAGCTCTTTGCTGCCCACCACGGCGGTATGTCCAAGGAGGAGTTTGTCAAGGTGCACGGTGATGTTAAGCACCACGACATGAAGGGCAAGCACCATAAGGGAGAGCACAAGGGCAAGCACCATAAGGGACAGCACAAGGGCAAGCACCACGGTGACATGAAGCTCACCCAGGAGCAGCTTGTCAAGGTCCATGCCGCTCTGTCTGACGACCCCGAGGCTTTCATCAAGGCCCACTCTGGTGATGTGTCTATCTCCGACGAGAAGGTCCACAAGGTTGACGCCAACCATGGCAAGGATCTGACTGAGGAGCAGCTCATGAAGATTCATGCTGCTCTGTCTGACGACCCTGAGGCCTTCAAGGTCCACCATAACCTTCTGTAGGTGGTGACTCAAGGATTGAATAACTAACGACTCCAACAGTCTGTAATGAATGATGATAACTCTTATGTGTGACAAGTCAGAGCAAAACAATGACTTGGAACTGTGGAACCAGTACAAGTAGTGTATATCGTCGTGTATACTTCTAATTCATGATGTAAGAATGCGTAATGACTATAACACGTACGAGTAAGAGCTACAGATTCCTACATTTCTACAAGCACTTGTAGTGCCAGTACACGATGACCCTGTACAAGTAAACTGACATCTGAGATTACTTTTTGTAAGGTCGTACTTGTATATATAAATGTTCTTATAAAACTACGACCAATTACCAATTAACGGAAATAATTGTACATACTTGTACATACAGTACATACCATGGCGGTGAGAGGTATGGCGGAGAGTGGCTCTGTTGCTGCAGTATCCAACGGTATAGAGGTTCTCGTTTTACTGAACAGTTATACGAAAGCAAAAGGCACACATGGTTGGCTCCAGGTGCTCATTTTTTCTTCTCGTATGATGGCAGACCGACTTGGCTGAGGGAGATTTTGAGAGAACAAACGCCACGGTTTACACGCCCGTGATCCACCACACAATATGAAGCTCGACATGGTCTCTACCTGTTTTCGAGTGTGTGGGTGTGTTGAACTCGGAGAGTGTACGACACAAGCGATTATCATTTTGTCGAGTGCACTTAACAGGAATTTATACCCAAGTCCTCTGCTAGTTACCACCTGTTATCCCTACTGTCTTCTATGTCGCTGGTGAAGGTCTAAACGACATTTCTATCACGAGTTTTTTTTTTGTTGTTTTTTTGTTGTTGTTTTTCCACCTCTCAACTAATCTGCATTGATGATGCTTGATATCTCAACTAATGTCAACTAATTGAATCAAGTTAAATATGGATGCTCTATAGTGACAGCTGAACTACAGATGATAACAGAATCGGGGATCAAACACCAAAAAAAAAAAAGAGCGACCAATTTTTTTCTCGGTGCTTGTTTTTCAATGTCACTATACTACGAGTACATACTGTAGCTACAGAATAGTATACGAAGGTTCTTTTTTTTCTCATCGCGACGTCCGCCAAAGCATTTGTAACTAAGTCCGTCATGTCCGTCAGCGCTGCGGAATTAATGATAACAACATCATATTAGGCTTTAGGTAGATGGAATCGGTAGATATCACAATGATCATATGCTTTCCCTTTTCTCCGCTAGCAAAATACCATTTTTCTACAATTTTCATCCTCCGTCAAGTCCGTCTGCTTCTATCCAACTTCTAGAAGGTGGCGTTATGCATAATCTCGCTGCTCTTGTATATAAGCCGTGCGACACCCCCACAAATGATGATACACAAACACTACCATCATGCCTTCTCTCTCTGAAATCAAGCAATTCAACTCCACTCACACACCTTCTGTCAACAAGGCTGTGGGTGTCTTTTTCGGCGGAACTTCGGGAATTGGAAAAGAAACAGCCTACATGTTTGCGCAGAAGTTCGACAGACCCACTGTATTCATTGTGGGCCGAAGTGAAGAGGCTGGAAGCCAGATTGTGGCAGATCTGAACCGTCTCAATGCAAGGGCCACGTTCATAAAGTCCGATCTGTCCCAAATGAAGGAGGTGCTCCGAGTCTCGGAGATTGTTAAAAACGACACGTCCAAGATCAACCTGTTGTTTCTGTCCCAGGGTATTCTGAGCACCGCTGGACGAACAGAAACGGCCGAGGGAATTGACTTGAGAATGGCTCTTAACTACTACGGGCGGTGGCTGGCAGTCAAGGAGCTGGCACCTCTAGTTCAGAAGGCATACAACGACGGAGACAAGGACAATGCCCGAGTGGTGTCTGTACTAGCCCCTGGAAACGAGGGCCCCTACCAGGAAAATGATATCAGCTACGAAACAAGTTCTCTCTGGCCAATCAGAACAGGCACATCACGCAATTCACTTCTGCGGCAGTGTTGCGATTCTCCAGAATTTACCCTGATCTGTCCTTCATCCATGCCAATCCAGGCTATGTTGCTACCGGAATCACCCGAGAACTGCCCTGGTACGTGAGGTTCCCCTCTACTGTTCTTCTCAAGACTCCTTGGGCAATCACAGCTCAGGACTCGGGTCAGAAGTTCTTCTACATGGGAGCAGCCAGTCCTACATTTTCCCATGGCGCATTTCTGCTGAACTCCTCTGCAGATTCGGTCATGGAGAAGTCGGTTGCAAAGGGTACATTGACTGAAGAACACCAGGACAAAATTTGGACCCATTCCGAGGACGAGTTCAAGCTGGCCTTGCAGTGAACATAGAAGTTGGGACGGACTACAAGTAGGGTATCGTGGGGTTTTTGCACGTATAAGATGTTTACTAGTACGAGAATGTACATTACAATACAATGTACTTGTACCAATAGTGTGACACTCATAATAGCAAAATTACAGCCACACTCGATAATATACAGACATCATTCATTGCATGTGGTAACACACTCTCATCGCATTGCGTTTTTTTCAAGTGTCTACTTCTGTCGCTTGTAAATCTTGGCGAGGAAAGCGTTGAGCACCTCCTTCTTGAAGCCTCGGCTCTCGTCAACCTGCTCGATCTTCTTCTTGATGTCGCCAACAACCTCCTCCTCGTAGTCAAGGTAGTCCTGCTCAATCTTCATGTCATCATACAGTTTCTTGATGACGAGCTCCTTGGACTTGTCCTTGACGCCGTAGTTGTCCTCGAGGATCTGTCGCTGCTCGGGGGTGGCCTTCTGAAGGGCTTTGTTAACGAGCCAGGAGCACTTGTTGTCCTGGATGTCGGTGCCGATCTTACCAATGAACTCGGGGTCTCCAAAGTTGTCAAGGTAGTCGTCCTGGACCTGGAAGTACTCTCCGAGAGGGATCAGCACATCCATGGCCTGCTGCAGGTCCTTGGGGTTGGTAATGCCGGCCACGTACATGGCTAGAACAACGGGCAGGTAGAAGGAGTAGTAAGCAGTCTTGTATCGCACAATAAAGGAGTGCTTGTCCAGAGAGAACCGGTTGAGATCAACCTCATCCTCGGGGGCAGTCAGAAGATCCACCAGCTGGCCCAGCTCGGTCTTGAACGAAATGTCGTGGAACAGCTCGACAAGGTCAATGTAGTACTTCTCCTGTCGGAAATGCTTCTTAAGCAGAATGTAGATGCCACTCTCTAGCATGAAAGCATCGTTGATGGCAATCATGCCGACCTTGGGCTTGAGGTACCAGCAGGGCTGGCCTCGTCGGGTCTTGGACTCATCCATAATGTCGTCCGACACGAGGAAAAACGCCTGCAGCAGCTCAATCAGCCAGCCGAGCAGCGCGAGTCGGTAGTACTCCTCGTCATCGAGCTCCTTCTTGCCGGTCAGTAGCTGGTAGGTGTCGACCACAGACAGGCCTCGGTTGAGCTTTCCACCCACACAGTTGTACTGAAGTGAGTCGGAAAACCACTGCACGGCATCCTGGGGCAGACCCTCGTCTCGCAGCAGCTGCACCAGCTCCTCGGAGATTCGGGGGAACACGCTTTCGAATTTCGCCTTGGACATTGTTGTTTGTGTACTTGTACTCGTGGATGGAAGGAGGATGTGATGTGACGATCTGATCTGACGTGGTTGCGTAAGGAGGGTTAATTGAATTAAGGTTGCGAGTAGAGCGAGCAGAGCGACTGGCCGTAGGTCAGAACCCGACAGCCCCGCGTGTTCGCCAGGGTCACGTGATTTATTGAGAAGACACGTGCCATCGAGATGGTAGCGCCACTGATATGGTCCAGAGCCAGGTTCTTGTTATTTGTGTGGTTGTACTGTGTGTGTGTCGTAACCCCTGAATCTGTCTCTTTCCTGTGTCTGATACGAGACATGTGAGTGTACGATACAGTATGTACGATGTGTGTAGGTTTTTGGGGGTCAAACGTCTCATATATATAGCTAGGAAAAGAGTGTTTGGAGCGCTACAATAAAGACGTGTTTCTTACCCTCCGTAATGGGCGGATCCTGTCACTCAGCTACGGCATTTGGTTGTATTTCAACGAAGCAGTTGGGTTAGGGTTAATGGATTGTAGGGAGCGGAAGAGGGGATAAATGGGGATCATATCATTCAAATGAGACGTTAGACATTTTAGTAATCACAATAGAGCTTTTGAGGAGTATTATGTGTTCGCAACAGCTCAATCTTGCCATTTCAGTGTTTTGATTGATTTCTCAAAGTTGACCAATCAAAACCCTCAATTAACATGACTCAAAAGAGTCACGCATTTTTCATCTAGAGAAATACAGTTTGGACAATGGCACTTTTCACAATGAGGTATATCACGTGATGGGGAGTGTTAGAGAGGTGGGGCCATTTTTAACAGATTTCAAATGGCTCGTTCAGTATATTTTGTGACTTTGGTCTTTCTCAGACTTGTATTGGTGCTGTTCGATGATACGTGTAGATGTTCCACCAGAAGTGAGTCGTTCAGGAGTGATGTACTTATACTATGTATGTACTGTAGTTACAGTAGAGAGATAATGGACAGTGTTAGTGAGGTTTTGATATACTCCCCAAGCAGTTTATTTCGAGTGGAAATATTGTCACATCTTGGTGCTCCAATAACACTTTCTGTGGCTAAGGCAATGACTATCATTACACTGGACGTACAGTACATGGTCCGCAATAACTGATCTGCTTGGATATCCAGGTTTGAATGAGGACTTCATATTCTATTACATGTATGATTCAATTTTTCTCACTCTTGGCCCAAAGTACCTACAATTACTTACTGAAGAACTATTTGAGCAATTGATAGACGATTCCTAGTACGGGTTGTCTACAGTATTTCAATATGCTCTCAAAAAGATCTATATCTCTTTTGTGGTGACCATACTTATTGTAAGATTTATTTACAACACACCTGTTTGATTATCCTACCCGTACAATCCGTATCAAAGGCATCTGCTCTATCATTGAACTCCCCGTTTTTTATTCTGTATACCCAAGAGGTTGGGTGTCTTAAGAGATTAACACATTCTCTGTAGACTGTAGGAAGCCATGAGATTTTTTTGATCTCTTGTACAAGTCTCCAAGTTCCCTTTTATTGGCACAACAGAACATTTCAGTGATTTCCAGAAACGGAGTTGGACACACCAGACACTCCTGCTGTTGCCATGGAAGAGCTAGTTGCTCCATTTGCCCACATAAACACTCGGGAGCCTTGTAAGGGGCTTTCGATTAGTCTCTAGTGTTTTCCTCTTGGGGAAGAGCCAGTCTGGATCATCATTCCAGGTCCCATTTGTATGTGTTACTGTAGTCATTCTAGTTTCCAATTCAGCAATATCTAGTTGATCAGAAAAGAAACCCGGAGTTTAGAGGCGTTTGGTACGACAAACCTCACCCTGGAGTCCAGAGAGATGCTCCATATTGGGTATATCAGGGTCTAAACCAGCCTAGGAGCTGATATATCCCTCTGGGATGTGATAACAAGAGCTTCTGGCAGTCAGTTTCCATACGACCTTCGAGTCAACTTCGAATATCGTTTCCACATTGAAGATACCAAGTGAGAAGAAAGCCTGCATCGTTGGCTAGTTGAATTGCAAGATCTAGTTGCGGAGAAGAAGTCGCAGATATCAGCTGAAGTCTTTCTTCTCTTCTTCTGTAGATCGCCCTCTCGTGTTCTAGAGAGTTAAATATCTTCAATAATTGCCTGGTGATTATACTGCCGGCAAACTTGTTTCTCTTGGTGGAATCGGGGTAATGTTTATCCAGCCCATGTCTCAAGTTGTAGGTATTACGGCCAAAGTGGACCTTTGTGCTAAAGAAGTACATACTTATAAAGACCATACACTTCTCGGATCTGGATTTCCGCGATATGTGGATTGTTCGAAGGAGGACATTCAATCAATCAAGTCTTACGACAAGTATCTAAAGCAAATATGGGAAGAAAATAGAAATTCTTTTCTCACATAAGTCTCATTTACAGGAGATAGTAAAGCAACTTCTGTTTGTGGTCTGGATTCCAGTCGGAGATGACCCCGAGCCGTTCATAGAAGTAATTACAACCTACAGGTCAAGTTTTTGGCGTCTTATACCTGTTCCTGTGTACCAGGTGATTCTTACTATTTCAAATTGACAACTACTTTCTGGGAGCCTTGAAAAGTATACCAAGGGGAGTATTTCTTGCAGTTGATGAGGTCACGTTCCTGTCATTACTACTGTAGCACCTTTTTCGATGTCATTGAAAAAGAAAGATCGACTGTTTGGGAAGAATTGCTCTTCTCTCGAGCTCAAATTCGGATACTTAGTCTCCTAAAATGGATAGTAGATCCCTTCAACACGCTTCTGTTAACTCTTGCACCACACTTCCAGACCCTGTAACCTCTAATGGCAATTCTAAAGAAACCACAAAGTTAGGAAAATTGTTTCCAAGGAGTTATGAATGTAAGAAATTTACTTATGTTGGTTCTTTTACTACATCTCTGCTCTGCTCTACTGTAGAGCTTTGGAGGGAGGACTGAGAACAACTACAATCAGTTTGCTTTACAGTGGCCTGGAAAGATGCAGGTTGGCGTCTTGTATTGTAAAATGTTTTTCTTTACAGTACTGGGTACTTAGGCGACCAGAGTAGACTGTATATGAAGGGAGGATTTCCTTGCCTTCTGAGGAACTTGCAGCCTGAGCGAGAGCGAGTTGTTACAAGGTCTACAAATGGTATCCTTTAGCTTGTATTGTGATGATGTATCAGCCGTATGGTAGTTTTTAATCTTGCCCTATTGTTTCATCAAAGCGATGCCAGATGAGTGCTTCGATTTCAGTTAAACATCTTCATCTGATACCCCACACTTTTCCTCAAGAGATATCTATCATATAATACAATTAATCAGAAATAACATGATAAATCAGAAATAATACGAAGTCCAAGTCTGAAACGCTCTTACTGTGTTGCTAGTAGCAACAGTAGTGGAAGTGTTCCCCACCTAGATGGACACTTTTCGACTCATATCATGATAATGTCTATAGTACAAGTACAACAACGCTGTATATAATTGTACACACAAGTCTCTGTACAGGTATCTAACTGGAATGACAACATCTTCTGTGAACAAGTTTGAGCGACCCAACAGTAAATCTCTTCTCCCGGAAGTGTTCTGCAAGTGTAATTGAACGATGTGTCTACTGGCTCCGCCAATACACTTTGTATTCCAGGTACTTCAATCTCTACAATCCTTCCAATGAATTCTGTATGTGCTCAGCTTGTGAGCGTTGAGCTCTAGTGGCTGTGCAAGCTGCCTTTGTATACTCGCACAACGTATTGAGAGGCCCTCCGCAAAACTACCGTACCGTACTCGGATACGAGTGAATCAGAAAATATCTCACCACCTACACATCAATTGCTGTCATTCTATAATACATCCTAAACCACCTGATTCTAGAAAACCCACCATCCGGTCTTCCCGGTGGTTCTTGGCACCTCATGTACAGATAGAATTACGAGTGTTTGTTCTTCAAAAATATGCACATATCCAATGCCTCAATTAAGTGACACGGAATCATCTGATGTTTAAGAACAGCTAAATATTTTCCAAGTACAAGTACAATTACAGTCTGTGGAAAAAATATCGTGGATATGAGATGTAGATGTCATGCAGGTGTACACCAACCGCAGTGGTTCCTGCTTGCGCCCAAAGATGGCAATCAAAAATATTATATTCTGTTCCAGATTGACGCACACTCTCTGTTCCCCCAACCACACGGCCTTTGTTCGATCCGCATGACCCGATGTACGTAACCGCCTGCCGCTCTTCCTTGCCACCTCACATCGCACTACAGCACATTGCACCACCTCTACGTCTTCGAGGCAACCATCCCCAACAGCACTCTACTTGTAGTTAGGTACAGTACCTAAACTTTTTCCTGTATTGATGCATTTCACTCCACAAGCACTTTCAGGTCATATCGTAGAGAGAAGGAGGATGACTTCTCAAAGAGGCCCTCGTATCATTTCTGATAGTTCATCACATATTAAGATCTCGTCGATCTCCAATTATCTCCAGCATCGTGTAGAAAGGCTTTTGCCCAGAAAATCTCCGGTTCATGTCCCACAAATGTACGGAAGAAAACTTACCATTGTCGCTTTGTATATCCTGTTCGAGACCGACTTTAGAGTTACCATGCGGCTCGCACTACAAGTACAGTACAGTACTTATAGTTACAGCAAAAAGAAACAGATCTGAATATTCCCAGCCGCCCCTTCAAACCCGGCTGGCTTCTTGTTTGGGTATATCTTTCTTCTGGTGGATAAATTTGTCTTGTGATTACGCTTGTACGGAGTGCTTCTGGAATCTGCATCCCTGTATGCAGGTTATATGTGGACCTGCCCTGCGCTGCATCACAGTGCGTCTTCGTCGTATTCCCTGTATGTTTAGAGTTTAAGCAGCAGCCGGAAGAGGTAATGGTTGGGACCTAAACTTCAATCTATGGAGCGCAGCAAAATTAAGACACACAGATAACATATGGAGACTTTCAGATCCACCCAGTTAGACAATGCGCGAAAGACATGGAGAATTTTGCCGCTTTCGTATCACCTTTGAGGTGGAGAAACCTACAAGTAGGCCGCTTCTGTGTGTTCCAGCCAGGTTATTAAATAAAATAAATAAAAAACATAGACAATGACAGCTGGTCAATCTCTTCTATGGGATGAGCTGCTTGTGTCAAGAGACAACAAGAATGTACTTGTAAGTCTGCTGTCAGGGGTCATCGGAAATTGAACAATGGGTGACATGTCGTATAGCTCAGGTAGTTAGTGCACTTTCTAAATAATACTACTTGTAGCACGTACAGCCAATATCGCAGTGGTGTGCTTCGACTGCATATCTACAAGTTCTAGTAACTAATCAATACGGTGGGTGAAGTTGGTGCAAACGGGGCTCAATTAGTGAGATTATTGCCTTCTTAGTTCTCCACCCAACTCCCTGGCCTAATACCCCTCTTGACTTGTATAAACAGACTCTCCGTTGTTCACAACCTACCGCCCATATTAGTGGAAAGTCAAGACCGAGTTAATACCACTACCAAGAATGAATAAATCTTATCGTGCCGGATCCTTTCTGATACGGTGCCTTTTGTTGGGTAGACTACAGTACAGTACGCCAGGCGCGATCTCAAATGAGACAAGAGACTTACTTGTAGCAAGCGAAGTAAGGGCGTACCTTACTCATGATACTGTACTCGTACTTGTACGGGTAGCGGCGAGCAAATTAAGGGACAAGTGATGAGTGTTCGTATTGTCTTACATTTTTCTTGTCTCAAATCATTCAATAAATATTATATACATCACTCCTTGTTATCCGTCCACATACTCGATCTAAGGTTAGACGGTACCGTTGCGGATGGAAAGAAAGCTGACAACGCAGGATCATGAATGAAAATGTCCTCATCGTCGGTTCCGTACTGCTCTGCAGTCTCTGAATACTTCTTCCGGGCTCCCTTCTTAGCCAGCTTGTCTGCAATGCGAGCTCCAGAATGCATATGTTGGCTCCTGATGAACCGGAGTGAGATGTTTTGGTTCTCGTACAGCAACGCTCGTAGACGCTTAATCAGGTAGTAGTTTGGATGCGAGCGCATTCTCTCGGTCGGTTCCAGGCCCTCCCAGCCATGCTCCAAAAGCCTCAATGTCCACAGACTGTCTGTACGAATCTCCCATTTTTGTGACCGGTAAGTCATGTGTCTGGAAATGATTCGGATAGCCATCACCATAGCCAGGATTTCAGCTCGCCCAGGAGTCTGTTCGCCAGGAACACGTCCACATGCATCAGGCATAAGCCCCTTTTCGAAGTGGACACCCCAGCCTGCGGCTCCTGCATTGTATAGAAGAGGTGAAGGGAGGGCATTATGCGATCCGTCAGTGTACACCACATTTGCTTCCACATCATCGTATCTTCCGGCATGGTTGGCTGCAATAGGACCCAATTGTTTGGAGAGGGAGTTGAACATAATTCTCCAGTTCGTTTCAAACGCTCTCAGCAGTTTGTGGTCATGATGGTCTCTGAAGGACGTTGTGTTGATATCGAAATCGGCCTGCTTGTGCTTGAAGGTGTGGTTGGTCCATCCTGAATCTCCATGAAGATTCTTGTATCTGTTAGTAGACAGATAAAGCTGTCGACGAGGTATCAGAGGAGCTGCCGCGCTAGAGTCTCGGTTACGCACAAAGACTGGCTCTCCACAGTTGCATGTGAGCCCTGCTAGCATGTCCAGAGTCACAGTAGTTGAGGGATCTGCTGTTCGAGCAACGAGCTCCATCTTTGTCTCGTGTCGAGCCTTTAGCATCTCCCTTCGCATCTGTGGAGTCGCGTTTTTGAAATGGCCAGTGAGCGTAATCTTAGATGCTGGTTTATGTTTCTCTGCTTCAGAGAACCCGTCAAGCCAGTTTTCAAAGGTCGTCTTTTTGGCTTGGTTTCTAACAGTTCCATTCTCCTTAATCCCAATGGCGACGTCGTCAGGAGCAGCGATATTCTCAGAAATCGACTTGTCCAGAGCCTTCAAAGTCGCTCTCTTTGAATCCCGTTTCTGTCGCTGAGTGAGCTTCTTGTCAACTGTATCTTCAGTCCGTTCGGACAGCTCTTGCGTGGACGAAAAGAAGCCCTCGGATGAAGTATCAAGTTTAACAGTATCGTTCTCTACCGACGTTTCATTCTTCTGGCGCCACTGGGAAACCTCCGTGGCCGCCAATTCCTCCGTCGTCGATTTTGTCGTTCCACATTCCCTGAATTCACTCTTGAACAATGTGTCGCCTCTGCCCTTACTACAAGTAGTAGATTCATATCCCAAATAGTTCTCTTTGGTCAACAGATACTCGCGGTAAAAGTCCCAATACTCCGGATTATTAAACACGTTGTAGGCGTCCACCAGATGCGAGTTATCAAGACTTTCGAGACATTCCTGCTTCTCCTCCTCCGTCATCTGATCCAATTCGTCAAAAATATCCTGCATGTGGAACTTTCGCATCTTGTCCAGGGACACCATTTTGTTGATCTCAGCCTGTATCTGCAGACACTTGGTCAACAGCTGCTTGACGCGATTGGGGCTGCCTCCATCAGGCGGAGCAATGTACATCTTGGCCTCGGCATACTGGCTAAACTTGATGCGGTCACGCTCTCGCTTATAGGCCTGAAGCTGCTCGTCGGCTAGCCGTTTCTGTCGTATCATTTCTTTGTCAGTCTCTGTAGGATCCTGCTTTAGTTGTTCAAAGTATTCCTTCTTGGACATTCCCAGAAACTTGCAAGCCTGCTTGTCGGTAGAAAAAGAAGCGTACACAGCTCCAGAGTATCCGATAACCTGGTCAGCAGCCTCCTCCCAGTTGCTGTACACACCTGGTTGCCTGCCCTTCTTCACAGCAAACCAACGCTTCTTTTCAGGCTCCAGTTTCGCCTCATCAGATAGCAAGTGCTCAAGGAATGAGATCCGAGATGCAAACGGATCGTAGCACACATCCTCGGGAGACACGTGGTACATGCCCATCCACTCCTGGGCCTCTTGCACCGTCTCCAGCTTCTTCCATTCACTTTGGCTCATCTTGCCAGTCTCTCTGACCACCTTATCCCAATGCAAATAAATTCCAGGAACCAGCCCCTTTCGCACAGCAAAAACGCCGCCGGCGCGCGCAATCTGGGTCTCCATCTCAGCCTTGAGTTCTCTCTGTTCCTGACTCAAACTGGCAAGCCGCTTCTCGATAGTCTGTCTCAACACTGCCGAGGGAGCCAGCTCAAACTCCAAGGCATCCTTCTGCGACACAAACGTGTACATTTCGGTTGTCTGCTTGCGTCCAGCCTTGTTGCGTCCCTGCCGCTTCACTGAAAACGTCTCTGGGGGAGTCTGTGGCACTGCCCGCACCTCGGGAGGCGGGTCTCTCAAAAGAGTTGGAGCTTTCGGGTAATCTAGACGTTTGTACTTCTGATGGCGAAAGCCGGACGAGAGTGACACATTGCGAATAAATATGCGTATTGGGATCGTCAGCGGTCGCAACCTGATCATGGCGTGAAAAGTTGTAAAACCACTCATGCAATATTGGAACTTTGATCTGCTGCATGCTGATCAGCTACAGAGCAGGATGCGGGGGTGACAAAGGCGAAGGGAGTAGGAGATAGTAAAAGATGAACACTTTGATAGGATGTAGAAGTCTCTGTGGTTCAGGAATTCTATTTTTGCCTGTTTACTGGTCATATTCCACACATTACTTCACAGTATACCGTCTCGTTGTATGGAGAGTGACTCAGGAAGAGTCTCGGTAACGTCATAAGGCGGGAAATATCCTGAGGATCATTCTGATACCATGATACATAGGGTAGGGTATATTTCATTGTACTCGTGTTCAATAACTCCAACAGATCACCCAATACGTACGCTTGTATTTTTTTTTATTTTTTTTCTCACACTCAATTTTCCATTCCGAAAATGAACTGAAGTTTGACACCTACTTGTAGATGCAGAAACAAAAACCAGACACCAACCAACTTGTAGGCTGTCATTCTCGTAGTTGCAATAATGCTGCTGATGCTGATATGACAGGTGACAGAATCCAGTCTTTTTTATGCATTCTACAAGTACTGTAGGTGCTGTAACCATTATTGTAGTCCAATATCTCCGCTCGACAACTAGTCTAATTTCACCAAAAAATTTAGTTGGGGATTTACTCATTAACAAGTATTAACTGTTCGTTTAGTAAGTATGTGCATCTCTCTACTTGGTTTATTTTGGCCTTTGTTAGTTAGGAATGTCAAGTACAAGTAGCTTCGGTACGAGTATCAACTACAATGCTGTATCGAGCCGTACACACTGTATGGCGGCAAAATCACCCTCTCCACCTTACCAGTACATTCTGACCCACCCCTTTTGCCCCCTCCATGTTCTACCTCCCCCTTCACGACAACAATACGTCAAGTGTTTCAAATGCGGTTGAATTTCGCCTGATTTTGGAATTTCAGCAGCCCACCACCCCAACCTCGGCCAAACGAAAGCGGTTAATATGCGGTCGAATAATATCTGGAATATCTGGAATATTACGTCAGATTTTACGTCAAATGTTATCTACAAGTAGCAGCCATTTCCTTTTCTGTGTCAAAGGCTTCCGTTTCTAGCGTGACAGCTGTCGCCCACTCTACAGGGCCATGCAGGGAGACACGCGAATTAATACTGCGACAGTGCAGAGCGAAACTTCTGGAATCAAGCTGAAACATAAAAATGTACGACTCAAAGTCCTGCCTGCAGCACATTACAGTAGTACAGTATGTACAAGTGGGAGGACCGGTGGTTGTATGTACCGCATTTTTATGAGTAAAATATTGTACATACAAACAAGTACAGTACAGTATGCACTTTCACTTGTACACTGGCAGTGGGTCCCATGCGCGCTAGTGCCTTGTTTGTACACGCAAACCACTGTGGCAGACCTACCTCAACTCGTACAAGTGCTCTTGTTCTATACTTGACATCGCAAAGTATATACTTGGGTGTAGCAGTTGAGCACATACCCGCAATTGTATTGGTTAGAACGAACTGTCAAATCGGCTTTTACTCGGAGAAAAACACTCGTTAGAGTCCATCGTGTCACGTGCTTCACTCAACTCCAGACGCCCCTCAACACCCCTGTAGATGCATACAGGACCCACCTCATGCGCTGAAATGTACGATTTCAAGTGGAGTGCATGGTGGTGGAATCCTAGCGTACGTTATTGGGAATGTAAAGCGGGTGTCTCAGCTCCCCCTCGTCTGGTTCCGCGCTCTCTTCGACCACAGCAACTGGGGACCGCAACCATGGACACACACAGCAACCAGAAGGCGCAAACAAGTCGCAAACAAGTCGCAAACAAGGCACAAACAATGGCTTTTTTTTTTTTTTTTTTTTCTGCATAAACATTCATTTAATTATAACTTTGCTGTGAAAGAATAACCTTTGAAATGAATGTACGCTTACACGAATATTACTAATTAAACACGTTTAGTGTCATGGTCCAAAATGGCTTCTCTCACTATGGACTCTGTTTCCCCCAAACTCCAACAAATGCTAAACACACACTGTTTCACACGTGAAAGAAAATACACTCGGGTCCAACTCCACACACCCCTGTAACTTTAGTCAGACAAACGAACAGATATACAAGCATATTCCATGTGGCCATGTACACCTTGCGTGCAACCGAGAGCCTATCTGCGTTTGAAAAACAGAGTGTAGCGGAGACGATTTGGATTTTTCACAAAAAGCACCGGTCCATCTTAGTGTGTGGTCTGGTTGTTCAGAGTTGCACAGGGGTATCAGGGGTGTCTATGCTTGCTTTTTAGGCTGCTGAATCCTGCTAAATATAACGGCACTGCACGATAATAGCTTCAGATCCATATGATAGGAATATATCGTACGATACTGGATGGCGCTACCAGTTCTATACGAGCAGTGAGTGCTACAAGTGGTATTAGTATCACTGTGGCCATTAATTGGTGTCGGTTCTGTACATACAATGCCTCTATTGTTGGTTTTGTCAGCAGAGGTACTTTTTTGCAGCAAAACACTCTCTGATTGCACTCTGTCTGCACTCTGTTTGCACTGGGTAAGTGCTTTTCTCGTAAAGCTGATAAGGTGCTTTTGCCACGCTTTTTCAGCACCCCCATATTCTTGTCTATTTCCTTTTTGCAAACCCAGACTCAATATCTGCCAATATGGTGACAGGCATGGTGCATACGTACAGTATGTACCAGTTTTGCAGTTCAGTACGATCGTTAGATAGAGCACAATTGTATCACGGTGTCTTGCCGTGGAAAAGGTACGGAAACAAGGTGAATCTATTATTTATGATTGAACGGGGCTGCCGAATCGATATCTGGACTCCACATTGAGACCCCACTAGTTTACGTTCCCTGCTACATACTGTAAGCCAGTCTTCCTGAAATCATCGTTGCCAGCCTTTGCCCCAACTATATGCACTCCCTCAGTTCATCATATTCAAGAAAAATCACTCACAAATTCCCTCTTTGATGGTATTTCTTTTTTCGGGCCGCCATAAGGCGCAAACGGCCATCGACATTACAAGACACAGGGCTTGGTACTCGATGATAATTCTAACCTAATAAGACGAGATAGACGGCAAATTGAGTCTTTACGGCTGCTGAAGAGTTTGTTACTTGTGTGAGTGGGTAGATGCTTGCGGCACTGCAGCTACAGAGAAGTTATTTGCTGAGTGGTGCATTCCATCTTGCCATCTTCTGGAAACTACGATCTTATCTACAAGTAGTGATCTCTTTGTATTCAAGTTGATCTTTTTTGCGGGACCTATCAAGGTCAACTCTACCTGAATCAACTGTTGACCTCCATCCTACATCAGTGCCCATGTATGTAATAATTCATCACCAGCTTCTCCGATCAGAATCATTTGTATCGTCGGTGTTCAACAGATGCGTCTAGCTGGTTAAAGCTCGTATTACAGTATTGATTTACCTGGTGTGACTTCTTGGCAGGGCTCTTTGATCTATTTTCAACTTCACCACTTATTAATTTATCGCTATGTATTTTTTTCAAATATTTTCCAATTTCTCCCGTTAATTTGAGAAATAAAACCCCCCGCTTAATCATCTCTAAATCATGGCTCAAGTTTTTATCAAGGTGCATTAAGTTCAACGGGCAGGCGCTACTTGGAGGCGAAGAATAATTGAAAACAAATGTACTTGCTATTCTAATAAAAATACAGTAAAAATAATATTAAACATTTCATATCAATAATTGCAACCAGTAATTCGTTACATTTCAAATGTTTTCTCCCTTAAGAATCTCTTAAGAACAAGAACCAGTTAATCCTGTGCCTTCTCAGCTCCAAACTCTATCTGAAAAGTTTCTGGTTTTCCAAAAAAATTCCTCCCGTGCATAGTCTTATTTCCCACCCACCACACACACACACACGAACACACAATGGGAGCCCCCAAGTTGAAGGATTCTCTCAAGGCCGCTAAGGCCAACGACAAGGCCGCCAAGCTGACTGCCAAAAAGGGCGTTCTTCCCAAGCCCAAGGACCTGGCAGTAGTTGCCAAGCAGCAGATTGCGCACGAGGACGATGGAGATGATGAGGAGGACGAAGATGATGAAGAGGAAGACGAGGAGGACGAGGAGGACGAGGAGGACGAGGACAAGACTCCTGTTCTGTCTCGAAAGGAGGCTCGAAAGATGAAGAAGCTTGCTGCTGCTGCTGCTGCTGCCGAGGAGGACGATGATGAGGAAGACGATGATGAGGTTCCCCAGCTTTACGACACCACCCGTCTCGATCTGTCCGAGTCCGAATCCGAGATTGAGAATGTCGAGAACGAGGTGGAGGACATTCCCCTGTCTGATGTGGAGCTCGATTCCGACAACGACGCCATCCCCTACCAGAAGGTGACCAAGAACAACAAGCCTGCCCTGATGCAGGCCAAGGCTCGAATCTCGTTGCCCTACGCCAAAATGACCTTTGTCGACACCCTTGTGCATACGTCTGGAGCCATCGAGCTCAAGGACATCTACGACGACATGGAGAAGGAGCTGGCGTTCTACAAGCAGGGTCTGGATGCTGCCAAGGTGGCTCGAAAGGAGCTGCTCAAGGCCAAGGTTCCGTTTACCCGACCTCTGGACTACTTTGCCGAGATGGTCAAGTCCGACGAACACATGGAGAAGCTCAAGCAGAAGCTGATCGAGGAAGCCACCTCCAAGAAGGCTTCCGAGGAGGCACGACGACAGCGAGACCTCAAGAAGTTTGGTAAGAAGGTGCAGCACAACAAGCTGCAGGAGCGAGCCAAGGACAAGAAGGAGACTCTGGAAAAGATCAAGTCCTTGAAGCGAAAACGAGCTGGCCAGGAGATGACCTCCGAGGAGTTTGACATTGCCGTCGAGGAGGCGGCTGCCGACAACCATAATATTGAGGGCAAGAACCACAAGAGACAGGCCAAGGATGCCAAATTTGGATTCGGTGGCAAGAAGCGATTCCGAAAGGCCAACACCTCCGAGAGCTCGGGCGACCTGTCGGGCTTCAACCAGAAGAGAAATAACGCTCCTGTTAAGAAGCGTCAGCAGTCGAGACCCGGCAAGAGTCGACGAAACCGGGGTTAGAACAGGAAGGTAAAAGGAACTGATTATTCAGAGGTAATAGATTGAATGTTGAACTTATTACACGTGTACGAGTAGCATACCCACTGTAGATCTGCAAAGCTAGATGAGGTTGAAAACGTAAATACTGTAGCGACGAGATAGCGAAGATGATTTGATAGGGTACAATAGCGAGTACGAGCACAAGTACCCAGTGTGTGATCTACATTGAAGGGGTATAACTTAAGCTACAAGTACAAGTACAAGTACCGGTATAATGAGGTGGGGTCCATTTGTGTATGTGTACGTATTACTAAGTCAACATGTCAACATACAAGTACATCTTGTACTAGAACATACTGCAATGTTTCACAGTGTAATCTGACTCCAATGTGATACAGTGATGGAGATGTGACTCAGCTGTGGCTCAAGCCCTGACACCGACAATAGACATAGAGTCATGCTTTTGACTGACACTTTGCACCATGACCAACCTTTTGCCCACCTAACGACTTGTGCTGGATAACACAGGCCACGCACCAGAGCACCAGGTAGACTCGGACCAATTCAAACGGGTAACGGCATTGTTCTCTTTGCAGGCCTGAACTCAACACAGCAACCCTTCGGACCGTTGTTCTCAAGGTCAATGTCATCCAGCAGAGCCGTTCATACCCAAATTCAATTGATCTAGTGAACCCTGGTCACTATGGTGATGTGTCACGAAAGGCTGTCCCGATTGAGAGCTTTCGCCCACCAAATCGAGTTGTATCGTCTCACACCTTACAACACCGATCTCACACTTACCTCATTGGTCTTACTTATCTCACACCCATCTCATTTATCTCACACTTGAATAAGAACTTGAGACCGACGAAACGATCCAGGTCTCTCCCTTTATCTCTTTTTTTTTTTTTTCCTTTTATTACTAGCTTTTACACTTTTTCATGGGTTATTGCGGGGAGCCTATTAAAATGGTCTATAACTTCAGGAGGGGAAATAGTGCACAAAGGTACAGTTGTTACCATATCAGGGTGGGTTAGAGTCTCATTAAGGTAAAACACTCGTGGAGTTCTATGTGCGGATTTGTTGCTGTAGCTGTTCGAGATGAAAGTAGAATGAGGTTCCAGTCGGATCTTCCGGAAGGTATTTTTCGCCGATCTCTTCTGATCTCGCGTGGCGTGTACTTAAAGCCGAGTGATGTTACTTCGGTTAGAGTTGACACCCTTGCAGTCCTGCAGACACGACAAAGGTGTCAGTTCGATTCTTGGTTGCGCAGACAGAAAATTATCACCCTCATTAGTCGAAATGGCCTGACAGAAGCTGCAGAGAAGAGCAGCCAGGTCTAAAAATTTACCCGAATTTTTAGTATGCCGGAATTTCGGCCCTTTTCTGGTTCAGATCCATCCCAGCATCATCTCGTTATATTTATACTTGTACCTTTTATACAACCGTACCTACGTATATGTCAGTCACTTAGCTCCCGCAACTCATTTTTCATAGGCGCAGGGTGTGGCGTTCAAAAGTGTCCAGTGAGTGAACCCCAAGTTTGACAAGTAACATACTGACCATAAGCGCTCATTGAACAACCAACAGTGTGTCACTCCCCTGTGCAGCAAGCCAGTTCGTAAAGGTCAACCATTGTATACGATGCTGCATCCAAACGATGGTTGGTATGCAATATTGGCAAAAAGCAGACCACCTGTCAAGTTGGTTGCTCTTCTCAGCGGTCTCTTTTGTTGAACTGGAACATGTGAGATAGCCAAGAGAATGTGTCACATCTCTGGAGCAGCGAATACAACTCACAAGGGTCGACTATGAGGTTGCGCGGGTAAAGTGTGCGCTACAGGATACGTACAATAGACAGGCCCCGGTTCCTTCAAACACTCGAGAAGCTAACTCCGATTGTTGAATTGAATCGTTTTTTTCTGCGAAAAGCTGAATACTGTAAAGTCGTTTGCTCTCCACCGATCCTCTTGCTCACAGACTGAACCCTGGACCTTCAACAAGAGAAAAAGAAACGAAAGAGACATTGAATGATTGGATTTGAGCATAGGCAAGTTTAGTGCACTCAAGAGTAGATGGAGTTGTTCAACTTGTTTTCCCCAACTCAGCCGCCTTAGCGGGTTGACAGTCGTATAACCAAAGCGTAAAGGTCAGGTACAAACGTAGGTCATGTTCTATTATTGGACGCAATTGCTGCTGCCAGGGGCGAAAGAACAGGTTTAGAAGACGGGAAGGCAGCGGAGAAGGCACTCTGCAGAAGTCGCTTGTTTATTCTCCTTGGGGATTGATGGCTGCTTTGGCGGGGATGTATCGTCAACAGATCGTAATAGCTGGGAACAAACCACCGGCCCCGATGAATAGCAGAGCTGCCATAGCTCACAAGTTGTATGATTGTTTATGAAAGGCACACAATGAAACTGACTTCTCACAACCTCCGAGGTCTTACAAACTACTCAAATTTAACGTCCCAAACACATTTTTATGTGTTGGAGTCGCATGGAAGTTGGCCAACTTCCAAGGCACTTCGAATGGACCCTGTAACCTCAATTCAGCTGCTTAGCGAGACTCGGAGACACCCGAACAAGGACTAGAACGCCGGGAAGCCCATGAGCTGTTTCGCTTATTCCTTCTTTGCTTCAGATATGGAAGTTTGAGGTGGTGTGATGATTCTCTAAAGGATGACCCTTGACTAGACTTAGGTGGTGGCTGCTTGAAAAAGCAACAGCACTTGCAAGTATCCACGAAACAAAGACCGCTTGAGTTTTCCTCCCTTGTAACCAAGACCTATAGCTGGACGACAAGGAGAGAGTCTATATGTCGATAATGAATAGAAGACTTTGAGTGTCCCGTTGCCTGGGCATCAAATTGCTTGACTACTTGTATTCTCCAGGTTCTATAGACTCTAGACTCTATAGTCGTTGCTTTTTGTTTCTATTCAGGCCCACGATTTCGGCCCATGACTTTGGTTTCGACAAGAACTCCACGGTTGGTCATCTTCAACCCGCGGATTTAGCAGAGCTTCCCGTCATCAGACATTTGGTAAGACTCTAGTTTCACCAGATGGCCTGGAATGTGCCCAAACCGTCAGATGCAGAAGTATACGATTCATGTAACAAGGAACTCTATCCTTTTCTTCAACCATGGTCACGTTCTCATAGCTACAGGGGTGGTCGTTTACTTGACTTTTTGTTTTCCAACCAGGTCGCTTGTCTGCGGGGTCGATGCAGGGTGCTGCTTTGACATATACGGCCCTCATGCTGGGTGCTCTGGCAGGCAGCGAGGGTGCGGGATGGATGGAGAGTGAGACAGGAGCATTCTCAACAGCATTCCCAAACGGGCAAAAGAGCAGCTTAAAGAAAAAAGAATATCTTTCGTCTCAGAAGTCCCCAGAAAGAAAAAATAAATTAGATTCCAGCTAGATGTGCTTTTTTAACGTTGGCCCAAACAGAGCCCACTGCCAGGGGGCCTTCAAGTTGGCGGTGTTCATTAGTCCAGCAGCCTACTGTTTACCAGCCAGCTGTGCTTCGTTGGGTCCCGGATATGGTACAGACGCAGCAAGACAGGACAAGGAGTTACTCCGCTGCACATTGCATTCGACCGGAAACACGGAGAGCATGGCGTACATACGGATCGTCCAACAGCAGCTCAATACGAGAGCAAACATTTAGTGCCAGTCAGGTTTTCTCCTGAGACACTCGGGGTTGTCGCGGCCACCGCAGCACCAGTATTCACCGTCCCAGTTGGGGTTTGGTGTCTTACAGACGTGTCAGAAGCCAAGCGGCTTTATGCCACCTCCCACCCCCTTGTCTTTCTCCGATCCCCAGCACGATGAAAACCTTAGCCGAGATGTCCCTTCTATTTCAAGCATCATACGCGATACCTTGAAAATTGTAAAAGGTATTGAGTTTCCAAGGTTTTGTGTTTTTGTATGCCGGGCAGTAAGCTTTTGCGATTTCCTCCACTTTGTGTTTTCAACCTCTTCACACACATAACTCCAAACCACAAAACCACAAAACCACAAAACCACAAAACCACAAAACCACAAAATGACATGTGCAGGATGCGATCTTGATGTTGAGACAAGGTCAACAAGAGCCAAGACGTGAATGATGCCCACTGGCTGCCAGCTTTTGTGTTTTTCACCCCGACTTTCTTTGTCTTAGGGGGTTGTAAACAGCCAGATTACTGGTTTTGGCTCGTTTCATCCAAAAATGGAGCTCACAGCAATTCTTGAGACCTAGAGTGGCCGTGGACTCGGACGGGACGTCGACAAGGGTCTTAATATCTTCTCAGGTCCTTCCCTGGCGCTCAAAGGGACTCAATAGTGCCCTACAAGCCCAAAGATACAGGAGTTATAGACAATCCACCCTAGTTATACCAACCCGATAGGCAATCGATCTACCGATCATCCAGCGGGCGAACCATAGCTCCAGACGTTTAAACACAAGCTCAGCAGTGCCGCTGTGCAGGTTGGCAGCCCTCTGCGAGCAAAACCGTACAGGGACCTAACCTGACTTTGCAAACAAAGAAGACAAATCAGTCAGTTCCTGGTGAATGCACAATCAAACCACCCATGCCAATAGGAAACTGTCAATTCGCCAAAGATATAAAGTCTGGACGGAATCCTCCACTTGGTTCTCCAGCTTCTTCACGACACTCGCTCAATCACCTAATACCCCCTTTCTGTTCGACCTTTCTTTTCGACGAACGACTTAACAACCGTCAATGTGAGTATCTACCCCTCCACACAACGTCTCTGACTGATCGCTGCTCATCATCGCCAATCTCCCGAGTGCAAATCCGACTATCACGCTGATCAGTGCTAACATAGTACAAGTGTCTGGTGCATAAGATTCAAACTTACCCAGTACTTGGCTCTGTGAGTACGAGGATCCCCTGCAACTGTGGGGACCCCCTGTTGGGAGAGCACCTGTCACTGATACGCGACTGGCACTGAACGGGAATATCCAGGGTTAATCAGTGGCGGCCATTCCCTCTCATTCGGGGTGGTGTGTTGGATACTTTTCGCTGTAAGGTGCAGGCCCACCACAGGCAGGGTCTTAGCGTGGCACTAAAATGCTGCTTTACTGGGCAGACAGCAGGCTGCCACGCTACCAATTGCAAGCCAATGTCAATGCCCACAAAATTTTCTGCAACAATGTACTAACAACAGATAATGAAGTTCTCAATTGTGTTGCCCCTTGCGGGTGCACTCCTGGCTGCTGCTGGTCCTATTCAGCAGCACCCCATGGAGGGCTGTGTCCCCCGAAGTGTCTTCGACCTTGATGGTTGTCTCGACACTTGCAACGATTTCCTCGTCAGCGACTCTGACCCCGAGCAGGTGAGTATCCACCCCCCGTTTTGAAAAACTGTCTCACTATGATGTTTCACGAGGGCAGCCATATGGTGATCTTTCTACTCGTTTAGGCGGGGTGTCAAAAGCTTAAAGGCTTAGACGTGAACGCACCAGAAGTGCTTTTGTGCACCCCTCCCAACTCTATTTTGACACCACCGTGTTGTTGTGATGCTTGAGCGGTAAACTCAACCTCACAACCTCACAAACACCACACAATCACAGAAACTAACAATAGTGCCTGCAGTGCCTGACTGTCTATGAGCTCGACAACAAAAACACCGTGCTCAGCACCCTGGAGGAGCAGGGCCTCCCCATGCAGCCTGAGGTGCCCGTTTGTGGTGTCTCCGCCCCCATGATTACCCCCGGCCCCGCTATTCCCGTTCTCGCTAAACGAGCTCCCATCTCCACCGTCACATCTTGCTCTGCTCCTCCCAGTGATCAGCAGACCTGTTTCAACCAGTGTGCCGCTGTCATTCGAGACATTGCTCTTTGTCTGGGCATCCAGTCCTGCATTTGTGACCGAATCTCTAAGACCCTGGACAATATCAACAACTGTCTGGATTGTGTGACCCATTTCACTGCCCTGAACAACATCCTGGATATCCCCAACCAGATTGTCAAGTTCCTGGCCGGCTGCAGCCAGCCCACTACTGCTGAGCCCGTTTGTGTCACCAGTGTCATTGATCCTGATGTGACTTGTGAACCTCCTCAGGTGTCCACCACCTGTACTGCTCCTCCCAAGCCTAACCTGTCTTTCTTGCAGTGTACCCAGACTTGTACCAGCATCATCACCAACGTCGGTCTATGTCTGGGTGTTAAGGATTGCGTGTGTTCGCGGCTGATTGGTCTCACCTCTTCCATCGCTACCTGCCTGTCCTGTATCACCATCTTCGACCTGTCGGCCATCCCTAACCTGGCTACTGGTCTGCTCAACTGGCTTGGAAACTGTGGACTGGACGCTGGTCAGACTCTGCAGTGTGATACCAGCACCACTCCCGGTGCTTGTCAAACCATCGCTCCTCCTTCGTCGTCGACCGTCGAGGCCACCACAACTTCGGCTGAGTCTTCTTCGTCTGAGGCTCCTTCTTCGTCTGCTGCTCCTTCCAGCTCTGCATCTTCCGAGGGACCTTCCTCCACCGAAGCTTCTTCGTCTACTGAGGCTCCCTCTTCTTCTTCCGAGGCTCCCTCTTCTTCTTCCGAGGTTCCCTCTTCTTCTGAGGCCCCTAGCTCTTCCGCTGCCGAGTCCTCGACCGAGGCTGCCTCTTCCACTGATGCTGCTTCATCGACTGAGGCTCCCGCTTCTTCTTCCGAGGCCCCCAGCTCCTCTGCTGCCGAGTCTTCCACTGAGGCTTCCTCCGCTCCCAGCTCTTCTGATGCTGTCTCCAGCACTGAGGCTCCCAGCTCCTCTGACAACTCGGCTGCTTCTTCTACCACAGATGGATCTGGCGCTTCTTCCACTGATACTGGTGCTTCTTCAACTGATACTGGTGCGTCTTCTACTGATGCTGGTGCTTCTTCCACTGATGCTGGTGCTTCTTCCACTGATGCTGGTGCTTCTTCTACTGATGCTGGTGCTTCTTCCACTGATGCTGGTGCTTCTTCCACTGATGCTGGTGCTTCTTCCACTGATGCTGGTGCTTCGTCCACTGATGCTGGTGCTTCGTCCACTGAGACTGGTGCTTCCACTACCGACAACTCAGGTGCTTCTTCCACTACCGACAACTCCGGTGCTTCTTCCACTACCGACAACTCCGGTGCTTCTTCCACCGCCTCTAACACTGACGGCTCTGGATCTTCCACTGATGGTTCTGGATCTTCCACCACTGACAACTCTGGCCAGTCTTCTGTCCCCAGCTCTGTCACTGCTCCTCCTTCTTCTGCAACAGGCCCTGTTGCTACTACGATCACTTCTTGCAGCTCCATCACCTACCCCAAGGAGACCTGTATTCAGAAGTGCAGTGATGTCATCAGCCAAATCGCTCTCTGTGTTGGCGTGAAGCAGTGCATCTGTGACCGACTCCTTACTCTCAACGACAACGTCAACGCCTGTCTATCTTGTGTCACCTACATTGACTTCACTGGTATCTTTGATATTCCCGGTCAGCTTCTCCAGTTCCTTGGCCAGTGTGATGTTGCTACTACCCCTACTGAGGTTTGCACCACTCAGACTATTGACCCCAACGTGTCGTGTGAGCCCGATGTCACTTCATCCACTTGCTCTGTCGTTAACCCCTTTGATCTCACTCTGTCCCAGTGCATGACCACTTGTACTGGTGTTATCTCCTCCGTCGGTCTGTGTGTCGGTCTCCAGTCTTGTATCTGTGATCGACTTGCAAACTCTGCCAAGGATGTTGGTGACTGTATCCAGTGCCTCTCTCTCTTCGATCTTGGCAACATCCCCTACCTCGCTGCCAACTTCCTCAACTGGCTTGGAAAGTGTAACGTTCAGTCTACTGCCTCTTCCAACTGTGTCTACCAGACCATCACCGGCGAGTGTGTCACCAAGACCCCAGCCACTTCTGAGGCCATTACGACATCTGCTGAGCCTTCTTCCTCTGCAGGACCATCTCCTTCAAGCTCTGTGACTGATACCACTCCTTCTTCCACTGGCTCTGGATCTGGCGAGTCCTCCTCCGCTCCTTCCTCTACTGGCGGTGCTGGCGAGTCCTCAACTACAGGTGGTGCTGGCGAGTCCTCTACTACTGGCGGTGCTGGCGAGTCCTCTACTACTGGCGGTGCTGGTGAGTCCTCTACTACTGGTGGTGCTGGCGATTCCTCTACTACTTTCTTTTCTGTTTAGTCTGGCGGTGCTGGTGAGTCCTCTACTACTGGCGGTGCTGGCGAGTCCTCTACTACTGGCGGTGCTGGTGAGTCCTCTACTACTGGCGGTGCTGGCGAGTCCTCTACTACTGGCGGTGCTGGTGAGTCCTCTACTACTGGCGGTGCTGGCGAGTCCTCTACTACTGGCGGTGCTGGTGAGTCCTCTACTACTGGCGGTGCTGGCGAGTCCTCTACTACTGGGGGTGCTGGTGAGTCCTCTACTACTGGTGGTGCTGGCGAGTCATCTTCTGCTCCTTCCACTACTGGTGGTGCTGGCGAGTCCTCCACTACTGGCGGTGCTGGTGAATCCTCCACTACTGGTGGTGCTGGCGAGTCCTCTACTACTGGCGGTGCTGGTGAGTCCTCTACTACTGGCGGTGCTGGTGAGTCGTCTTCTGCTCCTTCCACTACTGGTGGTGCTGGTGAGTCGTCTTCTGCTCCTTCCACTACTGGTGGTGCTGGTGAGTCCTCTACTACTGGTGGTGCTGGCGAGTCCTCTACTACTGGCGGTGCTGGCGAGTCCTCTGCTACCGGACAGTCTACTGATGGCAACAACTCCAACACCAACACAGGCGCTTCGGAGACTGGTTCTAACACTGCCTCTACTACTAGCGGTGACGGTAACAACTCTGGTTCCAACACTGCTACTCAGACCGGTTCTAACACTGCTACCCAGACTGGCGGCAACGGCAACAACTCTGGTTCCAACACTGCTACTCAGACCGGTTCTAACACTGCTACCCAGACTGGCGGCAACGGCAACAACTCTGGTTCCAACACTGCTACTCAGACTGGCGGCAACGGTAACAACTCTGGTTCCAACACTGCTACTCAGACTGGCGGCAACGGTAACAACTCTGGCTCCAACACTGCTACTCAGACTGGCGGCAACGGCAACAACTCTGGTTCCAACACTGCTACTCAGACTGGTGGCAACGGCAACAACTCTGGTTCCAACACTGCTACTCAGACTGGCGGCAACGGCAACAACTCTGGTTCCAACACTGCTACTCAGACTGGTGGCAACGGCAACAGCTCTGGTTCCAACACTGCTACTCAGACTGGTGGCAACGGCAACAACTCTGGTTCCAACACTGCTACTCAGACTGGCGGCAACGGCAACAACTCCGGTTCTAACACTGCTACCAACTCCGACGATAACACTGCTTCTCCTACATCTTCCGCTGCTACCACCTCTACCACTGGTGGAAACGGTGGAAACGGAGGCGACAACGGCGGAAACAACGGCGGAAACGGAGGCGACAACGGCGGAAACAACGGTGGAAACAACGGTGGAAACGGCGGCTCTGATGGTGGCAACAACGGAGGTAACAATGGCGGTTCCAACGGTGGAAACAACGGTGGAAACGGCGGCTCTGATGGTGGCAACAACGGAGGTAACAACGGCGGTTCCAACGGCGGAAACGGCGGCTCTGACGGTGGCAACAACGGAGGTAACAACGGCGGTTCCAACGGCGGAAACGGCGGCTCTGCTGGCGACAACGGCTCTGGCTCTGGTTCTGGCTCCGGCTCCGGCTCTGGCTCTGGCTCCGGCTCCGGCTCTGGTTCCGGCTCCGGCTCTGGTTCAGGCTCTGAGGGCTCTGGCTCTGGCTCTGGCTCTGGCTCCGGCTCTGGCTCTGAAGGCTCCGGATCTGGTTCTGGCTCTGGCTCTGGCTCTGGCTCCGGCTCTGGCTCTGGCTCTGAGGGCTCCGGATCTGGTTCTGGCTCTGGCTCTGAGGGCTCCGGTTCTGGCTCTGGTTCCGGCTCTGAGGGCTCCGGCTCTGGCTCTGGTTCCGGCTCTGAGGGCTCCGGCTCTGGCTCTGGTTCCGGCTCTGAGGGCTCTGGCTCTGGCTCTGGTTCCGGCTCTGAGGGCTCTGGCTCCGGCTCTGGTTCCGGCTCTGGCTCTGGCTCTGGCTCCGGCTCTGGCTCTGGCTCTGGCTCTGGCTCTGGTTCCGGCTCTGGCTCTGGTTCCGGCTCTGGCTCTGGCTCTGGCTCTGGATCCGAGGGCTCCGGCTCTGGCTCTGGTTCCGGCTCTGGCTCTGGCTCTGGCTCTGGATCCGAGGGCTCCGGCTCCGGCTCTGGCTCGGAAGGACCTTCTCAGGCCAACTCTGCCTCCACTTTTGGCGTTTCTGCTGCCATGATGACTATTATGGTCATGGCAGTCCTCTTCTAAGGACTCCCCAGTTAATTATGGACTTATTTAATGAAAAACACATGATTTTGTGACTCGCTGAAAGTTTGGATTTGTCTTCTCCTGTTCTTCCTCGTACTGAATTAAATAGTGCTTTTGTTTTGTAAATATATTGTCCGTTGAGAAATGGTTATAGGCTGTGTACAGTGAAATACTCTACCCTTAAGCGTAAAGTGCTTGTACAATAGCTACTGTTCGTACTCCTATCGAGAAGTTAACATATCCCCATTCCCTGCCTCGGGGCTCCTCTATGAATGTCTGTCCGATTGAATTTCTCTAAGCAACACTGAGTACAATTACAAGTATAGTATGTAAGAGCAATAATATCCAAAGTGCTGGTATGTTCACTTATTCATCCCTGTCCAAATGAAACAAACCATGAAAGAGGTGTTAAATTATCGGTCTGCTACAGTAGGTGCAACCGCCAAGTGTGTACCGTATATTACAAGTAGCAAGGAATTTCATTAGGGGCAATTTGGTTACCTGATACTGTATGTACTGTAGATATTGAGAAGGGAAAAATGGTTTATTTGGCGTTGCGATCTGGACATCCGGCTGTTTAGCCTGTGATGGAACTAGAGACGAGAATACGGGGACACGGGTTGAGAGCAAAAATAGGACAGTGAACAATACAAGACTTGTAAATGGTATCGGTATGTACACCGCTACTTGTAGCTACCTTCTTTAATTGGAATGTAGTTGATATAACTCAGTGGGCTAAGAGAATTCTCTCTTTGAGTGGTCTCTGATAGGGCTCTGAGAACGGTCGTGCGGTTGCGCAACGAAGGAGCAGTGCACACTTTTGATATAAGCCTCTGGTAGTCTGTACTAACTATGGGGAATCTTCTATACGACTTACTTATACAGTAGCTACAGTACATACATGTATTATTTTAATAACACCTACAGTATGTACATTGTTTTCTGGGTACTCTACGAGAGTATACTGTAGGTACAGTAGAGTGGACTTGTAGCAGGATGAATGGAAATTGGTGGTCATACTTCCTGTGTTGCGCTTCTATTTCACGACATCTGCTTATGGTAAGGGTGATTCTACTAGTCGTAGAAGTACTGTAGCTACTGTATGTCTTGTTTTCCAAGATTGCTGCTGACCCTCTCCGCATCTCTCTTATCAGAACAGACTCTACGGCAGTTTTCTCTTGCTCTTCAGTCAAACAAAGCTCGTATCAACTGTCGCGCCCCTCGATAGTGCATCTTTCTCCCTTCAGCCTGTCTATAACTCGACTATAGAATAATCCCGTTATGGCGGTGCACTAAATGTTTTGTTTAAGCCCCGCCAGTTTCAGCGACCGTCAAACTCAAGCAAGCATTGGCTACTAAGAGCGGGCTAACGTAGCGTAGCAACTCAAACGATGTTGCATTGTGGGGGAGGTCTGGAGGCGATCTAGAGACAACAGGGTCTTGCAATTTGCTTAATTGATGCCTCGCATCGAAACTAGTTGTCTTTCTGCCCTGGATTTTCGACCCAAGCCGTATACAACGTCCCGTTGGAATGCCCCTCTTTAACCACATGACTGTTTTCTCCCGGCAGTCATGTGCCACGCCAAAAATGGCATGTGTGGGCACAGTAAGATTGGGTTAAGTTTGCTTATCGTTACTTGATAATGCAGATAGCTGTGGGAGGGGTGTGGGTGTGTGGGGCACGTGGACACGCGTGTAGCTCGATTGTTTGAGTACAAAACCGGTCCGAAAAGGCGGCATTTGCTTACTCAGCACACCTGACTCGCTCCTAGCGTCCAATTCCGACGCTCCTCAACCTGAAGGGCCGCGTGGGAACCCAAATCAACCTAAAGGTCACTTGCACACCAACTGCAGACGAAGAAGCCAAAAACCAAAATGCGCATGCGCATGCAAATGCAACCTGACCTCTTTCTCCATAGTCGACATCACCAGGCATACTAAAGTCATTACATCCTCTCAAACGCCGCTTTTTCTTGTCTGCTAGCCAGCGCCACCCGACCTCGAAGCCACGTGACTCTATTCAACGTTGCTCCAACCCTACAACCTCACAAACTCAGTGGCAAATTGCACACGACTTGTGGTTTTTTCTCTCACACCACAAACAGTCCACGTAACCAAACACAAACATGTTCCACGCATTGGGGTGAGTATAGAAAGGAAACGCTGCAGAAAGATACCGACACGTTGACTCGCTATCGGGACAACTAACATAGCTCCATCGCCTCGGTGGTATTCCCCATCTTTGCCTCTTATCGAGCCATTAAATCTCACGACATGACCTACGCAACCCCCTGGCTCAAATACTGGGTGGTCATGGGCATCGAACAGGCGCTCGAAAACACATTTGGAGTTGTCCTGTCAGTTCTGCCCCTCTACTCGCTAGCCAGACTCGTTTTTTTCGCCTGGCTGGTGCTGCCCCAGTCCCAGGGCGCTGTGCGACTCTACGACGAGAAAGTCGAGCCCTTCCTCGACCGTTACAATACACAGATTGAGGACTTCTTTGCCAACGGCCACACATATGTGCGAGACTACGGCCTGCAGTACCTCTCTGTGCTAGTTAAATGGCTCACCGGAAAAGGTTTCGACACAGAAGCAGCCAAGAGCACCAGCGCCAACCCCGCTCCTGCCACTCCCGTGGTCCCACAGTCCTACATGGACTCTGTGATGGGCTACATCAAGTCCAACAGCCCTGCCACAGGTGGCAAAATCACGCGGCTGTTCGACATGTACCGAGCGGCCGGAGCGGTTGGCGGTGCAGTAGGCTCTCGAGAGGTAACAGAGACCGTGGAGATCCCCTCGTCTCTGCCGCACTCCGAGCAGCTGGGTCTCATAGACAAGGAGCGCTCTAGACTACTGGCTGCTCTGTCGTCTCTTGATGCTCGTGGATCTTTGCTCAAGAGCGACACAAAGTCGAAATCGAATGCCTCGCTGGCTTCGGGTGTCAACATCACCGCCTCAGACTACTCTCCCTTGTTGGCCTCTTCTTCTGACACTGAATTTGACGTTGTCAAGTCGGAAGATGTGCTTGGACTTGATGGGAACGTGAAGGACGAACGTCCCAACTCAAGGGGCTGGTTCTGGCAGCGTCACTACTCCAAGGTTGGCGAGGCCAACAAGGCTGGCTACGAGAAACTCGTAGATCCCCCATCTGAGCCTCCTGTATCTGGGGCGAGTATGGCTCGAGAATCAGAGGAGGAGGAGCCTCTCATTCCCTCCAACCTGTAAGGGCATGGTACCTGCAGCTCCTTCCTAGCTGACTACCTTTGGTACAAGTAGCTCTCTTCCCAACTATCCCAACTCCGGCTAGTTCCAGCTATAGTTATATTTATCACGGACATTGTTGTAGTTATTGTCGCTGTCGTATCATTTGTATTCACCTCGTTCTAGTATCCGTCTATGTACATACACTACTCCTGGTAAGGGTAGGCTAGGGTCTCTCCCTTGAGCTTCCACAGCTTCTTCTTTCGCTTGTTGACAACATGTGTTCCCCACACCTCCTCGCAATGCTGGGCCTTGAACTTTCGGATGAACTTGGGCTCCCACAGCTCAGAAGCCACGCCCAGGTCCTTGCAGCATCGCATCATGGCGTTGGATTTGCATCCTTCAGAGGCAGTAGGAACGCCGTCTTCGTTAAAGTAGGTCTGTTCTCCTCGAGCCACAGACACAAGTCTCCCCTCGCAGATGAGACCGTATTCACGCGTCACAATCTTGTCAGTGACAACGGTGTCACTTCGGGGGGCCAGACCCCATCCTCCAGGTCCGAACGCCGCATTCAAAACACGTCGGTATTTGATTTCCGGCAGGTACAGCAGTCCGTCAGGGGTGATTTCGATGTCTTCGACTGTGAGAGGAGCCTGGAGAACCTGGGCGGCCTCCTTAGAGAAGGCTTGGGAGCCCAGACCCTGGAAAGACTGTTCCCAGTCGATTTCTCGCTGGTTCATATGCTGGAAGACGTTTGATTGGGCTCCCTCAGGATACTGGAAGGTGGGTGCTTGGTCAACTGTAGACGTGTCGACCTGGGGCATATCGTCGGCTTCGATAGGCTCAGCGGCAGGAGATGAAGCAGCAACAGGAGTCTTCTTGGTGGCGTTGCTCACAGAGGCGGTGGAAGCAGCAGAGGCAGCTTTTCGCCAGTACGAGGAGGCAGCAGGCTTTTTAGCAGGAGTAGCAGGAGCCGAAGTGGCGGAAGCCGCAGCGGGTTTGGTAGCAGCCGCAGCAGTTCGGTAACCCATGGCTCGAACGCCGCGCGCAACCACTAGCGCTACTGTAGGTCTCATTGTATCGTGATGTTGGTGTCAGTATGGAGCAGGTCCAGTTTACATTTCATTTTTCATGTCTGATACGGGTTAGGGTTTGTGTGTGTGAAACGTATGACTCAGATAACGTCTATTGGGCGCTAACGATGTGGGAACAGGTGCGAATATTTGGTTGCGTTTAGGATCTCAGAGTGGTTCTTCCTTATTCAGTTGTCGTCACCAAGCTCTGGTACAGTATCTATTACGATGATTGAGTCTATGGTTGCATACTACGCGCAACCAAGCAGCGGTTGGCAGGTAATATGAGTCTGAAGTAAGCAATGAAGATCTGAAATGATCCAAATAAGTAAGAATTTATTTCATGAATATCTCAGATAGACCTTATCAAAGAATAATGAGATCCTTGGGGTTATCACCACACATGCCTCATTTTGGTCCATGCGTTTGTCATGCACAGCCCATTCTGGAAGAAGAAATTGAGGTGCTTCTTTGGGTGGCAAAAAACTTTGTCCTCGGACGGTGATGCTGAGGAGATGATTGAAAGCAGAAGTGATCGAAGTCGGAGATCGAAACCGGAGAAGAAGATATACGAATCAAAATGGATGGCGCGTATAACTGGTAATTTCAATTTGCCCTGATATAAAAGCAGTCCGTGCAGACGACTCATATCAGCTATTCCAATAGCTGAATTGAATATCAGGGGGGTCTTCGATGGCTTCTCTCAGGAAGGCTACATATGTTTCCAAGCAGCCATTAGTCGGGATTTTGCTGCAGGCGAAGCAGATCCGGACTCCTTCCAATCTACCAATGCCTCCAGAGCAGATTTGGACAAGGTGAGCAAGAAGAGCAAGAAGACCAGAACTGAAGGTATGACCGCGAGCGCACTATGCACTATGTATGTACAGTATGGGATGACATAAACCACGAGTAAAGTATGTACAATAGGGAATGAAATGCGAGAATGTTCCATTATTCGCTCAAAGGTCCACAACTATTAGTTGCACATGATTTACTGTGAATCATGTTTCTACTGTTGAATTTTTTTTTCCATACAGCCTCATATGTCTTTTCGTCTCATCTCATATTTGGGGCTGATTTTAATTCTTACCTTAGCCGTAGCTATCGTCCTGAATAGTACATCGCCGTTCACGACAGTGCTTCACAATGAGAAAAACCAACAAAGACAACCCAGCCGCCACACAAAAACAAATGGCACAAAAACCTGCAACGCAAAAGTCTCCTCTCAAACCCACGCTTGAGCAAACAGAGCTGTACAGGTTATGCGAAGATCTACAGAAACAGTCGCCCTCAATGCTCCTTTCACTACCCTCTCTACCAGCGTTCATCCGCACTCTTCACGCAGAATTGGTAGCAAAGCGCTCTGAGAAGACTTCCAGCTCGTCAAAGTCGTACACAGATTCCCCAGTTCCATTCACGCCACCACCCAAGAGACGTCTCAGTGAGCACATGGTGAGCCCCAACATGAAGCTACACCGCTCAGACAGCTTCGATTACGACACCACGCCAACCAAAAAGAGAAAATCCATGTGAGACCTACCTCCTAAAAAGGGCTCTTCTGGCCAATCCTCGAATCCTAGTCGCCCGAGCCGTTATTTAGTGTGATCAAGCTTATGATGATCTTGCACTCCTGTAGTGGCCCGGCTTCGGCTCTGTTACCGGATTCAAACGCAAACGATACGAAATCACGGCAAACATACCAACACAGCTATCTGAAATCGCCTAACTTCTTGCAATATGAACGCCAGGTCCGGCAAAAATGCCCATTGCGCCCTCCGCAGTATGTACAGTAACATGCGGTTGTACACGCCGCAGGCATTATTTGGAATGGGGAAAATATCATGAAAAGTGTTGTATCTATCTCTTGTAGCAAGGCCCTCTTTCAACCACCCAGCAATTCTCGAATTACGTGAACTTGCTACAAGAACGGAACAATAAACGAAGTCCCTCTCAAATCTAACAAATAAGGTTTGATATGGAGATGTGGTCATACTGCAACCATGTATGTACAAGTACACCTTAAACCTTGTGCTAGTATATGTTTTTAAATTGGTCCCAAATGTTGGAAGCAAGGAGTTGTGATAGGGGTGGGAGTGAAAGGCATAAACAGACAGTGATAACTAATTTAAAGTAGCTATCCATGATACACAGTTTGCAGAATTATATCGCTTTTTTAGTTACCCCAGCGAGCGCCTCTCTTTCACAAACTACTCTCGGTAATCTGCTGTGGAGCTACTTCTAAGCGATTACTGTAGTTCGGTGTACCAGTCGGTACACTCTATATCTGTCGCAACATGACCATCACCTCATTTCCATCTTTCAATCTGTGTTCATTCGGCACTCTCACTACGAGTTCATTCTTCGTCGGTTTCACCAGCATCAACAAGTGTCTGTTGTGTCTACTGGACTTCTTCGGTACTCCTTCAAAAAAAAAAAAAAACAAAAAAAAAAAAAACAACCAAACTCAAGAAGAAAGTTGCTACGAAAAACACCAAAAAGACAGTTAAAACTGCTGTCGCCATGGTGTACACAGCTATTAGATCCCCACCCTCGGCCGTCAAGAAAGTCGGCGCAATGGAAGGTAACACCAAGTTCAAGATCCAAGCAGCAGAGAAAGGAGTTGGGCTGAAGTTCTTTGTAAACCACAAAGCGGACTTTATAGCTCAAGTTTTCCCAACACCTTCCGTTCATATGAAGGAGTTGGAATTCTGAAAGAGTCAGAGTAAGTGTTTCGTCTACAGCAAAGAGGAGATTGAACCACGTAACTTGAAGAGTCGTCTGTAGCTGCAACTATCGAAGATCTCCCTCATCTGTATTGACGAGGGATTAAATTCTCCATGCTCCCTTGGAACCATTCTTTAATCTTCAAATCAGCTCTCTGTCTGTGGGTGAGTCTCCCACACAGATGTTATTCGCGTCCACTTACTGTAATCTAAGCTCCCCTACGTCAGAACCATTTACGGAAGCTCGCCCAACTTCAACTGAAAAACATCATTTCAATGGGGAGGTATCCTGAACCATCAAACGTCAATTGGAATAACTATGAGTCTTCAAACTTATCGCATGCCTCTGGTGGTGTGGAAGCAATCCCTTCATTCTCTTTAGAACGGTACGATAACGCTTTTGACGCTTACGAATTCGAAGAGGAATATCTACAGTCACATCGCCGAACCCATGGTGAAGTCGCTCTTCTCCAACACATGACCACCTTCATTCGTCTCCAGCTTCATCTGGTGGCTCGCCCAGGAAAAACCGAAGAAAGCTCACACACTCTTCAGAAGACGAGATGTTGAAATGTGAGCGGCAGTCTGTGAGACGCAGCAGCAACAGAAATGAGTCTCTTGACCGTAAAGAAGATATTGACGTTTCTACAGGTACACTACGAGTAGTTGCGTTCTGGGTGTCGCCGAGGAATCGAACTGAGTAGCGAAAGGCAACCGCACAGTTCTGGTAACCTATATAACAAGCAAACCTTATTCCCAGTCATATTATGTTAAGGTTATCTGATTATGCACGGGTGCAGACTATTGTAACAATGCCCGATTCTGGTGGGGTTCTAGATCTTTGTTAGTTTCTGTGAAATGTTTAAAAAAACAACAAATCGTTTGTTTTATTTGTCTCGAAGTTGGAGTTTATAGAATTTTGGGCGACTGGACTAGGTAGTGTAGACAATACCACGAAAAATCGCCGGTGTTTGTCCGATGTGTTGTGAAGACACAGAAGAGCTCAATGGATATCTTAGGCGGGAGAGGTTTGAAAAGTTGGCAGTTATATACTTGAGTTGCTTGCTGAATCTGTTAGTGTAATAATAACGACCTTGGGTGGGCTGTGCCTTGGAAAGACATTTAGACAAGCAAACATTAGTTCAGTGAAGGCATAAGGTGAGAGTGGGATTGCCAGAGTCTCGCATAGTGTCCTTAAGTCAATTTGAGAGTAGTTTCAATGGACAAATGGTTTTGTTTTCGAAGTATCGGATATGATCCACAGCCCATCGTCGTTTTTATTTGTAATCGAGTGTCATTCTGTTGTGAAGAGATGTTGCAAAACCAAGTTGAACAGCATGCCATGTGTCTGTGCCTCGGAGTATGTCACATCATGTAACATCAACTTCTGTTGTCCCTTATAACGGAAACACCATACCTGGAAAGCACATTCACCCTCATTCGGTTCCGACAGGGAATGGGGATTGATGGTGTTTCTTGCTGAAAATTCACCCACATCTAGAAACACCGCATTCCTTTGTTGTCTTTGTATACTTTTCCTCCAGTGCCGTCTATCATTGAAGGCTCAAGATTCACATGTGTATCCTGGGCATGGTTTTAGAAGTTGCACGCTGGTTAGCCGAATTTCAGCCGATCGATTTGAAGAGCGATGCTGATTGAATTGCGATATAAACGCAGTTGATCATGTGTGAAAATCAAAGCCGAGGTTACAGATCAATCCTTGACTCGTCACCTACGATTCTGTGTTCTCCGTGCCTGAGCTTTGTGCGTACTCCGGTTTGGTGTGTCCCAGGTACATACACGTATCTTCCACCTCATTGACTACACGGGATTGTGTAGTTGATATCTAAGAGTCCATTCGATTGACTTGTAGAAGTTTGAAAGGCACGGCATACTCAAGAACATGTAAATACAGCTACCGTATGGCAAAATTGAAGACATTAGTTCGTGAAGCAGGCTTATTGACACTGTAATGCCTCTAAATGGCACTGCGACCCCCACATCGGCAAGTTAGGTATGAGAAAATGAACTGCACAGTATGCACAAGTACCTATTTCGACTTCACGTTCTCGGCAACGGGTCGGTATCGTTTCTGTTTGTCTCATGAGACTTCTTGCAACATGATCAGCCACAATGTTGCGATATAGCTTACAAGATCAATTCCCTCGGTCCACTCATACCCCACACTTTCCATGTGAATCGAGTCTTATCACGTTCCCTCCGCCAAGTCGCCCCGTCGCCGCAACAACCGAAGACGATCTCTCCAACGGTGTTAGTGGAAAAGCCTTTTTTGACGGAAAAATGGACACGGGCTGCTGTGCCCTATGCATGCTTCTTAATATGGGTGAGTGTAAACAGTATGCTAGGAAGATGAATTGGCTGTATCTGGGACATTGTAATACTTTCAGACATTGTCAGATCACAAATGGCGCTACTCTCAATGGCCCTTGCAGTGACTAAGCACTCTTAACGAGATGGCCTCCATAGTCGCTTATCTTTGAGCAAATTTCCTTGGATTTTTCCCCTTTCTCCATGCGGCTACCTCGGTACGTGAGGCTAACTGCTGTTTCAGTCAATACCCGGACTATTTTGCCATGTTCCGGCTCTGATGGACTCGGATCTTTTTCATGTGTGCTTGGATTCTGCAACAGCGGGTTTAAGAGTTTTTTGAAGCGGGGAACATTGTGGTGTCAACGGGCATACAAGGAGTATATGGATGTTTTTCTGGGGTCACGTGAGTCGTTTGGAGCCACTTTCCTACGGTGGATATTTAATTCGCTATTTATTTCACCCGCGCCGCTAATGGTGTATACCGGTTCACACTCCCCTCTCCACGCTTTCAGCTGAACCTCGGCTCCCAAATAAGCTTTACGCCGTTTTATGCTCGAGCAGTCAAGCGGGGTGCATCGCAACTTTTATCCGAGTCTGGGGTAGACCAAGAAACGGGCTTTATAAATATCGCTGCCAGGACACCAGAAATATAGTCGGACAGCACAACTGGTTGGATCTCAGAAACAACACTAGAAACAACACAGAGCCGACACAAACGACGTTTAACACAAAAAGCTTAGCTCACACGTTACCGCCTTCTGTATTACACGAAGTACCACAAACCCTACACACATCGCCACTGACATACTTCTCATTTGTCATAACCACCACCACACACACCACACACACCATACACACCATGGCCGAAGAAGTTATTTTCAAGAAGACCTACGTCAATTGTCCCGCGGCTTACCCCCGGAACCATCCCACCTCCACCATGCACCCTGACGACCGTCTCATCGTTCAGGCTGCTATTTACGAGCCCAAGGAGTTGACCAAACCCCTCAAGGGCTCTCCCACCCTCATTTTCCACGCCGCCAACGGAATGCCCCGAGAGGCCTTGATCCCCTTCTTTGAGGATCTGTACAGCCTGCTCAAGGACAACAGCATCCAGCTCAACGGTATCATTGCCTTCGAGGCCGTCAATCAGTGCAACTCCAACATTATCAACGAAAAGTTTCTAGGAGACACGTACGAGTGGAACGATGGTCCCCGAGATCTGCTTTCGGGTCTCTCTTATCTCCGATTCGGCAAGCACCCTCTTATGATGAGCGGTCCTCTTATCGGAATGGGCCACTCTGTGGGAGGCAACATTGTGTTCTCTCTCGCCGAGCAGAACCCCCACTACTTCTGCATGGTGCTGGGTCTGGAGGCTATGCTTCTGCCCGATGAGGCTCGAATCGACATGCGAGACTCGTACGCCGCCCAGTCCTACAAGCGACGAGACATCTGGCCCGATCTGGAGACAGTCAAGAACAAGTTCGCCAAGAACCCTGCCTTCAAGAACTGGGACCCTCGAGCTTTTGGTCTGTACCTCAAGTACGGTTTCCGAGAGCTGCCTACACACCTCTATCCTAACGAGCGAGGAGTCACTCTGTCTACCGATAAGCATGCCGAGACCCACCTGTTTGTGCAGCGAAGCAAGAACCCCAACGCCGAGGTGCCTTTTGAGCGAGAAGAGCCCCACGAAGTGTTCAACGATCTTCTCAAAATCGCCGTGCCCAAGATGTTCCTATGTGCTCAAGATTCCTTCATTGGCATCTTTGAGGAGTATTACCCTCGAATCATGAAGCCCGGAGACGAGTTCCTGATGGTCCCCGGCAGCCATCTGGTCCCCTATGAGCAGCCCAAGGCTATTGCTGAGGCCTTTGTCCCCTTCATCAAGAAGAACTACTTCCAGTGGGTCGAGGATCGAGAGAAGAACATCAAGACCGTTCGAAAGCGAATGATCGACCAGGAGTTTGCAGATCTCATTACCAACAGAGACTCCAAGTTGTAGATGAAGTCCAGAGCAAATACATTTAGATAACAGTGTGCTAGTGAGTGTGTAGTTGCTGTAGGAACAAGAATGTTGTTGCAGGCCCCTTGTAGTGAATCCCCAACACGAGTAGTAATAATAATGTACAGTAAGTGCCGTTTAACAAGGTCACGAATTGCACTATAGTTATCTTAATCGTTGTCTCGTTGTCTGAGCTGCATACATTAATTGTATTATCCTATAGATTCCACATTGTTGAAGTGGGTGAATGGATTTACAGTAGCTTCATTATAGAATTGTTGAATGGTACAAGTACTGTAATCGTATTGTTAACCCATATTCGTTCATTTTGTTGGCCATGTGGACATTCAGTTGTTGCAATTGCGCACCCGGTCAAGCAAGTTAGTACATACTGCACAAACCTATATGATCCATTTCCGGTCATTAATCTCCTCGTAATTTGGAAATCCTGGGCAAACTATATTGATTATTCCAGCTACCTGTCAAACCGCTGTAACTGTCCCGCACTTCAGCGTTCAGGACGTTCAGGGAACCTGCTACAGTATGTACAGTAGTAGCCGTGTGAGGCGTTTAATGGCGAGCTCGGACAGGAAATGAGAGGTCAAGCGAGGCAACCATGTGACAGCAACGAAGTCAACACCAATAATGTATGCCACCACCTTCACTTACACAACCACTCCACTGTACATACAGTACAGTAATGTTAGTCAGAGCTTAGTGGCTGGGCAAGTACAACAACTGGCTTTGAAGAGAGCTGAAGCTCCTCAAGGCTCTATTGGGCGCTAGCAAGCAAATTTTTGGCATTTGGAAAGCCTGATAAGACGCCAATTATTCAATAATACAGCTTTTTCACACCCACCACCTCCCCACCATGTAGCCATCCTCCCTGCATCATCCCCTTACGTGTCATATTCTTAAAGTTTGGTACGCGTCTCGGTTAGACTTCTGGCCATCTTTCACTTTCACACGTATCGGGATTCGTTTTTTTTTCCACACAGCTACACACAACAAGATGGCGGAATTGAGAAATCGCAAGGGCGGGGTGGCTGCCGAGCCTGCGGCAGCCGACTCCACCCCCAAAGTGATGGTCAAGCCCAAAAAGAAGTCCAATGCCAAGTACTTCCAGGCCAACCTGGTGCTGACTCTGCTGGCGTTTCTGACCCGATTCATCATGCTCTCGCACCCCGACGAAGTGGTGTTTGACGAGGTCCACTTTGGCAAGTTTGCCTCCTACTACCTCCAGCGAACCTATTTCTTTGATCTCCATCCTCCCTTCGCCAAGCTGCTTATTGCTGCTGTTGGCTGGCTGATCGGCTACGACGGATCCTTCAAGTTTGAGAACATTGGCGAGAACTACATCACCAACAACGTTCCCTATGTCGCCTACCGAGCGCTTTCGGCCTCCCTGGGCTCCCTGACCGTCCCCATTATCTTCAAGACCCTCCAGTACTCTGGCTACTCCGTGGCTGCTTGCACCATTGGAGCCGCCATTGTGTGTCTGGATAACGCCCATATCAACGACTCGCGACTGATTCTGCTAGATGCCACCCTCAACATCTCCGTGGCCCTGTCGCTCTTCTGCTACGTGCGGTTCTCCAACCAGCGAAAGTCCCCCTTCTCTCTAGCCTGGTGGACGTGGCTCTTCTCCACCGGTATCGCCCTCTCCTGCACCATCTCCACCAAGTATGTCGGAGTCTTTACCTTCATGGCCGTTGGCGGCGCCGTCGTTTACGATCTGTGGCTGCTGCTGGATTACGAGAAGTCTGGTCTCTCGATGAAGGACTTCCTTTGGCACTTTGGAGCTCGAGCCTACGCTCTCATCCTTGTTCCCTTTGTTATCTATCTCGCCTGGTTCCAGGTCCACTTTGTGGTTCTGAACCGATCTGGCCCCGGAGACGCTTTCATGTCCCCTGACTTCCAGGAGACTCTGGGAGATAACTTCCTGGCCCAGCAGGCCCGAGACGTCGAGTTCTACGACATTGTGCGGTTTAAACACAAGTCAACCGGCGCTCTGCTGCACTCCCACGATGCCCGATACCCTCTGCGATACGAGGATGGTCGAATTTCGTCCCAGGGCCAGCAGGTGACTGGATACTCCACTGCTGATCCTAACAATGCCTGGCAGATCCTCCCCGAGAAAGACTTCCCCGAGGACCAGCGAGTTGGCCACCCTGTCTACGGATCGAACAAGGTCCGATTCCGACACCTTGCCACCAACACCTACCTTCTGACCCACGACGTGGCCTCTCCTTACTTCCCCACCAACCAGGAGTTCACGACTGTGTCTCCCGAGGTTGCTGCCGAGCGATACAACGAGACCATCTTCGAGGTGCGACTCAACACTGGCAAGTCCAACAACGTGCGAACCAAGGCCGCCGAGTTCAAGCTGATCCACGACAAGACCAAGGTCGCCATGTGGTCTCACAGTAAACTGCTCCCCGAGTGGGGCTTTGGCCAGTTTGAGATCAACGGAAATAAGAATACCCAGGACCCCACTAACACCTGGACCTTCGACGAGATTGTCGGTCTGTCTCCTGAGCGAGCGGCCTTCACCCCCAAGAAGACCCGTCAGATCCCCTTCCTGCAAAAGTACCTTGAGCTTCAGGGAACCATGTTCCGAGAGAACAACGCTCTGACCGCCTCTCACCCCTACGCCTCCGAGCCCATCACTTGGCCCTTCCTCATTCGAGGTGTGTCTTTCTGGACTAACGCTCCCAACCGAGCCCAGATCTACTTCCACGGTAACTTTGTCGGCTGGTACATTGAGGACATTGTCATTGCTCTGTTTGTTGGCGCGATTGCTGCCGACCAGTTTATGCGAAAACGACAGATCACCACCTTTGGCCGACGAGCTTCCTCAAAGCTCTACCACTCCATGGGCTTCTTCTTCCTTGCCTGGAGCACACATTTCTTCCCCTTCTTCCTCATGGGTCGACAGAAGTTCCTGCATCATTACCTTCCCGCTCATCTGTGCGCTGCTCTGCTTGCCGGTGCCGGCTTCGATTTCATCTTTGGTGAGTTCGACCGACTCGACGAGGAGGCCAACGCTTCCAAGAAGGATCTGGAGTACACCCAGCGAAAGAACAAGCCTCTCCATTTGGCCACCATCACTGTTCTCATTCTGCTGACCGCCTGCTTCCTCTTCTTCTGCCCTCTGACCTACGGACTGGCTAACCAGAGCGTCCAGGCCATTCAATGGCGACAGTGGATGAAGTTTGAGCTTCATTTCAGCAAGTAGATGCGCTGATGCGAAGAATTATATAAGATACGAGCTCATTACGTGAGAGATAATAAAATACTGATTGATTGAGTTGTGTGTGATAGAGTGTGCATGGTGAGTGATTAGGGGGGGACAAGCATTTGAAATGAATTTCACTTCTTATTGTAGCTACTGTAGATACTTCACTCCAAAGAAAAGTGTCAAATAATGAGATATTACACGTAAAATAAGTAGTGGAATACTTGGTGTAGATCACACCTTGTTGAGATGGGATCTCAAACGTTCTGGATCTACAAATGTAACCCTGTAAACCACTACTGAAGATCATCTTCGGTAAACACCTCAAAGAACACTCCAAGTATTTCCATTGCCTCGGCTCTCTCATCCGCACCATGTACATACTCACTCAACAACTGACCTACAATACGTTCTGTGCAGCTCCTCTCTCATACATCGGCTTTAAGATAAAGTTTCGGAGAAGCTCGAACCAGATGCTTGTCTGAGTGCGTAAATCTACCGTTGGGGACACGATAGGCCCAGCGAAAACGGCGTTCACATGCGTGTCGCACAAAAAAGGAACAAGATTTGCTCAATGGACACGGTACTGTCTTCTCTGGGGTCACGTGACGTAAGGTGGAGCTCTGGAACACGCATATCCGCTGCATCACCGGACGCAGCTTCGCACCTTGATTTATAACCAAGGTTCGTCTTCCCCGCAAGTGGGGAAAGACATTTGGGGGATGCTGTGGGATGTCTTGGTGACGTTTAGGGGTGGCAAAACGGAGAATTTTGCACATTAAGGGGGCTGTATCTGCACAGTGCATGCAGATCTATTTACGTGACTCTACATGACTCAATAAATGCGTCGGATGCACATGTAACATGTGTGGTATCCTTCCAAAGAGTCGTGTTTGATAGTCATTTAGACTCTCTCGACTCCCCCCACAGACGCAGACTCTAAAAGGTTATTCCGCCCACCTTCTGAAGTGGTACTTAAAGGCAACTTATTGACTCTCTCTCTATAACTGCAAGCACACCAGCAACAATGTCAGTCGCGCCAAGCTCCAACCCCAATCCGATCCACCACCTGTCGCGTGTTGAAGACGTTCCTCTGTCACAGACGTTTCGGGGCAACATCACCGACTTTGTGCGATCTGGAGGATTTGCTGACGACGACTCTAAGCCCTGTTGTATCGATGCGAAAACTGGCCAACAACTGACACAGAAACAAGTGTGGGACTACGCCGACAAGTTTAGAGCACTCCTCCACCATGACAACAATCTGTGTCCTTTCAATGCCAACACCACCGATCCAGCTCTTGGAGACGTCATGATCACCCTCGTGCCCAACCACCTGTTTATTACGTCTCTGCATTTTGCCGCACTTGATCTGGGTGCGACAGTGTCACCTGGCTCGGCTGGATACACTGTGGCGGAGCTCGTCAACCAGATCAATCTCACCGGAGCTTCTCTGATCGTGTACACTCGACCCGTCTTCAAGGTTGTGCGAGAGGCGCTAGCTCAGATTGTGGTACCAGTCAAGATTGTGGAGTTTGAGGGTCTGATTGAACGGGCAGAGTTTGTTCAGAGCCACAAAATCCAGTCCACAAAGAAGGTGACACTTTCTCCTGAGGAGTCTTACTCGAGAATCGCATACCTGGGCATGTCTTCAGGCACCTCCGGAGGTCTTCCTAAGGCCGTCCGATTGTCGCATTTCAACATGGCGAGTTCTGCCGAGCTCTCCAAGCGAGCTGCACCTTCAATTGCAGGATCTGAGCAGATTGCAGGAGCCATTATCCCTGTTAACCATGTCTATGGTCTCGCCAAGTTCCTGATTGCCATGCCAAAATCAGGAGCCACCACAGTCTTCCACTCCAAATTTGACCTCATTGAGATCCTCGAGGCCCAACAAAAGTACAAGGTTAACATGTACGCCCTTGTTCCTCCCATCATTGTCGTTCTGGCTAAACACCCTGCTGTTGAGAAGTACATTCCTTCGCTGAGGGAACACCTTCGATACGTGTCTTCTGGAGCTGCTCCTCTGGGTGCCAACGTCATTGAGGCTTGCAACAAGCGCCTTGCGGGAACTGCTTCTGGAGAAAACGAGTTTGGAGGTCTCAAAATTGTTCAGGGCTACGGTCTCACTGAAACCTCCCCTGTGGTTTCTACTTTCGATCCCAACGATCCTGAGCGACATGCTCGGTCATGTGGAAAGCTGGTTCCCAACACCCAGGCACGAATCGTGTCGGAGGACGGAGTTGATCAGCCTGCATATGAGCTTAAGGACCTGTCTCAGTTGGAGGCCGAGCTAAAGAAGGGGAACCTTCCCACCGGTGAGTTGTGGCTTCGAGGTCCCCAGATTATGGATGGTTACCATAAGAACGACGAGGCCAACGCTGAGTCGTTTGTCGACGCCACTGACTACACTTCCAACATGCCCTTCTACATGAAGCGGTGGTTCCGAACTGGTGATGTTGCTCTAGTTGATACTCTGGGCCGGTACATGATTGTAGATCGAACCAAAGAGATGATCAAGAGCATGAGTAAGCAGGTTGCTCCTGCTGAGCTGGAGGATATTCTGCTGGGCCATCCCCAGGTAGCAGATGCTGCTGTAATTGGTGTTCAGCAGGTGGAGAAGGGCACTGAGGCTCCCCGGGCGTTCGTGGTGCTTCGAGATCCCAAGTTTGATGCAGTGGAGATCAAAAAGTGGATGGACGCCCAGGTGCCCAAGTATAAACAACTTCATGGAGGTGTGGTTGTTCTGGATGCTGTTCCCAAGAATGCCAGTGGCAAGATTCTCAGACGACTGCTCCGTCAGCGAGAGAATGACGTTGTTCTTGGACTCGACAAGGCCAAGTTGTAGACAGATGTTAGATTGAATGAGATTTTGAATGATGAGCGGTACTTGTTTAGGTCTCAATTATTACAGATGGTGATAGTCCTATACATACTCTTTAAACCACTATCGTACGACCGCTCGCTACTACATTAGGGACCTTTCAAGTCCAGGAGCTACTTTATTTACTGTAGCACCTGCCACCAACCTTGGGCTGGTTATCATAAGCATGACCTTCAGGGAAACTTCGTAATACTGCCCAGAAGAAGGTCATTGCTCATTCGCACATACAGCACTCGTATATTTGTCGTATATTTGTGTATCATATCTCGTCTGTATTCGGATCTGCCGTGTCTGTTTCACGCAATACGATGCATCTTGTCTGTTCTGCCACACGGTGAGATCTATTCATTGACAGAAACAGGATTCTTGTATGTCCAAAAGCAGTCTAATGAACTTTTATAATTTTGGGGGGAGGAAGGTCATGTATCAAGTTGATGGCACACCATCATCATTTTATTTGTCACTTTTCGCGCATTACTGAATTTTGCCCTCTTCATCACCTCATGTCACACGCATGCTCTCTGCAAACCACTTTTGGACGAGTCAATAGAAACTCAATCATCTACTCTAAACAAGCCAATGAGCTCATATAGAAAAATGCCCGGGGATTTGAGAGCTCCTCCAAACACACACAACCATGAAAAACGACTACAAAAACTCGATTGAGATGGAGTCCATCGCGGGGTCCGTCTCGGAGGAGTCTATACCCGAATCTTCTCTACCACCCTACACAGAGTTCGACAAGCCAGCTGAGCCATGTTCAGTCTTCAAGTTCACAATAAAGAGCGATCTTCCATACATCTTTGTTGGAATTGTGTGCTGTGCGCTAGAGGCTGGTGTGGGACCGCTACAGACAGTGCTTATGGGCAAGATTTTCGACACCTTAGCTAAGCATATGAAGGGAACTCTGGAGAACAAGTTCATGGCAGAGATTGGAAAATACTGTGGCATGTCGTTGGGTCTGGTATTTCTGGGTTTTTGCACCGACTTCTTTTCCAACATTGCCTTCATATATTACGGAGACAGGCAGCTGCTGCGACTCTCCCGCAAGATCAAAGATACATTTGTCAAGTACAAGTCCATGGCCTGGTACGACCACAACCAGGGAGTACAGGGCAGCCTCAATGTTGCCTTTCGAAATATTGAAGATATTCAGGGGGCCTGTTGCTCTGCTATCGCCTTCGCTATCAAGGACGTACTCACTATCGCCATCTCTATGGGAGTTGCTATGTACCATTCGTGGAGTTTGACATTGGTGATCATGGCAGGTTTACCTATAATTGTTCTGGTAGCTATGGGAGTGGCACCTCGTCTTCAGAGACACTTCAGAGACTACAAGGGGGTTATCACTGACGCTTCCGTCATGATTGACTGGTCTATGTCCGGCCTACAACATGTCAAGCTCTCCAACGGCGAGAAGAAACAAATGTCGATTCTTCAGTATCAGATGCATCTTGCTACCATATGCTACATGAAGTTCACAACATGGTCTGCTGCTCAGCAGGCGTTCATGCAGGTACTTGCACTGATCATGTTCGTCCAGGGTTTCTGGTTTGGGGCCAAGCAGGTTCAAATCGGAAACTTGACTGCTGGAGCGGTCATGACCTGTTTCTTTTCGGCAATGGCTGTCACGTCCCATATTGCTTCCATCACCGGACAGATGATGTCGATCATGAAAGCCATGGTATCTGCAGGACTCGTCAACCAGCTCATCAACAGCGCCAAGCCCAGCAAGGTAGATGTTAGACAATATCCTGAGAAGTGCGATGGAAACATCATTTTCAACGGTGTCACTTTTGCCTACCCTACTCGTCCTGGTGTTCCTGTTCTCAAAAACGTCAAGCTGGAGTTCAAACAGGGCCAGACTACGTTTGTGGTTGGTCAGAGCGGTTCCGGCAAATCGACTATCTCCAACCTTCTCCTTCAAGTTTATGACAGCTACGACGGAGAGATACGAGTGGACGGATTTGAAACTAGAGGTGTTTCTACCCGTTGGCTGTATGAGAGCATCAATGTTGTTAGACAATCCACAGCTCTGTTTGAAACTTCCATCCGAGAAAACATCCAGCTGGGAAGAGGCGCAGAATGGAAGTCTGCTACTGAACACGACATCGACAAGGCTTGTCAGTTTGCTCTATTGTCATCTACGATATGTGATCTCCCCCTTGGACTGGACACCAAAACCACTAATCTGTCCGGAGGTCAACGCCAGCGAGTTGCTTTGGCTCGTGCCTACGTCAGAAACTCGCCCGTTCTCATCATGGACGAGTCTTTGTCTGCTCTCGATATCGTATTTAGAGAACTCATGGTTGAGGCTATTCGCAAATGGCGAAAGAACAAGACCACCATTGTTGTCACCCACGAGTTGTCTCAGATTCAGTCTGGGGACTATGTCTATCTTATGAGAGACGGTGAGGTTGTTCAAAGCGGTCTGCGAAAAGATATCGAGAATGTGGGCTATTTCAAGGAGCTCAGAGAACAAGGACAGACCAAGGAGGCAGATAAGGAGGCTCCACCAGTCAACGAGATTGGTGACTTTGACCAAAACATGATCAGAAATACCTACATTCCCATGAAAACCACAAGAGGAGTGCGGAAGTGGGTTGATGTGAAACCCCCACCTCAGAGAGATGTTCTAGATCGGAAACGAAAACCTGTGGGCTACTTTGAGTTCTCTAAGCTAGTGCTCAAAACAATCCCCAACAAGCCCTTGTTCTACTCCGGTCTGCTTCTCTCGTTTCTTCTAGGTGCTGCCAATCCTGCGTTCGGATGGACCATTTCGCAGGTGATTTCTCAAATCATGCCCAACGGAGAGAGCGACTCTTCTCTTAACAAAACACTGGTAAAATGGAGTCTGATAGTTATTGGTATTGCTTTGTTGCAGGGTGCGCTGGCTTTCTTACACACGTATACTCTAGAACGAGCTGCCAATGGATGGGCTGTGTTTTTGCGAAAGTCGAGTTTCAAGACCGTTGTGACTCGAGAAATGAGCTGGTTCTCCAGAGCTGTGGACTCAGATCACGATACGCCCGATATAGGGCCCTTCCACTTTGACAGAAACTCCTCAGGTATCACCGAGCTGATTATCAACGAGACCGAAGAATTACGGTCGGCTGTGACCACCTTCTTTTCAGCGGTCATTAGTATTTTCACCATATGCGTCGTTGGTTTCATCTGGTCGCTGGTTCAGGGCTGGAAATTGACGCTTGTGTCCTTCTCCATCTTCCCAGGCTTCCTTCTTACCTCTCAGCTCTATGCCTACGTTTCCTCCGTCTGGGAAATGGGTCTTAGAGAGCGTATTGTGCGTGTCCAGAGTCTCATCCATGAGTGTGTTACTGGAGTGTCTGAGGTGAGAATCCTTAACCTGGAGAATTATTTCGAGCACAAATACATCAAGCTGGAAGATGCCGTTTTGAAGTACGCCAAAATGAGAGCGTTTTTGGTGTCTATCACCTATGCATCCCATCAGATGTTCACTCCTCTGCTTCAGGTTATCATTCTCTGGGTTGGTATGAAGCTGATCAACGACGGAGAGTACACCATGGAGAAGCTAATGGGAGTGATGGTGATTCTCATTCAAGCCATGACTACCGCCGCGGGTGCTCTAGAGACCATTCCTCAAATGTCTAAGGGCATGAACGTCACCAAGACACTGTTTGCTCTGATGGACGAGGGTCGTGCAGAGACTTCTGAGGATGGAGGAACCGAATGTCCTGACCTACATGGAGAGATCGTCTTCAGAGGCGTGGACTTTTCCTACCAATCTCGAAAGGAAGCTCCTGTTCTCAACAACTTCTCAATGAAGGTCGCCAGTCAAGAGGCAGTCGTTATTGTTGGCCCTTCGGGTTCTGGAAAGAGTACCATCACCAATCTGTTGACGAAACTGTACCCTTACAGACGAGGTATTGTCTCAATTGGAAGACATGACATTCGTGACATTGACACTGCTTACCTTCGACAGCGATTAGCTGTTGTCACCCAGTCTGCTGCGTTCTATAACGGATCCATCACCTCAAACCTGACATATGGTTGTGCTGCTGACCCTGAGGAGATAGAGCGGGTCTGCAAGCTTGTTGGTATCCACGACTTTATCATGTCCTTGTCTGATGGTTACAACACAGTCATTGGCAACGAGACTGGTTCGGGAACAGCTCTTCTCTCTGGAGGTCAGTCTCAGCGACTGTCTATTGCTAGAGCTCTTCTTCGTAAACCTCAGATTTTAATTCTGGACGAGTGTACTTCTGCCCTGGATAATGCCTCGGCTAAGGTGGTTCATGAGCTCATTCTCAAGCTGAAGAAAATGCGAAAGGTGACCATGATTGTCATCACACATTCTCATGAGCTCATGAAGCTTGGAGATCGTGTACTGGTGTTGGGAGCTCATGGAGAGGGGGTGGTTGAGCAGGGTCCTTACAAGGAACTGATAAGCCATAGGGGACCCCTTTACACTCTGGTGAATGGTGGTATTTGTCATTGATCCATTCTCTATTTTATTATATAATTGTATTATTTATATTACCTTGACTCTGTAGCAAACCTCTTCCTAGCAAACCTCTCTTGGTACCAAAACATATGTTTGTTGTTGTTTCTCTCTTCTGACATCATTACATTACAAATCTCCCATATGTATAAACAGTCTCCCCCTTCCATCTTCATTGTCTATCAAGTGCTTCACTGATGTTGAATGTCATTCTGAATGAGTCATTGTAACAACCATGATATGGAGAACAATGACTGACTCATTCAGAGTTCTTCGGGCTGGGTGATCCTTTTTCTTTAATCGTCAGTAATGTCTTAATTAAATAATAAGTCTACATAGCCCACTCTCCAGCAGGAGTGAGATTCTCTCCAAGCTTTCGAATCTCCTTGAGGTCGAGGTCAAGCAGCTTCTCTGCCAGCTTTCGAGGGTTGTAATGACCGTACTTGATGGTCTTGTTTCCAACAAGGGCAACCTCATCGGAGGGCCAGGGAGACTCATCGTAGACGAACTTGATCAGGTTGGTCTGGTACTTGTTGGCCAGTTCGATGGCCCACTCAGGGAGGTTGGGAAGACATTTCCACATGAAGACAAGATCGACAGCATGACGGGCCCTAAGAGAAGGGTCAAAGGGATCAACCTGGTCGAAGAACTGTCGGTAGACGTCAACACCTCCCTTTTCCAGTTGGCCGAGTAGCTCTGCGTTAGACACGACAAAGAAACTATCTCCTCGGAACTTGCACACCTCGGCACCGGTCAAGATGCTGTAGATATCCTTGACCTTCTTTCCGGTCTCGGAGGAGTTGAGAAGAGGTTCGATCTCGGCAGGTGGCACCACTCGCTTCACAAATAGAGAACCCTCATAGTCGTTGTCGGAGACAAGAGCGGTTCTGAGCTTGGGAATGGCTTGCAGCAGGTTGTCAGGCAAAAAGTCATCGTAAGCATAGAAGCCAAAGGGGTATTCGATCTTGAATCCGGCCGTGACGAGAGCGTAGGGAGGGACCTTGGTAGGGTCATCGAGATCCGCCTCTTCAACACCAAGCTCCTTAGCAGCCTTGGCTCGGTAAGTATCAAGATAAGCAACCGGAAGAGGAAGGAAACAGCCCAGAGATCCGGAAGACATGAAGGCTCGGCTGATAACGCCATGGTGCTCGAGGCCGTCCTTCAGAACAAGAGCGTGGACACCAATTGAGCCAGAAGACTCTCCTCCAACAGTCACTCGCTGAGAGTCTCCTCCAAATTCACCAATGAACTTGTTAACCCACTGAACTGAAGTCCACTGGTCTCGCAGACCCCAGTTACCCTTTCCATCCTTGGAGGTGGAGTAACCAAGCATACCGAGTCGATACTCAATGACAACCATGATGACAGGCTTGCCGATTGCAGCAGAGTGCTCCACAAACGGAGTAGGATCGGTTCGCTTGCTGTAAATGTTTCCAACCAAGTTGGCACCTCCGTGGATGTACAAGTAGACGGGAAGGGGGTGCTTGAAGTCGCCCTTGGGCTTCACGATCCGCAGGTTGGTGCACAGAAGCTCGTCGCTCTTGTACTCGCCATCGTGCATATCGTGTTTGTTGGGCAGCTGGGGACAATCGTATCCGTCTTCGGTACAGTCGATGGTCTTTCCCTCAAAGTCAGTCTTGAGAATAGGAGGAGCAAACCGGTGCTTGACATCGGCGTACAGAACGTTCTTCCACTGGATGGTCTCCCCAATGGGGACTCCCTCAAAAGAGCCATTGAGTGCTTTCGAGTTAATTGTAGTCATGGTGTGTGTGTGATTGTGTAGTTGGAGTTTCTGATGGGTTGACACTTCCAAGTCACTGGGTGATTATATATATCCGTCATCAGTTGTAGTTTCCCTTGGTTCATGCAGCCCAGATGCGCTAATAAATCCAAACGACCTTAGCTTCGGCGTTAGTGAGCTAGCCGAGAGTTTAACGTCGGCACGTTGACGGATCAAAGAAGATATGTCGACTTTAGGGGGAAATGAGACCACGAATAGTTACTCAATTGCAACTGCACAGCCTCATTGTATTATGTAATCATTTCACAATGTCACGAATACTTCGACGCCCCTGTAAAATCCTGTCTACTAACGCCACCCGAGCGTATGTACTGTACTACACTTCTCGCACCGATACCTTCTGTACTCCGTGCAGTTCGGACATGGTTAACTACAGTAGTTCCGAATCTCCGACCAACGGCTGCCTGCGCGAGCGGCTAACCTTCAATCACGAAAGAGACCTTTTTGCAGCTCGTGGAACCGCCACAGGTATTTGTTGTGTGGCGACCTTCTTCGAAATTAGCCGGGGTACAGTACGATGATGGTCCCAAAATAGTCCCATATGCATTGTTTAGCCACCTGTCAAAGTGGGGTAAGCTGGAAGATGGTCTACTGTGCTACTTGTAGTCTAGACCGCCCACACGATCGCCAGCGTTAGACTGGTTTTCGTCATGCACTGAGTTTCGGACGACAGAGTGGGTCTCTGTAGTTGTCACTGTTGAATCAAGATGCGGGGCCGAGGTTCAAGTCGTGCTTGCTTTCAAATTTCTCTATTTTTCTAGCCGGACGTCTTTTCGTGATAGATTCAGCGTGAATGATGCATTGCTCGTGGACATGCCACAATGGTTCGATCTTCTGTCTAAGAGACGCGCAAGAACACACCACTTATAGTAAAACTGAGATGGTATGGTTAGTTGGTTGAGCCGGATGACAGTACATACAGCATGACAGTACATTCGGATCCATAGGTTGATACGATGGGGTAACTGGGATAACGGGGTATTGGCGAATCGAATGGAACCATCAGTATCTTACAGGTCTCATCGCACTTGGTCAATTATCGTGAGCGAATATCAGTACAGCACTCCTACAGCAACCAACTGACACGCCCAAAGGCGATGCTGGAGCATTTGGGATGACAACACCATTAATCATATATATATATATATATATATATATATAGAGAGAGAGAGAGAGAGCGCGCGTAAATACATTCGCTCTTATCAGGCGCCACACCGAGTCTTATTCACTCCTTTATTTCACTCTACCACTTCTTTTATAGTCGCCCAACCTCCTTAATAGAGCCCAAACTATAGCATGTACTGTACTGTACTGTAGCTGGAGTGAAAGTGTGTTGGGGTCATGTTTTTGGGAGCGTCACGAGTGGAAGGGGCAGACTACAAATACCATGACCAAACAAAACATGGGGAAATAAAATGTCCACGCTAACACATAGACACGCCTCGTGGACGGTGCAGGTGTGTACGACTGCTCACATGACGCTCCATTGATGCAGCGGTTCTGTCTTGTAATCTGTCTTCTGCCTCTGGTCTACTTGTAGCACATCACCAGCTCCATCACGTCAGACGACCTCATTAGCTAATCAAACTCCGGATGCGTGATTGGGATGGAAAAGGAGCCACCATAGCAGACGGATTTGTTGATTTGTGTTGAATCGAGCCGGGACCGTCACTCCACTCACCCCACCTGGTGAACACCTGTGGAGAACATGGTCCACACGACCTGTCTGATGTGTCGAGACCCGCTGAGGCGGCTGAATGCCACTCCTCCACCGGGCGTGCGGATGACTGGATCGCACACATTGCCACACCTCAGACGTTACATCTCCTTTCCGACGGGTTCCACGCCTTGTTCTGGAGCTGATTGTCACGCTGGCTGGAAGGTGTTATTCTCTCGTCAGGCTAAAAAGCCCAGGGCGCTAACGTATAATATTGGCCGATGCAACAGTTGACTTGGAGGAGCAAGATAAAGGAAGGAAACGAAAAGTCAGCTACAGCATAGACGACACACACGCGCTGCACACATCACCCTACGTATAGGGTAAACCCCTCCTATAACCCCCCTCATTTTTTGAGATTGTTATGAGACAAATGACTTGGAAGTTACAATTCCACCACAGCCATTGGTGGATAATTACAACTGCAACAGCATGAACCAGTCCCCGCCGGTGTGTTTTCTAACCCTCATTGCGCTTGTCTACCTGTACTGGTTTGCCACTAATCTCCACACTACTCTGACAATGTTACCACACGCTAGACCAGGCGAGTACGTAATCCAAGCACGTCCCCAAAGCCTACCACGTCCCTTTCACTCCCCCAAGGGTTATATATAAACACGACCGGTAAGATGCGCATCCCACGGCGAATGTATATAACCCATGTCTTCAGCTTCGGTCCCAGTATCACCATGACCACCGAATACGCATATTACTATCTTGATCCAAGTGAGTGTGAGCTGCCTAGCGCAAGTAGCGGTTGGCTACGTTGGAACGCGATCCCAGGGTCTTTTGATTCCAAATTCCCATGTTATCTTGATCCATTTTTCTGATCCATTGCTTCCTGTTGATCCATGGCTTGTATCCATGATGTGTTTCTCTTGATTTCCACTCCATGGTATCTTCTTACCCACCTTCTACTGACCAGATTGGAACGCCTACACGGCCACCACGGAGGAGCTTGTCATCATCTGCGGCAACCACGACCTGACGTATAGCCTGCCGGTCCGCCGCTTGGAGCTCATCTACGTGGTGCTCACGGCAATTCCGGAAATCCGCGCCGAAATTGCCGCCTACAGTGATTGCGGAACCCCATGAGACTACCTTTTGTCTTTTCTCCATGCCTTTCCTTCGTGTCTTGTCTTCTTGACCCTTCTGGCACCCCGTTGCAACCCCAATCATTGTATTATCAAATGTAGATATTTATGTAACCCAATAATGTAATAGAGAGCTGAGCTGAAGTGGGTGGGTTAGAAGAATGTGAATAGTGTGGAGTGAGGGTTAGCTGTGCCAACAAACCGTTGTGTCAGTTGTCTGTGTACGAATGCGATAGGAATACTGTACCAATACATACTGTACCGGTACGAGTAGTTGTATCGTTTTACTGTGTCTCACCAAGAAATAATCCCTACTTATATACGATACTCCACAGAACCACTGCAACCCCAAAAATCACACCTCAACTCATCTCAAACAGACGCATTCGGTGTCGTCTCAGGAGTCGTCTCTATACCCCCTTGTGTCATTGTCATGCTGTCGCTAACATCCAGACTAATGCATTCGTAGCACTAAATTACACGCACTATACGCTGGTGAATACGTGCCTATGTAGAGGGAGTAGAACGTGTCGCACGTTTATACAGGCCTCCATCAGAAGGAGTTTCTTCTCCATTGGTGCAGCCTGAAAACACGCTCTATCTCATTTTTACTTCATGCTATAGTAAACATTTCATCTATTCACAGTAGAAACGAAACTGCCTTTATAATCAGAGACAGTAACGGCCTGACCAACTTTCAATTCAAACTTGGCATTGTCCTTGTTTGACCTCTCTGTCACGTTCTACGAAAGACTACAGTATTGCACCGCTTGTTTTTGCACAACCGTACTTATCATACTCTGCTGATCCACCGAGTCATTGGTAGTACTGCTTCCATACAGCTCATCTACTCATTAATTATATAGTCTAACACCTCTAACGATCGCCAAAGAGCTCTCTAAAGATGGAGACAAACATAGGGGATATCGTCGACATCCTCACCGTCCTGGTCCTCGGCACAAACCTCAAAGATCAGAGTCTTAACGTGAGGCTCGAGCTTCTTCTTAGTGACGGCCTCCACCAGCTCGGTCAGAGTCAAATCGTACTTCTCGTTGAGCTTGGCAGGAGGGAAGAAGGAGGCGTACAGGAGAGACACGTTCTGGGACAGCATGGTCACCGTCAGGTTGTAGTTCTTCTCAAAGAACTCCAAAAACTGCTTGAGAGTCAAGTTCTCGTGAATGTCGTATCGACCCCAGATCTTGTCCAGCTCGACACCAGCAATCTCCATCTTCTGCGAAGCAATGGGCTCAGAGAAGCCCAGAAAAGGCAGAGCGAGATTGACAAAGCCGTTCTTGTAGTCCTCGATCACCTCTCGCTTGTCCACCACCTTGTAGAGCTCCAGACAGACAAGACCAGTCACCAGAGCAGTGGTGGTAGCAATAGCGGGAATGATTCGTCCAGCAATGAACTTGGTCTTGTGTCGATCAGCGCCGTCAATAGCGTAGTTCTGAGCTCGACAGTTGGAGGCAGCCGTGATGAACTGGATGTGGAAGTTGGTGTCATCGTCCTTCTCAAACTCAACGGGAGTGAGTCGGAAACCAGCCAGAGAAGAAGGAGGAGGCAGCGAGTTGGCCAGCTGGGTCAGCTCCTCGGAGTCGGCATCCACAGGGTCGACGCTCTCGTTCTCGTTGGCCTGGATCTTAATACCGGACTTGGGTTCAAACTTGGGCACAGTCATGTTGTCCACAACTTCCTTGTACTCAGAAACATCAAGGTCATCACCTCGGATACCGTAGTTGAAGGCTCGCAGATTAGCGCCAGCAATGAGAAAATCCAGATGGTCCTGGTTGTTGAAATCAAATTCGAGAGCGTCAGGAGCTCGCTTAGGTCCAGACCAGAAAGGAGCACCAGTAGAAGTGGTGGCGTCCTTGGGGAAGTTGTACAGAAGCTGACTAATGTCGCCGTTGAACTTCTTCTCAAACTCCAGACGGGCCCACTGGACACACTCCTTGAAAGTCGTAGGTCGTTCGTCCACCAGGTACGACTTGATGTTCTCCAGAATAGACTTCTGGTCACCAGTCTGCTTGAGGGTGGACTCCACAAAATTGGGCTGGCTCAGAAACAGATTCACAGACTCAACATTGTCGGTAAAGTAGCCCTGGAAGATGGATTTGGCCCAGGCAATCGTGTGGTCAACCTTATTAGGGAAAGATCGCAGAGTACAGAGGGGAATGCCCTTCTCAGGGGGATCCTGGGAGGAAGAGTACGATTCAGTCAGGTTGGGGTAGACAACCTGCACGTTACCCTTGGTTCCCAGGGTTCCTGACTCGAGCAGAGGCTTCTGGAAAAAGACACATCGTCGATCGACGTAGGTTCGGGCGTCAACGTTGTCCAGAGCGTTAGTCACAAAGTCCAGAGACTTCCAGAACGAGTCGTCGAAGATGTTCTCGGTATCGGGACCGACCTTGTCGAGCTTGGCATCAAAGTGGCCCTTGAGATCAGGGTTCATCTCTGCCACAGCCTCGGTAGCGGTCACGGACTTGTGTTTGCCCACATCCTTGGGTCGGAACAGAAACTGTCGGTTAAGGTTGGACTTCTCAATCACGTCGTTATCGGTCACGTGGATCTCTCCGTCCTTTCCAAGACCCATGAGAGCCCAGTTCTTAAGCATCTCGCAACCGATGGCTCCAGAGCCAACCAGGAAAGTCTTAACAGCAAAAATCTTCTCGGTGAACTCCTTACCAAAGACGGCAACCTGTCGGTCATATCGCGAGCCGGTGGGAGCCACAGACTGCTCAGTTAGAGCCACGTCCTTGGGCAGAGACTCCAAAGAGTCGAAGTAGACCCACTGTCGGATGGGGCCAAACTTGCCCGAGCAGCCCTTCAGTACCTCCTGGGCAGCCATTCCACCAAAGAGAGCAGTCATGGCGGGCAGTTCACCAGCGGCCTGGAAAGACAGCTGGGTGAGCAGCTTTTCGTCGATTTCGCCTCCAGAAAGCACGTCGGGGTACTCTGCAGTGACGCTCTTGGCCAGGTGCAGCACCTCGTTGGCGTCCTCGGTATTCTGAGGTCGGGGGGCTCGACCGTGCTTCTGCTGGAACGCCTGGACGGCCATGAAGCCGACATGTAGCTGTGCGGGTCGCTCCATCTTGGCGAAGTCGGAAATCAGTAACTCGGGCTTGGCCAGCTGCTCCTTGAGCGAACCAAACGAAATCTCCTGGGGCATCTTGACCTGGGTGAAAAGACCTCCCTTCTTGTAGGTGCCCAGACCGTCAACAGAACCAATATTGAACGAATAAGGACCTGTGACCTTGATCTTTCGGGGAGTGTCACCGTTGATATCGAGACCCTCGACCTCAGTGAACTTAACATAATCTCCATCCTCAAGGTTGTGTCGAGTCTCATCGAGAGCAGCAACGTTACCCTCCTCGTCAATACCGGCAATGATTCCGGAATGGGGCTCCTCTCCGTTGGCGTCAATCAGAGCAAAAGATGAGCCAAAATCGACAAAGATGTTACCGAAAAGACCTCGGGTGTCTGTGCTGACAAACCCAATATTCTGCTTGTGTGTGATTTCGTTGACTCGAATCTGTTCTTCTAGAGAAGCATTGGTCAGCACAACCACCTGGAATCGAGCCACCTCCTCCTCGGAGAGATCCTTGGCCTCCAAAACGTGCACAGGAACGTACGAATTGAGCTCTGCCAGTCGAGGCTGAGACACCTGGTCTCGTCGCTTGCCCACGTCGTCCTCTCGCAGGAAAAACTGGGCACTGAGATCTGCAACCTCGGTCTTGCCGGGGTCATACAGAGTCAGCGACTTGACTCCAGCCAGAACAATGTTCTTGGCAATCTCAATTCCCAGACCCTGGAGACCCACGATAAGAACGTTGGAGTTGGCCATCTTCTTCATGGCCTCGTGTCCAAGCACATAGAGCTGTCGCGAGTACAGGGACTCATCAATTTCGCCTGCGTTGTCGATTTGCATCTTGTCTGACTTGTCTGACATTGCAAAAGTGGTAGTTGTGTAAGTGTAGATTGAACTGTGGCAAGGAATCGTGTGGAACTAAGTGTCGTCAACCTTGATGTTGGGTTAGGGTAAACGGAGATAATGTGGAGCAATGAATAATTGAGGACATTATATATAGAGAAAGGGAGGTTTGGGTTTAAGGTTGAGTCATAAGGGCCTTTTAGTTGCTTACCAATTGATTTGCTATCTTCGTTTGCTACATGTTTGTCGTATTAGAAGTCTTTAGTCAGCACCACCACGCTGTATCAAAATCAGGTCACCCGCAGCTTACGTAATTAGCTATCTACCAAATAAACTTCGCTCCCAACGCTAACCACGCCTGCACCAACATCGTGCAGAAATTTATTTGTGAGTTTCACTATCAACCACACAACACTATGACTGACCGAAGACGAGTTTTGGGGCCTGCTGACGCGGTGCCATTCACCCTGGACAACATCAAGCCGACCGAGGTTGAGCAGAAAAGCCTGGATATCGGCAGCATCTTCGTCAAGACCGGAGTGGTCGAAAACGCAAACGGATCGGCCTACTTGGAGCTGGATGATATCAAAATTGTGGCCATTGTCCATGGTCCTCGACCTATGAGAGGTCTGTTCACAACATCGGCCATCCTGAACGTGGACACAAAATTTCTCCCTGTCTCTCTCTGCGATATTGAGAGTAAGAGTGCTGTGGTTAGCTCCACCCAGCTGACCCAATACATTCGATCTGCCAGCACCACACAGAGCTCTTCTCTGCAGAAGAACGTTTCATCGTACGTCCACACCTCTCTCCTGCCCAGCATATTGGTCGAGAAGTACCCCAAGTCCACCATCGATGTCAGCATATCAGTTCTGTCTTCTTCCAATAATACCAAGACCACCGTGGCTGCCGCAGTTTCGTGCGCTGGCGCCGCTCTGGCCGATTCCGGTCTCGAGTGCACCGATATTGTGACAGCAGGAAGTGTGCTGCTCGATGAGAACAAGGCAACTGTGTCGCCCTCAAGAGCACCTACCAGCGAGATTGACGGAGTAGTATCCTACATGGCAGCAAGCAAGAAGATTGTGGGCATGTGGATTGAAGGCGGTAACGTGAGCGAGAAGCAGATGGAGGAGATTTTCGACAAGACCGAGGAGATGGCCCGGGAGATCAGAGGAGTCATGCATGGAGTTTTGTTGGAGCAATAAGGAATGACTGGAATGAGTCTGTGAGCATGCGTGGAAAACTTAGTGGCACAACATACTGAGGGTGTCATAAGTATCCTCACCGATAGAATGGTTCACCGACCACGTGAATGGAGGAGTGCACAGAGTCATACAGCAGCTAGGGTGCTTGATGTCGCGTTTAAAACACAACCAACCAAACTACGGGTACATAATATTACATAGATAACGCATTGAACATTACATGTTACGTAGTTGTAAGTGTCAATTGCGGTCAATCAATGTACTGTCATCACCATTCTATCTACTATAGACCCCTACGTCAAGGTCTGTAGCCCGTGGCCCAGAATTACACGTCACTCGCAACTCTGGTTTGTGCTCTTCACTTGATCCGATATTTGTTGACACACACACACACACACACACACGTTCTTCCAGATATGCTCTCTGCAAACAATTTTCAATCTATTCATACATATTCATTCTCCTCCTTTATACAGTAAGACCTTTAAGGGCGTCTCTAATTCTGAGCAGTCGCTCAGCCAAATTCTCCACAGACTCATCCGATTGAAGCACCTCCTGCGCCAGCTCAACGTTGAAATACGCCTGAACGGCAGCCTGCACTCTGTTGATCACCTTGGGTTCCTCAAGAGCCCAGTAGTCGTCCACTTCCTCAGGAGGGAACTCCATAGATAGAGAGAAGCATCGCTGGACGATGGGGAGGATCTCAAGAGCCAGAGTCTTTGCATCCACCTCTCCAGATAGATCAATCTTAGGAGCCACAATCTCGAAAGGTTCCGAGGTGCTGAGCACAGTGTGCTTGCCAGCATGGTGGTATCTGAACTCGTAGACTCCACACTCCCAGAAGAGTGTGTCCCCTCGGAAAACAACTTCTCCATTGGTCTTAGAAGACGACACAATACCGTCGAGATGCGACTCATGGCCAGTCTCGTCGATTCCAGACCATCGGCCCTTGGAGGGAAGAGAAGTCACCTCAGGGGAAGTGTTGTCGTGCACTCGGTACAGACCGATCCAGTCCTTTGCCGATCTGTTGGGAGAAGCCTGCCACTTGACATGAATGGGGGTTCCAAAGGCGTACGAAATTCGGTTGGAATCGGCACACTTCTCGCCGCCCACGAGCTTCACAGAGTAATCGGCAGTGTCAATGTTTTCGGGAACATCCAGCATTCGAGTAAGGGTAAGTTTGGCAGGGTACTGTCGCAACAGGATCTTGGAGTCGTTGACAACTTCGTTGAGAGTAGGCTTGGCAAGTCCAATGAACTCCTCGACCACAGTCAGAGTATCGTTGATAACCTTGTCAACGGATCCCTGGAACTGTCGAACCCGTTTCTCAAAGGGAGAAGGCAACTTGAGAGAGTTCTTAATGGTCTTGGTCACACCAGCATCGTGTCGGATACTGGTACCGTAGATTCGCTGCATGTGGGGCTGCTCGACGAACTTGATGAATGCCATACCCTCCAGAGTCCACAAGAAGGCCAAAATACCAACACCTGGAGAGTTGGTCATCAGAGCAAGACCCCAGATGCCAGCAATACCGAAAAATCGCTCTGGGTTGTTGAGGTATCTGTAAATGCCGGAGTAAGTGAGGTTCTGCTTTCGGTCAAGGAAGAAGTCACCGTAGAACCATCCAAAATGCCCAAGAGAGTCATGGATGGACTTCGATGTCCAGCCATGCAGAGCAATAAGTAGAGCGCCAAGAATGTACTTAAGGGGCCACAGAGGATCGGTGGAAGGAGCTCTCCACTGTCGCAGGCAAAAGAGACCAAATGTGGTGTAGGACAACACGGTGGAGACGTTGTACCACACTTGCCACTGCTCGTATGCCTCAAAGGGGTAGATTCCAAACTTGAGGAAGGTCTTGGTGAAGGATCGTCGCTCGGACTGTCGTCGCAGTATGACTCCAAGACCCAGAGTGTGGAAAAGACGAGCAGACAGAGCCATGAAAAAAGTCACAGTGTACCACAGACGGTTGGCAGGGAGGAAGTAGAGCAGCATTGTATAGACTGCAGCTCCCACAGTCATGATATCTGTGACTCGAGTGATCTGGAAGTTGCTAAACACAACCAACGGAGGAAGGGAGTGTTTCTGGACAGTCTCCGGCTCGTCAAAAGTAGTAGAAATGGGAGTAGAGGCAATAGAAACGGACTCGTCGCCCTCAACAATAGCAGACAGCTCATCCTTCTGTTTCTGATCGAGCCCCAGCTGGATGGAAGATCGGTCTCGGACGTGAGAAGCCTTTCGTCGCTGCTTGGGCTGATGGGGGTTGTAAGTCTTTTCAATGTGAGGATTCTCAACGATGGATAGGAACACAAACTGGGCAGCGTGGCCGGCCAGAGAGGCCAGGAACAGGGTGTAGGAACAGGCCATGAGAGAGGCGGCGTAGAAACCAGCGTATCCAATGGAGTACATGGGATGAGGGGCCATCTCAAAGACACCATCAAAAGTCAACTCCATGTCCTTGAGGAAGAAGAAGTCTCCCCAGTACCAGGCATAATCCTTGACGACTCGGTGGGCGTCAGTCTTAGCCCACAGGTTGAAGGCTAGCATTAGAGCTCCGGCGAGCCATCGTCCAATAACAAGCCACCAGGGCTGGTTGGTTCTCACGGACAGAGCGCAGGACCAGGCCAGCATGAAGTAGCAGGTAAAGTCTGACATGAGAATCAGATCGACCACATGTCGGAAAAGAATCCAGGTGTTGAACTCGACGGGTACCTCGTAGAACGAGTAGTTGGGCTGGTTCTGGAACCGGGTCTCAAACTCCCGCTTAATCAGCTGGTGCCACCACGTCTTGTTGTCCTTGTCAAACACCTTGTATTTGAGAGCCCACTTGGTGAGTTTGTGGTAGTTGGACTGGTTGTGAAGTAGCCAGCCGATTCCTCCGTTGTAGGCCAGACGCCATGCGGCAAACAGAAACAGATAGAGAGGTACTCTCCAGGACTTGGGGACGACAAAAAAGAGTCCCATGAATGTGACCAGAATCGATACGATGATCACGTCCGTCAGCGACTTTGTGATTCGAGGATCAAACAGGTTGGTCAACATATCCTCCGTCTCTGGCACAATAAAAGTCGTTCCATCAGGACACTTGCCAACGTAAGCAATGGGCTCGGTGGAGGTCTTTTCAGTCAGCTTTTCGGTCAGCTTTTCGGTCAGCTTTTCGGTCAGCTTTTCGTCGCTTTCATTCTCATTGATCTTCTCGTCAATCACACTCTCCTCCACGTCAAGCTTGGTGTCATGTCTCTTCTTGAGGTCCCCCATATCCACTCCGGAAGCCTTGATGGCAGCAGAAGGAACGGCCATGGTGTTTGTGGAAGCTGGTGTCGTATAGAAAGTCTATGGACGTACAAGTGTCGCGCGACCAAATGTGTGTAGACTGAGGCTAGTGGGAGATAGCTCGGAATTTAAACCGTGACTTTCATATGCTACATATGCGGAGTTACTTGTAGTGTCTGGGGTAAGTGCTATTAGGATGGTGGATTGAAGATATTTGCCTGATGTAAAAGATTGATGTGTCGGACGGCCCGGACGACATATCACGTGACTCGTTTTTTTCTGAAATACTGCCTTCTCATTTTTGTTTCACGTCGCCCGGGCAGTCATCCCTGTACGACTATCTTGACTCCCGAATTTTACTTTGTGGGGAGCGGAATCTTGCATACGTGTTATACGCTGGACGGGACAAACGGAGAAGAGAGCAAAAAAAAAGACACAATTAATGATATTCGTGCCTTACTAAGCCCCCGTTTTCCAAGTCACGTGACATCCACCGTCCCTTGGCCGGCGCGCCCACGTGACCAGAATCTGCTCTCCTGCCCCGCAACCGCCCCCTAAAGTCACCCACCACCGACATCCATCTGCCTTATCAGCCATGATTCCACCGCATTCTGCGTACATTTTGAATTTTTCTTTTGCACTTTTTTTTGTTGGGAAACTCCCCTGCTGCTGACAAGCACATTTGGTCCGAGTAAGACGGATTTCAGCAGCTATAGCATCCGTCAGACGTCCAATCCTGCGACTATTTAATCACATGTCAGCCGTTGAGTAGACAGAGATCCACTGCCAATGTATATGCTGACAGTTCTTCAGTCATCTCGACACTTTTAGCGCTCATGTGCCCACCCCTTTGAGAGCAGAACGAGGCAATACGGCTACCATTCATTGGGTTGCACTGCACTGTAAAATGGCATTTAGTTCAACGATCACTCACTCAAAAGTTCGGCTCCGAACAGCTGTCGGCAGACACTCGGCACAAATTTCATGCCTGCAGGTGCGCATTAGACGATGTACAGAGGTGCGTGTTGTGTTTGCGGATGACGCTCAAAGCCGCTTTGAACCAGCGCACATTCAAGCAGGTCAAAAATGAGCGAAGGTCGGATGGCAGAGCCACTACAGTCATTTGAGGAGATCCACCCAGGCCATTAAAGTTGTGACTAGCGAGACTTTAGGTTGGTGGAGTTGGCGGGCGGCTATTTTATGGGGATGCTTATGTAAGCTGGGACACGATGGGAGGGGGAGCTGGATGGCGGCCGGGTAACTCTGGCTTTGGGGGAGCAAGTTGGGATCGCCACTAACGGTCAGCGTCGACTGCCTCGAAATTAAGATTCTGTCACATGACCAGTCTTTATTACCTCACACATAATCGTGCATACAATCTACTTTACAACCAACAACCAGAATGAAAATAGCTTGGCTATTGTTTACGGCAGCGACATTTGTGGAGGGTGTTTCTCGACATAAAAGAGACCCTGTTTGGACCGTGAATCCCGGCCAGGTCCCGGACTACGTCCTGCGTCACTGTCCAGGAGTGCATCTTTATTCGGAGGAAAAGTATCTCCCTGGTGATCCAGCAGACTATGTGACCAATTTCAAAATTGACACGGCTTCTGGCAAGACGGTATTGAATGGCAGCGAGTCTGATCCGGTCACTTTGGCTCGCCTCGGTCAATATTCGTTTGAGAAGCACTCTTCAAGGACATTTATGACTTCATTAACGGATTTCAACGCAGATCCGGACTGGATCACAGGAGAAGGAAACATCCCCCATCTTGTTTCGGGCAAGATTGATCATGCCAAGTCTGTATTGATCGTGGTTGACAAAGGTGATGGACTTGTGGATGCCTTCTGGTTCTACTTTTACCCCTTCAACCTAGGACCTTTTGTCATGGGTGGCGGGCCTTATGGCAACCATGTGGGCGATTGGGAGCACTCTCTGGTGCGTTTCCAGGATGGCGTTCCGCAGATTTTGTGGATGAGTGCCCATGGTGGCGGAAACGCCTATTACTATAATGCTGCCGAAAAAATGGACAACGATCCTGAAAGAAGGGTCTTATTTTCTGCTCGAGGCACTCATGCTAACTACGGATCTGTAGGCCAGCATTCTCACGATCTACCCTTTTACATGCTTTCGGACTTTACTGATCGGGGAGCTCTGTGGGACCCTGTTCAGAACTACTACGGATACACTCTGACGCACCGAGAACGGGGCAGAACCGGAGCCGATCGCATCTGGTTTGACGGCCGAGTGCTCACATCGGACGGCCAGTCTCCACACCCGTCGTGGCTGAACTACCTTGGCCGATGGGGCGATCGGCAGCTTCCAAACTCGGATCCTCGACAAAAGTGGCACCCGTTCAACTGGCGATACATTGATGGCCCACGTGGCCCCATGGCCAAAAACCTGCTGCGCCACACAGTCTGCGAGCGCAACAAGTGGTGGAATTTGTTTCGAACGTGCCGTATCCGACGCCGGGTCGAGACAGCAGAAGGCATAGAAGCCGAGGGATACGGGTGCGTGGGCCTCATGGACTGGCTTCCGTGGTGGATCGGCTGGATTCCGTGGACTGTCACTTGGCGAGGATACGGCTGCTGGGCCATTGACCGTCTTTGGGGTTGATTGTTGAGTTTGGTTGTTACGGTATCTGCGAGCCGATACATCATTCATATCACTCACAACCTACCGGTACATACTGTACTTACTGTACTGCACACTTTTCGTACGCCCTCCCCTAACCACTAGAAGTCGCGACGTTGGTGTTACGTTCCCCTCCCCCTTTTCCATCTCTTGTATGGCCCAGTTCCTGTTGCATCTTCTTCTTGTTCTGGAGGAACAAACACCTAGTCTTAGAAACCTCGGCTAGATAATTAGTATATTTATTTGTTTTATAGAGTGGTGGAACATCCCGTAGATACTCGGCAGTTTGTGATAAACCAAACAGCACGACCCCCTTCTTCTCCATATTATCAACCCTGCCTGGCTCATGCTCCGCCAATTAGTTCCAGAAATTGACAAACAATACCAATCAGCTGAAAAGGGGCTTCTGACACTGACATTTGACGTTGATATTATCAGCGTCAAGGGGGGATATGAGGTCCGAACAAGAGTGTCACTGTAGGTGTCACATGTCAGGCTGCGATGTTGAAACAAGCGCAGATATGTGGACTGGAATGCTACTTCTCGACTTGTTCGGTCTCTCGTATTCGGCTCAGCTTCCTCAGAGTGTCTCATTTGATCGACGATGCAGCTGGGACCCAGTTGCTGTTTCTACTTGGAGCTTGCTGTGAGTCCGATTGAGAAATAATAAGTGGGCCTCCAAGCTTCCATTTTATTATTTGCCGGTCTTTTCTGAGACACTGGGTCACGACTGTCGATGACACAGACAGACGTCCTCGTACAGTGCGGACTTCTACAAATGGGCATGAGAGCGAGAGCGAGGTATGTAGACAGACAGACAGACAGACAGGTGAGAATGTGGGTCAATTGACAAGAAGGGGCGTCATGGACTGGAGGGGGTCTAGACTGAGAGCCGCTCTCCTGCAAAAATGCAAAAGACGCTTTGTTGACACCGAGAAAATAATTCCCACGTGAACTTGTCGTCTACTAGAACGTACTGTACAAGTACTGTACTGGTAGATTGTCCCCAGCGCAAATCTCTCGTATAATATTACCACGATCCAACCGGCAATGTACTTTTACCTACGGGTAATTTAATTTCAAAATGGGATATCAACGGGCTCGAGTTAAAATTCCCCTGGTGAATAATGGGCGATAATTTCTGTTGACTTTGTTAAGACTGGGGAAAACATAGACACCACGGGCCCACACTAGGCCGAAATTACGCCAAGGGCCTCCGTACCTGTCACTCGCCGTCACTAAACACACCTGGAAATTACGGGGAAGAAACCGCCTTGTACAGATGCAGATAAACATCCAGATCCACATTTGCAGGTGGTTCAGTTTGGAACCATGCAGAGCCTCCAAGCCCTCGGTGACATACCACGTCCAAAGCCTGTCATGGCCACCCTGCCGAGCCCCTGATCTATCCCCCTTGAGCCCCCAGCCCCACAGTTTCTTTTTACACGTCAAGGCAAGGCACACATTAGTTTGCGAATGGTGTCCTCAGCGGTGTACGATACATGATCTGTCTGTCTGTCTGGCCCTGACACTGACAGCCTATAAACAAGAGTCGTATATAAGCATTGAGGACAAAAGCAAATTACTTGTACTATACAGCACAAGCAAATTTCGTATCCACATTTTGAAACCTCCCACAAAAAACTTGCACGCTCACGCTCCCTCTTAATTACAATAACACAAAGCTTGGACACATCCGCATTCAGTCAAACTCCGAGAACGGATCGGAGGTGTATAGAGCAGAGACTTTCGGGCTGGAAGATGGCGGTTTGTCATGCTGACTGACGGTCGGACGACGGCGCGGTAGCACAAGGCGCTGGAAATTGTGTTTCAGGGTTTTATCACGGCAACTGTCGCCTCGCTATTTTTCCTTGGATTCCGCTAATTTTTCTTGCGTCTTAATTTTGGCCCTCCAGACTTCGCCTCGTGCTGGAACTTTCATGGGCACACTCTCCAGCTGTGCTTGAGCTTAAAGCGAATCTCGAACTTTATAACCTTGTTCAGAAACTCTATTCTATTACCCTCTCTGGTATACACACAGAGACACTGTACCTGCGTGGTGGTAAGGTTGGGAGTCCGTGAACCGAGGAGAGCGGCGGTTGTGCAATTGGGGAACTGATAGAATGCAAAACACAGCAACGCAACATCAAGACGGCCGTGCGGCTGGCTGGGGGGAGGATTTTTTTTCCGGATCACGTGACGCGCACTGGCGGCGAACAGCACTGCCCTCGTCGTCACGTGACCCCGTGCCAGCCGCAAGGTTGTGGGTGAATTTTGTTAAGCAGCCTTTTGAGTTATCAGGGGTCAATCGACGTTACACCGCGGCTGGTTGGAGCGCAACAAGGATGTGAACAAGCGAAATTTCAGAGGGACAAGAAGACAGACAGGGAAAAAAAAAAGGAATCAGGAAAAAAAAGCACAAAAAAGGCAAAAGGACAAAAGGGCAAAAGGAAAACGGCCAAAAGACAAGGCCTCCAGCTCCCCACAGATAAGGGTGTGTGTCTGTGGTGTGCCTCAAAAGTCTCCGACCCAGGTGGGCATTGGTTGCATCGTCTGTAGATGGTGTGAGAGCAGCTATCATAGGCGATACAATATGTACGAAAGATACCGTATCGTACTTGGATTATCAGCACTAGCTACGATACTGTACTTGCGGAGTGCTTGTCAAGTGATTGTGTCCACTTGTTTGACCGCCCAATACTTTGGGAAGATAACACCGGCCCTCCTGTGTGCTCGTAATCGCGGTGTAGTGTGCAGACTGTCTGTTTGTCATCTACTTGTAGTAGGGTCATGCAATAACAGACCTACCCGTCCAGTGTTATACGCCACAGGGGCAAGTCATCACCGTCAGGGGTAACATTGAGGGCAAGCTAATAATAGCTGCTGTGGGTGGTGTGGACTGTATCACACCTACTGCTCAGAGTGGACCAGTATCTTGGGGCCAATTCCACGCGCTCTTTTTTATCCCTCCAGCCCCAAATGAAAAATAACCCCGAGTACAGCCCACAGTAGCCTCGAGCAGACAAAGACCAGGCCAATAGCTAGGCTCTCTTCCAACTAAATCACGCGTGAGATGATGTGGATGAGTCTGGAGACACAGAAGGCCGTGAGGGGCGGGGCTTGCTGGCGGCCCAGAGTGGCCAAGTGTGGCTGCAATGTTGAGTGTTGGCCACCAACGTCAGTCATGTCGAATGAAGTGAAGACACCATTAGGGGTTGACTCTGTCGTGTGTCTTGTGTGTGTGTGTGTGTGTAATTTGGCACTGTCTCACATGTATAAGAATAAGGTTATAGAGTTACACTTTTCAGGTTGATATTTCCTGGAACGCTCTTTGTCCCATCACTTTATGGATTTTCGGCTGCATAGCCAATTTTAAGAATGGTACATGGGATATGCTAGTGCTCCATCTTTTGTCTGCTAGCCTACTGCCAATCGAAGATCCATGCTTTAAAAGATCAAACGTCTGCATCACCGCACCTGTATTTTAGAGGGAGAAGAAAAAAAGATACTCGCACACAGACAGCCCCATGAACAACAACAGCCGGATAATGGTCCCCATGCACTCTCTACCGTCTCCGGGCCAGCCCCAGGGCCCCACCTCCCACCACATGGGCTACCAGTATGTCGAGACGCCACCATCGCCCAAAAGTAGAAAGTCCTCCTCTTTCAATCCCAAATACATGCCGCCCCTGGACTCGTCCTACCGCCTAGGCTACAAGCCGCTCTTCAAGCGAGAAAACGAAGATCCTTTCAAGTACGACATTTCCTCCCCTACCCCGGCCCAGTCTCCCTATGACGAACGCAAGACGTCGGCCCCGTCGGTAGTGACTTCATCGACAACAGGCTACCCCAATTACACCACCGAGCCGCTGCCTCGAAAGAGGGGCTACTCTGCGCCACAAAACAAGGCTATGGTCTCCATGGTACACCACATGCAACCGCAGCAGACTTATCACTCGAGCTCCTCGTCCAGCAACTCCTCTCGAGCCACCATCAAAAAGGCCCGAAGAGCCTACCGGTCCAAGTTCACCCAGGAGCAGGACCGGCTCATCATCAGCATGAAGAACGAAAACAAAACATGGCAGGAAATCAAGGAAATGGTCAAGGGCGAGACCCCCCATAACATCCAGCGGCGGTACGAGGTGCTCATGGCCCAGATGAATGGCAACCTCATCTGGGAGCAGGACGATCTGGATGCTCTGGTCGATCTGCTGGAGGCCGCCGAGCGACACAAATGGAAACACATTTCGTCCGAGCTCAGCCGAAAGCTCGACAAGAAGGTCACTCCTTTGGCCTGCCAGAAAAAATTCAAGGAGATGTTTGGAGTGGCCGAAAACTCGTCGCTCCTAGGCTCCTCCTTGTGCTACGCATACTATGATAATGGCTGGAATTGTGTTGAATAAAGAGATGGAACAGTCAAAAAGAAAAGAGCATGGTAGCAATGGTCCACACCTCTTTGCTTTTGAACAGTCCAATGTTCATTTCTTTTTGCGTCCACTCACACACACAATCAATCCTAAGAATACCCTTCTCCAAAGAATTTCAACCCATTCGATCGGTTCCCCTACCCACCAAGGTCGTTCATCGTCTACGAGTTCTCTCATCACACGACCCTCGTTTATTTATTGGTCTAATAACCGCTTCTTTCCTCTCATCTATGAAGCCAAACCCCACCCTATTATTTCTAGACCGTATTTATTGCATCATATTCTACTAAATCGAATTCGTTAATTTCTTCAAGCGCTTCCGTGGTATCCCATTGTAGAGCCCGCACATCCGAAGATTGCCATGCCACAAATTTTTACCCCTATTTTTTCGAGCCCCCAAGCTACTCTTCCGTTTACGTTTAATTAACGGCTGCCACTAAAGTTCATAAAAGATCAATCTGCAAACTAAAGATGCGCGGTGACCGCACACTGTACGCACATGCAAAGACAAAAGTGCTTTTTTGTGCGTTTTCGTGCATTTCGTGCAGTGAGTGCATTTGAGACAAGTTCATGGGGCATGTATACGGTACAGCTTGTTTCAGGTTGGGTCCAAGACCCCCATAAATCGAGAAATTCGACCAAGACCTCAACGGGCATGCTTCCCAAGTGTGGGAATATTATTTCCAGAACCACGGTCATCGCATGAGAAGCTGTCTGTTTGTGAGGGTCCCCCCCGGCGGCACATGATTGGTGTATGTTAAGATGCATTATTTCCCTGTAATTTTGATGTAGCCAAAAGACGGCTGTCACCCAAGCTTCCACCAAGCTGCCACTTGACTCTTCTCATTTTTACCCCCTAATATACTCACACGCATCCTGAGTTAGCACATCCGACATGAGTGAAATGCTTCTTGCGCACTCAAAACCTTGGGGGAAAGGCAATTCCAGTGTGAAAATCACGATCGAACAAGTGCAACAAGGAAAGAGAAACAAATCAGAACAAATCTGTCAGAATATACCGGAATCACCCCCCCCCCAGGAGTTGCACTCACTCTAAAGGCGGATCTCACTCCTGGCGCCAACAGACCTGGCTCTCAATCGAATCCGCATAAATAGAATCTTTGTGCAACGTCATGTGCTCCCTCGCTCCATATGCTGCCGTATCCACCATTATGGATTTGACCCTGTACTTTCCCGGCTCGATCGTATCTCCGTCGGCTTTTGAATCTTCTCCGGGGTGGCATCACTCGGGGCTACCTGAACTGGGTCGTAACTCTGCCCGGCGTATCGGTCGTATCTGCTGTAGACTTTTGTAGGCTGCTCTTCCCTGACAGTTTCTAGAAGCAACCTGGCCACAGGTGTCTTGGATTCTGCATGGGCCAGAAATTTAGACAGGTCGGCCACCATTGACTAACTCGGCACGGGTGAACTGTCAGGGAGGCCCACTGGTTTTTCCACATTCTCATTCCACTCGGGTTGCTCTAGCTCATTCCACAGCGACTTCTGGGGCGCGCTGTAGACGTCACTTGAGTGGCCCAACCTTGGGCTGCCATGTCTTCGTGACGGTACATCTGCTCTAATAGGGGAGAGGGTATCTGAGACAGCTGCTTCTACTGAAGCCAGCTTCGGATTATGCGGGTGGGAGTGCGAGAAGCAGGCATCCGAATCAGAGTCGATCCACAGCTCCATGGGGTCGTCGCTGAGATCAGAGTCGCCAGAATCATGGAGGTAGCTCTTATGTCTCTTGCGTGGTAGGCTCTTACAGCCAGACGGCTGTTTGGCCGTGTTCAGGCCCCTCATTTGTTTCATAATATCGGCAGATACCTGCATGGCGTGACTGGCTGTGTTGTGTGATTTGTCTGCACGAGAGTCGCATTGCAGGTTCGGAGACTCGTGAGGAGCCGTGCAACTTGTTTGATTTGCAGTCCGTCGAGCCCACAATTTTTGGCCCAACTTGTTGGACAGCGTTGCAAGCAGGGTCTGGAGGGACACACAGTCCTGCTGCAACATACGCAGACGCTGTCGATCCTTTGTGTGCAGCCACTGGTTGTGTTTCAAGTTTCCACCCTCCTCCTTGTGATCCCTAAGCTGTTTGAGAGCCTGGTCTAACGCTAGGGCAGTAGTATGCGGAGAGTCATGCGGCGGAGGAGACCCAGAAGTGACGAGAGGCTCTTGTAGAGGATCTGGACAACTATCTGCGATGTGCATCATGGTGCGCTTATGCGATAAGTACAGGACGTGGGGTCCATTGCACCCGTATATATACTCGCAGCGCTGTACACACTGACGATGGCTCGTTACATAGCCCCTGTGGTATTGGTAGACATGACGTCCCCCGGCAAGCAACACAGCTATTGGTAGCAAGAATCAATCAATCCACGGACTAGACTGGCTAGCATCGGTGCTAACATGGACCTGGTGCCACGGATAGCCCTTGGCACAAGGTGAAACACGACTCCTAAACTAATCTCTTAGTTTGTGCAGCCTACAGTGTGTTCCAGAAGAGCGATACTGTATGGTTTATCGTGTAGAAGAGGTATGGGTGTGCTATAGAGAGCGGCAGATAGTACATACAAGTTTGGTTTTGCTTCCAGCCAAGTGTTGCGAGACTTGTTCTTTGCCAACTTCCTTCTCACTTATTATCTACAACCACATGAGCAAGGACTGCCGAAGGAAATATCCCAGATATTATAGGACCCCAATTTTCGCATATTACTTATCCTACCTTGGAGTACATCTGTCAGCTTGTCGGATTGCAAAACACATGCAGCCTATCCGCTAGACTGGCACTAGTAACTAGTCTGCGCTAACCCTGCTTATATACAGGGACTAAGTAGTTGAGAGACAAGACAAAGTCAAGCAGCATCATTTATTACATACCAGTCAGCTACGTAATTACGCGTACTTGTAGTGCCGTCACTACTAATACTGTACCAGTACCTGTAATTAATATAATAAATCCATTTTCTAATAAGCAATAATCTACAATACATGTTATGTTGTTTCGTGCGATATGCAATTGATCACTGAGATCGACATTGACTGCTGCTCAGGTTGTTGGCAGTGTCAATGTAGTCTGTGATGAACCGAATATTTCCCTTGACCTGTAGCTGCTGAGGACCCTCGTAATGCCACCAGGTGAGAATTTGCGTGTTTTCGTCGTACTCCCACTTGCCTGAAGACGTGGACACTCCTGTGGCCCATTGCAAAAAATGGTAGTGCGGCAGGTAGATGGTGGTGGGCAACAACTTGCCCTCGCACTTGTCATTCTCTCCACATGCAGCTCCCTTGATCTTCAAGGTGAACACAGACTTCTGCAGGTCGAAGCCATACGAGTCTAGCTTGCCGGAAATGACCTGGGGACAAGGACGAATAAAGGCCTCTCCTGCTCGGGCTCCAAGCACATACTCGGGAGGAGGCTTGAAGGCGTCGCCATGCGAGGACAAAGGAACAGCCGCAGTCTTGTTACGACGTCGGATAGCGCCCTTGATGGACGAGACTCGGCCTTTGATGCTCTTTCCGATAGACGTCTTGCCGAGGTACGACGAATCCAGGTAATACGACGCATAGGAGGTATACGTCGGAGGAGGGGTTTCTTCCGAGGACTGAGAACCATCGGCACTTCCGTTTGTCAGAGTCTGGGTAGCTCCTCCGTACTTCTGGAGCTGCTTCGCAGCATCGTCCTTGGAGTACAAAGATAGATCCTCTCCATTCCAGTTGTCGCCCCACTTGTGGTTGTTAGATGCGGTGTAGACCCACAGAGTATAGTGCAGTTTGGAGCCTTCCAGAGCGTACTGGTTGGCATCCAGAGCTCGGATCTGCTGTGAGTAGTCGCCCGTTCGGTATGCGTATTTGTCATCCATATCGTAAGGGATTCCGATTTCGGAGATCAGACACGGGAAATTTCCAATCTTGGCAAGACCCTCCTTTCGCAAGAACCGCAGCTGGTCACGCAGACAATTACGAATGGCAGACTCGCCGACTCGAAGACCCAGAACAATGGAAGGATACTTGCCTCGCAGAATACCGACTACATCGACGTTGTACAGCCGGTTCCACTTTTTGTTCATCAGCGTCAGGCCGTCGTAGTAATGCGGCGAGTACACGATTCGCTTATCGTTGAACTCGGGGTGGTTGACGAGATCCGGTGGCACTTGCATGACTGGGGCCTGCATGAGAACCAGCCAGTCCTTGTTGACCTGACGGATTGTCGCCAGGAAGGCGAGCCAGTATCCCAGAAAGTACTTATTGACCCACACTTCTTCATCAATCTTGGATCCAATGCCGTGGAACGAGTGGCCATCGTTGAAGTAGGTGGGTTTGAGCAGCTTGCCAGTCTTGGGCTCCCAGACGCCGTGCTGGGCCCAGATGCACATTCCAGGTAGCCATTCAGGTCCTCGAGTCCATCCGTAGATCTTGTCACACTCGGAGAAGTCCTTGAGCCATGCTAGAGTTCCCTTAGGCTCGATGACGACCGTGCCGTTCTTTGTGGCTCCAAAGGGTCCAAATTCATAGTTGTCCACCTCTACGGTCTCGCCCATTCCCATTCGCATGCATTCAAAGGCGGTGGGAGTGGGTCCAAGCCGCAGCTTTTGCGAATCGGGAATGGCGTGGATGTTCTCATAGCCAATCAGCCCGTGGTTGGGCTCGTTGACGGACTCCCAGCCAATGACCACGTTCTCCACCAGATGCTGGTCGACGGCAATGCGCTCGGCGAGGTGGCGTTTGGCAGCCAGAAACGACCCCTGCAGGTAGTCCTGGACGTTAACGCCGTTGATAATGCACTTGGGGGCAAAGTGGTTGCCTGCAAAGAAGAGTGTGAACATGACCTGGCACGCGAGCTTCTGGTAGTTGGTGCTCCAGATCATCTTAGGGAACTTGGATGGGTTGTCCCACAGGTTTTGGACCAGGGCAGAATGGGTGGTCATGCAGTGTCGGGGGTCTAAACCGGCAGCATACAGGGTCCAGAGGGGAGCGCCTGATCCGCCGGTGAAACGTGACCACACGTCCTGGTGCGGATCCATGAATGCAAACATACCGTGTTCTCCAATCTTTCGGAGCACGGCGATAGTGTAATCGATGAATTCTTCATCGTAGACTCCGGGGCCTTCGTGTTCTAGCGCCTCCCATGTGTAAATGTATCTGATGGTGTTGAATCCCCAGGCCTTGATTCGGGCAAAGTGTTCGTCTGCTTCTTCTAGGGGGAAAGGAGAGCCCACAAAAGAGACTGTTGTGTCGTAGAAGTCGTCTCCGGCCTTTTGTTGGGACGGTGTGAACGGTTTTGCAGGAAGCTTGGCGTCTGCTGCCACGTTGATTCCCCGCAGAATCACAGCTTTTCCGGACGGGTCGGTGAAGTTGCCCGTTTCATCGATGAGTAGTTGGAGACTCATGATTTAGATGTTGATTGATGTTGGAGCTAGGAAGTGTCTTGGTTGATGTTGATGCTAGGAAGTGGCCCAGTGAATGTCGTGATAGTGCGTCTAGTGGCGCGTCGAGTGGTGGTTCAAGTGATGTGGGTTCTGGTACGGGCCGTTGTGTAGGTAGCTGGCTTCTCGCCGTGGAATGTCTCAGACGCGTGATAGAGACAAGGACAAGAGACAGACAAGTTGAGGCTCGGGTTGAGCGAGATAAATCGCGCTGGCTTCTATTGGCGGGGTACGGGGTCTGTTTAGGCAGTGATCGGCATGGACGATGAAAAGCAACAATTCAAAAAGACAAAAGTCTGCTGTCTTCAAGAGCTACCCCACCCTTTTTCCCCACTGAAAGCTGTTCCCCCCGAACTTTGTATGAGTCGAGCGGCAGGGGTTTTCCTCGTGACAAATGGCGTTGAAGATAGGTGGGGTGGTGCAAAATTCGACTTTGAAGGGGTTTACAGGGTTGGAAATTTATTGACACGAAACTATGAGCACGTGATGGCTCATCTCGCGACTCTCCTCGAACGATTACTCATCAATAACCCCGGAAGACCCGTCAAAGTCGCAAATCTCGGACCTAAACCTCATACCCTATTCTGTCTCTTTCACATGACGTCATGCACCCCTAAAGTTTAACGTCACTGGGCACAAGCATGTTACCGCGCCTTACTGTGGGTTCCAAAGAAGTTCCAAACTTGATCCATCGTACTCGCCAATGCCCAAATACGTTATCGTGCCTGTGGCGTCGGTGGGATGCGGCAAGAGCACCGTTGGTAAGACTCTGGCGTCTGTGTGTGGCTTTGGACAGGTCCAAAACGACGACATCACCGGCACAAATCGACGTCCAAAGTTTCTCCAGGCCATTCTGGAGCAGCTGGAAAGCCACCAGGTGGTCTATGCCGATCGAAACAACTCGTCGGTCAAGGAGCGCAAGGAGCTTGTAGACGGGTTGAGGAAGGAGCTGGGCAACGAGGTGGATATGGTCGGTCTGCAGTTTGTGCACAATCAACAGACGATTCCAGCGCTCAAGAAGATCACACAGGAGCGGGTGTTTGCCCGTAAAGACCATCAAACCGTCTCCACCGCAACCCTGGCGCCCCAGAAGATTTACATGATTATGGGAGGGTTTATTAAACGACTCGAGCCATTCACAGACGCGGAAAAGAAGGAATACAAACTTATAGTGGACCTGCCGGTGGAGAAGGATAACACGGCTGACAACGTGCTCAGGCTGTTGGAGAAGATTAAGGATAACTCAGCCACCGCTCCCATGCTTGAAGACCCCAAGTACACTGATCAGGAGGTCCGAGACACAGTCCAGAACCTCATTGTCAGTGAAACCAAGTCTGAAGAGGTGCTCCAGAAGGAAAAGGAGGAGAGAGAAAAGAACAGAAAGCGCAAGCCTGCCGATAAAAGCAAAGGACCCCGGAAGAAACAGCCAAAGTTGACTTTCAACAAGGGTGCCAAGAAGGACTTAGATAAGAGCTCCGGCGCTTAGAATAGATGTTGTGTATTGTATATAGATGTCGCATTTTGAGGTATGACCGATGTAATAGTACTGTTGTAGCACTTGTACAAGTACTTGTAATTGTGATTTGCTCTTCATGGCCATTTCCAGATCGCTTGTCACACTACAATATGTCACCATACACATCCGAAACATAATGCATAACTGTCTCGTATAATTGAAACATGATATATTCAACAATTGTGGCGAACTTTTTTATAATAATATATCTTAATAGGGCACTACGAGTGGTTCTACAAGTACAAGTACTTGTCCGTGTAGTCTCCGATCTGTGACGGGACTCCAGACCAAGATTTCTGTAAGGATCACATCACTTGACTTACACCGTCCCAACAAAAGCAACTACAATACAGAATTTACTGAGACAAGAGCGTTGGGGCGATTGTCGTTTCTTTCTTTTTATGTATATTCACCCCATCGATCAGCTGGCCTGTCATGTGTCTCAAATGCATAGACGGACGGCAGAGACGAGGGTATGACATCATTGCTCCGAATCAACAGTATGCACTCGGACTGGATCTGTCTCATCACCCTTTTACTGTACAATCCAATCGACCTTGTTATTCCATTTGTGTCCTTTAATGCCTATCCTTCTCATTGTCACAGTGCTACTTGAACCCCTTCTCGAGCCGCAGACCCTCGTTCTCCTCCTTGAGCTCCATCCATTGGACTCCCTGGCTCTCTCGCTTGACATTGTTCACCGTAGAGCTGATCACCAGAAGAGAAATAGCATCGTAGCCTCCTGCTCCAGGCACAACACCTCCAATGACTCCACTATAAGTGTTGCACTTGTTGAGCAATGCAGACTGCTCATCCGGCTCAATAGCAGCACCAGTCTCCCGTGTCATCTTCTTGAGATGCTTTCGAATAGTGATAATGCATCGTGCTAGTTCTCCGAGAGGGTTCTGCAACATTATCATCTTTAGAGCGTTGAGAGGAGCAGCCTCGGCCAAAAGTTGTTCGTAGGCCTCGTTGTTAGTGAGAGAGAGCTTGCGCAGGTCGTTGAACAACTTGACCATGAGCATGTTGGCAGCGTTGAGATCTCTCCACACCATCTCGGCTTCTCGGGGCTTTGCTTTTCGCCATGCCATCACCTTGGCCACCATACCTGGAGTCTCAGATCCTCCCTGGACGTCTCCCATAAGCAGGCTGATTCCCGGCGGCAAGAAGGATGGTTCCAGAGTCACCTTCCACTTTTGATTAACGGTAGTTCTCAACAGAGCCCCGTATTCGGAGGTCCCTTCAGCTGCAATGACCATGTTCACGGACTCCGCCGGGAAACGTCTATAGACTAGAGAGCCACAAACGGCCGAAGCCACGTCAAATCCAGACCCAATCTTCTTCTGTGCCGAGCAGTGTGCAACCTGGGACAGGTTGTGAACGAGGTGGGTGTTATGCAAGGGATCAATGCCGTATGACTTGAGCAAAGCTGCCACAAGAACGGTGGTAAGAGCAGCGGAGCTACCGAGGCCCGTTTTAGGCACCTCGTGGATCGCCTTTTTGTGGTATGCAAACTGGCCTCTCTGCGTGCTGTCAATTTGCGAGTGGTACGCGTTGTCACTTTTGATGCTGATGTTGATGTGGAGGTTTCGAGGAGGAACGTAATGCAGAACGGTGTTGACGGCCGCGTGAGCAAATGGGTTGTGTCCGATGGCCGTCAGCTGGCCGTTCGTGTAGTTGTAGGTCCATTCACCCTTGTCAAACTGCGGAGAGACGACATGGACAGAGGTGGTGGAGGCCTCGGAAGCCGAAACTGTCGCGTAAATACGCGCCGAGAGGCCCACGACGTATGCTGAATACGCCGGATCAATAACCAAATAACCGCCGCAAAGGAGGGCCTTTCCCGGAGCCGAATAGGTGGTCATTTCGTGTTTGAAGAGCCGGTCGAAGATCATGTTGTTTCGGGACACAAATATAAGCTATAGGGAGATTTACTTATGGGGTAGTTTAAATAAATTAAGGTTGGTGTTCCAGAGTTTGGATTTTTGACGAGTCGAATTTCGCTTACTAACGTTACAACATATCGTTACATTCGGTAAGGAACACTCACACCATATCACCACCTTCGGTATACAAAAATGAGCGAGGAAAAGTGTCCCGTCGACCATGAGAGCAGAAAGGTCTGGGCACGCAAGCTGGAGTCCAGTACGGAAAACGCCGCCTCCGGGACAGCTCAGCCCAAGGAGTGTCCTGTTGATCACACAAAGATGAAGAAGCCCGAAGTCGCTCAAACAGAAACCAAGGCTGCGGCGGAAGCCTGTCCTGTGGATCACGAGACTCGAGATGTCTGGGTCAAGCGTCAAAACGTGGCCTCCCACGGTTTAGCGGCTTCTGTAGATGTGGAGCCTTATGGAAACGCCGCCTTGAGCGAGCCCAACACCGGTCTGGATCAGCAACGAGAGATCTCGACCATCCCTCGAGCTGGCTCGGACTCTAACTGGGTGTATCCTTCTCAGCAGCAGTTTTTCAACGCCATGAAGCGCAAGCAGTGGGATCCCCAGGCCGAGGACATGCAGAGCATCGTTCCTATTCACAACGCCGTTAACGAGCGAGCATGGTACGAGATCCAGCGATGGGAGGGCCAAATGGCCGACAAGTGCGGTGGTCCTAAACTTGTGTCGTTCCAGGGCGACTCCAAGAAACTGACGCCCAAGGCCCGGTTCAACAACTGGTTTCTGGGCTATCAGAAGCCGTTTGACCGTCACGACTGGACCGTGGACCGATGTGGAACCAAGATCGACTACGTCATTGACTTTTACGAGGGCAAGCAGCTACCTGGCATGATTGGCATGCCTTCGTTCTACCTGGACGTGAGGCCCAAGGTGAACTCTCTGGAAGGTATTCGAATGCGAATTGCCAATATCTTTGGTTTCAAGTAGAACGCTCTCGAACGACAACTACTCACGTAACTTGTAATATGTACATAATATTAATACCTAAGGGGATCTATCATCAACTCGTAGCTACAGTATTGCTAGCAACCCACGATTGGTTACATAATCAGGTAGCTAATCACGCACATTCTTCAACCTTCTACAACACGTAATAGCGCTGCAATGTCATCAATTGAAGTGCCAGGGGGCCAAATAAACCATCGTCAGACGTACAATCTCATGGACTTTTATTCTATGTACATATTTCACATTTAGGGTCGGCCCATGAAGGATCCGCTGCTTCCAAGCTTCTGCATGTACTGTGTTAGCAGTGTCTTCCAATCCATAATTGCCATCCGCTCCTCTCATACTCACCTCTCCGACCTTGGTGTTGACGTCAAAGTACTTGGCGACACATCGGTCGAGACACAGACCCTCGTTGGCGTTGAGGTCGCCGGAAGAGTAGTCGGCCTTGATGCACTTCTCGTGGCAAGACTCAACCAGACGGTTGAACATGTCGGTGACCATGTCGAGCTCGGCCTCAGCGGCGAGCAGCTTCTGGGGGTTGCTAGGTCCGTTAGGGTTCTGGCCTCCGAGTCCAAGGAATGACATTTTGTGTGTAGTTGTTGTGGAGTTGATCTTGAAAAAAGGTCTGCGAAGTTTCGTCAGCAACTAAAATTTGCGAGGGTTAGGTGAGGTAAATGTAGTGTTATGAGAGGTAGGAAAATTGAAAACAGAGTTTGGGATAATTGGGGGTATTTTAAGAGAGGAGTTGAATATAATGAGGACAAGAAAATGTCGCTCATAACCTGTAACAAACCCTTGATAGCACAGCCCACAACCCAAAAAACCGCAAGAAATTGCGGCCCGATGGTTTAGTGGTATAATTCTCGCTTAGGGTGTCCTAGGCAATTTGCGAGAGGTCCCGGGTTCAATTCCCGGTTGGGCCCAAATTCTTCTTTCATCTCCCGGTGGCCAAGCTGGTTTAAGGCGCGAGACTGTAATGGTATCATATTGTAATCTTGAGATCGGGCGTTCGACTCGCCCCCGGGAGATTCTTTTTGACCCTTGGCTGGGGTTATTGTTTTTGGCCTCCGAGACTTGGCCAGTGAGTTCTACAGTCTCAGCTTTCCTTTTCAGCTCACCATCTCAACCGTTTATATTGTCACATTCTGGCGATCTAAAATATATGCACCAGCCACGTGTGCCGTGCATATTCTTTCGCTTAGCTTTGTGGGGTTATTGTGGGTGATTAAGAGTGTATCTTGAGATGAGAGTAATTGGATGTTGTTTCTACAACTGAGACGATTCGATTAATACTTTTTTTCTTTCTATTTCCCATCATCCATCATCCCGTCAGGAAGGTGTTAAAAAAGATCGCTCAAAGCGCGCTCACTTAGAGTTGGCGATGACCGACAAAGGTGAAAAACTGGAGAGCAGATTTGAGGTCTTTGATGGGTTGTTTTGATCGATTTTTGGGGTGGAATACAAAAAGGAAGACCCATTCTCAATCCATACATGTTTATATCCTTGTAACTCGCCGAATACGACTTGTATCATCCCACTACGAAAGTAGACCCTGAAAAGTATATGAAGAGAGGGGGCACGAAGAGTGCATGAAGATGGTGTGGAATTGTAGCGTTGATAGAACGTAGTTAGATGGTACCGTGACATCAAAGTCCGTATAAGACCAACACTGACTCTTAACCTCTCTTAAAGGCTCACCAAAGCTCCTCTATGGCATAAAATCCCTCTCAAACGCTCAATACACCACCCTTGTAGCTTCCCCAGATAATTACAGCCACGTCATGTAAAACAAAGAGGGACCCTAACCACATGCACATGCAACTAAATAGTAACTAGGTTAGTAGGCGCGTACAAGTAATTAAGCATTTGGAAATCACACACGCGATTTCATCATTCTTCCTCACAACACACACATCCACACATACACGATGAAGCTGCCCAGCCTCGCCACAATTGCATGCCTAGTGCTCCCCGTGCTGGCCGACTATGGGCTGTCGGAAATGTACGAATTGTCGCTCCCCAACTCCATGGCATCCGATGACAGATTCAAGACGCATTTCTATGCCTCTGGATCTGCCGTTCTTACAAGCTCTGGGCCAGGCGGACGGTCTCAGATCGCGCTGACCGAGCTCGGCCGACCTAACCAGCGAGGAGCCGTTTCCGGCAACCAGCCCATCCCCTCCAAGGACTTCATCACTGAGGTATCTCTGGCTGTCTACGGACCCGTTCTCCCTGGAGGAGGATTCGGTATCTTCTTCACCCCCCAGCCCTACCAGAGCGGTCCCGTCTACGGCATGAAGGACAAGTGGAACGGGCTTGCTCTGATTCTGGACTCTGTAATCGGTAACGATGGAGAAGGCCATTTGCATGTCCATGACAACACTGGTGGAGACTACGCCGCGATGGACGCCTCCCAGGTTGAGAAGGACGCCCTGGCGCTGTGCAAGCTCAAGTACAGAAACACCGGAGCGCCTGTTAAAATTACAACCTATTACATCAACGGCAAGCTCAAGGTCGAGATCAACGGTCACAAGTGCTTTGACGAGCGGCCTGTTGCTCTTCCCGACTCTCCCTACTTTTCCATCTCCGCTGCTTCCACCGAGGGACCCGACACTTTCGAGGTCTACTCTCTGAAAACTTACCGGGTCGACCCCAATGGTGTTGGAGGAGCTCCCACCGAAAATACCCCTGTTGAGCAGAAGCAGGAGGCTCCCCAGGCTCAGCAGCAACAGCAGCAGCAGCAACAGCAGCAGCAGCAACAGCAGACTCAGCAGCAGCCTCCTCAGCAGCAGCTTCAGGATGTTGCTACCTCGGAACACATTACTGAGCTTGCCAAGAAGCTGATTTCTGTGGAAGAAAAACTCGAGTCGTTCACGGACCTCAAGAAGCTGTCCACTCTGTCAAATGACCTTGCCGTGCTCACCAACCGCATCGGAGTCATGGATCAGAAGCTGCGGGAAATGGAGGTCGAGGGCAAGGAGCACGTCCGGGAGCGAACCCAGGACACAAAGAACTACATTACCAACCACCTACAGGAAATCAAGTCGCAGTTGCACTCGCTGACTCAGACGTTCGACTCGCAGGTTAAGAACGAGCTGCGGTCGCAGTTCACTGACTTTTCGTCCGACAAGAAAAACCAGATCCCCTCTCTGTGGATCCCTCTCGTCGTCATTGTCGGCGCACAGTCGGCTCTCTTCTTCGTCTATCTCAAGTCTCGAGGCAAATACGAAAAGTTGCTTTAGGGATGGAGACGGAGAGATTAAAAACACTGCCTTGTAAAGCTAGTAATGATTTTTGTTATTGTATCATCAGAAGAAAGTAGCGGCTATAAATTTAAATGTTACAAACGTACACACTGTGCGAGTGCAGTTTCCCCAAATCATCAACAACTCTACTACCGTATCAATACGAATTCTCGGTGTTATCCACACACTTCTGTTGTTGCTGCATCCATTACCCCAACACTCCTCGTTGATATAAACATAGATTATTGTTAAATATTGTACACGTTAGACGTAGGTCTTTCTGTATCACACCTACTCCCTCTTTTCCTGGTCTCCCCTTTACATAAAGTTCTGGCCTCTCCAGCCCCCGCCGTTCACCTGGGGCTGGCCCTGAAACTGCTGTGGTGGCATGGGCATGCCTCCTGGCTGCGCCATGTGTCGTAGTTGCTGAGGAACCATCGGAGCCCCACCCATTCCTGTAGCGGCAATCTGACGCTGCTGATTCAACTGGTGGTCTAGAGGCAGCTGCTGCATCAGATGGTCAGGAATACCTTGACCAGGAACCATAGGCATTCCACCAGGTCCGGGCATGGCCCGCTTGAATCTGCTCTTGGGCGACTTGTCCTGCATGGCTCCCAGGGGCATACCAGGAACACCTGGCTGTCCCGGCCCTCCTGCTGTCACCTGGCCCTGTGCTGCGGCCTGCGCCCGCTGCTCCTGGGCGTACATCTGCTCTAGATACTCGTCCTTGCTGACTCCCATGGGCAGTTTTCGAATCTGCGGGGGTGGTTGTGACTGGGTGAGCTCCTCGGACACGTCCTGGAACGTCGGCTCAGCCTCATCGGGCGCCACAGACGAAGATCCTGAATGAGTGTCTAATGAAGTCGCGGCTGTAGAAGTCGACAGAATACCTCCTCGGCCACGTCGCTTCTTTGTGTTGACAATCACAGCCTCCTGCTCGACACTCTCTTGCTTTCGCTTCATCATCTGGGTCTGCGAAGTGGCATACACCTCGTTAGCGTCAAGCACCCCAAGATTGGGCTTCGAGGGCAGTTCCCCAGCGCTCTTAATCTGCCAGAAGTTCGTCCACATGTCTTTTCGGAATTTGCGCTGGCCGCCCAGGTACCGGTTATACTCCAGAGCTGAGTAAGACGCCTCGATTTCGGGGGCCTTGTAGTCGTGGAAAAAGTCGATCGACGCAATGTTGTATTTTGACGCCAGCGAGATATTACCTTGCTGGTAGTCCAGAGACCCTCGAATCGAGGTGCCGGGCATGTAGGTGGAGAGCAGGAGGTTTTTGAGATTTGCAGTTTCCACCTGGGCTGCTGCAGCTGCCGCATTGTTGATGGGTTGGTTGCTTGAGTCAGTGGCCAGTATGGCCGGAGCGGCAGGCACAACCGGGCCCGCACCACCCATCATCTGCTGCGATTGCTGTAGCTGCGCGTAGACGTGGGGGTGAACGTGAGCTGGGGTCTGCAGCGAGTTAGCAGCAGAAGCTGCCGCTGAAGCGCCTGGAGGGGGTTGTCCAGCCATGGGATGCAGCGTGTTGGCTGTGTTGGGTGCACCAGGCATGCCTCCGGATGAAATACGGGGCATAGTAGACGACAACGAGGGGCGAGTCGCTGGCTGTGTGGGCACAGGTGTGGGTCCAGCAGGGGGCTTCTCTTTTCGTTTTTGGGCCTTGGGCAGGTTAGGAGGGTTGGGGGTGCCGTAGACCTCCTGGTTGTAGACGTGAGTGATCTGGCCCCGTCGGTCCATAATCACAGGGTCCGATTCAGTGAAGCCTTGCTCGATGGCAGCTGCCTCCCAGTAGTCATCTGTGACTCGCTTTCCGTCCACAATAGCACGTGCTCCAAACTGTCGGTAGATTGAACGAGCGGTAATGATTCCAATGACACGTGATCGGAACGAGTAGGGAAGGAGCCCCAGCGCAATCAGAGCCTCCTTGTCCTTCTGGCTCGCAATCATCTTGTAAAGACTCTTGTTCTTGTTGAACAATAAGTACGAGTCTCGAAAGTTGAGCTCCTTGGCGCACTCGGTGGCCATCATAAACAGCTTCGATCCGCGTCCCGGCAGCTTGAACGTGTTCATCCGGAATTCTCGGCCTCCTTGGGGTCGTCCATCCAGGTCGATTTTCTTCTCGCCTTCGGGGTCAAACTCCGATACCACGAACTCGTCGCCCTCGGGAGTCAATTCCGAAAGGACCATCATGGCCGGCAATTGAAGGGTTTTTTCGAGCGCCATTGCAGATGTGCTCACTCGGCTGTGACGTAGTTAATGCGTGGACCTGAACGCGTGTTTGGTGTTGGTGATGATGAGCGATTGAGGGTATGGGTGGGCTTAGTTGATTTAAAGTTTTGACAATTGACACGAGGAGCCCGACAAAATGTCCGCCAGGGAGACACTAAAGGGTTGCGGTATGTGAGGTTGGGAAGATATTGTTGGTGGACAAGAATAGTGCCCTTGAGCCGTATGCTATCCAAACACCTTTTCTTCTACTTCATTCGAAACACCAGGCAGTTTCAGCCAGCACACTCTACTCGGTCCTGAGTTTGCTTTGTGGAATGTCGTTGTGTGTTCGATTCCAGATTGTGTTGTAATTGCCGTTGGAGTGCTGCGGAATGAGTGATCAATGCGAACCCGTTTCCATATTGCTATTAAAATACGGACACAAATTGAAGTTCTCCGCTCCTATAAATGAGCCCACAAACTCAGACCATGTCCCTCAACATCAACCTCAACACAGGTCCACTTCTACAGTAACATCATGGCTCGCCAATCTCGTATTTTTAGCACGTAAGCCGCACAACGGGTGATTGTGGCAGTGGTTTTTTGAGATTTCTTTGATAAAATAATTCACTTGGAGCCATTGTTAGCAGGAATTAGCACACCGTTATACATGACTGTCCTGTGTATAGCCTGCGGTGTTGAATGATGGGGAGGATAAGCCGTTTTTCGACAGACCGAGAAGGTTTCCTCTGCAGCATTTCTCAGCCTTCCATCTTCAACATGCCAGATACCGTGCTCGAAATTTTCGGACAGCCTCCCCTCAATATTTATACCCAAATATGTCTATGTTACAGCATGGATAAGGCACGTCGAAGCGAGATTGTGCACATTTTACAATCCGGTTTAGTCAGATTGACTGAATCCTTCCCATGGATAGCTGGTCAAGTGGTAAGAGACGATACCTCTGGCTTATTCAAAATCACCACGCTTGGGAAAACACCAAGACTGGTTGTGAAAGACGTCACTGATACAGCCCTCCCTATGGAACAACTCAAAAATGTTCAGTTTCCGTTTCGAATGATGCACGAAACTGATCTAGCACCTCGAAGTACGATTCCGGGACTGTTCAGTGAGTCAGAGCATAACCCTGTGTTTCTTCTTCAAGCCACTTATATTGATGGGGGTCTTCTTTTGACGTTTCTAGGTCATCATCAAGCCATCGATGGCACTGGACTAGCCCAGATCGTGTCTCTATTGTCAAAAGCATGCAATGGAGAGCCGTTTACTGAGGAGGAGAAGATAATGGGGAACATGGAACGTGATAACATTGTGCCTCTGTTTTCTGAGATTGAAAGGTTGCGGTACGGAGACCTTTATGAGAAGCTCAAACATCAGATCGTGCCAAAGTACACTCCCACAACCAGCGAGAATCCACCAAGTTGTTCATGGAGATACTTCATCTTTTCAGGTGATTCTCTTTCCAAACTAAAACAACTTGCTTCTCAAAATCTGACAACAGGCATCCCATTCGTATCCACTGACGATAGTCTCACAGCCTTTGTCTGGCAAGCAGTATCACGAGCACGACTTCAGAGACTCGAAAAGAACACAAAAACAACAATAGGGAGAGCTATAAATGTCAGACCATGCCTGGGTATTCGAAACACTTATCCTGGAATGATCACCAACATGGCTTACAGCAATAATACACTTTCGGAGCTGGTTGATGCCCCTCTGGGTCACGTGGCGTCTAATCTGAGATCGAAACTTGACTCTGAAGAGCTGAAACAAAATACCAGGGCTCTGGCTACTCTTATTAACGACAATCTTGGGACTCCTATTACCTCACCTACTGCTACCATGGACATGTCTTCAGATATAGCGCTGAGTTCCTGGGCACAGCAGAATTTCTACGCGCTGGATTTTGGACTCGGGTTGGGCCTTCCTGAATCAGTAAGACGTCCAGAATTCACTCCAGTCGAGAGTCTCATGTATTTCCTTCCAAAGACAAAAAAAGGAGATGTAGCACTCGCTATTTGTCTTCGAGAAGAAGATATGGAGGCTTTAAGGAAGGATGGAGAAATGATGAAGTATGCCACATTTATAGAATGATATTATGGCTTGTACAGCACTTATACGACGATGTGTGTTTTTTTTTTATATATATATATATTTTTGTTTTAATTTGTAACAATAATAATCTACTACTCAACTAAACTTCCAACTATTTCCCCAACTACCATACCGCTGACTTTTGTCCTATTGTGATGATATTAAAAAAAATTAAAAAAATATGTGAGCGTTATTTTTTATTTTACTTTTTGCCTGGTGCGGCTAAAACCCAAACCTCCATACACTCAGGTCGAGAATATTTTTTTAGATATGTAAATTTGTCAAAAAAAATTGTTGTGTTGTAGAAGTAGTAACGACAGATTATATATACAATCAGACCACGTAATATCTCCAGATACCCCCAGACCACACCGATATTTTTAGAGTACCACCAACCCTTCTGGATCGCCTTCAATTCCTGCATTTCAAAATTGCCACCCGATCTTCTTCATATAGTATTAGCACACTGTATGGACCACTCAGATACTGCATATTCTCGATGACTCTCTTTGAAACAGCTTACTAAAAATATAAAACAGAAACAGGAGCTCCAAAGACCTTGCACTATCATTTCTTCAAAAATACCCCCACAAAATCTGTCAGAATCCCAAGCCGAATTCCGCCGTTGAGTTCCCCAGAATTTCCATCAGACTCATTTTAAAATCCTGAAATGAAACGCACCCTAACCTTGGTGCCTTAGAATGGAGAACTACGTACTCTACGATAGTTGAGGGTGTAATAGTACAAACCGGGAAGACAGTTGAGAGAATATTACTTCGTATGACTAAACCCCCTCGTTATGCACAATTTCCTTTGTGGTGCCCTAAATACGACTCTCTAACGCCCCAATCACACCTTCCAAAAGCCTCACGCACGTGACCAACGCAATCAAACATTAGAATGCATACTTTTTTTTCTCAGACATCCAACCTCTACCAAGAACACCTTCATTTCAGCCTAAAGCGTCTTCAAGCTCCCGTCACATCCTCTATTACCACCGTAACATCGACAACCCCGAATCAAAATACACCTTCAACGCCACCAGCCACCACCCAATTCACAAACACTGTCACAGCAGTCAGTAACACAACCATGGCAAGTACACCTCGAGATAACTCGGCAAGCCCGCAATCGTCCCCCAAACCTGTCCTGGTGTCGCGCAAAAGCATCGTGTCTTTTACAGAACCCGTGCATCCCAATGACAGACACAGAAACAGCGTGGTGTCTCTGCATCATATAGATCACTCCAAGGTGCTGGAAACCAACCGAAGAGTGAGTCCCACGAGCTCGAATGGAGCTTCTGGGTGTACCACTCCTACCATTGTCAAGGGACGGCTCGAAACGCAATCTCTGGACGAGATTCTGGGATCTCTGGGTGACACACACGCTGTCGCGAGTCCCAACTTCAACCTGCACTCAGTCACGAGCAACCCCAATCTACCTACTGCCAGTCCCACGCTGGGACCCAAGACCGTTTCTTCGGCTCCTGTGATAAAACCTGCTGTTTCCACGCCTGCAACTGCTTCTCCCACTCTCACTGACTCGATTTTCCCTCCGAAGACCGACTCATCCAAGATCCATATTCTAATCGCAGCGTCGGGGTCTGTAGCAACTATCAAGATGCCACTCATAGTCCAGAAGCTCAAGACTGTATACGGAGACAAGGTGGAGGTACAGGCGATTCTGACAACTGCAGCACAGCACTTTTTCAGCGCAGAGCAACAAAATGAAATGATCGATCTCGGGGTGCGCATCTGGAAGGACAAGGACGAATGGACATGCTGGAAGAAGTCGTCGGAAAAGATTCTCAACGCAGAGCTCAAAAAGTGGGCAGACGTGCTGCTCATCGCCCCTCTGTCGGCCAACACTCTGTGCAAAATCGCCAACGGCATCTGTGACAATCTCCTGACGTCTATAATTCGAGCATGGAACCCAGCAGCACCTATCATTGTTGCCCCTGCCATGAACACCATGATGTACAACCACCCACTGACTCAGAAGCACCTGAATGTGATCAACGCAGAGATGCCCTGGATCCAGGTTCTGTTGCCAGTTGAAAAGAAGCTGGTGTGTGGAGATACAGGCATTGGTGCCATGTTGGAGTGGAGCCAGGTGGTTGACTGTTTGGTCGGTCGTCTCAGCGAGTGACAGTTGTGTATGGACCACTACTATAACTGCAATTTGCTATGTGCTATCTGTTATTGATCTCTGATGATAATATATATTCATTTATTTCGAGTTGCAAGGGTCTAAACAGACTCAACTAAGACTGAACATCATACTTGATAGCGCGAGAAGTTACAGTACATACGGTGTACGATACATTTGATGCTGCCATCGATCTGCCTGTATACCGTCAGTTCTACTTGTGTGTCTATGATACTCGTCGAGTCATTCAAAAGCATTAATATTATTCAACCAACAGTCTAATTTTTGTTGTTCGCTGTAAACTTCGTCACTTTGTCAGTCTCCAGTCATCTTGCCCATAACTGGAGAGAGAGTGTGCCTTATGTTGCCACCGTGACCTGGCTCAAAGGCTGTGGGGTGAGATGAGTCGTACAGGAACGAGAAGCACCCGTCATTACAGCCGCTTCACCGGAACCCGGACCCCTGTCTTGTCCAAGTATCCCAGCTGCAAGTATTGGCGAGAGTGATGGTGATGTTTTTTGGGGGATGGTTTTTTTGGTGGAGGGCCTATGCGAAACAGGGACGTGATCGGAGCGGCCTCCGAAACTCCGATGAGGAAAAAAGACGAGTCGTCAGAGGGACCGGACCTTATATATTGGCAGACGTGTGCCCCAAAGCACAACAATGTGCAATTTTCGTCTCAATTACAGCTTTTGGCTCAATTCCACATGCATTTAATATTTGGGCCGTGGGATGGGATGGGGTGAGAATATGGGGCAAAATTGTGAGGGGTAATATACAAAGCTTTTGGAGCTGGAGAACCATGCGCCGGGGGTGTACACGCAGGTTTGCAGACGCAGGAGTGGCTTGTTGCAGTACGGGCTGTGTATTACCGACTTGTCAGGGGCGCACACCTGCCAGTAAATGTTAGTGTCAGAGCCGTATGACTTACAGAACACTCACTTGTGTCTCACTAGCTACTTGTAGCGAATATGACATCACCTCGGCAATAATAAGAACAAACTAGCGTTTGGAGGTTGAGATTTTGAAACCGTTTTGGATTTGGAAAAGGTTCTTGTCTTGTTCAGATGGTTATCTGGCGTGTGTGTATAGTCTGTACAGTAGCTAGTGTGCATCGCACACGGAACTGGTCCGAGAGCTACGATAACAACAAAAGTTGCTGCTAATTCGCACCTGCAGGCGTACATGTCGACATTAAACACTCATATAGCGGGCAAGCTGTATACGCCAGTCGTACACTTCACTTGTCTCAGCGGTTCCTTGTGCTCTGCATAATCTCGTATCCCAAGCTTCATTTAATAATAATCCCCTACAGCCAGCCACCTGACCCGGCCTTATCAGGACTATTCTCTTGTCTACAAACCTTGTGAATTATCATTTAACGGTTTATAATACAGGCATGGGGCTGTGTGGGTGGTTCGTGGACTGTATACAAACAAACCACACCTGTAATATCAGCAGTTGTGGCCTGTGAGGTGAGTGCAAGGCTCCCGTGTGAGGTTTGATTGTGTCCAAATGACCGCCGGTAATTACCCCAGCTCTCCAGTACGTACAGGGCTCTTCCTGGCCCTAATCAAACTTACCATGAGCCGTGTTACCAATGAGGCAACCGTGTAGCCCGAACGATGAGTCGTCATGTGCCCTTTTGCCACATACTGTAATTTCGTATTGGCCTCATTAGGCGTAGATATCGGATATGTCGGGGGTTCAATTGTGTGTGTGTGTGTGTGTGTGTGTGTGTGTGTTTTTTTGTGTGGGTGGGTGTGTACCACATTCAGACTCGAAAAGAAAAAAAGTAAACAACCAGCTTCAGATCATGTATACCCGATACCTGAGGTATGACTCGTATCGTATCGTACTTGTACCGGTACATCCAACATGCCACACGATCCACCGCCTCGAACACTCCACGTGCTCTGAAACATAATAACTTCTACAAGTACGAGTATCTCATCTGTCTTAGACTACCGTAACACACACCCGAAGCACTTTGGACTTGATTGCTTCCTGATATATTATATTGCATCCCATTAAGGCTGGCTCTTCTGGGTATCCATGTCAGCCCATCTACAAGTAGGAAGGTCTCTAATTTCCTTTACAGCTCAAACATGGACCACACAACGCACTTCCCTGCTACACTTGCAAATGAAACACCTTAACGAAACCAATCTCTAAGCGAACATGGTGATATTTGTAAGCACTAGCAGATAATTACGCGGAGTAACAAATCTCGAAATCACGCAATACAGTACAACCATCTCATTTTACTTAGTTGCATAGAGTAAATTCTTTTACATCATTCTGCTGAAGAGAGAGATGTGCTCATATGGTACGATACTACAGTATGTATGTACTGTAGAAGTACCATAGAAGTTGTCCAGTCGTTATCTACGACCACCCAAGCAAACCATAGTCAGTCCCGTACTCGTTCCCTATCAATTCATATTAACTACTTGTACTCCTAAATCTCATCTTCCAGAAAATGGTACTCAAACTGGAAGTTGGACTTGCGTCGCTGCAGCCACACACCCTCAAAGTCAAAGTAGCGGTAGGTGCCCTGCTCAAACTCGTTATTGATCATCTTGGGCTCCTCGTGGCGCTGGAACCACGTCAGGAACCGCTTGTGGAACCGCCACGACCGCGACTTGAGTTCCTTGGCCGCCAGATACTGATGGTACGTTCCCTGGCGGTAGTAGAAAATGTAGAATAGCGTATCGATGTCCATTTTCGCAAAAATGCCGCCGTCCTCAAACACCGCCAGAGGGTCTTGAGGATAGAATGGCAGAGTAGGGAAAGGCGACTCAGGATGGTACATTTGCGGCTTCTCCGCGTCGCCTGAGTCTGGACACGAAAAGTACGACGTCTCCAGCAACTTGGCAATCGAGCCTATTGGTGGAGGAGTGCCGACTCGCTTCTTGGCCACGTCCAGCGACGACACAAGGTCTTGCAGGCCGGGAGGAAGCGTGTAGATGATAGAGTCGTCCGACAGAGTGGTGGACGTGGACAGGGGAGGCGGCGAAGGTGCTGTCGATGTGGTGTTGCCTGCGCTGCTTGTCGAGGCTATGGTGGCAGAGGCAGCCGGGCCAGTAGGAATAGCAGGAGCAGCCACCGGTGTAGAGGAAGCGGCAATGGGAGTCGAAGCAGCGGCAGGGCCGGTAGGAATAGATACGTTGGCTCCTCCAGGTGCAGGACCTCCTCCTTCAGCCCAGGGAGCAGGAGTGGCAGAAACGGCCACAGGCACAGGCGCAGCGGCTCGAATTTCTTCTTTGGGAGCTGGCAAGGGAGCTAGGCCCTGTGGCAATGCACTCGGAGAGCTTCCCACACTGCTTCCAGCAGCAGCGGCGGCTGCAGAGGCGTACTTGAGCGACTCATTGCGGGTCGGCAGAGGAGCAGGTTTCATGTTGCTTCCGATCGGAGGAGGCGTGTTTGTGGCTGCCGGACGGCGACTGCTATTCTGAGCGTCTGCCGCTGCTTGTGCTGCCGCCTCCTTTTGTGCCTGGGCCGCCTTGGCCGCCTCCTCCTTCTCCTTGGCGGCTTCTCGTTCTCGTTCCTTGGCACTTTCCACAGCCAAATCTTCCAGCGTCGACGTGGGCTCGTCCCTCAGGTACTGCTCGTCGATGGTGAACTCGTCCTCCTCTTGATCCAGATTCAGCTCATCGTAGATTTCCACGTCCTCGGCGAAATCCACATCCTGGTTGGACTCCACGTAGTACTGAATGTCTTCCTGAAGATCCATCACCTGTTGAGGAGCCAAAGATCCATTCTCAAGCAGTCGTGCAATGACTTCTAGACGTCCAATGTGCCACTTGTGTCGATCGCTAGCATCAGCAATCTCACTAAGACGCTCACTCTTGACACTGTTGTCCTTCCGACCCTTTCGAACCGTGCCGTGCAATTGCTCCTCCTCGGCCTCCAAGGTCTCCAATTGCTCACTCAGCTCGTCGATCGTGTTTTGCACAAACGCACACGCCTCCTGTCGTTGCTGTTCTCGCGGATCAAGCTGCTTGCCTGCGCCTGGACTCAGTCCCTCCTTTGAAAATGCCTTGGTCTTCATCTCCCGCTCACAGGCCTTGAACCGTTCCATTTCCGTCTCGATCAGCTTGCGTTGGTCCGTCAGCGTCTTCTTGTCCTTGATGTCGTTGGAACCCATCCATGTCTTGATCTGGTCTCGTAATCGCTGCAGCTTTTTGATCTCTCGCTTGAGATCCTGCTCCAGTTTTTCCTTTTGCGACTGGTTGGTCGACTGCTGTACTTTGTCGTAGATGGAGTCAAAGGTGGCCACTCCTTCGGCCACCCGCTTGAACACTCGGTCCATTTCCTGCTGCAGTTTTCGCGCAGCCATTGTAGAGATGTTACCGCCGAGAGTATTTGTTGGTGTCACACTTTCTGCATGCTGGAGACGGTGAGCTGGTATGAAAAGTCATAACCCTAACCTGGAGTTTATTCGGAGTGGAGAGAGAAGCCATATAGTGGTGAGTAGAATACGCAAGGGGGAGTACTTGGATCGCTTTTAACAGGCGTTTGATTTGTGTGTGTCGTCTTTTATCCTTAAAAATTCCTTCTGTTTTACCCACCTTATAAGTCCCTAAGCTACAGTAACACCCATATCACAAGGTTTAGAGAGGAGTTCAAATGTATATGGAGATGAGTATGGAGAACATGCGCCATGTGTGAATAGTTGCAGCCTGGGACTGGTATGGATTCTACGACGACCTCATCAGCCCATTCCAGTAATTGGCTCACTGCTACCTCTCCAACAGCACCTACATCGCACACTTTACCCCTCCTATCTCAAGTGCCACATGCTACAATGTAGCTACTCTACGATATAGCTACTGTAAGCTTAACACGGAGATAACATGAGGGAGTTACTGATAGTTGTTGGAAGTCATGACTGTGTATCGTAGGAAAGAAACATGGATCTTTTTAACTGTAATCATACCATTCATTTCACCCCCTGAGATCATTTCTAGTCTCTCAAACGATGAAACACGTGATGTTCAAAGTTCGATGTCACACCGCAAGATTCTGTTAGGGCGGGAAACATAAGAGTACCTACGAGTAGGCTACATACTGTACTGTACCTGTTAAACACAACTTGTGAGTGAGAAACTTGCTAGGAGCTTGTGGGGATTGTTCTTGCGGCTCAAGTACTACAATCCGGCCAATCCAACAGGAACCCACAATATTCCTCCTCTACGTAGTTCGACCATGTGTATGACGTCAGGGGGCATGCTTCAATAGAATGTGTTACAGAGCCCATAATAATGAGACTGCAAGAAGCTATGATTAGTCTGTATAAAAGTCAACTGTTCCACTCATTGAGACCACAACTTACTCCCATTCATCTCCCTGATTCCTCCTTGTTGCTCATAATCTGTAACCGTGTCTCAAATTTTTATCACTTTATCATTTGATACCACAGCCAACCACAGCCTGTCATTAATGACATCGCTCTGCACATCAACCCACCTTGGAGATGTACTGTACGAGTAGCGGTTCAAGCCTTGTCCGGGTTGGGGTCTGTGTTCACAGATCAGGTTTTTCAGAAGACTGTAGGGTTAGGGTATAGTTGGGGTGCGGAGCTCGTGGTATGATTTATTATGTCATCTGCATTTGCAGTGATAATATCTATAGGTCAGTAAAATCACGTGACCATTTTCTTTGATCACCCCCCATCAGCTGCACTCCACTGCAGTATGACTCAGTGCACCTGTCTCGATATAACCTTCCAAATCGAAAGCTTGCAACTTTCGGTTTTGACATCTGTTTGAAAACTTGTCTCTACAAAAAAAAAAAACTACCGACAATGTCGTGTGAGTATCCATGGGAAATTGAAGGAATCGTTCGTGAGATCGCTTGGTCAGGCTTAAAATTGAGATCAATCGTCTGTGAACTGTCATCTGGATTGTGTCTACCGATGTCTGATCTGACCAGAACAGTGCCATGAGCAAATCGTTGTGGAGGATGCGGCACAAACAGAGTGGATGGTATGCGATATGAGAAATGGATCATTGCGGCTCTTTTGATTGAGGATCTGGTTACTTTATCACTGTCTGTCGTTGTCTTTCTGTCAATGTAGCTATGACTACAGTATAGCATTGACACAATGAGCAGTCACACGGAGAAGCCTTAATCAGACACTCGTTGGCAAATGCGATTGTCTATATGACCCCGCTTCGAGTTCTGTAGCCTCCAATTCCCGCCGTCATCGCAGTATGAATACTATGTTGTCTGCTATACTATACTCATGGACAACGGCAGGACTCTTTTAAGACGTGATACCGAGACTCATGACCTGGACAAAGAAAGGGTACTTATTCTGTGTCAGCTATTTATTAGGTCCGCTCTGACCTTCGGCCCTATGTACCGTACTAATACAGTAACACAATGGGCAACCGCCCTTACCAACCCCACACTCTCAGTCCTCCCGTTCGATTTCGTCCGCCCCGCTGAAGGCAGTGTAGTCGAAGCACAATTGACGGAGGCTCTTAGCTCCAAGACCGTGGCCGAGCTCGATCAGATTGCCAAGAACAGCGGTGTAGCAGGCGCTACTGATTTCTCTGCAGCTCTGGCTCTCTACGCCATTCTCGTCTACCGTCTCTCGGGCGACGAGGACGTGTGTCTCGGATCCGACGACGCCGAGGGAAACGTCTTTGTCTTCCGATCCAACCTCAACGGCACTTCCACCTCTCTGGGTGACCTCATCAAGTCTGTGGTTGAGTTTGAAACGTGGCAGAAGGACTCTGGCGTCAAGTTCGCCGACATTCTGGCTGAGATCCAGACCTCGCAGAAGCTGGAGTCAGAGCCAGTACTGTTCCGAACGTCTTTCCAGCACCTTCAGAGCGACACAGAGTCACAATCTGTTCTGGGCCCCGCTGCCGGCCGTCTCACAGACGTGTCCGTCTATCTAGGCAAGGAGTCTCTGTCCATCCACTACAACTCTCTGCTGTACAAGGAAGATCGAATGAAGCTCTTTGCTAGCCAGATTGTCGAGCTCATTGCCCAGGCTGCCGTTCTTGGCCCCTCCGCTGAGGTCGGTAAGCTATCTCTTCTGTCGCCCCAGCAACGGGACGGCTCTCTGCTGCCCCTTCCCACTTCTGATCTCGACTGGAGCGGGTTCCGAGGCCCTATCCACGAGATCTTCGCTGAGAACGCCAAAAACCACCCCGACCGGCCCTGCTGTGTTGAGACCGCCTCGGCTCTGTGTCCCGAGTCCAAGGAGCGGTCGTTCACCTACAAGCAGATTGACGAGGCGTCCAACGTGCTGGCGCACCATCTGGTGGCTTCCGGTATCAAGCCCGGTCACGTGGTCATGATCTACGCCTACAGAGGAGTCGATCTTGTGGTCTCCGTCATGGGTACTCTCAAGGCTGGAGCCACTTTCTCCGTTATTGATCCTGCCTATCCTCCTGCTCGACAGACCATTTACCTGCGAGTAGCTCAGCCCCGAGCTCTGGTTGTGATTGGTAAGGCTGGCAAGATTGACCAGCTCGTCACCGACTACTGTGACAAGGAACTGCAGTTACTGACTTTGGTCCCTGAGCTGGCCCTCACTGACGACGGTGCTCTGGTCGGAGGAGAAGTTGAAGGGAGCGACATCCTGGCTTCCTCTCAGGCTAAGAAGGGCGAGCAGACTGGTGTTCTTGTCGGCCCCGACTCTAACCCCACACTCTCCTTCACCTCTGGTTCCGAGGGTATTCCCAAGGGTGTTCTTGGTCGACACTACTCGCTGACCTACTACTTCCCCTGGATGGCTGAGACCTTTGGTCTCTCCGACAAGGATAAGTTCACAATGTTGTCTGGTATCGCACACGATCCCATTCAGCGAGACATTTTCACCCCTCTCTTCTTGGGTGCCCAGCTCATCATCCCCACTTCGGACGATATTGGTACTCCCGGACGTCTGGCTGAGTGGATGGCCACCTACGAGACCACTGTGACTCATCTGACTCCTGCCATGGGTCAGCTTCTCAGTGCTCAGGCGACTGCCCAGATCCCCTCTCTTCACCATGCGTTCTTTGTCGGCGACATTCTCACCAAGCGAGACTGCACTCGACTGCAGAAGCTTGCCCAGAACGTATTCATCGTCAACATGTACGGCACCACCGAAACCCAGCGATCCGTTTCATACTTTCAGGTCGCTTCCTACGCCTCGGATTCGTCTTTCTTGGCTCAACAGAAGGACATTATGCCCGCTGGCAAGGGTATGAAGAATGTGCAACTGCTCGTTGTGAACCGACACGACCGAACCCAGACCTGCGGTGTCGGAGAGGTCGGAGAGATCTACGTGCGAGCCGCTGGTCTCGCCGAAGGCTACCTTCTCAACGACGCGCTCAACGCCGAGAAATTTGTCACCAACTGGTTTGTGACTCCCGAGCACTGGATCCAGGAGGACGAGAAGGTCAACAAGGGTGAGGCCTGGAGAGAGTTCTACAAGGGTCCCCGGGATCGGCTGTACAGAACTGGAGATCTCGGCCGGTACCTTCCCGATGGAAACGTTGAGTGTTCCGGACGAGCCGATGACCAGGTGAAGATTCGAGGTTTCCGAATCGAGCTTGGCGAGATCGACACTCATCTGTCTCGACACCCCCTGGTGCGTGAAAACGTGACTCTGGTGCGTCGAGACAAGGACGAGGAGCCCGTCCTGACTTCGTACATTGTTGTCCAGAACACTGACGCCGTCAACGAGTTTTTGGATGCTCAGGAGGACGAGGAAGAGACCGACCAGGTTGTTCAGGGTCTTTTCAAGTACAGAAAGCTCATCAAGAACATTAAAGAGTTCCTCAAGACCAAGCTGCCCTCTTACGCCATTCCTACTGTTGTTGTCCCCCTCGCTAAGATGCCTCTGAACCCCAACGGAAAGGTCGACAAGCCCGCCCTGCCCTTCCCTGATACTGCTCAGCTGGCTATTGTTGCCCAGAAGGCCGCTGCTGCCTCTGGAGATGCCAACGCTGCTCCCATCGAGTTCACCGAGACCCAGGCTGCCATTCGAGACATTTGGCTCGATGTTTTGCCCCAGCAGCCCGCCACCATTTCTCCTGATGACTCTTTCTTCGATCTTGGTGGCCACTCCATTCTGGCTACTCGTATGATCTTTGAGCTACGAAAGAAGCTCATGGTAGAGATCCCCCTTGGTCTCATTTTCAAGTCTCCCTCCATTGCCGGCTTTGCCCTTGAGGTCGACAAGCTCAAGAAGGGAGGCGAGGTTGAGTTCCACGGTGAGAATGAGAGCGACGAGCAGGAGCAGGCTGCCGTTGACTACTACAACGACGCCAAGACTCTAATTGCCGACGCGAAGCTTGTTGCTTCGTCTTACCCATCTCATTCCGGCAAACTCGACGCATCTGCGCCTGTCAAGGTCTTCTTGACTGGAGGAACCGGTTTTCTGGGCTCTTTCCTGCTCCGGGACCTGCTCGAGCGATCGCAGAACATCCATGTGTTTGCCCACGTTCGAGCCAAGACCGTGGAGGCTGGTTTGGACCGTCTGCGAAACTCTTCCGAGGCCTATGGCATCTGGAAGGATGAGTGGGCTTCTCGAATCACCCCCATCATTGGCGATCTCGAAAAGGCCGACTTTGGCCTGTCTAAGGAGCAGTTCTCCCAACTCACCGATGAGGTTGATGTGATCATTCACAACGGAGCTCTGGTCCACTGGGTGTACCCTTACTCCACTCTCCGAGGTCCAAACGTGCTTGGATCTATCAACGTCATGAACCTCGCTCTGACTGGCAAGGCCAAGATCTTCAACTTTGTGTCCTCCACCTCTGCCGTCGACACCGAGCACTTCAACAAGCTGTCTGCCGATCTGGTGGAGGAGGGCAAGGCTGGCGTTCCCGAGTCCGACGATCTCATGGGTTCTTCTGTGGGTCTCGGCAACGGCTACGGACAGTCCAAGTGGGTCGCAGAGCACGTGATCCGAGAGGCCGGAGCCCGGGGACTCACCGGAACCATCATTCGACCTGGTTACGTTGTCGGAGACTCCAAGACCGGAGCCACCAACACGGACGATTTCCTGGTTCGAATGATCAAGGGATGCATCCAGCTGGGTGAGATTCCCAACATCCACAACTCGGTCAACATGGTGCCCGTCGATCACGTGGCTCGGGTTGTTACTGCCGCCTCTTTCTGGCCCAAGCAGCCTTCCGGCGTGGTTGTCGCCCATGTGACTTCCCAGCCTCGAACACGGTTCAACGAATTCCTGCAGACCCTCCAGAAGTACGGTTACAAAGTTTCTGTCGAGGACTACGTCACCTGGCGTCTGGCTCTGGAGAAGTTTGTTGTTGAGGACTCGCAGGACTCTGCCCTGTATCCTCTGCTACACTTTGTGCTCGATGACCTTCCCCAGTCTACCAAGGCCCCCGAGCTGGATGACTCCAATGCTCGATCTGCTCTCTCTCGAGACGCTGAGTGGACCGGAGTCGATTTGTCCGCTGGTAAGGGCGTTGACGAGGCTCAAATGGGTATCTACCTGGCTTACCTGGTGGCTGTCGGCTTCCTGGATGCCCCCCAGTCCAAGGTTGAGCTTGCTTTGCCGAAGGTGGAGCTGTCTGAGCAGACCCTTGATAAGCTGAAGAGTGTCGGTGGACGTGGTGGTAACAAGTAAGCAGTGCCGTAGGGAGTGCCTTGACCATAAGGCGATGCGAAGCATTGCCATTTTGTTATTTGTTACCGTGTAATGGTGATTATTGCTTGTCTGTGAGCAGACTATTTTTGTATGATTTAATTAATTATGATATATATGACTAAATGTGAGGTGTCGCAATAATTACAGCATTTTTCGTTTGAGATGGTTTGTATTGTAGCCAGTGCTCAAAAATTGAGCGTAAATTTGATAGCGTTTGCTGATGAGCAAGTGGAAGCATGGGAATCTCATCCCCAGAACTCGTAATAGTTACATACGGCAATACAACTATCAGTGACATCACATACATGCCAGTTGTCACGCAAGGTTCTACAAACTCATGGGGTTCCATTTAAATATACTCTATATCAATACTTATATCAGACGGGCAACCCACTTAGACACCGTGGCCGGGTCGGGTGTTGACGTCAATGGGGTCGAAGGCTCGCTGAATAGGAGACTTGACAGTCTGGCCCTTGTAGTAGTTAATGGTGGCCTCAGCTCGCTTGGCGACACCCTCGGCATTGAACTCAAAGGCATCGTAGACCTGCTGGAAGGGAGCAGAAGCACCGAATCGGTCCAGACCAAACTGCTGGTGAGAGTATCGAGACCAGCCAAAGTCGGAGTAGACCTCGACGGAAAGCATGGGGATGCCATCGGGGAAAACAGACTTTCGGTACTCGAGAGACTGCTGCTCGAAGGTGAACCAGTCGGGCAGAGAGATGACACCGGCAGTGATACCCTTCTTCTCCTTGAGGAGCTTGGCGGCAGCAACACAGATGGCAACCTCAGAACCAGTGGACACAAGGTAGATGTCACCCTTGTCCTCGGAGATGAGCTGGTAACCACCCTTGGAGGCCTTCTCGATGGAAGAGCCCTCAAGCTGAGGCAGGTTCTGTCGGGTCAGAGACAGGACAGAGGGAGTGTGGTAGTTGGTGATGGCCTTGTAGTAAGCAGCGGAGGTCTCGTTACCGTCGGCAGGTCGCCACACAGAGAGGTTGGGGGTGGCTCGGAGCCAGGCGACAGTCTCAATGGGCTGATGGGTAGGGCCATCCTCACCCAGACCAATGGAGTCATGGGTAGCAACCCAGATAACGTGGTGGCCAGACAGGGCAGACAGTCGGACGGCACCAGCGGCGTAGGAGACGAAGTTAAGGAAAGTACCTCCGTAGGGGATGATACCTCCGTAAGCGTTCATACCGTTCATGATAGCGCCCATGCCGTGCTCTCGAACACCGTATCGGATATATCGGCCGGAGTAGTCACCAAGGTGGGTGACAGGAGGCTGGAAATCAACAGCGTCCTTCCATCGGGTCAGGTTTGAGCCGGTCAGATCGGCGGAACCACCAACAAGCTCGGGGAGGACCTCGTGGATCTTGGTGAGGACAATCTCGGACAGCTTTCGAGAAGCAACGGCATTGTCGGCGGGGGTGTAGGTAGGCAGAGCCTTCTCCCATCCCTCGGGCAGCTCTCGCTTGAATCGTCGGATGATCTCAGAGTGCTCCTTGGGATACTCCTTACCGTACTTGGCGAAGAGCTCGTTCCACTCCTTCTCGGCGTTGGCGCCTCGGTCAATAGTCTTGGCGTAGAGATCAGTGGTCTCCTTGGGGACGGCAAAGGTCTCCTCGGGGTTGAAGCCAACCTTCTCCTTGAACTGCTTGATATCATCAGGCTTGAGAGGAGAGCCGTGAACACCGTGGGTACCCTGCTGCAGAGAGCCGTAACCAATGATGGTGGTGAGTCGGATACAAGTGGGCTTGTCCTTGGACTTCTTGGCCTGCTCGATGGCAGCAGCCATGCCGGCCAGATCGTTGTTACCGTCCTTGACCCAGATGACCTCCCATCCGTAGGCCTCAAGTCGCTGGCTGACGTCCTCGGTGAAGGCCACGTTGGTGTCACCGTCAATGGAAATGTGGTTATCATCGTAGAAGGTGATGAGGTTACCGAGCTGCAGATGTCCGGCAAGAGACATAGCCTCGGAGGCAACACCCTCCATCATGCAACCATCTCCGAAGATGCAGTAAGTGTAGTTGTTGATGATGTCGTAGCCAGGCTTGTTGTAGGTGGCGCCAAGGTGGGCCTGGGCAATGGCGAAACCAACAGCGTTGGAGACACCCTGACCCAGGGGACCGGTGGTGACCTCGATACCGGGAGTCTCAGCCTCGGGGTGGCCGGGAGTCTTGGAGTTGAGCTGTCGGAAGTTCTTGAGATCATCGATAGTGATGTCGTAGCCAAACAGGTGCAACAGGGAGTAGTGCAGCATGCAGGCGTGTCCGTTGGAGAGAATGAATCGGTCTCGGTTGATCCACTCGGGGTTGGAGGAGGTGAAGTTCATGTAGTAGTTCCACAGAACGTGGGCAACAGGAGCCAGACCCATGGGGGCACCGGGGTGGCCGGAGTTAGCCTTGGCCACAGCATCAATCTAGAGTTAGCGATATTCAAAAATCGAGACATATCATCACATGCTATGACTCAGCCCTTGGCGTCAAAAAGCATGAATTGCACTGCAGTGTGCAGATTCATGCAGGACAAACACCAGACCAGTCAATGTAATTGGCTGTGGTGCACGTCCAAATCAATGGCACAATTGCCCGTGATGCATGCTCCTTAGGAGACGCTGTGGGGTTTGTGCATAGGTTACAGCTTCCGGGTCATGATCAACTTCCGCGCAACAATTGTGTGCTAAATCAGGGCAGAAGCAATTGCTCAATTGATCACGGGTAGCCACCGCAACATTCGCACTCCTTCTCAGTTTTCATACTCACAGCCAAGGTTCGGATGGTGTTGATGGCAGTCTCGTCAGTCTTTGAAAATTGGGGAGCCATTTTGAAAGTTGTCCGTCTAGCAAGCTACCAGCAGGGTATATATAGCGGCAGACCCAAAGTTTTCCTAGCTCTTCCATTCGGTTCATCCATACTTTGTTTCCCAGGGTAACTTTCCCAATCCAGTAACTTTGAGGCTTATACGACTCAAGCTTTTCGCAACCTCAGACCAGAGAGAGCTACAACAAGGAGGGTGGTGACATTTTGGAAGGCGTGGGAGGTGGTATCGGGGCGGGGAGTGATTGTAGCGTGCTCAATTGGGTTGTTAAGGGCTTTTAGTCAGCCATATAACTGCCTTCTACCATCTATTCGCCCTCTTCAGCTATTGCTGGATACTAAGGTTGCTGATGCCTTATCGTGTCAGTCAGCGACATCGGACAACTTCCACCATATATGAAACTACGGACGGATACACAGTCAGCGGGTAGTCATATTCGGAGGGGTCTTCGGAGTTCCCAATTGGGGTTCCGTTGGAAGTCATCTTTGTGTGGCCACCGTTTTTTCCCGTCGGAACACCATCTTGAAAACTCCGCCACTTACACCCGTCCTACCCACTCTCCCTCGCACTACTGTAGCTACGTACTTTTCCTACTTCTCAGACACCGTATTCCCTCACTCACCCACCTTGCACCTGTCCCGTCCCCTGACGTCAGCAAAGTTAGCCCAGGGCCAGAAGATCGCTGGTATGCACGCATAATAGGAGCTGGTGTCGCTAATTGGAGGGCGACAACGTGCCCAGACCCGCTTGCAAAGACTTCAATCGGACCCAACCTGTCAACCCAACCTCTCAACTGACATGACTAGTCAGGGCTGACTGCACTCAACGTCCCAACACTAATTTTGATGGTCTAGACCGTGATTAGTCATCTGTCATCGTCCGTTGGGAGAGTGCATAAAGACAGATTAAACATGCCACGTCATTTAAGAAGGTTATTAAGAGAGGGTGAAGACATTTGAAAGGTGTGTTCCCTTCCGTTTTCCAATGGCACAGCTAAAAGCAGCTCTTTCTTGCGGTTCAAACGACATCAATTATACTTCCTTGTCTCATCACCCACCGTTTTTTCCACCTAGGTTGCTGGCATAAATGAACGCCCCATGCCAGCCAATGCAAGATTGTTCCGAACACGAGTTTATCCGATCATGACGTCATCCGCCGGTATCATGTTCGGTGATATCATCGAGGTACCAATTTGCAAACGTGCAGTCAGATAACAGCATGCAAGCCGATTACGCCGGTGTGTAGCGGATTTGATCACTCAGCTTTTTTCCCGGAAGTGGATAAACTTCTCTTGAACGGTAAAAAAAACATACTGTGCCAAGTGGGGGGTCTGAAACTCGACTGCCCAACCTTTTCCGTCCTGACAATTATAGCTTGTAAAGATCTCTTTCTCCGAAGACTGCGGGCTAATCATATCCCTCTCTTTCCGTGTGCATTTACATAGCAACTGTGCAAACCCTTTAGGTTCTCGGGCCCAACGTATGAACCGTATCATAGGAAGAGAGGAGGTGTAATAGGAGGCAACCGTCTTTGGAAGTTCTATGCCGAGTTTTATAAAACGTGTGCAAGTACAGTGCAAGTACTTGTAGGTTGTGTTTCAAGTTTTCAGCTGTTGGCTGTGTTGGTGGGCCAGCGTGTGTTTCAATAGTCATCTATAGTATCTTCGTGTACAGAGGAGCATCTACTGGTAGCTACAAGTACGGTATGTACCAGTAGAACCACGTGTGATACACTTGAACAACAAACCATGCAGGGTCTGGCTGCATTGTTGATTCCGGTCCGTTCTATACGCTGTTTGTTCTTTAGAGTGTCTCCGTAGTCCGTCTTTGTACCTTGGCCTGTTGATCTGGCTTCTACTGGTCTGTTTTTTCATCGACTTTCATCGACTATGATAGAAAACTGTTCGTTCATGGCAAATGATTTATAGATATCCACTTGAACAGAATTGACAGTGTTTCTACACTGCGGCATGGTCGTTTGATGATAGACAGCAGAGGACTCGAAGAACCCATCTAGTAGTAGAAAAGTCGAACAGTATCACTTACACACACACACACACACACACACACACACACACACACACACACACACACACACACACACAATCAAAGGCAGTAATGACGTCTATTCTTCATGATACCGTTTTACTTCTTCGTAATCCACTTGTCCCCGTTACCTCCACCTTCTGTGTACGAGTAGTATCGTTATCGCACATTGTAATAATGTACCGCTGTTTGTAGATCTTGCTGCACCTCCACCTGATAAGATCTTCGCTATCACCGTCCAACCATAGTAACTGTTCCTAACCAGTAGGGGCCTGGTGTGTCCATATGTCATATATTTGCAGCAGTGGTGCAATGTACTCTCATATTCACATTCATTCATGCTATACCCATACACACTAATGCATATGCTCATTCTTTTCGGTAAACGTCCATCCTCCAAACTGCTTCTGCACGCTTTCACTGAGATAGTCGTTGGCCACAGAATCGCTGGGCACCTCGCTGGTGAACTCTCGGTCAAAATTGCTCGTGTCAGTCGCAGACCGCACGCTGGGCTTGAAGGGAGCAGTATACTTCTTGGCCATAAGCCGTTTCCAGTCAATCTCGTTGAAAAACGGATGGGCTTTGATCTCGGCGGCTCCGTTGACTCCCAGCCGCTTCTTGGGATCTCTATTGAGCAGACCAGTAAGAATGCTTCGTGCCTCTCGGTCCATGTCGTCGGGGAACCGCAAAGGATCGTTCAGGATTCGCTGGTACATTTCATTGGTGTTTTCCGAGTAGAAAGGAGGCAGTCCAGTGAGCATCTCATAGAGAAGAACACCCAGAGTCCACCAGTCGACTGTCTTGGTGTATCCGTGGCCCAGCAGAATTTCAGGACTCAGATACTCGGGAGTACCGCAGAAAGTGTTAGTCTTCTCCTGGCCCTCCATATTGAGCTTACAAAGACCGAAATCACACAACGCGATGTGGCCGACGTAATCCAGTAGAATGTTTTCGGGCTTGAGATCTCGGTAAATGACATTGTACTCATGCAGACACTCCAACGCACACAACAGTTCGGCAGTGTAGAACCGGCTTCTGTTCAGATCAAACACCTTTTCGTTTTGCAGGTGGTGGAACAGTTCTCCTCCGTTGACAAAAGCCAGTACAAGGTAGAGCTTGTCGGGGTTTTGAAACGAGAACTTGAGCGGCACAATGAACGGGTTATCAATCTGGGCCAGTACCGTTCGCTCCGCGAGCGTATGTGTGACTTCGGACCGCGACACGATTCGCGCTTTTCTAATCGTCTTTATCGCGTAAATCTGTTGCGTGTCCTTCTTGCGCACCTGCATCACCTTGCCAAACGAGCCCTTACCGATCACCTTGAGCAGCTCAAAGTCCTTCATGGACAGGGGCTCGTTACGTGTAGGCTTGTAATCCAGCTTGAGGTGGATTTTTCCTGTACCAGACGACAGAGCCTGATATCCGTCGAACGAAGACGCGGGGGTGAAGTTGGGGGTCAGTTTCACCGAGCCAAGGAAGATATCAATGTACTTAGGCGTGGCAGACGATCTCTTGGAGGACGAGTTTACGCTGCTCATGCTGCCGTTGCCCCCAATACTGCTACTGAGTCCCAGTCCCTCCATCTCACTGGGCTTGACCAGTCCGGCGCTCAGCTTGGCGTACAGGTTGATGCTCAGGGGCTCCGGACGCGACACGTCGAACGACGACTGGGCCTTCCAGATGGGGTTCTCCAGCGTTCCTCCTGTGGCCTCCAGCACCAGCTGCGTCTTGTCAAACTCCAACACCAGGTACACTGGGGGAGGAGTCATTCGTCGGGCAGAAGACATTGTGTTGGAATCCTTAACCAGCTGTTTTTCAGGTGCAAACAGGCTCGCATACTTGGCATAGCTGGGAGGCAGCGACAAGCCCTTGGTTTCGACAATGTTGACTGTCAACAGGCCGGGCTTGAAGGAGTGTGACAGGTGAGGGGCCGGAGGAGCAGCAGGAGTGGCACACGAAGTGGAGGTGGCGGAAGAGGCAGTGTCTCGTGAGTCTCGTGAGTCTCGTGGGGTGTAACTGTGTGTGGACTCTCGCGACCACTCTCCGCTGGGTGCCTTGCTGCTGGTGGAGCTTGTGGGGGTCAGCTTCTCATATCCGCCAGGAGCGTTGGTGGACACGGACGGTAAGCTGAGGGTGTCTCGTTTGGTGTTAGTGGGCGACTCCTTTATGGTGGCCGTGGAGTTAGACGACGGCCTTGAGGAGAAGGCTGACAGGTGGCCTTCTTTGATTTCTGTGTTAGTAAGTCTGCTTTGTAAGGCCCCGATAAGAAATGCTGTTAACCCCTAAATTGCGCCGTGCGTGAAGTACTGCCAAGACACGCAGCCCCGGATCGTGGGCAAGAGGGATATGAGAGGGGTGTGGTTGCGTGCTCGTTGTATTATATCGCAACACTGTTGACGCAGTGTGTGCAGATTCTCGTGTGACTTGACAACTTGGGTGTCATTGGCTGTACAAATCAACTCCACAAGTTGAAACACACCACGACATCGCCGTGAGCAACGGTAACGGACGACAGCCTCGGCAAACAACTGAGACAGCAGCGACAATAGCAGCAGCACGACCAGCGTCGTTCCTGCGACCTTTCTGTCCGTTCTCATCTCTCCCACCACATTTTCTTGTCACAACCAATATCACCACGGCCATGCCCGTGTATCCCCACACCCCCTGATCCAGTCACTGTGGGGAGACAATACCGGGCCCAAAATAGCCGCCGAGAACACGTCACGTCTGCCATGACCATTCCGGCCGCGTCCGCAAACACTCACTTTTCCACGTAGACATTGTGGGTCGTGTATGGTTGTCTATCAGGTGTTGATGAGCTAGTTTAGTCCACGTTTAACTACAAGTAACGTGTTGCAGAGTCAGCTGCGGAACCATGCTGCAGCAACACCGCCGGGAATACTCTCACACGCAACACAACGTGTCAGCTGCCGCAGGGGGGCTGCATCACCCCCCAAAAAAAGACATAGCCTCCGCCATGAGTAATGCCTCACCATGATTTATGCCACCGGTATAAATAGCCCGGCTGTCGCCCATGGTTAATGGAGCTGTCCACGTGAACCCCCTGCGGGATAAACGCAGTCACGTGATGTGCCGCAGAGTCTCTTCCCAGCGCATTACGTCATTTCCGGGAAAGTGCGCTACCAGTGCTACCGAATGTCGCCCTATGGAGGGCTTGGGTGGCTACTTATCTTTCTGTCCACTACTCGTCGTGTGGCGGAGACCCATTTATATATGATAAGAGCGATAAATGGCTACTTGTAGTCAAGGAAGCTCCGATATTGGCTTGGCAGGCGGGAAATTACGTCGAATTAGCTGCGATACAGTTTTTACGATACAAGTGTACAGCTACGAGGAGCTACTGTTGAACTGCTCCCCACTGCAGATTATTATTATTAACCATGCTGTCTATCAGAGATCGGCACTGAGATGAATGTTCAGGCGCTCTTTCACGTGTATCCAGAGTATACGAGCTGAATCACTCTTCAGAAGGTGTTGAATTGTTGTTGTACAGTATGTACATACGTACTTGTATCAGTAGTAACTGTCTTGTACTCTTACCGTAATCGTACTGTATCGTATTCAGTAGTGGTGGGTTCTTGTGCAGAAGTCACTACTCGTAGTCGACTTCACCATTGTTGTGTCGCATACAAATTCACGTTCCCACTCCAGCTCAGAGGATAATGACGCATTCCGCTACTGGCTGGTGGTTGCACCGGATTGGCTCCACTCGTACCTTTGTTCTGGCACCAAACACGGCTATTTTGGGTCAACTTTGAGCGTTTCGAGAGCTGTCATTGCCATTGTCCCGTCAGTGTGGCCCACAGTAAAAGGTGTATTTTTAGGGCATGTTTTTATACATACTAATTCGGCCCACCATGTACAAGTATACATCAAAACAGAAGAGATGGGGATGACACGGTCGAATAATAAAACGCGGAAATGAATGTACAAGTACAAGTACAAGTGCAAATTTCCCAACAAGGCCAGTTCTTCTGTGTATCAACACATTATATCCTGACAACCACCCAATATACCACCGCTCCGTCTCCGTTTCCCTCCACTTGTACTTGTACCTCCAACCCAAGATTCCACTGCACCCTTGCATCTGGTCAAATTCATGTTACAGTATGTAACGTGTAAGACCACTCCTACAATAATCCTACAATAATTGGCTACTTGTAGCTGATATTATTACGGCTGTAAAATGCAAATACCCTGTGCAAATACAGTCAACTAACCGCTCGACACCTCGACTGTACCACGTGGACAACATTCAAAGTGTATCACTCAAGCCGTACAACTGTGAATATATCCCACAATGGTCTCCATGACAACCATTGTGGACATCACGTGACCGGCGACAAGGTTGCAGATCTCCGTCTTGCTGCTTGTGGGTAAGGGTTTCAGCACAAAAATGACCCTTGACTCGCGTGTCGCGTATCCCAAAACGGCTTGGAATGTGAGCCATCAGATTAGGCCATGATGAGGCTCTTTTCGGTACTGTAGAGTTGAGCTAAAGTGACGGAAAAGCAATATTTGGGCCTTGAATAATTCGCCAACAAATGTCATGAACCGTCCAATTCGTCCACGGCCCGAAAATCCACATTTTTCTCTACATATTTCCCTCAATCCACATGTATTGTTTGTTAGGATGCTCAGCCGCGCATCAACTTTGTTTGTGCATTCTTCGCGTGTGGAATGTGGTTGTGGGGGTTGATGGGGTGGTGATGAAATAGAGAAATATATATGAAAAAAAAGAGAAAAATGCCGTTCGAATTATCCGTGTTTTTTCGGATTTTTTTGCTCTCAGTTGTAAGCCACAATACCACCATTTTTCAACCCACATCATTCCAAAGAAACTCTACAATGGGCAAACTCTTGCAAACAATGCACCATGCAGGCCGAGTGTATCGTTGGTGCTACACCTTCGTGGAGATAGATTGTTGGTTTCTGACACAGTCGTTCCTCTACCACCGACACACAAGCGACAATGCACAACCCAGCAGCTGTTGCAGCAGCCTCGCGGGCATACCCCACCGACCCCATGGTGCAACAAATACAGCAACAGTATGAGGCCCAGCAGAACTACAACTACAACGCTCAGGCACAAAACACACAGAACACACAGAACACACAGACACAGACACCGGGCCAGACAACCACAGACCCCACGACAAAACGGTTGTCCCAGACATCGACGTCGTCCAACAAGAAGACAAAAACGCACATTGGTCCTTGGCGACTGGGCCGAACCCTTGGACGAGGCTCCTCGGGACGTGTCCGACTAGCACGACACTCGCACACCGGCCAGCTTGCGGCCGTGAAGATTGTACCCAAGGCAGTGGTGGCCGACGCCGTCAATGCGGCCAACGGAGAGGAGCATGGCGCCACGGGGCTACCTTACGGTATTGAGCGGGAGGTGATCATCATGAAATTGATTGAACATGCCAATGTGATGGCACTGTACGATGTGTGGGAGAACAAGGGAGAATTGTGAGTATTGAAGAAGCGTGAAAATTACCTATTGGTGTGGAGTGTATGGTGGTGAAATCACAGGGTGGGTGGTGATGTTGTGGAACAACGAGACTATTTTGACGCGTTTTGATGGTGAGGCGAGCTTTTGGTACACTGAGAGGTGTTTTAGAGACATCAAAGATGACAAGTAAGGTGTTACAGCCGAAGTATATCTCCTACAGCTCTCAGTCGTCTCTCTAATTTGACTAAACGCGTCTCCACACTGTCACATGGCTCAGATAGTCCCAGACGCAGTTCCTGGACTGGCACATGACTTTCAAGTCCGTCTTTCCCTTCAATCACTCATTGACATACCCCCCTTTAATAGTCAGATGAATGCCCCGAACGGTACATTTACAGGGCACTGGGCGTGGTTCACACAAGCACGGTACACTGAGCACATCAGGACACTAAGAGACTCAGCAATTCGAGAAAGACGCATGCTTGTGGATCTTTGATTTAACTCTGTAAGCCTCCAACTAGTTTTGGTGCTTCTATGGCATATATCAATGTTCTCTTCACTCGCTTGTTGTGTTTGTTTACCGCTTGCCATTTCGTGGTTTATTATTCGGGACATACAGCCTTATCTTTGCGGAGACCAGTGTTTGAAGCTGTATCTCATTTCCTATTTTATTTCTGAGTCTCCAACCACCACCACCACCACCACACCGCTCCCAGGCAGTGCTACACTGTACATGCTGTATACGCTGCATCCCTGTGTCCATGCAGGCCAACTATACACAGCGTGGATGTGCGCGACGTATACTCAACATGGAATTGTCGCAGCGGTCGCTTGAGGCCCGTTACCAGGACAACGGCCAACCATTATACCCATACTAACCCAGATATCTCGTTTTGGAATACATTGAGGGCGGCGAGCTGTTTGATTACCTCATCAAAAAGGGCCGCCTGGAGGAATATGAGGCCGCCTCGTACTTTTTGCAAATCATCAATGGAGTCGACTACTGCCACAGATTCAACATTTGCCACCGAGATCTCAAGCCCGAGAACCTGCTGCTAGACAAGAACCGCAACATCAAGATTGCCGACTTTGGAATGGCCGCTCTGGAGACAGACCGGATGCTGGAAACCAGTTGTGGATCGCCTCACTACGCCTCTCCCGAAATTGTCGCCGGTAAGACATATCACGGAGCCCCCTCGGATATCTGGTCGTGCGGTATCATTCTTTTCGCGCTTCTGACCGGTCATCTGCCTTTTGACGATGACAACATTCGAAGATTGCTGCTCAAGGTGCAGACCGGCAAGTTCAATATGCCGTCAGAGCTGAGTCCATACGCCAAGGATCTCATTTGGCGAATGCTACGAACAGATCCTACCACTCGAATCACCATGGACGAGATCTTCCAGCATCCCTTCGTGCGCAAGTACAGCGGAGGTGTGACACCCACTCACATCCATGCTCCTTCTTACGAGCATGTGGCCCGTCCTGTGGCTTCGGTGCAGGACATTGATATAGAGATTCTCAAGAACCTACAGATTCTGTGGCACGGCGAAGACGCCGAGATCATCATGCAGAAGCTGCTGTCTCCCGATGCTAACCCGGAGAAGACCTTTTACTGTCTGCTGATGAAGTACCGACATGATCATGCTGCCGCTGTGGCTGCCACTGCTCCTCCCACGTTGCAACAGCAACAGAGCCAGGAGATGCAGCCTGCCATGCACAAGTCCCATAGCCACTCGTCTCGCAAGCAACACAAGCGCAAGACAAGCCACAACAGCCATCGACTTGGCTCTCGGGGTTCGCTGGTGTCTGTTTCTTCGGCCCACAAGCGAGGTGTTTCTTTCACCCATGTCAAGAAGCGATCTCAGCAGAGCATCCGAAGCATGCGAGGAAGTGCCAGCAACTCCGTCGTCGCTTCTCCTAGAAAACAGACTGCCTCCGCACCTGTTTCGGCTGGTACTGCACCCATTCCTTTCAACGTCAACGTTCCTTACACAGAGGCACCTGCTACTGCACCCGCAGCTCCTACAACCGCAGCCGCTACATCCACAGCCACTAGAGCACCAGCACAGCCACTGGCACCAACACAAGCGGTTCAGTCACCACCACGACAATCACAGCCTGTCCATCAACAGCCGCCAACATCACGACGGGCTCCCATCTCGTCAGCTCCCTCGTGGCTTACACGGTCGCCTCCTGCCAGCAAGGATGCCGACTTTGAAGCCTTCCTTGACTCTGCCTTCAACAAGCCCGTCAAGACGAAGAAGAGCTACGGCAGTCTGCTTGGTTCTCCCGTTGACGCTCGACGCCATGTGACTGACCCTGCTAACACGTCCATCGCCTCTCGAACCGCAGCTGGCGCAACCGCTGCGAACACATCCAAGCGAGCAGTAACCATGGCATACAACGATGAGTTTGAGTTCGAACGGCCCATGTCATTGTTTGATCCTCGAGAGGTAGGAGGAGACACTGGCCGTGCCCAGCAGCCCAGCGTATCTCGCGCTCAAACCATTTCTCACACTCACACCCACTCGCGAGAGCGTGTGGCCAACGCTCATTCTGATACCCCCAACTACCTGCCCATGATTTTCGAGGAGGGCGACCGGTTCGCAGATGCCATCGAGGAGGAGTTCCATCTCAACATTTCCGACAACACTCTTTCTGCCCCCTCCACGAACCACACAACTCCTATGCTTGGGGGCGATCGAAAGTCGAGTGAGTGGGAGAACCTGTTTGATTTCACTGAGCGAGGGGACCAGGTTGTTGTGGGCGAGGACTCTCTGCTGGACATTTCTTTCCACCGAGACAATGCCAATGAGGCCACTCCTGTGGCTCCTGCTGCTACCCATGTTGGTCGGGAGTCCACAGAGCTTTACAAGGATCTTCAATTCCCCGAAATCCCTGTTGTGGACCGAGATGAGACTGCCGTGGAGTCTATGCCTCGAACCCAGTCCAAGATGAAGATCTCGGGCCAGATGCAGACAGACAACTTCATGAAGCGACCTTCGTCCATCAACCTCAACGGTCATCTCAGCCAGAGCAACCTATCGCGACAGACGACTTCTGCTTCCCAGCGACGTCCTCTCGTGTCTCGTGATATGAATACCCATGCTGCTTCCCCTCGAGAGGCCGCCAAGCCTGTTAGACAGTTGCAGGCAGCTGCTGAACTGCACGAACGACGACCTGTTGAGGTTCTACAGAAACAGCAACCGCAACAGCAGCAGCAGCATCATCATCAGCAGCAGCAGCAGACTCAGCATCAGTTGCAGCCCGCACCTGTCTTCCGAGAGAAGCCTGTGGTGTCTGCTCCACGACGGCCTGCACCTGCTCCCCCCGTGCAGAGTGTGGCCGACACCATGGTTCTTCCTATGCACCAGCAGCAGCAGAACAACTCGCAGTTTACCATTCCTGCTCCTGTGCAGACTCAGCCACCCCAGTCAAAGTCCAGCCGAACGAAGTCATTCATCCGACGGTTTGGATTTGCACCCAAGCGTGAGGCTCCAGTTGCTCCCACTTCTAAGGTGACCATGATCCAATCTAGCGACTATGGTGCTGCTCCTGGTGTGAATGCCAACGCCCACATGAATGCACAGAAAGATCCAGCTGCACCTGCAGCTCATGCAGCAGCTCATGCAGCTCACACGTCCGGTACTGCTCCTGCTACTGGCGACCCTTGGAACGTCACTCAATCGTGGTTCATGAAGATGTTCTCGCGACCCAACGTCGCCCCCCGGCAACCTCCTCAAACCCTCTACTCCACTCTCACCAGCCAGCAGCTGGAAGACGAGATTGTGGCTCTGCTTGCATCGTGGCGCAAGTATGGTATTTCCAATCTGTCTGTGTCACACTCTTCCATTAAGTGTCAGATCAGCTCGCGAAATGCTCTGAAAATCAAATCGGCAAAATTGCATATCGACATTGGTCCCCTCAAACACACCAATAGTTTTGCTCACTTTTTCCACGATCGAGGCTCGCAGGGCTCGTTTACTCAGCTCTATGACCAGATCAAGGCGCACCTTGTTTCTCAAGGTCTGCTCATTAATAACTAAACGTAACTAATATAGCTAATTAATTTTATTTAATGAATGATAATATAATAATATAATGATGACGTGTATGTGTACGGTACATTGTACTTGTAGGAGTAGCAGTACTGACCTCTTCTTGACTGGCATAGCACAAATCTGCTCCTTGTTGATAGAACGGCACATGAGAAAGAAGCATACAGTGTGTACTACAAATTGTATTTGTCATTAAGTACGATATATATAAGAAATGACGGCATATTCAGGAATGATTCTATAAAACAAATATGCTCTGTGATGCTGGTTTGTTCATGCCGCCTTCCGTGTTGGATACAATCAAACTACCATGCACGGTAATGTCTTGAAAGACTGCCCCATGTCCGTAATAGCCAATACTGTAGCATGATTCGAGTGTAACAGCAGGGGAAGAGTTAACACAAGGACTTTGAAGGCTCACTTCTGAGATATCCAGTCCACGAGCATGGAAGGACTGTTCTGCGTAGACCCTCGGTAGCCGACATATACTGTAAGCATCTGCGCCTTGTTGTGCTTGCCAGTCCATGGCCTGTCTCAAAGCTTGGTCGAAAAGTCACTGATGCTGGCACTCAGGTCACTCCGCTAATTTTGTGTCGGTGTCCTTCTTTCATTACTCCTCCTCAACACCGTACTGCACAGTGATCCACAAACTGCAGGTTCCACATTGCACGACAATCTCGTGAAACTGGACATCGACACCCTCGTAGTACTTTTCGTTATTCTCCAAATGTTCTTCGGTCAAAACGTAGCCTCCTGCCTCTCCACATCGACATGGCTTGTACCATGAAAACATGCCATCTGCGTCTTCCCTCTCCTCCAATTCTGTCAAATCAAACACGTCACTACCAGGGCCGCTTTTAACGCCATTTGCGCCATTCTTCAGACTCAAATCATACTCCTTTTTTAGCTTGGAGTTGCTCAAACATGCGTAGGCTGTCGTGATGGCTGTGATCTGAACAGATCCAGTATATGCCTCTCTCTCCTGGAGCTTGTCGGGGTGGTTTTTCAGCAATGCCTGTTTGTATGCAGTTTTGAGATCCGCTGAAGTCAGCTCAGGCACGTGAGGAGGCTCAGATAGTCCCAATATAGTGTAGTGGTTCATGGTGAATAATTTGATGTGTGGAGAAAAAAAAATTTGAGTTCAGAGGAGTCAACGAAGTGCAGCTGTGGTGTATGTCTACTAACCTCCATGCAAAAGTGAGCATCTGAGCATCCAAGTATTGGTCAATTCCTTACTTATACTTACTACTGTACTCCTACTGTACAATACATATCATTTGATTAACTGTCCATTCGAAATGACCCATCGCACTATGAGTGCTTGTAGTGCAGTAGAAGCAGTTGTTGTGTCTACGATGCTAACTACCAAGTAACATACACTAAACGTCTGCTAGTTCATACGACATAAATAAAACAGTTCATTAGTAACAATATATCCTTCAATCCATCTACTCATCCTCAAGAGAGCAAATTTCCTCATCCTCGTCCTTTCGGAACAGGAAGGGTCTAATGACAGACTCGTAATAAGGAGGTCGAGGGTCTTGGGGAGGGTTCTGAGTGTTGACCACCTTGAAGTAGTTCTTGTAGACATCTCCGTCAGCTCGTCCAATGGCAGAGTTGAGGAAAAAATCAGGCACGTTGAAGGCATCGGTGTAGCCAATGACGTCCTTTCGCACCTCCAAGAGCTGCTTTCGGATCTCGGCACTGATGTACTTGAGCTCCTGGGGAGTGATGTAGCCCTCTCGGAGGAAGATTCCAGCCTCCTCTTCGACGGACCAGAAGGCGTACAGGTTGGCAAGTCTGGTAAGAGGCTCCTTGGTGAACTCGGTGCCCTCCTCGGCAATTCGCTCGTAGAAGTTCTTGACCATGTACAGACGGGTGTGGATTCGAGTACACAGGAATCGTTGCTGGGACAGCTCCTCGTAGGCCTGGGCAGTAGACAGACCCTTCTTGGCCAGCACCTCAAACTCATCGGTGGTTCGGTTGATCAGAGCTCGGGAAACAGTCTCCCAGGCCCCAATCATGACCTTGGGGTCGTACAAGTTTCGACCAGCGAGCTTGGGGGAACCAGCGGGAGCAGCCAGGTAGGCGGTAGGACCTCCAATGGGCTTGCCAGCCCGGACAGCTCGGTTAGACTGGACCAGAGCTCTGCCAGCTGACAGACACAGAATGTTATTGTCTCCCTCCCAGGTGCACTGGATCACCCAATCGGAGTAAGCACGTCCAAAACCGTTGTAAGCAGAGTATCCGTGGCCTCCACACGCCTGTCTGCACTGGTCAATGGTGTGTGCGCAAGCCCAAGTTGTGGTAGCCTTGACACCAGCAGAAACAGAGAAGAGCTCCTTAGCCTCGGCAATGGCCTTGGGCACGGCCTCTTGGTCAGAAACATCGAGGTTTAGGAGCATGTCGGTGACCTTGACGAACTGATCTCTGACCTTATCGGCGGTGCACTTGATGGCATATGTCTGGGCCATGAGGGGGAGCAGACGTCGCTGGTGGTAAGGGTAGTCGATCAGCTTGGTCTCCTGACCTCCTCCGGCAGCAAAAGCTCGTCGAATGGTGGCATATCGAAGAGCAATGGTAAGGAACTTTCGCGAGGTGAAATAACTGTCCATGGCCATTCCGACTCGGCCAGCCAGAAGAGCTCCGTAGGCCATCTGAGCCATCATGGGCTCGGTAACATTTCCGTCGCTGTCCACGTGACAGTATCGCATGAGCATGTTCTGTCGGGGAATTCGCACATGGGTGAACTGGATCCAGCCGTTGTCGGTTCCCTGACGTCCCATCTTCTTGCCGCAGTCTCCGATAGCAATACCAGGCATCAGGTTGTGAGTCTCCACGTCTCGCAGCTGCACCACAAACGTCTTGACACCGTGGTCCTCTCCGTCGACAATGAGACGTGCAAACACAGCTGTGTGAGTGGCGGTATCGGCGGCTCCTCCGATCCACCATTTAGTGGCAGCAACGTTGGGAGTGTTGATCACGAACTCGTCTGCGTTCTTGTCCAGGGTGGCGGTGGTCTCCAGACCCACCAAGTTACTGCCGTGGCCCAGCTCGGTCATGGAGAAGGATCCATAGAACTTCTTAACCGACAGAGATCCTTTCTTGACCCAGAATTCGTACTGCTCAGGCGTTCCTGCACCTCGAATGGCACCGCCCCAGACTCCGTGGTGGATGGCGTACCGGGCAAAGGCTCCCATATCGATTTGGCCCAGAAGCATGCATCGGTACAGATACGTCTCCTCGTCGTCGGTGTGCACATACTCGATGAGCTTGGCGATTCGCTTGAAGGCCAGCTCTCGCGACTGGGCCACATCGGTAATATCGTAGTCGCCCTCGTTTCGAAACACAGGGTCTCGCTCGTACTCTTGCATCAGTCGGTCCATAAGCAGAGTGTTCTTTTCGCCTCCGTCCAGAAAGTACGTCAGCAGACGCGGGTTGAAGGAAGTCTGGTTTCGCTCCCGGGCCATTTCGACCGGGGGCTCGGTAAACGTGTTGAGGGACTGTTGAGAGAGCATGTTTTGGTACACGAGATAGAAGGGGGTTTTAGGGTGGACAGTAGCTAAGGTATATATGTAGAGATAAAGTTCGAGGGTCGGATAAACGAATAATATACTTTTGCGGGGTGGTAGTGGAGGAGAAGGGTGGCTGTGGAATGGGGTTTAAAGATGTGTTGGAAATTGGGGACTGTTAATTCACTTGAAATAGGACCTTTATCTTCTTGAGATGCTAAAAAAATCTATATCTCTTGCTGAATCGCAGAATAATTGCCCTCCTCATATTCCCCCAAGACTACCCCACACTATTTGAACCTTGTTCTTTCTCACGTTCACGTATCAATAATCATGGCAACTGAGAGTTTAGAGGGGCAGTTGGAACCAAGGAGTACCGTAACGGTATATGGCGGAAAGGAGTGGAAAGGACGAGATAGACTGAAATTATTCCCGAGTTGGTCTTATCTTTGAACATGTTTGTTTTTTTTTTGCAGTGGAAATATCGCCCCAGTAGCTGTACTTTCTGTACATTTTGAGCGGTGCATCTTGGTATGCATAGTCGGAGGTAACAGAGTCCAAGCAGCCGACTTTCATCGCGTACGTGGATACACTACAACCAGTCAGGGTCATAAGCAATAAACTCTTTACATTCTGGGAATTTCGTCGAGGGTTGTAAAATGCCGGCTCATAGTAATCATCGTACATACTGGTACCGGTACAAGGATGTACAGCGCCTGTAGTGCCGCTTCTCTATGAGAACAAGCATATATTGTAAGAAGCGTGTACTCGTAGTAAAGTAGGCGGTGAACGCGAGAGATCTACTATTGGCCATAATGCACAAAAATATATGGATTTAATGACCGTCTCTCTCCACTCAATCTCCCTTCACTGTCTTTCACAATCTCGCTCGACGTCAACGGCTACCCCACACTGGCGAAACTTTGATTCGCACTACTAATCAATTCAGACTAGCCGAGCTACAGTAGGAGAGACATGTCACACAGTGACATTTGGTTGCACGTGCGCGAGGATAAGACGAAGAGTTAATACTTTGGAATGTTTCTGATCAGACAGTCAGTGGAGAGATAACCCAGAATACACGGTGATATGCACCTTAGTGATCCTTCGAGAACGCATCAATAAGACGAGTAACACCAAAACAGCCAAGTGCAATGTATCCAAGAGACAAGCCCCACTATGACTGAAATTAAGAAGTTGAGTGAGAAATTCCCTGGTCCGACGCGTTGTAGTGTATATAGATAGTTGCACGGATCTCACCGTCTTGTGGATCAAATTATGGTATCCTCTGTGAGAGATCTGTTGTGTATATGAGTTGCACTAAGATACTATCGTACGAGGTCTCCATAAAAGCTGGTATTGAATGGTTACGATATATCTTAGTAACGTAGCTACCTTAGTATTTCAATGAGACACCCTCCACTTTTAACACTTATAAAAACAGTAGTTTGGCATATAAAGACATACTTCACGCTTTGTTTAAATCACAATACGCATATACTAATCTACAAGTAGGTGGTATTTGTCTCGACTGTATCCGAGTTGCTACACATTCCTATATACTAATCATGCAGTATTAATTGACAAAAACTATCAGTTTTCAGATATTGTCTATACATTGTGTTAATCTGCCTCAATTGCTATCTCAAACCACTGTTCATAAACGAATAGATATAGCAATAGACGAGGCACTTGGATCCCCATGATCTTAGAGCTTGGCCCCACCAGACTCAGCTACCTTCTTGAGCTCCATGTTCATTCGAGCGTAGTCATGGACCTTGTCATCGTAAAAAGTGGTCCATTCAAGACCATAAGCAGCCACTCCCGAGTAATCTTCATAGTTCTTGAAAATGCACTTTTGGTCGTTGACGACCTCAATTTCCATGGTGTGAATTCCCTTCATGACAACATTGGAGTAAAAGTGGCCTTCCCACTGCAGCTTTGACTTGTCAGCGTGAAGAACATGGACCTCAATTGGAGCGTGCTTCTTGCCATTGTATCTGGTGTAAACAACCTCCATATCATGGCCAACAAGACGCTCGGGATTGGCAGAATAGTCGTTCAGCTCACTCTCGATCTCCTTGATGAATGTGTTCCACTTGGGATAGTTCTGGAACTGGTAGAGGATCTTTGAGATGGTGTCTGCCGATGCGTTGATTGACAGTTCGGTGTAAACTCGAGTCATCGTAAATTGGAGAACTGAAGTATCTGTTGGTGTGTATTTGAAGAAGAAATGGCGTGTCTCAATTCAAGGTCCTATTTATACGATTGCGGCTTTCAAACGAAAAAGTGGGCTACAGCTAATAGTAAGTAATGTTAAGTAAAGATCATACTAGGATATCTTTACAAAGCCACAACTATTTTATCAAATGATATTAAAAAATAATTATACTGGTAAGTGATATAACATAAACAGGCTGAATTGTATCAATCCTGAGAAATTCGTAACCTCACTCTATAATGGCACACGATCGAAATATCACTTAGTTGGTCTTAACTAATTCCAACTTTAATCTGAACCTTCCTACAAACCCTGTTAAGCGAGGAATATGGGGTGACTAAAAAAGTAACGAGCAAGAGGGAAAGCTGGTAGATAACATCGTTCGAGAGGCTCCCGGACCACTTTTTTGCGTGCATTAAAGCGATTATCAGTGATTTTCACGCCCAAAACAGCCAATAAATGGACGGTTATGCCATACTTAATCCCTCGTATGTGGTAATCATGTGATCTTGGAGGACAGTATGTAACAGATACTACTGGTACTACAAAAACAAGAGGAAAAATGAATACGTTAGATAACGTGACTGATAAAAAAATCGATATATTTCTTTAATTTCCAAAAATCCTCTTCATCTCCAAAACTCCTCTCGAACATCACGGGCGATAAAGTTCCCTCGAATGCACATCAGATGCCTTGATTAAATCTCAGGCAGCAGGGATCATGTGAGCTTCTAGAAGATGGGAGAGTTGTCCAATGTAGAGCTTGAAACCTGAAGTCGACATAATCGAATCACGTGGATGATTACACGCCACTCTGAATCCGACCACGTGACTAAGTTCTCAAAATATAGACAATATAATCAAAACCACAGGAGGGGAAGTATGTACCGTACGTATGTACTTATAGACGACAGTCTCTAGACTAGTCGATTTGCCAGATCATAAGTTAAGAGTGAATTATCGACAGTACAGCAGTTCTACTTTCTTTAGCCGGAGTTCTACGGTACTCATAACAGGATACAATACAAGCCTACAGTTGATTTGTATTGAGGTGGTCCTTGCAGAGGGGTATAATATATCAAGTTATTATATATAAAAAAAAGGAAAGGGGACAGCTTAGATAACCACAGTAGCCAGCATAGCAGCAGGCGACTCATACTACAAGTACTTGGAAGACAAAAAAAGAATAGATAATATTAATTTAATGGGTTAATGCAATAGCTCACTCCTCAGGGGCACTTGTTTCCATGCGCAGTAGGTTCATCTGAATAGACAGTGCAGTAGGCACCGTCTGGGCCCGTTGCTGATTGGTGCTTGTACTTCAATCCAGCCCAGCTCCTCGGCTACGCCTCAGTCACCTCAGTCGTCGCCTCCTTGCTCTTGATCCTGCTCCACATACCTCCAAAGCCCCAGCCAGAGCTCTCTTTCTTGGCGACTCTCGGGGTGTTCGAGCTATTGACCTGACTCAGCAGCAGTCTGGAGTCGAAGTTTCTCAATCCAGAATCTGGAGTGGCGGTAGTGAACGTTGCAGCTGCAGAAGTAGACGCCAAGGTTGTTCGCTGGAACTGTCCAAAGTGGGCGTCGTGGCCCTGGATGAATTCGGTCTCTGGTCCGCATTCAGCCCCCTCGGCCATGGAAAAGATGCTTTCGAACGACGTGGATCGCACGAGTTTGGCCTGTGCGCCGAGCTCAGTGGACAGCTCGGGAATGCGCGAACACGAGGAAGGCAGCTTCTCGTCGTAGAGGTCAGAGAAGCGGTTTCTGAGAGTCGTTTCATGGGACACAAAATGGCGCAGCTCCTTCTGCAAGTGTGATGCATGCCGGGTGGGCGACTCATCAAAGTCCGAGTTGGACGCGAACGAGTCGTCGAAAGTAGCTACGTCATCAATGACTGGGGTAGGAGGTAACGATGAGCTTCTAGTGTGCTTTGACTCGTTGGTGGCATTTGTAGGGTCCCTCTTTCCAGGCCTACTGGGTGTGTACAACGTAGGTGTGGCCTTGAGAGACTCTGGAGTGGGGTAGTTGAAGGTGTGCAGGTTATGGGTGGGCAGATTGTATGACTGCAGGTTGTTGATGCTCTTTCGCGGCGTGACGAATCTGTCCATATTGGAGTTGATCTGGAACACACGGTTGGCGTGATCACGCGGCGAAATGTCCATGTCATACTCGTCATCCTCTTCTCTGAGCAATTCACGAGACTGCTTCTTGAGAACCACGTCGTGTTTGTCCAGCTGTTTCTTGAGATCTCGGACCTCAGAACGGGTAGCCAAAAGCTCGTCTCGCAGTACATCTGTCTCGCTCTTTTTGTGGTTCAATCTGTACTCGTCAACAAGCGTGTTTCCGGAATCTACGCTGTAGCGTGTCTTGTTTGAACGGAGGGATGCCATAGACTTGGAAGCCATGGCGTCGGCAGCCTGTTGTTCCAGCTGCTCGTAGTCACGTGCTAGCCGCTCCAGCAGCATGTCTGTTTTTCTCCACCGTACCTGAGCGGCCTTCTTGTCCGATTCCGACGTATGTAGTTCATTCTGCATCGACTCGCGTACTTGTTCCAGCAGCTCCAGCTGGTTCTCCAGAGACTCCGTCTGTAGCTTAACACGGGTCATTTTCGCCTGGTACTTGCGCGACTCCTCCAGCTCGTGGTTGAGCGAGTCGATCTGTGAGTCCGACACCGCTAACTTGGCTGATAGGGTGGCAATATCGGCAATGAGGCCCTTGTTATGGGCCAGCATGGAATCATTTTCCACATGGAGGGTCGTCACCTGGCCGTTGAGGCGGTCAATCTGGTCCTTCATGACGCTCACCTGGGCTAGTAGTGCCTGTCCGACCTCGGCCGACGTTCGTAGAGTGGCTTCGAGCTGGGAAATATGTTTTTGGGCGTGGCAAAAGTTGGTGCAAGTCGAAGACCCACAGCAGCACGAAATTGAGGTTTTTTGTAAAGCGAGAGTGGGGAGGGCAGCCGTCTTGATGTTCATGTAGTCCAAGTCTACGTCAATGGCTTGAGACAGTCAGTAGAACAGATATAGTCTGTCCTGGTGTCGTTCAGTGTGTGATGTATGTACCTGAATGACCAGTCTGTGTCGTTATCAGAAACAAAAGTCGTAGACGTGTCACTATCAGGGTCTGCGTGTGTCTGAAGAGTTGTCGTGTCGATTCGTCGTTTCCGTCTCGGATGTGACCTGTATCTGTGTGATCAAATATGTCGTCGATACTGTCTGATAATGAAATAGATCCCACTTACTTGAAATGCAATGTAACAGCCTCAAAGACAGGTTTGATGCACGGCGTAAAAGTTGTTTCAGCCCCCAAAAATGCGAGTAGTTGCGATAATCAGCCAAAAAAACACGAGATAGTCCCCCTTGACACGCCAAAATCCCGTTCAATTTTTTTTTACAAAAGATCCCCAAAGGTATATAACCCACTAACAATAGCCAGGCCCGAGAATGCAAAACTCAAATAGACTTCAGCCGTAGACACTGAGATGGGATGTAGACTGGGCTACTGAGATGATGGAGAGAAAAAAACAGCACTGTTAGATGCAGCACAAATACAAAAATATTTTGGTTCTTTTATAATCCCTATCTGTTTACTTTCACACAGGATATTATCCCCTACAAGTTCTACATTCCAACCCATAAAGTAAACTCGCATGGGAACAAAGAAACGCACCAAACACACGCGAATACTGCGCCATATAGGTTTGAAGGAAAACAACATGCACGGTGCGGATCATTCAAGAGTCGCGGCGCAAAAAACCCATTAAAATATCCATCCCCCCTCTGTGTATTCATTTCTTGATAGCTTCTGGAGGAGGATATTAATTCCGTTTTTACCCCTTGAGCCAGCCCAGATATTTTATACAACCAAACTTCAAGTACCATGCACTAAAAAACGTGTTACCAGAGGTTTAGGTTGGGGTAATGACGACGGTATTCTAATGAATGAGAGACTACTTGTACAAGTACGGTAGTTAACGCAATTTCAACAGTGTTCCATTGTGGTTGATACCGTCTCACACTGTCGCTGTTTTGACTCACCAGACAGAGTTTTTAATCCAGATCAAAGTCCATTTGATTGTCCGAAAAACTGTATCTGAACTCCTGTGTTGAAACCATATCATCTTGCACGTTCTCAGTAGTGATATTTCAACTGGATAATCTAGATCAATAAAGGTCTGATTCTTTTAGTTGCTATTTCATTGGAAACCCCTCTTCAAGAGGAAGACTCCAAGCCAGATAATTCTCCCCCGCTGTATTGATAATTTCTCTACGGCCACCCCTAAGACCAATCATAAGACTTGCGTATTGCAGGGGAGTACATATTTTGGCAGGGAGTCGAAAAAGAAAAGCGGCAGCCGCAACAAGAAAAACGCGGGAGAGACAGAGACGACATATTCTTTTTCAAGAAACCGAGCTTACAGCCAAAACAAATGCCGAGAGGAAGAGACAAAATACGAAATACGAATGAACGCAAACGGCTATGGAGACACCGTTGTGAACCAGTTCACAGATTGATGAGTCAATATTACGGGAACGGGCGACGCTCTTGGAAGCTCAGAGAGGGTCTCCTTGTATAACAGTCAGCCGGGAGTGGACTACGCAGGTCTTTTTTAGCGTGTTTCTCACAGTTTAGCACGGGCTTAAAACACAGAGAACCCTTCCGTCGATCACGCGACCTATTGGACCTTGACGGACAGTACAGTAGGTAGTAGAGTTAGGGTTGCGCTCGGTTGGGGGGGGGTAACAGGAGTCTATCTTGGGGGATTGACAGGGTGGGCATGGCATGGAATTGAGAATGAATGCCATCACAAGATTTGTCTTGTTTTTGGGACTAAAATTGATGTGTTGTTTTTAATATTGGAAAGTTTTTCGGGTCAGAAGGTGGAGCTTCGTTGGAACTATATCATGTTTCTTACGGAGATGTCGGAGCTTGCGGATCACCATAAGTGATTTGCAGTATATCGATGTTTCACATGGGTTGAAAAGTGTTAGCTCCAGATTTATTGGTGGCTGGTTGGGCGAGAGAGCGGCCGTAAGAGCACAACATCTGCCGTATTTACACTACGAGTACCATTCTCAGAGTTGAAGGTATATCGGAGCTGTAACCTCATGGTAGAGCGCTGTGCATGGACCCTTTTCGAGAGAGTGGGTGATGTGATAGGAGCAGCAGAAGATCCATATCTACCAGGTTTCAAATACTGTACTTGTAGTCTTACGACACATCCATAGAGATACACAGCAGCCACATGCAAGCTGAGTCCCAATATCCATCATTGTCCAGATTATAGATATCCACAAGTTCAGTCTAACTACAGCTCGTCGCAGTCTACCCCTTTCGTTCAGGTAGCCATTGCACACACCACTCCAGCAGATCTTACACCCAAGTGGTGGCCAAAATCGTGCCATCGTGCGCCTGTAAAGAATGTCGTTTCCAAACATCTTTCGATAGTACAATAGTTATTGGTCGTGTTATGTCTTGTTCAGGGGAGAAGTCTTCTGTTGTCATTAGTATTGCGCCGGAACGAAGTTCTCCAGTCATTTGGGGTCGTTAAGGCACCCAAAGCAGTAGATCGCAAAATTTCTGACGGAATAAAGACTTCTGAGCGCGCTCATTTACTAAAAACATACTTGAACATTGAGCCTTTACACTACTGTACAGTAAAGCGATGCATTGTATTCATTGCTTACAACCACTGGCTCGAAGAAGTGACAGGCGGACGGGATCTAGAGTCAATGACATGACGCAAGAAGTTATAACCTGCACAGTAGACGTCTTTATCAACTAATCCATGAACTATATCAATTCGGCATGGGTAAGTTATTCAGGTTCTTTTGCAGTACAGGTATGTAGCTTCAAGTCATCGTACAAGTAGCAACATGTCATATCGTGTCTTCAGGTATAGCTCCAGTAGAAAGAACAATGTATGGAGTAAACGTGTGTTTTATATGATTTAATGTGATAATATACTGTGCGATACAGTAAATAGCAGCTGACTACTTTTGCAGGTCTAAACGTCAGCACTTACTCCAACATCCTGAGTCTCACCAACAATCGGTTTGGATGTTATGGAATGTATTGTTTCTCATACTCCGAAACTGTCTTTGGACAACACTATAAGGAAGCGAGATAGGAATCAATCTCAAAAATTGGCATTGTACACCTTCTACCACATGCTACTCCTCCTCCCTCCACACTTACATAAGCCGATAAGCTTCCTCGAATAACCTCTTGACATGCATGAAATCTAAACCACCTCCAACTTTTAGTAGCTGTCAAAATGTCGGAACTACTAAACAACACACCCAAGAAGATGAATGAATCAATAATCAGCGGTGTTTCGTCAGACCCCAGCCGGCTGGAATTTTCTCTGCAGAGCCCTGCTCTTTGTCTGGCATGGAACGAGGATTCGCTGGTCTACGGCTACAACCAGGGAGTGACAGTTTTGACCCGCAAGCCTGTTGTTTTGGGCAATGCTTTTGCATCCGAATGGTCTTTCCTGTCTGTCGAGTACCATATGGGTCTGGCATGCGAGCTGATTGCCACCTGCGGCGCTTTCGTGGCCGTGGGACACGATGATAACACAATCTCCCTTATCAACACAGCCGAAGAGGACGCAATTGAGAGAACTGACGTGAAACGTGGTCACTACGACTTTGTGAACGGCATCGACGTCAATTTGGATGGAATGGTGGCATCCGTGGGTGATGACCGACAACTGTTGATTTATTCAGACAAGTTGGAAGTGGTGCACAAAATCAAGCTGGACGGAGCTGGACGAGCTGTTAAGTTCCAAGAGGATGGAGGACCCCATCTGGTGGTTCTGGAGGGTTCCAACCGACTGAATGTCTACGACTGGGAAAAGGGCCAGTTCCTATACACCGTTTTCTCCAACGATGTAGTGGGTGGCTCGAAAAAGATCGGATGTTGTGGTCCGCCAGCAGCAGTCAAGGCTGTTGCTCTGAATGTGGGACAAAACCACGCCGACCAGTTGACTGTTCTTGGAAGCGGATGGTGGCGAAAGTACTCCAGTGCCAATTTGCAGGGAGGAGGAGGCCATACGGTGCCCAACAAGCAGGGTGAGCTGTATGGCAGTCGGCAGCTGAGTGGCGCTGTGTTCTGCGTCAGTAACGACACTGCCGTGGTGGTGAGCGACAAGAAGACTTTATTTTACTCGCTGGGCACAGAGAAATCCATTGAGGTGGCTTGTGACTTCGTTTCTGGCGTGGAAGCTGCAGCCGTGCGAGCCAAGGGCGATTTGGTGGCTGTGGCAGGAGGACGAGCACTGGTTCTGTTGAATAGTGCTGAAAACGAGAGCAACATTGTGAGACGTTAATCACAGAACCAGTAAGGGGTTTGGATGGAAGGGGAAACATTGGTGAGACTACTTTCAGTCATACGTTAATAGCCATGCCATGTAATTTAATCATAGATTTGAAATTCACTAAAAGCACACATACCGACAGTGAAAGATGCAAGCTGAAGTGTAATCGATTGATGTCTAGCATGCCATATATTAATTGCTTCCCTATATACCGTCATTATAACCTCGTTCTATCCTTATCTATGTGCAATTCCTTATGTTTACCTTTTCGAATGTTTAAGCAGGAGAATTACCCTCAGCCCAGTCAACAAAATACTTGAGCATCTCCTCGGTCACTCCTCTTCGAGCTCCCTTGAGAACATGATCAAAGTCCTTCTTGGTCACCTCCTTGGCATCTTCGTCCTGAGACATTGCGTACAGACCAGCCTCTTCACAGAGAGCAACAATTTCGGCACCGGTCATGCCCTCAGTTGTCTTGGCGATCTCTTCTAGGTCCACCTCGGAGCCCAGGCACATGTTCTTGGTTCGGATCTTGAGAATCTGCTGGCGGGCATGCTCGTCAGGAGGTCCAACGTACAGCAATCTGGACAGACGACCAGGACGCATGAGAGCAGAGTCAATAACGTCAGGTCGGTTAGTAGCAGCCAGAACCATGACTCCGTTGAGAGACTCGATACCGTCCATTTCTGTAAGCAGAGACGTGAGCACTCGTTCTCCTCCAGCGCCTGCCTCAGAATGTCCTCTAGCAGTACTAAGAGCATCAATTTCATCGAAGAAGATGATGGAAGGGGCAGCAGCACGAGCCTTTCGGAAAATCTCACGCACGGCACGTTCACTCTCTCCAACATATTTGTTGAAGAGCTCGGGGCCCTTGACAGACAGGAAGTTGAGACCAGACTCGTTGGCCAGGGCCTTGGCAATGAGAGTCTTGGAACATCCCGGGGGTCCGTACAGAAGAACACCTCTAGGGGGTGTGATTCCGAGGTTTTTCATAGTATCAGCCTTGGTAAGAGGCCACTCGACCATCTGCTTGAGCTTCTCCTTGACTCCAGACTGGCCTCCAATGTCACTCCAGGTGGTGGAGGGCTTCTCGAGGAAGATTTCTCGCATGGCAGATGGTCTGACATCCAGCAGAGCTCGTTCAAGGTCAGGCATGGTGACTTCCAGACCGGAGTTGACAGCGTTCAAAGCACTGCCATGCTCCTCCAGACCTCGGTTGATGGCGTTCATGACTCCTTCTCGACACAGAGCGCTCAGATCGGCTCCGACATAGCCGTGAGTAATGCTAGAAATGTACTGGATGTCTTCTTCGGACATATTGTGAGGCATATCAGCCATTTGGATGCTCAAAATGCTCAGTCGGGCCTCAGCGTTGGGAATGCCAATTTCGACTTCTCTGTCAAACCGGCCAGCTCGTCGCAGAGCAGGATCAATGGCGTTGGGTCGGTTAGTGGAGCCCACAACTACAATCTTGGCAGAAGCAGACTGAGACATACCGTCCATCAGAGTGAGTAGAGTAGCGACAACTCGAGACTCGGCTTGTCCAGACTCGTCTCCGTCTCGTCGAGGTACCAGAGCATCAATCTCGTCAATGAAAACAATAGCTGGCTGGTACTTTCGAGCCTCTTCGAAGATGGCTCGTAAGGACGACTCGGTCTCGCCCAGGTATTTGGATACAATGGATGGCCCGTTGATTGTGAGTACGTGTGCATTTGATTCCTGAGCAACAGCACGCAGCAGCATAGTTTTTCCGGTTCCAGGGGGTCCATGAAGAAGCACTCCTCGAGGTGGCGAGATGCCAAACCTCGAAAACAGAGAGGGATGATGCAGAGGAAGCTCGATGGTAGATTTAAGCTCCACAATGTGTTGATCCAGGCCGCCGATGGACTTGTAAGTAGTAGTTTTGGGTAGCTCCCAGCAGTTTCGAGTTGACACAACCACTTGTGTATCTTCTAGCAGAAACAAGGGAGACCAATATGAAACGTGGTTCTTGAGCTCAGATTGTTCCAGTGATAAGGATCCAAGATCTGTGTCGCCAACGTCTGTCACTGTGACGTTCACGTACTCGCCAGACTCGATCTTCACCTCCATACTGAGTCCTGGAGACACCATGGCCAGCTTCTTGAGATCGGTAGTTGTAGCATCAATAACAGCCTGTTCAGGGGAATTGGGTGTGTTTATCCGCACACTGACCAAACTCGCCATGTCCATCTTGGTCTTATATCTCTCCACTTTGACTCGATCTCCAAACAGGAGAGCTCCTGCGTCCTTGAGTCCTGCACTCACGGTAACCACGTTGATGTCGACAAGATCGGGGTCCTCCACAGCCTCGGGGATGGCGCAAACGGTTCCTCCTACTCCCCGATCACCCTCACGGTACACAGACACAAACTCGTTGTTATTGAGACCCAGAGCCTCGAGAATCTTTGGATGCAATCCAACCTTGTAGATGTTCTTGTTGTGCGTCACGGCGGCTTGGGTCTCTCCCTGGGGACGCACGATAAACAGATCGGGGATCTTGACGGGCTTTTCTTTCACCTCGCCATCGTCCTTGGTCGAAGACGACTTTTTCTTGCTGGTAGACGAGCTTTTGGGCGCCATGGTGATGATGATAAGAAAATTAAAAATTGTGCATGAAATTATGCAAGCTAAAGGGAGCTTATTGATGAAGGCGGGGTGGGACAGTGATAGATATGGGAAGAGATGAGGTTGAATAGTAGACATTTTTGGTGTCAAATAGGAATATTTTTGAGCTCAAAAATTGATCGAAGCTATCTAAAATCGAATCTGCTTCCAAATGGACGAGATAGAGCGTCTGTATCGTGTTACTTATATATTTTGAGAGATAAAAGTTTGAGAACAAGGTAATGTGATTTAAACCACTAGTTAGTTACTAATATAAAAACAATCGATCTCTTCTGAAAGAAACTGGATGAGTTACATACTGTTGTTGTGAAGACACTCTGTTTGCACGTCCAGTCAATAAATAGACCGCTATGGAGCTTATTTGGGTATGCCCTTTTGAATGATAGCGACAGTGAGCTACCTTTTGTATACAAGTTTTTATTGAATATAAATAACTATTGACAATTTGTCTATTTACAGTGCAGCCCTTTCTGCTGTTGTGGCTATTACCCGTCACGTCGTGTTCCATTCATGCCGATCGTTGTTGTCCCCCTACAAGTAGGTGTTTCATACCCAGATCCATCGGTTCAGGCTCGGTCTGGGACATGTCCTAGTGGCCAACTCAACAAGAACCCGTGGATAGATGGAGATTTACCAGCCTGCTCGTTGCCGTTTGTTTCTATGAGTTTTGACATCTTCAACGCAATACTGCCTTAAACCAAAGTCATTAAACCAGAAGTCATGTAGCCCTCCAAAATCACTTCATGAACAAACTCCTCGGCCTTCACCCCACCATGCTCAATATGGATACTTGCAATTAGCGCAAACAGCATCTTGGTGGCATAGTGAGTATCATGCATTTTCCTAAACGCCTGTCTCTTGTTGGCATTTTCTTCCGGAAGAGGCACGTATAGCGACTTGATGAGTTTCGTGTTCTTGACAAACGCAAGCACCAGGGTCTCGTCACGAGTAAGTCGGTCAGCCAGGCCGCTTCGACAAATGTCAAAGTTCATCAGGTTGGCCTTCTTTCGACTCCAACTGGGTACCTTTGTCAGGTAGCTGAAAACAGCAAATTTGTATGCATGTTGGCCCAAAAGAACACGCGAGTTGATAGCTCCGTATCCCAGTGTGTCTTCAATGTGGGTCTTTTGTGTCTGAAACGGCGTGCCCTTTCTTTGAGCGCTAGGTGTAAGCGTATGTGAAATGCACAGAAGCTCTCTGATCACAGCCTCAGGAAGCTCGTATTTGGGTCCGATGAAATCCTGAACGTAGCGTACAGATTCGATGTCGATTGTGACCATCTTGAGTTCCAGCAACGAGTGGACATCGGAGTAGAGGATTTCTTTGATTGGCGACAGAGGCGAAAGTCGAGTTCGGTATGAGGGCTGAGTGTCGGAGGTTAGATAATGACTGGATCGTGTCCAGCGGGAGAAGCTGTGGTGTATGAGTGGATTTGCGCGCGAGATCTGCGGCCTAAGTCCTTTTAATGACTGCATTGTTGTGGATGGAAGTCTGGGTGCCACTTGAATTTGGTGATACAAAATAATTTGAGTTGGGAGGTTACAGTAAACGGTGAAGGACGTCCATACGTGATGGGGGTGTAATTGGGGTGGCTATAAGTGGCTGTCTACGAAGAGCGGGAGGGTATTCTAAGAGATTTGAGTGACTATTAAGGGAGTTTGAATAGAGTGAGTTATTTTCTATACTCAAAGTAAGCCGTTATTGTAGTGTTTGTGTGATGTGACATATTCTCCCCTCTATCCAAGTCCTTTTAAAAATTCCGTTTGTTGAGATCAAGTCCAGAACACCCAACTAACTCCTGCATACTTCAAGTACGAAATAAGGGTCTGGGGGTCTCAAAATATTCTTTCATTCTAGCCCAATATTGAACATTTTTGAGATTTGAAAAAAAGGAATATATAAAATAAACGAGTAGAACTGAGTATAGCACCTTTAAAACCTTCTACCACGCTTCAAGACCCACTTCTTCAATCCCCTAAACCCCCTTCTCCACCAATAGAGTTTGTAATTTTTCCACACGTTTTTCTCCCAACTCGCGAGGGTTAGGTTTCCAACCCCAATGAGGACTTAATGACCAGCCTCCCTTAACTCCAGCAGCGAAATTAGCCTCCCAGCCTGCCCAGACGCGTTTCCTCCCTCTCCCACCTTTTTTCTTATACCCACTCTTTGGTCACCACATAGCATCAGTCAGCCAAGAGGGCATCTTGCTACGAAATGACCCCCGCTACACCTCCACACCATCATATGGACCTCGACACCCCCCCCACCCCTCGATATGGGCCCATGGAAGACTCGCCGATGCGCAAGAAGGACGCAAAACCAGCGTCGCGGCCACACGACCCCAACCGGCAAAAGACACAGAGACACACATCAATGAACAACACAAAGACGCCCAATCGACAGCGGAACACAAAGGGAGAAGCGCCTGCCTCTGTCTCACGGATGATGCTTACCCCGGCGGATACTCCCGTGTCGAGCAAACGAACCCCCGTTGATGTGCTTGAATCGAACAAGAAAACAGGTCGGGTACTATTCCCCCCGGCAAACATTGTCCAGGCTGGCTCTGGACGAGCGCGACATCACGCACACACACCCGTGACCCCACGGACGTCGCGAGTGCGAAAATCGACTCACAAGCATCTCCTCAAGACCAAACCCATTTCGCAGCCACAATTCACCATTTTCTCTGACTCGGCGGCTGCCAAGGCGGAAGCCAATGGAGATGACCCCTTCGTGTGTCCCGACGCTCCAAAAGCCGCTTCTCCGCGAGCAGTTTCGTCATTGGCACATCCTCACCAAGAAAAGCCGGACCCCTCGGTACCGGGCATGTGGTACAACTTTAGAGGCAAGAAACACTACCGACCGTTCAAACAGGGCGAGGGTCTGGACGTGAAGCCCAAGGTGCTGTTCAAGGAGGAATTGAGCAAGGTGACGATCCAGGAGACTGACGATCCGTTCGGAGGGGGCCCCATCGGGGGGCCTACCATTGCTTCAGAGATTGCAGATGCCGCCGAAAGCGGAGACTCGGAGGCCGAAACGGACGAGGATGCCGACCCTCTTTCGTCCTTCTCCGAGGAGATTGCAAGCTTGAGCTAGCGTCGTCATCATACATGACATTATTTATTGGGTGAGATTTTTGGGGAGGATTACAAGAAATACCGGTATAGCATGGTTAGTTAATATATGATAATGGGATAGACAAGAATAGAGAGAGTAGGAATGAACTTGAACATGCAATTATAAACCATAGTCATGGTGGTTGTTAGTACCTGATGGTGTGATATGAGATTCAAGTCTGACAGCTCAGCTACTTGCGGCATAAAAGCTTGATGTCGATTAGTCATCTTTGTGAGTGCAAGTGTGTAGCGTTCGTTGTATCAGCACATGGTCACATGACTACTTGTACTTTTAGAACACCGGAACCGCCTTAAATATGTGTCAGCCTGCCAACATCACCATCTACGGTGCTTCTTGTACATTGCATGGATGCAGGCACCAAGGCATCGAGCAGGCCCCGAGCCGCGGTAGGTTTCGGTTAGTGGTTTCCACGGTAACGATAGTTTCCGGGGTAACCAAGGTGATGGGTAATTGGCTGGAGTTGAGAAAAGAGAGGACATAGAACCCACGAAGGAGTTAGGTGATCATTTGAAGAGGTCTTTGGGAGTGTAACTTTGGTCAGCATGTGGAACGGGCTAGCTACAGCGTTGAGCTATGTTATGTATGCCTGTGTGGAAGTACGGCACAAGGGAGGTTGAGTGTGAGTAACATATTAGATAAACGTCTAGACACGACCATGAATGGCAAATGAGATGGCACAATGGTTGTATTAGAGCCGAGACTAGTCTATCATAACCTATTCGATCAATGTATCATGGTGGTTCGGGAGTGGAATAGAAAGTACAGTAAGAGTGCGTCTGAGGGAAGTAAAGTAATAGGAGAGATGAGTTATGATACAGCGAACTTATGAATTTGAATTACGAAGAAGATCGATATTGTTGTTTTCGTTAGAGAACGGCAAATCATGGGGTTTCTGAGTTCTCTATTGGTGATAGGGACTGGGGACAGTGCAGAAGCAAGTGTCACTCTCAAGAGCCTGATTCCTCCAATCACTTATCGCACTACAAGTACTGTAGACTCAGATACTGTAACTCATGAAGAGAGTGATATGGACTCGAAAACAAAAGTACGGTACGTACTTGTACATGTCCTTTCTCATATAGCCCCATATCTAACCCACCCCATCTTAGAGCCCCCGAGCTCCCTGTTCCCGTTGGTGTACCAGAGGAACAAAAATAACATGATTAGTATTAATGGCTCTCTCAGCAATAGTTCGTCAACTATAGACGATTCGATGACGTCACGGCCGCCCCTATCACAGTTCTCTAAGCCCGTACTGTACTCTTAACCTGACTCAGCCTTGATACAGCAACGCGTCTGCGACGTGACATGATCTGCGGAGTATGAATTCGGGTAAACTACAAAAGGCGCGATCTCAGATGGAAGATATTCGTGCCTAGGATTCCGGAAGAGTAACATGACTTTCGGCATGCTAGTGCTAAGTCTTCCATTTTTTGCACTATTTTTCTTCCACGACCCCCCACTCTGATTCCACCACGCAAAAATCAGACCCTGCAGCCAAGAGTGGGCCGTCCATCTATAGGGAGTGAACAAGACCAGACCCGCCCAAAAAAGTGTAAAAAAGGGGTTACACAGCGTAGATTAGGGACAGTCAAACAACAATCGAATAGAGCACGACACATAAGCCATTTATTCTCCAATATATACCTATACAAGCCCCTCTCATACCGTTCCATGGCCTCACTCCACCTCATGACACAACTATAACTCAACTGACTATATACCGTTGCTAACCTTGAGTGCAGATCGACTATTGTCTCTTGATACACGTCACCGAGCGAGTACAACAACAGCTTGAGGAGACGCAGCCAACAGGGATACTCAACTTAGCCACAGACACAGCGCACAAGACCGCCCCATAAACACCTCGCCTGCGTAACGTTACACAAACACATAACCTCACATCACCACACACACTCGTTCACCATGGACGAACTACCGTCACACGAGCCAAAAAACCGCTACAGTCGAAGCTCGAGCATTGGATCACCCGCGGACGCGAGATATGCTCCCCCATCGCCGCTCCATGAGCCGTCAGACGCCTCGCAAATCGCCATTGCCATGGGGGGCGTGCGCCAGAGATCGGCCTCGATTCGAAAACACAGACGCCAGCAGCCATCGCAGGTGTTCATTCCGCCGATGCACGAGAACGTCACGGCGCCACGTGATGAGCATGAGCCCAAAATGTCGTCACCCGTGCCCGAAACAGACGAAAAACCGCTGCTCCAAACTTCGGCTGCAGGAGCCACTCTCCTGATCGGTATCCAGATCCTGTCGAAACTGGCCTCGTTTGGTCTTAATCAAATGCTGCTGCTGGTAGCCACCCCAGCCCTGTTTGGAGCCAACGCACAGCTCGAGTTTGTGCTCAACACAGTGCTCTTCTTCTCACGAGAAGCAGTCCGACTCGCTCTCCAACGGCTCACCCTCGCTGGAAAGAAGCCAGATGTGTACGTGTTTGGCGGGGGCGTCGTACAGGACACCGTATCAGGCACTTCCCAGGCCGTCATCAACATGGGCTACATCTCTGTACTCCTCGGAGTGTTTTTCTCCTCCGTGGCCGCTGCCTCCCACTCGCTGTTTTCGGTGGCGTACGCATCATGGGCGGTGCAGCTCGTCTGCATAGCAGCCATGGTCGACTTGGCATCCGAGCCCTACTACGTTCTAGCTATGCAACAGCTCAGATTCCGAAGTAGAGCCGCGGCAGAGGCAGTCGCCATTCTCGTGCGATGTGTTGTCACATTCTCCTTCACTCTGCTGGCCAAAGACACCGATGGAGGCCTCAACGGTGGTGTGCTCGCGTTTGCATTCGGCCAACTGGCCTATTCGCTCATCTCCTCTGCCGTGTACATCTACACCGTTCGGCAGGACAACCGAGATCGACAGTTTTCGTTCCGACCTCAGAAGATCCAGCCGTTCGAGAGTCAGATGGAGATGTCTGACAACAACCGGGATGTCATCACACATAACGCGTCTCCTTATTATCTAGACAAGCCCACTGTTCGACTCGCAGGATCCATCTGGATTCAGACCGTATTCAAGCACTGCCTCACCGAGGGCGACCGAATTCTCGTGTCGTACTTCCTGCCTCTCTACGATCAGGGAGTTTATGCTATCGTTCTCAACTACGGCTCTCTGGTTGCTCGAATCGTGTTTTTCCCCATCGAGGAGGGTCTTAGAACATTCTTTTCCAATCTGCTAGGCGAAAAGCCCTCCGAGACCGCTCTCAAGCTGTCCAGACAGGTGCTTTGTTCTGTAGTGAGAATCTACACCTACGTGGCTCTCTTTGCTGCAGGTTTTGGTCCTACCACTCTACCCTTCATCTTCGGTACCCTGCTTGGAGCTAGAGGTGGCCAGTGGTCCGAAGGAGCTCCGTCTCGGTCTGCTCCTGCCGTCATGGGTGCCTTCGCACTGTACATTCCCTTTATGGCTCTCAATGGAGCTCTGGAGAGTTTCGTGCAGTCTGTAGCTACGCCTGCTGATCTTCGACGACAGGCTGTTGCCCTAGGTGTCTTCAGCGTGGTATTTGCCACCGTTGGTGGTCTTCTGATGAAAACTATGGATCTGGGAGCTCGAGGACTTGTTTTTGCCAACATTGTCAACATGACTCTTCGAATTGGCTGGTCAGTGGTGTTCATCTACCACTACTATGTTAGCCACAAGGCCGAGAATGTGAATCCTACCCACCTGTTGCCCGGAAAGCTAGTGATTGCTACCGGAGTAACCACCATTTTGGCCTCGCTGTTTGGCGTGGGGCGTGTCTCTTCTTTCCGAGACGTTGGCATCAACATTGGTCTGGCTCTGGCGCTAGCTGCGGCTATTGCCGTGGAGGAGCGACAAGCTTTGGTCCAGTTGGTGCAGCTTGTTCGAAAGAAGGAGGATAAAGTCAAGGTGGACGACAAGGAGGAGAAGGAGAAGGAGAGCGACAAGTCCGAGGGCGAGTCGGAGTAAATAAACCAAACCGTAGAATCTAAAATGTATATCTGTTCTGATGTGATACAAAAGTAGGGTGAAAATAGTTACTTGTACAGTATCTATGGTTGAAGTACAAGTACGTACAAGTACAAGACCTGAGCTCATTAAACATGTATAACTTTCGTATTAGAAGATGACATTAACTGATGATACAATAAATAAATACTTGAAGAATGCAAACTCGGGGTTACAAGCTAAAATGTGGTAACCCATCCTTGAGTCATGTCAGACTACTGACAGCCTTTGCGTGCTACCCGCTCGCTACTCGACTAATCTCCTACAAGTAGGACATCGGTTCGAGTACTCACTCCAACAAGCAATACATCCAAAATGAACAATGTGACCACATGTCAGCACCTTGGGAATGTTCTTGTCTGGAGCCTGGACTCCACTGAGTCCTCCGGCCTTCATGCTGTCTCTACAGACGACACAGATGTCGTTAGATTCGTTGATCTGCTTTTCTGAAGCGTCCTGAAGGTTCCAATAGAGGCCGTGGAAGTTTGGAGTCTTTCGGGACTTTATGAGTTCTCGAGTTCCTGAAATTGTGATACGCAAAGTCTTGTAGAACTCGCGGAAAATGTGCAGGGGAATGCAATAGTCGCCCATGAGAGTGGCTGAGAAGATGAGATAGGAGATGAGTTTAGCTGTAGTGACAGCAAATCCTAGCAGAAAGAGCCAGTATCTTTTACTCTTGACCAACTGGCCCTTAGAGAGACACATGTAGAGCAGGGCCTTTTCTACGAGATCAAACAACATTATTCCTGTCGATCCGAGCAGCGAACAAAAGAGGATTGTGATCTCAAACAAGAAGACAGAAACCACCATAGATTGAGAGACGCGCAGTTTACGCAAGCAGTATCTGATCCACAGAATGTCGGTCACGTGCAGAATGACCAGCGCCAGAATCAGCCGTGGGTATCGCATCACAATGCCACTGTTGGGGTACTCCAGATATACATAGCGGGTTCGCACTGTGCACATCCAATGGAGTCCCTTGATGAACAGCAGGGTAGCAAACATGCCGACAAACCGCCTGTTCAGTTGTGCTCGGAACACAAACAGCTGCATTGCAAACTCGGAGATTGTGTAGACTGCTCGTTCCTGGAGATGGACCACTTCTCTGGGGTGTAATGATCCGAAAAATATGCGTTGGAGCGATCTGCCAAAGATGAAGACGACGAAGATGAGCGCGACACAGAAGGACAGCAAGCCGAGCTTGGTCAGAGGCGTGGGCGCCATCTCGTACAGGTGAGTGAGGCTTTCGCCTGGATGACTACTCATGTCATGTGCTGTGGCGCGAATTATGGAGCTGGAGGCGGCTTATCGTTTTAGTGTAACTTGCTTTGGTGCCGTCGGTGCGACCAATGTCTTGGGTCGGAGGTCTGTATCGTGGCGGCATGCATGCAAAAAGCAGTAGGCGTGCCGGTCAGGGGCGTGAGGCTGGACGATAAGCATTTGAAATAAACGCAGATTCGTGGAGGATTTTAGCGGGGATAAGCGGTGCTATATAGACACCACGAGCGGGTTGTGACACTTGCCAAGCCTTCAATTCTGTCACACACTCATTTTTTCTGTCATAATTACCTTGGCCTCCACCATGCACGGTCTCGTATGATTCAAGCACCTACAGTACAGTAGGTACAGTATTGTACTGGCCAGTACATACGAGCCCATGCACATTGCAGTATATAAATAGACTGTGGGTCCACGCGAGTAAAAAAGAGGAAAACATGGGAGGTCGCATGGTCGAGACGTTCAATATTGGCCTAGTCTTCACTCCCTCTTCTTCGACGCGTTTTCTCTCCATTCATTACTCATCATCTGGTCTCGCTACAAAAAAATATTTGGGCTAATGCTTGTGTTCCTGCACATGCCACTTCATGTGATAGATGTCATTCAGGTGCTGTGTTATTGGCAGGGACCGTGGACCAAGCGATTATTGAGAGAAAATGTAGAAATTGGTGGGGAATTAAGCAGGGGTTTCTGGCGGTATTCACCCTTCTGGAATAACAATAAGTAAGTAGTAATTTTTTTTATTCTACTGATCCATAAGGCCTACAAGTAGCCGATGCTGTCCCTTCACTTCAGGTCCTTCTGTAGAACAAACTGTTAGTTCTTGTTCTCGTACTTGTATCACGATTTTTATGACTGAAATACAAATATTATCGCCAGTTCAATTCCCACCTGCACCAAATACCCAACCTCCCAAAACCTAATGCCGATCAATGAAACTCTGTTAAATATTTTTCAGACAGCCATCTCATCATCAGCACATAATGGGCAAGTATCCTCGAAAGAAGAACAACCAGAACAACCGAGACAAAAACGACGACGGTCGACGTAAGTCCGGCTGGGAGGACGTTGTAAAGGAGAACGAAAAGTGGGAGAAGTACTACAAGGCCCAGGGTATTGTTCCCGAGGCTGAGTGGGATGCTTTCAAGACCGCTTGCCAGTCTCCTCTTCCCGTCTCTTTCCGAGTGACCGGATCTACTGAGCTCACCGACGAGATCCAGGCTGCTATCGTCGACGACTACGTGCCCCATCTTTCTGGCCTTGTTTTTGAGGGTGAGGAAGTTGTGCCTCCCCAGAACATCAAGTTCTACCCCAACAACCACGGATGGCAGTTCAACGTTCGAAAGACTGTTGTTCGAAAGCAGAAGCTTTTCTCTCGTTTCCACCGATTTCTGGTGCTTGAGACTACTGCTGGTAACATTTCTCGACAGGAGGCTGTCTCTATGATTCCTCCCATTCTGCTTGACGTCCAGCCCTCCGATGCTGTTCTTGATATGTGCGCTGCTCCCGGTTCCAAGACCGCCCAGCTCATCGAGGCCGTTCACGCAGGAGGCGATCTCAACCCCTCCGGTTTCGTCATTGCCAACGACTCCGACTACAAGCGTTCTCATATGCTTATCCACCAGGTCCAGCGTCTCAACTCGCCCAACCTGATTGTCACCAACCACGACGCCCAGATGTACCCCAAGGTCGCTATTGCCGCCAAGGGCGTTGATGGTGCCAAGTCCAACGAGTACCTAAAGTTTGACCGAATCCTGTGTGATGTTCCCTGCTCTGGAGACGCTACCATGCGAAAGAACGTCAACGTGTGGCCCGACTGGACCCCCGGCAACGCTCTGGGTCTCCACCAGCTGCAACTCAACATTCTCATGCGAGGAATCCAGCTGCTTAAGCCCGGAGGACGTCTCGTCTACTCCACCTGTTCTCTCAACCCCATCGAGAACGAGGCTGTTGTTGCCGAGGCTCTGCGACTCTCTAAAGGCTCCGTGCACCTGATTGAGTCTCGAGGCGATATCCCCAACCTTATCAATTCCAAGGGAATGACCGACTGGAAGGTCCAGGCTAAGGGCAACAAGGATGGCTGGAACAACAAGGGTGACGAGGGCTGCACCGACTCCTGGTTCCCCCCCACCGACGAGTCCATCAAGGAGCAGCTCACCAAGTGTATCCGAGTCTACCCCCACACCCAGGACACTGGCGGTTTCTTCATTGTCGCCTTTGAGAAGGCCAAGGATGTCGAGGAGGAGGACGACAAGAAGCGAGTTGCCGAGGATGAAACCCGAGACGCCAAGCGTGTCAAGGTTGATGCTAGTGACATCATCGATGCTGCCAAGGAGACCGCCTCGGACGCTAAGGAGGCCGTTGTCGATGCTGCTGAGACCGTCAAGGAGGCCGTTACTGATGCTGCCGAGACTGTCAAGGAGAAGTTTGAGGGTGTTGTTGCTGAGGTCAAGGAAGACGCTAAGGATGAGGAGCCCAAGAAGTCCAAGAAGATGCCCTACGACGCCAACGAGGAGCCCTTTGTCTTCGTCGACCCCAACCACGAGGAGCTGCAGAAGTGCTGGGACTTTTACAAGTTCAACGACCAGTTCCCCCGAGACTCCATGATGGTCCGAAACCACACCGGTGAGCCCACCCGAACTATTTACTACACTTCGCCCAGCATCAAACCCATTCTTGAGCTCAACGCCAACCGACTCAAGTTTGTGCATGCTGGTACTCGATTTTTTACCCTGCAGAAGAACGAGGACACATGCAAGTGGCGAATCCAGAGCGAGTCCGTCAACCGAGCCTTTCCCTATATTGGAGCTCGAGTTGTCAAAGGCAATCTTGACATCATTAAGTTCCTGGCTACTACTGAGTTCCCCAAGTTTGAGATTCTCGAGAAGGAGTACCCCGAGTTTGCCAAGGAAGTTTCTGCTCACACCGAGGGTTGCCTGATCCTCACAGCTCAGTACAACGATCGAGAGATCTGTCTTCCCATGTGGAGAGGAAAAATGAGTGCCAACCTGATGATCAACAAGCAGGACAAGGAGGAGTTCCTCCACCGAGTCTTCAAGATCGAGGGTATTAAGACCCGAGGTCAGCAGCAGCAGCAGAAGCCCGTTGCCGCCGAGTCTGCCGAGCGAGCCCAGGGCCAGGCCGAGGCTGCCAAGGCTGTCGAGGAGGCAAAGCAGGAGAACGAGCAGGCCGAGATTGCCGATGAGATTGTTGAGGAGAATGTCGTTGAGAAGGCGGAATAAACGACTACAACATGGATGGGTTTAGGAATATAAAAATTAATAGATTAGTTATTAGTACAACCATATGAAGAGCATATTTGAATGATGCCGGATGTGTATCTGTACGTGCTGTAAGCTTGTAGAGTCTTTTCCAGGTTGTTTTTCCTAGACACTCCATGGTAAAACTAACTACTGTACGTACTGTATTGTACAGTATATCGTATACACTACCGAATACGATGAACTCTAAACTCGGGAGCTGTTGTACCAAGATTGTATTCTTGTACCGTAGCTATGAATGTGATAACAAATCTGAAAAGGATGGAAACCTATCAAGCACAAATATTTATTGCGCATTGATTCTTCAAACATTTTTCATTCACACAAGAACACGCTGAAAAGCCTCCCGGAGCTTCGCGATTGTACTATGCCACCACCGGAGCAGGAGCGATTGATGTGCGTGACAATACATCAAGTTAGACCCGCCCGAGTGATACCGTGAAACAAGTTATTCCAATACAGTTCGATACTGTGAAACGATGACGTGAGCGCAAAGATGACATTGAACCGCAAAAGAAGAATGAGAGAGCACCTTTTGAGCTATACATGGGCCAGCTCATATCAGTAAGAGTCAGAGCGAAGCAAAGACACTTGGAGATCCACAAATCTTATCGCATCCAACAAAGGGGTGTAGGCCGTGGAACCTCGAAAGGAAAGCACACGAGCTGAACCTTCAGTTTATGGAACCAGGGATGTCTCACTCGAAACAATTGTATTGTAGGGAGATCCCTATTCGTTTACAATACAGTACATACGTATATTGTAGCTACTGTAGCATAATTGTCAATGTCCTGGTATGCTAACCGCACGGTCCTGTACACACAGTATATATGGTACTCGGTATTGAATTGATATCATTTTTGAGTTATTACTTGATTGGAAAAAAAAAAAAAAAAAAAAAAAAAAGCAGCTAGCGCTACGGATCGGGCTCCATTGTGTACCAACACTTAGTTGACAGGATCCATGGAGATCTGGACGTATCGGGCGTTGGAGCAAGCGGCAGCAGCAGCCTCAACAGCCACGGGCCGGAGCTCCCAGTGGCCATCATCGAGCTGACAAGCAAGGAAGCCCTGGTTCTCGTAAGTCAGTCGGTTGTCAGACTGGTGGTTAACGTTGAAGCCAGTGAGACCGTGGCCGACCTGGTTTCGGTCAGTCCACTGCATGGAGGCCTGGTTTCCGAGCTGGACGAATCGACCGGTGTTGGGGTCGACCATCTGACCCCGGTAGGAGAGCTGGGCCAGGAAGGGGTCGTTTCGCTGGTCATTGGAGATCATCAGTCGACCGTTGTTGTTGACAACCCGCTGGTTGTTCCACTGATCACCGTGGACACGAAGACGAGAGTTCTGGTACTGGGCTCGGCCGTTAAGTCGGTCACCGTTCAGGCTAACAGAAATGGGGTTGGCACAAGGGGAAGCACCGGTGAACACCTGGTAAGTGTGGTCGCTGGATCGCTGATCGTACGAAATGTCGTAAGCATTTCCGTAAGAGTCAACGGGACAGGCCAGGAACTGTTGCTTGCCGTTGTCATGCTGCCAGGCGACTCGGTTGTTGTTGTTGAATCGCTGGTAGCCAATGGCATTGGATCGTCGGTCAGACAGTGCCAGTCGACCGTCGTCAACACCAACGTAGTTCTGCCGTCGGCCAGTAGAGTTGTGGTTGTGGACAATGTTAATATCACCCTGAATGTCGACAAAGACGTTGACAGTCTTGAGAGGTGTGCCGTTGATGTCCCGGTTGCTGTTTCCAAAGTACAGGTGCCGTCCGTCGGTCTGCATGGCCAGATTTCGGTGGTCAGAGTCTCGCTGAGCGTTCATCTGGTACACGTAGTCTGAGTCGGGCCACTGGTAGTTGGACTCGTCCACGTACTGGGTAGAGTACAGGTCGTCAGAGTTGTCACCATCGTAGTGGTTGTAGCCACTGTAGTCCTGAGCAAGAGCAGAGGCAACTAGGGCGAGTGCGGCGATAGAGAATTTCATAGTGGAGAGAGTGAAGAGGTTGTCAGAGTCAATGTCGATGGGTCGATGATCTAAAGAACTTGAAGGGTTTCAGGGTGGTTTATATATCTTCAGATCGATTCTTCCGATCACCTTGTCTAGCCTCGGATACCGATAATGTCTCATACTCGACAAGCATCTGACCCTCGAGTAACTTGATTAGTTCGAGATGAAATTTGGATTGATTGGGTTCCGAGCCTTGACTTTTCAATTCTCTGGATCAAGTATGTCCTCTTTTCGAGTGTCCATATTCGGCTCCATGAAGCCTCGGAAAGGTGCCTGGAAAATCACGTTAGACATTCCAATCACTGAATCCAGAAAGCCACGTCAATACTGACCAGGGGGGTGTTCCTGGTGCCTGAATGGTTCGACAGGAGGTACAAAAAAAGGGACTTTGGAGAACTATCAGGAAGGTGCAGGGCAAAAAAATTGCAGTTTAGGAATGAGAAACAACAGGATGGTATCCTAAAAGCCGGGGAGAAGAGAGCAAAGACATTGACATGGATTTTTTATACCCTTTGAGAAAGCTGACAATATCATCTGTGAAGTTTCGAGTCTCCTGTTACTCCTTGTGCTGACAAGGAAAGTGCACCTTACCTAGAGAGGTGCAAGCCACCCTACATACTGTACTGTAACATACAAGTGCAAGCTCAGCTTACAATTGACATATAGACTAGCGTTGTATACCAATGTAGTGTGCAGTACAGTATGTACAGTAGTAGGATGGAGTGATTCAAAAGCAGTTACTGAGGGTGTGAATTCATGCCTACCGTATCAACTACATACAGTATGTACATACAATACCTCCCGTTGCTTCTTCCATCAGCATCTACGTGAATAAATTGATTCCACGTCGAGTAGAAAGAGATCTCTTTCCAAACATTGCTTAAGTAACACTCACATACTCAACGACATTTATACAAGTACCATGGTATGTTCGTTGGGTACACTACAAGTACGAGTAATTACTGTAACATCATCATCAGATCACGAGACTGTTACTTGTAGTAGAGTTCATTGTGCCTCGTCACTCTGAGGAACACTGCGGGAACCGATCTAAAATTGGAATCACTAACAGTGGTACAAGACTGAGATTTTTACCTGCCATTGATGTTACATCATCTTTACAGATACCAATGACTATGTGAAATTACATGCATGTGATGTCATCACTTCACTGATTGAGTTCAGTTGACAAACGTCTGTTCAAGTATTCACCTACAGTAGTATCAATATGTAGATATGAAGATGAGCGACACTCTACATTATTCACGTGACAAACGTACAGAAGCTGTCTCTAAAAGCACCCACCAATCCACACACTAGCGCCTCCAACTACGCACTGTACTCAACCGCTTCTCCAGGTTGCCATGAAAGGCAAACGCACAAATAAACTCGTGTTTCATAACGCATCTCGACTGTAATAGGAGTTGGGTTTCATAATACGACTTGTGGGGGGAGAGGTTGATAGGAAGGTGTGGGAGTAATGAGTTATAGACGGATTTAGCCCAGGAAATGTCCTTTAAAGATACAGTCACGTGATTCCTCTGCTTTTTTGTTCACCTCATGGCATGTACAACCCCCATCTACACCGCCCAGCATAGCCTCCATAACACTAAGTGCACAGCCGTGTTGGTCCCAAGCTAACTTGGCATGGTCTATTTTGGGAACATAGAAATGTGGCACCGTAGATATTATATAGAGTGTTGACCTGTCATTTTCATTGCTTGTAATCATACTGTTTATATCACTTCTGGAAGACCTATAACTGATACACCATCTGCAGTTTCAGGCACGCAATACCGAATCAACTTACACACACAGTTCCACACACATACACACACACACACACACACACACACACACACACACACCATGGCTCCAATGATCCAACTCTGTCCACAGGCTATGGCCCAACCACTCATCAGCTTCTCAAAAAGAGGATTAGCAGAAAGTGCCAAATCAACTGGAGAAGCTTTCAAGAGCTGGGATACATGCATGGATAACACGTTTTGCAAGATTGTGGCGATTGTGGGAATTGTTCTGGGAGGAATGCTGGTTCTGTGGGTACTCACAGCCTTTTTCAGATGCTGCTTCTTTGGAGTATCTGCTTTCAGCGCCTGTTGTGCGCTGTGCTCTTGCTGTGCCTGCTGCTGTAACGATAAGATCAACAGAGAGGCCAACCAAGGTAACTACGCAGCAGCAAATAACCCAGCCATGTACCCAGCTTCAAATCCTTACCAGGCATACAATTATCAGCCACAGCCGGTTTACGGAAACCAGTCCAATAACAACTTTGCTCCTGACTATTATGTGAACAGGTCAGTGGACGATACAGACTACGAGATGGAGAAGTATCCAAAGATAAATACCTATGAGGTTCCTGCTGAACAGGAAAGAACAAGATTCTAACCAGATGCATGAGCAGACCATGCCAACATAAGCAGATTGCATGTTACAGTAGTTGTGCACAGGTGCGATAGAGATACAAACTCACGCATAGCTATATTTGACGATTGACGCAACTAACATGAATGAATACGATATACATCAAAGACTATGATACGCAGTATTGCACACTGTACGAGTAAGAGCACTAGCCACTGCACTCAAGTGAAACCGTTGCCCGGGTACGAGTATGAGTATGTACAGTATGTTTAGTATTGTACTTGGACAGTGCTTGTATCGTACATTCTCAAGTGTCAAACATAAATATCCGTTGCTATATCCTCGCACCACCACGTAGCTCGCTATATCCCTGTGTTGAATCCATCCATCTTGGATTGCCAATTGTGCACACAGAACCGGGCACTCACTTCCCCATCCACACTTCCTCAAAAGTCGTAGTCCTCCTCCCAGTTGCTCTGCTTAGCAACGCCCTGAGGGCCCAGCTTCTGGGCGTACTCAAAGGGCGAGTAGAAGTTGAGCTTTTCCTCCTCGACAGTTCGTCCAGACTCGGCAGCCCGACGAGCTGCCTCCTGCTCAATGTACACCATGGGATCCTCCAGCTGTTTGTCTCCAGTCTCGGTATGAGGATGAATTTGTTCAGGTGGAGGGGCTTCATGATGAACAGGAAGGGGAGCAGTCTGTTGAGCCTCGGACTGGAATCCATTCTCCTGAGAAGCACCCTCTCGAAGTAGCTCGTCTCTGACTTCCTCTCGGATGTCCTCTCCTTCCTTGTTGACCAATTTGTCTCCATCCAAAGTGACTTCGTGGTTGCCGATTCGCCGCATCAGGTTCATGAAGGTTGACTTTTCAAACTTCGACTTATCGGCCTCTTCCAGCGAAGACGCAATCTGGCGCGCAATCGATGCAAACTCGCCGTTCTCGTCCGTCTTGATATCCACCTCTTCTCGCGAAATATTGTCCGAAATGTGCTCGGCCTGTCGGTTGAGAGCGTCAGCCTGGTCGTAGCGGTATGTTTGCTCCATGGGGTCCTTTTCCACCTCCTTGCCCTTGTCTGACGTCTTGGTGATGGACTCCTCCACTGCTCCAAAGGCGGCCTCGAACGCTGCATCCTGGGAGCTCTTCGTCTCCGTCTTGTGTGTCTGCTGATGTTCGGTTTGAAGGCCGTACGTGGAGTTCATGAGCTGTGAGTTGGAGTACATGGGTCCAAAGCTGGACATACCAGACATGCTGCCCATCACACCGTTAGCCATCTGGGGCTGGACCTGGTGTGACTGGGGACTTTGTCGCATAAAATCTTGACCCCAGTTGGACTGCTGAGTATGCTGAGGGCCGGTTTGAGGACCCAGGTTCAGTTGACTGAAAGACTGGGCCCAGTCACTTTGTTGACCGTGTGCCATGGGGGCGTGCTGACCCATCTGGGGTTGATGGGGCTGGCCAAAATGTTGCTGGCCAAAATGTGGGCCCATCTGAGACTGTTCAAATGAGTTATGGGCCGGTCCTGCTTGGGCAAACTGCTGGAACTCATTGTTGAGCTGTCCTCCTTGGGTCTGAGATCGAAACTGCTGTCGCTGAGCGCCAGGAGCGCCACCGGGGGCCATTCGGTCATGCTGAAGCGATCGATCTGCTGACGCATGTTTCGACAGGTTTTGTAGGGCGTTAGAAGGTCCGCAAGATGCCATGGTTGTGTGTGTGAATCAGCTTGCGCGATGTGTGTGGTGTATCAGGACAGTTCGAGTCTGTGTTGTGTCGTGAGCTCCTTGTGGTTGCGTAGCTCTTCTCTCCGTCTAACTGCGCTCAGTGACTGGGGTATGGCGGGTCAAGTTGTCTGTCAAGCTGATGTCTAAATAGTTACTGTACTTCAGCTGTCGCTAGCTTTAGGTTGTGGTTATATTTCTGTGGGGTTCGGTGAACCTTGTGTCCGTGAATGAATGTGGAGAAGTGAGAGGTAGGGTCAAATGTGGGGTACGCGAGGGGAAAATGTTCAGATTTTAGATAATCAATACATTTGGAACCCCATGAAAAATACACACAGACCCTTATTATTCTTACACAGTCGCCACCAAGCCCCCAAATTATACCTCGGTTACCTGTCGGAACTTGTCTGGCCTGATTAACGGCTCGCCGAGCCTATTTCATAAAAGTTTACTAACCATCGTGATTTGAGATGAGATACCGAGGTACAGGCGAAGGGGTTGTCACGTGATAGAGAAACCAGCGGTGAAGTGAAGTTTGTAGAAATTGTTGCAGCTGTGTACTTTAGAGATCTGCTGGGGTGAGCTTTACTACTCGTATTGTACTTGTAGTAGTGACACCCTCAACAAACGTAACTTACTTGACCCCTTTGGCGTTTTTGCCGGGGATGCCGTGTTGCGGGAGGAGATGTACATACTGTAGTAGCATTATAGAAGCAAAAGCAATTCCACTTTGTAGCAGCTCACCTGGAGATTATATCGATGTGTATATATTACTTGCAGCATGTGTGTAGCAGTAGATGAAGTATGGACGATTCATAACGACCAATTTCAGTTTTCAAAGCTAGAAAGAATGAAAGCCGGAGGTTTTCAGAAAAGGAATCAACTACTTGTAGCAACAACGGCCAATATTGATTTTGGTCTTCTTATCGCACTCTCGACTCTCAGAAACACACAGCTCTACAGTACTGTACTTCCTTACAATGAAGGCGGCTTAGTAACTCCCTCAACTCTATGTTGTCCAAACATGTCCTTGTAATTGGTGAAGGAGACGTGCCACTGACAAAGTCAAATAGAGGACCCACACTCAAATTTCATGATCACACCAGATCATCCTTTTCTTTTTCTGAGTCGTTTCTGTGGCATTCCCGACAGACCCCCTCCAACTGTCCCCTCTCATTGGTCACCTTTTTCCAAGGTTGGGAGTTAGCTTAGTCAGAATAGAGTTCCGTCACAGCAAATACAATTGGGCAACCTCCAAGTGACGCAGGAATATTTGGTATTTGGATATACTAGAATCAACATGGCCAGCCGACTTTTTTTCAAGGTGAGTATCGAAACCGTGCCCGCTAATCAGTTCACAACTAACACAGACCGCAACTCCCCTGAGTTTCGCCGCAATTGCCGTGGCTTCTGCTCCCGTGGCCTTTGCTGAGTCGCCCCGACGATCCATCTACGACAATGACAAGAAGGAAGAAGAAATCGCCCCTGTTCCCGGCACCGTTGAGACTGGCAAGGCCCGAGAGGGTGACATTGAGAAGTTTGAGAAGGAGCACGGCGTTTCTGTGGAGAACGTCGGAGGAGTGACCATCAAGTCTCCCAAGGCTCTGGAGAGCAACATCAAGGTGGCTCGAGAGTGGTTTGCCGACAAGGTGCAGCAGGGCAACCAGTACATCGATGAGGCCTTCAACAAGTACCTGGCCGTGGAGAACAGCGTCACCAAGACCGTGGCCGACCTCAAGTCTCCCCAGGAGGATATTCTGCCCGCCGGCATCTACATCACTGTTGCTGCTCTGTCCGGCTCCATTCTGACCCGAAACCGAAACATTCTGTTCCGATCCGCCATTCCTCTGGCCTTTGGTGTCGCTGCCTTCTCCTACTTCCTGCCCCAGACTGCCCACAACACCGGAGCTCTTGTGTGGAAGTACGAGCAGAAGGTGCCCGAGGTGGCCAAGGCCCACGTGGACGCCAAGGAGTCCGTGGACAGCTTCGCCAAGAACGTGCGAAAGGCCCTGGACGATGGAAAGACCTCTCTCGAGAGCGGAGTCCACAGCACACGAAAGTTCATTGCTGACAGCACCGGTCTGCAGCTTCCCGACGTTGACGAGAACGACAAGAAGAAATAGGAGGATGGACCAAGAGTAGTCGGTCAGTGTTTATAGATAACAATGCACATGGATGGAGTGAAAGTGTAGAGGGCGGTTGTGACTCCTTGGTGTGTATCGAAGAGTACCGTACAATCGGGGAAGAGGGTTCTCTTAAGCCCTCGAACTGGGGATGAATTTTCGGAATATACATACTGTACTTTCGTACATTGTAAACATGTAAGTTGATAGCTACCGCTGGGCAGCTGTTGATTCGATTCGGATGGCTATGGCTCCTTTGGTGCCCTTCGAACACAGTATATACTGTAGTGTAAAGGCCCGCATGGTTTCCAGTTTTTGGTTTCTACAAGGTAATGTTCTTCTGTTGCGACGACTACTTTAACAAGGTAGTGATTGCGATAGTCCAGGTTGGTAATACAGACAAGTGCAGCCATGAAAGCTATTCTTTTCAGGGGGAGGACATGCCAATCCTGTTGCTTGTAGTTGGCTGTTACTGTATGTTTAGCTACCGTAAGACGCGTCCTCTTTTGTTCGCTTTAAAGGTACAGTAACCTCATCGATTGTGTTTACTCCACCTTATTTGTGTCACCAACTGTACAAGTACGTAGCTACCGATACTTATAGCTCTCTCTTTCTTCCTCTACTTTATCAAGCTCTCAAAAAGACACCGAAACACAAACCAGAGGGATACGGACACAGAGGCGACACAGAGACGACAGTTGCAATTAAATACCTACATATACCCCTAAGGCCACATTGTCGGACTTCTGATACTTGTGCCACGATACCACACCTGGTTACCCGTGTCACGATACCAGTGATCACGTTAGAAACATTGGCCCGAAACCATCGCAGACATAGCCACAGTCTCAATGTCGTCTCCCAAGCGCTTCTCATTATTTCGATCGCGCGAAAACTCCGTGAGTCGGCTATGCAAAGACGTGGAGAGCTCGATCAAGGAGTTTGATCGCCACCTGACAATGCAAAAGGCCATCACAAACCGAATCGAGTTCTGGGCATCGACGTTGGACGATGAGGAGATATCTAAGGACGCAGAAAAGCTAGCAATGGCACTCAGAGAGTACTGGGTCGAAGAAGAAAAGCTCAAGCTGGCGCTCAAACACTTTTCCGACATATTTCGCACCCTAGGATGCGAGGAGGATGCGTTGATCCAGTCCAAGGCCAAGCTAGATGCCGCAGAGAAGCAAGTCGAAGCCGTCAAGCTCAAGGCGCGGAACAAGGACCCCAGCAAGGTAATTCACGATCATGATATGATCGCCAAGTCGTCGATTCTGCACTCGCAGGTCCGGGCAGCCACAAAGACGACGTTCATCCGATTCAACGCAGCAGCTCAACGTGTACTTCGAAGGGCATTCACCGAGCTGTTCTCTCAGTTTAGAGAGGTAGGATGCTCACAACAGGATGTGGTAGTACGTGGATGGACTATTGGCAACGGGATTGCGTGTCCCGACGACGATGAGCCACGTGATACCATACGTACTATGAACATTGGGCGATCCAAGTCAGTACAAGACTTCAAGAGTGAGTCGGTTAAGGAGAGCAGGGCTCGAAGAAGACCGGTACCTGCATCCACCGGTAGTATTCTGCACCGAAGAGGCAGTGCAGGTGTGATGGAGCCTAGTGCATTCTCTGCTCCCATTGCGAAGACACCCATGGGTCGCTACGATGACGGGTACCATTTCAGGGGAGGGATGCTAGGAGGGATGGGGAGTGCATCGTACAATAGTCACGCCCGGTCGACAGTTCCGGCTTCGGTAACGAGCACTCCCCAGTCGAGCCGGACGCCCCTGTCCAACCAGACTTCGCCGTTTCTGTATGCTCCTGCCATGCATCCTGTTGATCGCAATTTGTCCGACGAAGCGATGCAGTGGAATGAGGTGGCAGAAGGATGGCATCACGACGAGCGAGACAGGGAGCATGAAAGAGTTGGAGATGGAACTCCGTTGGTTTAAGTATGTAAGTAGAGCGTGTAGATATAGAATAGCTTATGTGTACTGTGTCGGTGTGTAAGGATAGCTGTAATGGATTGCATACAGAGCTGCTCGGAAGCTCATTCGTTTGATTGAGTATATACAGGACAATAAATAATCTAGTCTATCTAGGGTTATGTCAGAACGTTGTTTCCGTTCATTTTATCAAACAGTTGTTTGCCGACTTCGTAAGACGAAATCATGATTGCACACGAGGGAGCTACCTTTAAGATTCGAGGCACACTTCCGACATACAGAGATCCGAGTCCCTCTTCCCGAACCATTTTAGTGAGCAGTGGGATCATGGACATTTGGCCAGCTGATTCACAAGATGCAATTTGTCGTCTGGTCTTTCCCACATCAAATGGTTGAGTGATGATGGACGCCAGAGCTCCAGCTGCCGACCCAGCAATGAAAGAAGGGGTAAAAGCATCTACACTTCCGTGGAAGTATTGTGTTCGGAGGAGTTTTGCCTTGAAGGTCTCGTAGGCCGACCAGTAGACTCCTGAGAAGGGCACGTCTCTCCACAGGGTGAGTACCAGACCTCTCCACAGAGACCGGTATCCGTCCTGGGCAATCATGGTTTTCATACCTGTGAGTGTTTTTTGAAACGCCAATTGCGACGACGATTCAAAGGGGTATGATTGTAAACGTGTTCTGAAGAGTTCCATGGGTGAGATGACTGTAGCAGAAAGAGTTCGGGCAAGAGCTCCACAGACCAGAGGATTAATAACCTCCGACCTGATAGGCGACCAGTCTCTCAGATACTCGTATCCAATGAAATAGAGCACCGTTGAAGGTGCTGCCATCATCAGAGTGAGCGACAAACCTCTCCAGAGTGCCTGGATTCCCTCGTATTTGTAAATGGTTCGCATTCCCTGCCAGGTTCCCGAGAATCGCATCTGTTTGGCATGCTCTACAGCACACCGGTCCACTTCGGACGCTACGCAGTAGTCCACCGATGTGGGGAACCAAAACACCTCCTTGCAGCATGCTGTGACACCCAGGCCCTTTGGTAGGGTGGCGACATTGATAGGGTGTAGCTTATGAGCCTTGAGCGCAGACAGGTTTGTTTTAGGCGATGGGGCCTCAATTTTCGAGTGCGGAGGTAGCATGTTGGGAGCCTGGGCGGCACTCTCCGCAGCAGACAGTGCGCTTTGCTGTTGGAGTCGCACACGCACCACATCGAATGGTGTGACTATTAGAGACGTGATGATTGATCCGGTGCATGCAGAGAGGATTTTTTGGCCTACCGTCACCGAGGGCACGGGAGGTGTCAACGGGCTGGTTGGAGGAACAAAAGCCTCGTCTGGACGATGCTGGTGGATTTTGTGTACCAGAGGTGGCATTTTGGGGTGGTGAGAGTGAGAAGTGTTGTGTTGCGGTTATAATGTCTTGGTTGAGTGTAACGATGTAATGTCCTTGGGGTGCTGTTTACAACCGTCACCTTCCGTGTCTATCGTCTTGTGTCGTTCGTGTCGCTTGTGACTCTACCGCACTTGTGACTCCTCTGCTGTAACAGGTCTAGTTCAAGTAGAATGATCCACCGCGGACTCTTGCCAAATGTTGGTGCTGAAACTTCTAACTCTATCTGTCCCGTGCAGTGGTGATGGCGATGTGCAGTCACGTGGGACGGGGACTGGTTTGGGAGCAAGTCGCGGTGGTGTGGGTCGCACAATGTTATATAAGTGGGGCGCGCATGTCGAAAAACCGCTTCCGTTATAGCTACGACGATAATGTGGCTCTCTATACTGGCAGTGTGGTGCACCCATCTGTCCATGGCGTATCTCCGAACCGTGCGTCTCTCCCAACAGTTCGCTTTAACTATAGTATGTGCATGTACGATATCTGTCAGCGGGAAAAGTTACTCCATGGACCCAAAGGGAAAGTTACTCCAGCTCGTTGGGAGCGAGGATGTAAAGGGCAGTTTAGTGCGGACTGGAGAACAGTTCTGCATGCGGATGACTCGGAATGATTCGGGGTGTCAAGTGCGGCCATGTACTGTACGTACGATATTCACAGGTGTCGGCATAGGCTTGGTTTTGGGTGGTGTTGGATGATTAACCAAGAATCAAGTCTTGTTAGGAGTCGGTTGGACATGGCTTAGAGTAACACAAGGGCACTATACATGGAGGGATAATGGAGGACAAGAGATATATATGAAGATGGCGATGAGATATAACGAGTACTCAGACAGTTCTGGATAGAAGTTGGTTGAATGAAGACCTTGTGACAGTATGTATGAGATCCGAAGATCCAAGGCCATGGTCACCTGAATCATAATTTTTTCGACATCAAGATATCACCAATGTTGACCCAAGGACGTCATTAGTCATTGGACTATTTTCGGCCTGTGGAGATAGTCACCTGTAGGTACAGTACAGTACATACTATACGACGTACGGTATGTACAGTATGAAACCGTGCACGCGCTACAATTTCTCGTCAAGTACGACTATCGTAAGTATGTACTCCTCAAGTTGAACCTCCGAATACACTTCGACCGCGACTGAAGCCGCCATGGTACGATAGGATGTCTGGGTAATGATCAAGAAAGCGAAATGACATCATACTCCAGGGTCAGCTCAGCAAGCCCGATTTGGGCTGTTCTGACTTCCCCTGATTTACATATCTTCAGTAAATATTACTTAAATGTTGTCCGCTATCGACCCACTCGTATCATGCATGTCCCATACGGCACTGGAGATATCGACGGTGTAGAAGCGGCCAATGCACCGGTATTTGTACAATACACAGTACATCTAGTGACATCATGTATCGAGGCAAAGGACAGTCCCACGACGAAGGTGGTCATGTGAGTCTAACCATCCACAAATCGGTTTTTTTTGTTCATTTTATTCACGCCTCAGTTTGTCGACATCTCACTCACTCCACCAATAGTAGAACATTACCCCATATCGCAATCTAAAGTGTTCACTCCTAATGGTATGCAGCGCACTCATATAGTGTCTCGTGACAGCGATAGATGGGAGTACCCAAGTAGGCGTACACATACATTTTTAGACGGGAAAGGCGGTTAAAAATATACACCATGTCCCACTACCACAAAAAACGATCTTTACTGTTGTCTAAATCACCTACAACAGTCTCAACTCACCAGTCCTCAAGTCTCCTCTAAACCACCTCTCAAACTCAAAGTCACACCTCCACCACTACATCACCGCACATCACACCAGTCACCCCATACTTGCACCTCACATCTCTGACATGAACGGAAGTGTGACATCGGTGCAATCGGTGCATTCGCCACAACGCCGGATGGAAGAGGATGAGACGGTCAAGTCCACCGCTTCCAAAACCTATGTGCGCCATGGATTTGACGACGACTACGCCAGTGACGCCTACATGTCCATGTTGGCCGAAATCTTTTACATCTACCTGGACGACAAACGCCACGACACTGCGGGCAATCCGAAACGGTCTTCTGCCGACGGCCCGCCCGAATGGCGCATGAAAGACCGACAGAGAACAGTGTCTGCAGCCATTGTGGTGTGTCTCAACCTGGGAGTGGATCCTCCAGATGTGATCAAAACCGACCCCTGCTCGCGACTGGAGGCCTGGGTGGACCCACAGACCATCTCAGACTCCAAGAAGGCCACGGAGCAGATTGGAAAACAGCTACAGATGCAGTACGAGGTGCTGTCAATGCGAACCCGGTATAAGCAGTCGCTGGACCCCAATGTGGAGGACATTAAACGATTCTGCATAGGACTGCGACGAGGTGCTAAGGAGGAGCGAATTCTGTTTCATTACAATGGCCACGGAGTGCCTCGACCTACAGCTTCGGGCGAAATCTGGGTCTTCAACAGAGGCTACACACAATACATTCCTGTGTCTTTGTACGACCTGCAGTCGTGGCTGGGCTCGCCATGCATCTACGTGTGGGATTGCCATAGTGCCGGCAACATTGTCTCTAACTTCAAGCGCTTTGTTCAGCAGCGTATCAAGGAGGACGCTGATGCACAAGCACCCAATGGTGTGACCAGTGCAGCTTCAGGAAACGGAAATGCCTACCTCGATTGCATCCAGCTTGCAGCCTGCCGGGCCGACGAGACTCTGCCCATGCACCCAGACCTTCCGGCAGATCTGTTCACGTCATGCCTGACGTCCCCAATTGAAATTGCTGTGCGATGGTTCGTCATGAAGTCTCCCTTGGCTTACGGGAAGAAGATCAAGGATCTGCAAATCCCAGGAAGAATTACCGACCGAAGAACCCCCCTTGGCGAACTTAATTGGATTTTCACTGCCATAACCGATACGATAGCCTGGACTTTGTTGCCTCGCGACCTGTTCAAAAAGCTGTTTCGACAGGACCTGATGGTCGCAGCGTTGTTCCGAAACTTTCTGCTGGCAGACAGAATTATGCGGGTCAACTCATGCCACCCAGTCTCGGACCCTCCTCTTCCTCCCACCCATTCTCACCCTATGTGGGATGCGTGGGATCTAGCAGTCGATCAGTGTCTGACTCAGTTGCCTGCTTTGGCTGCTGGACAGGAGTATCGCCACTCGCAGTTCTTTGAGGAACAACTGACAGCCTTTGAGGTGTGGCTGCGATACAATGCTCGAAGTGATAACCCACCTGTTCAGCTTCCTGTTGTTTTACAAGTGCTGTTGTCACAGGTCCACCGACTACGAGCGCTGATCTTGCTCTCCAAGTTCCTCGATCTTGGACCCTGGGCTGTCTACTCGGCGCTCTCTATCGGTATCTTCCCCTACGTGTTAAAGCTGTTGCAGTCCCCCGCTAAGGAGCTAAAACCCGTGCTTGTTTTCATCTGGGCTCGAATAATGAGCGTGGACCATCAATCCATTCAGCACGAGCTGCTCAAGGACAATGGCTACGCCTACTTCATCCAAATTCTTCTCCCCTTTGAAGGATTTGCCGTTAACAACGTGAACGTCCATGACCACAGAGCCATGTGTTCTTTCATCATCGCACTATTCTGCCATGGTTTCAAGCAGGGTCAGCGGGTCTCAATGGGTGCTGATCTTCTCCGGGTGCTCGTGGTTTACGCAGCTGAGCCTGACTCTCCACTGCTTCGACAGTGGTCCTGTTTATGCATCTCCCAACTGTGGTTCGACTACCTAGAGGGCAAGTGGCTTGGAATGAAGGAGAGAGTGCCCCAGAGCCTCATTGTGCTGCTTGAGGATCCTGTTCCTGAGGTCCGAACAGCGTGTACTGTTGCCTTGACTGCATTCCTTGGCAATGGAGACGCTGATCACATTTCCCAGGATTTCAAGGACGTGGAATGCGAGCTTGCTAACGCTGTCCTCAAGCTGACTGACGACGCCAGTGGTATTGTTCGAAGAGAAGCAGTCGTATTCTTTTCGCGTTTCGTCGTCCAGTACCAAGGTCAGATTCTGGTTGCTGCGTTTGCTACTCTCGAGCAAGAAGCTGCTGCTGTCTCCCAGATGAACCTCAACACCTCGTCCAATCCTGCCACCGGTACCGTGTTTGCTGCCGTGTGGGAGGCCGTTCTGACATTTGCAGAGGACCCGTTCACCGAGGTGCGTGACTTTGCACGTGACGTGGTTGATCACGTCTTGTTTGAGATGGGCCAGTCGCCTCTGGGACCTCGAATGGAGCAGCTCAAGCGAACCATGCTGCAGGGAGCCGAGTCCAAGAAACAGCTGCCTAGCGTTTCCAACCTGATTCCTTCGTCAGAGTCACATCATCATGCTGCTGGTAGTCCTGCTCCCCAATCTCCTGCGATGGCTCCTCTAACGCCTACTGCATCTTCCACCATTCAAAATGCCATTGCTGCCGACAGGGCAGCTTCTTCTCCTCTCAACTCGCTCAAGAGGTCTGTCTCGAAGTATCTATTTGGAGACAATGAGCCCAGTGGAACAGCAGCCCAGAAAACGGACTCATCTGTTACAACTGTTCCTTTTGGCACGGGAACCATCCCCGTGACACCTCGTTACACATCGCGAGCTGCAGGATCACGTGCTCAACTCCCTCTGAAGTCCGGGTTTTTTGCTTGGTCCACGGAGTTCTTCCAAGAGCCTCAAATGGTGCCTGCGGAGGCCGACTGTACTGGTTCACAGCGGTACACTGAGAGACTGTGGCGAAAGACCCGCAACGAGAGAATTATCTCCGAGTCGGTGCTTCAGCGAGACGAAGCTGTCAAGGGCAAGTGGGATCACTCTCTAGGTGTTCTCAGCAACAAGACGCAGCCTCAGAAACTCGTTTTTGCGCAGTTTGAGCCACATCTGGCAGTAGCTGACGACCGAGACGGTGTTTCTATCTGGAACTGGGCCGAAAACAAGCGTCTGTCGCGGTTCTGCAACGCCAATCCTGCAGGAACCAGAATCACCGACGTCAAGTATCTCAACGAAGACGACGTTCCCATGCTCCTCACAGCCTCCTCCGAGGGATGTGTGCGAATCTACAGGCACTACGAGTCGCGTCAGGATGTGCAGTTAGTGTCTGCTTGGAGAGCTCTTTCGGGAGTCGGTCTGCAGGCCTCTTCTCCCGTAGCTGTAGATTGGCAGCAGTCTCGAGGAACACTGTTGGTTGGAGGTCCCACACGAGTGGTTAAGGTGTGGGATGCTCCCCGAGAGATGTGCATGGCTTCCATTCCTGCTCGGTCTTCTGCCCCTGTGACTGCCCTCACCTCCGACCAGGTTGCTGGTCACATGTTTGTGGCTGGTTTCGCGGACGGGGCTCTGCGTCTGTTTGATCGACGAGTCGATTCTCGAGACGCCATGGTCAAAATCTGGAAGCTATCTCGAGGTATCAGACACTCTGACAAGGTGCTCAACGTGTGCATGCAACGAGGAGGACACCGAGAGCTGGTATCTGGTTCGGCAGACGGAGTCATCAGTACATGGGATATCCGAACAGACACTCCTCTGCGGTCTTGGATTGCACACACCAACGGCATGAAGGCCATGGACGTGCATGAACATGCACCTGTGTTGGTTACGGGCTCTCAGTTGGTGCGAACGTGGGACTTTGATGGTCACATGACCTCGGTAAACAAGAACCACCCTGGTTATATGACCCTTCCCAACCGGGTAACCTCGGTTAACGCTTTGTCGTTTCATCCTCATCGGCTGGTGATGGCATCTAACAATGTGAATGACGGCACTGTGATGTTGAGATCGTGTTCGGGCTTTCTCAAGAGTGATTTCTAGTTAGTTTTGGCTATTTAATGCATTTTAATTGTACCTTAGGTCAACTGCATAGTTCCGGTTTCAATATATTGTACAACTGCAGCGTATACCATAAGTGTACGATACTCTTCGACCACCTCTACACCTACAGTATGCACTATGTACTACAGTATCTGACTCATCTTGAACTTACCCAATCCAAGTACACGGGTTCATACTGGTATACACATAAATATCTTGCTCTATATACATACGGCCTGGTTCAGACCTAATTTTACGCGTCGTTTTTACCACCCAGATGCTTGTTCTTGTGAACATACTTCAACAAGTAAAAACACACACTGTTAGAGATGCCCTCGATTCGCTTAGCTTGTCCGAGAGTGGCTGGACGAACTTTATCGAGAACGGTTCGATACTCGATTTTGAGACCCGCCATGGACATGTAATCGAGGTTCTCAGGAAGCTTCAGGCTTTCATCTCTCTCGACAGAAGCAATCTGCTGGCGTTCCTTATCCAAGTACATCTTGTATCTGTACTCGGTGGTGACTCGAAGAATGAGACGAGGAGGGTACTTACTGAGCTCAGGCATGGTGGCAAACAGGAGATCGTCATCAATGCCTTTTACAAGGAGCATGTGGGCAGCAGTCATCTTTCCTTCGACCAGACGAGGGAAAACCTTGTATCCGAGCTGTTCGTTCCATTCCGTGGGGGTAAGTCTCTTCGACTCAAAGATTTTCTTGATGTCTGCAATGGCCTCATTTCGCTGCTCAAGTCGGGAGACTCTTCTAGAATCAACCAGACCTCGCTCAAATGCCTTTACAGTCAGTCGTTCATCAGCGTTATCAGCTCGAACCGAAAATCGGAATTCCGAGCGGGAAGTGAACATTCGGTAGGGTTCACTGACTCCCTTGGTGATGAGGTCGTCAATCAACACACCAATGTATCCGTCAGAGCGTCGCATAGTGAAGGGCTCCTTATTCTGAGCCTGGAGACCTGCGTTAAAACCGGCAATGATACCCTGAGCAGCAGCCTCTTCATATCCTGTGGTTCCGTTTATCTGTCCAGCCAAGTATAGACCATGGACGAGCTTAGTCTCGAGAGTGTTCTTCAGCTCTCGGGGATCAACGTAATCGTACTCCACTCCATAGCCGGGCTGAGTCATAGTCACATTCTCAAACCCAGGAATAGTCTTGAGTACCTGGAGCTGGGTCTCTGCAGGAAGAGTAGTGGAGATACCGTTGGGATAAATAGTTGTGGTGTCCAGTCCCTCGGGCTCGACCCAAATAACATGTGAGTCTTTATCAGCGAATCGGATGATCTTGGATTCGATACTGGGACAATATCTGGGTCCCTTGACATCTTCTCGAATGTGGATCGACTTGTCAAGGTTATCTCGGATAAGATCATGAGTTGCCTTGACAGTCTTGGCCTTGTAGCACACAACAGAGTGGTTGTTTGGTCCTCGCAGCTCGGCAGGAGTTTCCTCGTTCACAGAGCCATCGGTTTTTGCGGCGGGGACATCGTCATTGAGGTATGAAAAGGGGAAGGGGTCCTCATCCTGGAGCTCGGGAAGCATGGTCGAGTAATCGATAGTTGTGGAGTCTATTCGAGGAGGAGTACCTGTCTTGAGACGTCCAAGCATAAATCCAACCTCTCGTAGAGTATTGGAAATGCCGAAAGTAGCCTTTTCGCCCATTCTACCACTAGGATAAGCCTCCAGACCAATATGGATCTCTCCTCCGAGGAAAGTACCAGTGGTAATAACAACCTTTTCGGTATTGATAGTCTCACCCGACTCGAGAGTGAGTCCCGCAATGCTTCCGTAGCTCTTAACAGCATCAGGAGTCGCCTCAGGGGTGGTCAATAAATCTTCCACGGTGCCCTCCAGAACCTCTAAGTTGGGATAGTCTCTGATGAGCTGTTGCATCTCCTTCTTGTAAATTTTTCGGTCGATCTGGGCTCGCAGACCCCACACGGCAAAGCCACGACTTCGGTTGAGCATCTTGAAGTGGATACCAGCCTTGTCCGCCACCCTCCCCATGAGACCGTCCATGGCATCGACCTCGGTAACCAGTGTTCCTTTGCCGATTCCGCCGATACTGGGATTGCATGAGCAGGTACCGATATTGTCGAATTTGGGCGTCACCAGCAGTGTTCGAGCTCCAGACCGAGCTGCTGCTGCACTGGCTTCACAGCCCGCATGGCCTCCTCCAACGACAACAACGTCATATTTGGGCGCAGTTTTGAGTGTTTCGACGATATCGGGAGTCGTATGAATCCTCCTCAGCTGTGGGAGTCGATTATTGCCCCGAAAAACGGCTCTTACTTGTGCTCTTAACATCTTGGGGGTATTGTGCAGAGTTGAAAGAGAGTGATTCAGATTTTGAAAATTCAAGATTGAGTGCTCATAAAAATAAAGTTAATGCACAGTTCAAAAGTTTCAGTGAAATCGTGACCCAGCTCTGAGTTTTTTTAATTCAACTAAAGATGCATTAATCTCCAAAAAAAGGGAGATATTCAATGAGAACATAAGCCGAAATTACCATAGAGCTCTTATGGGAAATGTAAGACTTCAGATATTGCCGAAAGGGTCTTTTCAACACGAGACTTTTCTCTTGGCTTTTCCACTGAAGCTTCCAGCGAACATTATGAGTGAGGATGAGACGTAAATGACTCTCGTACTCGTGAGGTCACCAAGGAGTGACATTCCGTACTGTAATATTAACATCCTTCTTCTGCATTTTCCACGTTATCGGTCCAAAATATCCATTTATACATGATTGCGACCATATACATGCACCAACAGAACTTCCACCATAACCGCAGGACTAACAGACACTCTTTACATATCAAGACTTTGATAAAAATGAGAAAAGAGAGACTAGATGATATTGTAATTTTTAAATGTACTATGATATGACATTTATATCCACCCAGAAGCTCTGGAATACTCATTTTACAAAAAATTAACGGAATTGAGCTACACTAGTCCATGATTAAATTCTTTTCAGAAATCGGTCCCTTGGCCCAGTTGGTTAAGGCGTCGTGCTAATAAGAAATTAGCCTCTTTGCAACGCGAAGATCAGCAGTTCGATCCTGCTAGGGACCATTTTCTCCTTGGTTGTATAGTGTAGCGGTTATCACCTTGGATTCTGACTCTTGAAGTACTTTCCAGTAACCCCGGTTCGATTCCGGGTACGACCTTTTTGGTGAGCTTTTAAGGGTTCATCCTACTATTTTTGCCCACCTCCTCAATCCCCTACACTGGTATTCTTTTCCCGCACCTCCTCCACTGCTGTACGTGGAATGAAAGCGATCGACACTCAAAAAACTCCCAAGCCTTATTCTTATGCACCCGTGTCCATTGTCGGAGATAACAAGAGGTAAAACAATGGACGTTATTCCAAGCCGCACCCCAACGGTTATTTCCGGCACAGGAGGACCAGTATAGACGTTTGAGATATTTTGTATCTTATGCGGAATTACGGTGATAGGATCGGTCAATTGCGCCTTTTCATCAAAACCAGACTTTCGAAACTCCCTTAATTGCTCTCGTCCATTTCACAAAGACAGGCTACTGTAGATTGATCCGGAAAAAAAAGTGTATCGTGGAGTCCTGTCGAACCTAAGCGCTGCCCCTCAACTGTAAGTCGCGGAACCTATTGACCAAAGCATAGGATGGTTTCGGAGCTCGGAGTTATGGGCAGTTTGACCATTGTTGATAATGACAGTCGTCCGTTAGCAGTCCGGAAAGCCTCCAAGTCCCGTGCTTAGACTGAACAGGTTTGAGCAGGCGTCTTCTTGCAGACATCTGGTGCCCCGAACGCCTTGATAGCGACTACAAGCGATGCTGGTGGGAACCTTATCCGTCTTGGCTGCATGCTTGCGGTATTATAAGAAGGCTTGGACTCGTCGATACGTCACATTTGGAGAGCTACAAAAGGCCATTGACATCTCAATTGACCGTTCACACCAACAAAACACACCCAAACACACTTGACACCATGGCTGAATTCGAAGAAGACGTTGTACTTGAAAAGTACTGGCCCGAGGAGGCTGCCCACGAAGGAAAGTCCGCGGGCTCAACGGTTCCCCTGTCGCACCACTTTGAGGGCCCCAAGCACAACTTCCCCGGACTTGAGATGAAGATGGGAGCCACCGGTGTCATCTGGACAACCGACCGAGCTGCTGAGAAGGGCTTCTCCCATGAGAACCCCGAATGGGCCAACCTCGGTCAGGGAGCTCCCGAAGTCGGACCTATCCCCGGATGTTTCAAGCGACCTGATGTTATCGACGCTTCTGAGGAGTCTCGAGAGTACGCTTCCACCGCTGGTGTTAAGGAGCTGCGAGAAGCTGTTGCAAACCTGTACAACCATGACTACCGAGAGGGCAAGGAGTCAAAGTACACCTATGAGAACGTGTGTATTGTTCCTGGAGGACGAGCTGGCCTGATCCGAATTGCCGCTATTCTTTCGGATGTTTACCTCTCCTTCTTTTTCCCCGACTACACTGCCTACGCCGAGATGCTGGCTCTGTTCAAGAACTTCTCTCCTATCCCCGTGCCTCTCAGAGCCGACGATGACTACCAGGTGCATCTGGACATCATTCGAGCTGAGCTTGACCGAGGTGTGTCTGCTCTGCTGACCTCCAACCCCCGAAACCCCACCGGTCAGGCTATGCGAGACCAGGACCTCAAAGATCTACAGGATATGTGCCGAAAGCGATGTCTGCTCATCATGGACGAGTTCTACACTCGATACAACTATGAGGACGGCTGCAACGGCTCTTCCGTCTCTTCTGCTGCCAACATCATTAATGTCAACGAGGATCCTGTTCTTATTGTCGACGGTCTCACGAAGTCCTTCCGACTGCCCGGATGGCGAATCTGCTGGATTGTCGGACCCAAGTCATACATTAAGGCCCTGGCTTCTGCTGGTTCTTTCTTGGATGGTGGATCCAATGCTCCCTTCCAGAAGGCTGCCGTTCCCTTCCTGGAACCCTCTCTTGTCAAGAAGGAGATGACCGCTCTGCAGGTCCATTTCAAGGCCAAGCGAGACTACTGTATCGACCGACTGGAGAAGATGGGCTTCAAGTTCCACCAAGTCCCCACCACTACCTTCTACATCTGGCTTGACCTGAGTCCTCTGCCCAAGGAGATCAACTCTTCTTTGCACTTTTTCGAGGCTTGTCTTGAGGAGAAGGTCATCATGGTGCCTGGAATCTTCTTCGACCTTAACCCTCTGGCCCGACGAGAGATCCACCACTCCCCTTACTACCACTTCATGCGACTGTCCTACGGTCCTCCCATGGAGAACCTGGTAAAGGGTATGGATGCCATTGAGCGAGTCATCAATAAGTACAAGAAATAGTCATCTTGTGCACATACAGGTATTTAATCTTATAGAGAACCAGAAAGAACTGGAGTGAGAGTAGACATTACTCATAATGAGCTAAGGCGAGATCGCTGTTATGTGACGTACTTGTACGGGGACTGTACATACTGTACTTGTAAGGTGCGAAGGAACACGACGCTCAACTGTTTGCAGGCTGAACTCCTGACGAGACACATCTTGCTCACAGTCAGATTAGCAGCCGTAAGAAGCTTGAGTTGATGTGTCCTGAACCTAACAAAACCACGGAGTCGTTTGGTGTCACGCACAAGACATTATCCGTGCAATACAGTGCTGAAGAACCTAACTATCGCTACATACTTCTTTTTCATTCACATCTTCATTCTTTATTTAGTGCTCAAAGTATTCCGGTACTGGATATACGCGGGGACTGATGTTAGTCAATGTTTTGGATACCAAAAATCAGTGGTGTAAGAAGTTCAGGAAAGCAGTTCGTTACATTAAGATTCAAAGGTAAGCGTTGGAAATTGCATAAAATGTTTCATCATCCAAGAAGCTGTCGTGTTGTGTTACTCACCATTTGGTTGTGCGCGTGAGATGTGAAAAAACAAATCGCGAGTATTTTATAGACGCTTCGAGGGTTAGGGGACTCTACTAAACGCAGGAGGGTAATTTGGAATATAGGGCATGGAATATAAAGGTGTTGAAAACAGGTTAAGGATCGGGGAAATGGCGCAAAGTGTTCAAGACAGATATAACTCCGTTGTGTGAAATTATCCCGCCATTTGGGGTACTTTGGAAAAGTCCAAGTCGAATCTTGTTGACTCTTCGACAAGCTCTAAATGTAGTTGGCGTTTTTGTTGAAATAAGACGTGTTGAGGAAATAGGCAGACATAAAGGGCTGTTTGGGAGCTGGAGAATAGAAAGTGTCTAAAACGATATCCCCCAATAGATATATCAAGTTATTGTGGTTACATAACCCGTAACTGCTTCCATGAGCCCACAAAGTGAGACTCGGGAAGGAACGACTTTCGGAACAGAACTTCTACAAGTAGTTGGATTAGGTTCAATCTACAGTAACCTTGGGGCATCTTGGAGAGGAAGAAAATATCCATGTTAGTGTACAGCTCGGAGTTCGCAGGAGGGGGTTGAGATCTTGTCAGGCTCATATAAGAAAGACGCGCAAACTTCAGTACTGTACTGTACAGTAGTATCAAAATGTGCAAGTCAACTGCTCATTGTGTCACGGATTATGGACAATAGATGATAGCTGTCTCAGCCCAACAAGCAAACAGGCTCCACTTTCAGCCGCACGAAGTAGAGAGAGGAACGAGTGTAAGCGTACGTACAAGTAAAAAGTAACATGACGACTTTGTTTATGGATAATTGAAAAGTTTCAATTCGGGTTCTTTTTTCGTAATATCTTCATCTCTTCTGATCTCTTCTGATCTCTTCTGGAGTGTGCGTACTTGAGTTGACTGGTTCAGGTTGTGTTCTTAGAGGGGTGTTTTCGGAAGCGGTAAGAAGTATCCAATTTGACCTAAAGGAGAAAGATGTATTAAAACCAGATTTTCTGATGTAAAGAACTCCTCAAATTTTCTGACAAATTACTACAGCTCAAGTTATATACACGCCCCACTCGAGGCTACTCGGAACTTTAAACCCCACATGACTCCACCTTCGGGTGCAAGCACACGAATATGATGCAGTGACTTAACTGCAACTTGTTGAGACACAGCACACTATAACACAATGTCTTTTGCACACCTACTCCCCATTGACGGCGACTGGAAGACCGACGTGACCCGATGGATGTCTGAGGACGTGCCCTCGTTCGACGTCGGTGGATATGTTGTTGGAGACGACATTCACCATGCCACTCTCTACTGCAAGTCTCCCGGAGTGGTTGCAGGTGTTCCCTTTGCCCAGGAGGTGTTCGACCGAAACCAGCTCAAGGTGAAGTGGAGCGTGCGTGAGGGTGACTACGTGGATCCCAAGGGTGGCAAGGTTGCTGTTGCCAAGGTGTCTGGTCCCGTTCGACAGGTGCTTCTGGCCGAGCGAACTGCTCTCAACCTCCTTGCTCGAGCCTCCGGAGTCGCCACAAAGTCCCGACACATTGTCGAGCTGGCCAAGAAGGCTGGCTACACTGGAATTATTGCCGGCACTCGAAAGACCACCCCCGGCCTGCGACGGCTGGAGAAGTACGCCATGATTGTCGGAGGAGCTGACCCCCACAGATACGACCTATCGTCAATGGTTATGCTCAAGGACAACCACGTGTGGGCCACTGGATCAATCACTGATTCCGTGAAGAAGGCTCGGTCTGTGTGCGGATTTGCCATGAAGATCGAGGTCGAGTGCCAGAGCGAGGAGGAGGCCAATGAAGCCATTGCCGCCGGTGCAGACATCATCATGCTGGATAACTTTGACGGCAAGGGTCTGCAGGTGGCTGCTCAGAGCATCAAGGACAAGTGGAACGGTACCAAGCACTTCATGCTCGAGTGCAGTGGAGGTCTGACCGAGGAGAACATCGGCTCTTACCTGACCAACCAGATTGACATCTACTCCACTTCTAGTATCCACCAAGGAACTGGCATTGTTGATTTCTCCCTGAAGATTGATCATAACTAAGTGAGTTGCAACATGATTGCGTAACACAAGTTTGGTGATCATGCAAGGAGGTGTCGATGCCTGATTCTACAACTGCCACTTATGAGTATTAGACCACTACAGCACTGATCGGTGCATCTGTAATTAGCAATATATCTGATTTATACGTGCAAAGCTTGTTACATGGTTACGCCATGTCTGGGTATATATTGTTCTTCCCCTTGATAATCTTTTCAAGTCTTCTATGATGATACTCCTACAGGATTGCAGTGATGTTTTTCGATGGTGAAGGATGTCCAAAAATCCCTGTGGGGGCAATACACAGCTTGCACACTGGACGAATTGTAACACAGGTCTCCAATATAGCATAATTAACATAATCATTTCATAAATATATCTCACCCCTCCTCTTAGTTCAAGAACGAAGTGAAGTCCAGGCTCTTCAACAAGGGCAAGTCATTACCGGTATCTTCATCTTCAGTAAAAACAGGTCCAGACGGATTATCGTCGTCATCGTCATCATTGTCGTCAGGTGCACCTCCTCCTTGCAGCTGTTCGAGGAACGAGGCCGCCATATCCTTGCTGTCAGTAGCAGCATTCTTCTTCTCAGCTGCTGCTGCCTCAACCTGGGCCACTGTCTTCTCCTTTAGCTGCTGAATCTGCTGCAGTCGGTACCTCCAATTCGACACATACTGACCGTCGGAGTACCAGATAGTTGCAAACTTGGAGGCGATCAAAACGAGGTTTCGAATGAAATCAGGCAGAGAGCCTTCGGAGATGATCTTCAAGTGACAGGCAGCAAAAATAGCAGGCACTCCTGCCTTTCGGTAAGCTCGGACCTTGTAGTAGCGAGTGGGCTGGTCTGCTGGGGTCTTGGGCTCGTCCTTGGTATCTGCAAAAATGTGAGACTTATCGAAGTTAGCCGAGTGAGGCGTGATGACAATGTTGATGAAGTTAAACTGAGACTTGATGGTATTGAAATCAAAAGTGAGTCCAGACTCGTCAAAGAACACGTTAACATAGTCGTTGCCAATGTGCCGCTTTTTAGAAGCATAGGCGGTATCTTGGGGATTCAGAGGGGGAGGCATGAGTGTAGTGGCATGGAAAACAAGCTGTGAAATTTTGTCTCTCCAGCAGTATGCAAATTCACCATCCACATTCTGCTCGGTGTCGAGTCCACCAGTGTAGATGGACTTGTTATCCTTGAGACGGGTCAGAGTACCGAGAGAAGACATGAACTGCCGGTAATGAAGAGATCCAGTTTGGTTAGCCAAAATTTCCGTCTCTTCCTTCTGATTGGGGCCCATGTACATGACACCGACCTTGTGAAAATCAACCACAGGGATACGGTCAATAGCAGACACCGCTCGAGTAGTAGCAGGATCTGTACCAAGAGCAATGGGCTTGGGGATATCGGCTGTGACATCAGTAGGGAGGGTCTGCAAAAGGAAGTAGTTGGGGGAAAATAGCTCTTCGGAAGACTGCTCAGTCTGAGTCTGTCGAGGGACCATCTTGTCGGAGGGGTTCACATTGATGATAGCAGTGCCGGTGGGTCTTCTGACAATATACTGAGTTTCTCCAGTGGTCAGAACAGTCTGGATGGAGATGACTGAAGTTCCATACAGCCACTGCTTTGTGGAAGTCTTCTTGTCCTTGAGGTGGGCATTGATACCCATCATGGAAGGCATCTGAAGATCGAAGTCAGTGAAAGCAAATCGCTGAATCAGATCAAGCAGTGCAAGAGACTGGGGATCGATGTCGGCAGGGTTTCCGTCTGCCAAAATGAGGTTTCGCACAATGAACTTAGCCAGAAAGTGACGTTTGGAAATATCGAGTTTAAGGAACCAAGCGATAATCACGTTGTAGGCCAGAGCAAGCAAATACTGGCTCATGACGGTGCCATTGAACTGAGTCGCATCAGTGGACGACTTTGTATCCGGACCAGTGGGGTCATAGTTGACCTGATGTTTCGATCCATCGCTCATTTTGGCCAAATCGTTGGCGTGCTGAATGTACTTGAAGGCCATGCCGAAGATTCGCTTGTACTCATCCTGAGTGAATGATCGGGTAAGAGAGGGCATTCGAGATAGGGCGAGGAGAAACTCGAGAATGTGGGGAGAAGAAGAGAGAGTAGTGATCTTCGTCTGGAACTTTGTAAAGATTTGGGGCAGGAATCGTCGAATAGATACGGGGAACTCGTAACAACATAGAACCAGGGCATGGATACAGGGAATAGCAGTCTTTTCCCATGACGACAAGCCAGCCACCAATGCTTGAAGAATATACTCCTCGTCTGTTCTCGACAGAAGATCTCCATAGCCAATAAAGGATGAAATGTTTCGAATAATGGCCACTCCGATATCAGGCTTGGAAATGTCCTTGGGGATCTTCAACGCAGCAGGGAGCCGGTCGGAAATACCCTCAGAGAGTGCCACTCTAAGAGCCTTAATGTCCTGATGCGACCACTTGAACAATGCCAAATTGGAAAGCTGAGGTCCCAAATGAGCCAAGACAAAAGAGTAAATCTCCCAGTCACACTGAGCCTTGCTGATGACCTGTAGAATCTCTGAGAACCAAAGCGATGTGTCGATACTGTAGACCCCGTTCCGGGGCTCCTGGCCAGGAGGACCCACCATCAGTTTTCGGCACGGCTTGTTCCGCTCAACACCGTCCAGAAACTTGACATCTTCGGGGAAATGCCACGGTTTGTCACACTCCTCTTCTCGACCGGTGTAGTTTCGGCCAAACGAAGCAGACAGTCCATCCATGTCCACGGGGTTTGTGATGTACACGTATTCGTCGTCGGTGGATCGCAGTCGCACAAACAAACGACATGCTTCAAGGTAGGCGTCCACAGAGTTCTGTTGTCGCAAAGTGGGTAGCATTTTCACTAGAGTGGTGTAAACCAGCTGGGCTTTTTGAGGCTGGATCAACATAAATTGGCCGAACATTCGTCCCAGAGAGTACACCAGCTCAACAGCGGGGGCCTCTCCAGTAGCTGTAATGTCTCGTAGCATGGTGTTGAACACGTCGAAGGACGCACTTTTGCTCATATCAGTAAGCAGAGTCAGCAAACGCGATCGAACCTTGGTAGTCAGATGTGATGATCTGTAGGTATTTGAGAGCATGGAAATCAGCTTGTTCAGCATATCTCGATCATTGACTTCAGAAGAGACAGTGTAGAGTCTATCCATAAAGTCCAGAACCAGCATCCGTACGCCATCGGGCCAGTAGGGCTCCAAAAAGTCGAGAACAAGCTCAGTATTGGCTTCCCAGTTGGAAGAAAATGGCGAACAGAGGTACGAGTCTTCGAAGTGACGCACAATTCGAGCAGCAGAAGATTCGTTTAAGAAAGGAGCCATTTCCAAATAGAATTGGATGGTCTGTTCCTTAGGTGCAGTAAAGTCAGCCTTACGTTCCAAAGAAGAAACAAGCTCCACAAAATCCCTGATGCACAACATCAACTTGGATGGTTCCGGGGCAGGAGCAGCACTATCCTCCTTGTTCTCCTTGCCATCCTTGGTGGAGTCAGCAGAAAAGATACTGCCTGCTCGCTTACTAAGCCGTGATCGGGTTTCGAAATGTGCGCTCTTCTTGTCAAAGAGCGAAGTTGAGCCCTGACCTGTACCCGCGGTCTTAGTAATCGAACCTGTTCGATGCATACTTGATTGGTTGCCTGTTGCTGAATCATCCATTTCCTGCTCAGCACACCTGGCAATGATCACGTAAGGTGAGTGGTCCGAGTCCCAGTCTTCGTAGGTGATTTTTCGGCACGTTTCCTGGTTTCGAACGAGTTCCGTCACGTTCTGACACACCTCCAAATCGTGGTTGGCGCTTCCTAGACGCAAAGAGTCCTCGTAAGCTCCTAGAACTGCCCCCATTGTGATATCCAACTTCAATTCAGGAGGGGTATTCTCAGCCAGCACACGCAGAAATCGAACAGTGCCTCTCAAAGTGTTTCCATTGGGTGCGTTTTGTCCAGATGTGTTCTTGCCAGCATCCTGGAGGTATCTGAACATGATTTCAACTGTTGCATGGCCCACATGGGAACTGCACAGCATAGTCAAAGACTGTCCAACGGCCTCTTCCAAGTCGGGAATGGTGACATATGTGGAGCACAGAATGTCGAGGACCACGGGAATGCTCTTGATGGGCACGTAGCCGCTCTGAATGACCGTATTGAACATTTCAAGGGCCGCTTCAATGTCTGATTTGGAAGACGTTCGACGACACATGGTCACCACTTCACCTAAAATTGCTCCAACCTCGTCGTCGTTGAACATTTGAAAGTTGTGTTGAAGCATGCTGGTCAGCAGTTTCATAAGGGTCTGCAGGTTGTCGTTCATGGTCACTTTTCCTCCTGTAGAGGCAGCGGTAACGTCGTCGATTCGGCCTATACGCACGTCCTGCGCCTCGGCAGCCAGACGTTTGAGCCACGAGCTGAGAATGTGTGTGAAGGGGTATCCGGACTGGTACAGGTCGAAGACGTTTTTGCCATTGTCGGTAAGGACTCGCAGCACCTCCAGCTGCAGGTCAAAGTCCTGGAGGTTGGAGTTCTCGATGAGGCTTTGAAAGTACGCCAGTCGCGATCCCGTAGCGCTCTCATCCTGCTTGATGCATGCAATCATAAGCTTGAGGCCGCTTCGTCGGCACTCCGTGGGTTGGTCCGTCTTGGTGAGATCTCTGGCGGCATACCAGATTTCGGGAATCGATGACACCGAGTATGTTTGGACTGCATGCTCCAGTGCCATGGCCGCCTCGACCTTTTTGTCGGGCGTTCCTGTCGCAAGCACGCGCATCAGCTCCTCCTGGTCTGCTGCTCCTCCTACCACTGTCGGCCGAGTCTGGGGAGCTCCGCTGGAGGACGACTTGAAGCCCTTGGTCAGCGACTTGAACACCGAGCCAAGTCCGCTTTTCTGGGTCACTGGGTTAGAAGGTGTGATTGGAAGCGAGTGTCTTCGGTCCATGTTTGTAATAGAATGGTACTGTACCAACTGTTGCTATTGTAGATATCGCACTATGGCAGGCACTAGCGGACTAGCACGGAAATATGCATAGATCACGTGACGGTGGGTAATAGAGGGCGGTCCTTGATTCGCCATGCCGCCTGTCATACTCACTTGTATCTGCGTTGCTGATGTGGTACAGTAATGTGCTGTTGGTTTGATTAGGACACTCCTCTCAGTCTGTCGATATACCAAACACCCAGCCGTCAGATATGCACGGCAGTGGAAAAAATAAGGTTGGTGGGGGAGACGAGGCGGTTGATGGCGTGGATTATGGACATTGCTTTAAGAGAGGTTTGGGGGGGTTGAAATAGTGAGTTACCGTAGGAAAGTTGATCGAAGACATGGGCTTGGATTTTTGACGCTATCGCAATTATTTGGCGTTTTAGACGGTATTTGGGCTCATGTGAGGACATGACGAGGTAATTTCAAGTACGATATTTATGCACTCTAAACTACTTTTGTAAGTAGCTAGTAGTTGAAGCTATTACTTGAACTCAACTTGGGAGGCGAGAACATCGACAGGAGATACTTGATGAGTACTGTACATAGCAATGGTTTAACTGATGTCATAATAACTTCACAACAAACTGTCCTTCTTGTAATTTCCCTAAAGCCATGATATTATGATACCATACATTTGACATGGACATCGACTACAATACATATGGTACAGTACATACAGTACCGTACTTGTAGCTACCGTATTGTACATATTGTACTTCCAGGAACTTTGCATCGAACATGAGATCAGTTTGCACAGCTCTTAACCTGTACCCTTGTCATGTGTTTTAAGAAGGTCATAGGAACAAACGAGAGCTGTCTACCGACACCCAACACGTCTGTTATAATCACTTATGCTCCGCGATCCATTCTCCAAGTGATTCCAGCACACTGACACTCAATCATACTAATACTGTACGAGGGAGTGTAACTCAGACACGGTTATAGTTGCTTGTACTGGAGCGGTTTGGGCAGTTTTCATCTGTATGTTGGAGGGATTAGATCGGTTAGATATTGGGAGAGCGCATTGATTGCAACTCCCTTATTTGTCATTTCAATTATGTGACAAAACTAATCAAAACTGGCTCTGTTGGTTTGATATCCACAACCCCGTTATCACAACTTTAATCAAACGCAAACACGCTTCTACACACTCACATGTCTGAAAAGCCGACTTTCACGGAGGGACTCGAAGAGGTGGAGGAGCTGGGGCTCACAGATCTCGGCTCGCTCGCACACTGGTCTGTGTCGTCCCATAAGACTGGGTGTGGCGTGGAAGCGCTTCGATCGGACGACCACCAACTGTTCTGGCAGAGTGACGGCCCCCAACCCCACCACTTGGATATCCACTTCTCGAAGCGGGTCTCGATCGAACGGGTCTCAATCTACACTGATTACGAGCTCGACGAGTCGTACACTCCTTCCAAGATCAAAATTCTTGCAGGATCAGGGTACCATGACTTGCTGGAAGTGACAGAGGTGGATCTGGACGAACCCCAAGGATGGACGCATCTGGTGCTGGATGGACTGAGAGAAGATGGCGTGCTGAAAACATACCTGTTGCGATTGCTGATTCCAGCTAACCACCAACATGGAAAAGATACACACTTGAGAGCTGTCAAGGTATATGGACCCAGGAAACATATGGTGATGGACGACAGTATTTTTACTTTCACCACACCACAGATGTTCAGCGAACAGGTTATTCGATAGAGGATAGTGACGGAACCGGAACCAGTCTTGGTGACATAGTCAGGATCACGGAACATGACAGTCGTCCCGCTCGTCATGGCGGATAAGCGTCAAAGCCTTGTTGTTTGTGCTATTACGCATCAACAGAACCACCTCTGTCATCTCGTGTGGGGTACATTCATCGATACCACCGGCACCAGATCAGATGCAATTCTGTACATCGCTCTGTGTGCTTCACCATCTATCTTGGCCAGGCTAGTGGCGGATGTCACTCCTGCTGTAAGATTGTGTCATTCTGCGATATCTGTTATGCTATCACGTCAACACAGTGTTACCATACAGCAATGGAAACAAGGGTGAACGTACTGATACCCTGAACAGCCGTTAGGACTCACCAACCACAACACACTTTAACCGCAGCCTGCTGATGTATGATCTTCTGAGTACCAGCAGATCCGCCATCCTTGTCAACTCCTTGTAAATAGCTAATTTATCCTCAGCATACGAAGAGCTCCAGAAAATAGTACTCTCGGAGAGGTGTTTCTTTCCGACCCTATCATTACGAGATGACTGCTTATACCACCAGTATATCCTCCACCGTTGCCATGACAACGGGCGAAGAAGTCATGTGCATTCGAAGTCGAGAATGTACTGGTACCGCTGTAGATACTCATGTTGCTGAGCTACAGAACGAGAAATTGTACGAGGATGTCACTTATATCGAAGTTTCATGACGTTTTACGGCGGCCAGTCGAATCTTCTGTCGTCGTCAGCTACAATTGTAGTGGCTGCTGTAGTAGAAGTTTTAGGAATTGCCAGATGCAATCTTGAACAATCTGTTGCATTGAAATATATATCGATCTACAAGAAGGAACGACTCGAAGTGGCGTGCAAAGTGGACAGTACTTATCCTCTCAACTTGAGGTCATACAAGCTGTCGATTCCTGTTCTCACAGTCCTACATCGATGTAGGCTACTTGTAGGTGATATAAAATAAATTAATGAATAATGTGATTATAAAAACAAAAAAATGGTTACATTTTGGAACTTGATGAAAAAGAGGATCAACCGGAGCTAGTGAAACGCCCCCTCGTCATATAATCTGCCACAAATACTCCTTACCCATGATACATACAAAAACATTCTCTCCTCTTTTCCGCCATGTTCGATCCCATTTAGATCTCCACTGATCAAGACTGAACTGTATAATTACTGTACTAGAGTACTTGTAGTAGCGAGAGACTGTTGACCCAAAAGCCAATGTTATTTGAGTCCATGAAGCAGCCGTACCTGTTACAATAGTAGACGAATTCGATTCAGCTTACAACCCAGGACCATCTCCCATAGTAAACTACCGCCCATCAGCCATTATTATATTCTACACACACACACATAACCCTAACCACAATCCACAAATCGACACAAGTAAACAAACTCTACCTTCGTGCATGCATATAAGTCCTACCACACCTTTTTATGAACACCGCCAAGTGTGTTTTTTTGCGTCTACCATCACCACACCACACAACCACACCCATGACTGAATTCGAAACGGTCGTCGCGCTGCTCAAGCAGTCGCAGCTGCCTCAATCTGCCCGATCAGCCGAGCAGCAGCTCAAGGAGCTGGAGGATCAGGCGGACTTTCCCATTGTCATGTTGCATGTCGTGGCTGCCCAGAATCTGGAGGAATCAACTCGTCTGGCCGCTGCGCTCTTCTTCAAAAACTTTCTCAAGCGAAAGTGGGTCAATTCTGACGGCCAGCATCTTCTGCAGCCTTCCACGGTCAAAACTGTCAAGGATGAGGTGGTTGGTCTGATGATCTCGCTTCCCGAGCGTCTCCAGATCCAGCTGGGAGAGTCTGTCTCCATCATTGCCGACTCAGACTTCCCCCACAATTGGGAGGACCTGGTGTCATCACTGGTGGCCCGATTGAGCCCCACAGACATGGTCACCAACAACGGCATTCTGACAGTGGCCCACTCCATCTTCAAGAAGTGGCGACCACTCTTCTCGTCGGACGACCTGAACCGTGAGATTCTGCTGGTGCTCAACCAGTTCACAGAGCCCTACAAGCAACTGTGCGAGGAGGTGGATCGCCAGATCGAGGCTAACAGCAACAACAAAGCCCAGCTCGACATCCTTTTCCGAGTCCAGTTCAACATCTTCAAGATCTTCTTTGATCTCAACTGCCAGGACATTCCCGCCTTCTTTGAAGACAATCTCGACTACTTTATGAACCTGCTCAAAAAGTACTTGTGCTACACAAATCCTCTGCTGGAGGACCCCGATGAGGACGACGAAGCTGGCATTCTCGAAAAGGTCAAAGCCTCCATTTGCGACGCCATCCAGCTCTACTCGCTGCGATACGAGGAGTTCTTCGGCACCTACCTTAATGGCTTTGTGGAAACCGTGTGGAACCTGCTGACCAACACCTCCACACAGCCCAAGTACGACATTCTCGTTTCGCGAGCACTCACCTTCCTGACTTCCGTCGCCAAGGTGCCCCGACACACAAACATGTTCTCCTCCCCCGAGGTGCTGAAGCAGCTCATTGAGAAGATTGTGGTGCCCAACATGAGTCTGCGAGAGTCCGACGAGGAGTTGTTTGAGGATGATCCTCTGGAGTACATTCGACGAGACCTTGAGGGATCCGACTCCGATACTCGGCGACGAGCAGCCACCGATTTCCTGCGAGAGCTCAACGATAAGGCGGAGTCTTCTGTCACAAAGGTTGCTCTGGAGTATGTGGAGCAGTTCCTCAACCTGTACAAGCAAGACCCTGCCTCTAACTGGAAGGCCAAGGATACTGCCATTCATCTATATTCGAGTATCGCGGCAAAGGGTGCTGTCACCTCTTCTGGTGTGACTTCCATCAACCTCACTGTCGACATTCTGTCCTTCTTCTCCGAGAACATTGCGCCTGATCTCATGAACGACTCCGCAAATCCCATTCTCAAGGTCGATGCCATCAAGTACATCTACACCTTCCGAAACCAGCTGTCTCGAGACCACCTGATCCAAGTGTTCCCTGTGCTGATGAATCATCTGCTGTCAACCAATTATGTGGTTTGCACCTACTCTGCTGTTACTGTGGAACGACTGCTTGCTAAGAACGTGTTTGACAAGACTGAGGTTGCCGAGATTGCCCAGCAGCTGCTCCCTAAACTGTTTGAGCTCATTGCCGCAGGAGGTACCCCCGAAAAGATCTCTGAGAACGAGTATCTCATGAAGTGCATCATGCGAATCCTGCTTGTAGCTGGATCCGACGTGGCTACCGGCGATGCAGGCAAGCAACTGCTCCAGCAGCTCATTGGCATTCTGCAGGAGATTTGTAAGAACCCCTCCAACCCCCGATTCAACCATTACACCTTTGAGTCCATTGGAGTGCTTCTTAAGTACACCGTTCCCGTAGTTGGCTTTGCAGCTGTCCAGGATATCGTTTCTCCCACCTTCCTGACCATTCTGGAGCAGGACATCGCCGAGTTCTCGCCCTACGTGTTCCAGCTGCTAGCGCTGATTCTGGAACTGTCTCCTTCCATCGACTCTCTGCCCCCTGCCTTCCAACAATTGGCTCGAACTTTGGTTGTGGCTCAGCTGTGGGAGTCTCGAGGAAACGTTCCTGCTCTGGCGCGTCTCCTGAAGGCAATCATCTCCAAGAACGGCTCTATTTATGAGGAAAACTTGCTTGCTCTGTTGGGTGTTTTCCAGAAACTCATCTCGTCACGGGTCAACGACGAGTTTGGCTTCGACCTTCTCCAAGCCATCATGCTGCACATTTCCCCCCAGGTTTTGCAACCCCATCTTAAGGATATTGCTGTCATTCTGCTGATGCGACTGCAGGGTTCTCGAACCGAAAAATTTGTGAACCGGTTCGCCTACTTTGTGGTCTTCCTTGCTGCCACTGCTCCCACTCCCTCTTTCCCTATCACCTTTATTGATCAGGCTGAGAAGGGCGTGTTTGGCACAATCTGGGGCCAATTTTTGGTCAACGCTGTTCCCAACGTTCAGGGTCCTCTTCAGCGAAAGACCGCCGCCATCGGTTGCACCAAGCTGCTGACTGGCACACCTGAGTTCCTCGGAGGCGAATACTCGTCTCTGTGGCCCACCACTCTGGAGAAGCTGGTGCAGCTGCTCAACTCTGAGATCTCCAAGAGCACCGAGGAGGTTTCTCCGGAGGTTGATCTGGACTCGCTGTCATTCGGCTCTTCTTTCAACAAGCTGTCTACATGCACCCCCAAGCCTACTGATCCTCTGCCTGATATTCGGGATGCCAAGCAGTTCTTCGTTCAGCAGTTGCAGGCCGCCAACAACCAGACTAACGGCCAGGTGAACCAGCTGATTGGAAACAGCAGTGAGGCTGTTAAGACTGCTCTGCGAGACTTTGGATATGCTTAACCAGGCCGTCTACTTCCTCGTTGTCATATAGTAATCATGTCACTATAGAGACATGTATAATAAATACCCCTCTTGGCTATCAACCAAGACTTTCGTTATGTGATGAATACTTCGGTATCGGAACTAGTTTACAGTTTGTAGAAGCATGTGTCGCCTTAAAGACCGTCTCTTATCCTCCGGTCGATCTCGAACAGCACTGCTATAAGATTCTGAGTCACTTGATCCACTGACACACTGGAAGAGCTGCTTAGTTAAATCAAGTGGTGGAAACCTAGGTCTTTGAGCTTTGGGCGTTCTTGTCATCATAGGCTGTCCACTCGAACGAGGAACATTTCTCTTAGTACAACTGTATTGTACTGGAAAAATCCACACGGTTAGGCCGTGGTTCATGGTATATGAAACCTGTAAAGCCGTCCAAAGAGTGGTATTCATCTGATTCTGAATTGTTGTTGGCTTGATATCTAGGTGTCCGGTCAAATTTGACTTCCAACACTTCAGCAAATATGACATCCAGTTCATCTTCTTCAGGTCCCCACTGTCAATATTTCCTACAGTAATGAAGAAATGGCTTCCTGTGATTGGTCCTGTGTCATAATATAAGGAGTAGGCAGAGGCTTAGATGTGAGTTTCTCCTTCAGTAGTCTTCTTTCAATAGGAAGCAGAGTCGAAATGATGAAAACACCTGGGATCTTGGCACGTTTGCCGTTGTCTTTTTGTTCTCTTGAGTGTATCTGACTAGCATTGAATGTAGGAGGTGTCTTCATGTCGGAGCTGTTGTTTCAGTCTGTCTGACACCCTCAAGAGACCAATCTCGTACAGTATGTACATACTGTAGTATACAAATCTGTCATAGGCCTCCTTGAGACTCATCTCAGCACTGACAGCAAGTGGGGCAGGAGTTTTCGCCATAGGAACTGCTCTAGGATCATCCTTCCAGTAGTCAATCAGACTAACGACGTATTTGTGGTAATCACTTCTTCGGCTTTTCTTCAATTGCCCCCAGGTTTTGTCTGGGGCAATGCTTGCCGAAGACCTGTTTGGGAATTGTAGAACATGACGCCCGACTTCGCTCGGTTGAAGTAGAGCATTTAGTTCCCTTTATTGCATCCCTTCATCTTTTTGAACCCCCTCAAGACCACCACATTGCCAACTTTGAGAAGTGGATTCGGAGGCCATTGGTCCGAGAAGTGGACGACGACCACGGCTTCCATACCTGACAGTTGACGAGACCCAAAGTCGGTCAAGGTGAAGAGCATACCATCACCGACGACAAATATACGCGCAATAATGAGGTCTGTGAAGGATGTTCCCACACTAGGGAAACATCTTCACCGGAGTCCAATCTGGAGGTGACATGGTGATAAGAACGAGTAGCTTGGAACGCGTCTAGAAGCGTTCCGATGAGGATGATTAGTGATAAACACGTGGGGAGGTACCGTGATATTTGGGGCCGAGAATAGAAACCAAAATCCTTCAATGAAACCCGAATACTCGATAACTCAGAGTACAATCAATGGCGACTGTCGCGTGGTTGAGAGTGAAGTGCATGGGAGCTGTGGGCTCTATGCAGTAAGAATTTCCACATCCAGGTTCGATAAGGAGGCGTGAGAAAGGAATATATTTGGGTGTTTTGTGACAGGAGACGATGGTTAAAGAAGTGAGACTATAGTTCGCAACCATATAAATCGATGGTGACGATTTGATGTCTACCAATCTGCGTTTGATTCGGCGTTGTGTCATCTCGAATTTACTCGACCTTAGTTGAGTTGACGAAGTATTGTTAGCAGTTATTGTTAAGACTTCACGCGATTCACAACACGACATTCTGTTGTGGACAGCAACGTCTTAATATACAGCAGTGTATGAAAAACTCTCCTATTACAACATACAGTACATACTATGCCTCTTTCTACGAATCTCAATGCTTCCGTTGCTCGCTCTATGAGCAGTACTGTACTCAATATGTTAATCTATCTGGTTGTGACGCCATTACATCACTGTGTTCGTTTGCTCGTCTATTGAACGAGCTGTGCGTTTTGTGAGCCCATATTTCTAATTTCTTAGGAGGCAATTCGTGCCGGGCTTCTCGTACCATCCGCCTTCAATCAGGTCAGTCTCTAGAGAGGCCCAGTAGTCTCGCTTCTCAGAAACAGACTTGAGATCAGCATCGACAATCTTTCCATTAACAGAGTCGCCCTGAACGTGCACAAATAGTGACACGTCTCGCATGGTCATAGCTGTGACAAACTGAGGAGGCACCTGGACGTAATTTGCGTAACCCAGAATACCCAACTCGTCTCCATGCTGCATGTGTCTGATCTCGGCGAACAGCTCTGAATTCGAGAAGAACTTGGCAAGAGGCTCGAACTGCTTTTGTGTGCCGGGGAACACGTCCTCTAGAGCTTGCAGCGATGTCTGTTCGTCTTCGTTGAAAAGCTTGAGAGGGCAGATTCGAGGCTTCTCTCGCTTGAGCTGTAACGCGCAGGTTCGGCAGTTGATGCTGTCCTTGGGTGCTGTTGGGCTCTGAAGCAGCCACTTGGGCTTCAATTCGACCGTATATGACTCCCAGTTGTCGCTGTAGTTGATTTTGACTGCGTGGGACTTGAGCACGTTGGTTTCATTTGGTTTAGGCCCCAGGTTCTCCATGAGCAGACCCAGGGGCTCTCCGAGATCGAGATTCTCGGCCTCGGGAAGCGACTCGAGGAACCCCAGAGGCAGATTCACAACTGTATAGTGAAACAGAAAGGGGCCAATGGCCGGTCGGATTGTTCCAGTTAGATACTCGTCCACCTCGGCTGTGGAAGGGGCGTTTCGGTTTCGTCGCAGTCGCAGAAGCAGATCGGTCTCATCGCTCTTGTAAACCACGTTGGCGTTACCTGCCGTTAACAGGGTCCATTTGTAGGGAGGCAGCGGTGTCGGTAGCGAAGACATGATGGTAGTTGAATCATGAGAGTGGATTTCTGAACGCTATAGAGTTGTATATGAGGGATCTGGTTAAGGTTGATAGAGAAGAGCCAGAAGTTTAACACGTGTTGGGGGAGAGAAGGGGTGACGAAAAAAGGGGTGGGGAAGGGAGGTTTTGGTGGCGTGAAAAATGGAATCAATATAAGTCGAGATTTGGAATTAAATGCATATTTTAGAATTGTTATACGAATCCCATAACCCCCCACTACCGTGACCCCTCTAGTACAGTATTATTCACAGTTGACGTGTACATGCACAAGTACAATCAAGTACTCCATGCATTGTCAAAACTATAAATAAATGTATAATGAAAAACATGTTCGAGTTTGGAAGCAGTCGGGTGCAACGATGACTAATTTGTGTTGTTTGGGGCAGTTCTAGTAGCAGAAGTGCCTGTAATCTGTTTCGCTTCCCCCACAAGTATCTATGATTGTCCCCTTACTCTGTTTTTGGCCCCTATTTGCCACTCTCCAGACCTTTGACAAACTCACATGTACAATGATGTCAACCTAACGACGTCTGGGCTTTACATCTGATACATTTCATTTGAATAATGAGAGTTTTAAAAGTTTTAGACAATCAGTGAAAAAATAAACGAGTAAAACTTTCGGGAGAAACGCCTCTGGATGATTTTGGAACCCATCTGGCGAGCTTTTAACAGCGTGGAAATACGGTCGGATCGTCTCACGTGATAAACGATAGAGATGCATGGAAGTGTCCGCGTACTATAGTTCAAGTTATGGCTATAGTGCAAGCTTAGGATGACAAGAACTCCAGAAATGGGCTGAACTCAATAGAAGCATAAAACCGTTTCGAGGACTGGCCTGCGTTTGATTGTATCAGAACAAGCCGCAGATTATTCCAGGGATGAGAAGAAGAGGTATCAGAAGAGCTACAAGACAAGGACAGCTCGAGTAGAATCAGGTGATCAGGGGCTTTCTGCTAGTACCCTAAATAATGTACTTCTTCTCATGAGGGGATGTTGGTAAGTAAATGATATTGCTTGAGGATAACTGATACCGAATGAGTACAGCAGTCTAGTAGTGAAGGAGTTATGGAACTCTTCTATATTTTTTACAATAGCTGTACACAAGTACTATTTACTTGTACTTGTAATTACAGTGATCTAGATCACAAAACGGCACCCTCCTTTAAATGTGATGTTTGCGGGAATTGAACCTAGGATGTTATAACATTCGGTTAAGTAATTAATTAACTTAAGGTCAACGAGTCATCGGCCATTACTTTAGGAACTATTTCCTCTCCAACACCATGATTTGATATCAGTCCGAAGTTTTGAAAAGATTTTATGGCATTATAACACCCTCTTTTATAATCCACATACTTTTTTTTTACAATTACTAGTCAGAATTGCCACAATAATCAGGCTCCTCTAATGGCCACCTATCTACTACTAAACCTTAATCCTTGCCAACCTTACCCACCAACATCACCATTGCCACCCACACTGCACAATCAATCACACGACATCACAATTGCGACAATGGAAATAGACAACGACGTGCCCACTATCCTGGCTACTCTCCGAATGGAGGCCGATCCCGAGCTGGCCGCAACTTTCTACTCGTTGGAAGATCTGTGGGAGCGAAAGCTGTGGCACCAGCTGACAGATGCGCTGGCCGAGCTGTACGCAGACCCCCGATCCAAGCCTCTGCGACTGCGAATCTTCACGCAATTCATCCAGGTTTTTGAGCGCAACTTGAACCAGCTGAAACTGGTCATTTTCGGAGTGCTGGCAGCTGCCCAGTGCAATAACGACGAGGAGACCTTGGGCTTCCTCACCAGCCTCGCAGATAAGGTCAGCCACAAGCCCGACACCCAGGATGCGTACGTGTACGCCCAGATTGAGATTGCACGAGTCAAGCTGCGTCTCAAGGACATGGATGGCGCTCGAGAGGTGCTCAACTCCGTCACCGGCACCATCGACTCTCTGAACTCTGTCGATCCCATCATTACCGCCGCCTACTACGGCGTCAACGCCGACTACTATCTTTCCAAGGGCGACTTCAACACCTACTACCGTAACGCTCTATTGTACCTGGCGTGCATCGATCTGTCTACTTTGTCGGTGGAGGCCGTCCAGAAGCGAGCCCATGAACTGTCTGTGGCAGCCCTGTTGGGAGAGAAGATTCACAACTTTGGAGAGCTGTTGCTGCATCCCGTACTGGACAGTCTGAAGAACACAGAGTACGCTTGGTTGCGAGACCTGCTGTTCGCACTGAACCAGGGCGACATCTCCGAGTTTGAGAAGCTCACATCGCAGCATGTTTCCAAGCTGCCTCCTCTCGAGGCCGCCATGCCTCTGCTGCGACAAAAGATCTGTCTGACAGCACTGACAGAGGCTGCCTTTAAGCGACCCACCAACGACCGAACTCTGACCTTTGCCGCAGTGGCAAAGGAGACTCAGCTGCCCGCAGACGAGATTGAGCATCTGGTCATGAAGGCGCTGTCGTTGGAGCTCATCAAGGGCCACATTGACCAGGTTGCTCAGACCATCACTATCACATGGCTGCAGCCCCGAGTGCTCAACAAGCAGCAGATTGCCGACATGAAGCAGAGACTCGACCAGTGGGACGCCAACGTCAAGCAGTTGGGTGGATGGATTCACGACCGAGGTGAGGGTGTTTGGCTGGAGGCTTAGGCACAGGTGACTTATAGCATGTATGAATAGATGTATGATCATGACACGTGTAATCAGCGGAGTATCTGCCTGGTGGGCTCTACTATCTCTAGCAGCTACAATGTAGTATCTCCTGCGTGTGGCGGTCACTCTATAATACCAATATAATGATTCGATCAATAATAAATATACATAAATAATCTACTCGACGGACTTGTCGCTCTGAGCGGGGTCCGTCTGGTTCATCTTTGTTAGCTGAGGAACTCCCTCAACCTCCATACCCTCGAGCTCCAAGTTGCTCTGAGGTCCTTCAAACCACTTGTGGGCCCATCCAAAGTAGTAGATGAGCGAGCCAGCCCACACGGCCACGTTAATGACACAGGTGTAGTTCATGTTGTCCTTGTTGGGGTTGGGTCCCTCCAGAGGGAACATCAGCAGACAGATGGCAAAACACAGGTAAAGCACAGCAAAAGTCGAAACACACTTGGAGATCACACGACCAAGGTAGAAGGGTCCAGGCACGAAGTTCTTGTAACCCCAGATGAGTCTGCAGGCGATAGGAGTCATCCATGCCAGGTCGTTAGAAGCAGCAGCCAGAGAGAAGAGGGCAGCAGCAGCGGCTGCGTCGATCATACAGAGACATCCAATGACCAGCCCGAGTGTGCAGTTGCCCCAGACGGCTCGCACGGGGATTGAGACCTTGTGGTTGACGACCTTGAAGAAGTTGGAGAAAGGAAGGGCTCCGTCTCGAGCAAAGGCCCACGACTGTCGCGAGGCTGCCACAACGATAGACAGCCCCATGGTCCACTGGAGCACGAAGATGATGACCATGAGAGCGAGGGTCCACTTCTTTCCGAGACAGTCGTAAATTAGCTGTGCCATCGGCTGCTGGAAGGGGGTAGAGAGGATTCGTTCAGTGTCGGGAGCCATCACGCAAGCCAGAACGATGTTGATGACGAATCCGAGAACCCAGCACATTCCAATCGAAGAGATGATACCGAAGGGCACGGCTTTGGTTGCGTTGGAGGCCTCCTCGGCCATGTGGACACACGAGTCGAACGAACCAATAGTCCAGATCGGGGCTAGCCAGCCCAGGAAGAAAGTCCATCCAGTAGGCCAGGTGGTGAGGTTTTCGAGCTTGCCGAAAATGTAGGCTCCGTCATGTAGGTTGTGTCGTGCACCAATAGGCAGAGCAATGATGGCAATGATAATGATGGCAATGTTAAGAACAATGCAGCCAGTCTGGAGTTTGGACATTCCATCAGACGCAAGAGACGCAACGATAGCGTGAGAAATGATGCAGGCAGCAAACACGCCGTAAACCGTGTACTTTGTTGCGACGTATTCTCCATCCGTAGCTACTCCTGCCACAGCTAGTACCAGCTGGGCGAATCCGTAGTCGATACTGACAATACCAGCTGTCAGACCGAGAGTGTTGGAGTAACCGACCAGAAAACACAAGGGACGCTTGAGCTTTGGGGTAGCAAAGTGGTAGGTCCACCAGTAGAGTCCTCCAGATGTGGGCAATGAGGAGCCAAGTTCGGCCATAGACAGCCCGACCATCATGATGCAAAAAGAAGCCACAAACCAGCCCCACACCATCCCTGCTGGTCCTGAGGGCATGGAATAGACCAGAGCCGAGGAAATGGAGGGAAACAAACCCATGATACTGAAAGCGATGCCAAAAACTTGGATCATAGAGTAGTTTCGTTTGAGCTCGGGCTTGTAACCCATCGTGGCCAGCACGTTGGCGTCTCCACTGGGAGGGTTTTGTCCATATCCTTCTTCGATTTTGTCGTCCATTAGAATGATGCTAGGAGTCTATGAGACCGGCGGACGCCCCAGGGCATATATAAACCGATCCGGGGGCGTTTCCAATTGCCCGGGACTGTTTAACTTCGGTCGATATCGGCTACTGGTCGGGTATGATAGCGTTTGTTCTTTGTATCTCCAGAACCTACACACCCTGGTTAGCAACTGTATGTGACCCGAGGGGAATGTGGGGTATGCGTGTGACGTGTTTCGTGAAGTACAATACCATTGTGATGATTTGTTGTTTCCTTGTTTGTATATGTGGTGGTAGGCCCTGTTAGTTATGTTGACAATATCGTCTTTTTCCCACTTGTCATAAAGTCGATCTATGGTGCATACTTTTTTTCATATCTTGTTTGCCAAGGCTTGGCGACTGACTTTCAGACTGTTATCATATCAGGCGAGCTCAGACGCAGTAGACTTCGTGGGGTAATATGGAAACGGCATTTTTTGACGCCGGGCCCCTTGATAGAGTGCGCGTGAGCCAATAACGTGCCTTTGTTGCTGTGTCGAAGGCGTGATCCAAACACAATGCTAAGCATAGTTCAACTTTGATAAGCCCGGTGGTTTTTGCGAGGTGAGTTTGGGATTTGAGGTGGTCTGAGAACACCGATTTTTTTATTGTAGAGTATATAAATGTGACTGCTTCTATTGGACGTCACTTTATTACGTCTTTTACACCTTGCTATCTGCTTCAAATGACGTCTTCGTTGGCTGTTCGTATGCGACCAACTCGAGATGAGGTCAGGTGTGCTTACTCCCAGCCCTGCAAGCTTATTTCAGCTCTGATCGAGAGACACCAAGACACTTTCACTTGAAGGAAGAATTTGTCAGCAGTTGTGTGTATTCGTACCAGGGGCACATCAGTTACGAGTGTGCAAGAATGACGCTGTGAGAAGAAGAGTGTCTCAAGTGTGACGTGCAGGGCAAGATCTCACCATTACAAGTGCGTTCCTGAAACACCGATCCAAAAAAACTGAGATACAATGTTGTATCTATTCGCATACACTTTAAACGTCAGCGTCTTATCTACAGTATATGAACTCTCGCATAATAGACGTTAATGATCCAAATAAAACAAATGTCTATCATAGTTGAGGTCTGTGACTGGCCATCTAAGAACAGATGGAGGAATTAGCACGCATAAGGTGATACCTAGTAGTACTAAACTGTAGGAGTTACGGTTCCGACAGCAAGTCGAGATACGACATACAACGTCATCTCTTCTTCAACACTCCAGTCTAACCAACACACCAGGCCCACCATCGATCTTACATGTACAGTAGTACATACAGTAGCTCCCTTGTTGGCGGCTAGACAAGTCCTTGTCAAAACGCCTTAAACCCAGACTCCCGAACCCAGGCAGAAGACATACATCACAAAAAAGATACCACAAGAACGCAGTAAAAAAGGTCGTACCCGGAATCGAACCGGGGTTACTGGAAATCGAAGTAGGTGCTTCAGAATCCAAGGTGATAACCGCTACACTATACAACCTGGATTTGAGTTTTTGAAAAACGTGGTCTCCACTCTGTTACATCTGCTTAGTAATCCACTGCATTAGAATAAAAAAATGCATGTTTTTGCCACGGAAGCCTTTGGGGTGCCTTTATAAATGTATATCTAGGTGTTGGGAGTAGCACGAAGTACTTGATTAAACACGTATGCAAGTTTTATGTGTCGCTGAGTTATTCAAGAGGTATTGTGATTGATGAAACAGTTCCGCTACAGCACTATGCATAATGCAGGCTTATATAATCAATATTTATTGGTCCATCGAACGTCTGAATTAACTGTTGAGCATCTCTGTTCTTCTGAGTGGCTTGTGTCAGTTTCATTTATGTTATGTTGGTATCCCATGAGTACATACTGTAGTTAGGCTTGAAAGAGTAGAGACACGTTAACTTGGCCAAATACTTTTATCCCATCTTTATGATATAATAAATCCAAGTGTTCCTTGTCACTTCCCTTATATACATAGTCTTCAGGGGAGTACTGGTGCTGGTACGGTTTCCACCTCGTGTTTTGAAGATCGAGGGTAAAACGAACAAGTAAAAAGACGTTAGATGTTAATCCGAGGAGACTTGAGATTCGTGCAAGTCTCGCTCGTTATTTCAGATTTTGTTTCTATGGTGGTGGTCTTCTACAAGTAGCCTTGTGCCTGTCACGCGGCATTTCGGCGATATCCGATTTGAGAATCGTTCAATGAAAAGGAGGCGTGTGTACAGGTATGTGAACTTTTTATTTCAGGCTTTAAGGGCGCTGTAGAAGTCTGTTCTGATCTAGAGAAGCTGATTGTTGTATCTGGCGGGGTCGCTTCAGTGTCTTGATACACCCGAGACAACGTGAAGTATGTACATACAAGTACAAGTAAGAGATTTAAAGGGAGGGGGGGAGTGTATCGTACTTGTATTTAAACAAGTACCCTTGTACTTGCACCAATTGGGTCCTTTTCAGAGTCGGGTTCAAAATTTTCGCGAACTTGTTCACTTGTGACTCCTTCCAACCTGTCCTGGCGTACTTGTAGTTGTATGAGTATACTCTGCCAATTCCCAGTGTGCAAGATGGAGGACTAAAACGGTCGCAAGGGACAAAGAAAAGCTTGATAAAGCGACAAAACACAAAGAAGCTATTATTCATCAGATTGAATTCCAACCCTCAGTGTCCCGGTCTTGAGTCTCGTTTCAGGTGGCCATCGGCCTTCTCCGAAACCTACCTAGGGGTGGGTTCATTGGTGAAATATGAGAGTGGGGTTCGGTAGGCATGACGGTATATGACCCAACAAAACCTATATACCCAGGTGTTCTCGTTTGACAACAATAAACTGTTCTGAGACCATACTGCTACAAGTACACACATCTAGACTTTCAGTCAATATACATAGAGCCAATATAAGGTTCCCGGTAATCAGATCGCGAGATGAGAACTCAGAGACATCTCAACTGCTGAGGGACCCAACAACCCGGTCCACTTGATGGTTTCTACCACAAAAAGATTGACTTGTTCTACCTACAGTACTGTACTGAAATATTGCAGCAACTTGCACCAAATCCGATCGCGCAGTGCACATTTTGCTGCTGCACCAATTGTCCGAACATACGGCCCGTTGGACTGGCACGCGGACTCAGCAGCTAATGCTTTGGAAAAGCTGAGTGGGCCGCTGGGCCGCTGTGGAAATGGAAGTTTACCGTACAGGACGATGCAGAATCATGCATCGTGCCACTAGTTTGCCACACTCTTGCGCATGCTGATTGTTGCGCCTTCCGTTCTCCCCCGTCTGTGATTGGTACGAACCCTGATCTGATCAGAGTTCCGACTTCGGGGTATGAGATGGTGTTTGTAGATGAGGGGATGACGAATGAGGAGCGACAACGGAAGTGTGAGCAACAAGATAAACGGGCCCAGCAGAAACCACATATGCATCGCTTCTCAATTATTGCTACAAAAATGCACATTTGAAATGCACCCTGTGACCCACCATGTATATGTTTGGTGTAATTAGTCTACATGTTCTGCAACAGAAGTTGCAACGGCCCGTTGGGCTCCGACGGATTAAAAAAAAGACCCTACAGGTGTTTGCAGGAGTAGCGAATGTGACTGTTGAAGTGGTGTAGTACGAAATGGCTACTGTTGTCGGGTTATCAGCCAAAGACGCCCTGGCAAACTGCGTCTATCTTCTTACAATCAGCTCTCTTGTCTTCCTTTCCCCTCCTCTATCTCATCTTCTTCCTGCTGCGTCTTTGGAGTGAGATTGTGCGGTCCGAAGCTCACTGTCCTACGATACAAGGTTGAGGCGCAGGTGGAGATACGACTGAACCAGTATCAGTGTGTGGAATGAGGATGGAACCGGCACGAAATAGAAGGATCTGGAGGCCATGATTGGATTGTTGATCAGTGGACCTAGTATTTCCCACCAATCCCTGGATACACTTGTAAATACCCACCCACTCACCGCACTTACTGTACCACATTAACTCCCGCATTAGCACCCAGTTCAAAAAAAACTAGAATGCATGGATGTGATCTGATCGGAGGAAACAAAATGAGCTGTATTCAACTATAGTTGCAATTCAGCTCGCAGTACGAAGTAGCACAGATCGCTTCCGTGTACTGTCATTCTATGGACTCCATTCTCTACCCTCAATGTCCATCTCTCCACACCTCGCATCCACCTATCTCTTCATTTCGTCACCACCGGAAAAGCCGACTTTGGTCTCCTTGACCAGTGTATACAGACAGAGATGGCCCTTGTTACCCAGAGATAAGACTAGGACCAGGAGCTCCCATTGGCTTAACCCTAAATACGGTTTCATTAATTTTTCACACACAAAGGCGCTCCATACCTGCAATCACGGCTTATCGCAGAGTCTAATACGTGACACCCGGCCTACGGGCGCCACGGGCTCCTGACCGGCCAACTCAGCTATCATCCATTAGAGTTGCGATGATACGAGTATATAGAGACGCGTGGCCGCACCAAGAGGACAACTAAAGTCATACAAACTACACCTAATCAATATCACAATGTGCAAATCAATCGGCTGGACTATTGCCGAATGGAAGGAGGCACAGACCAACTCGTCTTACGAGGAGGCCCGACATCGACTGTTGGACCTCGTGGCCACCTTCAAGGACTACAAGCATGGTGATCCGGCTTGGATCACTGTCGCCTCAACAGAGCATATCAACAAGCAATGGAAGGAGCTTCAGTTGATGAAGAAGAACCCAGAGGTGAGTAAAGAAGATAACGTGCAAAGTGTGTCAGCAAAGTGAGGCTCAGAATACAATCAACAGGATGATTCGTTGCAAGACTCGATAATCAAATCATGATCTGCTTGAGTGATCTGATCCATCAATTGGAATTCAGATCAGTTCAGATCAGTTCAGATCAGATCAGGATCATTGAGTTGGTTGGAAGAAACCATGCGAGTACCAATAGCCATTCCCTTTCCAACACGCCACTCAGTTTACGTTCTTGAACTAACCCAGTCCCTTCCCCTTTACGGAGTTCCTTTCGCTGTAAAGGACAACATTGATGTCATCGACTTTCCCACAACCGCTGCATGCCCCGCCTATCTCTACATCCCCAAGGAAGACGCCACCATGGTCCGTCTGATCAAAGAGGCTGGAGGTATCGTTGTCGGCAAAACCAACCTCGATCAGTTCGCTACTGGTCTGGTCGGAACCCGATCTCCTTACGGAAAGACTCCCAACACCTTCTCCGACAAGCACGTATCTGGAGGTTCGTCTGCTGGCTCTGCTTCCGTAGTCGCCCGAGGCCTGGTTCCCTTTTCTCTTGGAACAGATACTGCAGGCTCAGGTCGGGTTCCCGCCTCTCTCAACAACCTGGTAGGCCTAAAGCCAACCGTTGGCGCATTTTCAGCCAAGGGTGTGGTACCCGCCTGCAAGTCGCTTGATTGCGTCTCCATTTTCTCGCTGGTCCTGTCTGACGCTCAGCTGGTGTTCAACATTGCCGCCCACTTTGACAAGGACGATTGCTACTCGCGACGTTTCCCCCAGCGACCTCTCAAGTCGTTTGGCCCCACTCCAGTATTTGCCGTCCCCGAAACCCCTCTGTGGTTTGGAGATGAGCTCAACCCTGCTCTCTTCGACGACGCCGTTGAGCGTTTGCGACAACAGGGCGTAAAGGTCGTCAAGATTGACTTCACTCCTCTGTTCGACCTCGCCAAGTGCCTCTACGAAGGTCCCTGGGTGGCTGAGCGATACGCTGCCATCAAGGACTTTGTGCAGAACCGAAAGGAAGACATGGACGAAACTGTGTATGGCATTGTCAAGCAGGCTGAGAACTTCACTGCTGCAGACGCCTTTGCCTACGAGTACAAACGACGAGCCATTGTGCGAAAGATTGAGGAGATCTTCTCTTCCATTGACGGTCTGATCGTGCCCACATGTCCTCTATTCCCCACCATGGAGTCTGTGGCTAAGGAGCCTGTCACTGTCAATGCCCACCAGGGTACCTACACCAACTTTGTCAACCTCGCTGATCTCTCTGCTCTAGCTATCCCTGTCGGATTCCGAAAGGACGGTTTCCCCTTTGGAATCACTCTCATCTCTCAAAAGTTCAACGACTACGCTCTGCTGGACATGGCTCAGAAGTTCCTGCCTGCTTCTCGACCTCTGGGTGCTCTGCCAAAGGACAAGTTCACCGCCAAGAAGGGAGATCTTCTTGCCTCTTCTATCGTCGACAACATGCCTCGAACCATCCCTCTGGCTGTTGTAGGAGCCCATCTCACCGGCATGCCTCTCAACTGGCAGCTTCAAAAGGTCGAGGCTACTCTTGCCCGACGAACCAAAACTGCCGACTACTACCGACTCTACGCTCTGGCGAACACCGTGCCTACAAAGCCTGGTCTCCGACGGGTTCTTCCCTCTGACACTACTCTCCGAGGCGAGGCTATTGAGGTTGAAATCTGGGACGTGCCTTACAGAAACTTTGGAGAGTTCGTATCAATGGTCCCTCATCCTCTTGGTATCGGAACCATTGAGCTTGCCGACGGAAAATGGGTCAAGGGTTTCATTTGCGAGCAGCTGGGATACGACGACGCTGAGGACATCACCAAGTTTGGCGGCTGGAGAGCGTACAAGGCTGAGACTACCCAGAACCTGGAGTCCAAGCCTTTCGAGACTGTTCTGGTCGCCAACCGAGGTGAGATTGCCGTTCGACTCATCAAAACTCTTCGAAAGATGGATATTCGAGCTGTGGCTGTCTTCTCCGAGCCTGATCGGTTCGCTCAACATGTTCTTGATGCTGATGACTCTGTGTCTCTGGAAGGTACCACTGCCGCCGAGACTTACTTGTCCATCCCCAAGATTATCGCTGCTTGCAAGAAGACTGGAGCCCAAGCCATTCTTCCTGGCTACGGTTTCCTGTCTGAGAATGCTGACTTCTCCGACGCCTGTGCCGAGGCTGGTATCGTATTCATTGGCCCCACTGGTGACTCCATTCGAAAGCTCGGTCTCAAGCACTCTGCACGAGAGATTGCTCTTGCTTCTGACGTGCCTCTTGTGCCCGGTACAGGCCTGATCGAGACTGTTTCCGAGGCCTCCGAGGCTGCCGAGAAGCTCGAGTACCCCCTGATGATCAAGAGTACCGCTGGTGGAGGTGGTATTGGTCTTCAGAAGGTCGACAAACCCGAGGATCTCAAGCGGGCTTTTGAGACCGTCAAGCACCAAGGTAAGTCTTTCTTTGGAGACGATGGTGTCTTCATGGAGCGATTTGTCGAGAATGCTCGACACGTGGAGGTTCAGATTCTTGGTGACGGCAAGGGCAACGCTCTCGCTATTGGCGAGCGAGACTGTTCTCTTCAGCGACGAAACCAGAAGGTCGTCGAAGAGACTCCTGCCCCCAACTTCCCTGCTGAGACTCGAACTCGAATGATGAAGGCGTCCGAAATGCTGGCAAAGAACCTCAACTATCGAGGTGCCGGCACTGTGGAGTTCATTTTCGATGAGAAGCGAAACGAGTTCTACTTCCTTGAGGTTAACGCTCGTCTGCAGGTCGAGCATCCCATCACTGAGTCCGTCACTGGACTGGATCTTGTCGAGTGGATGATTCTCATTGGAGCTGGCAAGGCCCCAGACTTCGAGGCCCAGCGTGCCAAGACCCCCCAGGGTGCTTCTATCGAGGCCCGTCTGTACGCCGAGAACCCCGTCAAGGACTTTGTGCCTTCTCCCGGTCAGCTCACCGACGTGCAGTTCCCTAGTGATGCTCGAGTCGACACCTGGGTCAGCCGTGGAACCAAGATCTCAGCAGAGTACGATCCCACTCTTGCCAAGATTATTGTTCACGGCTCTGACCGAGCTGACGCCCTGCGAAAGCTCCAGAGAGCTCTGGACGAGACAGTGGTTGCCGGCGTGACCACCAACCTGGACTACCTTAAGTCCATTGTCGGATCTCAGATGTTTGCCGAGGCCAAGGTGTCCACCCGAGTACTGGACTCTTACAACTACACTCCCAATGCCATTGAGATCACTTCCCCCGGCTCCTACACCACTATTCAGGATTACCCCGGTCGAACCAAGCTGTGGCATATTGGTGTTCCTCCTTCTGGACCCATGGATGCCTACGCCTTCCGGGTGGCCAACCAGATTGTGGGCAACCACCCCAAGGCTCCTGCTATCGAAGCTACACTTGTGGGCCCCTCAATTATGTTCCACAGCGACACTGTGATTGCCATCACCGGTGGATCTGCTGAGGCCACTCTTAATGGTGAGCCCATCGAGTTCTGGAAGCCTGTGACTGTCAAGGCTGGCCAGACTCTCGCAACTGGCCGTCTCACTTCTGGCTGCAGATTGTACATTGCGATTCGAAACGGTCTGTCTATTCCAGAGTACCTTGGTTCTCGATCCACCTTCGCTCTCGGTAACCTTGGAGGCTTCAACGGTCGAACTCTCAAGTTTGGCGATGTCATTTTCATGGGCGAGCCCGAGCTTCCCTCCTGCTCCATTCCTGCTCCCATCTCCGAGCATGCTCCTGCCTCTGATGACATGATCCCCAAGTATGGCAACGCCTGGACTGTTGGAGTCACTTGCGGCCCTCACGGCTCGCCAGACTTTTTTGCTCACGGCTGGATGGATACCTTCTTCGATGCCAAGTGGAAGATCCATTACAACTCCAACCGATTTGGTGTTCGTCTGATTGGCCCCAAGCCCGAGTGGGCTCGAAAGGATGGAGGAGAGGCTGGTCTGCATCCTTCCAACCAGCACGACTATGTCTACTCTCTGGGTGCCATCAATTTCACCGGTGATGAGCCTGTCATTCTGACCTGCGATGGTCCTTCTCTCGGTGGCTTTGTCTGTGCTGCTGTTGTTGTAGAGGCCGAGCTGTGGAAGATTGGCCAGGTCAAGCCCGGAGACACTGTGCAGTTTGTGCCCATGACTATTGACTCTGCTCGACAGCTCAAGAAGGCCCAGGACAGAACCATTACCAACCTGTGCGGTTCCCCGTACGAGTCTGTTGATGCTCTTCTCGCTCTGGAGGATTACGAGAACCCCATCATCTACACCGTCCCTGCCTCTACCTCCACTCCTCGAGTCGTCTACCGACAGGCTGGAGACCGATACATTCTGGTCGAGTACGGTGACAACAACATGGACATTAACCTGTCCTATCGAATCCATCGGCTCATTGAGGAAGCTCAGCAGTCTATCAAGGGCATTGTCGAAATGTCTCGAGGTGTTCGTTCTGTGCTGATCGAGTTCCATCCTTCTGCCTCTCGATCCACTCTCATGCAGGCTTTGGTCGACTTTGAGAAGCGACTTCAGTTTGTCGAGACCTGGCAGGTTCCCTCTCGAATTATTCGACTGCCGATGTGCTTTGAGGACTCCAAGACCCTGGACGCTGTCAAACGGTACCAGGAGACCATTCGGTCAAAGGCTCCCTGGCTTCCCAACAACGTCGACTTCATTCGAGACGTCAACAAGTTCTCCGACCGATCTCAGGTCCGAGACATTGTCTACACTGCCCGATTCCTGGTTCTGGGTCTTGGAGACGTGTTCCTTGGTGCTCCTTGCGCGGTACCTCTTGATCCCCGACACAGACTGCTTGGAACAAAGTACAATCCCTCTCGAACCTACACTCCCAACGGCACTGTCGGAATTGGAGGAATGTACATGTGTATCTACACCATGGAATCTCCTGGAGGCTACCAGTTGGTTGGTCGAACTATCCCCATCTGGGACAAGCTGTCTCTCGGCCAGGACCGACCTTGGCTGCTGTCACCCTTCGACCAGATTGAGTACTACCCCGTCGACGAGGAGGAGCTCAACCACATTACCACCGAGGTGGAGAACGGTCGATATGCTGTGGAGATGGAGCAGTCCGTCTTTGATTATGGCAAGTATTCTGCCTGGCTCAAGGACAACTCTAAGTCCATTGAGGCTCACATTGCTTCTCAGGCAGAGGGTCTGGACGACTTCGCCAACCTGATCAAGGTCGCCAACGAGGATCTGGCCTCTGGAAAGACTGGAGCCACCAAGGAGGAGACTCCTCTGTCGGCCTCTGCCGTCCAGGTCTTCTCCGAGGTCACTGGCCGTTTCTGGAAGGGCCTGGTTGCCGTCGGAGATACTGTTGACAAGGGCCAGGGTATCGTTGTGGTGGAGGCCATGAAGACCGAGATGGTCGTCAACGCCCCTGTTGCTGGAAAGGTTGTCAAGTTGTACAACACCAATGGAGATATGGTGGATACTGGAGATTGTGTGGCTGTCATCGAGCCCATTGTTTAATTATTACTTAATGCATTATATGTATTTGATTTTGTGACATAGACTGTAGTTGTTAGTATGGTATAGATTTAGAAAGGTGTATCGGTACTGTACATACTTTACAGTACAAGTAAAGTACTGTACGAAGTGGATATCGGTAAGTGGCTGCTTCTCGTGGTATCACTCGTCATTGGTATCTCATCCCCGCATATCTCCTTTTGGTGGCAATAGCCACGTCCTTCCACAAATGGGAAAGCTCATCGGCATCCATATCCCAGGAATCATCAATGCCATCTTCATCAGGTGACAGGAATTCCACAAGACAACCAGCGGCAAAAGCTCTCATCACGCTATTTCGAGCCTCAAAGCTCTTCTTCCACAAAGAAACTGCCTGGTCGAAATCCTCGGGAGGGTTGGGCTTGAACCACTGGGACGCAAGATGTACCAGCTCAGGGAGGCAGCACATCTGAGCAAAGACAACGAGCTCACAGGCATCCACAAAAGTCATGTCGAGCTCCTCGCCGTATATATACCGCACCAACACCTCCAATGTAGACGTGGGAATGTCCACTCGCACCTCGTTGGGCACCGCCTCCATCTTCTTCCATTTGAGCAAGGTCTCAAAGTATGAAGAGATACCAATGAGAACAGACGAGTGGATTTTGACGGCATTTCCCTCGTTGCTAATCATGGTAATGTCACCCTCGGATGCATATCTGATTCTTGCAAGGCCTGTCCGATGCACTTCGGTGAAACTTGGCTTGTGGTCAGCATTGAGCAGATTCAACAGCTTGCTTTTGGACCCCACCTCGAACCGATGGTAAGTGCTCATCTGCCAGCAGTCGTCGAGGCTGACCAAGTAGTGGTTCAGTTCGTATCCGTTCTCGCTGTCGTTTCTGAACAGAAACGTGTTCTGGTCAAGAGCGACGCATGCCGGGTGTGCACCATGTTTGACCTTGTAGTTTAAAGGGCAGCTGATGTGTTTGACACCTTCCTTTTCGTTATAGTAAACCAGGTAGGGTTTTCTGAAGCCATCGCCCAACTCTTGGCCAAAAATGAAATGGAATGTTCCGACTTTGTCCAGAGTGCACGAGGTGATATGTCTTTCTTTGACTTCCTTGTCAAAATCGACCTTTGTGCATCCGAGTTGCGCACCCCCGATTCGCCTGATTCGCTTGTATTGGTAGTTCATATTATGGCAGATGCAGTGTCGTGGATGAAAGGTGGAGTGAAAGAATGCACCAACAAACAATGTGGAACAAGTAAACTATTGGTAGAGGTATGTCACGGTATTTAACTAAAATTGGCAACACATGCATCATGTTGCCATGTGACACCAAATGAGGCGAGAGCAGTAAAATGTCTCTAAACAATTTGAACACACACTACTTGTAGCTAGCTACTACAAGTATGTATTGTATCTACACTACAGTATTGTCCTCTACGCCAAATGGGAATTCAAAAATCTTTTCATTTACACGCCCAATGATGCAATCAGTCTGACCTTCTACAGCTTGGACTTCTCTTTCTTCTTCTCACTAGCCATCCATCCGAACTCCAATTTTTGGTCCTTGCCACTTTCGATGATCACATTGATCACACACACTCGGTTGCTCTGAACAGCACTCTTGGTGGCAACTTCCAGCTCCTCAATGTTCTTGACAAAGTAGCCCTTGGCACCCAGACTCTCGGCCAGAACGTCATACCGAGTATCCAGACTGAGAGCAGTGGAGGGGAGAGGCTGGCCGTCAGTGTAACGAGCAGGGTCGACTCCGTGATAGATACCGGAGTTGTTCATGACGTAAATCACCATGGGAAGGTTGTCCCGAACAGCAGTCTCAACTTCAATGGCCGAAAAGCCGAAAGCAGAGTCTCCCTCCACAGCAACCACCAGCGACTTGGGGTCGTAAGCCTTGGCAGCAATGGCATAACCAAGACCAACACCCATAGTAGCGTTGGTTCCGGCATCCAGACGGGTTCGAGGCTCAACGTGACCAAACACAGATCGACTGTTATCCATGGTGTTGGCTCCCTCAGACACAATGACCAGCTTTCGGTCCTTAGCAATCTCGGCAATGGTCTTTTGGATGCTGGCAAACACACCAAAGTACTTGAGAGGAACGGAGTGGTCAGCCTCCTTCTTGGTGGCATTCTGCACGTTTTTCTCTCGCTTGGCAGCAATCTCAGGAGCCAGAGCGGGGGATTTCCAGCCCTTGAGGACATCTTCGAGCTGACCAATGACCAGAGAGGCATCTCCCAGGATACCCAGCTCTGCCTGCCCGGCATTGTTTCCAAGCTCCTCGGCACAAACGTCAATGTGGATGAACTTTGTGTTCTCGCTGTACTTGGGAGCGTCTCCGTAATGTAGGATCCAGTTGAGACGAGTTCCAACAAGAATAACCACATCAGCATTCTTGAGAGCCTGAGATCGACAAGCAGACATGTTGCCCGGGTTGCTGTCGCTAATCACACCCTTGCCCATGGGTGTAGGTAGGAATTGAATGTTGGTGCTCTCCTGGAAGCGTCTGATGGTAGGCTCAGCCTTAGCATAAGCAGCTCCCTTTCCAATGACTAGCAGAGGGAATTTGGAGGCTCGAATAAGAGCAGCAGCCTCAGCGATCTTAGCAGGGTCTCCTGCCGATCGAGGAGCAGGCACGTTGCGGAGTCGTTGCAGTACTCCAAAGCTCACCTGGTCATTGTCCTTAGACTGAATGATATTTGCTGGCAAATCAACGTAAGTTGCACCAGGACGTCCAAAGTAGGCCGTTCGGTACGCTTTTTCCAGGAGGAAGGGCAGAGCGTCGGTCGAAGAAGGTCGGGCAGCAAACTTTGTGTATTCGGTGACAGCAGCCACTTGATCCAGTTCCTGAAAGCCGCCCTTGTGAGTGTTATGGACATCCACACTTCCAGCCAGAAGCAGCAGAGGGAAGCAGTTCGATTGGGCATTGCCAACGCCGGCCAAAGCGTGCAGAACTCCAGGTCCTCCAACTGTAAGACACACGCCAGGCTTGCCAGACAGGTAGCCATAGATGGAGGCTGCGTAGGAGGCACTCTGTTCGTTTCGGAAACCGATGAACTTGATGCCCCGAGCAATGCAGGCGTCAGCAACCTCAATGACGGGGATTCCCACGATTCCAAAGATGTGTTCAACGCCCAGTTGCACCAGTGATTCCGCGATAACTTGCGAGCCGTTCATTGTGTGTTGATTGATTCGGTTGTGAGACTTGCTTGTGTTGTTTGCGTGCGTTAGTGCCGTCAAATTATGTGTCCGCGTCGTTGGAACTTGTGTTGAATGTCAGTGTCTTGTTATAAGCAACTCGTTAGCCACTGGTGGTGTGATGAACTATCCGAGTATAAGTAACGACTCCTATGCACCCCCACGCCCCCACACCAGATGATGCGGATGTATTAAAGTTCTGTGGGGGATAAGAGCCATCCAAGGATGTGGCCATTGAGCACAGTGGAAGGAGGTTTGTTCGGCGATTGAATACGAATCAATAGATTTGACATCTGTGAATCGATTAAATCTTTCAGAGAAAAACTCTGACATCTATAGCAAGAGTTGTTGAAGAAAGGGCATCAGAAATGCGCCGGACATGTCATGGTAGCATGGACATTTGATTTGAAGGTCTATAAAATAGTACACAGGGTATATGTACCAGTATCTAACATTTCCGAAAGATTTTAGCCGAATCGGAGTGAAACCCGCTCGTAATTCACACTCTTATCGTATTCCGATACACTTGGCACATTTTTGAGTTTTCCGAGGTGTGATCTTGTAGAGTTGGTTAGAAGACCTCCCACAACTGAACTTGTTCTGTGGTATCTATAACTGTATATATAACTGCTTTAATCAACTCGTTTCTGTTACCGAACCGCTCCCTTGCACCCAGAATACGGCTACAGACTCGGGAATAATGTCCAACAGATCACGAACACGCCTGTGGCTTGCTGCTAAGGAATCTTGACTTGAGTGTGGCTTGTAGGAGGAAAGTTTTGATACCATTGAGTGAGTCATGGAGTATCGCGGCCAAGGTTGAAGTAGTGGCCACCCGAAGCCGTTATGAAGCTTGTCTTTAGTCTTCCATGTATTTATAGATATCAGACGTGTCATCTCACTCACGGTGGGTCTACGGTACTTGCACCAATACAAACCTGCAATGGTCGTCATGCATCTTGCTTTTTCAAAGAACGTCTCCACAGTACATACTGTACTGTACGGCATGTACGAGTATAGTGTACATACTGGTACTTGTAGCAACTACCGCTTGTGGGATCAGTAGGATCAAACGCGTGCTGCTACTGGTAGATGTTTTTATCGCCTCCATTGCATGTATTTGAGAATGTCAATCTTGCGTTCGGGAAGCTTTGGCGAGATTCTTGACTATCTCAGAAGTCCTTCAGAGTATCAACTAATTTCTAAACTACAGAATGAGTACAGTAACCCCATGATACTTACAAACCCAACTACTGTACCGTAAATGTTTGTAAGTTATTATATAAAAAAAGTACAGCAAAAAGTACCCCAAATCTAAACAGAAGTCAATTCATGGGGATATTTAGGATCCAGAAAGTCAACTTCTGCAACTTTTTAAAACATTCTATAGCATCTGACTCTCCAATCATCATACACGTCTCCTCCCCAACTCATCGCCTCTCAATATCGTGAACTCTAAGTTGTCCCACCACCTTCAAACATCACCAACTCACTAACATCAACTACAGTACTACCAACCACAATTCCATCGACACAATGAAACACCAAATACGCCCATTGCTGGCATTACTGCTAGCTCTGACACTCTATACAACTCTGGCCCTCGCAAATACAGCGCAGGTACGGTTTGTCCCTGAATTGTCGCGCTCACCATTCTCAGACGCGTACTCAAAGGCGTTGAGTCCTAACGAGAACACTCTGACTGTGATTACAACCCCCGACTTTGAGTCTCAGACGCAAACATTCCAATTGAACGGCTTGTCTACCGATGGCACCATGTACGAGGTTAGGGTGTGTTGGCCTGCAAATTACCCCCTGGAATTCGACCTGAAATTCGACTCCAAGACGAACTCTGTGAAGGTGGCGTATTTTTCTGATTACTATAGTAGTGACGACGATCTCAACTACCTGCCTCTTGATGCCGAGTTCCAAGTTGTGCTCAACAAGGTTGTTCTTGGAGCTCTTCCTGAGGATATTTTTGGAGCTGTCATTCTGGCGGTCGTTGGAGGAGGGTTGGCTTATTTTCTGGGTGGAGTCGTTTACAAGGTTGTTTTTGACAGCCATGTGACTACTGAAAAGAAGAACAGATAGGGCTGAGGAGAGACTGTATCACGGTCTGCCATCTTTCACGGCGGTGGGTGACATCCAACATGATTCCAGCCTCTTGCAGACTTCTGAGGCCACTTCCTGAAATGTTCCTTATGGGAAAGATCCTATGAAGGTCGCAAACCACACTTGGTCCGAAAATGGCCGGCCATGCAGCATTCAAAGCTGCATTGCCCACTCCAACAACATAGAATCACAGAACACATGACATTGAGATACAACGGGCTGTGCATACGATGAGTAGATCGCGGTCATTACAGGGCTTTTAATTGGTCTTTTGGGTTATGGTGTCTGTCCTTCTCATCGCATCTCGACCACGATATAAGAATTGTCGTACAGTATCTATTATACCTTGAAGTTTGTTGACCCTTCCGATCGTGAGGGTCTGAGCAGCAACTTCATAATAATTTTACACAGTCGGGACCCAAACCGACTTAGTGGACAGCCAGTCCAAGGTCATATCGCAGGTGTGTGTCCATGCCATCCAAGATCCCGCCAAGGCTCAAAAGTACGGGGGATGCAGATTGTCTTTTTCATCCTCGTCGGACTCCTTGTTCTTGGCCTCGTGTTCATCTTCATTGCCATTTTTGTCGTTAATTATATCGCCGGCATTGCCCTGGTAGTCGTTGGTGGTGTTTGTGTTCTTTTCACCATCGGTTTCTGGATCGGCGTTTCGTGTTCCCATATAAAGAAGAAGACCAAGGTTATAACTGGCAATCAGTGTGTCTAGACCCTGCCTCCTTCTTCAGCCGCATCATTCCTGAGTAATTCTCAACTAATCAATCAACTAGCTTGGCAGTAGGAGTACGTAGCTACGACAAAACTCCACTGTACAGTAGATTCTCGTACTCGACGTCATTGCATGGGAGCACTTTTGTCCCACTTTCAACTTATAACGCCTTTTGGCATGACGAGCTCTTGTTTTTGGCAACCTTGAGAGAGAGAGGGAGGCGGAGCGGGGCTGTGAGAGGGTATCCGCAGTTCTACAGTAAATGGTAGTGGTGAATACGGTCGTATACATTGCGTCGAATGTCCGGTTGTAGCACTGAAGAAATCAAACCGCATTTCATCTTTTGTTTCTCCAAATTGAAATGGGCAGGCGGAGTGGCTGATAAGCAGTGCTAAAGTACTTGTACTTGTTGAAGGCAATCTTTTAATTTGTTAAATTCAAGGTATGTCGGTCAGTTGTCAGTTTTCGAGTCGCACATTCTAACTGGCAGTTTGTTTCCAGCCCTTTCGACCAGTTTCTACGACCAGGGGATACTTTTGTGATTGTGCTACTGAGCTCAGAAATAATTTAGCTACAACGGAAAAAGTCACCCACTCCGTTACTTTCCTCGGTCTCAAGGAAGACTGTCTGCTTAAGACTGAGGAGGTGATGGAGGCTAAGACAGAAATTACCGCAGCTGTTTATCTTGGCTGAGATTTCCAAGACACTTTGGCAATAGTGCAGCTGAGAGATAGATGACTCCACCGTAGTACTGTACCGCTACTATCGGAGTATCGAGACCCCGCGGCAACCAATTCTCAATTCCAATTATCAGCAACGGGAACCGACTTATTATTATTCCCCCTTTCCGAAGTATGATCAACCGGAATCTCAGTCGGAGCATGGTTCACTTGACACAAGATGGACACGGCAGAAGCAAGTGAATTAAATCTTCGATAGATGTGTCATGATGTAACACGATCCATTTATTTTTGAACTATGAAGCTCCATGGTATGTACTGTACAGTACCAACCCAACTCTGTACTCTTTTCACGTATTCTCGCAACAATTCATGTGTTATTGCTGTATTATAGAGTGTCAGTAGCAAGCAGCCCTCATACTTACTTCACCTCTCGATGCATCTCTTGCGTCATCGTCTTATCATTACCATTTCAATTACTCACCAGGAGACCCAGTGGAGATGGGGCGCTGGCAGGCTCCTCTCCAAATACACGCAGCTGGTATGCACAAGGTGCATTAGCGAGAAGACACTGGTACAGGTACATGCACAAAATCGTGCTAAAGGCGGATGTCAGTGATTCTAGAGAAAATTAGTTGCACATTAATCATCAGATTATTGCAAAGAAGATTTAGGGTAAAGCGACTTCTTAAAAAATCTCTCTGGTACTCCTTTGAAGAGCTCCTACACCTACTGTATACTACATACTGTCCCTGAACCTTGGAAGATATCGTCCGGCTCCGTGCGGCTCATTGATCATCAACTATGGTTCCGGAAGAACAATAATTCCGTGGTGCGGCCGGATAATTCAAATAAAAGTCTGGACACGTTTTTATCTGCTTCGGGCAGCATCGTGGGGGTCACAGGGTTCCGTCTATGTCCGTAGAGGTCGCCAAAGTGGGGTTATGGGCAATGGAAAAACGTGAAAGTTGCACAGGCAGAAAATATTGGTCGAAGAGGGCTCCCACATTGTGACGTTGGAGTGATGGTAGCAGCCCGACGGTTTATACTAATAGGTACAGTACTGTATGTACTATAGATGAAATTTGACTACTGTACCTACTGTTCACCGTAGCTGTGTCAGATCATATACGGAATAATCAAGAAGCTCAATTGACTTCAACAAGTACTAAATGCTAGGCTAGTAGTTGCAGGCCGTAGGTCCCTTCGCCCGGTAGAGATGATTATTTGAGAGGTCCATATATACATCAACTTTCTCAAGACTCCCCATCTCATTTCTTGTTCAATAAACTGTCATGGGGAATAGTGCACCGTAACGGCTTACCCTAAGCTTCTTGTCTTACGAGTGTCCTTCCCTGGATCCTGTGTTGAGAATAGGACAAACATTTCCATAGTATGTGCCAATCCAGCCATGCCACCAGAGTCAAGAGCTCAAAAGAGCCACCGACCGATAATGCCGACCAAAAAACAACACTAAGAAACAACGCTGAAAAGCCGCCTAGAGCTGAGGATGGTATGATGCCACCGGCCACCAGAGCAAGGAGTTGATGCGATTATAATACGTTAAGTCATGCCAGCATGAGTGATACTGTGAAACGATGGCGTAAGCACCAATGTGATTCTGTGAACTGTGAACAGAATGCCTGCGCCTTTGTACATGGGCCAGCGCCAAGAGCCGGAGCCATATCTAGCCAATAAGTGCCACAGAGCATCTAAGAGCTGTAAGCGTTAAGCCAATGAGAGCCAGAGCTGAAACAAGTCAGAGCCCATAAGATCTAAGAGCTATGACGCCCCCAAGTGCCAGAGCCAGTTCATGATAAAAGCCACAGGGCCGCCATATGAGTTTCTCGTCGAGGCAGTCGGGGTCTAACGATCAAGCTCGCATTCAGAAAGGATGTAGGCCGTAGAACCTCGGGTATGAGGATTTACACCAGCTTAACCTTCAGTTTAAATACGAGAGGACGTAAGCCAGAAAGCTGGACCTCTGGGGATAATAAGTTGTGGACCATGGAGTCAGTTTTTCGATTGTAGCATTTTTTATACTTGTACAGGTACAAGTACTATAGTTAATTAAAGTGTTTTGCTGTCGATTTAGACATTATTTGCAATTTGAAGCTGGACTTATGTGATATGGTAATTTTAAAAAAAATTATTGAATTCATCTAATTTCTTTAAGTTTTGTTTTACTTATTTAACTCATGTTTAATTCTTTGTATTTTGTCAAGTACTTAATTGGGATATATTAAAGTGAATTGTAATCATACTGGTGAAATGATGGAAGTTCGAAGCGGCAAAAAAAGAAAACCAGGAGCGGAACTACTGTGTATGATTTCACTCACAGTCTGAAAGACTGACAAAAAGAATTACAGCACCCAGGATTCTCGTATGGTCTCCCACTACAATACTAACTGGGCTCTCTGGTGCTTGACTATGGCTGATCGGACGGGAAGCCGTATTTTCACCAGGATATGGCCGTAACCAGTGCTGCGCCGACCCGGAATCGAACCGGGGGCCCATCGATGGCAACGATGGATTTTACCACTAAACCATCGGCGCTTAGTAAGCATAATAGGTAGTTTTCTTACTCGTGCATATAGTTGATTACATAAGCAGAGGAAGAATATTGGGCGTTTGAAGCCCTACAGTTGTTATTATATTACTTAAAGAAGTATTTCATGCGATTGCAAACAACACCAGTTTCTTGTATCCCTCCACGGCTGCAAGCAGGTCGGTAACGGTGATATGCTCATCTGGTGCATTGGCCAAACTCATGTTACCAGGACCGTAAAGATACCGAACAAAGTCTCCATGAAGGTGTGGACTGTCACTTGATAGAGAGGAAACGGTAGACTCAAATCCAGGAACCTCACAACTAAAGTCCTGGGGTGGATAGGACTGGTAAGTGAATATCACATCTCGGAATCGTGTGAGGACGCCAGCCACTTCACTTGCAACATTTTCCTCATCTCCCAGAAACCGAACTTCCACGGTAGCCTTTTGATTGTTGGTGAAAGTCACATTTACTGTTCCAGAGATTATTGAAGTCTTGAAGGCTTGCATCATGTCGATAAGGACTTGGTTTTCGCCCTCTAGTCCGATGATGACAACTCCACAATGACGACTCACCAAATTCAAGTCACTAGGCTTTCCGAAGATAATAGTTTTCCACGGTTTGACCATTTTGTTCACCTCGGTCATTCCTCCAGATCCAAAGACTTCTCCTCCAACCACAAACAACAATGCCACTTCATTGTATGCAACTTTCCTGTCCCTCAACAGCTCTTCAAGAGCAGTTACTTGGGCAGCAATGCAAGACTTGGCATCAAGAGCTCCAGAGCCGTATATGGCACCGTCGATGACATTATACGGAGTTCCACTTGTGACGTGATCAACGTTGCTTGTTAGCAACACCTTGGCATCCTCTCGGGCTCCCTTATAAGCATAGACGTTCTGACGGGTATGATCTCCAATCAAGTCGATAGTGTAACCTCTGGTTGAGAGATAAAGCTGCAGAAAACGAGACACGTGAGTCTCATTGTATGACACGGAAGGGATATCAACCAGGCTCTTGTGCAATTCCATGACAGGGCTGTAGCTGTTAGTACCACCGTGTTCCTTCACAGAGAGTGTGTCATGTTTAGGGAACCTATGATAGGCATATATGTAGCTCTTTAAAATGAGAAGAGCTCCACACACCAGGAATACTACAATCTTCCTGATCATGATCTGTGGGGAAGGTGGTGGAAAATTCGATGAGGGTAGTGTAATGACGCAGTAGAAGAGAGTAGGTTAGTTTGTGTAAGACAATGAAGATGCTAATCGAAGGAGCAGATTGTTTGTTGCTCTGCAATAGTCGCGGTAAGTATTGGTGAAGTGGAGGGAACAAATAAGGTTGAGATAACTGGGATTGATATGCAACCTTATCTACGATATAAAAAAATATGATCCGTGGTGACTTGCGAATATGAGGACTTGATACAGCCATGGGTAGGTAGAAAAAAAAATACCAGATCATTGTGATCACAAAAGGAGTGGACGACACCGGAATCGAACCGGGGACCTCGCGCATGCTAAGCGCATGTGATAACCAACTACACCAGACGCCCAAGTTTTTATTGAGATGTAGGTGGGTTCTGTGTAGTTTCAAAACTTCTGAAAAAATCGACGAATCATTAGAAAAAAAAGAAAAAAAACTAAACTAAAAAAAAAAAAACCTCAAAAACATAACAACCATACACCGAGCTACTCCAACTTCAACTCCCCGATGTCGCAAAGACTCAATAACGATACACACGAATCATTAGAATAAAAAAAAATCGACTTCTTGCAGTGCCTGTGCAAACGGATCGATAAGTTCTGTGTGCACACTACTGGTATTTGATGTACTGTACAGTACCGATACTTTTGTATGCCTCGAGGCTTTACGAATATCTCCCCCGACAGGTGTAGGAATCAGCTTCTCAGTAAGTTTCCAGACCATGTCTACGTCAAGTTCCCAGTCCTTCTACACTACATATTGTACACCATCTCCGTATATATTCATAACCATTCAATAATACAATTCAATTAAAACTTTCGTCGCTGCTGAGGCTTGCCCTTGGGTTTGCTCACGCCACCTCGAGAAAACTTTTTGGTGGGTCGCTTGGGCACCACGTCGTCATCATCTCCTCCGTCGTCATCTCCTCCCTTTGACTTCTTATACTTGTACTTGTTCTTCTGTCCTCGCACAGGTCCGTTCTTGATGGCCTCAACGTAATGGTCGATGGCCGAGCCCTGGGGAATCACGTCCTCCTCCTCATCCTCCTTAAAGATCATCTTACCGGACTCATTAGTCTTGAACTTGGACGATTTGAGAAGAGGCTCCTTCTTTCCTCTAGGCTTGGAAGAAGTGATGTGAGCCAGAGCCTGCTGCGACAGCAGATCCAGAGGGTCGTCGGACTTCATAATGTACTTGGAGGCCCGCTTGGTGGTCTCCTCCTCCTCATAGTCATCCTCGTCTTCAGAATCCGAGTCTCCGTACAGAGCTCGCTCGTACTCAGAGGCAAACTCCTTCTTGGGCTTGGTAGACGACATGGGAGCATCTTCCTCCTTCTCCTCGGTTCGCTTTCGCTTGGATCGCTCCTTAGACTTTCGGATGTTGGTCAGCAGCTTCTTGTCGGCCTCGGGGAAATGCTTTTCAATGGTGTCGAAGCCGAACCGTCGAATCAGACGCTCGACAATGTGCTTGACCTTGGCCTTGAAATGGCCCTTATGTTCGTGGGACCAGTGCAGCAGCTTTGGGAGAAGCTCGCTGAGCTGGGGCTCCACGAGATCGATGGGGAGAGAGATGGCCGTAATCTTGACGAAACCAAGAGTCGACTTGACGATCTCTCTGTTCTGCGAGGTCAGGAACAGCTCAACGGTTTGAGACAGCTCGCTGAGCATGTCCATGGGCACGTCGTCCTTGAACTCGAACAAGATTCGGGACAGACCCGTGATGGTGGCAGACACCAGGTTGGGTGAGGTTCCTGCCAGACCAGCAGACACGGCCTTGAAGAACTCAGTCAGGTTGGCGTTGACGGATCCCAGACCGGCATCCTCGAGACCGGGGATTCGAGTGTTGTCAATTACTCCTCCTCGAGCCATCTTTTCGCCCATGAGAACCAGTAAGTTGTAAGCGGACGTTCGGGTCTTCTCGTTGACGTCCTTGGTGGCAATGACGGCTTCAGAGACGGTAGCGGGGATGAAATACAGATCGTTCTCGGGCAGCAGAGCCACCAGCTTCGCCAGAGCGGCCACTCGAGCGCCTCGAGACACAGCAGTGACAGACTCAGCAGACTCGAGAACAACACCACAGATGTTGTCAAGATGCTTCTCCAGAGTCTCGAAGCTGTTGTCGGCCTCGGCCAGACGGGTCAAAAGACGGTAGCCCTTCTTTTGGTGGTTGGGGTCGGAGTTCTGGATCATCTGCACAAAGACGGTCAGCAGAGTGTTGTGAGAAGAGGCAGGGATGTAAGGCACGAGGGCGATGAGAATGTCAAGCATGGTGAGCGACATTGCTGGCAGGGCGTCCTTCTCAGGCTTAGACTCCTTGGCCTCATCCTCCAGAGCCTTGTGAAGCATTCCACACACGTTATCGAAGATGTCGCCAATTTCGCCGGCGGGGGTGATGCCGAGGTAGGCGTTGATGCACTCGAGAATGAAGCCTCGAGACTCGGGAATAGTTTGTCCGTACACGTTGAAGAGCACCGCAAGAATCTTGGAAGACACGGTTCCGAGGTAGGCAACGTTAGACTCGGCCTCGGATCGGGGGAATCGCTCCAGAAGCAGCAGGTCGTCGTTCACATCCTCGGACTCAGCAGCCTCGGGCTCCTCGGCGTACACCACATTGCTCTCGACAAGCAGACGCAGCGACTGGCAGATAACAGGTCGGATCTCAATGTTGGAATAGAGCTTGTTGGAGAGCAGCTCGGCAAAAGACTGGTCAAACGACTGCTGGAGATCCATGGGCAGAGCGCAGAAACGGGGCAGAACGGACCAGACCTGGGCCAGCAGAGCCTCGAAGACCTTTGCGGTGGCGCCCTTGGTAGTCGAGATCTTGTCGTCAAAATACTCGATCAGTGGCAAGAACTCGCTCTTAAAAAAGGCAATCTCTGAATTGTGAATGTTGTCTCTCAGTAGAGGGAGCATCCAGGCTCGTCCGGGGCTGTCAGAAGAGGGGTTTGAAAGGTTGAGGGGGAGCAGTTCTAGCACTTTGGCAGGTCCCATGGCACGAATAGCGGACCCAAGAGCGTTGTCGAGAGCAGGAATGCCGTTAACGAAGGACTCCTCAGTTCGGAGACCTCCAATAATTGTCACAGCCTCCACAAGGAAGGGGTCGGACTTCCATCTGAGAGTGTCGAGTAGAGCTGCCACAACGTTCGTAGAGTCGACGAGAGAAGCCCGGGTCTGGACGGACAGAAGCATCGTGGCCATCTCCGCGAGCTTGGACAGCCACTTGTCGCCGTTCTGAAGCGACTTTTGGTTGATGGAAGAACACAGAGCAACGAGACACTGGGAAGCAGAGGTTCGCACACTGTCGGCCTCAGAGTCGAGATAGGCACATACCTTCTGGAAAACCACGGGGGTCTTGGCCAATCCCTTATCAGGGTTGACCTCTCCAAGAGCACCCACTCCCTGGGCAACAACAGCAAACCAGGCAGGAGCAAGATGCTGGTCGTTGGTGGCGGGAGCCTGGTCGATCACAGCATCGAGAATAACCAGCAATTTTCGTGTCTTGTTGTTCTCGTCCTCTTCAGACTTGGCAAAGTGACGGAAGACACCCTCAAAGATGCCAAAGGTAGCCTGGATCAGCATCTGGTTGGTAGTCTTGGAAATAGACAGCAGCAGCTGACAGAGTTCGTCAAACTGCGACATAGGCCACATTCCAACGCCACAGATGGTTTTCACCAGAGCCAGCGCATGCATGAAGCCGGCATCCACGGTATCCTCCTTCTTGTGGTTCTCCAGGTACTGCTTGACGGCCTTCAGGGCTGTGTCGGCACAGGTTGCGGCAGCAGGATGCTCGACGAGCACTGGAGATACTCGGGTCTCGAGGATCTTGGCAAGTGCGTCCAGAGCTCGCTTTCTGATCTTGGGACGGGGATTGACGGCCAGATGCATCAGACCAACCACTCCTCGTCGGGGAGACAGCTCAGAAGCAGGGGTCTGCCACGAGGCAGCATCCTGGGCCAGCAGCAGATGCTGCAGAGTGCCAATGGCGGATCTGAGTAGCGCAGACTCGGAATCGGACGAGCCCAACACGGGTGCGAGCTTGACGAAAATCTGCGAAAACTTGGCCCGCAGAAGAGATTCGCTGGCGAAGGGAGACACAAGGTCGAGGAAATAGAGAGCCGAGGCGGCTAGATCGATATTCTCGAGCTGATCGGGGGCCTGGCGGCTGAACGATTGCTCTAGCAGAGCAAGGAAAGAAATGAAGTAGGAGGTGGCGGTCTTCTCGGTCTTTTCCTCCTCGAGATTCTCCTCCACGGCTCCCAAAATAATGGCCAACTGTTTCTGGTTGGCCAGCTTGGAGTTGACATGGACGCGGATCCGGTCCAGCTTGTCCTCCAGCGGTTCCGTATGGTCGAGTTCGGACATTTGTAGATGGTGCGTGCAACTACGATTGTCACTTTGCAGAAGACTTGAAAAAAATATTAGAGTTGATGCACTGCGAGTTTATCAGGTTGGTGGGAGAAGAGGTGGATAGTGGTGTGGGCTGTTTGGGGAGATTTCTGGGGTAATACGAGATGGTATTCTGGTGTATATTACATTTGTAGTAGTCTTAACTTGTTGGCATTCCAATATCATGTCTCCACTGTGGTATTATGGTTGCGGTGTCACCCACTTCGATTCTCGGCTATTCCTTTTTTTAAAAAAGAAATAGAAAATGTCAAATTCTAGATTGACACTGCAATGGGAGTGTTGGGGGTAAACTTCTGCTGTAAGGGGACATGCCTCTGTACAAGTCACAATTACAGTCCAATATTATCGAATATACTGCAAATATTATACAATATATATTATAAAAATTTATATTATACAAAATTATATTATACAAAATTATATTATACAAAATTATATTATACAAAATTAAATGTTGATATATTTATATACAATCTCTTCATACCCACGCACAGAGCCACCAAATAAGAAGTTCACTGTACACGATTTCGAAAAATATTGGCAAGACACGAGATGTGGTTAAGCAATGTTCTTTCGACAAGTCCAGTGTAACAGTGTTGGGGTCAATCCATTAAAGGAGACCATATGCTGTGTCCCTCCAGGTGCGTGCTGTGTTGTATCTTGTGCTGAGGAGTCCGACCTCTTCTGTTCATTCAGACGCTCCTGTGCTCATGTTCTCATGAAGTCATTTTCAATTCATCAACACCCATGATCTTCAATTCAACCCTATAGTTGAGTAACAGTCGATTAAATAAATCAGACTCGTTATGATACCGACAAACAGCCTATCATATTCCGCGTTGACGTTGGACACTACAACAAGTGGCTGAGAAACTACTTCCTTGCCCAAATTGACCGAGACAGTTCCTCTGCGGAGGACCGCTGAATACTTCTTCCACGGGAACTAATCTAATGTTATCTAATGCACGATATTCCATGGACTCTGATGTAGACAAGCTCTCCAGATTCCTGGATTCTAAACACCAGTTTTGAAATGAATTGATGCCGAACCCAGCGATTCGTCGTGACACAGCAGATTAACCATGCGCTTACAGCCTTCCAGCACTGACAAACAAGTGCCAGAGTCCAAGTTCCACTTCTGAATAACCACATAAGGAAACCCCGAGTAACATACACCTCTACAGTAATGGGGACATGAGCAACATCGTACGCACGCTTTTAATGTCCTTCAAGCACATATTGGCACTCTCCGGGTTAGTCAGGATCCCTACACGCACTGTTGTACAAGAATCCGCACAAGGGTATCTCCATGGATGTCAGTTGCTCTGAGAGAATTCATACAGCCCGCAAAATGTGCACAGGCACTGCTGTATTCTACATGCCTATCCTTTTCAGGAAGCTTCCACACCCTCACTCTCTCTCCAGAACGAATGTATGTATCACTTTGTGTCAGAGAATGTGAGTGTGGATGCTTCTTCTTCTCTTTAGCACACGAGTGCATTTTCTGCTTGATGCTCCACATTTTCATAGTCCAATCTCTGGCGCTCACGACTGTATCCCTCAGATTGGAGGTTGAACCCAAGGCTGCTGAAGGCTCCTGGTAGTTTGACATGACTGATTTTCAAACTTTGAAACAGACTCAGAGTCCTTCGGTGGTGGCTTTTCTTGCCTCAAGGACTCTGGAATCTTGTCTACCATTTCCAAGGACGGCACAGTACCAATGGCCTTATGTTTCTTTACCCAACGTACTTGTCTGTTGAGGATGTTAATGTCTCAGCTCTCGTTAACGAAGCCCCTGGTCTGTCTCTTCTGAGCTGTCGCTTGGAGCTTCTCTTGTTCTCGCTGTTCTTCATTGAACATCCCTCAGCAAATGAATGTTAAATAATACTTAAGACAATGGCTTGTTTGTTAATTAGTTAGAATTCTGAGTAAACACTTGTTGGCCCTTTGTTTAAACGTGTCAGCAAAACTAAACTTCTCGAAATCCTAATCTCGCATCATCCATGCACCGTGCCTGGGATGGCAGTATTTGAGACGATCACGCGAAGAGCGTTCATCATTAAATTTTCCACGTGCAACTAAGCTCTCGCTAGACCTGGTAATCTCAGAGCTTTAGCAGCAAATGCTAGGTGTCTACGGTGGTGATATATGCGGTATCACAATAGAATGTTGGCTCACACATTAGTCAGTCTTTTAACCATAGCAGTGACGCCCATTCAGACCCCCCCATCATCTACAATGTCTCTAATCATCTCGCTTGAGCTCTGTCGTGAATATCAATTTCATTTGAGCCAACGGGAACCTTGAGTTCTTGGGTCGTATCGTCTTTTCTTTTTGTCCAGACCAATGTCATGGACGGATGAGAAACGTGCCCATACAGAGTGCAAAGCACCATGTCCTTTATAATGTTGCCTAAATTCCTCATTCAATGGCTCAGATCTACCTCTTAACGCTTTCTCGCACACATGGTTAACCTCTTACAGCTCTCTACTAGCCTGCTGGCTGCTGCTGGGCTGGTCAAGCGAGCCGACAACCCCTCCTCTCATCATGTCCAAGTTCCCAACATTGGAAACGACGCACTAGTTGACTGGGGTTACCTCGAGACCCAGAAGATCTTCAACGGAACAGGCTCCAACTGTACCAAGTGCCTGCAGGGCATCAATCTTGGCAAGTACATCACTCTCCAGGCTCCGACTGTGACGCCCCAGATCCTCGTCAAGCTATGCACCCTCTACGACTGGCAGGACGACTGCGACAAGTGGCAAGGAAGTGATATCACTAAGGGCAATCCCGGTAAGCACGTTTCGCAAGTCTTCACTATCATGGACGCCTTTGGACTGGACGGAATCAATCTCTGCTACTGGACTGCTCCCAACACCTGTGATGCTGCTCCCGTTCCTGAACCAGATTTGTCGTCTTGGTGGCCTGAAAAGCCCAAGAACCTGTCAAAGATCGAATCCACCTACAACGAGACCTTCAACGTTCTTCATATTTCCGACTTCCATCTCGATCTACGTTACTTACCGGGTCAGGAGGCCTGGTGCGACGCCTACATGTGCTGCACAGTGGAGTCTAGCAACAAGAAGGCACTGGCAGCAGGACTCAACCATACCGTTTAGTCGGCCCAGAAACTCGGATCGTACCATTGTGACGCTCCAGAATCGCTTGTGGAAGATTCTCTCAAGACTGTGGGGGCAATGGCTAATGCACGAGACTTTGAATTTGGCATCTTCACCGGCGACATGGTCTCCCATGATATCCAGGACTGGCTCTCTTTTACTCACACATACCAGTCCGAAGAAGAAGTGTACTACTTGATGAAGAAGTATCTCGGGGACATTCCCGTCTACCCAACATTTGGCAACCACGACTCATACCCTTATGCTCAGCTTGCCCAAAATTCATCTGGTTTTGCAGGCGAGTTTTCCTGGAACGCAGAGCTGTCCGCAAAAATGTGGAAGGACTTTGGCTGGATCAACGAGACCACCGAAGCCCAGGCTGAGCACACCTACGGCTCGTTTGCAGTGACAACCAAGAGAGGTCTACGGGTCATCTCCATCGACTCCAACTTCTGGTACTCGGAGAACTACTACAACTTCTGGAACATCACCGAGCCTGATCTGTCTGGAACCTTCAAGTGGCTTGTTGGTGAGCTTCTGGAGTGTGAAAGATTCGGTCAAAAGGCCTGGATCATGGCCCATGTACCTTCTCAGGAGATGGGTGCGGTCCCTTGGGCGACTGAGGTGTTTAGGCAGGTTATCCGACGCTTCTCTCCTCACGTGATTGCAGCCAACTTCTTTGGTCACACCCATGCCGACCAATTCAGCGTCTTCTATGAACAAACCAACGTGTGGACCGAAGAGTCTGCCATCTCAGTCGGTTGGATTATTCAGTCCGTCACTCCTGTTGACAAATATAACCCTGCCTGGAGATACTACGAGGTGGACACGAAGACTTTTGAGATCATGAACTCCAAGAACTACTACTCACCTCTCAACGAGACGTACGAGTACAACATCGACAAGTACAAGAACGAGACTCTAGGAAACTACACTTACAAGGTGTACGAACCCCAGACTCCTAAACAAATGACTTGGATCTGGGAATACTCTGCTCGAGACGCCTATGATCCAAACAACACCTGGCCCCATAACGCTCCCCTTAATGCCACCTTCTGGCATAGAGCTGCCAAGGGTATTATCGAAGATCCGGCCCAAAATCAGCTGTATTACGATCACTACTTCCGAAAGTCGCCTTATACTCAGCAGGGATGTGATAAGGAATGTCTTCAGGATACTTTTTGCTCGTTTGTAGCCGGTTCTCAGGGTGAGCGAACCGACTGTCTCAAGCTTGAAAGTCTTCCTCCTTTGTAGGTAAGACTACGAGTACGTAGTCGATGAATATAGAAATAGAATAGACCAGCGATTGGCTACTGGTGCTAACGTAACTATGAGTTATATTAAGCCAATATCCATATATAATTAATATTGCCATGGCAAGCATCTAAGCCTGTCATGGCCTTGTACAAGTAGTCACAGCTCGCTACGCAAACTGCACCTACTGTGTCACCCTCTGGGGCATCCCCAGCCCATGGTTCTCCTTGTTTCCTCCTCTCACAGGGCTCTTCAACTCATGGTTGGAAACGCACTTTCTCAATGAGCCCCGAATACCAAACTTGCCACTCGTCGGAGTCACTACTCGGTTTGCACGACTGTCTCCGTCAGCAAGAATACTCACATTCGAGTGATTGACAGCATCGGAAAAATCCAAGGGTGGAGGAGCAGAGTCAGGGCTGTCCATGGGATGATCAATGGGTGATTCCACTGCTGCTGCAGGACCAGGCAGCCTTGAGGGGGTACTCAAGACATTGGAAGTTCGTCGAGGAGTCGAAAGGGCGGGGGAAGGTGCCCATCTCACCCTCTTGGAGGGTTTGTCTTTGGGAGGGGGTTGAACAGGAGATCGAACAACTACCGATCTCTTGTATGCCGAAGGAAGCGAAAAGTTTGGGGTCGAAGGAGTCGGGATCGGGGCTGTGGATACGCTTTTAAAAACGTTTTCACATCCAACCAAAGCTTCAGACAGCAGCCGCACGTGCTCCTGGTCCTCAATGCGCTGAATCATGTGTAGACAAGCGTTCATGAACTGCGAGACAATGGGTCCAAAAAACGTGTCTGTTAGAGACACGGACGAAACACACTCATGGAACTCCCGCTCGTAGTGGTCACGTGTCTGTTCAGCCCATATCAGGAATAGCTCCTCATCTGCCTCACACCATCCTTCTAGTTCCTTCAGACGCCGCAAACATTGGTCAACGGTGTTTTGAGCGGCCATATCCCGTGTGCACGAATCCAAAAAGGCGTTGATGGCCTCAATATCGCTGCATAATCGTTTCAGACGATCCTGAGCGTCGTCCACAAAGTACAAAAGCTCGGGATACGCAGAAGTGAGCGCTCCAAAGTCTGGGCCACTCAACAACTGCATCCACGACGTCAACTGGGACTGCTGAAGGGTCAACAGCTTGATACGATGCAATCCCATGACCCGCTGTTCAGTTTCCGATGTGGTTCGCGAGTACGTGGTCTCTAGAGACGTTATAGCCTCCTTGATGGCGTCTCTTCTTGTCTGTTCAGCTGCAACATACTTGGCAACAGCCTGCTCGATAGCCTCAGCCTCTCGCTTTCGAAGCGTCTCAATCTCCGTTCGCTGTTCGGTGATCATCTTCAGATACGAGCCCACGTGTCTGTCGAGCGAGTGCTGGTTTCGAACCACCTTTGTCTTGATCATTTTCGCTCTGTCAGCGTATTTGAGCGTGTTGAGGGTCTCGTCATAATGCTGAGAAGAAGGAGAAATGCATACTATCATCACCGTCTTGCAGTTGCCACCCAGCGAGAACTTGAGCAGTCGCGTGAGTTTGGAGTTTCTGTAAGGCACATGCAATTTTCGTTTGGGGTCACACAGAGCGTTGATGCAGTTGCCCAGTGCCAAAAGAGACTTGTTGATGTTTGCACCCTCCAGCAATCGCTCTCCTCTGTTCTTTGTGGCAGATGCACGCTCACTACCGGCCAGGTCGATGATGGAAAGAGTAGCAAAAGTGTGTGACTCGGAAAGCTCAGCTGTTCGGTTCTTTTGAATGACGTTGATCTGCAACACGGCATGTGATCGCGACGACGTGGCGTTGGCCTCAGTGGGGCTCTGTGTTCGGTTGGTGTTGCCTTGCAAAATCATCTCCATGACTTCCTCCACAGACTCGGGTTTGTGCGACGACAAGTTTGACACCGAGATTTTCTTGTCGGCGTCCTCCCGCAGAGTCAGCACCTTGTCGCTGGGCTCCAGAAGATCCTTAATGGTTTCGTTGTAAATCTCCAGGTAGCTGAGTGACACATCAATCACCTTTTCGTCTCGCAGAGCCTCAATTCTGTCGAACAGCTCCTTCATGGTCAGAAACACCACTCCTGGCGCCTCGGGACGTCCACTAATCGTGTGTGTCTTTCCACATCCCGTAGCTCCATATGCAAATACCGTGGCATTGTATCCATCGAAAATGTTGGACAGCAACGGCCGAGTAGTCTGGTTGTAGACCTGTTCCTGGGACGCATCTTCGTCAAACAGCTGGTCAAACACAAACCGGTGTTCTCTGATCCGATGTGTGTTGCCCGGAAACGCAGCCTTGTGCATCCCTGCCACAGGAGACGATTCTGGCGGGTCGAAAATGAGCATCTTGTCGTCCACCACGTTGATGATCTTGCGGATGCTTTTGCCGCCCTTGCGAGAAGTGAACGGGTTGACCGTAGCCGTGTTGGTCGACGAGGAAGCTAAAGAACCATCGCCCAGAAACAGCTGCTGCTTGGGATTGTGCTGGAGATATGTCTGTTCCGTTTGCGTGAACGGCCGTACTCTGACGGCCACTGAAATAGAAGACTCCATGTTGTGTGTGAGTACAAGTAGTGGGTCTGTTGAGTTGCGTTTGTCGATGTCTTGTTTTTGTGTAACTTCTTTCTGTCTCTTGAGTGTGTTCGTTTCTGTCCGTGGCTGGTATTTTCTTGTCGTTTCCCGCTGTCTGCTTCCTCTCTTCAAGCTGTCGTTAGTGATATCCCTTTGGTGTGAGTTGAAACAAGAATATATCCACACACATGATACATGTCGGTCTGCAACTCTATTCCAGCCTAAACATAACATTGAGGATGGAGAAATGGGTAGATATTAATGAAAAGAATATGACACTAATTCCATGGACGAGCTGTCTCTTTTGGTGAAGTTTCCAGAAAATTCCATCCATTATTCACTCCTCTGTATGGATTCTAAAACATTTGCAAAACCCATGCACCTCCCCAACACTATCATAACAAGTGCCAGAGACTCGTGTGAAACGCGCAAATTTTGTCCTATCGAAAGAATAAATACACAGGAAACTTCAGAATCCGCTCTGCTTTCCCCTTCCAGTGTCTTTACTGCCGAGATTTCCCCTTGAAACCGATATTATCACCTCATCCAGGCACACATGCAGCTTAATGCTACATTTAAACAGACAGTCCCCGGAACTACAAGTAGCCGTTTCCGCGGACTCTGCATCACGTGACCTTCTCAAATACTCTCCTGGCTCTCTTTCTCTTCAACCCTACCATTCGAAACACACTGTTTGCTTCACAATGGGGCTAACTCTGATGTTTACTATTGTTCTGCATGTTTGTTGACGTTTGCTGCATGCCGTTGTCATGGTTACTGTGCGGCTGGAAAAAAAAAGTGTGTGTGACTCTGGGTTCGATTCGGACTCGTGTGGATTTTGTAGAGGGAACCAGCAAGTGTTTAGGGATTTGATGGAAGTTTTTCTTCGTATACTGACACAAATGAATCTATCTCGACCTGCTAGGATATATCATCACACTTTGAGGCAGTCTACAAGCTGTGCGAGAGTCAACCGAAGTCCCGGGTACTCGTAAACAATTTCAACAATATCAGTACAAGGTGCATGCAGTGTACTTATAGTAATGCAGTGTACTTATAGTAATCACTCGTAAAATCTGTGGAATGACTGTTTTCTCCAAGTACTTGTACTTGTACTTATAGTTGTACTCTCTTGCCACATGTGCTCCCTTTCGATGGAGTTCTTCTGAAATTCAGGTTTAATATGTCTCGTTCAATTAACCCGTCCAAGTACTTGTATAACTTGTACTTGTACAAGAACATTACCTAATGCGAAGCTGACGCATTACATAATCACACAACGGAATGCTCATCTAAATGACACAAAACACATACTAATCAATATCCATTGACCCATAGAAGACACAAAACACTGTCACATCTCATTGTTATCTTCTCCATCCACAACACCCTCCCTCATCCCGTATCTTCCTCACACAGTAGGGACAGTACATACGTATCTATAGTATACTCCTCCCCACAGCGGTATCTGGAACCCTAGTGGATGTTAACTTTACGTGAGCTCATCGGATACAGCAGGCGAGTGTCTCAATTGGGCTGCACAAGAGTCGTATTGCTCTGATATTTCGACAGCAACTTTTTGGTCACGTGAGCTCGTTTCCGTGAAAATTTCGGCCCAAAATATCCGTTTCTTCTCCTCCCCAACATGCACATTTAACCTCCCCCCTCTCTCTCACAGCAAGGTTAACTCTCCCACCATGAACCGACTTAAGACCGCCTCAGTGCGACTTCGCCAGATTCACTACCAGTTTGGCAAATTCGGATATCAGGGCGACAACATGAACTCCAAGTACGCCGGCAAAGCCTACACGGAAACCACCGTGCACAAGTATCACCGAAACCTCATTGGAATCGAGCATCCCACTCGGTATGGAGCTCCTCACACAAACACCGTGGTCTTCATTGGGGGTCTGGGAGACGGAATCACCACAGTTCCGTACGTCAAGCCTCTGGCAGATGCTCTTGATAAGGCCGGATGGGGCGTTGTGGAGCTCTTGACCACTTCTTCCTTTGGAGGATGGGGTACGGGGTCTCTGGAACGAGACGCCGAAGAGGTAGAGAAAGCCGTGGAGTATCTCACCACCAAGCTGGAGGCTGGCGGGTTGCCCAACAAGCAGAAGGTTGTGCTGTTGGGCCACTCAACAGGCTGCCAGGACATTATGTACTACCTGACCAGAGGTAAGGAGCGAGCCAAGATCGACGGAGCCATTCTGCAGGCTGGAGTATCCGATCGAGACGCCACCGTGCTCAACATTGGCGAGAAAAAGTGGAAGGAGACCGTCGCGGCGGCCCAGAAGCTTGTGGACGAAGGAAAGGGCGATACCGTGCTGTCTGGCGAGTTTGCCGAGATCATGCACAACACCCCCATTTCAGCATCGCGATTTGTGGCTCTCAACGCTCCTCGAGGCGACGACGACTTCTTTTCCATTGATCTGCCCGATTCAGACCTCGAAAAGTCTTTTGGACAGATCAAGGTGCCCCTGCTGTTCCTCATGAGCGGAAGCGACGCATTTGTGGACCCCAAGCAGGACAAGCAGAAGATTGTTGACCGATACGAGAGCTTTGTCAAGGGCGGAAACTGGTCCGAGCTGTCTGGTGTCATTGACGGAGCTTCTCATAATGTTGGACGGGATAGCAAGGAGGGAGCTGTTGATGCTGTAGTGGAAAAGATTGAGAGTTTCGTGAAATCAATCTAGGGATCTCCAGGCCGTACTAGTACACAGACATCTGTATGTACTAGTATTTCCCTCACCTATAGCGAGCTGTCTTTCTAACATCATCTAACGTCATCACAATACATTCTACAGTATCTCAAATACCGTCCAAAATAAGCAAATCAAATCTATATATATTACAGCTAAATACTCCCCATCCGTATCCAGTGAGTCTATGACTTCTGCCCTTCATTCTAACCCGTCTTACAGAAGAGTATCTCCGCAAGCACTCTTGGCGAGGGAAATGCCAGCGCTGATGGTGTCGTCAATATCCTTCTGAGAAGCACCAAGAGCGGGGTTGCACTCGACGAGGTCCATGGCGACGAGCTTTCCGGTGGCAGCAAGCTCCTCGCAGATGTAGCAGGCCTCTCGCCAGGTGAGACCTCCTCGAACAGGAGTTCCAGTGGAGGGAGCAAAGAAGGGGTCCATGGCGTCAACGTCGAAGGAGAGGTGAATGGGTTTGCTGAGATCGGGGTTGACCTTCTGCAGAGCCATCTCGACCACCTTTCCAATGCCGTACTTGTCCACATGGTGCATGGAGTAGGCGGTGATGCCATGTTCCTTGATCATCTTCTTCTCAAAGTCGTCCACGTCTCGCAGCGCAATGTAGGCGAGGTTCTTGAAGTCGAGACACTCGGGGACCCATCCGAAGGGATCGTCCTTCTCGGGCTTGGCGAGCCCGGTGACCCACGACAGAGGACAGCCGTGCAGGTTGCCAGAGTCGGTAGCGGCGGGAGTGTTAAGATCGCAATGAGCATCGACCCAGATGAGGCAGGCGTCGGGGTACTTCTCTCGCACACCGGCAACAGTGCCAACAGCGATGGAGTGGTCACCCCCGATGGTGAGCACAAACCGTCCAGAGACAGCAGCCTCAGAAACAGCCTTGTAGACCCGTCGAGAGGCCTCAGCGACGTAACGGGGTCGCTTCATCTTGCCAATGTCCTCGTCAGACTCGGGCACGGGGAACTCAAGGTGTCCGTCGAATTTGGTGTCCCAGTCGAGGCTCTGGAGGTGCTTCTCGAGACCTCCTCCGAGCAGGTACTCGGGGCCCTTGTCGACACCGCCCTTGGGCTGGCCTCCGGAGAAGGGGGCAGAGACAATGCTGAGCTTTCGTTCGGGGAAGTATTCAAAGTTCATTGTGTTGTGTTGTGTGGTGGTGGTGTGGTGGTGGTGATGGTGGCTGTGGTGGTGATGGTGGTGGAGATCAAGGTGGATCAACGCGGAATCAGAATCAGATCTTTTGTATGAACTTACACAAAGCGTAGGTGTCAAGTCCGGGCGTGGTAGAGATGGTGGAGAAGAAGAAACACGGTGGCCAAAATCCGGCCCTTATATAAAGAAAAAAATCGCCGTTACACCCCTAAGTGCAGGAACAGGCGATGAGGTGTGCATGAGTAGACGGCGCTGCCAAAAGCACTAGAAAAGAGCCGGTTGGGGGGTCTCACCGGACGAGGAGAGAGCGGGTCACGAGACCAAAGAAAACCGCACGTGGTTCGACACGAAAAACTCCCTTTTATACGTCCGCAACGCCGCCAGAGTCTCGCACTCCCTCCTCCAACCAAAATCCCACGATAACACACTCGAACCAAATTGAGTTTTATGAAAACCGTAATGCAACATTTTAGACGCACTACAACACGATCCATGACCCTAAGTACAGGTGTGAGCGAGTGAGGCATTTGAGGGGGTCATGAGGGGTTGCCGTGCAAGTGGAGAAGGGAGCAGAGGGCTAGGGTAGATGGTGGAAGTGGCAATGATGATTATAGGTGGGTAAGGGTTATTGATCCCTGGTGCCTGTTTGAACAGTGCGCATCACCCAAGGTGCCATGTGCTCCTGTCAAAAAGGGTCTAACAGCTTCCACTGGACTCTAATAATAGCCGTTGCTTTTTGATGTTTCTGATAGCAAATGTTTGAAGAGAACTTTATCAGGAGACGTGAGTTCGATTCACCATGGAGGTGGATTTGATAGGTATATTTGCTATTCGCCAGAGATAGCTTGTGACTTTGAGATAGGGCAAGAGATGGATTTTTGTAGAGGAGTGATAAGATAAAAACTGGAATTCTCTGTAAACCTGTCAGTTCAAGAAGGATACAATCGCCCCGGGGCGCGTTGGTGCGCGTAAGAGAAGGAATGTGTGATTTGAGTATCTCCTGTAATGGTGAAATTTAAAAATATTTATAGGAAAATATCATAAAAGAAATTAAATATATGTCGATATGGGGAAGATATAAGAAGATAATTGTGAGGTGAATATCTGGGAATTATATAGATTAAGATAATTTTGATTAAAAAAAGTCCAATGAGCTATCACTTCCATAGGCCCCAATGACTCTACTTGTCTGATCCGACTCTGACTTACATTGCCTTGATTATGAAACTCGGCCTTGACGACTCCAGTTGGCATATATATAATGAATTATATATAGCTGTTGGAGCTGACTATTCTAACGAAAGAGTTCTACTCACATTCATTCTTCTCATAAGCTCTCTTAGTTGGCTCAGCTTGTGTACCATGGGGGAGGAGGGATGAGGGATGAGGTCTACACGAAGTAAGGCTAGAAGTAGTTCAGATACAAAGCATAGCTCTACTTTGGCGTAATGATTCACTCAATTATCATTTGAGATCGCACTACTACTCGATGAGCGTCTGGAACAAAAGTCGTGCGATCATAGACATTCATAGCATGGGTTTTATTACGAATAGCTCCCCCAGATGCGTTGGCACAGTCTTAGGGTACTGTACTCCGTGGGGTCATTAATTTGGAACGCGGTTGTATTTCATTAGGTGTTCCTCACTTAACATCTTTGTTTGTACAATGTCTTCCTTCGTTGTTTCCCCAGATGCGTAAGAATGTTCCGTTTTCACTCATATACAAGAAGTGATTACTCAACTGTGAATACTTCGGACGATTATTCAGGATAAATGAACTCTCAGACTGAGTCGCTAGCTTCTAGTGGTTCTATATGTTTAGCAAATGACCTCTCTCCAAGATCTCTGGAATACAACATGCTTTTCACAAAGACAGAGAAACACTTGACTCAATTAGTTCTAAATAGACACAAGAGCTGCCAGTTTTGCCAATATCAGATCTTTGTCAGTCTAGAATGTTGTAGCTTCCTGTCCGTGCTACTTTGTAATTATTGGTTTGGAGAGGTGCTAACAGTAGTCAATCAGTAGCATGCAGCAATGACGACAACCATTTACGACGGATACTAATGATAGCCCACTTTTCAATGAGTACATCATGAAAGATGGCTTGAAAAGTGACATATGACAACAATTGTTATGTACACTGTAGGTACTGTACTGTATGCAGTAAGACATGTGCTAGAAGTCATCAATTGACATAATTATCTTGGTGCAGAGGGTCTGACATATACAAGCCTCTCTGCTGTTTAAATCACGACTATATTGGTCCTATAACCACACCAGGAGTTCACTAAAACCACACCAAATGCACTTTAAACATTTAAAACACGTTCTTCCCCAATTGAACTCCGTCTGGACTCTTTCAAGTCAATGATGTGTGACAAAGGTTGCACCTCGCTGTACATACTGTATCTGTATAGTACATACAGTACAATGCCAATTCACAGAAGCTGACGTCGAACATCTGACTTAGCGGCTAATAAATTGGCTGATACAGCCGTATGGAATTATTTGTTTCATTGCAAGTGCATGTGTCGCGGTACTGTACCTGGCATGACAGGAGTGTGTCTGTCCGACTACTTGTAGTGTGATAGTGCCATACAGTTCTACCGTCTCTAGAGCACATGAGTTCACGGACTATTGATGAATGAAACGTCGGTTTGCTGGTTATAAGATAGAGCCCTTGATTTCACGTGTCTACAGTGTCCATTACCGCGTTTACGTCTCTACTCGTAAGTACTGGAACTACGAACTCACCTCAGACACCGCATATGCTGCGAGACAGATGGATAAAATCTGTGACGTGAGAGGTGGGAGGTAGACTTGGTATTTATTTATTTTCATTAGCTATGTGCAGTGGGTTCTACAAGGGCGCTACAAGTAGTTGTAGGGTATGCAAGGAGGGTATATATGCGCCGAATAGAAGTATCGGACCCGGAGAGAACGACAAGGAAAAGATAAAGGGTACCTATAGTTCCCCATGTTGATACACCGGCTCACAGTTGAGGAATGATCACATGCTGGTATCGTTCTGCTGTCTCAATGACGACCATGTCTGTCAGTGTCCTCTCAAGCGAATGCAAGGAGAAAGACGTGGAAGCGGTATCGTACGAGGGCTGGAGTTGTAATATAACTTTAGACAGTCCAAAGTAACTGTTTTTGATCAACCAAGGGGCCTCGGTTATTGTCCTTGCGCTTTGGCCAAGATGTCTTTCAGCATGGAATGTACTGCACATACCGAGGATCAGATAATACGAATAAAACGCGCCTCGAGCCCAGATATTTTATGCACCTTAAAATAAAATGAAATTTCCACTACAAGTAGCAAGAGGGGAAGCAATTCGCCGGGTTTATTTGGCATCCCCGGTTCCTCTTTATGTCAATGTCAATTCACGGAATAAGCGGATGGAGAGCTAGAACAGTATCCGAAACCCCCTTTAACCAGGAACTGAATTTGGTGCTGCCCTGAATCTACAAGTGGCTATATACTTGAGTAGGTATATCATAATAAATGCTCTCAGCGATGTGCAAAAGTGGGGAATGGCTCGTAATATGAAATCTGCTCGTGTGCGTGCAGCGAACACCCGCGAGCTGTGGGTCTGTCTGCGAAATGAGCCGTGGGATGCCCGCTGTTAATCTCGTTTCTGCCGACCCACTCGTACAGCAATTAATACCGCCTACATGACTGTTTGTTCTGGTTGCGTCTGGCAGAAGACACAATAGGGCGTATGAAGGATGCGGCGAGACGGTCAAGGAAGTGACCAATACGCCCCGTTGAGACCAACTCGTACGATTCAAGGGGTACACAAGTATGCTCGGCGCCATCGACTTTGAGAGCCAACGCCGTTTTATACGGATGTGGATTTTCTCGTAAAAAGATCGTTAATTTGAGGTAATAGAGCGAAATCTGCATGCAGACCTGTAATGCAGTTTTATATTTATTTTTAATTATATTATTTATGCAAATTTTATCGTGTTTGGAATATGCAGAAAATATTACACGGGGCCATTTGAATATTCCAATGTATACGCAGTAAAGTGATAATAAATTCTGGCACTTTGGGGGAAAATATCACAGACCCCTACTGTACTTGGAGTGTCTCATCCTACCCCGCTCTTGCCCAGAGCTCTATCTCTTTCCGAACAAACCCAAGAAACAGTGGACCTGCTGTAGAGCTGTGGTTTCAGGCACACATGAGCATGTAGCTAGAGAAGACCAAAAGTAGAGATTCCTCCGGGGTCTGGAGATGCATTGGTATGTTGCGGCAGAAGACTTGTTTCAGCCGGATTGCACCGCCGCTCTTCGCTTGTGTTTTCTCTGCCCCGCAACCTGGCATCAGCGTTGCGCTACTGTAGCAAGTGGGGGCCGTTAGCTACAGGGTGAGACAATCAGCTGATAAGTGCGTTTAAACGAGTGGAGATGATGGGGGTGTCTGTTGAGGGTAGATGGAGGTCAACTAGAGTCTTAACTGCGGATTTGAAGCTGGGCGGCGACTGTTAGTGACTGACAACCAATAGTGCAACCGCGCAAGAGGTGAATATGGACGACAGGGGATAAGTTTTGCTCCCAATAACGGGGGAAAAATGTTGTTTCGCACCAGTCCATGGCTCGCTCTTACGACCCACCGTTGAAGTGGCTTGTGCTTATCGATACAAGGACTACTTGTAGCTACACAAGGTAATAAAATGTCGGTCTACCCCACTTTGTGTCTTGTCTTGGTTATTTTGTGGGGTATGCATTTTTCCAAACGCTGCTACTGGCGGGCCTGATGGGTTTGCGCGAGAAGGTCTTTTTGGCCGCAGAACCTCCAAATCAAGTCTCGCAATATTATCTCCTTTGGCTTCCAAACACGCCGTATTGGGCCGCTCTTTTGGCACGCCCCTACCGCGATATCCCTGCCTTGATGATCCTGTAGATCTCGGGTTGCAAAAAGAAACATGCGTCCCAGTGTTCGAATCGCCTCCCCAACCTTTAAGCTTACCGGGACCCTTGTCGGGTTACAGGGGTATTTGTTGGGGTGTTCAGGGCGGAGTAGATGTGGGTGTCATAAATTGGATAAGATCCATGCTGACAATTACAGACTCCATGTACCGCCTTCCACTTTAGCCCTATTTCTGCGCTGCCGTTTGTCCCCTGTATCACCGGTTTAGATCCTCAAACAAGGGTGCTACGTGGATTCAAACAAGGTTCCCACAAGGTTCGTCACCGTAGAACTTGTACTTGGAGAGTGGGAGAGACTGTGTTTGCTGGGGATTGTACCGTGGATCTTTTGTTGGCGCTTTCACGAGCTCCCTGTGAAAAATAACCAGTGTAGAAAATGCGGCCAAAAACAAAAAAAAAAAAAAACATGAATAAAACATAAAAAACAAAACAAAACCATGAAAAAACAAGAAAGGATCCTGGACTATGGGTCATAACAGCTGCAATATATATAATTCGAGGCACGACAGTGTCCCCATGGCAGTCATAAATGCCCAATTAGTCTAGCTGTACTTTGTGTCAGACAGACTACAAGTAACTGCCGCTGGTACAGGATGCACAGAGTGTATCTATGATAGTGTGGAGAGCGAGGATGGGAAAAGCGCAAAACCAAAGCACGATGATTAGACAAAATAGACAAAACGAAAAGAAAAAGAACGGCAAAAAAAAAAAAAAAAAAAGGGCAAAAAAACAAACTGAAACCGAATATCGTAATAATTCGGAGTCATCACCCTAAACCAGAAAAGAGAGAGAGAAATACACAAAATTGTCACACCACTAGAACCAAGCTGAAAGATTCAGCGAAGGGCGGGTGTGTGAAACGGATTGCAAGACCCAACAGTTAGTGTCCAACTCACTTTGCTTTTTCCAGACATTTTTCAGTTACACTTGACTTGCCTCTTTGCACTACAAGTAGCTCAGACCTTGACAGCACTGTTACTCGCTACACAGGGTTTAGCGGCTTCCCCTCTTGTCTTGTGTGGGTGTGGAAAGATATATAGAAGCAGGAGGGACGTGACTTTCGGCACATCCACGACTATCACGACGATCCCACTCCCCGATCCCTCCATTCACATGCGCGACGAGAGTGTGGCCAGCAGTGGTGTCCGTGGACTCAATTACACAGACACCAGCAGTTACTCAACCACCACCAACGCCCTCCGCAGCAACAACGGCCGCAGCAACAACTCTACTTATGCCAGCAGCATGTATAGCACCAGCAGCTCGCACACTAGCTCCGCTCTGGACACGCTCCACCAGACCCGCCGAATGGCTCTGGACCGTCTCAAGGGATGGCGCAAGTCGACCGCGAGTCCCAAACCCACACCTCAGTCTGCAGCTGCACTAGGTGCAGGCCCACAAATAACCTTGCAGCCGCTGCAATGCAAGGCTAACGCTCGCGAGCCCCTGCAACAAAGAGATATCACCGATCCCAGGAGTCTAGCCTACCAAGCCAATAAGTATACTGTCTCAGATAATGCGTCTATTATAAGGAGACACCGTCCGGATCAACGCTCTCGGAACCAGAACGATTTCAATTTAGCCAGCGAAGACCCTTTCAGCGACTCCTGCTCTCTCAGACCGTCGTCTACTAGACCCTCCACAGCAGCGGCATCCAACACCTCCACCAACAAGAGACTCTCTGTCGCGTCCAACTTCTCTCTGAAACCCACCCCTGCTCCTCCAAGTGCGACAGCTCAGAGTATCCCCTGTGACAGTCCCCGACTCCGTCAATCGAGCTTTTCCGAGCGACCAGCTACAGCTAACATCCCCCATTCCCCAGACCTGTCTACAATGACCACCCTACCCAGAACCTACACAACCCGGTCGCAAAGGATCCGCATTCCTCAGAATCCCGTATCCTGCTGGGACGACGACGAAGATGAGGAAGAACCCAAGAAGGGACTTTTCAACCGGTTCAAGTCAACTCGTTCTTTCTCTTCCAGAAAGGCCTCCATCAGCAGCACAACAGAGAGCATTCAATCTGCCCCTGCACAGTCCCCCAGCATCAAGAGCGTGAGCCCCAAGAACTCTAAGACGCTCAAGCCGACCAAGAGCGTCAAGAGCGTCAAGAGCGTCAAGACCGCCAAGGCGGCGCCCAAAACCAAGTCGTCCAAGAAGGGCAGCCTGGGCAACAAGTTTGGCATTGATGACCTGGGCGACTTTGAGTGGAACATGCACGCATACATGGAGGGCGATGAAGAGGGTAGCGACGCCGAAATCGAGGCGGCCCTCAGACGTGTGCGAGAAGCGGAGGCTAACGAGGCCAAGGAAACCACCCCCACCCCCACTTCGCACACAACCACAACCACAAACACCACAACTTCTACCCGAGTTTCCACCTCCCACAGCACTCCCACTCCCGAGTCTGTGTCCATTCCCATTTCTGTCGCAAGTTCCAAGGTCTCTCCTGTTCTGCCTCCTATTTCTCCCTCGCAATCTCTTGATCTCGGTCTGGAGCCCACTGCCACCCCCACCGCTGTGCACAACGAACGGATTGAGAACGAAAACATCAAGCTCAACGGCAGCCCCAACTACGCTCGAGAACACGTGGCCAACCTGCTCCGTCGACGCGCAAACTCCGGCAACCAATCTCCTGTTCCCCAGACTCCCGTCCCTCAGGTGGTTGCCCCCGAGCAGTGTCCCTGGGACACATGGAAGTACACCTCCAACCACCACACATACCAGATCACTCCTCCGGATTCCACCCGAAGCAGCCACGTGTACGCTTCGGACGCTGCCTACGACACCTCCCACCACTCGATGGTGCTTCCCGAGTCTCCTGTTCAACTCCAACCCACGTCTTCCACCTCGTCTTCGTCCTCTGACCAGACCAAGTGGAATGACATTTCGGCAAACATTGCGCTGATCCAGCAGCAGATTCAGGAAATGTCGCCTCGATCACGTGAATTGGCTCGTGGCTTTGCCGCCAAAGAGCTCACCAAGCCTGCGACCCTGGTTACTCCAACCACCATTTCTCCTGCCACCTTTGCAACCCCTCCTCCCCGACCCTCCAGAGACAATGTCGAGCTGCCCGAGTGCTTCTCCAAGCCCTTTTTGACCATGACCAACAGTCCCTCAGTTCGACCGTTGCCCCGACGACTCAACAAGCTGGGTCCTGCATTGGAGGAGAGTGATGCTTCTCCTGACTCTTCTCAGAGAAGTTCGGTTAGTACGAGATTGAGCACTGCTCCTAGCAGTCCTGAGCCGGATATGCGGTGTTTTATCTAAACGAAGCTGCCTAAATGAAGTTGCACAAACACACGAAGAACTGTATGGAGTGCAATGAGAGTTTTGCCAGCTGAGTGGAGCATTTATAACTCTTGGGTGAAATGATTCCCTATACCCCATTCATGTGTACCTTTGAGGACACCTCCAGCACCTTGTGCCAAGTAGACTATTTTATTTATCGTGATTATGATTAAGAGCCGAGTAGATGAGGGAGATGAGGTGCAGTAAGTACCAAGAGTTGTACGATAGTTTTATTCCTATGCATCAGGAGATGAGACTCCGGAGCGACTACTTGTAGTACAGAGTGAATCTGACGTAACCCTGATTCGGTGCGTCTCTTTGCATCTTTGCTATCTGATACGAGTTGCGTCGATACGTCTCATCGGTGTCAACCACTGTACGATACGATGCGATACGAGGAGACTCTTCTGTAGATAGCCACAGACATAACTGCATGTATGCATTCCGCTCTACTGGCATATATGGGACGATACGGCTGTGTTTTTGTTGGTTTGAGATCTGAGTCAGGGGGTTATTATATTTGATACAGTGCTTGTTGGTGCTTGTAGAATGCTGTGTATACCGAGCCCACGGAGTGTCAGTTCTAGACCGCGCTAAAATGATCGAACCTGGTTAGTGAGAAATGTCTTTACTTTTTGCGTCTTCTCTGAAACATTTCTTTTCTGTTTGCTTTTTAGTGTGGGGATGTCTTAGCGGTGCAGGTTGGTGCAGTCTGACCAAGATACGTTGTATTAGTTGGCATTTGTTCGGAGTATTAGTTAGAAGATACAAGAGTTCCAAGTACAAGTGACAAGATTAGTTGGAGGGACTGAAGACATCAATAAGTGCAGTACAAGTTGTACTACGATACAGAATGGATGGAGTAAACGGAGAAGATATAAGTGTTGGAATGGCACAAACTGTGTCTCCACCTCGTGCTCGTCCACGCTCATCTCATTAGTTTCAGAAGTGGCATGTCTCGGAGCAATTTTCGATTATTCATCATCTTTGTTTTGACGATCGAAGAATGTGCAGAAATGCGAGAAGAAAAATCACAGAGGAAATAACTGACCGACGAAATCAGGAAAAAACCTGAGAGTATCACTCGTCTAGTCGACTTAAATCCCCTCTCTAGCAGATAGGCAGCTAAATACACCAGTTGGTTTAATTTTTTTGTACGATGCTGTACATACGGTACGAGTACATACTGTAGTGTTCATTGCTGCTGGTTCTTGTTAATGTGAAACCATGGTCTCAAAAGTCGGACTAAGGCTTGTCCAATAGAAATGAGACAGTCACAGTTTCCTGAACAAAGCCTTGTTTCAGCTGAGTAACCAGAATATGTCCGAAGTGGTGCATTAGCGCTAACGCACCAGCAGATATTACGGTCACGAGGTCCCACCAGGGTTTAGACCACGCTAACCAAGACAAGAGATGCCCAAGTATGAGTATGTACTGTCCTTGTACAGTAGACCGATGCAGTCTTAGTTGCGGGTCGTATTTGAGCGAGGGAGAGAGGGGGAGCGGGGGTTGACTATGACGTTCACTATCGTCAATCACCAACTATACACGGACCTATTGAGAATGATGGTGTCACCATACTAGAACGAGGAGAAGTTAGAAGAGAGATTCAGTACTAGTAGTTAAATGAGAGTCTTCGTTAAGAAAAACCTATGAGTACAAGTCGGTAGATGTAGGCCAACGGTGGCAGTGTTGGTTGTCTTTAGCACCCATTGATATCTGATATAATAATCGAAAAAGACACAATCAAGTGACAAGTGACAAATGAAGATGACAAGACATATTATCGCACTAATAATACGGGGAGACAACCCATTATTACCCCACAGAACCGTCTTATCTTATTATAATAACTATAGCAACGATGGTGTTTTCGTTCGAGGCTCAGTCTTTAGCTAATTGTATGAGTACGAGTACATACTACAGTACAGTACCGGTACAGTAAGACAACGAGTTCAATTGCAGCGTGCTATTTTTGAAAGATGGTTCTGGTGAGTTCGCTTGTCTGCAAATCAGTGCTGTAAAAGGACACTTTGTTGCTCAAAACTATTAAGCTTGTTGGACACGGCGCTGCTCTGTTTACTTAGCTAATGATGATCTCCTCTGATCTACCCGAAGATCCTCCAGGGTTACGTGATCAACAGTGGGGTTCGGTCGATCCGAGGATCGTCAATGTCGTACTGTGCGGTACTCGTTGTACTGTAACTGAGGGATGGTGTAGCGTACAGTTCATACTGGTGTAGTGTACAGTTCATACTGTGTACCAGTCCAGTAGCAGTAGCGAGACGAGATTTGAAGGCAGGTGGTTCATGTAGAGGTGGTTGAAGGTCATTCGTGCTCGATATTCAATCACATACTCACCAGAAAAGTACGTACAGCGGTACTTGTACCGGTACAGTATGTACTGTACTTGGTACTTTCGTCTCTCAGGCACAGATCTGTCCACAATTGCCATTTCACAGATCTAGATCAGATCATCCATGATTCTCGATCCAGTGAGATTCCCATTGTCGGGGTCTGCCTATCACCAGTTGAAGACTGTGTGATCAGTGCTTTTGGGTGGATGGAGTGATTGAGACCTGGAACACAACTATTCATTTAATTAATGCCGTTCACACTGTTATGAACCTTTTCAACTAAAAACCAAATAACCTGGTCACATACCAACAAATATGGGGTCTCTGATAAACACATTAAACCGTCGTAAGGAGCGCAGAAACAAAAGGCCATGAGAGAAACAGTCAAGAACACCTCCAGCTCCGCAAATCACCTTCCCCGGCTACACACCCACACCTGCATGCATATCTAACATGCACATCATGCACACCATCTAAATCTACCCATTTGCAACAATCACCAAAAACTGATACCAATATGGATGAACGGGATCACGTGAGAGATCAGAGCGATGTGAATGAAAGACACAATAATTCATCACCTAATCACGTGGACATACCTCCACAACCACGTGATTCACATCTCAGTCCCAAAGTGAAACACACGATAAACGAACTACGCGACAGAACGCGATTGTCACGTGATAACATACGATCACGTGAGGCATCAAGGCCACATTTCCCAGGAAACTCACCCGGGAGCTACGAATTCCCCTCACGTGATCGCAAACACAGCTCACACGATGTTCCATCTCTGCTTACTACGATATCAGCCCTTGAAGCGCGATTAACTGGCAAAGATGCAGAGATTGGTCATCTTAAAACCGAGTTAACCAAAGCCCATGAAATCATCGAAACGCTACGGGCCCAAAAAAGTGGGACTCCTGTTGGTCACGTGACCCTGGAGGACCACAACAGCCAGCTGGCTGCATCTGCCAAGCAGCTTCATGAAATTTACGGACAAAAGGTTATGAGCAAGGTGCAAAAGTACCGTTCGCGCAAGCAGAGTCAGGTGAAGTCGTTGAAAGATCGTATTTCTTCGTTGGAATCCGCTCTTCGTGACAGTAGGAGGGAGAACAGTGAACTAGTGGCTGCTGTCGATGAGTACATTGATGTCAGTAAGACCTGTGATGACGGGTAGAGTCAATACGAGGTGAGGGGGAAAGTAAATGCATAATTGGTTGTATTTTAGACTGTCAGTGTGGAGACAGGACTGTATGACACTTGGTGTCACTTGTTTCAGGGGTTTGACAGGTGCATACATACAATTCCATCTTGCAGTAGCGCTAGATACAACAAAAGCCCCTATTAGAATGATTGTAACAATGTAGGGAGTTAGTAGGTGTTCAAAACAAACCATTCAAAGCGCTTTGATGGATTATCATCAACAATATTTGATCAATAATCACATAATCAGAAGAGATAAGGTTGCATAACCGTTAGTTAGTTTCTGAATGTCTTCTAGTTAGAGTTGATTAAGTAAACACCGGCTGAAATGGGAGGCTCTAGCTTGTGCTGTAGATGAGATAGGGGGTAAATAATTTACCAGTTACTTCTTAATATCCACCTTAGCACATGGTTGAAATTTCACACCCATAGTCCCACAAATACGCTATGTAAATACTCTTTCCAAAAAAGCACACAACCCCTTTGTTTCTAAATTGCCTTCTTCCCGTCACTCTAAAATTCCCCACCAGACGGGTCGCACCTAAGCGAGACATTAATTAAACTGTGAAGTGAGAGTGTGGACTTGTGTCTTTATCTTGCGGAAGGAATGAGGTGGACAAGAAGTCGGTTGTGTTTTCGGATAGCTGGAGTCGAGAGGAGTAGATTGCAGGATTTCTTTTAGTGATACGACGAAAACTGGACCCTTTACTAGAGAACATAGATTTGACAGGTTCCTGTGCATGTACTATAGCAACTTATAGCGTGGATGGGTCCTTGATACAACAAAAGTTGCTATAGCTCGGGCTCTCGTGCTTTCGCATGTATCGCACGTCGTCCGTGGCCTATGACGCACGTGCTTGAACTCGTTCCGGGGTCTTCTCTCCGTTGCTCCACGGACAAGAGGCAGCCAGCAAAATCATACGATTGTGGCCGGATTAGACGGTTAAGTTCGCTTACCTAAGCCCCATCCACTACTTCACAGAGTTGAGTTTGGCAGGGGTCTGGGAGTTGCTCCCTGTGTTTGTTCTTCTCGTATGTCCTGGTGCCTGTAGCTACATACATAAAGGGCACGGCTTGCAGGGGCTTGCAGAGCCGGTACAGGCAGGAAAAATAAAAGGGAGATTAGACAAGGCCGGAGCTAGACGGGGAAGGCTAAGGGTGGGGCAAGACAGACAAACAGCTACAGTACAAGTAGACTGCGGCTATGTTTTGATATGGCGGGGGCTTGGCCAATACTAGCTGCGGTGGATACGACGGGATCTGTAATTCGCGCAGTTCATGTTACTGGGCTTGGGAAAGGCAAGCCAGCTCGACTGCCGTTCGCTTTTTCACGCTCGCCACAGCGAAGCATTGCGTTTTATCCGTTGCCTTTCATTGTATTTGCGGCTCTCCTGTCTGCAGGGAAGCAAGGGATGTGGTGATCGACATGTTGTCAGAGATCTACACGAGCTAATGTGGGGATCGCCACGATGATCGTCGACATCTTGGCGTCACGTGATGGACCCTGCGGAAGACCAATTGCACTAATTGGTTTTGCTTTACTCCTGGCATTGGTCGTGCTGCCCCATTGCCTCTTTTGTACAGGACGAGGGGAGCTCTTGTGGGCCAGTAGTCTGAAGCTAGCCCACAAAGCGGGCTTTCTTGTGACACGGTTTCGCCGAAAGTCGTCTGGCTTTGGATTTTGTGGCCTGCCGCCGGCTTTCCAGCCAGTCTTTATTTTCGCAGGGTATTTTCTGCACCTTCCATCTCTCTTGGTCTGAGACAGGGGTGTATGTATAGCAGTATTTTTTGGAGTCAGCAGATCAAGCCATGTGGGGTAACGGTAGCGACTCTGTGTGGACAGAGAGAATTGCTAGAGAGAAAATAAAAACAGATATGGGATTCTGGCGGCCGGAATAGTTGATTTATCCCTTCAATTTTGCAATACCGCCGTTCCATCGTCTTAAAACACAACACCCACCCGTAGACAGACTTTTAACTCGCCTGACATAGTGTGGTTTTAGCTCGGTCCATTTTGCCGGATGCTAAAAGGCTACTACCGGTAGCCAGATGGCGGTGATAAGTGTGTGTATAATGGGAGGTGATTGAGACCAAGGGTCAACAGAATTTTCAGTGGAGAAGGTCAGATCTATATGTATGCGTGTGCGGGTGTATACCGGCTCTGCGGTCGCCAATTTGACCTACAACCGGTTCGTTTCGTCTCACCGATTCCCCACACCCTTGTCAAGCTTTATATCTCCAGACGCAGCTCTAACAGGGAGGGGTCAGGTAGTTTTGACCCATCATCCAGGCCTTGGTAGAAAGACACAAGTGTAGTGCGAGAGACGTTGTTTTTCTCCGACTACTTTTCCACTAAGGCTATACCTCTTCTCTCAGCTCGGCATCCAGCTCTCTTCTCTGCCTCCCACAACCATACGCCGCACTGCGTATTGGCACACTGCGAACGAGACATAACAGTGAGAGAGACGCACCACAGTCAGAGACATTACGACGACATCTACAACACATCAGCACACCGACAGACTCCCGTTCCACGGAAATAGACGGGCGGACAGGAACACAAGCGGCTCTAGTTGCACACACACACACACACACACACACACACACACAAGTCTGCTCACACGAGACACCAGTTGACCACCGGTTTCACACGCACCGATCATCGGCTATCACTCATACGACTGTCGCCCAAAATACCCCACCATGGGAGTCTCTAAAACACATCCGCCAATGCCCACGCTCAAGGACTCGTACACGCTGTGGGCCAACCAGATGGCGGTCAGCACGCCGTCGTCGCCGCCACAGCAAAACAGCGTCTTTGGCCAGGGCAGTGACTCGTCGCTGAGGTCGACTCTGGGCCTGCGCAAACGGCGGGACAAGCGAGCGTCCGTATCGTCGCTGTCGTCGCCCACCCGCTCCATGTCGGTGCGCCGGACCGCGAGCGCCTCCATGGGCCCTCCGTCAATCTCAAACGGGACTAATGGCACTCTTCATCCCTCGCCTCCAAAGCGTAACGCCTCACTGCATATTGCCAAAGTTAAATCTGCTTCAGACGACAACACTGTGAACGGAACCTCTCTGCCAGGCTACCTCCAAAACTCCGCATCCCACGCCCGGGTGCCGTCCAACTCGTCGTTCAACTTTTCCCAGCACTCGCGCACCCCGTCAGACGTGTTTGCGCCAGACCACATTTCGCTCCACCAAAAGACTGACAGCATGTCGTCCAACGACCTGGACACGCTAGAGCAGCTGGTCCAGCCAGACCTGTCCATGCCAGAAAAGGCCACCGCGTCGCTGGACCAGCTCTACAACATGCTGGCCGAGCGCACCGTGCAGCTCTCACACAACTCGTACCAAAACACCCAGCTGTGGGCTATGGTCAATAAGCAACGGCAGATGATTCTGGACCTGCAACGGGACCTCGACAGCTCGCTGGAAGTGAACGCCCGATACAAGCGGAGGCTTCTGAGAGCCACGGGAGAGCGAGACAGCACAAACGCCACCGCCAGCAAAGACACCAGCTCAACAAACGCCACCACAAACGCGTCACCTCCCCCTACAGCAACCAACACATCCACAGGTAACTCCATCCCTGGGAATGCCTCCAGTACCGCAAACGGCAGTGTAACTACCGTGGTTCCAACCACTGCCGCCACATCGGCCGTGTCATCTTCTCTGCCACCACAATCTGACGACAATAATTCCACTACTGCCACCTCTGCAAAGAGCGCCGTAAGCTCCACCCCTTCGCCCAACGGATCGACATCCTCTGTCGCCACATCCATCAACAACACCAGCGCCGGCAGTAACAATGGAGGCGCAACCACAGCTGCCTCCAAGCACATTCCCCAACCCATCGTGCCCCTGCCCTACCCCTTGCCAGCAGTCTCGTCGGCTAGAGAACCCAAGGGCTTTTCGTTTGAGGAGGACCGCGACAACAGCAAGACGCACCGCAAGACCAAATCAGACACGCTCAATGATGACTCATTTCTGGTACCGGAAAAGTCGCCGTCTCGAGACCCCCGTCTGCGCTCCAAAAAGAGCATGGCCTCCGTCGTGTCTTCTGACGACAACACCCTAGGCGCCGTGTCCATGTCTAAATCTGCATCTATGGGTGCGGCGGCTGCTCCCACTACTCCGTCGCTACCCCCTCCTGCGCTGGCTCCCGAACCTATCACTCTGTACGTCAAGCCCACAGAGTTGTCTACGATTCGTGTGGATGTGGCCTCCTCACTAGGTGTGGCCCGCAAGAAGGACACCCCAGTGGTCGTGCTGTCTGTGTCGGACAGAGCCACTTCGAAGGTTTTATGGCGATGCAGCAAGGAATATAATGCCTTTGTTGCTCTGGACAATGCCATTGCTCCCCAGATTCCATCCTTCAAAACGAAAATCCCTGACCGGTCGCTCTTCACGTCACACGCCCCCGCTAGAGTCGATATTCGAAAGGATCAGCTCAATGGCTGGTTTGGTTCGCTGTTGGCTATTCCCAGGCTGCCTTCTTCTGCTGCTCAGACACTGTGCGAGTTTCTGTCTACTAACACCATCGACCCTCTGGATGTGCCTGATGGAGATGCCCGTAAGGAGGGCTTCCTCACTAAACGAGGCAAGTCGTTTGGTGGCTGGAAACTGCGGTACTTTGTGCTGGATGGACCCATGCTCAACTACTATGAGTCGCCCAACGGGCCCCATCTTGGTGCTATTCGGCTCTACAATGCCCGAATCGGACGGCAAACACAGGAAGAGGACTCCAACTCCGAGGACGCGTACCGACATGCCTTTCTGGTCATGGAGCCCCGCAAGAAGGACTATGTTCGGCACGTGCTGTGTGCTGAAAACGACCGCGAGCGAGATGACTGGATTGAGGCGCTTCTTGAGTTTGTGACGCTGCCCGAGCCGGAGTCGCCCATCAAGTCCATTCATTCACCAGCCATCACCACCGTCCCCACCAACACCAGCACTCTCAACGCCTACGGAGAATCCATCTACGATGAGTATTCTGAGGCCCCCACCCCCACGCTTCCCACAACTGAGGCTATTGATTCTGTCATGGAGTCACAAATAGGCACTGGTCTGGGTATTGATGTCGGTAGCAGTGAGACTGTTGGTAGTGGTAATGGCAGTGGAACACGCATCAACACCGGTTCTGGGGTGGTTACTAGCTCTTCGAACAGCCGCATTTCAGCCCCCATTGCGTCGGAGCCCATCCAGAACCTGCAGAAGTGGGGTTACAAATACTCGCCGTCTTCCCAGTCGCTCAACGCACAACTCCAGAACGACGGAATCGACGACCACGTGAGTCTCTCCCCCAACCACAATATACACTCTACTCCTATCCAGGCTCCCGTTCCCGAGGTCAAAGAGAAGAAGAAGTTCTTCCTGTTCCGAAAGGGAAACTCGGACCGCCAGCATCAGCAGCAACAGCAGCACACGTCGACACCCGAGTACCTGCAGTCGGTGCTTGAGGCTGAGGGCATGATTCAACGTGAGGAGCGACCTACCACCCCGTCGCTCACCACGCCCACACAGTCGCAGTTCGACGGCAATGACTACCACCAGGGTGGCGTGTTTGGAGTTCCCTTGCTGCAGGCGATTGAGTCGTCTAGCAAGGATATTGACGGCCATGTAGTGCCGTCGGTTGTCTGGCGATGCATCCAATACCTGGACGATCAGAAAGCGCATTTCGAAGAAGGTATTTTCCGACTCTCCGGTTCAGCATCCGCCATTCGAATTCTCAAGGCCCGCTTCAACGACCATTACGACATTGATTTGGTGTCGGATTCGTCGACGGTGTTTGATGTACATGCAGTAGCCGGTCTACTGAAACTGTTTCTGCGGGAGATGCCGTCTCTGATTCTGACGCAGCAGCTGTCGCCGGCGTTCCGACGGGCCATGGAGATTCCGGACATCGTGAATCGAATCTACGAGCTCAAAACGCTCGTCAAGCAGCTCCCCGCCGAGTCGCGTGACCTGCTGTTTGTGCTGGCACAGTATCTGTGCAAGATCATCGAGCACCAGGATTACAACAAGATGAACCTGCGCAACGTCGGAATCGTCTTTTCGCCAACGGTTAACGTGCCCGCTGGCATTTTCGTGCTGTTCCTCACAGACTTTGATTGCATTTTCGGAGACGCTCAGCCCCGCACGGACATTAATAGAAAGTTGCAGGACTTTCCACAGGCTTTATTGGGTTAATTAATTGATAATGATGGTATTGATGTATTGTAATTGCTAGAACAAAGTACTTGTAGGAGTATATATATGTGCACTACATGTGCTTGCTAGTTTTTCCCACTACTCGTAGTTATTAGGGCCTCGTTTTATATATCGTACAAGTATATATGGTGAGTATCAGACAGCAGCTGTAGTCATATTACAAGCAGTTACAAGTACAAGTGCGTACTGTACAGTACAGTATGTGCTGTAGTGTGTACTCGTACTCTCAATCTCGAGAATAATAAATTTATTAGTACAGAAGTTTCCTCCACCAAATTATGTTGCGCGGTATAATGCCGGTTAATAACGCCAAAAGATACCAACCAAACGGTTGCAGTTAACTAGCGATGTTAACTCAACGAACTTATCCTGATGTCCCCACTCGCGCTACAGTACTTGCAGCATCCTTATTTACGTCCGCCAATAGCAAGGTTGTCCTGCTCGTACAGATCCTTGACCTCGCCGAAAATCTTTAGCAGACGGGAAGCGTTGGACTCGTTCTTCTTCTTGGCGAGATCGTTGTAGTGCTGCTTCTTGGACTCGGGAAGAGCGGACCACTCGGCGATCGTGGACTTGAGCTTGTTGTCCTCCAAGACTCGAGTCTGGTCCTTGAGTGCCTCTGCCAGGTACACGTTGAGACCGGACAGCTTGGGGTATCTGATGGTCTTGTAGTCGTACTTATCGTACACATTGCCCTCTTCAGAGGCGTCGGGGCCGTATTGTCTAGCAATCTCAGCCTTCTCAGAGTCGGACATAGCGGAGTACCGCTTGGCAAGCTCGGGCAACTTGGTACCAGGGTTCTCCTTGGACTCGGACTTGAGCCAAGCGGTGTAAGGGGGAAGACGGTCTCGGTTGGAGTTGTAGAGGATATGTCGTCGCAGAAGTCGCACGCGGTCCATGTTGAGGGTGTCGGCCTCCGTCTCGAAAAGTCGGGTCATCTCGGTCTTGTTGAGCTTGCCGTATTTGCCTCGGTCCTCCTTGGTAGCCTTGTAGGGAGTCACCTTGGGGGCCTTCTTAGCAGCCTTCTTGGCAGTCGTGGGAGCCTTAGCCTTGGATGCCTTGGTCTTAGTGGCAGCCTCCTTGAAGAGCGCCGAGAATGTAGAGAAGGGTCGGGCGAATTTCACTGGGTTAACATGGGAAAGAATGAAGATGGTAGAAGAGTCAGTTGTTCAATGCGTGGCACAGAAATAGCAATGATACTGGTTGAGGCAGTTGCAGGAGACACAGACAAGTCGATGGTCCTGAAGGTGATCACACCGATGAACAAACGGTCATAACTAGTTGAAAAGTACCTTAATCGACGCGTCAGATGAATGTATCATGTTCAGATTCATGCTCGGGCTCAACGTTAGCTTCAGCACGTAGCCTACACTCCAGAATCAAATGGTTCCTTTCATCTCTGCACTGTCTCAATTGTCACAATGTGAGTAGATGAGGCCACAACGTGTTCCAAGTGGCAAAGAACCACATCTAGCAGCCTCCAAGGTTCAATTACTACCGCCAGTTGCCTTTAGCTGTCGTACACCAGATACTGCAACCGAGTGAAGCAACAGTGGTTCATAACTTGCCCCGTATCATGCTTTCAACCTCTATTACCACGTAACAACCAAGTCGCAGATATCGCACAATCCGGTTTAGTGCAGCTTTCTGCAGTGTTCGCGGCAGCTCCATCCATCTCCAATAGTACTCACTCATCTTGTGTGTGTTGTGTTGGTAAAGAAAGAGCACACTGGAGCAGTTCAGCCCAATGTTTTTGGTTTGTGATACCCTAACCCCCTGCCTGCAGCTGGTCGAACGGGGGGAGAGGGCGTGATGAGCGCGTTCGAGAGAGATTGGGATATGGAAGAAAGAATGGTTTGGTTGGATAGCTCCTCTTGTGAGATTTAAGTCTTTATATTCTCACTGTATATATTCCCCATCCGGTATGATACTATTTCTTTGGTGTTTGGTCTGCCAGTTGAGGCATTGTCTATTCAACCTAAAATCCCCACTGCGTGGGTCTCGATGTTTGATTACGAATATGAGATGCACAGCAATTGAAAATGCGAAGAGTAACGGAGCAAAAGTGAGCCCTCGAATCACAGTGGAGTACGAAGGCTTGCTACTGGGGAAGTTCGGACATAAAATTGATGTAAATTGACGGAGAATTGGCCGATTGAAATGCTGGTGGGACTGGAGAAACCGCCTTGAGCAGAGCTACACGTGGGTATCGCCCAATCATCGTGTCCACAACAACATTGGGCATTTTGAGAGTCTTCAAACCCACATTTTATTATGAAACAGCTACTTTACAATACTGGTATTCTCGCACGAGTGGTCACGCGATTCTACTAATAGCACGGAGTTTATTTGCTGTTTCAAACTGTGTCGTCTTCGACGTGAAGTGGGTGGAGGGGAGAATGGTGTTGGTTGGAGCGTTGTGTGGCGTATTGATGCTCCACCGACTGATTTTTTGCTTTGGGGTGTTTTTCTGAGCCAGAAATGCCGTCCGGGTTGTCCAAACAACAGCTTTAGTTGGCCAGTGTTATATTTGGGGTTCGGTGTTTAGTTGCTGAGTATTGGCGTCGTTCTTTTGTTGAGCTACAGTATTTAGTTAAGTCCAGTCTTCTTTTGTTAAATAGTTGAGTTGCGGTTTTGTTTAGTTGTTGAGAGAAGCTACTGTAAGTGAACAGAACCTTCAAAAGCAGCTGCTGAACCCCAAATGTGTGTTTGAATACTGTAACGACGTACAACTCACGTCAAAGGATGTAACGTACTGTACCAAAACTAGCGACTTCCTGGTGGGCACTTGGTCCACATCAGAAAGAGCCCCCAAAACACTCCAATCAGTCACCACCAACATGTTTTGGTTACTCCGCTACAAGTAGCTGTTAAAACAACCAACAATTGTAGAAATTGGAAGCACGTTTCTTCTTCAACTTCATGAGCACCATCTACGACGACCAATGGTATATTGCGTACAGTATGTACTGTACCAGGGCCTGGCAGCTCTATGTTGACGACAATTGATTGTTTAGCATACATTCCAGAGTTTGTCAAACTGCTGAACACAGTCCTTTGAACCTCAGACGCAATAATAATGAAGTTCCTGAGCCAATAAAATATGATTAATGAAACATCTGTATGCTTCGGCTGCTATCTGTCTACCTCCATCGTCACATGAGAGTAGGGAACCACCTCAATCTTCCAAGCTAAGTACTGACCCATAACTACTTACATTTATTTCAATACGATCCTCCCCCCAGCTATGGTCTTCTGGTTGTTGGCCAGAAGGGTCGGGGGGTGGCATCGTCGATCTCCTGTTTTCAGAAAATATCTGAGCTACAAACGTGATGTCGCAGTTTGGGAGTCTCGGAAGCCCTCGGGAGGCGAATGAAGAAGGCAACTGAGTCTTCAAAATATGTTTGTTCTTTACCCCTCTGCCTATTTATGTATTCGATAATTTCTTGTCTCTGCCTCGAGCATTCTATCTCTTTGCCAGGCTTGTAGCAGTCCCTCATTATAGCATACCCTCGGTTGGAGGGTCAATTCAGCTATCACCTCCAGTCACTCACTTCATCTTGAATTGGTTTCTCTTTACTGTAATTCCTTTCTTGAGTTTTTATGTCACTTCTGCCGACGTCACTGGCAACCCAGGTCTCTGAAACAGCTTTCGTACCCTCAAGCCCCATCCCCATGCCGATGTTTTGGTTGACCAGCTCAAGATATATGCTGATGGTACATCCCACGAAGAGGAGAATCTCTGTATACGTAGGATATATCCTAGAGTTCACTGTGATCATTGCCCAAGGTCACTCCTGCCCAGATTGTTGCTGACCTCGCCCTGAACCACAACTTTGCCAAGTACAAATATGTCTTGACCTATGGACCCCAGAATTGATGGGAAGCCATGTTTGTAGACAACGTCCGGAGAATTTATGAGGCCTTGGACTGGCGTCTCATCTTCCTTGAGGCTCCTCCTCAAAACGCTCAAAAGTACGGATCTGACATGAACGCAGTCTATCGACTTTGGGATTCCCAGGAGGTTGCTTGGTTCAAAGAAGAGCAAGACGGCGTTCAAATGATTATCCATTGGCCTCCGTCAGTTTCGTGTCAGCAGGCTCGAACTGCAATTGAAGTACCCATTTGCAATACCCACCTCTGCTTATGTTTCGGAGACTACTTCGGGGACTGCTAGGACTGATCCTGCCTTAAATTCAGATTCAGCTTCTAACCCAGCCCCTTCCTCTACTCATACGGAGACTCAGCTACTTCGTCTGAAGACTCTAGTTCCAACAGCCGATCTCCTTCTTCTACATCAGTCTTTGATACTTCTCTCTCCGCCACTTCCGCGTCTAGTGTTCCCGTGTCAAGTGCTCCCTCTTTCTACGACAGCCGGGTCCACCTCACGCAATTCCACAGCTTCCTGGTCAAGTCTTTCAACCCAATCTAGCATCATTGTAACCCCAACATCAGCTGGATCTTCAATTAGTTCAAACGCTACTGATTCTATCTCCGACGCTTCCGGTGATGTTTGTGATTGTTCCGACTCCGGCAACGTTTCCAACGGTTCTGAAATTTCTGCTTCTAATGGCCAGCAAACCGGTGGTATATCTGGTGTCTCTAACAAGGCTTCAAGCGGCTTCAATTAACTCGCCTTCCGACTCCAATTCGTTCTTGAACTATCACCAGCCTCGACAAGAAACTGTATAATACTGCTCCCGCAGGCTCTCCGGCCTTGGTATCAATCCACGGAGAGGTCGAACTCGCAAACGTGCACCAAAACCTGTCGACGTCCGATGGGATGTGAATCATCACGCGCGTTGACATACTATACCGGCAATAGAACAATACACTCAAGCAGATGATATTTGATACCAGTACATGAACGACCTCCCTGAATCTATATGACACAAAAATTTATCCATTTTTTTCACACCTTTCCTGTTTCTGCCTACCTCAACCCGCTTCCAAAAAAAAAAAAAAAAAAAAAAAAAAAAAACACTTCTATTGATGCATGCTTGATGCATGAATAATGCACAAACGACATTATCAGCGTATCTCAATCTTTTTCTTCCCCTTACACCGAAACTGGGTGATAAACGACATTCTGACCGCAATTAGGACGAAAACGGGATCCACTAGGCCCCCTGACTTGTCTGTTATTGTATATACAGCTCCCTTGCTTCCGGGTGACCCAAACTGCCCTCCTCCACCGACTCTGAGTCGCGAAAGCAGAGCCTTAGGTCACGTTTCTGGCCACCAAACCACGTTTCCATAACTATCACTGCGTCATATTTCCAACATATCTCTGACGACCAACCTAACGGATGTGCGATTCATACGTCAGCTACAGTGCGCCATTTACGGGTACGAGGACATCACGACCTGCGGTCTCGTGGCGGTCTTCAAGAACTCGTTTGCTGTTAACAGGTCTGTAGGCTCATTGTTCGGCAGAGCGAGTTTCATGCTGTTTGCACTTGGAGGAGTGGAGCTGGCCAAAAGAGATGAACAGGGTTTTTTGCTGTACAGAGATGGGGGCGGGTTGTTTGACGTTCCTCCGGGCTGCGGGCGGGGTCTCGACGCAACGTTGCCAACTCTGAAGCTGAGCTGGGAGTGGTGGCTGTGAAGGACTCATATGGTGAATTAACTACGACTGGGGGGGGTTCTAGAGTGGTAGCAAACCCTTTGTCGCTCATCTTAAGCATTGAACTCGTGGATGGCACCTCTAGACACCATATTGACGATCTGCATCTCAACGACATCACCTTTGGAAGAGTCCAAACTGCTGCCCATGTGAAGCAACAGCAGAACAACGACTGGGCTCATGTGGTTAACGTGAACAAAGGGATCGCCAACTTCTCCGAAGTTGTTCCCCAGCCTGCACGTGAGTTCCCATTTGAGCTAGAGACGTTCGAAAAGGAAGCCGTGTACCATCTAGACCAGTTAGACTAAGTATTTGTTGCTGCCAACACTTCTACCGGCAAAACTGACATTTCCAAGTCCGTCATGGGCTCAACGAAACATCACAATCACCATCTACACCTATCAAGGGTCTGTCAGACTTCAACGCTTAGTTTGACGACGTTGAATTCTCACTGGGGAAGTTCAGATCAACCCCTAGGCGTCTTCTTTGATTATGACGACCGGTATTCTCCATATGATGCTCTATCGAGGTGCTCAGCTGATCCGAGAGGTGGAAATACATTATGTCAACGATGCTGATCGAGGAGTAGTATGTGAGGAAGTGATCACCATACAACCCGAGCGTAAGTTCATCGTACAAAGCAGAAGGACATTTATGACATTCATTAGTACAGTACGCCCAAACAGTCTAATCCTTTGGTTCACTATCTTCAATACAACAACAAGATGTTGAGATTGTGGATAAGAACAACACCTTCGTCGAGGATGGATACAACCAGGCAATGCGAGTGAGGAGTAACCTCCCCCATCCCCCCGCCTACTGGCCCTGTAGCTTATAGGGGATATCAAGGAGGTAGGGTAGGAAAAGAGGTCGGGGAGGTGGACGAGGAGAATTTCCTGGGAGACTTTCCTCGGGTTCTCCTTTTCCCACGAAGAAAGCATTCACCCAGATGGTTACAGTGTTGCATGATAAAGATCTCTATCAAATGTGCACGTCCGTCTTTTCGCGAAAAATGTGTGAGCAGTTTCTGGGTACAGTACCTCTCTGGGCTCGATTTCTACAACAACCATGAGAAGACCAAAATCAAAATGCTCTTCGATGAGATTGTTACACGATGGTCTCATGTCGACAGAAATCTGCCCCAGATTGTGCCGATGTGGGCATATCTGTCTCTGAGTGTCGCTGTTCACCATGTCGAGTTTGCTGCCTATTGTAAAGGAGGTTGTCAAGATTCTGTTTGCCAGGTCTCTCTATTGTGTTCTGTTTGCCACTGAGATGTTTGCAGCGGATCTCAACTTGCCCACTCGAACTGCATTTGCCAGATGTCTAAAGCGCGATGGTAACAGTTTCGAAACCCTTCTTCCCCGAGAGTATACTCAGATGGCTGGTTGAGCTGTTCGACGAGGTCTTGACAAGACAGGAACGGTCTTCATTATGGTTTCTGGAGAGGTCACGCCAGAAAATTATCTCAAGGATATGATGCTGGGTGAGCACACTAAACTGGAGTCTTAATTCCGTCTCACCTACAGGATTCTGAATCTATTGCTAATTGAGGCCCTCAAGGTGGAAGAGATGATCAAGCGGTCTTTTTCGGAGAACTCCAACCAGCTCATGCTTCCATAGCACGAAGCCTGAGTCAAGGTCTCGAAGACCTGCTTACCAATCTCAAGAAGAAGAAATACACTGATTGTGACCAGTTTATGCCATTTTCTCTTGAAATTGACCTTAAGCAACTGGTCCTGTTCAAGTTCATCCTTGAGCAAGGCTTCAAGGTATAGAACATGCGAGACATGCTGAAGATTGGCCGCATTGTTATCATCAGAGACACGTGGTCTTTCTGCGGATCGAATTTTCGGACCTTGGTGAAACAGCCTCCATCCTAATGTTTCCCAACACCACATGTCTGCTGGCAAGGATAGCTGCCTCCCTTGCCATGTTCCCACCGGTGGTTGGATACCACAGGTTTTTGCTCGCTCTACTTACTCCGACCTCAGAAAAGCCGGAGACTGGGTCTGTGCCCTGGTATAATCTTGCCTAAAACCTATTCCGGCACATCATCGGCAATTTGCGTGAAGTGGTTCGGTTTGACCGATTAAGACGTTCAACAACATTGCTCAGATTTAGGGAGGTCACATTAGTACAGTAAATCAGCACAGTAGATGAGGTGAATCGGACCTAGCCACTGCTCTCGGTAATTTAACAATTGTCTACTTCTTCCCAAGCCGGCATCTGCGGAAGAAATTTTGTCTTTGGTGACATTGTCATGACATGATTACTTCGGCCTCAGGGAGGGAGACGCTTTACCACGACTTCCCATGCTGATGTTGAGAGGGGTTTACAGATGAAAAGTAGAATCTCTAGAGTGAAGAGTCGAGTCTGTTGCATCATCCGACCCGTATGTACGTAGTTGCAAAAAACACCCCAGACTTCGCCTCCATCACTCAACTAGCTTTTTGAAACTGCTACTACTGCCTCTACCGGGGTAGAACTACCACTCAGTTCAGACGTTATATCAATCTTTGAAGCTCAAAAAACATTTTCCCCAAATCCCCAAACCTGTAGATCATTTATTCCATTCAGGATATCTCCTCAACCCCCCTACCCGTTTGGGTCATGGCTGCTTCAGTGGGCATTATCAATGCATAACAAGACAAGGGTGTGTATCACACGACTCCACTTGTAAAATAATCAATATAATAAATCCATGTTTCAAATATCCACGCAACTCTATGAATGAGGAGCTCGATAGCATCATTCCGTTGTTTAGCCCTGTCTTCAGTGTGGCTTACTGGTGGAGTAGTTGCCATGTTACAGTCTGTGAATATATACAATGCAGTAAAAGTAGTAAGTATCGAGCAAGTATCGAGTTGAACTACAACAAGATCACTAACACAACAGTCTCTACAAGAATATATATTACAAGGTCATAATTATACATTATAAATAAAGAAAGAAGTGAATCTAAAGGGATATCGTAAGAATGTAAGAGAAGCGAAGTCCACTAAGTGGATTAGTTGAAGGCCAGCTCGGCAACGGCACCGGGGTGCTTGCCGTGCTTGCCAGAGAGACCCTCAATGGCGAGAGTCACGTATCGAGCAGTGGCGTTGTGCAGCTGGACCTTGGAGACATCACCACCGATGGTAGAGTTCTGGGCAAGCACTCGAGACTCAACAGAGAAGTTGGAGTAGGTGGTGTTGGCCCAGTTGAGGGTTCCGTTGGCCACGGGAAGAACTCCAATGGAGTAGTTCTTGGGGGTGAAGGGTCCCCAGACAATGGTGGCCTCAGAAATAGGTCGCTCTCGGCCAAGATCAATCACGACTTCGGATCGAGAAGCGTTGATGGGCTGCCAGTAGGTGGCGTTGTCACCGTCGTTGATGGAGACGGGGAATCGAGCAGGGTGCCACTCCTCCTTGGAAGAAACAGGAGCGTTCTCAGCCACGTTACCGGGAATGTTCTTGAAGTAGATGTCGCCTCGGTAAGTGGGGATGATGAGGGTCTGGTTAACCTTGATGGAGTAGTTGCCAGCAGCAGAGTTTCGGCCACCGATCTGGATGAAGACAGGGGTAGAATCGGTGCTGTCCTGAGCAGAGACCAGAGTCTCGTTGGAAGCGTTGTAGAGGCCGGAAGGCAGCTCCCAGAAAACGGGCAGAGAGGTCTCGTTGCTGGAACCGAAAGAAGTGGCGTTGAAGAAAGTGCCGTTGAAAGAGGTGGCGTTGGCGAAGCCCAGGTTGGTCACGTTGAGAGTGTGGGCGTTGCCGAGAGTCACGTTAGACACGTTAAGACCGCCCCAAACAGTCACGTTGAGATCGCCAAAGGTGACGTTCTGCAGAGACGAGAAGTTGAAGTAGCCGAAAGAGGTGTTGTTGACAGTGAAGTTGGACACGGTCAGGTTGGCACCAAGAGCAGTCCAGTTGAAAGCAGGCAGAGTAGAGACGTTAAGGCCGGTGAAGTTGGCAAAGGCAGTAGCGTCGTACAGAGTGGTGTTGGTGGCGTTGAACTTGGTGCCGTTGGCGAAGAAGGTACCGTTGCCAAAAGTGGCGTTGCCAGTAGACAGAGTCTCAATTCCTCGTCGGGTGATGTAAGTGTAGGTGCCGGTCACGTTGATGTCGTAGACCTCGCCCTGGTACTTGAAGCCCTTAACAGCGTAACCCTCGGGAAGCTGAGGAGGAAGAGCAGGGTCGATGAACAGGGTGTCCTGAGTAGGTCGGAAACCAGTGAAACCGTGGGTGAAGATCTGCAGGAAAGCGCCAGCACCGGGGAGGTAAGGGAAGGCACCCTGGGGCTTCTCCTGTGCGGAGAACTGGTAGTAAGGCTTTCGGAGGAAGGGCTGAGAGGCCTGCAGAAGGTAGGTGTAGGATCCAGAACCAGACTCGGATAGGGCAGCAGAGTCAATGGCAAGCAGAGAGGCGTCCACAGGAGACAGCTTCTTCTTCTCAACCTGCTTGGAGTAGTGGTGGAAGTTAGCCAGAGCTCGAGAGTGGGCAGCAGACTCGGCGTCGTAGACCAGAGGGTAAGTCAGGGCGTTGACACCGAGGGTGAGGTTGCCAAGGTTGGAAGAGGGCAGAGTGATGTTCTTGGAAGACTGAGGAATGTAGACATTCTCGGAGATATCGGACCAGGTAGGGTTGGGGTCCTCACCGACAATATCGGAAGCAGCAGAGGCAGCCTTGAACAGGGTCACGGCTCCAGCGTTAACGTAAGCAGAGTCAAGCACTGTCACGCCCTTGTAGGTAACGTTGGAGGAGTAGGCACCGACAGAAGAGTTCAGAGAGAACTGCTGGGCATAGTGGTTGGCAGCAGCAGCAATGAAGTCGTAGCCGGTGGAGTTGAGCCACTCGGTGTTGTTGGTGGACACAAAGTAGTTCCAGGCATTCAGAGCAGAGTCAATGGAGGTGTGGTAGGGCTCAACGAGAGATCGCTTGGACTTGGAAGAGACCTTGTTGGCGAGACCGACTCGGTAGTTGACAACGTTCTTGGCGAACTGAGGGTAGAGGGCTAGGAGAGCGGGGGAGACAGTAGAGTCAATGGCAGCGGGGAGACCCTGGAGGTTGGAAGAAGACAGACCTCCGACAGCAATGCCGTTGGCGTTGTATCCCTTGGGCTCGTCACCAGATCGCACGGAAGACAGGAGGTGGAACAGAGAAGCCTTGACAGCAATCTGCAGCTCCTCGTCTCCAGGCACAACAATGTCACCGTCGTTCCAGATGTTGTTCCAGGCGTTGGAGTGCTCGTAAAGGAGGGTATCGAAGCCGAGAGCTCGGGCAACCAGAGCAGCCTTTCGGGCAGTGGCAAAGGTGGCGGGAGAAGCATCGGAGGAGGCAATACCAACGTACTTGATCACGGTGAAGGTGGTGTTGGGGGACAGCTCGACGGGCACAGACTGAGAGATAGACTGGGTGGAGTTGGCCTCGGTGGAAATGTTGACGGAGGAGTAGTTGGAGAATCCGAGGGTGGAGTACTCAAACACAGTGTTGTTGGAGCCGAGGGCAGACACGGCGGTCCAGATGGAGCCGGTGTCGGAGCCGGAGGCGAGGTAGGAGGTACCGACAGATCCCTTGGAGTTGAGCAGGTCGGTGATGTTGACAGTGGTAGCGTTCTGGGAAGTGATATCAAGTCGAACAATACCGACGTTAGGTCGGGCTCGATGAGCCAGGACGGTGTAGTTAAGCTGCAGCTGGGTATCGTTGGTGGGGGACCAGGTGACGTTGGTGGAGACCACACCGTTCTGCAGAGACAGGGACTGGGAGTAGTTGGAGATGTGCTTCTCGGAGGTGGAGCCGTTGTAGCTCTGGTTTCCGACAGAAACAGACAGCTCGGACCAGTTGGGAATGGAGGCCAGGAATCCCTCGGTAGCAAGAGAGCCGTTGCCAGCAGAGTGGGCGGTGAAGCCAGACACGTAGGCGCCAGTGAACCGTCGGTCCTCAATCAGAGAGGTGTAGTTGGTGGCGTTGCCGCTCTGAGAGAAGCCCTGGCCCTGGACGGGCAGACGGATGCCGATGAAGCCGTTGGCAACGTAAGCTTCCGACTGGTAGTTTTTGTCGAACTTGTGCGAGGTCAGAACATTAGTCTTGTTGTTGTACTCGAGAGCAGTCTCGTTGTACTCGGTGCCCTTGGTCACGTTGACGGGGCCGGGGACAGGCAGAAAGACGGGGCCTCGAGAAGCAGCAGTAGCAGAGGTGTTAGCGAGAGGAGCCACAGAGGTGACATTGGCACTGGTGGTGTTGACGGGGGCAGCCAGAACCGAAGAGGCGGCCAGCAGAAGGCCAAACGAAAAGTGCATGTTGGCTACGGGAGGGCTGGAAGCGTAATGTCTTTTTTGGGGACCTTACCCCCCAGCAGACCACCTACCCTATATATCAGCGCTGTTGGAGTGTGACCACCCGGAGGTCACTTGCTTTTGCGAATCTAAAAGTTTGGCTTTAGATTAATCCCTCGGGTGCATTAAACCTGCACGCGCTACAGAAGAGGTAATCCTTTGTCTCTTTTCGGTGAGGCATTTGAGAGCGCTGTATGGGTGGCGATGGGGGGATGAAGAAATGGCTGAAATCTGGCAAAATATTGGTAAAACTGACCGCATTTTTCTCATATTAGTCGTGGTTTTTCCTATTTTTCACGTCTTCTCCTCCTAACACAACCCACATTCCTCTATAAACTTAAATTTTCACATAGCAATCCTCATTCCGATCCAATTCTGGTCATATTGCAATAAAAGTACCACTGTTCTGCTCGTCCCACCTGGCCGAGTCGATTGATGCACTTTTTTTTCCTCCTACATCCCATATTTAGCCTAATATCCCCACATCCTCAGTCACAAACTCACGCAACCATGGCCCGATTGCGGAGATATTGCGTCTTGCATGGAAACGAGAGTCTACAGTGTTGCTGGAGAAATAAAATCGACTTTTTGGACCCAACAAAACCGCCCTAACAGGACCCTGCCTATGTTATTGTGACTCTGCTAGCCCTCTCGACGTTGCACCAGGTGCTCCACTAATTTTGCTTATTTTCCCGCCATTTTATCCCTGTTTTTCCGAATTATCCCGCTGTTTTTCCGTCCCTCAGCTCCGCCAAAAATGTTTCTTTTTGTTGCGTCCTCCGAAAAAACAAAAAGAGCGCTTTGCTGAAAAAAACACAGGCGTAGCCGAACAAAATGCTGTAGGCGAACCCTGTACAGTCGCTGCGCCGAGAATTACTTAGGAACCAGAAATGGGAAAATTAATTGAAATATACCACCAGAGTCGCCTCCGTCACGTGAGCCCACTGATGTACTAGTTTTGCGCCTGTCGCAAATATTGGGCTGACTAATCCACTTCTCCGCAGGCAGCCAACCAACGATCCAATAACTAATATCCGACTGCCCGTTTAGGAATCAATAAAGAAGATCGACAATGCGTTTTGGGAAATGCCCCGTTGGTTGCGGTTGGGGAAGGGGTGGAAAACTTGCCTATGTAGAGCATTGTGGGGTTTGGATGAATAAAAAATACACTGTTGAGTAGCTACTGGAGAGACGGTTGCTACAATCTATGAGATATTCAAATTGAGCATGTACAGCCCAAGTAATGTCTGTTCTCGAGCGAACCCTAAGCTGCAGCAGCCCGAAGACTGCACGGGAAATGGGTCAAAAAAGAATCAAAAAGATTTGTCTGTGTAGTCAATCCCAAAGCCGTCAGACTCACGATTCTGGTGTGCGCATCTTTTGAGCCTTTCCCAATCAGGCATGTCGATTGGCTCTGTTTTCAGCCCTGTACCCCCGATCGTATTCGCTAGACATTGCTATTTGGATAGGTGATATTTTGTGGGCTCTGGACCCGAGTAAAGGCTTGACGGTTGGATTGGGCCCGTCGAGACGGTTCCAACGGTGGGACGGGCACTGCCATTGCTGCGGTTTGTGGCGTTTTACCGCGGCTTCTAAGTTCGTCTGCCGCACTCCTCCACGTGAGGGGGTTCTGTAGTCAGACAAGGGCGTATTGGAGAGACCAGATAGAAATAAGGGTTTTGTGGGTACAGTAGCGATGTTTTGCGGTTTTCGCCCGTTGTAATATTCGACATGTCTGCCGTGTTGCAACAGACCCGATTTTTCTGTGATTTTCTCAGAATACTTTTTTGAAAAGCCCGGTAACGCGGAAATTCGGAATATCGGAGCTTTGGCTGCCAAACGCCGTTAGTCACAATGAACTACAATATAGCTTGAGCCAACCCTGAGGGATATTGTGAGTTTAACCGCTACTGTATAGAATCACTAAGTTGGTGAGCTCATTGCTGCGAAGTATATTGAAATTATATTGTCTTGGAGCTGAAATTTGAGGTTGGAAATTTCAACTACAAATATCTGGGGAGAGATGGAAGATGGGGCTTTTAGAGACACTACCGAAGAGTTAGATGAGACAGCTGATCCCGGGACCCTTCCAAGGCTTCTAGTTTGTCTGTCGTGGAGCTCTACATGTTCTCTCATCGGAACTCCTCCACCCAATTACACTATCACCCACATCTGCTAGCCTGAAAAGTTCAATATATGCCCCTGAATTCGCTTGAGCACATAGTACAGGCAATGTAGCTATCTCCACTGCCATTAAGGCGACCCAGCCACGCAATATGATGCTCGCAAACCCACTCAAAGTACGCTCAAAGTTATCCCTGAGTGAGACGTTGCTAACAAATACCTCAGACGTTGGGGATAGAATAACGGTCAGCTGATGACTAAATCACTCAGGGCGGAGTGGGCCGCGGCTCAGGCGTTTGAGGAGCCAATGTTAGAGTGCTTGTAGTTTTGAGGCACCTACGATATATACTAAGAAGGCACCGCTGCAGTTACACACTCGCATTCGATACGAGGCCTGTCTCTGCCTGACCCATGCGTATCCATCGGGGGGCGTGGACCTGAGATCGAAATCCCGGCGCTCTGAAGGACTGTAACAGCAACTCTACAGTATTATTTACTGTACTTCATAATACAGTCGTGAATTGAGAGTCCGGGGGGAATAGGGGTTGGATTAGACAGGTTTGTGTCTTGCCATAGACGGAGACCCAGATCCTTCGGGGCAATGGCGAGAGATGGAACGTTTTTCATTTATCGCCGAACGTATCTCTCCACAATTGCTACAAGTACATACAGTACATACGGTACTTTTGTTAACCAGCTCCGCCACAGCTCAGCTTCACTAACTCCACGTGACCACTATACAGGCAACAACTCGGAAAGACAAAGACTAAAGCAAACTTTTCACCGCGAGCCGTCCATTTCTCGATCCTTGCCTCTTGGCTCGGTGCAGTGCCGTTTTCACAGTCAAAACATTGTTGACACCCCTGACAGCCTCGCTTGCAACCAGCTATGTGAATGTACTCGGATGTAGAGTTGAAGCAACAATGTACAGCTACCATGTGCGTTCAGGACGTATTGTGCGAGACAGAAGACAGAATACCGAAGGTAGTGGGATGTTGTCCGTACAGCACTGGCTTTTAGGAGCCCGAGTATGTATGTATTGGAAAACAAGTTAATTGCTATTTGTGCACCTACTACTGGTCTAACCGAAAAACGGATAGTACCAAAAGACTCCTTTCGTCTAGGCGAATTCCGCAAAAGCCCTTCTACGTCACGTCACCCAACTACTGGCAAATCCACAGCGGTCAACGTCCCCTCCTCAAACTCAGCCAGGATTCCCAAATCGAGAAATAAGCTCGCCACTGCGCCCATTTGGTCATGCACAGATGCAATATAAAAGACTAACCTTGCGCCGAGAAGCCCAAACGGGAACCAAGGTTCGGAAGCAAACAAAGACGGTCACGTGAGTAAACAGAGTTGCTGAGGCAACCCCTCGAGAATGGGGAGGCTGAATGTGATAAAATTCGCTTTACTGAAACCCCCCAGCCGTGAGCTTGTCGGGTACACTAGAAATCCAACTCACGCTACCAGAAAATCCACCAGTCGTGTTCGTCTGGTTGATAATCCTTTGTCTGTACTTATCACGTGTGGGGCGGAGTTTAACGGAGTTATTGGAAGTTTATTCTCCGCTGCGGTTGCTACGAGGCGGAATTTCGAGTTTGGGAAGTTGGTGTATTTTTGAAATGTCTCACGCGAATTCTGAAAAGTGCATTTTGTAGCTGCCGAAGAGAGGAGTCTGGCTGTAGCTTTTTCTTGCCGGTTGGGTCGATATTCGTGGAATTGGACCGACTATAAGTTTTATTTTGGATACGGTCGACTCTGGGAACAATAAAAGTGGAATTCGTGGTTGAAATCGGGCTAATTGGGGTCTAAAATCAGATCCCACGTGGTCTCCGACGGTGAGAAAGGAGTCTGAAATATCTCCGGAAAAGCAGACACACTCCATACAGTATACATGTGCCGTTTAGCGAACACAAGATCGACGTCATGTGACCAGCAGGAGGTTCAGTCAAGAATGTGCATTTAGTTAGGGTTTACTTGGTGGAATGTTTAGTAGCGCATAATCTGAGAAGGTGGTTGAAATTGGTATTGAAGAGTTGAGGACACGTGGAGTTTTGTTCAACTGAAAAGGAATTATCAATGGACCGGATTGGCGAGCTGGCTTCTGTGTATTGTGTTTCTCGGTTTGTGTGAGTACAGCACATACCAGTTTCGTACAATACATAGGATTGTATGTACTTGTAGCCATGGACATCTGTGTAGGACCAAGAGTATCAAAAAATCGGATTCATATATTTTGAGAAGAATCACTAACAATTTGATGTTCTAACGATATCTTTTGGTCCATGATTTTGTAGCCCAGAGCCGTATAAATGTTTTTTTTTTTTTCTGCATATACATTCATTTAATTATAACTTTGCTGTGAAAGAATAACCTTTGAAATGAATGGTATCCTAGAGGGTTCTAAAAATCTATGTAAAGTTGCAACTTACTTGGGTCATTTAGTGGTAGTTAGTCAAGATTTGGAAGTCTACACGAGCTGCCTACGAGCTGCCTATGAGCTGCCTACGAGTTGCCTATATAACGCATTTCCTTTCGGATAGATACTAAGGTATTTTTCCAAGACTTCTATATTCTTTTGATTTGATTCCCATTCTACCTGAGCCTCTGTAGTCGTCGGTACTCCCGCAGTCCTCGTCATGAGCACTAATAGTTGACAGGAGGTGGCATATTCCATTAGATGACTCAATTTAACAATTGGAAAGCCTTCATGGGTCTCGAAATACCTTCAGTATTTATCTACACAATCACCACAAGACGTTCCAAGCGCAGTTTTCTACAATCTGAGTTTAGCCAGGGTTAGTCAGGGTTAGCATCAGTTAGAAGAGGTGAAGAGGCGAATTCTTCTCAGATTCTTTTGACGACTTCCAAAGATGATCAATTATAACATTGTGATCATTCTGTCCTCGTCAGTGAGTGATAGATTGAACATTGACACTGTGCTTTATGCTTAGCAGTAAGAACAACCTGATAGCACAGTACAGAGACGGAAGCTCCGGCCCTTCTTTCGATGGCACTATTCTCTCCTGTGGTTACGAATGCTCATCTTCATCTCAGACAAGTACTAGGCGACAGCTAAGGTCCATCAGTCACTAGATACTTGGTAATCCAGACTGGGTTGTGCTTACATGACAGCACAACAGCCATCTAAAAGAACAGTCCCTAGAGGTTGTTATCACAACAGTCCTCTCAATTGAACTTCATTGGAGCCTGAGACAAAAGGAGCGCCCCTTGGGACAGCCATGACGTGCTCACTACACTGAAAAAGAGTATACATGGGTACAAGTACTTATCACATATCATCAGCTGATGTCTGATAGTGACCTATTGGTTCCTCTGGTAAACTACACCGTTTACTGTAGATATGCTATACTCCTGTGTATATATCATCAGTGACATACCTTGAGGATTTGCGATCCGTTTACCGGTACTCCTACCACGGTTGTTTCTCAACAATCACAATGTATGGAATACAGCAATAAAAACAATACAGTAATAGTACATTATCTGATCTGCTCTAGTTAAGCTGAAAATCTGCGTTTTTTATTATTCTAATGACTCTTTACAGCTATATATCTAGTAAGCCGTGTTATTGGCGTTCCATAAATCGTACACATGACAATCGTCGCAATGATCGTTTCGGTGCGCGTGTTGATGGGTTCGAGACTGCCAATGTCGTTGTCGCTTCGTCTTGTTCTTGTAGTGGTCACGTGGTATTCTTTTATTCTAAGGATTCACGTGACTTACTTCCCCAGTAGTATAGTTTCAACGACGGATTGCGCCAGTTGCGGCCATATCCTGGTGAAAATACGGCTTCCCGTCCGATCAGCCATAGTCAAGCACCAGAGAGCCTAGTTAGTATTGTAGTGGGAGACCATACGAGAATCCTAGGTGCTGCAATTATTTTTCCACCAAAGCACAGGCGGTTTTTTATTTTTGCATATTCATGTTCTGACTCCAACCTGGCTGTATACTTCCTGACCAGATACTAATGTAGAGACTACAGTGTCATCTTCTATAAAGCTCGGGAAATCCAATTTTTGTAACCAGAGAGTTGCTGTACAATGTAAAAGGGACACAAAGAAAGCACGACATTCAATCACCCGCTCTGAGTGGCTCGTTTCAAAACATCCTTTAGTATCCAAAAATCTTTCACTCCGAGGCAAATAAGCTCGTCGTTTATGCAAGATAAAAAAACCGCTTGAGAAGAGCAATACAGGAGGTACTAATATTGCAGGAAGTTGATTTCGGAGTTCTGTTAATTAAAGGATGTTTGGTTTTATCCTGGAGTGTTTTTTCCTAAATAATATTTCATATATCCACTTCCAGAGACTTCCACGTCCTTATCTAGGTTTCCGTATATGCACCTAGATAGCTGGTCTGCATATTTAAAGCACTTTTTGACCGCCAATCAACCTCTTTAGAACTCTATAGCAGCTTTCCAGAAATATATAAGCCCCCCGTAAGTCCTGTTTCTTTCATCATAATCACACCAGATCACTCTGAGTCATCCTGGAGACGGAAGGTGTCTTTTATACCCAGCTGAGAGGCACACCTAGCAAGCAGACCTGTCTACAAGACAGCCCAGAGCTCTGTCTACAACGAGGACGTTTTCATTTATTGTCGTCCGATTGATTTGTTTGGGGCAATGCAATCAGGTTCCAGAACTCCAAGAGTCGGTTAAGAAGACAATGGCACATTTATCGCGCGAGCCGTGTGCAACAGCTTCTGGTTGGGCTGAGAATCCGGCGAGTTCGATGCAACCGCCTCAGCCAAGCGTCTTTAAGTCTGAGCCATTCGTGTACGCTTAACCGCCATGAGCTGAAAAGTGCCATGAGTAAAGAACGAGTGATTATGATGTTGAAAAATGTTTGAGTCTCCTTGCGAGAGTTCCTGAGGCAGCGCCAGAGCAGTATCAGAGCCGTATAATCCAGAACCACCGACAGAGACACTCAAGGGTGGAATTCCTTTTTAGAGACTCCCATCATTCTCACAGGTAAAAGTTCTGTTCGAGATACTCCATACTCACAGGGTGAAACTCCTTTGTGAAGGTCTCATAGGGTACAATTCTGTTGTGAGTGAGAGCCGCCCAGAACTGAAGAGCAAGGATGAAATGCCAGAGCTGCTGAGCTGAGATGTTTACAAGCTGAGACGCCTAGAGCGAAGATCTGCCTCAGATGCCTGAGTCAGAGCTATTAAGTCCCACTGAGGCGTTGAGTGCCAAGTCCAGAGTCACAGGAGCCAGGGCCATAGAGCCGAGGCCGGCCAGTTGCTGGTAAGAAGAGCCAGAGCACGAGCCCCACACTATTCAAAAAGTAGGCAGTGAACCTCTCAGCCAGGGACGTAACTGATCAAATCAGTTTATCTAGTTTTGAGAGGAGTAGGTGAGAATCCGAACCTCTAAGAACAATGAATCACGAACCACACGTGTGCCACCCGAATACTTCAAGGCGTAGTGAGTTGTAAGTTGTATGTTACCTGTATGTACTGTAACATCATTCATTTCTTATATCGTAGCATGCTAAACTGTACGATAGCTAGTGCTTGTAGTATCTGAAAGTAATCAGGCAATGTTCTCTACCTCATCTGATGTACCATTCTACAATTACATACAGCACAGTCCACCACTTTACACCAAGTTACCAATGCATGACCTCGACGTGAATTAATGTCCTAACACTACTTGCTGTTATCAACAACGACACGACCAACAATCTTACCATCAAGCATCTGCTGGTAATACTCCTCGAGCTTGCTCAGCTCGCCGAGACGGTACTTGGTCTTGACGAGACCCCGTGCATAGAAGTCAATGGCTTCCTGAGTATCCAGCTTATTACCCACATAACTGCCCTTGATGGTGAGTCCTCGACCCACGTGGTTGAGAATGTGACTCTTGACGGTACCGTTGGGTGGCAGAGCACACAGAACCAGAGTGCCTCGGGTTCGCACGTACAGAGTGGCAGCCTCGACAGCCGCGTCCTGCACAGCAAAGTTGACCACGGCGTGGGCGCCACCTCCGGTGAGCTTGTGAATCTCAGCAATCATGCCAGCACCACTCTTGGCAAAGTCAATAAACACCTCGGCTCCCAGCTCCTTGGTGTGGGTCTCCTTGTCGTCTCCAGTGTCAATGGCAATCACACGGAAACCCATGCACTTGGCGTACTGGACGGCGTAGGATCCGAGTCCTCCTCCAGCTCCGGTGATCACCACCCACTCACCGGCCTTGAGACCAGAGTTCTTGAGGGCAGTGTAGGCGGTGATGCCTGCACACAGAACGGGTGCAACACCAGCCAGATCGCAAGAATCGGGGATTCGGGGTGCGGTGGCGGCCTTCACGCAGGCGTACTGCTGGAAAGAGCCGTCTTTGAGCAGACCTGACACGCCGGGGGCTACGCAGTGCTGGTCCCAGCCAGCAGAACAGTGCTCGCAAGTGAGACAAGAGCCAGAAATAAACTTGACTCCGGTTCGGTCTCCGACCTGCCATCCGGTCACCTGATCGCCCATGCCCACAACCTCTCCTGCTCCCTCATGACCGCCGACCAGCGGCATCTTGGGGCTGAACCGCAGCTGCTGTGCCCAATCACCCTTCCAGATGGACAGATCCGAGTGGCAGACACCGGAATACTGCACCTTGACGAGCAGCTCGTCCTTGGCGGGAGTGGGGACGGGAATGTCCTTGTACATCAAAGGTCCGTTGACTTCCTCGAAAACGACGGCCTTTTGTGTCTTGGGAACGTCGCTCACTGTGTTAGCATTGGTATATGGGGAAATACTCCCTGCGGAGAGCTACAGAATCAATGCAATGCGATGCACACAAGCAGGGCACTGTGCAGACTGTGATACAGGGCACGACACTCTGCGCAATTGTTTGTGTAGCGGTCAAAGTGAAGGTCTGGGCATCTACCTCTGTGTTTCAGGAGTAGTCTGGGACTGTACCTATGTGGGCAAACTCACTTGTGATGTTATTGATGTGAATGTGTTTGATGTAATGTGTTTGCGTGATGTGCTGGCACCGTGTAAGATGTTGTCAAGGGTTGAGTGTCGTAAACTGGTGAATACAGACAGGTGGCATAATGGGACTACCCTGACTTATATAATTTCGAGGGGCATGATGATAAGGATGTTTTTCTGACGGCCATAATAGGGTTCAAGTTAAGTGGGGATCAAGTGTGGGGTTGACATAACAACCACATAGAACAGGATAGAGACATATTGAGAGCGAGAAAAACGGACTGTCACATGAATGACTGCTTATGAACGTCCTTTACTACCAAAAAATCATTCTTCTAGGACTGAAAATGCGTCTTCTACAGAGACTCTTGTCCCTCGTTGGAGTTACTTTAGCGAGCCAAGTTTAATAATCAGTCTACTCTTTGTTTGAGAGTGTGAAATAGGTGGGGGTAGTAATAGAACACACCAATACCCGATCCAGAATCTACAACATCTATCATTAACATCATGTGACAAGATACTAATAGGGACCCTTATAGCCGCTTTTTACGTCGTTCCTGGCCCCACAATTCGAACTTTGTATGCTTGTAGAGTTGAGTAATCATCCCCATGTCTCAAGGAAGCATGTAGCATCAGAGGAGTTTCGGAGGTAGCTAATGCCGTAAATCCGTTGCGACATTCTTCAGACAGCCAAATAAAGAAAGCCGTGTGGAACAAGCGCATCCACAGTGTCTGTAAGCTGTCCAATGAAACAATATCAGATGTTATTGACGGTAGAGAGGAGAGTGACTATAAGCTGTAGTTGTTGGAGCGCAACGAAGCCCAATTACTATCTGGAAGTGATTCGACTGCTAATAGGGCAGTACGAATCACTGTCAAGTTCACATTTATGTTCTCCAGTACAATTTCGACAAACAATTGCAACAATTACAGCACACCGACGACGCATTTAAGAGCCGCTAACGCCGACAGAAAATAAAGCTCATTCATATGCACCTTACCCCTCTCCTTTAATATCCGAAAATATGGAGATCCATTGAGGGCTCTAGATGAGGGCTATTGGGATATTGCAGACGGAAATCAACAGCCATACCGTAAAAGATAAGTCTTACATTATCCTCCCGTTAAAATACTGCTGGCTCTGACCGTTTTTGATCGACCGAAATCCCGTCCACCGTTGCAACTCTATTACTTTAATTGAACGTAAAATGAGGGGTAGATCGAGAGTCTTGGAAGTGTGCCAGAGAGCTCTCGGGGAGTTGTGGAGATGAAAGAAAGTCTTGAGAGGCTGTAGGAGTAGTTTTATTTTGTTTATTTTCTATTTTTTTTGAAAATCATAAAACATACTTTCACAAACCAAACACACCCTCCATATTCTGCTGCGCTAGAATGGTGTCAAATCGAACGAATGTAGGAGGACTACTGTACTACTGTACACATACTTTACAGTACTGTACCCATATGTGTTCAGCATCACAATAATATGACATGTAGCAACTCAGAACCCATATCGGTCTTATATCTTCTTTTTGAAAGGAGCTAGTGATGTTCCTTCTAACGAGTAGGTATGCAAGAGTTTCGATGTGCTTAAAGAAATGGGTATTTGAGTCGTTGAACACCAATGTACATCCAATAGTTCAATCTGCTACTGACTTCCACACGCTCGATATCTCAAACAGCTCGTTTTTACTCAATACTTGGACTATAGCTGGAGCAGAAAAGTCATATCAACTACAGTATGTATGTACACGTACAGTACTGTACCTGTACGATTAGGTGGCCCAAATATATTGGAGATGTGGTACGTATCGTTATTATAATACGCCGTATTGTCCTCTTACTGTACCTCCAAAATTATCCCTTTTGTTTCCATGATTTTTTCGATATTTATTCTCTGTTTATCAAGAAATGCCAACAATTCGACTGAAAATCTACAGAAAACTCAGATATCACAGAAACCACAGAAATCAATGTAAAATCGACAGAAAATACGACACCATCACAACCTCTTCAAGAGAGTACATATATGTCAACATACAAACACTTAAAAATCACCCATGACGTTCCATGTTCCCCTATCCACAACTCTCAATCCAACCCCCCCCCCCCCCCCTCCTTCACCTACTCCTCTTATATAAACAACATGAAATCCGGACGCAATTGCACCCACGTGACCTGATTCACTAACCACCTCAATAATCATCCGTTACTGTCATTTATACATGTATCAGGCACACATAAAAACTAGCATAGGTTAGTGGTCTAAAATAGCCCACCCATAAGACTTGCCTGGTTTATCAAATCGATCTCTTCCTCTTACACTTTACTTTTTGAGCTTGAAAGGGCGCTACAGTCGAATCACGTGACTAGAGACACTCCCACGTGATCAGCATATCTGATACCCACATTCACGTGACCGATTGAAACGGAAGCTGAATAAAAATCACCTTTGCACGTGACTGACAATACCACCTCTTTGAATACGATACGCTGTGCACGCACTGGACGATACTGAGCGCACTTGTTGGATAGTACGCGACATCTAGGACATCACGTGATCAAACACATCCCTTCGATATACACACGTGACTCTCTAAACATGCTTCAATTACTCGCTGTCACTTTTTTCCTCTCGGGAATCGTCACCACTCTGCTTGGAAACGTGTCACCAGCAATCCAGAAGCTCTCCTATTATGGCAAAACCCTTACCCAGAAGACCAACAGTACTCTGGCGCTTCCCAAGCCCTGGTTCATCCATTTCTACATTTTGGCGGCATTTCTGGGCTACTATTCGCTCTTCATCGTGTATGACAGTTTCAGCGACAACCACATTTTGATTGATGTTCTGGGACTCTTGGATAGCCCAATCAGTGCTAATAATATGTTTGCAAACGGATGGACAGACTGGATGGACGATTTAGTGAGCAATATCAATGAATGGAAATTGATTTCCACCACTCATGTTCAAAAGCCCCTGACTACTCTTGTTCTTCTGCTTCTGGGTACCATTCAGGGCACTCGACGACTGTATGAGTGTGTGTACGTGATGAAGTACAAGGTGAAGACCGGAGCATCACGTGTTGCAGAGGAACAGAGGAAGAAAAAAGAAGGCCAGACTGCCGAAATCGAGTCACGTGAAAGCCAGATGCTTTTGACCCACTATCTTGTCGGCATGGGGTTCTATGTCGCGGTCTTTTGCAGTCTGTGGGCAACAGGAGTTGCTGGGGTTCGAGATATGGAGGAGTGGGACTTTGACTACAACTCTGTGGGTCTTTCTATTGCTATTTCTCTCTTCCTTGTTGCTTCCACGCTTCAATACTTGTGTCATGTGCATCTATCTTCTTTGATCAAGTATTCCTTGCCGACTTTCTGGCCCTTCAAGATCACAGTTTGCCCTCATTACACTTGCGAAGCTCTCATTTACATGAGTTATATTGGAGTCTCCCTGTCTACCGGCTCTACTCCTAATTATGGGCTTTTGTTGGCCCCTCTCTTTACTCTTACTGTTTTGACCACCAGTGCTAAGAACTCCAAAGACTGGTATAAGCAGAAGTTTCCCGAGTATAATGTCCGATGGCTCACCATTCCCGGTGTGTTGTAGGTGAATATGTAATTAATTGATGACTTCTCCGTTGTTATTGAAACAGATATTAACCAATGGCGGTAACATGTTCACCTTGGATAAGTATGTATGTACTAGAATCACGAAGATCTTCAATCAAGAGACCAGTATGTACTGTACATGCACATACAGAACACAATAAACGTACAGCAAACTGAAAGAAGGTGTTTATGAGCTTCTTCTGTACCAATCCCTCTTTCACCTCTGCCGTATTTCCCTCTCTATTACTCTTCCCAGTACAAATATCAGTCCGTTGTTCAATGGGATCACCTCTCTCGACCATCTTATCCGCCTCCGGGATTGTCCACCAATGCAGGACTCCATCAACTAGTCCAAATTCTACACATCTGTCTTTGTGGGATATCTCGTAAACACGCTGTTCCATCTGCACACTTCCTTTTATGAGCCAATTCCCGTATCTCATGGCCCTGGATGCTTCGATCGTGGAACATTTAAAAGCCTTGTGTAGATCTCTACGCTACTGCTTGTTGATGTAACATTTTACACCCATATAGGGACAATCCGTCTAACCAGATTCCACCCGGGCTCAGTTGATAGGAACAGTCACAAGGGTAAGATATCCGATGTCCATATCGGGCAGATATACCATTGTGTTAGATCCGGGATTCTCGAGTTGCAATGTATAGGGAGCCAGATCAGGCTCGTACAGGACAGAGACGCTTTCAGGTGTGAAGCAGACACGAGTAGTGTGGCCATCTTCAAAGAAAGGATGCACTTTGAGCAGATAATTGGGCTTCTAGCTAACCTCTGTTTCTGTGCAGTGATGACCACCACCAGGGAGCCGACCGATGTTGTGTAACTCAGAAAATACCACTCATTGAAAGACGTTCGATGGACAAATATCTCAGGGCAATTACTTCCAACACCCAGATGCGACTATTTAGGTAGAACTTGAGGATAGTGTGACCTCGGCTGTCGTGGATGGGTAAGTCGAACAGAGAAGAGAATGTGACGCCGTCTCCAGGGAAGACAGATCAGGGGTTGTGTGGATTGTAGATGTGCAGTATGTACAGTAGTCAAGATAGAGACCGACCATAAGCTGCGACGGATCTCTGAACAGAACCACGTGTGCTGGAACCTGTTCGTTGGTGTGGGTCCGACTTTTGGGGATCTCAGCAGGTGTAACATCGGCAGTGATTCCATGAAGCTCTTCCAGTCTTTTCCTCCGGCGATCAATGTTGAATGCCTCTCTAAACCCGCTGTTGAGCCAGGGCCATCCATTATACAAAACGGTTTCCGAATAAGACTTCACAATATTCCTGAGTCGCCAGAGAAGAACAATAGAGTCAAGACCGCAGTGGAGGCATATCTGCTCAATGAGCTCGTCCGGGGGACTGTCTAGGTGGGAAGGCGATGTCATGAAACATTGGTGATACTGACTGTAGACTCAATATGTTAGGAAGCCCGTTTATAGTGATAACGAATTCATATCACGATAAAGGGAATGGAGATTGCTCCGCGGACACGAGACACATTACAGGTTTACTCTCAATTAGTAGTAAGATACAGTAGCTGATTATACAGATGTCATCTCCTCGTTCAATTACTGGTGGAAGTCAGAGAAAGAGAATTGACTCGCATTACTATAGAAACGTATAAACGCAGTACAATTGGTTATGGACAGCTGAACTACCTTCAGCCACGGCACCATTGCCTTCTTCATATCATGTCGTATTATCACTCGCTCTCATTACATAACCATAGGTCGTCTGTAGGACAGCTTAAGGCAGCTTGAAGCCCTTATCAAGGGTGTCATCGACACTGATGATGACCTTTCCGGTGGCTCGTCCACTCTCCAGCTTCTCCACGGCATCCTTGGCGTTTCGCAGATCGTACACTGAGTCCACAATGGGCTTGATCTTGCCCTCCTCAATGTACTTTGCAATCTGGGCCAGATCCTTGCCGCTGGCAGCGCAAAAAACAGCATCGTACCTGGTGCCGTACCACCAGGCAAACCGGGAGGTCAGAAAGTTGCCTGCAGCAAGCACATACGAGAGAATGAGGCCAGGCTCGGTGCTGAGAATATTCTTGGCACTCTGAGCAGTAGGCACACCTCTGAGAGCAACCACGACACCACCCTTCTTGGTGATCATGGCATGGGCCCAGGGCTGGTCGGAAACGTCGTAGGCGAAATCCACGTCCTTGACCACGTCCCAGAAGTTGGTCTTGTGGTAGTCAATCACCTCGTCGGCTCCGAGCTCCTTCAGAAGAGGAATCTTCTTCTCGGAAGCAGTGGTAATGACGTAGGCGCCGTAGACGTGCTTAGCGAGCTGGATGGCAAAAGTACCAACTCCTCCGGCGCCCTTGGAGATGAAGATTCGCTGACCCCGCTTCAGATTACCGGCTTCAAAGCTCTGCAGCACGGTAAGTCCAACCAGGGGAATACCAGCGGTCTCAAGAAGAGGCTTGTTCTTGGGCGCAATGGCTACATGGGCGTCTCGAACGGACACAAAGCCAGCCGTGGTGCCTTGCTCAGACTCGCCGATTCGAGCGTACACCCGATCGCCCTTCTTGAAGGCGGTGACAGCTGTGCCTACCTCTGCCACGAAGCCAGCAACGTCATAAGCAAAGATATGGGGGTGCGAGTCGGGCTGGAGAAGACGCAGGTAGCCCCGGTTACGCAGACCGTCGATGGGGTTGAGTGCGGAGTTGGCCACCTGAATCAGAACATGGTCGTTGGATTTGAGCTGGGCCAAGGAGAAGTTCTCCGAGTACTCAATCTTGTCGGGACCGCCGTAGGCGGTGGTGAAAGCGGCCTGCATGGTGGAATTGGAGGTGCAGAAGAAGATGTGATGAAGAGCAGGAGCTTCTGGAGATCCTAGCACCCGTAAAAGGATGGTTCAAAGTTAGTGCATTATCGGTGACAGGGGGTGTGTTGGATTTGAGAGGGTTGTGGGCACTGCGGAGATCTGAAAGTTGGTGGGGTGGGTAAAGTTGATATGCTGATCACGAATCTCTTGTTTAATTGTCAATATCTGACACAATTGGGCCGATAGATCCATCTGAGTGAAATCGAGTAGGTTTGAACAAGTGAGGCGGCCAAACCTTACGGGAGTCGATACGTCATCCATGCACTGTGGCGGTTTTGATGTGTGATTGAGTGCTTAGTAAGAGGTGTTGGTGGTGTTGGCGTAATGATGTTTGCAAAGGGGGTTTCTAATCCACCATGAAACACTCGTAATCTGAGGTAGTTGGGTCTAGATCTGTCCGATGGAGATATGGTATATAGGGCACAGCTGTATTGGCTGGTACATTGCTCTGAACTCTACGATGCTATTGATGATGGCAAACCGCATGCTGGAGAAACTGAGACGTCATTGCAGGCACTTGAGAGTGCTTTGTTCGCAGTCTGGTGAAGGGAAAACCAACTTCAATGGTGGTCTATGTTCTCTGAGTGAAAAACTACAAGTACAGTGTACAGTTGCTAAGTTCTATCCTGTTCGTCGTACTCTTACTCGTACTGTACTAACACAGTCTGCAATTGCTATCCTGACATCTGAGTATCTCCAAACGGTGGAAGAGACTCCTTGTGAACTCGGAAACACTGACATGTCACTTCGGCGAGGTTCGCTCTGAGGTTTCTGAATGTTGGTATAATGTATCTCGCCGGTTAATCTCATTTGAGATGTCCAAAGAACTTTTCATTCAAGCGGTACTTGTACTGTAGCGAGAATAAATGTCACGTGCAAGATATCTCTCGGAGACATCTACCGGCACAATATAGCCCACAGTCTCTACCCTGTCGCTTGATTGTTCTCTTAGAGCGAACCAAAATAGATTGTAGCTAGCGTACAAGTGGCTCCAGTAGTCAGGGCAGACAAGTGGGAAGACATAGACGTACTTGTAATACGGGTGTACGGTCACGTGGGAAAGTCTACAAGTGCTACAAGTAGTCGTAGTTCAAGTACAGGGGGTCCTTGCGCAGCTTTGGTGTCATAGATACTGAATTTGCTGCTATTACATGGAGCGGGACTCTACAAAGAGGTCCATACAAAGAAGTACAAGCACCAGTACAAATGCTAGGGTGGATATGAGCATATCGAAGTGAAGCTCTCGACGATCTGGTGTCAATTGCACCTATGAAACCATACATGTCAATGTGACGGAAACGGCGCAGTTATCATAACTGAGACCATTGATTTAATAGACGAATTGAGATATTGGAACTCACGGCTTGCAACTGGTGGGCTATCTACTCGTACTGCAACTCGGGTGCGCGTTTTTTGACGCTCTTGACGCTCTTCACAGTCTCCACGTTCTGACAATTGAAGTTGACTAATCTTCCTGCATGTCGTATTTCTCAGAATCTGAGTTGCTGGAGCAACCACCAAATCTCCCCATCTCACCCGACGCGCGTTGCTGGGCAACCACGGCCCAATTAGAGACCAATATTGTAACTTTAAAAAAAAAGTGTCCCGAACGGGATTTTGGAAAACCCTAAAATACGCCACAAGAGGAGGTGACATGGAACCAAGAAAATCGAGCACAGAGTGAAAAACTTTGGTGTGCAACATGATGAGGGAAAAAGGCGGATATGGACATGCAGGAAGAAGATTGGGGTAAACCTGTGCACAAAGACCTTGGGCACGGGCGAATGGTGGCTTTCAAATGCGCATTACTCTTGCTCTCAATGTCCTTGACCATCGAAGTGGGACTCACGATGTTGAGTCATGGAGAAAACTCCGTGCACCTGTGCATGGGCTTGGCTCTCGCTAATAACAGCCTTGTTACCGAATGTCAACATGCGATGGTTCGATGGGGCTCTCTCTCTCTTTCTGGTTGTATAGGTGCGCGCTCCAGCTATAGTAGACTTGGATTGAAGCTGTTGGGTTGAAGCTGTTTGGGGAGACTTAGTTGGGTCGTTAAAATACCCGGATGAGAAAGTAACTGGTAAAAAGTATCTGATGTTGGTTGGTTGTTTGGATTCCATCCGAGGGTCTACTTTTTCTACTTTTTCTACTTCTACTTTTTCTACATCAGATCTCTGAGATCCGTGGAAAGTGTCTCTCGGAGTGTGCACCTATCTCTACCGGCGGAAACCGTCTGGAGCCGTGAAATCTCGCATGCAAGCAAACTCCTATAAATAGATGTGCCGGTCTTCCGTCAACGACCGCACATACTTGACACAGGCACCCGGACAAGGACGGCACCGACGATCGTCCTCATTAGGCAGGTGTAGACGGTGATAGAGGCGTTAGTAAGCCAGTACAAGCTTGAACTACAACACAAGAGGGTTACAGCTCCTCAGATGCGACTGTGAAGAGCTGCAACCCCTTCTATGGTTGCCGTCCCGTCCCCTACTGCTATCATGACTCAGTCAAAGTTCATGTTTTCTTGAGCCAATGATGCTATATTGCAAGATTGCTTTTCTTGGCCAACTAAAACTGCGTCCAAAGTCGGTCAAGCCAGTCAGAAGCTGCCAGAGTCAGCAAAACTAGTTGTCCACAGGGTTAGAGTAGAGAGCCAAGCTACAATTGTAGGTGCGGCATCAGGGCTAGGTTGAGATGAAAGAGCCTGAGCCTGAGCCAGAGCCACAGCAATGTAACAGAAAGGGTTTCCCCCAGTCTCCAACCGGTCCGGTTCTCAATTGCACTCTCCTATCGTCATCATTACCTGACTTAAAGTACCAGTGTTCGGTGCAACCCTACAAACGCTACATGAACAGAAAGCGACAGTACACCCTCAAGTGGAACCACCCAGGGTACAGTACATCCCCTTTTCTTTTCGGCAGGCTAAAAATAAAAATGTCTCACTAGTGACGTAAGAAAGGGACCCCAAAAGCCCTAAATCCAAGTTCCGGCTCCAAAAGAAAAGTTAGCGCGACAGTAGTGAGACCTAGTCCAAAGTTAGACGCCAACAAGGCCGGTCTAAAATTTTTCCTGGTGCGAAGGAGTTGCGGTTACGAGTCGGGTGAGAGCAGATTATCGACTGATATCGCCCCAGAGTTTGCCGCCCTCCATGTTTCCTTACATGTAGGTCACCTCTGCACATGCCGTTATGTAGCTGTCGACGATCTGATCGACACAGCGTCCGATTGTCTTGTCTGATGTTGTGAACATCGGAATTGCTGATACACCGTGCCCATTCCGGGATCATGTGATTCGGTGACGGGAGGCGAAGACTGAAGAGAGCGGCACTGCTGAGAGTAGTTCAAAGTGCAATTGCCATCTGACGATGTTATGAATGCTGGGAAATTTCTGAGCGCTGTCCCATCTACTGTTCTACGCTCAAAGCTACAAAATCACTACTTCTACTCGTACAATTACAACACTCGGAAAGGTCAAATATTAAACGGCACTGCAGGCCAGGTATGAATTATTTTGTTAAATTATTAGAAAGTCAAGAGCTCAAGGGCGCGCTTACAGAAGGTAGGCAGCGGCAGCAATGGCAGCGACGGCACCGACGGTGACCCTGTTGGCAGAAGAAGCCTGCTCAGGGCCGGAGGAGATAGCGGGCTGCTGGGTCTGGACGGGAGTAGAAGCGGCGGGCTGCTCGGGCTTGGAAGCGGTGGGCTTGGGAGCGGGCTTAGACTCCTCGGGCTTGGGAGAAGGAGCAGGCTTGGACTCCTCGGGCTTGGGAGAAGGAGCAGGCTTGGACTCCTCGGGCTTGGGGGAAGGAGCAGGCTTGGACTCGGTGGGCTTGGGGCCCTCAGTGATGGGCTCGGTGGGGAACTCGGAGACGGGGCAGGTGGTGATGGTCTCGGTAACAACGGTAGTGGTTCGAGTGCAGGGGCAGTCGGTGATGGTCAGGGTGGTGGCCTCGGTGACGGTGTAGGTCTTGTTGCCCTCAACAATCTCGGTGGGGTAGGGGCAGTAGGTGGTGTAGGCGGTGACAACGTTGGTCTCGGTCTTGATGATGGAGACAGTGCCGGTGGTGAGCTCGGTACCGTTGTTCTCAGCAGACTCGATGGGAGCAGCGGAGGTGACGGGAGCCTCGGTGGTGGCGAGGGTGGAGTTGGAAACCTGAGCGTAGGCGGCGGCGGCAAGGGCGGCGACGGTGGCAACGGAGAACTTCATTGTATTAGCGAGTGGATAAAGTGAATTTGTTGATGAGGAAAACAGACTGAGACGAGAGGGGGGTCTTATATACTGAGCTGATGTATTTTTGGAAACCGGATTTTGGGGTTCTGGATTGGGTTTGTGACTCGAGCTTAATTTTCTTTCTGGAGTTTAATTTTAATTTAGGCTCAGGATTCGGGGCTTCTTTTAAGCTTGCGGTGCTTGTTTTTGAGAAAAGTGGGTGTTTAGCGGATGAGATAGTGAGCGTTTCGCGCTGCATGTGACCATCGTATGGGCTAATAATAATATGTATTTGGGGCCCAATTTTATGATTATGTCATCAGATTTGTCGTAGGAGGCCTGCCTTGTCATTTTCCACGCCGCTCACCACTCTCCCAACCCCCACCACTCTGTAAACTCGGTCGCATCTCTTTGTCTCATGCACACTATTTCGGGAACACACGCGGCCCAATTGGGAAAACATGCAAGCTAATCAAACAAACATGATGCCAATATTGGTGCATGCTTGCTGCGCCGTGCATGGTGCAAGCATCTCACGTACCGGCCTAACAAAAGTGATAGAACCTGGTAGAAACGTGATTTGGGGGGGATTTTTCGACAGGCCAGGTATTGCTATGGAATTGATTGGAGGGAGGGCTCTGGGGGTTGTTGTTGGCGTTTTTACGGGCGTTTTTACTGGCGTTTTTACTGGTGTTTTTACTGGCGTTTTCGCAGCTTAGCATGTACTTGTACCAACATCGGCCAGTTTTGTGTTTTAGTATCATGCCACTGTTATCAGTGCTGACCCCAAATGATGGGTTCCTACAGACAACATGGGAAATATCGGTTAGGCGAAAGGGCTCGTTGTCTGCGGCGCCAGGCGGTTCGAATGGGGCTATTTTCGCTCGTCGTTCCATTGGTCTCACGTGGCGCACCAATATTTTTCTCGCCAGTCTGCGTCATTTTCTCATTTTTTGTCAATAGGGGAAAAGAAAAGAAAGAAAAAAGACAAAAAGGAAAAGTTTTAATGTCAAAAAAACAAAAGACCATGGTTCAGGTTTCAGGCACAGGGTGGACGCGAGAAAGGAGTGAGGTTGGCGGATTGGGAATGTAGGCTAATGTGGAATGATAAGGGTTGGCTGGAGACGTCGATGGGACAAAAAGGAGCTAATGAGATGGACCTTTTTTGGCCCCGCAATTGTGGGCTGAATTTCAAGCCACGGGGAAATCACTCGTTCGTCCATGGAAGGCTCGTAGGTGATCCAGCCCCACCTCCCCCGGATCGCCCGATCGTCGCTGAACATGCTAGACCCAGAAAGCAAAAGACGGGTTGAGAAAAAGCCCAAAAAAAGCAACGACAAGGGCCAGAAAGCGTGCCAAAATTGGCAACGGTGCTGGGTCCCAATAGACGCAATTGAATTGGCACAAGAAGATATTGGCTGTCATGCGCAACCTCAAGGTTCAATCAGATCAACAAACAATGCCGCCCAGATGGTTGTCCTGGGTAACCGGGTAGGGCATCATCTTGAGCGAAATAGCGAGCTGGAGTCGGAGCGGTGATATCAGCCGTGCGTCACGTGAACCCGGCGCTAGTTGGTAATTCTCCATCACACTATTGTCTACACTAGTGCCGTGTAGCCGTACTCTTAGTGCGGTCTTTCGGGACTAGCGTTAGCAAACTATTGGCCAATAGGGAATCCAACAATTTTTTTATATTAACATAATACATATCAAGACCATCACCGATAGTGTTAGTGTAGTATGTACTGTACACACTGATTGAACCCGTTTACAGCTACTTAGTTCACAGTCTGTACTACTTGGACCTGACACATTCCATATACAGTCCAACCGATCTAGTTCACGTCATGTGTCAGTGTCAAACGAGAGTGTTGTTCCGCGACGAGCGGTTCCACGGGAGCTCTGCGCGCCCAACTTCATCTGGTGATACTCGCAGTAGCTCAACGGGATCTCTGGGTTGTCTGCGGGCTTGTCTGTTGGTCATGCTAACCTCTCGGATGCTACGCTACAAGTACAAGAAAGGGTTGCGGTTGCAGGGGTGTTGAGGCCCGAGAACCCAGTCCGATAAGCCTTTAGGCTGGATCTAATCAGCTTTGAAGGGATGTAAAAGAACGATATCGTTCTCTCTCGGAGACAATGTAAGTTCCGTGGCCAATTTGGAATGAGCAATTTGATGTTTGGCGAGATGCTCATCCAAGACAGAGGGCATGGATTTTGGCGCAGTTCTATTTTGATTTCCGTGCTCGCCTCGCCCTCCACGTGACTGCCAATATCGAATTGTACAATACAGACCATGTCTCACTCACTATTTTGTACAATACGCAGCAAGTTTCACTTGAATCATCTCACCTATTTTAAGCAATCCCATGACCAGCCCTCTTCCTATTCAGTCACATGTCTCTGCGGTTGCTTTTGTGACGTAATTAGAGGAGCAAAAAGAGAGAGGGAGAGCCCATCTCACTGGCAATCCATCTATGGGGTCTGGGTCTCCGAGTGAGCCCCCAACCTCCCGAACATCTGCCGTCGATTCAGACTTTGGTTGGTGTCATTCCGAGCCGAAACTCATCGCGCTTGACCATCTTTAACTAGAGAGTCTAAAGTTACTTGGCTAGTATGCATTCTTAGTTGGATGTGCCTTAACCCAATACTGTGGAGGGCTAATGGTGAACATCACGTAATGGAACAGGTATTGGGGCTGTTGCGGTCCCATTCAGCCCATCTAGTCACGAGGAACCGCGTCCCCTGCGCCGATTTCAGCCCCCGTCTTGTTTTTGGCCCTACTTGTAGCCTTTTTCGGTCTCTAAATCGCTGCTTGCTTTTGCTCAAACCATGATACACAGCCCAGAGTTTCTCTGGGAAAAACAAATCGTATTTCTCAGAAATTGGAAATGGCAGGAAAAATACGACAAAAACAGCAGTCCCGTTGTAAGTACTGTAACCACGGCAGTTTGCATCCAACAACCGTCAATAACCGTCGGTCCAGTCATTCAAGACATGCAACTTCCGTCCCCTACATTCGAACAACACCCGTACAGTACATACTCGTATAATCATCCTAAGGTGGTATGGAGGCTCAGCTCAGCTCAGCTCAGGGCGAAGCAGTACATTTCACTGACCTCCTTATGATCGGATGCTCTGCCGAACACACTACAATAGATGAAACACGGCTGGGTAGGATTCTGGACAAGCTCCTTGAGACTCTTATTATTTCTTAATCTCACGCCCCTGTGCCCTGAGAGCCCCCTTGCCTCCTGCTAAACTCTCACTGTTGTTTATGTTCAAGTGGGGTTCGTGTTTTTTTTTTTGTGTTTCCATGGTGACGGTGGTTGGAAAAAATATCGGTAAAAAATAAAAAATAAAAAATAAAAATATGCCAAAAATTACAAAAATTACAAAAATTGCAAATAATATCCCACACATTGGAAGACGTGCAGGGCCACATGTCTACGTACGGATGTTAGACCGACCATCATGCGGCTAAGCCCTTCCAAGTGGTATTCCAAATGCGCCCAAGACCTTCTATGCCATGTATTTTGCACCACACTGAGAACAAGCACGAATACAATCGTACTCGAATTATTACGCAGCTCAGACTGCCTCTGATAGTTCCTCGTCTTTGCGAGGAATGCACATGGTGAACATTGCCAAAGCCGCTCGCTTTTCGGCTCTCGTTTTGTGCTTTTCTTCATCTCGTTTTGCGCTTTTGCACCAGTTTTCCGCCGCCTCCCAGCGACCCACTTGTCAACAAGCCCGGTATTGTTTGTACATACTGTATCATGCAATGCACATATTTTAGAAGCACGCCTGCCCCGTGCCTTGCATTAGCGGACAACTGTTTGTTGTTGTGTGCGAAAACCGCAAAAAAACGCGTATGCCATGTCCGCACGTGTTTTGTCAATCTCCCGGAATGTTGACTAAAGGTTGGTAATTGGGTTCGTGGGGGGACGAGTGGACGTAGGACGAGAGATGGAAATAAATGGATGCTATAGACTTGTAGAGCTCGTCCACGCGACCACGGCAATGTATTTTTGGCTGCATTTCGTCGCACTACACGCTGACTTGGGAAGGTTTTTATGGCACTAAAGTGGGACCAATATGTTGAAAAGGAATGTCTGGAGGATGGCCTGAAAGCTGCGCATGAAAAGCGGAGAACCGGTGTAATTTTGCATAGAATGGTCGAGAGATGTTGGAATCGCACTATATCTTCCAAAAAACAACAACAAAAAAAAACATCACCAGAACTCTGGACTTAACTCCCCAGAACCGGACTTAATACTCCCAGTACAAGGCTTATAACGCTCCTGCCAGAAAAAGAATGATCGTGAAGACGTGATGATTTTGACGGTTGCATTATTAAATCCGGAGTGATATATGAACAAACACGTGGTATTTTGTATCCGCGTGATCTATGATGTTTCATCAGCCACATCTCTTCTGATGGTGTCATGGCTACAGCTTTGGTGACCTTGGAAGAATGTTGCGCTGACAGAAGGAATGCTTAGTGATCTCGGCCACTGAGCAGTTTGAAACGTCGAGCTACATCGCATTGAGACTTGTTTATTGTGCACCCAGGAACAACTGCTAGAGAGAGTAGTGTCTCAAGTGAAATGTGTCGCCTCTTACAGAGATGTCAAGAACGTAGAGAAGGTCGAACTTGACTCTATACAAGACTCACCACTCTAGAACTTTTCCTGAAAAAGACCTTCATCGGGCTCTTATACTGCCTCACGAATGAATCTCCAAAAGAAATGTAAGAGAGAAAATCAAGACAACGGCAACAATGACCCAAGAAGTTCACAAGCTAGACATAGAGAAAGTCTTGACAAAGAAAGTCATTGATACCAAGCTTTACAGGCATGACTACTTTTCGAGTTACTTCCCCACCTGGCTTGGCAGGCACGAGATGCAACGGGGCTGTCGACAAAGACCCTCTCTCCATATGCTGGTTTCACTGATTCAAGTACAGTACCATAATTGTACAGGCTGCTGCGCTAAGGCAGTCTGAGTTGATGTATGGATAATGTCTCATCTTCTCTCTATTGCGATATTAGCAGATCTACAGCACAGAGCAAAGATCTTAAAGATATATACAAGCAGCTACAAGTCCCAGAATGGACAGTTGCTTCGAAAGTTGTCTTAATGGTTGAAATATCTGGCTACAGTGGCTCGGTTTCCAAAGGATGTCACATGTTACCTCAATAAGGGACCCCATTAGTATCACCACTGATTCCATCCATACCCACTACTTGTAGCTCAGTTCATGCAAAAGCTCCACTTCAATAAATAATCTGCTTACTTCTACTCTAGTCTCGGCTTTTTCACACCGAGTCGCAAAAGTTGAGCTCAACAAACGCTCTTTCACACCTGCTTAGCCATGTTGGACCTCTTCTTTTTCCGTCTATCCTGACGATGCTGCATGTCAATATGCGACTTCCCATTCTTGTAGATGACCTGAATCCTAGCATGACACAGCTGACGATCAGGACCCTGTAGTTTCATAAAAGGAACCAGCTCTCGCAACCCTCTCAGCTCTTCTCCTTTCTTGGACGGCGTGTTCTTCGGTGGAGGCATTCTCGCGGAGCTCTGAGTAGCTGCAGGGGGTGGCACTTTCAGCTCAAGATCCATCCACTCTTCTTTTCTCCGTCGCTCAGCTTCAAATGTGATCTCGGCGATGTCAACAAATTTGGTCGCAAACGAATCCAGCATAACCACATTCGTATGTGTGCAGTAAATGAGCTCTCCAATGGTTCTGTAGAGAGCTACAATGGACATCTTGGCAGATGCTCCTCTTCCAGTAGCCACAGTGGCTGTGGAAGAATAGGGTCCTGTAGACAGCTGCAGCAAAGTCGCAATCTCATCTATAACCACCAAAGACCCATGACGATTACTCAAATTATTCTTGATCCCAGCATTGTGTCGGGCTGAAATCTCCTTGGCTCTTTCTTCAACCAGTACTCTAGGTATGTTCTGTCTCAAAGCCACCAGAAGCATGGCCATAGTAGGCGTATGAACCACAAACAGCGATCCAAGCCGTGGTTTTGTTCTCTCATCTCCTGTCACTTCTTGTGCCCTCTGCTTCTCTCTCATCTGCTCCAGCCACCGCTCCTTATCGACTTTGCGATTAGCTGTACACCATACAACTGCCCGGCCTTCCTCAAGGGTGCTTGTCACGAGCGAATCGACGAGAGTGCGAGCCAGAGGGTGCCCAGGAATCGAACAAAGCTCAATCACACGCGTGCCGAGACTGAGCTTGAGTTGCTCGTCCAAAGGCGTGTTGGTTCTCATTGGATCACGTGATTATACAGCGTCACGCGACTTTATCTTGGGTATCAACAGAATCTGATCACGGGACACGTGATTCAAATCGACCGTTGGTGATAACGCGCGTCTGGGTGAGTTCAAAGTGGTTTCGCATGTTGTGGTTAGGGTAAGGGGGATGTCAGTAGGTGATTTTTCGTGGGATCGAATTTACACGGATTTCGCAAAGATGGTCGTATTGATGGAGTTAGGGGGCTGCGTTTTGGTATATTTTTTCTATTTTTGGACTTTTATTGGATTTATGGAGAATGAACAAATATATACACGAAAAATGCAAAAAAAACCCCGAAGAAAATGATGAACGGGTCAAATTCGATAGTACTCAGAAATGTAAGTCAATTAAACGTGGAATAACTCGTTAAGGATAGTATTGAGTAACAATTGGCCGTCTTTGGCCAAATAAAGCGCCATTTCCATCCTCAAATACGCCTTCCTCATCCCCGAAACACCAAGGCAACCTGGCCGAGCGGTCTAAGGCGCCAGGTTAAGGCCACACCTTAACATAATATCCTGGTCTCTTCGGAGGCGAGAGTTCGAATCTCTCGGTTGTCAGCAGTTCCCGCAAGGGTTCCTTTTTTGCCAGTTTGGAGGTTTCTCTTTCTTGCATGTCGGTTGGGCACGTCGGAAAGTGGGAATGTTGCGACCAGTTGGCCAAGTCAATTTTTGTGGAGGTTCAGAATCAAAAAGGGATATGCTCAAGACACAGATCCAATGTATCAATAATATCATTTTAGCCACTTTCGCCACTAAATCTGTTAGATATGTGTCAACATGGTCAACTAGTAAGTGGTCGTTTTTTTCATTATGGTTCTTGACATTAGTTGAAATACTGGACAGATATAGTTGACTTCTTACACTAATTGCCGGCCAGTGGGAACACGACACAATTCATTTACAAAGAGTAAGAGAATATCACAGAGTACGTGAAAGTGAGCCTGGGACGCAATAAGTGGCAATACGTCAGTATCAAAAGCACAAACAAGCCTCCTGTGGTTTCCAGCGTGTCTAGCAGCACGTATCACCAACCTCCAGTGTATGCCGGTCGACTAACACAAGTATACCCAATTCAGGCATTTGTACTGCCAACAGGGAAGTGATATATATGCCGTTCGACATAAAAGGGAGTGTTCAGCAGTTCATTATACTTACTGTACCAGCCTATAGTCATCTTTCTCTCGCCGAAAGTGACATTTCTAGCGCTGTAACTGTCGCTATTAGATGTTGCATGCAGCTACAATAGACGAGGAGATGCTACATACTGTGCAAGTACATGTACCGTATGTACAGTTCTCACAAGCAAGAGTTCGCTAACACCGCGAAAAACCAGACTGATCTTGGACCTTGGTTGCTTATGAACGATACTGGCCGCTTATGAACTACTCGTGACCTACTGTTCCCCGCCTCCGCTTGTCGCCGCCACTAAGATACCTGTACTTGTATGGTTCCTATAAACCCACTAATACGATGATTCGTCCCTCCATACAACCTGAACATATCATACAGTACCCCGGACAGTCCCGCTGTACCAATACAACTCCCCATACGATGCCATACGTGACTCGGGAAACTCCACGTGTTGACTGGAAACTCCGTCTGGCTTTCTCAACAGTTGCTGTCATGGGTCACACCATACAACCTCAACCTCAACCTCAACCGACAGACACGTGCTTCTAGTGCTTCTATTAATACAACTAAAGAACCAACAACAAGACGATACAAAGACAAGACCACCATGTAGCAAATGGTGATATGGAGCAGAACTCAACAGAATGATCCGACATGAACGCAGTAACACAAGCAGAGACAATCTGTATCACATATACTCGTACTCGTACTCGTACTCGTACACTCCATTTCCTGGTAACTAACTCACTCATCTGAGACATTGTCCTCGAGACTAATCTCGGGGTTTGTTTTTCCAGCAACCTCCACAAGCGCCATCTACAACCAATCTACAACCAAGAAACCACTCTACGTGATCGCATTCTTCACATAGCACAGCACGAGCACTGCTCTCATCATATATTGCCATTAGAAAATCCAAAAAAGGCCAAAAAAAAAACTATCAATCAATCAATCAAACCAAACACAATACTCTCCAAATGATACCGACAGATGCCGACCGGAATCTCCTCCTTTTTTCTCGTTTTCTCGTTTTCTGTCTTTTTTTGCGCGTTTTCCAAGGTTTTGTTGTGTTTTTTTTTTCTTCAAGTTTTCACATTATCAAATTCCATTGGTGGCGCCGCCGAGTATCATAACCATTAATAAAATATCCCATAAATCGAAATCATTCGCTGAAAGAAGCTGAAGGTGTCCAAAGACTTTTGAGGGCGTGTGCCGAAAATATACCAAACTGTGGTACACACGGGGCAGCCGGGGTGCGGGCGCAGGGTACTAACCGAGAGGCTAGTGCTTTGCTTGAGCAAGACCACTCCGCCAAACATTAGAGTGCTATTGGCGCGTGTGGCGTGGGGGGACTCCACCGAGTGGAAATGTCCATCGTGTTAGTCGAGTTGCACGTGCAAGACGTGTGTTTGTGTTCTCGTCCACTTAGCAAGCAACAACGTGCTTGGGGAAGGGATCAAAGACACAGTGGGCGCAGTCACAGACGGGGTTGTAGTAACTGGCGATGGGGCCCTCCTTGCACTCCGGATAGTGGTGGGTGCTGTGATGGGGAGGGGGCATGGGCATCACCTGAGGAGCCACATGGTGGTGGTCCATCTGGTGATGGGGAGGGGGTATCGAGGGGGCCTGCATAGGGGCCTGCACAGGCGGTCCTACTGATGCAAACGATTGTTGAAAGTAGGATGTGAAAGCGGAGGGGGGATGCTGCTGGTGGTGGTGCTGGGGAGCACACGCGCTGTCCATGTTGCTAGCGGGCTGGTTGTACCAAGAGGGCACGGTGTAGAAGGGCCGGGTAGGCGAGGTCATGATGACGGAGCCAACCTTGGGTTTGGACAGCGACACGGGCGAGACTGGCGACGACGCGTGGGGCGATGTGTTTGTGGTCGACACCTCCGAGTTGGAGACAGACACCAGCGGCGACGAAGCCGCCGAGCTCTTCGGGCTGTTTGCGACCCAGTAGTTCCAGCAGTCGTTCCATCGGTGCCAGCCCTTGAGGTCCTGCTGATCGAGATGCAGCGACCACGAGATTTTCTGCAGCCAGTCGGCCTCCAGGGTGGTGAGTTCGCCGACAGCGATGCCGGTGGCCTGGGACCAGGATCGGTTGGTGAAAGTGTTGTCGTCGTGGAACTTGTTGGCCAGCAGCAGCGACACGACCGACATGCGGTAAATGTAGCCGCTTGACTTTTCGTGGCCCAGCTCGAGATCCTTCATGGCCCATCGTTTCGACAGGTAGACGAGGGAGAGCACGACGGTGGCGCGGGGCAGCCGCGTGGCCGAGAGCACCTGTGAGGCAAACGCCTTGAACGCGTCGTGGCCCACCTCCGGGTTGGGCTTCATGATGCCTAGGGCCATGGTGGTGAGAAACTCGGCCATGTCCTTGATTTCGTAGTCCAGGGTGGCAGACACGCCTCCGGTCACGGCAGGAGGGGCGGGGGCAGGCATCTGGATGGGTGGGGGCACAACCTGAGGCGGATAACCCATGTTGTGGTACGTCGGGTAGCCGCCTCGGGTCATGTCATAGCCCATATCGCGGGTCATGTCGTAGTCGTAGTGCGCCGAGTAGTGGGACGACATGGGCGCCTGGGGCGCCTGGTGGAAGTAGCCCTGGTCCATAGGCGGGGCTTGAGCCATGTGGTGGTGGCTGTAGGGGTACTGGAAGGCCATGGTGGAGACGGGCGGTGGTGCTGTTAGTAGCAGGTGTCGATGGCAAGCTCCATGTACTGGTTTAGTGTGGCTGGTGAAACGAAGACTTAGCGAAAAGCTCCGTTTCAGAGGTTGGTGGCGGCAAACGAGACGGCTTTCGGTTTGGCAAACACACAGACCGTGAGTAATGTGGTTTGGGGAGAAAGTCAGGCCAGGCACTATTTTTTGTAGGCGCTCGAAAAAGTGTTTTTTTAAGCGCTACAACTCTGACATGTGTGCACACCTTACGCTGCTCGTTAGTTTCCTTGTTTGGCACACTGTCCTACTTTGTCTTTTGGGAGTTTGGCTTTGTGTTTCTTGGCATGTGCTGAATTTTACGCTGGGGCTCCTAAGAGAGCGGCCCCAAATGTACGCTGTCTCACCGAGAAAATTTCTCATTAAAGTACATATTGGCCTGGCCAGCCAATCACAGCGCGGCGGGAAGCCATACACGAGGCTCGAGACGGGAAATTGAGAGTCCTTCAGGGGCACGTTTGGGCGAAAATAAATACATGAAAACGCTCCTTGCAACGCGGAGAGTCCGCCAGAGGCGGTTTCGTCGGCGTACCTTCCCCGGATCCCGAGATAACCCGCAAAAACAGCGTCTCGATCGGACTTTCAACCTCTGCTGTATTTTGTTTCCCAAAAACCTCTGCCCCGACCCTTTTAAAGTTGACCATGTGGCTAAACCCGTAACCAGTGAGGTGTTTGGAAAACATTCGGGGCCTACTATACATACCAAAATAGACAAACCGCAAGGTCAAAAACAATACAAGTGCAAGCCGCCCAATATATGCCGTTCTACACCTCCCGCTACACTTCCAGCTACACCTCCAGCCGGGACCTTCTCCACACTCCTACAGCTCACGGCTCGTTGCATGCATATGTATTATGTACCCTGCCCAATGTGAAGTAATTAAATTCGCGAAGCCAACGGACATGGAGAATAATTCGGAAAATAATCAAATAAAAATCTGACAACTATCCTTATGACCCCTACTCATATGAACTGATACCAACTCTTCAATGCCCCTCCATTATCACTCATTAGTGCGGCTGGACGCCCTCACACCCCAGTTCTGGAGCCGTTTGTTTTTCGCTCATAAATCCCCGAAATTGAAAATGCTTGCTTTTTTAAATACCCAATTTAAAACCTCGTAGAGTCACGATGCAAAATGCACAGCATAAAGGACACTGTTAAATCGTGCTATACGAACAGTCTAGGGGGAAGGGGAAAACAAGTCACGTGACAAAAAACCCTCTTCCCCCCCCCAACCGAGATTCCCGCCACCCCGTCGCCCCCTGAGTACACACACACACGTCTGTCTTGTGACTCATCCACATGGTCAACATGATATTATTTATAAGACGGAACCTAAATAGAATTTGGTCACGTGACACATAAAGAATGTGCGAACGTCAACTTTATACAGTGGCGGTGATGTCATGATGAAAGTGGAGTCCTTTCAGAGGGGGAAATAAATGATATATCGGAAATCAGGCGCCACCATAATGATTGTATCATTCTCACGAACAAAATGCAACCATCCGAATTTTTCTCAGATTACTTTAGCAAAATGTACCCCCTACTCAACACCCAAGTCCCTTTTTTTATTTTTATTTTTTTATTTTTTTATACCGGCTCCTACCACTCAAAAGACCGCAGAATGAGCACAGAATATCGCTCACGAAACACGTCGTCTACGCACAAACGTTTTCTAATGTACATTTGGCACGTTACGCGTGGTCCCTCATTCAGCGACCTAGTCCTGCTATTCGAAAGTGTTGATTCACGTGACTGTGAAATCTGCAGTTGTTTCACGTGATAACCCTGTTTATAGTCACGTGACCAAACCCTCTTTCTCTCGCCCCCTCCCTCCCCAACACGTGACACTTACTTAATCACACCGATCCACTCCAATCAGTCACACGATAATTCTATCGTTTATGCATGCGGGGTGTGGCACCGGAGTGGCTGAGTCAAGTTGCGTTGAAAGGTGGATGTGGACGGTATTATTAGTCAGAAAACCGTGGATATTGCGGTATTACTTACACGTGATACTTTGTGAGAATACGTGACACCTTTTCGCTACTCTGCACCACGCTTCGCACCCCAGCTACTTGTAATCCCTTACCGAAATACTTCCGCTCATGCCGAAATTTGAGTTCAAAAACGGTTTCTCCCGGGTCATTTTTCAGAATCACTTTTCAGCATGTTAGAAGATCGATTTTTAGAGGAGGTTGACAATGTAGAATCATATACATCTGGAATACTGATTCTACTTTTCAACTTTCAAATATACCCACTATTGAGCTCTCTGGAGAGATACCGGCTCTGGGTATCCAGGGCTGGTAAAGTTTAAAACACTCGGCTGATTCTCAAGTTTTAATAACGGCCGCAGAACAATGAGTAATAATGACACCGGATTTCAATCGGGGATATGGTCACATCTAAGGACTGGCTATTTGTTTCAATTTTCAGCTCAGTTTAGCGCCTTCTGCACGCATAGCCATTAATTTTTCAAATTTCCCCTAAAAATAAATCCTGAAGCTTATAATTTTTCAGTCGATTTTGAAAACACCTGTTACTCCATGGACAGTCAACCAAATGATTTCAGAAGCTGACAGTAAACAAAATGGAACTAGGGCTATAGATCAAATATAACACCACCAATAAGTACCCTTTATTTCGCGTAGTAAGAAGTTTTCTCTGGGTTGTTCAGCTGAACTTTATGTGAAAAACCTGCACAATATATAGACGATTGGCAGGTCACCTCTTCTCCTCGTCATCAAACATACTACAAACGAAAACAGGAGTGGTTCGAAGTTCGGTCTGAAGCGATTTTCACAAATCTATTTGGACGCATTTAATATACCTCCTTTCAGTAGTTGCCCTTTGAAGACGAAAACAACATCATTTTCGACATGACTATTCTTGGTGAAGACGACAACAAGGTGAAGGAGCTGGTGAAGGGTGGAATTGATGACATTAAGAGCATTGATGTGAAGAAGAGCGTGCAAAAGTGCGTTTCCGGAGCTTCTTCGGGGCTGAAAAATGCATATGAGACCGTCAAGTTCAAGACTACGACTCGAGAGGGTCTGATTGGAGATTATGACTACAAGTTTCTGCTTACGCCCAAAATTCCGTTTATGAAGAAGTCCAAGAAGGGTGACAAGAACCGGTCGACGTTTTTTGCTGTCGATTCGTCTCTGCCTCTTTTGCTGGCCATTTTGCTTGGTTTCCAGCATTCTTTGGCCATGATTGCAGGCATTGTGACCCCTCCTCTTTTGATGGCTTCAGCTGCGAATTTCGACGCGCAAATGACCCAGTATCTGGTTTCTGCGGCCATGATTGGCTCGGGTCTTTTGTCGCTCATTCACATTATTCGATTCAGAATTCCAGGCACCCACTTGTATGTCGGCACCGGTTTGATTTCTGTGGTTGGAGCTAGTTTCAGCACCATCACTGTCTTCACTACGGGTCTGCCCATCATGTACAAGAGCGGAGTGTGTCCCGTAAGCGAGACTGGAGCCCCGTTGCCCTGTCCCGAGGGCTATGGAATGATCATTGCCACTGCTTCACTGTGTGCTCTGATTGAGCTTCTTTGCTCATTCCTGCCGTCCAAGTTTCTCATGAAACTGTTTCCTCCGGTCGTCACCGGCCCCGTGGTGCTTGTTATTGGTGTCTCTCTGATTCAGTCCGGCTTCAAGGACTGGGCTGGAGGCGCTGGACCTTGTTTCGGACGTCCCACTAGCGGCGACTTTATGCTGTGTCCCTCTAACGACGCTCCCATGGCCGCTCCCTGGGGTTCCGCACAGTTTATCGGTCTGGGCTTCCTCGTCTACGTCGCCATTCTCACCTGCGAAAAGTACGGAGCTCCCATCATGAAATCATGTGCCGTGGTGATTGGTCTTCTGGTGGGCTGTATTGTGGCTGCTGCCTGTGGCTACTTTGACGCTACTCCCATCAACGAGGCTCCTGTGGCCACCTTTTTGTGGACTACCACGTTCCCTCTGAAGCTGTATGGTCCAGTGGTACTTCCTTTGCTGGCCGTCTACCTGACTATCATGATGGAGACGATTGGAGACATTACTGCTACCTGCGACGTGTCTCGAGTAGCAGTTTCTGGACCCGAATACGAGAGCCGAATCAAGGGCGGCATTCGAGGAGACGGTATCATCGGCTCTATTGCTGGTCTGCTGACTCTCACTCCCTGCTCTACCTTTGCCCAGAACAACGGAGTCATCAGCTTGACAAAGTGTGCCAACCGTCAGGCCGGTGGCTGGGCCTGTTTCTTCATTCTCATGATGGGCATCTTCTCCAAGTTTGCCGCTGCATTTGTGTCGATTCCCAAGCCCGTCATTGGCGGTATGACCACTTTTCTCTTCACCTCAGTCGCAGTGTCTGGCCTGGCTATCATTTCCAGAAACCCCATCACTCGACGAGACAGAATCGTGCTCACTGCTTCTCTGGTGCTCGGTCTGGGCGCCACGCTGGTCAACAACTGGTTCTCCTTCGTCTTCACCTACGAGGGCGACAACCAGTCTCTTCAGGGCTTCCTTGACGCTATCCAGCTTGTCATGAGCTCGGGTTTCTCCGTCACTGGCTTCGTTGGTGTCATTGCCAACTTGATTATCGATGATGACGAGGAAGAAGACGAAGACGACAAGGAGCACACGCTCGAGATCTGCTCGAGTTCGTCATCCATCACACAAGTCGATCTTGAAGCTGGCCAAAAGGTTGAGTAACCAACACCAAAACCAAAAGGATCCGCAAGGACCAACTCGAATCTCTGATTCAAAAACTTGTACAACCAAAACGGGACCGCAAGGAACCGCCGAAAACACAACAACACAAAAAGAACCACTCCGTGGCTCGGGCTACATTCACTTGTAGTCTTATAAAAAGAGGGATCCCGACGACTCTTCTGATGACACCCTTGCCAGAATCGAGACTCCAGATCCCACCTATTTATAGATGTTAATGTATTATTATTGTATCCACACACATGGTCTAGTCCTCACCTGGCAAAATGGGATAAAAAATCGGGGCTATCCAAGCTACGTACTACAAGTAGTAGTATAGTTGATTAATAATCGATACCACCACTGCATCCATCTGTAGCACACTGAACTTTCTGTTTCGAGAGTTGAACTCCTCACAGAGGCAGACACTTCTGGCCCTTTGACACAACCGCTGAACTCAACAGTCAGCACTTGGCAATAGCTTTTCTTACCCTATACAGCAATGTTGGATTGTTGGAACAGACATTTTGCAGCTGTCAGAACTACGCCTCTTCAACCCTGGGTCTAGCCCACGGCTATATCTCTCATTCATAAATCCCTAGTATGGTCTAAAACACCGTTGAAACGTTGAAGTTGAGCCGTTGAGTCTGAATGTCTCAGTCTAGCGTGGAAAATGTGAAAAGTATAGGCCGAGTTTATGGCAATGCTGGTATGAGTGTGAGTGCAACTACATACGGTACGAGTACCTGTGGTAGTAGCCAAGCGACCAAAGTGCACACAAATACTGGAAGGAGTGTAGATCGTTCCATCTTCGCACCACATATTGTACCAGTCCCGCTTGCCGTCCCCCCCCGTCTCCCCAATCCCGTCCCGTCCCCTCCATTTCAAAGTCCAATACCCTGACGCATCGTCTTCCACCAACTCCTCGGTCCGGCCTTTAATTTCATTTGGGAACCTTGTCGTTTCTTTTTCTCTGCTCGAAAAGATCTCCACCCCATGCACCTTTGGCATCGACCCACTCTCGAAATACGGTTGCAAACGCATGGAAGGAGTGTATCCATAGACTCAGAAGAAGGGACACGACCGCGGGGGGCGAGTCACGTGACCCTCAGAAAGACGAGCAAAATGTCTCACGTGGTCCGCGTTCTCGGGGTCTGGGCCTTTCACCGCCCTTCAAACTCGACATCGGAAAAAAAATTGGCGTTTTTTAGGCGGCACTTTCTCATGCATAGATTAGACCCAGATTGCGAGACGTTAGGGTTCGGGGTGCTCCGTGGGGGTGGGCGTTAGAAGGGGTAATAATGGTCTGGTAGAAACGAAAAGACAATCAATCGAAAGCTGAGAGTCAGCAGATTCGTTTGGTGCCGTTATTGATCCTAGAAACGCCATATTTGATCGTCCTAATAGTCGTCTGAAGCAAACTTTCACGCATGCAGGGTGGAAATTTATAGTCCGAAGAGAGCTCGGAGGTTTGGTATTTATCCGGTGTGTGGAGACAGGAGTGGTGGGGGTGCTTGGAGGTAGGGAGATGCTCCAAGTACTGTACTAAACAAGTGGCGTTTCTGATCTGTAGAGAAGGACTTCTGGATGTGCTTTATCAGCACTGCGCAACTCGTATGTTGCAACGTCCAAGGCGGCTGTATAATAGTGGTGCTACTGTAGCCTTTTTTCGTGCACTGCTGGGGGTCGTTGTTCAGTGTAGCTACAGTAGCTACAGTAGCTACAGTAGTAGAAGTATGGTGGAGGTGGGAGACTTACTGCGTGAGCGTATTGCTGCGCTAATGTAGCTGGCGTATTGGGGGTAACAGCGTGTTGGCAGGCTGCTCCGGGGCTCGGAAAAACGGCGCGAGACTGTCCGTACACCTTCAGGCTCGTGTATATCTGTTTATAGCACAATCACATTGTCATGTCTCAGTGCCACTTGTGCCGAGAGTTGCGGCTTCCCCAGAGTCCAAACCGGCTTAGAGTTGTATTGCGCAAGGCGTATCTTGTGAGGCGTAAGTACAGTAGAGTGAGCGATGAGAGCTTTTTGAGTGGCGTGGGAGCAGGATTGGAGGGTCTTTATATATTGCCCCAAGGGCTTTTGTGTCGCCAATGACGTGTCCACCAACCCGCTCACTGCCACGCCCCGGCCCCCATGTTGTATTCTCTGTAGGGTGGCAACAAATAAAAAAATACAAAACCGTGGGTGGTGTGTCAAGTTGAGTGCGATATTACATAATTGTGGGGAAGGTAGCGTGGGCCCGAAAATAGCGTGTGGGGGGATGGGAGATGGTGACACAAACACCGCAGCACAGGTATATATGCCGGTCGGGCGCCCCCGTGAAGGCCTTCTTTCTACACGCCACATTTGTCTTTTTCCATCTTCACAAGTACCCCTCCATTGCCAGAGAGCTCCGGGCTGCATGGTTAGCGCAGCAAAACTAAATCCCACCTTGCGCAAATAAGCTTTCCCCCTCTCGCTCGTCCCACATTAATTTTCAACACCACTGTTTATCTCCACAACTGGACACACGAGTCGCTGTCAAGTGGCAGGAACAGATTGAGTGGATACGACACGAGCGCAACAGAGCCTGAAGCGAACGCTCGAACCCTTACAATCGACACATACAGTCAATCGACACAGTCCCCAACACACACAAACAACGACACTCAAGTCTCAAGCGACACAGACAGAGTCATCCGACGACACCCAGACGACATATACTCATACTCAAGTAACTACAACGACACAGACAGTTGCTCAAAGACCCAGGACGATATTGAAAACGACACTGACCAACCTGAACAAGACTGACCAGACAGTTTCAAACAGCCCAGTAACGACACCAACACAACGACAGAGACAATCTCGACCAAGATGGAATTCACAGCCACCAATTCAGACCGAGAAATGCACCCTCCCCCGGTGGCAGTGCCGTCGCATCTGCAGCAGTCCACGACCCACCGCACGGTGCCCAAAACCAACCCCAAGACGGGCAAGTCCGAAATGCCCCGACCCTACAAGTGCCCCATCTGCGACAAGGCCTTCCACCGGCTGGAGCATCAGACCCGCCACATCCGGACACACACGGGCGAGAAGCCCCACGAGTGCACCTTCCCAGGTTGCACCAAGCGGTTCAGCCGTAGCGACGAGCTCACCCGACACTCGCGCATACATTTAAATCCCAACACTAGACGGGCCAAGAACATGAACAGCGCCGCCGCCGCCGCTCACAATGCCGCCGCTCAGCAGAAGGGCCCTCCTTCTAACCAGCAGCCCAAGGACGACCGAACAGACCGCCTTGTGGCCATCAGTAATCTCGTCGACCACCACGACGCCCACCCTCCTATTCCCGGAGGCAGTGGTATCAAGAGCGAGTACTCGTCCGCATACTCGACTCCATATTCTTCGGTGCCGTCGTCGCCAACCATGGGACAGGCCTCGTTGTACAGACCTTATGGTGCTGGTCCAGGCGGTCCTCCTCCTCCTGGTGGACCTGGTGGACTGGGTGGACCTGCTCCTCCTGGCCCTCCCGGCCACCATGGAGGACCCCCCACTCACATAGGTCTACCACCCCTACACCATCCTCCTCCTCCAGGAGGCCCTCATTCGGCCGCGCCCAGTGCTCCCAACAGTACGCCCGGGTCGCCCATGTTTGTGCGAGTGCCACATTCAACCTACCCAAGATCGACTTTCGACATGAACATGCTCGCGACTGCGGCCTCTCAGCAGCTCGAGCGCGAGAACGCGCCTCCATCGGGTCTGTCTTCTGGTGCTCCCTCGGCTGCGCCTTCCGGCACCTCCAGCCCCTTCAACCATTCACCCTCGTCGTCGCCACTGCAGTCCACGCAGTCGTCCCCCGCTCTGGCGTCGTATTTCAGTCGGCCTCCTGCTCCGTCTTCCAACCCCGGAACCCCCGGTAGCTCGCACGGTCCTCCCTACGGCTTCTCGTCGGGCACGTCGCTGTCGTCGCATGGAAACACGCACTCCAATCACTTCCAGCACCCACAACACTTGCATCCCCCGCATCATCACCATGGTCTGCAGGGACACATCTTTGCGGGTCTGCAGCGCATGACGCCCATGTCTGGAAGAGACGACTCGGAGCCATGGCACCGGTCTAAGAAGTCGCGCCCCAACTCACCGTCTTCTACTGCACCGTCGTCGCCCACTTTCAGCAACTCGGAGAGCCCCACGCCGGACCACACGCCCCTGGCGACCCCCGCACATTCGCCTCGAATCCACCCTCGAGATCTCGAGGGAGTGCAGCTGCCTTCCATTCGGTCGCTGTCGATTGGCCGCCACGTGCCCCCCACGCTACCGCCTATGGAGATTGCGCCTCGGTCAAGTGGAGGCACCCATACCGGCACCCATACGCCGTACGGCGGCGGATCTGCGTCGCACACGCCGTTTGGCACATCACCCAACTCGGGAGTTCCTCCTCCGCATCCAAACGCGGCCCAGGGCGCTGCTTCTTCGCTTAGCATGCTAGCCATGGCTGGCCTGAACCACGCTGCTGGGGGAGCTGCTCCTGGAGGCAGTGGGGCGGCAGCTACGTCGTCGACGCGCGACGAGCCCAGCAACGATACATCTGGGCCTGCGTCAGGCAGCGGGCCTTCTGCTCCGTCCACCGCGTCGTCCAGTACTCGAATGGCCGTCAGTGACTTGATTGATAGATGACACTGGCCGGTCGATAATTTAACGTGCTGAGCTCAGCACACGCATTGCCCATTGGCTGTATATAGATGAATGTAATGATACCGTAAGAGAATGAGAGCACGGTATTGTATTACAGGGGATTAAGTACACATTACTTGGAGTTCTGTACCAGAAGACACTACTATACATGGTATCACTTACATTAGAGTCGGTGACCGTATTCGTCTCGTATAGACATAATATTTTCCTACCCCACATTGTTCCTGGGCCTTCGGAGCACATCTACAGTGAGTGACTGTTTCAGTTGAGCTTGAGGGGTTAAGTAAGTGGGGGAAGGGTTTGCGATTCTGAAAAAGAGCATGACTAATCTCTCTGTGGAGGAGCAATGAAGTCACGTGATGCAATCATACCGGTGTATCGGATCTGCCTGGGTGTCTGATTACTAATCATTTACTCACCTGTTTTCCCCAGCTATCTCATCCATCTCAGAGCCTCGGCCCAGCCTTCGGCCCTTTTGGGTTTCACGACAAGACCGAATCGGACTACATATGGGTCCCCCCGATTCGGACAACAAGGGTGTTTGGTTCGCGGACGGCAATGTGAAAAAAAGGCACGGCACTGCCAATCGGAAGCCGGTATTCGGGTCTCCGGACACCCGGCTTTGCGACATGTGTCACCTTGAAGGGTTACATTGGTCTGCGTTAGTGTATCTGGCGGTGGGGACGATTTGGTCTGCAACGGGTTAGGGTGAATATGGGGGGAGGGGGAGGAGAAGGAGAAGAGAAGGGGAAGAGAAGGGGAAGAGAAGGGCCACTTTCTATAATAACACGAGTATTGTACGTATACAGTCCGTACAGTGGTTGCTTGGTTAAAGACTTGGAGAGTTGGTTGAGCTAGGAGTCGATAGAAACGGAAATGGTTGTACTGGGTCCAATAATGGTCAGATGGTGAAAACAAGCAGATATTTGGCATCAGTAGATGGATGACTACAAAATGATACCTAAAACGGACAGTAAATGAACCGGCTCTATGTAAAATACTCAATATAATGTAACAATGACGGGCTCATTGCATGACATTCAACGGCTTCAACCTAAGTCTATTTTTGGACAACAGATGGTTGGTATGAGTGCTGGCCAAAGTGGCACAGTTTTGTTCCCAGAAAAAAGTGGTTGATACAAGAGTTCCAGACTCAGATTAATAAGCCACATTTGAAATTTAGGCCCAAATGATTCACTATTGCGTTTGTTAGACAGAGGCGAATTTCTTTCACTATCTTTCAACTAACTCTAACCATTAATTATACAGTGTTGGTTAACGTATCAAGGGTATTTATGTTATTTTAAAGAAACAAAAAACACAGCATTTACTGTATCGTACCATACCCGTAGGGATGGCAGTTGATCAACAAGTAGTCAATTTAATATGTATGAATCTGAAGTATGGCTATAGACAGAACTCCTAAGCCCCACCAGAGTAGAGCTAGAAGGGACGGCGTCTCTCTTAAAGATTTCAGCACCGGGAACATCGCCAGTGATTTCCACCACGTCGGACTCGTTGGTGAACTTGGCCTTGCCAAGAGTGATGGTGTCTCGAGCGTTGTCGTAAATGACGACAGCTCGAGAGATGAAAGCAGGGCCGGTTAGAAGGGTCACCTGGTCATCAGGGGCAAGTGTAAGGTATCCCAGGTAGCAACCGCCCTGGGGTCTCTTTCGGATGTGATGTGTCAAATCCACGTCGATCTTGGTGTTTCCCCACTGGTATGTGATTTCCGGTTTGGAATCGCAAGCAACGCTCCAGGATTTGTCCTCCAAACTTCTCAGAAATGGCCTTGACGGTGCTGCTGGTGTAGACAGAGCCCATTCCTCCAGTGTCCAGCACAATATCGTGGTCTCAGGTAAGCTGAATCTTCTCTTCCTTGATGGAAAGCTCTCAAAGAGGCATGGCGTAACTGCCGTGGTGGTTCACGTGCACGGTGGTCAGCCCTCCCTCGTACCTGGCTTTATCATATCCTACTTAGTAGACATTGTTGACGACCCCCAGGGTGGACGTGTCTGCGGGGTTGATGGGCTTCTCGGCGTTGAGGGAGTACACGGCCCGAGAGATCTTGCCAGAGCCTGAACATAGTTCACTTTGGGGTTGTCAATGGCAGCCTGGTCGAAGATTCCGAGCTCGAAGCCGGTTGTTCCCGTAGACACCCAAATGTGGAAGTCCTCGAAGGCCTGGCCAGTGTATGAAAAGGTGTCTAGACCGCGGTGACCTTCAGCTCCCCAGGGATCGGGTGCAGGAGGCTGTATCTCCAAGTAGAAGACTGGGATACGTTTTAAGGGGATCGGCAGCGTTTCTCACAGACGGTGGTGTTGGAGCCGGCGAGCCACACCTGGCCAGATCCGGTATCAAATATCACAGTCGGGTTTTGGGGATGGGTTCCAACCTGCACTTCGGCCTCGTAGAAGGTGTGGCCCATTTCCTGGGTGCCATGGACGATTCCCCGACCGGCAAGATGGTGGGATGCCTCTGGGGACTTGGCGAGGTTTCGGGCGCTGAGAGACAAGTGGACAATACCAGCAGCAGCGACGGTAGCAAGAAGGAGGTTACTGAAGAGCGTTGTGTGCGATACACAACTCCAGGGGCTCTCCAAGCGGGTATAAGTACATTTTGACGGTGAGATCTTGAGAAGGGAAAAGCTTCAACCAAACCGAGCACTGGATATTAATATCGTATGATCGGCGTCGAGGTCTTTTCAGGTCAATTCTTGATCGTTTGGTTGGTTCCATGAGTGCAAACATAAACCAGATAAATCTCTAGAGCACGAAGAACGTTTTTGAGCCAGCTTCTGGGCCATCTTCTGAGCCATCTTCTGAGCCATCTTCTGAGCCATCTTCTGGGTCGTTTTCAGAGCTGTCCTGTTGCACAAAGTAGTCGTCTCCTTGGGTAATTTCTGACCTACCAGCCACCAACGTGAAGCTGTTTGGAGAAAAAGTGAATGATGCTGAGCCCTGATGATGGGCGATCCTTTTAGATTCCATGACATGTGTGTCGATGACACGGTCGATTGGAGCACGTATCGGCCAGTGACCACGGGATCCGACCCTGGAAGCTGACTCTCGAGTTTGAGAGAGAAGGTATCAGACCAATTGTCAGACATGGCATCAATCAGGACGCCATGTCGTCAAACAGCCCCCAAGCCCAACAAGAACATCATCATCATCCTGAAGGTTAGGTTGGGGGTTGCACAAGTCGATGTGCAACGTTGATCAGGGGTGTCTCAAGCTTTTTTTCGAAGCAACAAAATCAGAGGCCAGACCATTCCCTCTTCGTCGATCATGCCCAATGGGGTATTTATTGTCAATATCCAGATGCAGTATGTTGTACTTGTTGTATGAGTACTTGTAGAGTAGATGGTGATGGAGGGCATTGGGTTTTTTTAATTTTTTTTAATTTTAATTTAATATAAAACTTGACTTTTTACTTGGCATTTACTTGACTTTGATACTCGGGCTGAGAAAATGATTGGAAGGTGATATGAAAGAAACGAACAATGTGAAATGGCCCGAAGAAGACAAACAGACAATTGCACCGCTGAAGCGATTCTTCCTCTCGACCTACAGTAGTCCAATTATCAACTTATTCCATCTGCTGTAACAGAGAGCGCGGTAAAAATCGTCATAGTGAGGTTACTCACTAATCAAAATTTCACCTGATAGTACCATCCCTATGCTCAGTCCATCTCCAAAAACTTACATAATCAGAGATACTGGGAACGGTGGCAAAAGGGAGTCATAACTTCTACCAAATCGCCACCCAAATCCTCCGCCCGATATCTCCACTTGATCTTACTAGTGCCTTAGTCACCAACGTGTCATGTGCATGACAGATGCATCTTGTACATAGACGCACATATTTCATCATCTCGATCTCTCTATCTGCTCCATCACCATGAAATACTGCTGTCCCTACCCCCAGTGCAAGAGCCGGCTTGTCGTGGCCAACAAACACCCCATCGAGCTGCTGGTACGGGCTTCTGCCGCCTCGGAGGACGCCCTCAAGGTCCAGAAGGCGGCCCTCAATTTCGTTAACAGTAAAGATGTCGTCGCCAGTGACAGTGAAAAGACGGACACAAAGGCCATTGAGAGCGAGAAGAGCGAATTGAAAACCGACGCCGCTGAAGCGACCCATGTCGCAACCACAAATCCCGACTCGGAGTTCTTCCTGCCATTTTACGATCCCTTCGACTTTGACAATATCTCTGTGACTAAGCCTGTGTTCGAGGCTGGTCAAGAACCGTCTCTAATTTCTAGCGACGGAAAGACCACGGTTTCCATCGAACGACTCTTGGCATGTGCTGAGTGCGACCGGGGACCCTTTGGAGTGATTGGCAAGGTCTCCAACGTTGGCACCCATGACGGTCTGACCCATGATAAGAACGTCTATCTGCTGAGACCCGAGTCTGTGGTTGTTACCGAGAGCTGACCACCCGTCGTGGTCGCCTGATATTTATCGGATAGATGAGATATATATTGTATTACATGAGTATAAACAGGGCTGCAGTAGATGTAGACCATGCAACAGTAGCCGTCGTGTAGGAACCACCCATGCACAAGATTGCACGGTCGAGTTTTACAGTAGAAGGTGATGAGAGGCTCGAACAGTACAGTACCGATGATCGATGATCCAATTGGATATATTAGCTGGTTGACACATCAGTGCCGTGTGAGCTGGTTGACATGCATTTAATGGAGGATCATGGCGGGAAAAGAGATAAACGCCACACTAGCAAATCGTTTCGTCTCTCTGCAAAGACATTTATCCAGGCAAGAAGCGAACATAACTTTCCACACACGTATCCCTTCAAGACCGGCATCTGGTAAGGCAATGCTATTCCTATCCAGATGAACTGGGATGAAAGTCACAGCGGCGTCTGTCCAAAAGGTCCTCCAGGAGTTGCTGTTGTCTTCGGATTGCACCAGTAATTCTCTACTGTAGGGTGGCTGTGTGAGCGTCATTACGCAAGTAACAATCGTCGCAGACTCATAACAAGTTCTTCGAGCACGGTCGAGTCACGGTGCAGGACACACATTCAGAAGTGACGGAATCGCTATCAGAAGCCATCTCTCAACTCCTCCTTGACTCGATCAAGATCACGTGAGTCAACCGTCTCTCCGGTCTCTTCTTTCTGTCTGATGGCCAGGGCAATAGCCTCCTCAGTAAACAGTCGGAGGTACTCTGCTGACGATTTGATCACTCCAGCCGCGACACGAACATCGTCCGATTGAAAGGACTCATTGGTGAATATTCGCAACACGGTGTTATCGCTGAAAGTGGTGTTTGTGCTCATATCGTGCGATGGGGGAGGGAGGTTTGACGACGACGTGTTGTTTTCGCGGTGCATGAAAAATCAATTTATCAAAGTTTAAAAATTTGGAGTGTGAAAATTGTAGAGATAGATAAGGCGTAAGTTGTAAGTGTTGTGATTCTTGAGTTTCAATTTTGTTCATTTTGTTCAATTTTGTTCATTTTGTTCAATTTTGTTCATTTTGTACGATTTTGTTCGATTTTGTTCGATTTTGTACGATTTTGTTCGATTTTCGCTGTTTCATGTAATTTAATCGGTTTTAATACAAGTAAATCTACACAAACTTGACAGTACATACTGTACACTCGTACTACTTTCACTTGGTTAGAAGTAGAGAAAAATAGATTACAGCAGACTTGTGCCAACAATAGGGTGTGTTATGGAATTAAAAGAGAGCCATGATGAAGGGCAGAGCAAGAGCAGCGGTACCGACAGACATGGCAGAGGCACCGTTGGCCTGGGCAACGTGCTCTCCAGCAGGCGAAAGAGCGGGTCCGGCAGCGGGAGCAGAGCCAGGGGCAGAGGATCCGCCGGCAGCAGCTGCGGGGGAAGAGCTGGAAGATGAACCGGAAGAGGAGGAAGATCCAGCGTGGGCAGCTAATCTAGAAGAGCTGGAAGAGTCGGAAACAGCAGAGCCTGGAGAGGAAGCTCCAGAGAAGGAAGATCCCGCGTGGGAAGCTGATCCAGAAGAGCTGGAGCCGGAAGAGGAAGAACCGGAGGAGCTGGATCCAGAAGAGGCAGAGTCAGTGGAGTAAGTAGTCTTACCTCCGGAAGAGGAGCCCTTGGTATCTCCCTTGGACTCGGTATCTCCCTTGGACTGGGAATGCGCAGCCTCGTGGGCCTCGACCTCCTCATGGGTAGCAACAGAGCCGTCCTTGTGCTTGTAGCAGCCGCACTCCTTGACGTAGACAATGGTGACCTCAGTGGACGAAGAGGAAGAGGAAGAGGAAGAGCCATCGGAACCAGCAGAAACAGAAGCAGAAGCAGAAGCAGAAGAGATGCTCAGAGTGGTGACAAAGGGAGAAGTGGAGGTGGCAGGGGCGGAACCGGAAATGACAGAGGCAGAGCCGGAAATGGCAGAGCCGGCGGAGGAAGTGGGGACCTCCTCACCGTTGGTCTCAGCTAACCAGTTCTCAAGTCGAGCGATAATGGCCAGAATTTGGTCAAGGGCAGCCTGAAGAGAGTCGGATCGGGGCTCAACGCCCTCGATGATGGCGACAATGGCCTGAAGGTTGCCCACTAGAGTGCTGACGTCGTCGGAAAGTTCGGCAATGGAATCTCGGGCAACAAGCTTGACCACCCGGCGAACTTGTCGGACGAGCAGAGGGTTGGTGAAGTTGCTGGAGGGAGAGGCTGAAGCAGTGGAGGAAGCGGCAGCGGCCGAAGAAGCCGACTGACCTGCCTCCAGAGCAGGGAGACGGGCAAGAATGTCTGTCAGGGAGGCATTCACGGTGGCAATCAGAGCCTGCAGCTCTGGAATGTCGGGAAGCTCGGCCAGAACGTCAGCCAGAACGGCCTGAACCTCGCTGAGCACATTGTCGAGCACAGAGAGGTTGGCGGAAGTGGCAGTGGAGGTAGGGGTGGCAGTGGGAGCGGCAAGGGTACCGGAGGCAGCCTGGGAGGTGGATCCAGGAGACAGGGTGGAGGGGGTGCCGGTAGCAATATCACTGGACACGGTCTCAGGACTGGGGTTCTGAGCCACAACAAGGGCAGAGAAGGCAACAATGGTAGCGAGAGACAGCTTCATGGTATGAGGTAGTAGCGAGTGTGGGTAGAAGAAATGGTCTGGTTCTTCTTGTGATGGGAGCTCATTCTCGTTATATACACTCCTCTCAACTTTGGACCCACCATGAAACGTGCTCCCTGGTCCATTCAGGTTGACACAAGCCAAGCATTCGGTTCACCAATCTAGCCCACAATCCCACCACCGTGATGAAGAATGGTGTCAGCACCATGTGGCTGAGATCCTAATGGGGGAAGGACAGACTAAGGCTTGACGAAAGGCTTCAGGACAAGGACTCTGGTTCTTCTTGACCAAAGGCTCCAGGACAAGGACATGGTTCTTCTTGTTCTGACTGGCGGTTAGTTTGCACCGGTCGGCTCCTCTTCAGAACGCAGCAAACCATTGTCTATACCCTTTATCACTGCTGGCTGAGACTCCTATTTGTACAGCGTGTATCAGAGTTGTGATACTCCTCAGGTACTGACGCGTTCGAGGAGCTCTAATGGGACGGGTACAGTACTTCGAACTGAGACTCATTGGCGAGCTGACCCTGCAGAAGCTGGCGTGGTAGCCGCCCCAACGTATCTATTGGTCCGGATCGGATTAGACCAGAACTAACACGCTGCAAACACGTTCAAGACAAAGCGGATCCACAAACGGGGATGGTGTTGAGAAGGTGGGTATTTGAGCGCTATTTGAGCGCTATTTGAGCGTTTTGCGAGTGTTTTGCGAGTGTTTTGCGAGTGACGTGCAGCGCTAAACGGTTCGACTTTTTCTGATCATCACCACCAGTTCCTGATAGCCAGATGGATAAAACGAAGGGTCAAGGGACGGAAAACCGGATAGTGTGTGTTAATTGGCAACTGATAGCGCCAACCTTGCCTCCCGCACGCCATTACTGCATTTTGGAGTATCCATTCTGCCCAGCCGCGCTAGTCCACAATTATCCACTATTGCGGAACAATGTGGACCCAACATTTGTTATTTGCCTGATTAGGAGCAAGTATGGGAAAGAAGGCAACGCGATAGTGGCAAAAGCAGCTCGATGGTGTCCTCAGGTCGACCTAGAGGTTATACTGCACCACCAGAGTCTCTAGAGAGCTCCAGTAGTCAGTGCTTCACAGACGAGGGGCTCGTCCACAACACGACAAACAGATATAATATCTTAGAGAATGGTCGATAGACACCCGATACCCACGTAAACTCGAGCCAAGGATAATAAAAGCCCATTCCGATATCCCGTGGGCCTTTGTCACTTTCAAATCTGCCGACACAGAGCATTCTGCGGCAGCATCTAGACGCTCCATTGATCTCCAATTGCCTAAAAGAGAAGGCGTTGATAAAAAGATCAACTTCGGATTGTTATGATGCAATCAATTATGATACAGTCTACCGCTCTTTAACCAACCAGATAGTACATACTGTCGTTCTGATGTTGTTGTAGAGCCTGGTAAAGGACATGGTATCATGATACAGCTACAACGAGTCAAGGAGACTGTCCAGAGGTCTCAATCGCTCCTTCGTTTCATGGTGAAACACACACTGGGATATACTCTGTACTGTTTCTCCATTATGAATCATATTCATGTAAACAGAACACCAGAACGAGCTGCTCATTCTGCCCGTCTCTCCTGTAACCAAAGGAGTTTCAATGTGGCACTAACTGGAAAGAAACACTTGTCTTTTCAGCGACATCTCCTTGTCCTCGTATTATCCAGCTTTTAGTGCCCCTTTCGTCCTCTCGACTTAGCGCTCTCGAACAAAGAAAAATAGAACCATGTCAAGTGGTTATATCCCCGAGTCGGACGGACAATGTATAACGGGAGCGATTTATTGGCTCCGTTTTTAGGAACTAACCCGCAAGCCGTTTCCGCTCTGTGCCATCGATACGACTCTGAAGGTAAGAGAACATTGACGACATAGGAGTAGCTGATATAGCCCACACCAAGTCGATAATTGACCAAGGAGTTGATCTGAGCTCCAGGATGGATCGATCCCCCATTTCCAGAGTCGATCCTTCAAAAAATCCGTCTTCGATCCAGATATCTTCCACTATTATCGACATGGCAGAGGGAAAGTTCGGTATTAAAATCACGTAAGGGGTGGATTTGTTTTATATTCCGTCTTGATTTGATTGGTTGACACATTCTGGTGTCTATAGACTAGGTACGATATATACTGTTGTCAAAATATCTGCATCCATCGCATCGGTTCATGTAGATAGGAGAATAGCTACCTATGCCAGTAGTTGTCAAATCATGTATCATTATTCGTTTAGTAATCATCTAGTATTAACCATCGTCCAGTCGTCTAGTTAGTCCAAATCATCTAACACGGCCGCTCATCAACTATCATTACACGTCCTTCTTCGCGGCCTTCTCTTCAGCCTCCTTGATGCCCTCCTCGCCAAGCTCAACCTGCTCCTGCGCGTCCCACATGCTCTTGTACAGACCATCCTTGAGAAGCAGCTCGGCCTGCGTACCCTCCTCCTCAACGCCGCCCTGGTTAAGACAAATGATCTTGTCCGAGTCGGCCACGGTTCGCAGACGGTGGGCAATGGCCACGCAGGTCTTGTCGCCAAGAACCTGGTCCATGTTGGCGAGCAACTGACGCTCGGTGTTGGTGTCCAGGGCAGAGGTAGCCTCGTCCAGGAACACCACGGGCGAGTTTTTGAGCAACACTCGAGCCACAGCCAGCCGCTGCTTTTCTCCTCCAGAAATCATCATGCCTCGCTCTCCGACATTGGTGTTCCAGCCGTCGGGAAGTTGTCTGACTAGAGCATCGAGCTTGGCAGCACAGGCGGCGTTCTCGACCTCCTTGTCGTCAGCCTCGAGACGTCCAAAACGAATGTTGTTCATGATGGAATCGTTGAAAAGAGGAGTGTCCTGGGGGACCACTCCAATAGCAGACCGGAGAGAAGCCAGAGTCACCTCACGCACGTCCTGGCCGTCAATGAGAATGCGGCCCTCCTGGGTATCATAGAACCGGAACGCAAGCTTGAGAATGGTACTCTTTCCGGATCCAGACGGTCCGACAATGGCAGTTTTGAGGCCTCCAGGGATCACAAACGACGCATTCTTGAGAATGGGTCTATCGGGGTGATACCCATAGGTAACGTTCTCAAATCTGATCTCTCCGTTGGTCAGCTGAAGAGGCTTGGCGTTGGGAGACTCCTGGATCTGTCCAGCCACCTTTTGCAGAGAGAACAGAGATCCCATGTCCAGCAGACTCTGTCGCAGGTCTCTGTAAACGGAGCCGAGGAAATTGAGAGGCACGGAGAGCTGGAAAACAAGCTGGTTGACCAGAACAAGGTCTCCAACGGTCAGGGATCCATCAGCAACCCCGCAGCAGGTCATGTACATCATAGCAGTGAGAGCGGACGAGAAAATGAGGTTCTGGCCGGAGTTGAGGAAGGCTAGAGAAGTGGCAATCTTGATACTAGCCTTCTCGTACTTGGTCAAAGCACTCTGGTACTTATCGACCATGTATCCCTCATTTCCAAACGACTTGACCGCCTCAATGTTGATGAGCGAGTCCAGACACACGTTGGAGGCCTCGTTATCAGCCCGATTGGCATTTCGTCGGAATTTTGTTCGCCACGAGGTGGTGGTAATGGTGAAAATCGCATAGGAAACCATGGTAGCTCCGGTAACAAGAGCATACTTCCAGCCAAAGTTGTAGGACAGAATTCCACAGACCAGAGAGATTTCCAGTGCAATAGGGATGATATGGAACACCATGGACGAAAGAACAAACGAAATACCCTTGGTTCCTCGGTCAATGGCTCGAGTAATGCCTCCAGTCTGTCTGCTGAGATGGAAGGCCATGTCGAGCTTGAGCAGGTGTCGGAACACATTGGTGGCCACCTCCTTGATGGCCTTCTGGGCCACCGACGCGAAAATGGCGTTTCGCAGCTCTCCAAACAGCACTGCTCCAAACCGGGCCGCTCCGTACGAGAAGATCAAAGCGGTGATACCCACTCCAAGAGCAGTGGCGGAGTTCCACTCAATGTTCATGTCGTCAATGATCTCCTTGAAAAAGAAGGGTACCTGGACGTTGAGAAGCTTGGCGCCCACAAGCAGAGCCACGGCCACAAGTACTCGGAACTTGACTGACGTCTTGCCCTTGGGCCAGATGTACTTGAGCATGTCCTTCATGATGATCCAGTCGAGCCGTCGTTGTTCCGAGTTGGAGAGGTTGGATTCGCCCAGAGCATTGGCGGCTGCTTTCACTGAGTTGGCCGAAGACTTTTCTGCCTTGGTGGCCAGTTTCTCCGGAGACGTGGTCGGCTTGTCACCCTTCTCCACTGCATTGTTGGCGGCGTCGTTTGCAGGACTCTTGTTGATGTTGTCGACATTCTTGTGGTTGGCGTTGGAAACCGCCGGAGACGTGGAAAACTGTCGTAAAGGCGTCAAACACGCCAACACCCGCTTAGATGTCAAAGTAGCCACAGATCCATAGCCTGATCTCGGTAAAGACAACCACATTGATCTGGTCGAAAGGGCTGGAGAGAGCCCCCTCACGTGACCCAGCACGTGACCGGCCCGCGCCACACTCACCCGCATGTTCATTGATGCACGTTCAAAGGTCCAAAAAAGAGTCGGCAAGCTGACGTTGAAACACCAAGACAACTATCAAGGTTCTATCTCACAACAAACCCGCGGCCAAAGAGACTTTTAGTTGGCTGATTGCGTATGCTAAGGTTCGTCAATACAGGGTAAGTTCAACGACCCAGGGGATTATCAGATTGCACGTGACCAAAGTGTACTATGACAAGAACGGATCAGAAATCTCCAACGCCTTATATAAAAAACCAGACACAATAAAAAAAGACACTTTGAGCCGCTGGACGCACTTTTCCAAGCGGCAAAAGACCCTTTGCACTACAGACGCGCGTGCCGGAGCAGCACAATTCTCGCATCCGTAATCCGGGATCCGACAGTTAGAGTTAGTAGTTGAACCAAAAAAACAAACTGAACTACAATGCCAGAAATACTTGAAAAAAAGTCAACCGCTAGTTAGAAGACTTTTAACACAAATTCACAGACTCACCAAGTTATATAGGCCCCATAATACCACACAAAGCAACCCATGAAGAACTCTTTCTTTTTTGCCACGCCAAGATACCAGAAACCGAAGCATCTCATCCATCCCACTGAGTGAATATTGCCAACGAATCAACAGGTCTCACATCGTCAAACAAAACCAGACCCCGGACATTACTCCCGAAGCTTAAAAGTCACCCGTAAAGTATCTTTTCATGCCAATCGCGAATACTCACGTGACGCCAACTCATCGCACACCTCCGCAACGCTACAGGCCGCACCGGCCGCAAAAAAACGAATTTCCGTACATTAGTTTATATAAAAGCTGGTTCAAGACGAGATTCAAACAAGTCAAAACAAAGTTCCTTAACGTAGCGTGGCCACCACACCTCCTTTCTCAAGGTGTCGGGCAGCGGCCCAAAATACAGGCCGCAGGCAGTCGGCAGTTGGGCGTCAAACACCCAGCTGCCGCTCCACCTCCCGCAACAGCTCGTCATTGCTCATAAAGTTTCCGTGCTCGTCGGCCTCGTCCAGCACCAGAAACACATTGTCATCGTCCAGGCTCACCGTAGTGGTCGCATTCTGGGTACCAGACCCACTGTGGATAACCAGCTCCACACCGTTGTTGGGATCGGACATGGGGCCGGGTAAGGGCCCGCCAGGAGGCAGCAGAGGGTACCCTGGAGCAGGAGTAGGCATAGGGAGCGGACGAGGCGCAGGGTTGGGGCCGGGGTTACCGGGGATGTAGGTGGGTCCACGAGTGGCAGTGGAGTTGCCCAGCCCCCAGGAGCACAGCATGGTGATAAAGCCCGTCACAATAGCCACGTCGGCGTCAATGCCGCTCTCATCCACCACCAGTTCATAGTCAAATCGAAACTGTCGCATCAGACGAGCCTTGGCGACCCGTTGTCGGATTTCCTCGTCGCCTCCGCCAGGGTTGACGATTCGCTCCAGGAAGCCCGAGGACCGCGACCACTCGTAGGCAGCACCGTCAGCAAGGTAGAACTTGCGGTAGATGCCGGTGAGGCCGGTCTCGGCCAGCAAGTCTCGGTGCTGGACCTCGGGCTTATTGTGGAAGTCGAAGCACCGGTTGAAGAGGCCGGCATTGACGGTGGCCACCTCGCGTCGGTCTGTGGACAGCACGGACCACACGGTGGAGAACTGGGTCTTCCGCTCAATGGTGTAGACGAGCTGGCCGTTGCCGGCAAACACGTTGACCATTCGGTTGCGGTCGCGTCGGTTGCGTCGGATGTAGTAAGCCTTGAGGTTCTGGGTGGGCAGCGGAGCCACGGTGGCGGTGCCGTATCTGTTGAATTCGAGAAGGGCTCGAATGCCAAAGGTGTCGGCGACCACCGAGCCGGCCGTAAAGGCCACGTTGAGGGTATCGACAATGGCTCCTGACATTGTGTGTTTGTGTAGTTATCGAGCGTGCGGGGAGGGTATCACTTGGGGTATGAGGTGTATGGTGTCTCGTAGTATCGAAGAGGTGTCTTTGTGTGAGTGAGCTGTCTGTGGATCTCGGTTAGCAGTGTAGCGCGAGTGTTGTAGCAACAGGAATCCTTTCTTGGTATCTAGAGTGCGTGTTAGCTGTGTGGTTGAGAGGAAGAGAAAGTTGGGTGACAATAATGCCTTATATATAATAGTGTGTGTGTTTGTGACCTTACACTTACACATCCAATGTGGTGAAGATAAGCTATCGATGTGTTGTTGCGGTTACGACATGTGGGCTAATTAGAAGAGGTTAAAAGAGGTTTAATTTGGGACAAGAGAATATGGGATTAATGGGGAGACTTTCTTGGGGTCTTTTTCGACTTAAAATGATGATATTTTGTCACAACTTTTGCTGAGGACAACTTAGAGAAATAAAAAATATATCATTAGATTCTGGAGATCAACAGGAATCGATTGGTGGTTGTTTCATCGTTATATTTCCACCTTATCGTGAACCGCGTTGTTTCTAACACCTCCCCTACATGCTGTACAGTATGTACCCTAGAAGTTCTCTATATCAATTCGTGGCCTTCATATTACCACAATTTCCACAACTACGACGTACATATACCAACAACAAACCAATTGTGATCATGATCTCACCATCCTTGGTTTGTGATTACTAATCAACGTCATATTCCACCGCACGTGACCAGATAACGTCATACTTCCGCCGTTACTACCCCATCATTAATCACATGCATAAACTCAATCTAATCACATGCACTCCTCGGGCCGTGTATATTTTTGTGAGCTTTGATTCGATAGGAAATCAAGTTACATCATTAGATTCCTCTCATTGAGCTCTCCAAGTGGGTACTGCTTTTATCTCTGCAGCTTCACTTCATCATCTTCCATATACGACCCCTCTCTTCACTGTCTCATTACAAGTTTGCGCAACCTTTTCTTCTCTCCGTCCTCTTCATCACCGCCACCATGACCGCGACTACCATCATCGAAACGCCGGATTATTTCTATTCCTCTGTGCTCCCCGTGGTCCAAAACTCGTTCGCTCTAGACCACAAGTGGGCCGATGGAGTGCTATATAGAGACGAGTCTCCCCAGGACGTGATTTACGGCGACCTGGACCAGAAGACGGGCTTTGTGCTGTTTATCCACCAGAAGTGGAACGAGCGGGACTTTCGAGAGCTCAATTTGATCGCCATTGCCTACAGACACGACGTTCACAGCCTCCGCGACTTGGTTCCAGACCATGTGGACTGGCTACAGAGCATGCGAAACCAGGTGGTCAATATCCTGCCTGAGATCTACGGAATCAAAATGAAGAGCATGCAGCCGGTTCTCTACGTGCCCTACCCCCCTGGCAAGTACCATTTCCATTTTCTGATCCGAGAAAAGTCTTCCCCGATCTTGCAGGAAGAGCTCCGAAGTGGCCGGGCTCTACTGCTGGACCATGTCATTAACCAGCTTCAGCAGGGGGTTTTTTACCGAGACGTGACTCTGAAGTTTGAGGTGAACCAGTAGAGAGACGACGGAAAGAATGACCAACGGCCATGAATCCACACACTCTTGAAGCACGCCGATACTACACATAACTAACTTATGAATGATGAATTATGAGCGATACCAGAAAGACCGATAGGACTAGAGTGAGTAGGTGAAGTCATGAGTAAACGAAGTCAGTAACATAATTGAAGAGATATTGTCCTTGCTCTTTGTTACCACAGTGGAATCTCTCATAAAAGCCCTCCTTGGACTTTCAGATGGTATTTGGATTGTTGAAACGGCATTGTAAATCTATCCAATTCAGTAGTTGAGTATGTACATGTCCTTTGTAACTGATAGGCATGGTACAAAATTACGATAGAATGAATAGGCTACATTCTACATCACCAAGTACACTTGCGAAGACGTTTCCCAGCTCTATCACCGCCATATACAACCCCTCAGAAGAAGTACAACCGGAATACGGAGAGTCAGATGATGACGAAGGATCTCATTAGACATCTTGCAGACTTGTAAACTCAACTTCTTTTCTATCAATTTCTTCCATATTTTCCCAATTAATCTCTGCCAAAAATCACCGAAAAAAACCCATTTAATGATGACTAATCGAATATTAAGGTTTTTCTACAATGCAGCCCCTTGCATGACAATGGCGTTATTTATTGGGATAAATAAGCTCGCGACCGTTTTTTGCAGAATTCCATTTAATTCGTTAAAAAACCGTCTGAGAGAAAATCTGAGAAAACCGGCGTGTTCTCGAAACATTGTTGATTTCAAAAATACAGGTTCTTCCGCTCATTCCTCCCATATATGTCTACCACGTGCCACTTGCATTATCAAGCTTTTATCATGCACATTAAGCTTCTAGAAGGGAGGAAAAGGGGGCTGGACGATGGCTGGCTGAGACATGCCTCCGAAAGTGGCTGTTTCAAAATACGCAGCGCTGTAACATTTGCCGGAGACTGTAAAAACGGCCATGTCACAAACACAACCCAGCCCGAGGCCGTCGCGGCTTGTCTCACGTGTCTCGGGCTGGTCTGGGGTGCACTGATATCAACGGCTGTGCATGGTGGGGAGTGGAGCGGGCAATGGGTGGGGAATGGGTGGGCGTCATGCGATCCAGGAGATATTGAGAAGATGATATAGTTGATTCTAAACACGCCAATTACTCTTCTGGAGACCGTTACTACCGAGGAGATCACGGTATTCTCTGGCTTCTCTCTTATCAGAGATATCGTACAACATGTGTAGGCTTATCTGACTGCTATCCACATCTTTATAAGACGTAATACGTGGTTCCATCTCTCTATTTGTAGTTATATGTTTTGATCACGTCCCTGTTATCTCTTGAGATGTAATTCAATCCCGGGATACCTGGTCCGATACCTGGTCCGATATCTGGTCCGATACGGGTCCAATAACCGGTCCCCCATCAGACTATCACTATCCAATCATCAACGCTCCTAGATAAATATCAAACTGCAACTGTTACATTGCCAGTTGATTCAGTTGATGAATTATTTAGTCCTATTATTAGACCCGCTCTCACACTCTGACAATACTGCAGCTTGTAGCGCTACATTTACATTAGTGAGTCTTATCTCGACATTGTGAAGTCAGAGGATGTGGTCAGAATAGGCAGAAATAAGACCAACTTATCTATCCATAGACCCCACTCAGACTACAGGTTCAGCGCTCCTCTCATCAGCATCGATCGATAAGTTTTGATTATTTGGAGGTTTATCTCTGCAATGGAACGGGTTCAGCGCTCCTCTCATCAGCATCGATCGATAAGTTTTGATTATTTGGAGGTTTATCTCTGCAATGGAACGGCTGTACGGCGCTAGAATTGAGACTCAGACGCATACGAAGCCACCGTCTATTACCGAAGACCTGCAGTGTCATATCTTATCATTTGGTCTCATCGAGTGTCTTATCGTAGCGTCTTATCTATCGGTTATCGAGGATGCTCAAGAGAGAATTATGAGAGATTTTGTATGACAGAAAGAGGGAATAGTAAAACTATTATAATATTCAGATCGACACAAGCATTTTGATATACTCTTGAGGTTTATCGGGAACTTTTGCCTTACAAATTTTGTCAAGTACAGTATGTTCAGTCATATATACCGTACTTCATGTCAGACCAGGCGTAATATTGACGTTGGGGCTTTGTAAATTCAACCAATTGATGATATCAGCCCGATAACCCCACATACCATGTCACCTTCTCATCATCTCTTCCACACACAGAATTCTATTGAATCTAGGTCAACCCACTATCTATTCGAATGGTCATGTGACAACGATAAAACACACTCTATCAGCCCAGCCTGATCCGGCGGAGCTACTGCACATCAACTGTAGACTGTCTTCACCACCCCAGCCATCGTGACTCTGCTGTTAGCACAAGCTCTCGCGTGACTTCTAAAAGGTTTAGACCGCTTTGAGTCATACGTCGGTGTTTCTGGTGGAATATTCTGCTCGGTGAGCGACTAGAAACCCGGAAAAGACCACTTATTAGTCATACCAATCTGTGAGGACCGCAATCTCCGCTCCTTTACCTCTCCACCCTTGGCCCTATCTTCGTTATCTCTGGCTCGACCAGATCGACATAAAAGTCAAAAATACGACCTGATAGTGAACAAAGGGCCTATTTGGGGAATGAACATACAGACATTGGAGGGAGAGAGGAAGCATGGTCATCCTGGTCGTGTCACCGCAGAAAAAGTCGAAATGGTCATCTGGTGGGCAGTGCAATCCTGTATGGTAGCTTCAGGATGATTCTACAACTAGTAATGGAGTCTTGAAATTGCATAAACGTCTTGAACTCGAATCAAACACGTCTGGACTTGGCTATATCCAGATTTAGGTGTTGGTGTAGTTGGTTGGCATGAGTGATAGCAACAGTACTACCACAACTATCAATATAGCTCTACCAGCTCTACAACACAGCTCCACAATACAGTCTACAAACACGTCGTTCAATGTTAAATTAATGTTAGAATAAATACGCAAATGTCTAGAGAGACATGAAGGAGTCTTGAGAAACCATGGAGTCCCGTCGAGAAGCCAGAACGGGAGACGAGGCAGCAGCAGCAGAAGAGTTCTTGGACCACCACAGCTGGTTGGAAATGCAAGTGTTGCCGGTGCAACCGCAGGGAAGAGCGTGGTTGTCACCAACGTTGTCCTGCTGAATCAGCGAAGGATGATGGGCAGGAATGGACGTAGAAGTGGTCTTCTTGGTGGAAGGAATGTAGATGGAGTCCATCAGGTTGGTTATGCTTTGAGAGTCCATTGTGAGTGGTGTGTGGTGTGTGAGGTGTGGAAGCTGTGAAGCGGTGTTTGTGCGACGAAAGAGTGCCTGAAGAGTGTCAGAAGACGATGATATTTCTTTTCAACACCGGATACCCTCCCTTTATATCTTGTCAAGCCCATTGCTATATAGTCATCGATATATGCCAGCCTTATGAACCTTATGAACCTTGAGCTTATTTATTTTTACAACCGCAAACTTAAACCTTGCAGAGATACATTTGTGTACATGGACTGGTCTGTGGCTTGGGCCGTTACACGAGTTGCTCCCTTCCCGATTTGGGTTGGGTTAGGGTATTCTGTTTTGGGGTAAATGTAAAAGCCCTGCATGTAACAACATGTAACCGTGCCCTAACCTGGCTCGATGCATTGGGAGGTTGGATTCGGCACTCCTTCCTTTTTGGGGCGCCCTAGCCCTTGTTGGGAATGCCAAATTGGGGTGGAGGGGGGGGATTCCATTAGGAGGTTGTAAATGGATTGTAAACAGTGATAAACGGAGCTTCGGAATTCTGTGACCTTTTCTGAACATTTTGATACTTTTCAAATTCTTCTAGCCTCAATATTCATCGATTTACTGCTCATGTTGATTTTTGTTGCATTTTCAAATTACCCCAGATTTTATGAAACCTAAAAACAATGAGAAATAACCCAGGAATTGTAGAATATCCAAAAAAAGTTGGGAAAAATCGGAAAAAAAATCGGAAAAAACCTACACCAGAATGTGTCCATTAGAAATGGAATTATCAAATAAAACAACCACTTCAATCATTATATTCACCAGAAAAACCACATTCTTCCGCAAACAAAACCTAATATTAAAACATGTAAAAATCATGAGGCTGTGGCGGTCGCGAGGGCAAGCAACAAAAAGGGGTATACGGAGGATCACAAGGGTTAGGGAAAATTGTTGGGGTTAGGGTTATTTAAAAATAGCGCGTGGTTCCAATTGGGCTTGTGGGTTTCGTGTCCTACAAGTAGTAGTGATCTTTGGCCAAATGAAAAAAATGAAGACCAAAAAGATGGTGTTATTTCCGTCGATGTTGGAGTTGTGACAGATTTGAAAGTATCATTCTCTTCCTCTCGACGAGGAAATTCTGTCTGTATCGGTCATTTGCGTCTTCAGTCATTTTCCGACCAGACAACAGCCATTAAAACATTTACGGTTCAGGATCATTGTGGAATTGAGCAAGTGGAGGATTTCTCATGAATTCCAAAAAGGCAAGATCGTGACACATTTTCCATGTGGGACGGGATGCATTAATGGTGCACACAGCCTGGGTTATAAATATAAAAAAATAATAAAAAAATCGGGGGGAAAAAAGGGAAAACGGAAAATACTCTGAAAAGATATGGCAAGTCAATCAAATGAGAACCTCTTTCAAAAAACAATCATATCTGAACATATCACCACGCTGTTGAAAGACCAAAAACAATACAGAGTTTAATTTCTCATGCACCGAACTGAAACAGAAAAAAAAAATGAAAATTGCACGGCACGTGGGATTGGAAGGAGGAGAGGAAGTAGGGTCACGTGACGTGAAGGAGAGCGGAGGGTTGCGTTTGTGCAGGGAGAAAATGTTGCAAAATACGGTTTCGATACCGTGCTCTTTTGTTGATGTAGGCAATGATTCTGAGAGACGGAAGAGACCACAGGAGACCCACTTTGATCTGCCTCCACCTGGTCGAGAAGCTCGTTTGGGGTGGTGGGGGGAGTTGGTGGGGGAGGGGAGAGGTTGTTGGTGTGTTGAAGGGGTGGTTGATGGGATTGTTTCGGGTTGATTGGCCTGTGTTGATTAGCCAGTTTTGATTTCATTTGGTTTCATTTGGTTCTTGTTATTTTTCTGACAACCACTATCAATGACACCTTTGTTCCGGCCCAATCAGACAGGCTTGCTATCCACTCGTTTCATTGACCTCCAACACGCTACTGTTTACATGTACTTGTACACTCCTGTACATCTCTCTGGGCTGTGCCGAGACACCAAATGATGGAATATGTTTGCGGTGGGATGAATAAAATGAAGAGTTAAACAGACGCACCAAGGTTGCTTTTGGCAGGCGCAGAATGGGACTGTCCGATCCAGTATCTCCACCAATACGCCCACTTGCCAAAAGTGGAGGCGGAGTGGGCTAAATGGCTCAAAGAAGGGTTAAAGGGAGTCAACGGGGGACAGCTGGAGAAGTAGGGATGGTGTACGAGACTTCAGTGGTTGCTCCCCATCCAAATTCAGGTGTTTTGCGTCATCAGATGACGGTTCAGTTACAAGTAGTACGATCTCATGAGTTCTTTATTTGACGGCGTCTAGGACCGGAATTTATTATTGTAATGGATGATAAAAAATGTACCGTTGGATTCGGAATTCTCTACTGATTGCAATGATTCTATAAAATGGCCTAGTAATACGAGTATTGTGTATATGTGGTACAGTATGAAGTTGGACTTGTTCAGATATCCGACCCTGACTAACCCTGATTATAGCAAGCAAGTGACAAACGAGCTTTTACCAGACCTAGAGTTGCGCTGGAAGACACGTTGAAGTCCAATGAGCATCTTTTCGAAGGTGATACGGTTTGATATTGAGAGAATACTTGTTCAGGTACAGTTCAATATAGACATGCCATTTATCCCGCAAATTGGGTCAAATCGAGGTTACTCGTGGCACTGAAACCGAGTCTTGAATTGGTGAGAGGAATAGGGGGTTGATTAGAGTGATTTATTTGTACTTGATCAACCCGCTTGTATCAAAAAAAAATCCAATCGTTCTTCTTTTTAGGAGTGATTTCATTCATCTAGGTCGACTTTTTATGTGGATGACGATACAACTGTGCCATGTTGAAAAAGACAAAGAAATCGAATCTAACGAGCATATAGAAGCTCGCTACTTGTACAGGCAAAGTACAAGTACTTAGATCAGAGCAGCTGATCTCATCCATAAGTGGATCCATCTACATGTAGTAGGGCCGACAGACATGTCAGAGGTCGACTCATGAGGCTCCCTAGCTTCAGTGTAAAACTAGATTTTTGATTTGTCATCTAATTCCTTCCAATGAGTCGTTGTCATCAAAATCACTCTAACATTGTCTCATTCTCCATACGGTCGTCATCACCAGATGGTCCATGCAGCTGGTGCGTCGATAATGCACTGATAAACCCAACCCGCAGAAAGGGGTCTAGTGATCTTACCGAGTCATGATACTCAACAAAAGCAGCCGTCATACCACCGGGAAGGTTGGAACACAGAGTGGCATGACAAAAGTACTCAAAAATAACTCAGACGTGCGTGAGAGTGAGAGAAGATGGAAAGCAGCTGAAGGAGTGACAGCTATTTATGTTTTGTTGTGGCTAAAACACATTTCGACGTCGACCCATCATGATTGTAGCACTCGATTACACAATAAAAAGAAATCCCGACCCTGTTTCTGGTATGCAGAGGGACGTAGAGTGCACTGACGGTGATACCGACGGGAAACTGTGCCTGAGAGCGCCGAGAAGGGCAACGAAAAAAGCTCTTGTGCGAGGAGACTATCGCGGAGGTCAATGTGCGGTACGAGTGGGGGCCGAGACTCACGAGAAGAAATAAACCTGCTCCCTCAAGAGCAACAGAGACACCAAGATATCACGTTTGAACCCCCGTGGTAGATAGCCTTGTCGATTTTGTCTCCATCACATCTGCAACCAGCTCTTCAATATCTTCCCCATTTCGCCCTCCTGCACCTTTCTGGATCCATCCCTGGAGTAATTGTCCTGTATATACCATGCAATAGTTGTCCAGATCCTGGGAAAGATTTACGTGACGATTCTGTAAAAGGTCCTTATGACAAACACTCGGCGACTTCGACTTAGACACCTTTACCGAGTATCCGACATTATTGAGGGAGAACCTGAAGTGCCAGTAGATTTTTGGACCAGCAGATGATGGTTCAGAACTGAAGACACTGGCTACTAGCTACCCATTCATTTCATTCGTGCGAACCGCGTCTTAGTCAAAAAAACACAGGGCTCCTGTTGTACCATCGAGCGCCGGCTTGACACATGTTCGAGAGCTACTTTGTTCTGACCGCTCCGCCAGAGTGAGATCTTTTCGCAGCGTCCAAAAGGAAGTCCTGGAGCTCTTCTGAGACAATGGAGAGCCCTAGGAGCTGTACCAATCACATTTTATGACAGTATACTCCGATCGAAAGTTGATTTTTGAGCCTCTAACATGCCAGTGACAATCCTCCCCGTACTACTCCTTTGACAATAGAACGACTATCCCGATTTTTGCGACTTTTGTCATTCCTCCCGCTCGGATGATGAAGCATGAGCCGAAGTAAAAGTACCCAATCTGATCAAACTGGTACTTTTTCTGGTGTTGTGAGATAGTGATATTGTAGTCATAGTGATATTGAGGATATATATTCACGGTACAGGTTAGACAAACTGAAGGGAACAGACTGGCAAATTCGGGTCGACGTATCCTCTATACCATGTTACAGTCTATTGCCAGTGGCGACCTACAGCCCTGACCTGACGTACAGCCGGACGTACAGCCGGACGTACCGCGACTCGCTCCATCTCTTTATTCATTCGTTAATTACATTTTGCGGAATCATTATGATTCAGGTACCAATGGATACCGTTAGCTTTTGGGCCTCGTTTTCTACCATGAGAAGGACTCCTCAAAGTAGTCCACTCGCTCGGACTTGGACTCAATGTTGGCGCAAAGAGCCTGTCGGACGTCATCGTTCATGGCGGGAGGGCCACAGACTACAATGGCGGTAGAGCCGGGGCTCTCCTTGAGGTACTCGGGCAGCAGCTCGGCCATGTGGGGCCGGAAGTGCTGGATGTTGAGGTTATCTCTGTTGGAGGAGGTGATGGAGAGTTTTTCGGGAGACTTGGACTCGAGTTCGCAGGCCTCCTCGGCGAGCTCTTCAGCCAGACCTTCCTTCTTGTCGATCTTGGTGATGTAGAGGTTCACCCGGACTCGGGGGTCGGCCAGCAGGTACTCGAGCTCGTCTCCAAACCACTCGAGACACGAGTCGCCTCGCACGACCCAGGTGAAGATGATGCTCTTAGAAACGGAGTTGGCAACCACCTTCTGCGCGTACGAGTAGGTGGCGGTGATTCCGATACCGCCGGCAATGTAGATGGAAGAGTCGTACTTGCCAACGGGGTGCTTGGCGCCATAGGGACCCTCGATCAGCATTTTCATGGGCCGGGCTCCACCGGCAGAAACGAGCCGGGTGACAATATCAAAGGTGATTCCATCCTTGGCCTTGAGAAGAAGGGTCATATTGCCGTTCTTGCACGCCTCAGGCGACTGGTAAATGGTGAAGGGATGAGACTCCCAGAACTTGTTGCCCGACAGGAAGTAGATGTAGACGTGGGCTCCGGGGTAGATTGACCAGAGTCTCGAACAGGGGATTTCAGCCTTGACAATGAGCTGTTCTCGGTCGACGAGAGTAAAGTCGCCAGTGACAATGCCTCCGCAGTAGGCAATTCGACACACTCGGATGATTCGGTCAAAGCCCCACACGGCAATGGTGGCCCAGACCCACTGCATCCAGCCAATGGTCCAGCAGTGGTACCAAAGACCGACGACAAAGAGAATACCGAAGACAATGTGCAACACCAGGAAGATCTCGTACCATCGGGATCGGAACACGTGCATGGCCTGCAACAACATGAGAGAGCCGGCAATGGTGGCCACTGTTCCCAGCACCCAGTAGAGCTCGGCAGCGTCTCGTGCCAGCGAATGACGACACATCCAGGTCCAGATACACGAGTGGATGATGGCGTAGATCATCATGACTCGAGAAGTCCATCGATGGTAGACGTTGAAGGTGTCGAAGGACCAGCCGGTGAGCCACATGAGCAGGTTGTTTCTTCCAGCAAACAGAAATACGATAGGGGCCTGGGTAAAGGACATGATTCCTGTTCTGTCGGCAACAAACGCCTCCAGCTGAGCTCCCCACGGACCGGCCTCCTCGTAGTCGTCATCGAAAGGGTAGGAGGGGAAACAGAGCACGAAGGCCATGATCAAGTACCCCAGAACAACCAGCGACTGGATTCGAGTGGGTGAAGCCATCTTGAGAGGATCCCAGCCCATTGGCTGAGAGTGCTTGTAACCAAACAGAGCCGGCAGAGACACGTACTTTCGGAACTTGTTGAAGCCGACCTTCTTGTACACACTGAATAGAGCGTGCTGAGAGAAGTTGATGATTGTTCCAATAACGAACACCAGGGCCCAGTAGGCCAGCAGAGCTACTCCGTAGTACGACGCGTAATCTAGGGCAACGTAGTGAGGTTTGACCTCCTCGTACTCCTCCTCCCAATGTTCTCGGTCAAACGGGACGGGAAGATAGAGGATTTCGGTGGGATCTTCGGGTTCAACGGCAATTTTAGTGGCGTTAGCAAGCCACTCATCGGTCATCTCCAGAGTCAGGTAGTTGGGACAGCCCTGGATGATCTGTTTTCGCACCTGGGTATGGTAGTGTTCAGGCTCAATGGCCCCCTGATAACAGAGCAGTTTACTCTGGATGAAGGGCATGACCTTGCAGTACTCCTCGAGAATCTGCTTTCTGGACTTGACAGTGCTACTGTCAAACTTGGGGAAGTTGAACTTGTAGTGACCTCCAATCAGATGGTCACAGCCCAGCGCAGCCCAGTAGGGCTTGTTGTTGAGCGAGTCCTGGCGTCGGTAGGTCTTTGCTGACGCAGACGAGGCACTTAGAAAAGTGACCAGCACCGTGGAGACTTTCATGGTAGGCGATTGAGCAGATGAGGTTCGCCGTAGATCATCTTATCCATCGTCTTTATATCTGTTTGCATGGACTGATGCCAAGAAGGGAAAACCGGGCGAAACCGCTTGAAATTTCACCTCTGCCAAGAAAAGGGCCTCCGATATGACTTCCGTCAAGCGCAATGTGGACAAAGACCCTGGCCGGTGCCAATCATGGAATCGCTCCGAGATGCAGATGTATGCAAGCTTCTAATCAGATCCAGTCGGACATTTCACATAGAAAACGAACAAAGAAGATGAAAGGAAAACAGAGGATATGAATAGAATCCTCTGATCGAGATCTTTCCATCGGTACCAATAACTAAGTCGAAAAGTGGCCAGCTCGAAAGATGATCCGACTTGGTCTTGAACTCAAAACTTACCAACATTTGAAAAAAATTATATAAAAAAATACTGATTGACAGATTAACACCTCCTTAGATTGGCGATTAGTGCAATGATGGAAGAGCTTGGCACACTAATGGCTTGATTACACGATACAGTGACTTTCCTTACCCAGCAACTTTTCAACCGTTGTCTTTGTTCAGATCAGACACGGTCCACTACTGCGCACCGAGCAGGTAATTAACAACAGTATATATCCACCAACCGGCACGCCAAGAAGCTCAGATGTCGCACCAAACCCGCCCAGTCTGGTTACAACTTCCCTGGTAGGTGCTGGTTTGAGTTGATTGGACGGGGGTCATCTGTGCATGTGCCGAGGCAGGTAGTGTAGGTAGTGTAGTGTCTTGTAGATCTCTATTCCATCTGATAAGCTGAAGAAGTTGTATGAGCTGGATTTCAAGTACAGTAGAGATGGAGTCAGATGGAATAACCAGCACAATGAGTTCGATTCAATGCTCTCACTTTGCTGCAACAAGTTTTCCATCTTTTCCATCTACAAAAGATTTGATTGATAACTTTTCATCCAAACTTTAGGACGACTGAAACAAGCCCGCGCAAACAATGCTTGAAGCAGAAGTAATAACCGAGTCGAGAGATGGTATGCGATCCGGCAGGAGAACAAGAAAAACCACCGTTAGGAACATGCTTCTTCTGCTCAAGCCGTACCTTCCAGAGCAAAATACGACATGTGCTCACGTGTCTTGTCCGAACGAGCTTTTGTGAAGAAGAGCCCAAGCTTTTCACGAACCCTTCAAGCTCGTACTTCCAGGAACCCCCTTGTCTTGGCCTCGTCCTCGTCTTGGCAAAAGGAGCGCCTCCTCCATGCGGAACGTTTGGTCGAGACGGATTGAGTTCAAACAGGCGAGAAAGTGAAATTCTGCAACTTTTAACCACTTCAGACAGAAAGGAAGCGCGTCGAACAGCGGATTCGGCGATCAAAGCAACCCCAGTACTTGAACACATCCAAAAGCCGCCCTTTATTGGCCAAAACCGCCCTTTATTGCAAAAAAGCCGCCCTTCATTGGCTGCAGCCCGGTCCATCTCCGGGGTTTCGAACAAACGTCAATTCCCGGGTAAACGGCACTGTAGGTGAAGCGGTAGATTTATGGAAAAAGAAACGACTGAGGAATCAGACGACCCGGAAGCTGCTGTTCTTGGCGGTAACGGAGACAATTTATATCTACGAGCATTATCGTGCAATTGGTACGGTTAGTGGAAGATCAAACTGGTAAAACAGCTCATTTATACATCGATGGGCAGATTACAAGGCCGGAAATACATCGATATCCATCATAGTCACCTCCTCAAATCCTTTATTTTGGATACTAGTTCGCACCAAGCGCCTCTCAAGATCTTTATGGAGCCAAAAAAAAGATTACAGCACCCAGGATTCTCGTATGGTCTCCCACTACAATACTAACTGGGCTCTCTGGTGCTTGACTATGGCTGATCGGACGGGAAGCCGTATTTTCACCAGGATATGGCCGTAACCTAACCTCCGCAACGGAGAATTGAACTCCGGTCCCCCGCGTGCTGAACTTTAAATGTTCTGACAGGCGGAAATTCTAGCCACTAAACTATTGCGGATTGTGTGGTGGAAAAATATCGTTGAAACACTAGATTCGGCCATTCAAATCACGTGACCTAAAAATTCAGAATAGAAAAGAATATCCCATTTATGGATGCTATGAAGGCATTGTGCCTACATAATTGGTAACAGGAGAGAGAGAACGAAGAGGACAATGTGATGAAACTAACTATCATCCTTCTGGGTCTTTTCATCTTGTGTTATGAGAACGACAGAAAGACGGTTCTGTAAAATCCTGTGTTATGGAGCTGGACATTGATATACGCCTATGGGGTTCATAAGGAGCTCATCGGGTAGTGTGACAGTTTTTAAGACAGGATCAGCTTCAGCAAGTCATCTCTTGAACTTATCGTATCCCAATACACACTACTATAACCCACGATACCGTGATACTGCTGCATATATTCAATACATTTACTTTGTTTTCTTCTCCCCGTTACCAATCACAATGGCGTTCTTGTCGATCCATCGAGCTCGCAGCCAAGCGGTCAGCTGAGACCAGGGGTAGGTGGTGGCGTTTCTGCCGTTATCAGCCAGGTACCATGACTGGCAGCCTCCCTGTTGCAACAGACCCTGGGCATGGGAAGAATCCACATCATGAATCCACCGGTCGTAGGCCTCGGCTCGCACTCCAATGTAGTCTGTTTCACCCGAAATGAGCTTCTTGACACCCACGGACTCGCAGAACTTGATGGCGTTCTCGATGGCAAACAGCACCGAGTTATGTCCGGTGGCAGAGTTGGGTCCAAAGATGAGGAAATTGTTTGGGAAGTTGGGAACCAGGACGGTCTCATAGGCAGAAACTCGTCCGTTGGCCCAGAAGTCTTCCAGGCTGACTCCATGTTCGCCGATGAAGGGAATGTTAGTAAAGCCTCCACTAAGATCAAAGCCCGTGGCATCAATGATGATGTCGGCTGGGTAAGAGTTGCCGTCCTTGGTGATCACCTTGTTGGACTCAACCTTGACGACCCGGTCGAATGTCAGCTCCATGTTTGGGTTATTGAGTGCAGGCCCCAGGTATCCGCAGTCGAAGATGAGTCGTTTGCACGCAAACTCGTAGTCGGGCTTAAGGACCTTCCAGTACTTTTCGGGAGATTTCTTTCGGATATTTTGAGTCGCGTGATGGGCTCGAATTCGTCGGATAAAGGTGCCCAACCAGCCCTTCTTAAACATGGGATAGGCGGCCTCAATGACAAAGAAGACAATGGTGCGCAAAAGATGGAGCACAAACGGGAACCGGGTGAAAATGAAACGGGTGATTCGTCCGGGCACAAACTCGGGACGAGGAGTGATCCACTGTGGAGTTCGAGCAAACTGGGTGAGAGTCTTTGTCTGGTCATGAATAGCCGCAATTACCTGGATGGCAGAACATCCGTTGCCGATAACAACGACATTCTTGTTGGTGTAGTCGACAGAATGGTCCCATCGGGCTGTGTGCATCACAGGACCCTTAAAGTCGGTGTACAGACCCTCAATCTGCACGCGGTTGGGCTCCACAAGTCCGCCCTTGCATGTGAACAGGACGCGACACTTGTGCACCCACTTCTTGCCGGTTTCGAGAGATCGCACGTTCACATACCACAACTTCTCGTCAGCATTCCACTTGCAGCCCTCGATTTCCGTACGGAAAGTCGCCATGTGCCGCAACTCGTACTTGGCCACCAGCTTCTGGATGTAGTCGTAGATCTCGTCTCTGGGAGGGAAGGCCTTGCTCCAATCGCCCTTGGGGTCGCTTGTGAGACAGTACCAGATGGCAGGAATGTCCGATCCACAGCCAGGGTACGTGTTGGCCGCCCAGGTTCCTCCCCAGGAGTGATCTCGATCATAGAGATGGAAGTCGGCCTCTTTCCAGGAGGTTCTGAGCTTGATGGAGGTGGCGAGGCCGGAAAACCCGGTGCCGAGAATCAACACGTTGGAAAACAACGATCCGTCTGCAAATACTGTCGACATGTTGCTGATTATGAAAGGGATACAGCAGGGTTTATATGGGTGATGGATGGCGTACTTGAGCTTAACCAGCGAGGGGAAAGAGTTACCCGGAGATGGAGGGCCCGAGGGGGGGTCATATATGTATCGGTCGACGCAGAATAAGCACGCGAATCGATTGCCGTTGTCAGATTTGCTCTACCATTTGAATTCAGCACAAGATAACCAATCTCCGACATATGCACTTAATAAGCACGTGAAAAGTACCCCCCAGACGACGCTAAAAATCAACGGCCTGGAACAACACGAGTTGGGACAATGCCCATTTGCCGCCTAAACGTTAATATATTACCCCAGACGCGCCAAACATGGGTATTCCTCAACCTCATCGGGTTTAATAGGCTTTTGGACAAGTCTCAAGTCGGATATACGGAAGGAATCTCCACAGCGGTTGGTAGTGGGCCATTCAGAATTTTTAAAGAGAAAATCAATCCACGACATCAAGACCAACTAAACTCGCTTTTCAGAATCCCGCTATCTTTCCTGGAACACGCTCTAAAACCCAGCCCTTGTTCGCACACCCACTTTCACGTTGCTGCTTAAACTTCGACCAAACATGTTGGGTCATTTGGTGAGCTGGTTATCAGACAAGGTGTGAAAGAAGAAAAAAACGGCCTAACTGGGGAAAAAAAATTCTCCCACGGTCAAAAAGCCACCCCCGCTATTTCGAACCCCGGGGCGCCGTTATATCCCGGTCACGTGACCCGAAATAAACCCAAATAACCCCCGTCGATGCGCTCGAGTCGTCCAAGCCTAAAGTTTTTCAACCCACCGTTGAGCCCCGCTTCGCAACTTCGTCATCCCCACTCACCCCAAAACTTTACCTCGGCTCAACATGAAAATGTACAATGTGGTGTGACGGACAGACAAACAAATAGAAAACTAAACCCCCAACGACCAACCTTGTGCCACCAGGCCAATCACGTGACGATAGGGCTTGTGGGCTGGTCGGTTACTGGCTGTCGTACTCTGTCAGGAACGATCCCAGGCACGTGCAGCAAACATGCATGATCTGCTCAACAAAAATTTAATGAAAAATGTGGGGAATCTGCGTGGGGCAAAGAGGTCATGTGACCGAACCACAAGGTGACAAGGTGGGGGGGGGCTGTGCATGGGGGTTTGGAGATAGATGCGACCGTTGAATCACGTGTACGACGATAATGAGAAGAGTCGGACTTTCGAATGGTCCCGAAATTTGGGTCGTATTAATAGATTGAGATTTAAAAGCGTCAACAGGCATCGAACTCGCTAGCATCAAGTGTCGAGTGTGGTAGTTGGATGAGTTTGATTCTCAAGTAAAATATCAGTAAATCACTGATCACTGATAGAGCCGTTACTTGATGTTTCCCTCTGATCTGGTAAAATAAAATAAATAAATAAATAAATAAATAAATAAATAAATAAATAAATATAAAAAATGGTAGAGGAGGAATAAGAGATAAAAGAGGAATAAGAAGAACAAGAGGAGGAAGAGGACAACGGCGAGCATGAGTCCGTGCGACCTACAAGTAGCAAGTTTGTATCGTCAACTCCAGTCTGATACGAAGATATTTTACCAAGACAGAGATACGGATCAACCCTGTTCTGCTCTCAAAGTCTTCATGGTGGAAAAAAGGCTTTATAGAAGATATCTGACCGAGGAATCGTCTACGGACAGGAGAAGTTCTGGGCCAGCACATGCTGGATGAACTTGAAGACACGAGTCACACTGAGGGATCTTGCCGGTGATTCCATTATCGAAACTGCGAAGAAGAAACATTGGACGCTCCTCTAAGCACATCTGAGGAAACCGGACAGCACGAACTGCGTAGCAGCCATCCACTTGGCAGACGTCGCAGCCATCATTCTTTTTTTTCTATAATTTCTTTTTTCCAAATTTTTAATTTACCAAATTTTCAATGTTTCAAATTCTCAATTTACCAAAAATTCAATGTTTCAATTTTTCTTTTTTGAGAAATTGTCATACTGGAATTTGATACATGCCATAGTAATAGCTCATCACCATCGCTACCCATGCTGCATACCGGCCTTCTCCGGCGTAGCAAAGGTCTTGTACGGAAGATCTAAGTATGAACAACGGTTCAAGATGGGCGGTATCCTGGACACTCATTCTTGTGGTGGTGGACAGCAACGAAACACCGTGGTAATCCTGACGGCAAGCTGAATGTGGGAGTTTTCAGAAAGCTATGGCTAAAATATGACAGTAATTAGCTAGCATAGAGCCGCCAAGTAACAGATTCTTTGGTTCGAAAAATAATCATTCTCCTTCGATGATTCAGACTAATATTCCAGAGTACAGGGAAGCTTGGGATGCTGAAGAAGACGACAATAACGATACCCATTTCTTACCAACCATTGTCAGAGGTAGTTTTATATTTACATGAGAAGAAAGCGGGTAATAGTCAGCTTCCAACAGCCCTAGATCACTTGTAGGACCAAAACCCATCGGGTTATGCGATGCAAGCGGTCTCAGAGGATCAACTGTACACTCAAGACCCCTTCGTAGTGCATTCCCGCCCATTGCCTCCCACCTCCAATGTCTAACTCTGTCGAATGTAACATCCTGTACTTCCTGTTTCGGAAAGGAATATCGTTTGAAGAGGTCTGTACATGGAAGGAAGAAGCCTTGTCGGCCTCTGTATCGACACAGATATGTTCACTGTTTCTACTGCACGACTGGTTGCAGGCAGTCCAAATACTGCCATGCCCCTCTAAGACTGCAAGACATTCTTAGCTGTTATATCTGATCACTAACTCGAGAAATACCACTAACCCCATCTAAATACCGGAGACAGACGTATACTATATACATTACTAACACACCAGTAGTTAATTACCTTGAGTCAAACGGGCAAGGCGTTTACTGTACTGTTCTTGGACGAGAGAGTCTGCTCTGAAGCGAGCAACACGTGCTGTCGATACAAACCCACAGAGGAGTCTCATTCCAAAACAGACAGAAAAAATATGTGACACAAGCAGGCCATGGGTCTCTTGAATGCTCATCTTCCTCTTCCACTTTTTGATTCTCCACACTCTTCCAGCCGTACATCAAACCTCTTTATTAGAGACGCGCTAGTGTCAAGACCTCCGAACCTATGGATTGGACATGTGTCTGGAAAAGGGGCGTATCTCGGGCCACAGTAACAGGAGAAGAATTCAAAGCACACCACTGGACTCGTCACGTGATGAATACTTCATTTCTTCTCTTTGATTCGTCACGTGACCACTTTTACCCCCTGTAGTACCGGCTTCCAGTTAACTTCGTCACATGACCAAAACACAAGAACACAAGAACATACCCCTCTTCAGGTATATAACCACGCGTGGGGCCGTCTTGAGACTCACTGTTACGCAAAAATATGTTTTCCGACCTGGGTTTCTCAATTTCTAAGGCGCCTTCTCTGGCAGCAAGGGCAGCCCTCATTCTGATGGCCATAGCAGTCTCGTTATCGGCCATTTACTTCTTTCAGCTCGTGGTAGTCGGAGGCGTGGGATGGTTAGTGGTTGGGTAGGATTTGGAGGTCAAGAAGTGGTGGAGGATTGGCACTGGCTGTTTTCTAATATTTATTTGTGGTTTGGTGTTAGTATGATGCGAGTCAAGTGAATGTCAAGTAGAAATCTAGGCTGGGGAGGTGTCGTAGTTAAGATACTAATTGAGATTAGTCAACTAAAAAGGCGTTAAATAAATTAAATACCAACAAACAAATGAATGTATATGCAGAAAAAAAACAAAACATCTTTCATCTTTACAAAAATCTATCTAAATAGGTGTGGACAAACGGCTATCGTTATAGCGGTCTAGGACACTAGCAGCATGCTAAAAACTCCACCACTTTGACCGTTTAAACCACTCCAACGCCAGCTTGAACCACCGGCAGCACATCAACACACCTGTCTCCTGCTGTCAATCAATTTACGTGCATAGTCCGGTTGAAATTGAGAACGCGGTTATGTGGCCTAGTTTGGGAGCAAATATAAATCTGAAAAAACCAGCAAGCACAAAAATGTCTTTATAAATACCTCTCCGAAGTCTTCCACCTCCCAAACAGCTCCTCTCATCGTTTCCCTTGCAGTCTCCGTATCCAAAAAATTGTGCATATTATGCATAAACATTTAGGTTGGGAAAATATATCTGAACTGTAATCTGGAAATATTTGGTGATTTAAGATCGAGTTTGGTCTTTACAAGAGCTCTTCTTGACAGAATCGTATCTTGTTTGGTATCATTGGAACGAAAATAATGTCTATATTCTTATTAACAACTCAGTATGTTTATAGAACCACATTTACAGCTTTTGTGTCGAAAACAATGCTTATTAAGCAGAAAGACATGCGATTCAGAATTTGACCATATCATTGTGTTCCTCTCGGTGTCAAAAATCTATCGATACCAACCAAACCCTAATCATACCTCAAAATAACTTAGTATCTCTGGGTCCTCCTGTTTCAGCACATTCTTGCTGCCACTTGGTCCCAACGAAACTTAACCTTAGCTTGCGTCGGCAATTTTTATTTAAGACGGGCTTGTCCCCAAATTTCGAGAGCACCGAAAGCATAAAAACACGTCACGTGATTTGAGATAACGAGATCACGAATCGGAAATTACGAGTGAAACGACCAAAAAAAACAAAAATCACATCGACACGAACTGTGCGACAGCTACACCACCAATTGCTAAACATTCTACGCATCACACAAGGACACAATGTCTGAAAAGCCTCGAGAAATCAAGACGCGTTTCCCAGTTGCGCGAATCAAGAAACTGATGCAGAGCGACGACGATATCGGCAAGGTGGCCCAAGCAACCCCCACTGCCGTGGCCAAGGCGCTGGAGCTGTTCATGATCTCATTGATCGAGGAGACGTGCAACCAGGCGCGGATGCGAAACTCGAAGCGAGTCAGTCCCAGTCACCTCAAGCAGGCCGTTTTGGAGACGGAGCAGTTTGACTTTCTGCAGGACATTGTCAGTAAACATCCCGACGCGGTCGCTCCGGCAACGGGTGAGGAGGAGCAGCCCAAGCGACGGGGAAGAAAGCCTGCCCAGGAGTAGGCGACTTTACCAGCTTGGCCTTGTACGCAGTGCCGGTTTGGAGAGTCCAGTACCAAGCTCAGTGCAGTGCTAAAGCTTTTGTGCTTCTGCCATTTGAAGCTAATGGTCAAGGCACAAGCATGGAGTATCGAACGATCAAGACCAAGTGGTCGTCTTGTGCTAACGAAACACTAATGAGGAGGATAGACGGTTGCATGTGTATTATAGATAATGAAGACTTTGTTTTGGATGTGGTTTGGAAGGTTTGAGCAGGTGATCCAATAAGTGGCGAAGGAGGGTATGACGAGTGCGCCATATTCTGGTATCGTACTGTTCCCATTTCTCCAAGACAACTTGAAAAAATGTGGATTCCGTAGAGCCATTCCGCATTGGTAAAGATGACAAAGGTGCTACGGGTGTTTGTTGTGAGTTGATGTAACTGGTGTATTGGCTCCGGGTATCAGCCTTGGTCCCTAGGGACGTCTGCTGCAGCTTGTAGGGAACGGAGTCTGACAGATGAGGAAACAAGAGCTCCTGAGTTTGTATTGGTGAATATCCCAACCTCCTTTTGTTAAGGAATGGCACTGATTCATGGGCATGTACATAGTTATATCCCCTCTACATGCACTGAGTCCAGCACATGGCGAGTTGATCATTTGGTTGATATACCAATAACTGGATTTTTTTTTGTATCAATCGAATCAGCTTGAAAATAGTAATTGAATGGTCTAACATAATTTACAATATGTCATAGTAACACTGCCGCAATGGAGTGCTGTCATTCGTATTGGTGCAACTATCGTGCGGCTCACAATTTTTTTTCGGCAGCCTTCAATGATGACCTCTACAACACTTTTTGGGCCAGAATTTTCGATTGGCAGACTGAAATTTCATCGACACAACTATGATCCGTTCAAAATCGCTTTCTCCAACACTTTTCCACCTCTAGTCAATCCATTCCATGCCAGCACTTGCACCTCTATCAGAGTTGTCGTGCATTATCGGTCCAATTTTGTGTGTATCGGCAGAGGTGTGTTCGTAACTGAGCAGAAGGAAGAAGCAGAAGGAAATGTGCATTGATACTCATCTACATTGTAGCTTACACATGTCTCACCATCTCCTTGTGTCTCAGAATAAGCGGCTGCTTGAGTTATCTGGCTGAACACGGGCAAACGAAGGCAAACCACTTCTGGTTTAGAGGCAGTAGTCTATGTGGAGATCGTCACAGCGACTTAATTATTTCGTGGAGTTTACCATGGGCCGAGGTTGCTAGTATCCGCACTGTGCTCTTCGAAACGAGGGCTTCTGTAATGCGATTTTGAAAAAACACGGCGAACCAAACCAAGAGGCTCTGATGCGCCATTTTCGAAAACCGCCGCCGTCGTTAGTATTAAATTACTGCGAGGGCAACACCCTGTCTCAGTCTGATCACACGTTTCAACGTTTCTCTTGTTTACAGTGAAATGCGCTGTAAACTTCTGCAAAGACGCTAAAAACCATATACAGTATGTACACTAGCGGCTAGGAGGAATACGGAGGAGCTCTTGGAAAGACTCAAATTTGAGACTATTTCGAAAAAAAAGTAGACGGATATATTCCCCGCCCCGAGAAGATGGCCAAAACATACTCAATTACGGTCTTTGGTCCAGATTTCTGAGACTAACTCCCCCATCGCCAAGACGTTCCCTGCATCACCTCCACCTAACGAAAAAAAGTAAGCTTTTGTTACAGCGTATAACGTATAAGCCTGGAAGGAGGTCAAAGTGTGTTTCCAGCCACCGTCTGCACGTGGGCTTTTTTGAGCTTTTAACCGGCGTCAAGCTTGCTGAAACTAGACAATTCCACACTTGCCGCTCTTGCGGATTTTATGGCATTTTTTCCACATTTTTCCGCTAACGCCTTGCCCCTCAATTGTATAAATCCGACGTTACATCATGCGGCTGGGCGAAATGGCTTTATCTGTGCAGTCTTTGCTTTTTGAGCAGCCAGACAACGGCCAAACATCGGGTTCAACACGGCTCTTGGTGAGCCCTTCCTTCCCAAAAAAACCTCAAGAGGCTCGTAACCAGTGTACACAGCAATTTCCGTTGTCACACAATCATTTCTCTCCCCCCCATTACATGTACTTGGCCGACTCCAGTACCCCTCCCCATAAACGGCTCACCACATGAATGGATAAAAGCATGTTCTTATTTACCACTCTCTTGTGCCACCACTTTTTTTTCTGCCCATCACGAGACTTGCTCAAAGTCATTTTGCGGGAAATGCACTTTAGAGTTGATTTGAGGGAATCAAAAGAGTCCTACAAAGGGCGGTCACGTGCCCCGAAACTGCGGGGGTTGCTGTCCAGGCCATGTGACGTCTCCACCATGCGCAAATACCTCACATGGTCACCGCGTATATGATAAAAGTCAATAGATTCGCCGCAGCGGTTTTTAATTTCGGCTCAATCGTCGACGCAGCTTTAAACCCTATACAAAGCTTGGTGCCTTGAGAGAATTCGAGCGAAGCACAGGTGTACAAAGAAAAGGGATATTTGGAATTTGACAGGACGGACGTTCTAACACGACCCAGACAATTCGATTGCCGTTTTCAGATTTCAAAAAGAGCCAAAAGCCAGCAAGTTAGACCCCCTCTAACACCCCCCTAAGGCTACTCTGCTCATGCGGCACCAAAATGTGGTGTTTGGGTACCGCCAAAAGGAATCAAAAGGCGAGAAAAGCCAGAAAAAAAGAACGGAGACGGAATATATCCAGTCACAAAAGGCAGGAATGGGGTTTTCCGAAGCCCCAGCGAAAAAGCAACTCGTATTCCGACCGCTTCCCCAATTCGGAGATGACCATTGACATTATCGTAGCTATAATGGGGACTGAGTTAAGGTGGTTTTATGCGGGATTTTCGGGACATGGCATTTGCAAGGCGACAAGTGCTCGGATTCGCACCGGAGTTGGTTCAATCGATAGTCCCGGAGACCCACATTCTAATCCGAGACTCAACCCACTAAATACCCGCTGCCTCGCCCTCCCCACTGCTCCCATGTTATCTCCATCATCCGGACTTTAACTCTAACTCTAGAGGGATATAACCGTCGACGATACTAAAGGCCCGTTATCCGTCAGTTGAACCCCAGCCGTGGCAAAAGTGAGTATGTTGAGGAGCGTGCTGTGTGTGGCACGAAAAGACATGGAATAGGACACAAAAACGGCAACATGGCCACAGACAATGCAGTTATGCGACGCGCGACAAAGACAGATCTGACTTGGGTCCTACAAGATGGGATTAGTGGTGGGCTGGTATGGAGTGAGAGGGAAGAATGACACAGGCGGACAAGTGGCAAGAGGAGGTGCGGCAGACTCGAATGGCTGCCGTGTGGCTACAGCTTGAGATTTCGTGTGGAGGTGGAGTGAATGCTAGGTATGGTTGTCACTCTGCACGAGCTGATACTGTGAAGAACATTATGATACTTACTCTTACCCTGTGCCACCGGTCATATCACTTATCACCTATTATTCTCTCACTACTTCTCCCCACTCTCACCATTAGACCACACTAATGCCCTCTCCTGCACGCTAATGTCATGCTGTAGTGTGTGATTATGTCAGGGACCAGACTATGCGCTTGGCAAGTTGACGCAGTTGACCGGAAGGCAGGTAGGCTCTCTACTATTCTTGTGGAAATGACGAGCTTTCCGCCACAACGAAAGTGCTTGATCTGGAAGTCATATCATTGCACTTTCCACATTCTTCCTCAAGCAGGTGTTCTGGCTACAATGATGTGATGCCAGTTTGCGTCTACGAACAGGCTTGTTCATTGAGTCAGTCAGAGACCAGTTGTCTTGCTAATGTTATAGTAGTCTGATGTTACAGTAGTCTTCTGTGTGTTGTCCGCTTGGTACGATGGCACTTCCCCGTACTGTACTAACCCAGTGATTCCCACATCCGAACTCGACCATTCCGTCGACCACCAAATCTCCACCGAGTACCGCGCTAATGGCGATCACAACCCCCATTTCAATGAACATAAAGACCACCACCACCCCGAAGGGGCAGAGCAAGGGTTCACCGGGAACCTCGAGCTGCGTTCGGACGAAGACGTCGAATCGGACTCAACCATGAGCGACATTGAGAGCGAGGAGGAGCTGGAGGACGACGAGTTTGTCGACCATGCCGAGGAGGTGCTGGACCGTCAGAAGCATCATGAGGACATTATTGGTGGGGTGCACCAGATTCACCATCACCACCACCATCACTACCATCGACACAAGCCCGAGGGGAATGAAGGTCGAGGGCGCGAAAGTCTGTCTCCGGCACGATCCACCATGTCTATGGGTGGAAGCATGCCGGACGGTGAACAATTGTCTCCGAAAGCAAGTGCTATTGCGGGGATTGTGAGATCGGACACCACCGATTCTCGCCGAGAAGACTCACCCGACATGCTCACCCACAAGTCCAAACACAAGACGTTCACGTTTGGCATGCCCTTCTCCAACCCTCTGGCTAATAAGGAGTCCAAGAAGGGCAAGAAGGAGAAGAAGGAGAAGAAGGAGAAGAAGGAGAAGATCAAGCGAGCCGCAACGTTTGGCTCTGTCTTCAACAAGGAGGAGGACGAGGCTGAGTTGGCCAAGATGGACTCTGCCACCCAGGCCGAGCATGAATCTGTTGCCCAGATCAGACAGAAGCTCAACCGCAACCTGTCCATCACCACCGAGGAAGAAGACAAGTTGTTCGGCAACAAGCACGATCTACAAAGTGTGCGTGTCAACAAGATTGTCAGCAACGCGACTATGCCAACTGTTTTGGACTCCATGAAGATTGGAAACAAACAGAAGCTGTCCAAACACGACGCTTTCAACGCTCTGGAAGGTGACTTTGTTATTCTCGGTGGATACCGAGGCTCAGTACTTCGAGATGCCAAGTCCAAGCGTAGGGTGTGGATCCCCATCAAAGTGGGTTTCAATCTGCGAAAGATTGATCTTACTGTTGACACTTCGGACGATTCAGAGACCAACATGGAGAAGAAGATCTACCCCGATGGCATGCTGACTCACATTGGACCGATTGATCTGAGTAAGCGTCTGATACAGAAGATTTCATACAACCCCAAATGTCGCATTAGAGACTTTGGATACGACTGGCGTTTGGACTGCGGGCTCAACTCCAAGAAGCTCATTGAGTTCCTTGAGAAAATTTACGCTGAAAACGGAAACAAGAAGATCACCGTCATGGCCCACTCCATGGGTGGTCTCGTCACCCACAAGGCAATGCTCATGCGTCCAGATCTGTTCAAGGGCGTACTTTATCTCGGCTCCCCCTCCGAGTGCCCGGCTATCATTGGACCTATCAAAAACGGAGATGCCGTGTTGTTGTCTTCCAAGGTGCTTACTGCCCAGATCAATTTCCTGATGCGATCTTCATTCATCTTCCTGCCTGAAGACAAGCAGCTATTTGTGGACAAGAACACCGGCCAGCGAATCGACATTGACTTCTATGACCCCGAGCAATGGAAGAAGTACGCTTTGTCCCCCTGTGTCTCCGAGGAGCACCGACAACGATGCCTGCAGAAGAAGCGACGAGGAACCGAGTTGTCAAAGCTCAAGCCTTCCAATCTGAGTGAACACGAACACCACCATCATCACCATGGCGTCGGAGAGAAGCTGCACAAGCTTGCTAGTGTGATTGCTCACCCCCGAGAACACAAGGATCACTACGAGAACATGCATCCCGAGGCCACTGCCTCTGGAGCTGATGCTATGGCTGTCGCTACTGGCCATTCAGGTCTCGTTACTATGGGTTCTTCCACCGGTAACAACGATGCCAACATCCCCACTATTGATTACGATGACGCCTGCAACTACCTGGAGCGAACTCTCAAGCGAACCAAGGAACTCAGAGCTTCCTTCTGGTATGATGAGAAGCGAAAGGACGAGTATCCCCCCCTTGCCTGCGTGATTGGAACCACTGTACCCACTCTCAAGGCCTGCAGAGTCGACGGCTTTGAAGGCATCTACAAGGGCGACTTTTCCGACTTTGTGCTAGGATCAGGCGACGGTGTGGTCTACTCCAAGTGGAACATGCCCGAGCCGTTTGGTTTCAAGGTCGTGGCCAAGGTCAAGACCAATCGGGGTCACGTGTGTCTTATGACCGACCACGTTGCTGTGGCTAAGGCTCTGATAGCTCTGCAGGAGGCTGCTGAGAAGCGAGAGAAGGGCGAGCCTTACCTGCCCGACATCACCCCTGTCCACTCCATCCCCGTGACAGACGATGACTCTGGAGCAAGTACTCCTGTCCATTCACAGCCCGTCAGCGCCCAGAATAGCCCGGCTCCCGGCCATCCTCCCCAGTTCAGCTCGCCGCTGAAGTATTCGGCATGATACAGGGACACATTCGTTGATAGATCAGTTTTGTAATAGTAATATATATATTAGATGTGACAGGCGTAATCAGCACATATATATATATATATATATATATATATATATGAAATGCAGTTGTCGTATGGTTGCAGCATGTAGAAAAAGCAAGTTGGTCTACAATCCACTCGGAATCTCCGGCAACTCGTTCACTCTACCCCCTCAACTTCCGAATCAACCCAGCAAGACGAGAAATCAACAACATGGCCTCCTGGTCTCCTGCCATGACATGCACATCGCCAATAATATGTCTCGTCTTCCGATCAATAACTCCTCGTGATTTGAGAATCTTCAACAGCGGATTCATCAGCTCAGTACCACACGCCATACCAATCATCTCCTGTAATAAAGAATAATGGCCCCCAAAGTGGGCATGGAGGGCATCCACAGGTGTGTCTCGAGCCATGTTTTCCATGGAACTGATAGCCGAAATCGGAGGCTGCAAGTATGGTTTAGACATGTCACCATCCGGATGGTCCTCCTTGGGAAACGGCTTACGGTCAAAATACCGTTGTCGGATGAAATCATTGTACTCTTGGAACTTGCTTGACACGGGACCGGGTCCAGTGACAATTTCCTCCATGTCTCGAGACTCATTATTGGCACCCCACCAGATTTGCTGGGTGATAATGGTGTTGAAAAGCTTCATCAACGAGTGCAAAAGAGCCATCCGAGATACTCGCTTTCGAGTAGAAGAAGGTCCCTCATTCTTGTTGAGATCAAAGAAACCGGCCACCAGATCCAACTCACAGTGAGGAGCAGTAGAGTCCATCCAGTGCTCAACAGTGAGGAAGTCAACGAATGAAACACGAGTGGGGTGACGTGATAGGTTGTAAAGACGCACGATATTCTCTTGGGTGGCGTCTGGTCGGTCGTCTCCGGACACTATGGTATATGTTGCAATGAGCTTTGAGTGGGAGATGTAGAAAGACGTCGATTTGATCTCTGAGGGTTCTGGGTCTCGTTCGTCACAAAGCACGAAAAACTTTCTCCAAGCCTTTTGCACAGCATTCGGCTCGATTCCTGTCTGAGCAGATATCGTGTGTTTCTCCTTGTCGGACAGATCGTCCTGAGGTGGATCGTTAGATAAGACGTGAGCCTCCATGTGATTGGTATCAGAATCATTCTTGTCACATGGCTCATCACGTGACCCATTAGTTTCCTCCTCCTTGACATTTGTTCTCGTAATGACGTCATTGTCGCATCCAGTCCAGCCCTCACATACCCATTGGGGGGAATACTTCAAGGGGGCAGGGATCTTGATCTTGATAAGCACGTGACTCCATTGGTGCTTGCGAAGTACAACACAGTATTGGCACAGATCCACGTCCACGCATTCGCTGCAATGATACCTGGTTCCCACTATTGGAGACGTCCCACATCCGTCACAAGTGATGCCTCGGTGCACAACGCCAATGTTCTTGGAGCATGTTTCTGCCAGGTGGTACAGAAGCCCAAGAATCTCAGAGTTGTTCGAGGGATGCGGCTGTTTGAATAGATCAGCTAATGACGTCGATATGTCTGCCGTAGACAGAGGTCGAGTGAATGGTCTGTCCATGTGTGTATGTGGTTTGATGCGATGCGGTTGTAGTTGTTGGTATGTACGTGTGATGGGTTTTGTATTGCGTGAGATTGTGATGTGTTTGTGTAATGTGCTGCGATTGTGTTTAATGAGTTGAATGCATCGGTGTAACAGCAGAATGAATCAATGGATGTTGCAATATGGAGAGTTCTAGCGGGAGTTGATGTGAGAGGTGATGCAGTCTAATCATAACTTACAGTACGGTATATACTGTTTGGAGTGTAGTTTAGAAGAAGTTCATGGGAAGATAAGAGGGAGAGAAAGGTGACAGGGGCTAGAAGCGATCTAGTAAAAGAAATATCTCTCTCCTTTTAAGTCTCATCAAACTACTTTTACCAATGCCTTGGTGAATTTGTATCTTGAGAAACTATAACCACTTTTTCGGAGTGAAAAACTGGAGGAATTGTGTCCAGGAGATCTTTGCAATCAAAACTATACCAAACACTACCATTTTACTTGGAATATTGCCAAAATTTCGGTGTAATTTTCATTAAAGCCCAAACCCATGCTGTGGAAGTGTATTGCGAAATGTCGATTACATAAGCACACTCAGTTAGGGCTGACAAGAATGCTCCCTTTAGTGTCGAAATGCTTGTTCGAGTTCACCCATATTGATATACATCGACTGCGGTAAGTACAGAAACGACACCAGATTTCATTTAGTCCAAAAACATCACCAGATCATCTTCCAGCCTCACTTGTAACTTCTCACAAATCACGCGATCTCTAGGCAGGACATTATGCCATGGCAGCAGAATGGGAAGATCTGTTATGAATTTTGATGTGAAAGATTATCAAGCGTAAATAAACACGCGATTGAGAACTATCTCAGCTTTCAGTTTTCAAATCCGATAATAGTTCGATTTTATATGTGTTATTTTACAATTATTATTTTCCTGCACTGTGAACCTCACGATATATCACGATAATCAACTTAATTCCAAAAAATTCGAGAAAAAATCCTAACGAGGACATACAGACTAAACAACGCGAAGGGTGATATATATTTCATCTAAAATACATTACCGTTTACCAATTACTCACAAATCATCCTTACCGCCTAGTCACCCTTTCCCCCAAGTTGCCAGTCACACTTCCTTTCATCCTCTTATGAAACAGCCCCAAACAAAATATATAAAACGGGAAATGTCCAATAAATGACGCCGGAAACCTCACCATTCGTCCAAAAATGTCACCGCCATACCATATGACACTTCCTCTGTCGCAAGAAAGTCCAGCCGACTCACCCAAGGGAGACTCACGGTTCTCTCGCTTCTTCAAGAACTTGCGAGGAAACGAGTCCAGAGAAAGCATTGCCACGCGGAAATCAAGCGTTGGAAAACAGCCTCAAGTGCATTTTCAGTCGACGGAATTCCTCTCCCGCGACTCCCCGGACTCAAGCGAGTCACGTGGTCTCCCCACCACTCCAGACGTGGACATCAACCAGTACTTTTTGCAGTTCAACAAACTCACAGGTTATGATTCTAAGATCCCTGAGAAGCCACGTGACCTGGATACCCCCGAACAGAGAGGAATGCTTGGTGTCTATGAGGACTTTATGCGAGCCCAGAGAGGCACACAATGGAGAGACGGAGACTTGGGTCCGATGGAAAGAGAGGCCAAACTCAAGGACGATTACTCAGCTCACAGCAGACCTTCAGATGACTTGAAAATCTCACCAGTAGACCCCGAGTCACATGATCTAGGCACTTCCAGACCCTATGATTGGTCACGTGACGTCGACAACGCTACACTGACCCCCATGACTCCTCATGTTCCCTCTTCGTGCTACAGTATCCACAAGGAGAACCCCTACCTGGAGTCACGTGATGCATCAAGAGATGGAGATAAGTCACGTGAAATCTATGACTTTGTCACCAAGTCTGATGGTAGTTCCAAACCGCGGGGTTACGACAACTGTCATTCTACGACTTCTGATCCTCCTTCGCGCGCGTCCAGAGCGTCACGTGTTTTTTTTGCACTCACTCTGACATGCTTGCTCATAATTCTCAAGACACGTGTAACGACCATTATTCTCAACTATGGCATTGAAGACTCCCAGATATACTCTCAGACTGCTTGTGCTACTCTTAACACCTATGCCGCCACCACTCATTTCGGCCCCAATCTTCTGTACAGTGCAATCACGGGACAGGCAGCTGGTTATGTGGGTGATATGGCTCAGGGTCTGCTACCCGGCAGCGATGTGACTATGAGGACCCCAGGGTTCGTGGATGGCTTGTTAAGTCAAATGAAGCAAGACTATGTCCACAGTCTTACACATACTATTGATTTTGGGGTTGATCTGACCAAGAATACCACCTCCAAGAATGCACGAGACGCTCAGAAGATTCTTTCAGAGGAGCTCAAGCCTCTTCAAGACAATATCACCCTCTTCGAGACCTCTCTCAATTCTCTTTCTGCTAATCTTCTCAAAAATCCAATATTCGGCTTTGAGAAGTCAGGAAACACTTCCCAGCTCAGTCTCGATAGACTCAAGAACGTGAATTTCAGTGACATTTTCTTCTCGGACTTCCTACCTCATTTCCAATCCTCTTTTGACGTTTCCAAATCTTTCCAAAGTCCCTTCTCTTCCGCCAAAGATGCCATTTTGACTGATCTCGACAATTTTAACAATGGAGTGAGGAAGCTGGCGCTCAATTTGCCCACAGCTAAGGCTGTTGCCAAACAGCTGGACAATTCGAGCTACAATCAGCTGTTTTCAACTTTCAAGCTGTGTACCAAAGAGGATGAGATCAAAGAACACTACGAGAAAATGGTACAGAGCATCAATTCAAAGAGCGGAGCTGTTGTGATTCTGTTTGTCGTTTTTGCAGTTATCTTTCTGCTCATCACGTGTTTCCTGGAGTTGTTTGGTTTGACCCGAAAGAAACAGCTCCAGAAGGTGAGCTACCTAAGAAAGCTCAAATTGACAGAGTCCCATGTGGAACCCACCCACTCAAAAAACAAAAGCCACAAACCTCGCGACTTTATTCCCTTCCCACACCACCTGTCTACTCTCACTATCGTCACTGTTGCTGTTGCTGTGTCTTGTATTTGTGACCTTTCTCTGTTGAGCAGTCTGAGGATCTCTGGGGGAGCTCAGATCGAGTTTGTCAGTGACATGTACGAGTATCCCACTGATAATGTCCCAGGCAGTGTCTCTGAGAACGTGAGTGAGCCTGTGGAACATGTGAATGAATTGAATGCTAGAGATCTAGAGTCTGAAGACGACGCGAAACCATTGGGGTACACTGCTGTCGATTACATGGCTATCTTTTCCACAGCAGACAAGCCCTCTGCCACTTTGGTTGAGACTGCTGCTTCTGTTGCTACGCCTGTTCACATCACAGACCTCACGAACAACAGCATTGCGACTCTCCACAACATTTCGTCAGACATTATTAGACTAGTCGACTCTGCAAACATCTACCTGGAGGGCCTGCAGACCAATCTGGAAACCGAATGTCTGTCTTTTCAAAGCCAGCTCCTCAAGGGTGTCAATTCTACGCTGATGAAACTGGAGAAAGACCTTAACGAAGCCGTCGCAAACCGATTTGGATTTGAAAGAGGAGATATCGGATCTCTCAACTCTGACAAGTTCCTAAGTGCTATCTTGGATAAATCTAGACATAAAGTGGCTGCTGGTACAGCCAAACTATTCAAGATAGACTCCAAACAAGCAGTTCTGGCATTCAGCCAGGCCCATATTAACTCACTTCCGGGCTTCGCCCCTCTTCAGACCAAGACCACTATTGCTACAAGTCTCGAGAACCTCGTCGACATGATGCAGAAGGTGGTATTGAGTCAGCAGTGGTTTGCCCTGGGACTTTTCATTGTTTGGATTCTGATCATGATCATTGGAGGAGTGAGGTGGATTCTCGCAATCAAACGAGAAGTGGGTTTTATCAACATGAGGGTCAAAAGATGGGAAGTTTGAAGGACAACTATGGAGTATGATTTTTATGTTTGTTTATCAAAACGAGACGTAGAAGATTTCACTATAGAGTAACAATAGGAGAAGAAATACTCGACAATAAGTTCGTTGAGAAAGTACACACAAGTTCAAGAGCTTCCATTAAAAATATTAAAAGGACTAAAGACCTTTATGACTTTCAGAGCTTCCTTAATGAGTAATAAAGATACCTAGACTTGACATTATTTTAATATTTTAATATTTTTTATTCTAGGAAATAGATTTTAGCTACTTGAGGTCTAAGGACAATATTATACCCGCAAATCGGATTCGGATTCAGTTGTTCAGAAGAGGGAATGGCATTTGTGTTCGCTTGTTCACGTATTCTTCCTGTTCCTTCTCTCGACTTTTTAATTTTTTTCTATATTTTTTTCTATATTTTTTATTTATCCTGATGATTCATTTTTTTTTATTTATTCTAATGATTCATTACAGCTATATACCTACACTTGTAGTAAGCCGGGTTATTAGCGTTCAATAAATCATACACTTCTGAATTTTTGCGATGTGCGCTGCGGGGCGCTGTCGGTTGGTTTGTCGACGCTTCGTCTTTATTATGTAATCAATTTTCTGATTGCACTGGTCACATTTTCTTTGAAATTAAAAAATGCCTGGCTAGCTCAATCGGTAGAGCGTGAGACTCTTAATTCTAAAAAGCAATCTCAAGGCTGTGGGTTCAAGCCCCACGTCGGGCTTATTTTTAAATTTTCAACTTCTCAAATGCTACAGTGTATTGAACGTTGCGCATCACTTCTTTTTGGAAACAAAAGAATCATAAAAATTAAGATAAAATACACCAGTCGCCGCCAATCCATCTAATAAGTACATACAGGTTAGTTAAACATCTCTTCTTCCTCGTCATCATCGTCTTCTGGCACAAAGGCCTCGTCCTTATCTCTCTTCTCCTTTTCTTCGGCCGGCTCAGGTCGCATAGCAGCAGCAGCAACAGCCACATCCACCACATTGGGTTCCATCAAGATGTGGTCATCGACAGAATTGGTAGCGTTCTGAACAGCACGCATGAGATCCTCCTCGTTGATGGAGTCGACTGAAAGATCCATCATAGACATATCATCGCCCTCAATGGGAGCTTGCTGCGACTGCTGCGATTCGGAAAGCTGTTCGTCGTGCTCTTCGATTTCAGCTTCCGCAAGAGATCCAATCTGAGCAGCAGCCTTTCGCTTTCTACGAGGTCTGAGACCGTCAGCAGCAGCAGGGTCCTTGGGATCCACATGGCCCTCGTCAACAGCATCCTGAACCACGGTACGAATGAGATCCTCAGCCTTGAGTTGCTCAGCCTCGTCCTTCAACAGCTTGGTGCGTTTCTTTCGAGACTTCTTGGGGGCTGAAGTTGTAGGGGCAGCAGGAAGAGACTTCTCAGACTCGGCATTGGGCTCGTCCACATGAACACGCTTGCTCTTGAGCGGTTTAAGAGGATACCGAGAGCCTTCAGTTCGAGGCTTACCCTTGGGGTTGTGATTGTTGTCAACAACGGTTCGAATCACCTCCTTTGCACCATAGTATTCGGGGAACGACTTAGTAAAGTGCTCTTTGAAGGTGACGTGGTCATACTCCTGTTTAGCGACTCGAACCTCTTCCAGGTAGTTCGGCTTGGATTTGAGAATTCGCAAAGAGTCACTCCAGGCGTGTCTTGATCGATGAGGGTACAGGCTGTGGAGTTTCATCATGGCAGCCACAGGAGTCTTTTCCGAGTGAGCGATCGCCAGGAGAGCCTTTCTCTCCTTGTCATCCAGTCGCTTCTTGACGTTGAATGCTCGAGAACGGGTATACAGCTCGTTCCAATCAACAGCCTCCTTTGGTTTGCTCTGGGCAGAGATCAGGAAGTCCTTTATTTGATGCCAGTCAATTCCATAGGGGTAGTTGTGACGCTGGAGGCGGGCGATCTCGTTCTGAGACATTTCGGTGGTGATAGTGACGAGTCTCTGACGAACTAGCTCGGGGTCTCTGTTCAAAACATACGACACCGTCTGAACAAGCACCTCAATGGTGACATTGTTTTCTGTGGCGGTCTTGTTAGCTGCGTAAATCACCTTATCCTGGGTTCGGGTGAACTTGGAGGTATCATAACCAGAGGGCAGGGTCTGTTGAGGCCTGGGAACATTAGCAAGCACCTCCTCAGGTTCGGGAATGGGGTTGGGAATATGTTCGGGGATAGGCTCGGATGGAGGCTCTGGTTGGGGCTCTTCAACAACTGTATCTTCTTCACCAATGATGCTGAACTTATTGTCCTTGAACCTGTAAACATCGGGATACTGCTCCACAAACAGCTCTTCACTTTCTCGTTCGCTGAAACGAGCTGCAGCGATTCGAGTGGTTTTCGAAACACTGCCCTTGTCTGCCAGCAATCTATAGTATCTCTTGTGCCACTGCTGAAGGCTCTTGTGCGGATACTTTCGATGAACAGCTCGAGCTCCATCGAAAATGGTAGCAGCTACCTCCAGATGCGCCATCAGACATCGGTCTTCGTTGGTCGAGAACTTGCCAGCCTCCCATGACACAGCCTCGGTGATTTCGGGCCATTTCAGGTCTGCCACCGTCGAGTTTTCGTCCAAATTCATGATTGCAGATTCGAATTTTGGCCAATCGACGTTCTCAGGCAATGCGGACTCTTTGAGCGCAAGTGTGACCATCTCCGACTCTTGTCGCAGCTCAGCCAGATGTTTCCTGATAGTATAGGGACCGATCGAAAGCACAAATTCAAGAATCTTGAGCAACAAACGGTCGGGAACGCGCTTGGAGGCAAACAGGGCATTTGTGTCTAGAATGAACTTGTCCTCAGAGCTGGAAAACATGGTCTGGGGTCCATCGGCGTCTCCTTCGTCGTCCTCCTTGTCATCTTCATCAAACCACGGTCGATTGGGGTCTGAATTTGTCGAATAGAACCGCGGGAACTTTTGTTGAAAGTATGCGAGGGTTGTATCAAGAATGAACATGCGCTCAGCGTCCTTCATTCGAGTCTCCAGCTGTTCAGGAGAATACTGGTTCTTCAACAGCGTGTATCGGCTTCTCCAATGTTTCTTCAGGCGATGCGGAAACTGCTGTCCAAGCTGGTCGATGGCATCGTGTAACGACGTACTCGTGTACACGTGATATAGCAACAGCACATCTTCAATGGGGTCAAACTTGGCCCACACATTATCTCTGGAGTTGGAAGAAGCCCGTAGAGCGCTCCAGTTTCTGTCTGAGAGAAAGGTGAATAGCGACTCCCAATCAATCGTGCTCGGGTACCGTGCGTGTCGTATTCGCTTGATTTGAGATTCGTCCAACCCGCTCAGATAGTCCAGTCTGTGTTTGATATTGTCGACAGAACGGTTCATGGTATGAGACAGCGCTAAAAGCAGGTCATTGTCGGAGACCCTGCCTGTCTGGGCCAGATCCTTGGAGTCGATGATCACCCGGTCATAACCTCTGGTGTATGGCAGAGACAGGGTCGACGAGGTGTTGGGTTCAGTCATAAGGTGTCGAGGTGGTTCTAGAGGAAAAATAATACTGCCGTTGGGAGCACTGGATTCTAATGTCCTGGGGTTTTTTTTTCTTCAGTAATGTAGTGTGGCGTTTTGAGTTGCGAGGCTCGGTAGGGTAAGGGTTGAGATCGGACGATGCACGTACGATCACGACAGCTTTGAGTTGGTCTTAATCTGTGCTGAACCTGCCGTTTTGCGTACGAGTTTTGCGGTTTTTTATGTTTCTGACGAAAAGAAGCAAAATCTATGATCTTTTCTGACCTTCTTCTGGTTTATATGTCTCGGAATTATGGACTGCTCGTATCGTGCAAAAGTATGTGCGATAAAAAGTGGTAGTCCATAAACTCAACAATCTAAACTTTATGCCATGCGGGTTGGGGAGGGAACCGCTGTAGTGGGCGCTATAGGCCAGTTGGACCTGATATTTTTTGAATTGCCATTCTCTGCTGCTTTCCAGATGTATTGACAAGTTTTCAGCGAGTTTTACCGCCTCTACCACCCCTTTTTCAACCTCCCTCAAAACTGCTGAAATTAACGGAACTCTAATTTAACGACTCGCTCTTTTGTTAGCACAGTAAAACATCCAGACTTAGCAAGTGGCACCATCTTCTCTTTGGCACTTCTCCGCGGCAATGCACTTATATAACGGTGGTGATTCGGTATCGAAAAGAGCGCAACGAACTCGGGCTTCTTCTGAGTAAGAAAATCGCTGACTAGTGATAAGGACCAGGCATGCTGCTACAGTGGCCGGTCTCTGACTTCAGAACCATGGACTACTCTGGTATGTTCCCATGTGCCCTTATCAAAACGGAATTACCTCCCGCGGGTACAGTACCCCTGCTTAGCGCAACTCGTATTCGACAATTTGATGCGTCTGAAGACGCCCGAAAACTCACCTTTTGTGGCGGAACATTTCCCCGAGGTTACTCACTAGTGCGGGTGGCAGGTTGCACGCTACTTGTACTCGCAGTTGCCGTGGGGTACAGTACAGTCCGAGGTCGATTGGGTTTAAGGAGTTGAACCTGAGTGATGTATGGTGATAAAATGGATACTGGGCCATCACGAAGGGTCGAACACAGCAGGTGCACTTCAGCAGTTGAGACCCCTGTCGTATGTGTGCATTGCTGCCGGGTCTGCTCTCTGGAATGTCTCCAGATTATTCGAGTCTAGCCTGCAACTAAAGCGCTCACATGGGTTGCGACTCTTGTGGAAAGCAGGTTTTGCCGACATTAGTCTGGGGAAATGTAGGCAGACGTTCCACGCTGAGTTGCGTGTTGCTGCCTATGTCAGGAGTTGCGAATGGCTTTTTGATTAAAACTTCTCCGGGGCTGGACCAAGGTCACATGCACTTGTTTCAGGGCAATGGTGATATGCGACTGTCTCTTTGGACGGGTGAAGTGAAGTTCGCTTTCAGAAATTGCTTTTCGACAGCTGAAAGCGGAGAGGAATGAGAACTCTTGAGGCACATTTGACTGATGCTGGTAGGGGTATGGTACTACAATCAGTAGAGGTTCATCATCTACTACACATTACCGAACAGTACTTACTACTCGAAACCCTCCTATCAAGTTCCAGTACAGTCGCGTAACAAAATAATCAGTGCTTTCTCGAGAGACTAGCCTCTGCCTACAAGTACTATACCGCCGAGAGTTGTTTACAAGTACCAGGGCAGTACAGGGTTGAAATATTGAAGGATTATAAGTACTGTACTTGTACTTGTACACGACTTCGATTTAGAACATTGTTAATGAACCTCACGCTGAGATAACACTACCAACTTGCCGTATCTTATATCCATTACACCCATATTCGTCTCGAGGAAGAACATGACTTCTCGTTACACTACAGATTGAACTGCAACAGTATCCCCTTTATCTGTTCCAATTATTGGAATAGTTGAATTGGAACTCTTTATCTGGTAATAGTCGAGTCCCTAAGGGAAGATGTTTACATGTCTACAGATCATGATGGTTCGCTCTTGGGTCAGGGAAAAGGACATGTTACATCAATCAAGATATGTTACAGTCATCAGTAACGACATATAATCTAGACTTGCTCAGTTCAGCATCCTTTCTTTGATAGATATATTTTGGAGATACAAGATACCGTACCTCCAAGCAGTGCTTTCATCCGGACCTCTTGCTAATCAAGAGAGCCCTAACCAAGGGAGCGAGACCGCAAGCACAACACACTACAAGCACAAATACTGCAAGCTACAAATCCCTCACGAGATCCAACTTCTCTTTTATCACCCTATGTCACACCTCTATCTCCAAGTACTGTACAGTAACTACAGAACTTGGAGATATAGAATTACAGAACTACTACTCCAACCACTCCAACAAGATATGCAAGATTAGCTCTATTTGGTATGAAACTCAGACCTAATAATCGTCATCTGACTGGGTACTCAGGGGAGATAGCAGGGACTCTTGGAGGCTATCAATGAGAAAGGGATAGTTCTGGAAGTAGTTGAATGTAGTTAGTAAGTCGTTTCCCCTTCTCTCTATGCATTTACGGTCTCGCTAAGGTCTCCCGTTCTTCCCCACTTGGCCCGCCCTCTACACTCCCTACACTCCCAACAAAGATAGTTACATCTCACCTTATCGTTGCCTGGACGGTAATTAAACTTTGACCCACATGATAGTGCATCATGGCACAGCTGCAGACCCCTCCGAAAACACCACCTTCATAACCTGACACACAACACACAACAACACTTCCCGCATCTAATACACCGCTTCAACACATGAACTGGATCCCCAACGTGCAGAAGCGGGCGTTTCACTACGTGCTGAACCGCCTGGCGCTGTTTTCGGACCTGGAGCTCGACAATATGGACATTTCGCTAGGGACGGCGCAGAAGGCGGCGCTAACTAACGTCAAACTCGATCCCGACCGTGTCAGTCTTCCAGCAGGCATGTACATGCGCTCTGGAAAGATCGACGAGGTGTCGGTGGAGATGCGGCTTTTGGGGGGCGCGGGAATTGCCGTCAAGATCGATGGCGTGCATATCACGGCATCCATGAAACAGATGGACGTGGAGACCGCCACCGAGCACGTGGAGGAGTTTCTGGAAAGGACGACGGCTGATCTGGCGGCATCAATCCTGTCGGAAGACCTGTCCGCGTCACTACAGATCGATCCAGCAGAAGAGCCACCACTGCTGGGCATGGGCGGGTCAGGAATCAGTGAGGCACTAGTCAAAAAGGTGACACAGACAGTGCTAAGTCAACTGACAGTGGATGTCACAAACGTGCACGTGACGCTATTTGTGGCTGCAGACGACAAAATGGATCTAGTTGTGGACGAGGTCAGACTGAGACCACAAGGAGGACAGGAGATGGCCCTGGAAGTGAGGGGAGTCAAGATGAAGGTAATGGACAAGAAGGCTCGAGGCACAAGCGCCCCGGTAACAGCAGGATCCACAGCACATGCAACAACAGGGTTCACCTCAGAATCAGATTCAGATTCAGACACAGACCCGTTCTCAAATGCAAAGAAGTCTCTCCTTCAATCAACCATTTTTTCGCATGAGGAGGCCAGCAGCATTTACATGAGTGCGATAGCCGAGTCTGCCAATCTCGGATTTGAGTCTGACCCACTCTTTGGGGTGTTTTACGTCGACACTATTGACGTTCTGGTTTTCCTAGGAGAGGAAATGAGAGTCAGTTGTGAGGTCGGTATTGTCAGAGCCAGTCTCGACCTGTTGCCGACTGTGATTCTATCATTGGTTAAGGTGGGAAATGGTGGAAGTGGTGGTAAGAAGTCTCGTGATTCAGAAACAAAAGAGGGGACTGCTATGGACTTGAATATGAGCATCAAGTCGATTTCGGCATCGATTTGCCAGTTGGGTGACGACTGGGAGTTTAAGAACATTGACACAAATCTGCTTTTCTCTCTCTCCGATATTTCTGGATCGTCTGGAGCTTTCCACAAGCTCCAGATTGGTGTTTGTGAGGTGAAGAGGGGCTCTACTCGAGTGTTTGGCTTCGAAAGCGACGAGAAGAACACAGACGATGAGGAACCCACACCACGAGATTCCGATATTCTCCTCAAAGCCTCTTCGGCTTCTTTCACGTTGGTTCTACCCAAGAAGGCTGTTGGCGTGTTTACCATCCCTGATCTCATCGACGTGGTTAGCTTGATTACTTATCTCTTGTCGTTAATTGAGTCCAAGCAGCAGAAGGCGGCAACTATGACTGAACGTAGTGAAAGGGCCGGCGCATCGAAGACTACTGTTCAAACCAACACTTTTGATTTCGACGTCGCCGGACACAAGCTGTACATTTTGCCTATTCGACTATCTAACGGCCAGATGTCACTATCACGTGTTTCGTTCGGCGATGTTCATGTCAAGGGAATTTCGTTTGAGAATTCTATCGTGTCGGTTGACAAGGTGGATTTTGATATTGGTCTGCCGATCGTTGAGGAGCTCCACCAGCTACTTCTACCTATCATCGATGCGATGAACAGTGCAAAGAACCGACCAGTTCCCGCATCAGTACAGACCGCACCCCCCAAGCTGCTTCGGATCGTCGAGGAGCCTGTGAATGCCTCCTCTCTAGTCATCAATGTGGCGAGGGTGAAAGGAAAGGTTGATCTAGGTGGAAAAGTCGGGGTCATTGAGGTAGTTCTAGGTGGGATTTCTGTTACTGGACCTACTGACAGGATTGAGATCTCCACCGTCGAAATCGGAAGAGATTTGAGCGATCTGGGATTATCAAAGAAGTGGCTTCTGCATCCGCTTAAAAGAGTGAGTATCAATGCGTGATGGAGTATTGACATTTTACATATACTAACACAGGAAAGTAATGTTGTGGTGGAGCTCTCCAGCGGTCAGATTCAGCTCATTACGGTGAAGAACTGTGCACTTGAGTTTTACACTGAGCTACTGGAGCTATTTGGAGGTAAAGGTGATGACACCAAGGCAGCTGAGTTGCAAGAGTCATCTTCACCAGACTCGAGTTCACGTGAGTCCTCCTCTGGCTCGGAATCACCTCCTAAAAGAATTCCTTTGCAGATTCACAACTGCGCCGTTGGACTGAATCCTACAAACTCATCTTCCTCAGCCCAGTTCATTGTCAAGCATGTGACATGTGAAATCAAACCATCACCCACTTTCTCCATGACGTCTTTCATTGGATCAGCATCTCTTCTTTTGATTGATGATGCATCACTGGTTACACCTAATCCTACGGATCTGATGTCTTCCTACCTCGAACAGTACACCTCTGTTGCTAGCTTGACTGCTACGTCTATCTCCATTTCTACTTCGCCTGGTAACCCCACCTGCATCAATATCAATGGAGATACAGTCACACTGAGCACTTGCGCAGATTCTACACAGACTCTTATCCATCTGATCAACAGTCTGAAGCCGGCTGTTGAATTGAGCGGTGCCAAGTTCCAGCTGGAGACTCTGGACCCGTTTCTCAACACATTCCAAGACGTGGATGACTGCTTCTTCAAGGCGAAAAACAAAGACGCGTGTGAATCGTCTTGTTCCTCTGATAATGACGACATTGATATGGTGTCAGACGATGTTCCCAACAACATGTCTTTTGTAGAGAGTTATTATGGGGGTGACAAGCCGAGTCAGAGTCGAAAGAGTGGACGTCAAAAGATGGCTGAAAGCTACACTCATGCTGATTTCCTCCTTGATTCCGATCTGGATAGTCTGGTGAAGAGGGAGAGAGTCCGGTTCGAGGAGATCTGCTTTGAAGAGGATTATTTCGATAAAGAGGAGGAAGACATGCCCGTCATGAGCCGTCCTCGTGCATCTTCTCATGATCTAGCTTCTTCAAATGAGCTACTCACACCGCCCACGGTGGTTATCAACATTGACTTGATTCACAACATTGTCTGCAACTTTCATGACGGTTACGACTGGCAGTACACACGAAATGAAATCAATGGAGCTGTCGACGGCCTCAAAAAACGCATGAAGGAGCGTCCAGTGGTAGAAGAGCCACCCGTAATGACCACCGACCTACTCTTCAACTCAATCTACATTCAGGCAAAGGACGAAGACGATCTGGATGATGTTGTCGGGGAACAGACTGAGCCAGCCAAACCGAAGGAGGCCAATAAATCGCGACGTGGACTTCTTTCTCGGTCAAGTAATCCCCTAGTCCAGGTCTGGCTCCAAGGAATTGCATGTCTTCTTACTGTCTATGCTGGTCTTGAAGACCCCGATCTTCCTCCTGGCCAGGTTCTCAACTCTCTGGATGTTAAAATCAAGGACGTGGAAATCATTGACCATGTGCCAACGTCTACGTGGAACAAATTCCTGACGTACATGCGATCACGTGGAGAACGAGAAGCAGGCGCAGTCATGGCTCACATCACCATGCAAAACGTGAAACCTGTTTCTACACTGTCTTCCCAAGAGGTGATTTGTCACGTGACCATTTTGCCTCTCCGGCTCCATGTGGATCAGGACACGCTTGACTTTTTGACCCGGTTCTTCAACTTCAAGGATGTGCGTACCACTGCTCCCCCAGATGAAACGTTCATTCAAAAGTTTGATATTCGTGATGTGCCTGTCAAGCTCGACTACAAACCTAAGAAAGTGGATTATTCGGGTCTCAAGTCCGGCAAATCGACCGAGCTTATGAACTTTTTCATCCTGGACGAGTCGGACATGGTGCTTCGGCGCATCAAGCTGCGTGGTATCACCGGGTTTGCTAATCTTGGCCAGAAGCTGAACGATATCTGGATGCCAGACGTACGACGAACGCAATTACCAGGAGTTCTGGCCGGTGTGGCTCCTGTTCGTCCCCTTGTGAACCTCGGAGGTGGAATCCGCAACCTCATTGTTGTACCTGTTCGAGAGTACAAGAAGGATGGACGGGTGGTTCGTTCACTCAACCAAGGAGCATATGCATTTGCCAAGACGACCACCAACGAGCTGGTACGGTTTGGAGCAAAATTGGCGGTTGGTACGCAGAATTTACTGGAGGGTGTGGTGAGTACAGAACGAGCGGGCGAGTCTCGTGATTTGGACGACTCGGATCTCGAGTCCACAACCAAGTACTACACTTACATGGGCTACTCCGACTCCAACAACAAGCTTATTTCTCTATATGCCAATCAGCCCTTGGGTGTGTATGCTGGTCTTCAGGATGCATACTCTTCGTTCGGCAAGCATATGAATGTGGCCAAGACCGCCATTCACAATCTGAGTGAAGACATATCTGAGGCAGACACGGCCGGAGCAGCCGCCTACGCAGTGGTCAAGGCTGCCCCCGTGGCTTTGATCCGTCCTATAATCGGAACTACGGAGGCAGTTTCCAAGACGCTGTTTGGAGTGGCCAATGAGATGGATCCCAGTGGTCGAGAGCTTGCCCGCGATAAGTATAAGGAGGCAAACTAGTATATAGGAGGAATGCATCGGCTTATTATCTTCCGAGTACAGTACTACTACAATCGTAGTACAGTACAGTGTATTATACACTGCTGACGATCGTTGTTAGGCGTGGCTGATGACGTCAAAACAAGCTTCCCCCACTTCCAATCAGGAATTATTAGTCGATGGACAAGTGTAATTGAGGAGGTTGGAGCGGTGAATACGTTCCAGATTCTTCGTTGATCAAATATTAGGGCCTGTAACTCTAGATTCATACAACAATCATTTCCATCGCTCTACTAAAACACTTTCTAGGGTCGTTAGTATTAATCCATCTATCCCCGCCGACAGCCTTGTCCGGAAACTCAAATGTGCACCAAATCATGCACTCCACATCTTATCTCTTCTGACACATCACCACACGAAATACGACAAGATGATCAACCTGTTCAAAGGCCACCCCAGCGACGACTTATTTCCGGAAAAGGAAGTGTTGGCCGCCGCCGCGTCATTGCTGTCACGTGACCGCCCGGAAGACGACGACGACGAAAACCGACATCCCCTTACCTATGGGCCTGATCAGGGTGCTTTGTACGTCCGGCAGCTGATCGCCAAGTGGGTCACGGAGCGGGAGCTGCTGGAAAAGACTCCGATTGCCGCCAATTGCATTAATCTCACCTGTGGCGCTTCTTTTGGTTTTGCAGATATTCTGCAGTCTTGCACTCTTCCCCAGACTGGTTACACTCGACGGGCATTCATTGTTTCGCCGTGCTACTACCTCATCAATTCGGTTTTCATTGATTGTGGGTTCAAGGGCAAACTGACCGCAATTCGAGAGGATTTCGGACGCCTGGATCTGACCAAACTGGAAGCGGATCTGGAGAAGTACTCTTCCGAGGAGGGCCATGAACACGAAAAGTCACCTCTGGACGTTGTGGGAGACGAATCGCGACCCACCAAGAAGATTTACAAGTTTGTCTTCTACTTTGTGCCCACATTCAGCAACCCCGGAAGTGCAATCATCCCTCTGGAGGACAGAGTCAAGCTGCTGGAACTCGCTCGAAAGTACGACATGCTCATTGTGTCTGACGACGTGTATGACTTTCTGGAGCACTCGATTGAGCGGGAGAATCTGCCTCCCAGAATGGTCACCCTCGATCGTGAGACTGTAACCTCTACCCATGGAAACACAGTCTCCAACCTCAGCTGCAGTAAACTACTGGGCCCTGGTCTGCGTGTTGGGTGGCAGGAGACTGCTACCGGCGCTCTCGCCCTCCAACTGGCCGATTCCGGTGCCTCTAGATCTGGAGGTACCCCTGCTCACCTCAACACCATGATTGTGGGCGAGATGATTAAGCTGGGTCTGTTTGATAAGGTCGTTAACCATCTCAACAAGATTTACAATGCACGAGCTACCGTCTACAAGGAAGCCCTCAAGAAATACCTTCCCGAAGGTACCCATATCGAGGGTGGCGATGGAGGCTACTTCATTTGGGTGACTCTGGACAAAGTGGATGCGCGAAAGATGGTTGAGCTTGCCAAGGAGCGAGGTCTGGTTCTGGCGTCTGGAGACAAATTTGAGGTAAATGGTGATCCCCAGAACTGGGGAAAGACCAGTGTCCGTGTCTCTGTTAGTTATACTGATGCTGATAAGGCTCTGGAGGGAATCAAAATCTGGGGCGGGGTTTGCGATGATCTGATCAAGTGGGACGAGGCCATTGATGTGTGTTAAACGACAATAATGAGATTGATTTGCCAAGATCAAGAGAGATTAGAGCAGTGCAGCTTAGTAGTACGTAGATGTATTCAATAAATATAGACCTATGCTTCTCGTTGCTTACAAGAACTGAAGGAAAAAGTAGTAGTAGAAGAGTATACCCTTCCATACGGATGCCAGTTCAGTCTTGTAGAAGCTGTACAGTGAAGAGTCGTTCCAGGCTGTAACCCCAGATTCACTCTCGACAGGGTATCTGAAGTAGAGGTCAGCTGCGAAATACAGGTAGGCAGCAGCTCGGAAGCCCTCTAGGGTCCAGGCTGGAAGGAAGGTCACGTTCAGATACAGTGCTACGAGCACCGACTCCAGAACCTGTGGGTATAGGAATGCAAACAGGAAGGCGTACTTTGTGGCTTTGATTTGCTGGTCAGCAGGGTAGAGGCGTTTGACAAAGTAGGCCTGGGAGTATTTGATTTGGTTTCCCAGGAAGCCGGTAACTAGATTGAGGGCGCTGATTTGCAGGACCTTTGAGAATTGGTTGGAAGGGTTGAAGTCCAGACACAGAAACTGGACGCCCAGTTGCAGCAACCAACACGCGTAGAAAACGATGGCTGTGAATTTGTGGGGAGCCATGTTGGGCGTCCACATTGGAGGTGTCCAGAAAGGTAGGATTGAAGTCGCCAGAATGAGTACTCCCTCAAGAGTTGCATTGAGTGATGCGCCTTGAGACACGAGAACCACCACTGCAATTGCGATTGATTTCTTCACTTGCAGAAAGATGAAGTTCTGGATCAGCCCAGCTTTGGGTGACGATGGTTGAGGAACTGCGACCACCCCTGGGGCTGAATCTGTTGGTTCCGATGGAATTGCGCTGTATGACATTGCTTAAGGAGGGGACAATTGGTGTCAAGGAGTTACAAAGTTCTGTCGGGGAGGTGGCGAAGATAACAGTTTTTGAGTTTTGATAGTGCCGTGCGTGGAGAAGGGGTGCATGCGCTCTCTTGGCGGGTGAAACTACGCCGAATCAGGCTGAAAAGTAGTATTGATGTAGTTTTATGGTGTTAGAGATCCGCTTGCTATGTGCCATTCATACATATATATTTATGTACCCTGAAGTACCGCAGTGGAATCCTTCAGTAGTATTGGGGTGGTGATAAGGATAACCAGCTTTCTCAGTATCAGCTTTCTCAGTACCAGCTTACTTGAGCTAAAATGGAAAAAAACAGAGAGATTCTCAAAGAGTCCTTCATTTACCTTGTGTCGATGGCTCCAATTGGTACTGATTACCTAGTATTGAATGTTTGAAGGTCTTGATCTATTATGTTTTCATAGTAGGATACATTTTTTCTTGTTTTTCTCTGTTGACTGTGTATAATATATAGATCATCCATCTCAGTAAGTGTTATATTTATCAACAAATCCATGCGTTCTCCCAACTACAGTAAATATAAACAATACTAAATTCATTGCTATACGTTTACATTATTCTTTCACAGCAAAGTTATAATTAAATGAATGTATATGCAGAAAAAAAAAATAATAAATACATTGTTATGCATCAACATTTTATATACATTCGCAGAACACTCGCGATCCGGCTTTTAGTACTTGCAGGCCTTGCAGCCGCACTTTTTGCAAGCACAGGTGTCGGGCATGTTTTGGGACGAGCAGCAGCAGTTGTTGACCAAGTCTCGTTTGTTGAAGTTGGACTCAGAGGAGATGGAGTTGGAGATGAGAGAAGCTCCAAACATGGCAGATGAGAATCCCATTGCATTAATGTTTGTGACAATGGTAGTTGTAACAGTGGTAGTTGTAACAGTGGTAATTGTGACAGTGGTAGTTGTGATATTGGTGGTTGTTGGATATGTTTGAGTGGTATTAATATAATGTTGGCTGCTGTCTATTTATAATCATCCTCTGCTATTATATTTTTGAGCATGCGCACTTTTTGCGATATACTGTAGGGTCAAGTTTAACGTTTTCAGCCCTTCGCGATAATGTCGCTTCTTGCATACAAAGACCGAACCTAAACAATCCTCTCGAATGTTTTAGGTCTGGAAAATTGTCGCTCCGGCGACATTTCTGTGCTATTTTTAATATTTTTTGACAGTAGTAAGTGTTTAAGCTCTCACAGTTGACCAATTGTCTCTGTAAACCAACGTCAATGCGACTTAGATGCCTGTGTTGTTCGGAATCCGTCTAGGTTGGACCCGTCGATGCATGAACTCCGGATTGGCATCTTCTGGAAGTGTGAAGATTGAATAAGGAAAATTATAGTCGAGCCAAGTTCATTCTGATGACTGCTATTACATTTATCTCTAAGTATCGCATAAATCCCGTAACTCAGACAATACCGGCGGTTTCGCTTTTGGAGATGGAATCGCCATATCATCAACACTCTTACTGCACTGCACTGCCCTACGACTGCCCCTTTCCAAGTCGTTCTACAAAGACGTTGTTATTAATGTTTGACTTATCCAAATACCCTCAGATCATTCCAAATCTGAGCTCTTCACGCCACAGCCTCGCCACCTTTGTGTATCGGCACTTTTCGAATCGTCCAGTGCCACTTTCTGCAAGATTCGTGCATTCTACCACGGCTGAATACAACTTTATCGTGGAGATCTGGGAACCAGAGTTTTATGTAATAAGAGCCGAATTCCCCATTCTCTTCCTTCACACATGCACATCAGCTCAATCATCTCTCTGGACCTCTCTCAAACAAAACACACAATCTATACTAAAGGAATTTGCATACACAAGGCTCAGAGCTTCTCTCATCTGTTCCAAGCCCCCAGACCATGAACAAACACAATCGTGTTGACAGCTTGCTGTTGCTCCAAGGGCCGTTGAGAGGCTCACCAGCACCTGCTCTTGCACCAAGTGTGCTTGCGACTCTTGCCAATGCTAAGTTATCTCATATTCTAATGTATCATTGACCATATTCGTTTGATGTCGTAGCACCTTGTAACATGACATCAGAACAGTTATAACCCCTTTCTAGATTTACAAACGGACTTCAGAAAGTTGTAGAGCAACTTCTGAGGACTTGTATTCTTTCAGTGATGAAGAATTTCGCGCTATAATGGGCACGTTTGTCCTTGAAATACCCCATCCTTTTCCCCCCGACATCATCTTTCGGGCGGTTGGTGTAGTGGTAACATATCTGCCTTCCAATTAGTTGCTAGCAGGTGCCAGGGGTTCAATTCCCCTACCGCTCATCATTTTTGCCTTCTCCATCGTTATAGCCCTTGTAATTCTTTTGTTGGTGGTATTCGTTGCAGTCTTCAGCTCCAACGCAGTCTACTTCCAGCACCGTCCTTCATTTACACTGTACGTAAAAGTGTTGTTTGAAGATACTCTTTTTGAAATACAAACTCATTTCCCCTTTGAAACCATCCGTTCAACCCTCAAGTGCGGGCGGTCTGCGTTATAGGGGTCTTCGAAACACACGCAAGGTAAACTGTCTGGAAATCCTGCCATTACACAATTATGTCTCAGAATTCCGCATCGGAACATCGCCAGTTGTTTTCAGCATTGAATCGAGCATGAACCGAGACTGTATGGGAGTACAATATTTGAGACTGAAAGACTATATATCCGCTTGACTACCGGTTGAATTCATACATCCAACCTGTCCTGCACCAAAAATTGCACCCATTCCGACAAGAGCCCGATCAGTACCAGTAGACTGAAACGTCTTGCCATGTGTACACCTTGCTGTCGGCCATCCCACATGGTTCTTGGTCTTGGTCTAGCTCTCTCTTTGGGAGTGACATTTAACCAACGATTTCCAAACCCATCGAGAAGCAGTGCCAGTATGTCTAGGGCCGAAACAGCTCCCATAACCCATTTGGACATGTACCCGTGGTCCAGAGAAAGACCATGGTGACTTTTGAATCCGCCCTTACGATTGTAGCTGTCAATGTTCCACTTCGCGTTCAATGGAAGGAGAATGTCTCCAGTGTATATACCATTAGATAACATGATACAGTACAGTAGCCACAATTGAAGGTCTCCAACATAGAATCGTTTGGAACCTGTTGATCGTCCCAAAGATACTTTCCAATGCACTCAAGTCTCGAGGAAGTCGGCTGTCGCTCAAAACGTTCATGAGAAAGTTGATTATCATGCCCGAGTTCAGACAGTTCTCCACTGTCGTCTCTTGGGCTCTTAAGTTCTGAAAGAATAGACATTCTCCCCAGGACCTGTTGGAGAAGCTTCCCGATGGAAGAAGGACTGCACTTTCTGAGGGTAAAATGCAGCCATCCTCAGTGACTGATTGGTACAACAGTTGAAACGTTTGCACTTCGTCGATGGAGCGATTTTTTTATGATTTTTTTTGCAGTGCAGCTTCTGGATTGGCACTATGAGCACCCCAGATAAGATCCCAGAAAGATTTGGACTCTGAATACTCTTAGTTTTCTTCCAGTGAAAGCTGACATCATTCAAGCTCCTTCAATTCTGTCAACATGATGTCTCATGCCCCTCGACTTACTGTAACGCATAGCAGAACCAACATGGACATGAAAAGGTCGGTTTGTTCGCTGCTTGGTTGGGTGACATAGAAGTACTGTATAGTGTACCGTACATACTGTACTACAAGTAATACTTGTACAGCCCACGGAAAAGAGAGAGAAAAAAAACATTTTTCGCTGTCCAGAAAGCTCAGAGATACCGCTTCTACCCCAGACTCCTTTGTCAACAAAAAACTCAACAAATATAGTTATTTATACTTATAATTTAGCCGCTACTAACTGAACACCAACTATTACTTCAAAGGTTATTCTTTCACAGCAAAGTTATAATTAAATGAATGTATATGCAGAAAAAAAAAAAAAAAAACTTCAAAGAGCGAAGGAAGCTTAAAAAATTGAAGCCATGCTTCCCAGAAATGAGATTGCTATCCAGATATTTCTGTAGTTCATACGGCTTCAAGTTATGGCACTCAAATGACCCATTCATCTCCTTCGTAAACACTAGAAAACTCGCACTCGTTACTTGTACTTGTGTTAAATATATGCTCTAGTCCATTTCTCTATTCCATTTTTCAAACCAATTGTCCCTCTCCATGATTTTGACATCACTTCTGCTTATCATCCACACTGAGACCCTTCAGTGCCTGTCGCAAATCATCAACCTGCTGCAGACCAGTGGAGTTATTGAGTGTGGATGCCTTCTTCTTGTACATCTTTTTGCCAACCACAGAGTAGTTGTCCATAAAGTCGTCCATGATGGACTCAAAGTCGTTTCGCTCCTTCTTCATGTCAAATTCGGGCTGGGGCTCATCCTTGGATTCATCATTGTACTCAGCCTCGACCTTGTCGAACCGGTCGTCCAGGAATGTCAGGCCCTCGTTTCGGAACAGGGCAGAAGAGGTCATGGAGTATCCAGACATGGCGGTTCCGTTCTTGGCAGCCTTCTCTCGCTTTCGACGAGACCGTCGGCTCATGGCGGTGTAGGCAGCTCCGTCGATTTCGCTCTCCACCTCCTCGCCTCGCTTCTTCTTCTGGTCCTTCTTGAACTTGTCAAAGTCCTGCTGCCACGAGTACTGGGGGTCAAACTCGTCTTCCTCCTCCTCTTCGGCCTCAACGTCCAGCTCGGCAGCCAGAGGCTGGGAGACCTCTACCTCCTTTCCAGCTTCTTCCTCCTTGTTACCCTTAGACCGCCCCATGGCTCGGGCCTGCTTGATGGCCTGCTGTCGAAGAGCTTCAATCTCCTCATCGTTGTGTTCCTCCTCAACTGTGTCAAAGGCGCCCTGGATGGTGCCGACATCACTGTAGTCATCGTAGTAGTCCTCATCGTCGTATTGGTCGTCCAGAGCGGCCTCCTCTTCCTCATCGTACTCTCCAGACTGAATCAACTCGCCAAAGACATCATCCTCGGCATCCTCCTCCACGTAAGCCTCGTCCTCCAGAGCCTCCAGGACCTCCCGCAGATCGGGGTCCATCAGCAGCTGTCTGTGAGCATCAGGGATGTCCTGCTGGTCCTGGTAAGTCAGCTTCTTCTTGACCTCAGAAGGAAGGGCCTCAGCGGGCAGCTGAACTCCATTCTTGGCAGCGTAGTCAGCCTTGAGAATCAAATCGGTGCCCTTGCCCCGCCGTCCTCCAGGTCCAGAGTGCTCCTTGTTGTTAGTCTTTCGCTCCAGATAGACGGAGTCAGACATGCCCATGGGTCGCAGATGCTGCATATAGTCGTACTTGGAATCATCGTACTCGATACCGTAGAGAGCGGCCTCTCCCTCGTTTTCTCGTCGGCCCTGTTTGGCAAACTTGTCCAGCTCAGCCTCCAGGTCAGCTCGAGTCAGAGCTCTGTGGGGGTCCTGAGAGTCGTCGTGGAGCTCGGGAACGTCTCCGGCCTCGCTAGCCTGACTGGCAGCCTCAGAAGCGGCTACAGATCGAGCCACAGCCTCTCGCTCCCTTCGTTGCTGGTTGAGATTGTCGACTTTGACAAAGACTCGCTCGGAGGCGTCTTCATCATGATAAAGAGGATCGTCTTGCGCTCGGTACACCAGCGAAAAGGTCTCGGCGTCTTTTTTCTTAACCCACGTTTTTCCCATTGTCGTGTTCTTTTTTCTTCTTGGGTATATATGAAGCTGGATATTGTAATTACTGCCTTATGCACGATACGAAATTTTTATATTTTAGGCTTTTGGGTTTACTGTAGTGGCGAGAGATGGGGACTGTGAGTTCGAATTTCAGAAGGTGTCTTGAATGGAAGCCCGGGGGAAAGATGATGGATCAAGCAACTAAACAGACCATATGGCACAAGCCTATGATTTTTTAATACTCTCAATGACAGGTTTAACCCTGTCTCACCCTCTCCTCTTTTTATATATAAAAGTATTGTTGTATAGATTTTGTAATCCCAACTTTTTGTACTTTCTCCTGTATAATCACTTAGAGTTGTTAAGAATAATGTTGAAATCAGTTGGGAGTTAGTTGATGTTAAAACTCAGTCTCTCTGACCATCACACCGAAACAAGTGATGGTTCAAAGCAACCCCGCCTTTGACACCCCAAAAGACTTCTCATCACTTGTTTATCATTCCACACAGGCATGGCGAAAATAAATCCGAATCCCAGAGCAACAAGACGCGGTGTGGCCGACTACGTGAGACCTGGTACTCGGATCGCTCGTCCTTCTCACCACACGCCAACCATAGAGCGAAATACTAGAGATACCAACCACACTGAGTCAGACGCGACAGTCCCCCAACAATGCATTCGGGTGGAGGTTATTGCAGAGAAACCCTCGACGCGCCCACTGCCGCGAACGTTCGAAACGATGCTGGCGTTCTACGGGATCCTCTTCATGTCCACGTTGGCGTCAGTAGTGACCAGGGACACATACCTGAAAATTGCTTCCTACATGTGCAGCCTGACCAGCACCGAGATGAATACCCGCTACTGGTTCCGAACATTCACCAGGCGCAACAAGCATCTCTTTGACGATACTATGGAAACCCTCAAGAAGTTACCCTCAATGGTCCAGCCAGTTGATATCTATGGGATGGACAGTACGTGGTTTTCGGATGACGGACACGTTGACCTCCACACTGCACCTGTGACGACAAAGATGGAATGGCTGAAAACTTTCCTCAAAGATACCGATAATGGTGGCGTTTTAAGAATGCTTGTGGTGCCATACCATGAAGGGCTGGAGGAGTTTGTTGCCGCGTGCCTGGTCAACTATGTGCTGGTATCTCACGAGAGTACCACATACGTCTTAGGGGACGACACAGATATCCATGACTCAATCTCTGTTGGGGTGCCTGAACCCGAGGTCATTGGAGTCGATGCTGTCGACCCTAACTCGCAAAGACTGGACTCACCCGCTCCGGCAGAAGGAAGTGACAACGCAGATGCCTGTGGCTCCACCGACACAGATACCCGAGATGACTCCAGCAACGATAATAAGCAGCACCCAGGAGATATCCCCGAGACTGCTGATACTGAAGATACTATTACGGAGCCCCCTTCTAGCCAGCTCGTGATAGTGAGCCGAAAGTCTACAGAGGAGGAAGAAGGGGTCACTGTTTGCACGGAATTCTCCGATAAGGCTCTCTCTTACCCCTCTGGAGATGTTCTGAAGCTGCTGGAACACACGCTGGAAGAGAGAACCAAGCTGATTATGAAAGTCATCACCATGGAGAAGGAGCTAAGAGCTGCTCGGGGCGGCTGAAAGTTACGTTGCTAGAGGGAGTCTGTATGGGTGTTTATTTATATATCTTTCAAAAGCGGTTAGTTGCTAGTGTCACTATATATGTTCAAGAAGCGTCAAGTCGTAAGGTATTATATGGAGGAAATGTAGGCGTAGAAAAGTATATAGAAACGAAAATCTTGTTAGTTTGATTTACTGATCCGGGTGGGAACCTTGGTATCGTAATTGTAGTTGGGGTCGATGTTGTGCTGGTACGAGAAGTTGCCCTGGTATTGTGGCATGTTGAGCACGTCTCTTCGGCCAATGTTGAAAGCACACAGACCAATGTAGAAGATATAAGCCAAATGGTTCTGCAGGAAGTTGATTCGTGACCACAGGTTGAAAGTTCCTCGGTGGCACAGGGGGTTCTCTCCTCCCTCGCACACCACCACCTTGTCCAGCTTGGGGTAAACGCTCTCCTCGTCTATGAACACCTCTCCGATAGAGTGGGTGTAATTGAGCCAGTCGGGCACTCCCACGACGATATCGTTCCAGTGAGTCACTCGGTAGAATCGTCGGGCATCATTGACAACCAGACCAGTATCGTTGAACCACAGCTGGTTGATGTAGGCGGCGAACTCAGGGTTTCCAAGTCGAGGCTGTCCAAAGTTGATCATGTAAGGGTCAAATCCCAGCAGTTTGAACTGTGTAGCAAACAGCTGGGCCTGAGCAGCTCCTAGAGAGTGGCCAACAACAAACATCTTGTAGTCGGTGTTATTGCCCAGGAACTTTTCAATCTGGGGTCCGGCATGCTCGATAGTCTCGTTGAAGCCCTTGGCGAATCCGTCATGGATCTGGCAGTTCTCGCACTTGTCCATTTTCTTGGGAACCAGGCTAGGGTCTTCATGCACAACATCCTGTCGCTCTTCCAGGTTGCTGAGACCCTTGTTTTCGGCAGCGTAGTGCTTCAGGATGGCCTGCTTGTGTTCAAAGTCCTCCTTGGTAGGGATCAGATGCGTGGGCAGAGAGGTCAACCAAGGGGCAGTCTGAAATTGAATGTCTGTGATGATATCAGGGATACTGAAAGTTCCTCGAAACACAATGTACTTTTCCTTCTTCTTGTGGTCGTATGCAATGTAGCCGGTAGTGGAGGCTGAGGAGAAGTTACCACCAAACACTGAGTCCAGCTGGAGGTCGGGGAAGTACCGACAGCTTTCTCCGCAGGTGAAGTCCGTTCTGAGAGGCGTGAAGGGGGCATTGATGCAGTACGCGATGTTTGAGAGTCGCGAAAACTTGGCTGTGAAGTCGTACAGATCCTGGGTGGCCTGGATTCGAGTGGAGGATGAAGTGGCATCCACCTGTCCATAGAGCATGGAAGCCAGGTACGAAATCACCTGCCCGAAAGTGAAGTTGAACCCTGCCATTATTTTTGGAGATATGTCTTATCAAACGGGCCCCGACGATCTATATATACCAGCCAATATGCTCTGTAGAGTATACCTACTCCGACACCCCTGCATGATAGCTATTATTCGGAACTGGTGGAGGAGGTGTTAGATGGGCTCTTGGAAAGCTGAAAATTGGAGTATGGCGTTACCGGCGCACGACGAATCGATTGGTGTTATCACCATTTCCCCTGGAGCTCCCTATCACTGGCAACTGTCTGATGTCGTCAATATCACGTTTGAAGAACATCTGGATCGACGTATGATCGGCAGTCCACATAGGTAGTGCGGCGAGTCCAGAGAGTGTGCATTAATTGAAGGTCGCATGCACTGTTCCGGTTCCCGGTGCCCTTACTTGTACAACTGTGGGAAATTTGGTGGCAGGAGACCCGTTGGTGATCATGTTTGTCGCCCAGAGTGTACTACAAATAGTTGTACCCTATGCAAGACAGCAACACGGGAGGACCGCTATCTACAAGCAGATCCGTCCTGTGATTCAGGACCCAAAAGAACGAGTAGACTTCCCGCAAATTGAACCAGAGTACATAGAGACAGGCTTCGTTCTATTTCCCACGCATGTCTGCTGCACCCCACAGTTCCATGAAAATACAATGATGAACAATTCTCCGAATAATACATCGTCGACCTCAGAACTGGATTCCACTACCTTGATGAACCTCCATCTCGAGTAAATTCGACACTAGCAGTTCTCTATAGTTTTTATTATCGTTGCTACAACACTGTATGAGACAGATTGTAGACTGGGCCAACTTATAGGGCAAATTCTCTTTTCCCACAGCACCCAGTTGCGGATCTCGTGGATCTGCAAATCATTTTGTTTTATTGCCGACTTACACTTTTTAGGAAAAAAGTTGTAAACAGAGTGTCGTTATTATATACAGCGACGACAAACTACAGTATAAGTACAGTAGTCCATCGTTTGCAAGCAATATGTCCCATAATGCTGGCCCTTTCACCAAGTCTCAATAGATTCTGGCTCTTCGTCGGTAAAATCCTGTGGTCCAGTTCCTCTAAAAGCAGGTACCAACCCTTGGCCATGCTGTACTCCATGTGATTATTTCACACCAAAGGTTCTAGTTCCCATGTTGTCTGCAGAAGCGAAAACGCCGATCTGTCGATCTTTGACAGGCTACACACAGCGAAGTAGCGGAAGTGAGTGAGACTAGGGCAGGCTTTAGCCTGAAAGCGACGTATTGTAGATACACTACAATAACTAAATCCAATCTCGTGAAAACTGTGTCGGATGAAATGTCTGACACAGATCAAGAGCCTTAAGAAAATGGACAAACTCATAACTTGGAGAGTACAGCATGGTACTATAGAAACTCTTGGACCGCAAGCTGTGACAGCTATATAGTTTATGTAATTAAATCAGTTGAGTAATTTAAGTTGTTGAATCACATGCTTTCAGGTCCAAGTCTGTTTGGAAACGGCCCGTTCAGAGAACATGTACCCGACTTCATCCTTTACAGTTCATGTTGACATCATCGTGAACTCGTGGAGTACTGTACTGTAGTGGTTTACGGCAGTCCATGTCAAGCTGGAATGATGAACATACCATTGTGATCTCCAGTTCCGGCCAAGTACGAATACGAAGTCCAATACTCTCTGTCGCCAACAACCACACAGCTATCTAGAATCGTCTGTATTACTCCTAACCAAAAAGATCGACATAAGGACATTGTCTAACATTGTCGATCTTCCCAGAGTGGTGCCATGAGCAAAGATACAGCGCAAGGGGACCATGCGTCTGCTGTTCCAGATCCATTGGCTTCATTTTGACTTCTGGGGAATGACTTCTGGGGAGGCCGAAAGTAGTTGCAGCATCCACGGATGTCTTAGATTCAGCCCATAAGCACGTCTGACAAGCGCAGGGAACTTCTCAGCGGTACCGAATTGCTTTTTTCAGAGGTGAGGGGAGGACCAGTTGAGTGGAAGAAGAGCATGTGAGAACCTATTGGGAAGTTGCAAAGTCGAAAGAAACCGGAATAGGAAGGTCGACAAGGGACGAACCAGCTGTGAGTCATGAGAGATGAAAGACGTTAGCAGCCTTCACAACTTATCAAACAAGTATGTGCTGTACGGGTATGTACCGCTACTTGTAGGATCCAAAATACGAAAAGCTCTATCAATAGCTGACGCACACGTTTGACCCCGTGTCGCATTCTCCATGGAGAATTGATTTTCCAAGATGCACTCCGTAAGACGAACCTCACAAGATCATCAATCGAATAGAATTCATATCCATCTCAACCTGCCACTATACATTTTTGTTTAACCGCATGGAACTGTTCTCCCACACATCTTCAGATCAATTCCTCTACGGCATATAATCAACGATGCCCGCTCACTATATACAACTCATTACACCTGGTCTAAGCCCGGATGTAACTGGATCGTTTGATCTCTCGGACCACGCTGACCAGCTTCTTTTTTTCATCCTGCTCCTTCTGTAACTCCTGTAAGTGCTCCTCGCGCATGGTGCGAATCTGGTCTCTGAACTTGTGCACCAACATGGTCACCGACTCAGATTCGGAACCCCCAGAAGCCTCCAACCCAGTCACCGCTCGTGAAGTACCAGCCTCTTGCAGTTTGCTTCGCAACTGGTTAATCTGATCTTCCATCTTCTGCCGCTCTGACTCATAATCCACAGTCTGAACAGTCAGGTCCTCAAGCGACTGCACAACAGAGTCCAGTTCCCGACTCAGAGAATCACACTTGTCTCGGTACTCTGAGACCTGTTCTGTGGCGAGCGTCAACTCAGAATTGAGATCCTGAATCTGAGCAGAAGATGCAAATTTGTGTGATCGAAGGGCATCCTGCAGATCAAGCAAGTCACGCGAATCTGACTTGAGCACAGGTGTAGACACCACATCACGTGTCTGACCCATCTCATGAGCTCCAGTAGGCTTGATTTCATGTCCAGCACCGACCTCACGTGACTTGCTCACCTCACCATTACCACCACTTCCTCCTCCCTCCTGTAGATAAGCCAACATGTCGTGGAAATGAGGATACTGCCGCTGGTCAAAAGCTTGGTCACGGGACTCCAGAACTCGGCCTAGCATGTCTGTGTTGTAGTCAATCTGGTCGCGACACTGCTGGGTCAGTTGCTGACAGAGTCCAGAAAGAGCATGCACCTTGGCGGGGAGGTCACGGGACTCAGTCTGCTGCATCACGTGATCGTCACCTAGCTGGCTGATCAGCGTGTCGAGCTGCTTGCCCACCTTTACTGGATCCTCTGCCTGGGCTGCTGCGGCGGCGGCTGGGTTGAGTTGCGAGTAAGCCAGCACAGCTACCGAATGTTGTAGGACTGTCTCCTTGAGAGCTGTGATGCGGTTGTGCAGTTCAATGGCGTCTGTGTTCATTTCGGTGATTTTACGCACACTGATGATGTGTTCGTCAGTGGCCTGTTGGCTGTGTCGTTTGGTTGATTTGAGGAAACTTGATCGTTTACTGCCATCTTCATGCAGACGTGCGAGCGATTTGGCAGCCTCCCCGACCTTCTTTTCGAGCTCAATTTTGTGCAGGAGAGTCTCGTATCGTGACTCGAGCAGCTGTAGCTCCTTCTTCTTTTCGTCCAGCTCATCGTAGGACAGAATGTGGTAGTTCTTTGCGTCAACGATGGCTGCCTGGACTAGGAAGTTGAACGAAACGGGATCTTTTTCGATGTTTATGAAGGGAGACACGGAGATGTGCGTGTCTGACGGGTTGGGTGGTGGCAGGAAGTCGTTTGCATCACTGAAATTATCCGGCGAATAGTTGTAGTTGGACATTGTGATGGTGGTTAGTAAAAGTGGTGAAGATTTAGGGTTGCATGTTGGTGTTTAGGTTGGGTCACGATGCACGGCTGTGACGAAAGCATATGGCCATAGCATGGCATGTTCATGTATAGTACAGTATGTACAGTACTCGGATTGAAAGTGAGAATGTGGCCTTTTATATGGCAGAGCCTGTACTTGTTTGTCTTTATCTGGGCTTTATCAATGACTTTCAGATACGTGTTGAATTAAGGTTAGGATGTTGGCCAGGGGAACACCGAAAATCACGAAATAGTGTGGTCTTTTTATTATGGCCTCTTCTTGTCGTGTACTCAATAAATATTTGACGAAACAGTATTCACTGCTGTACAGTAGTATTATTGTACTGGTACGTACGAGTACGCGTACAGTACAGTACAGTACGTACAGTACATACTGCACTATATATACTTATACTACTTCTCATAGTCCCCAGTTCGAATCCCAAACTCGCCCTCTGCCATCCCAATATGGAACTCTAAAACCCTGATTATGCAGCATTTTACTTGTGTACCTTTTCCTCCCCACTCATCTCAAAGATACCATGAGTCGCTGGATATACACGGCTTCGGGCGTGCTTATAGGAATATCCATTTCTGGAATTCTCTATACCGCTTTTCTGCGACCTGAATCGCAGAAGAAACGATCGAAATCTAACAAGAATACCCCCTCACAGCCCATTGTTGACCCGCCAAAGGCCCGGATAGGACTCCAGGGACTCATTGGAAATACCCCAATGGTCCTAGTGCCGTCGTTGAGTCACGCAACTGGCTGCAAGATATATGCCAAAGTTGAGGCGTGCAACCCGGGAGGTTCAGCCAAGGACAGAGTTGCGTTGGGAATCATTCAGGCTGCCGAAAAATCGGGGGCCATTGCTCCTCACGAGGGTCACGTGATTTACGAGGGAACAAGTGGCTCTACAGGAATTTCTCTCGCCATGCTGTCGAAGGCTATGGGCTACAATTCGCATATTTGTCTTCCAGACGACACTTCAAGTGAGAAGGTGGATCTTCTTACTAACCTGGGAGCCGTTGTTGACAAGGTGCGACCTGCTGGAATCGTTGACAAAAACCATTATGTTAATAGTGCACGTGACAAGGCTGTTGAGTGCGAGACCGGTGCTGTGTTCTCAGACCAGTTCGAAAACGACGCCAACTGGAGAATTCATTACAACACCACGGGACCTGAGATCTTCATCCAGACCGACGGAGAGGTAGATTTGTTTGTGACTGGCTCTGGAACCGGAGGAACCATTTCTGGTGTGGCCAAGTACCTCAAAGAAAAACTGGACGACGTCAGGGTGGTCCTTGCAGACTGCCAGGGGTCTGGGTTGTATCGAAAGATTAAGTATGGAGTTATGTACGACTCCGTGGAAAAGGAGGGCACTCGTCGACGACACCAGGTGGACACTCTTGTGGAGGGTATCGGTATCAATCGAATTACTCACAACCTGTCCCAGGGTCTGGAGTTCATTGATGATGCCATCCGGGTCACTGATGAGGAAGCCGTCAAGATGGCCAAGTATCTGGTTGACAACGACGGTATGTTTGTGGGCTCTTCCACTGCTGTCAATATGGTGGCTGCTTACAAGTGTGCCAAGAGCCTGGGACCCAATCACACCATTGTCACTCTATGGTGTGATGGAGGCCATCGCCATTTGAGTAAGTTCTGGAAGCAGGCCAGAGAGCTTGGGGAGATCAAGTTGGAGGATTTTTAGAGAGACGGCGACATCATGATACTTTCATACAGAAGAGGCATGTCTAGAAATGTATAACATTCACATGGTTCGGTGAGGGCAATAGTTATGGTCGTGAGGATGTCCATGATAAAGAGTAGATGGATTTACTGCTCCGTATGATGTTTTAGTGATGTAATGCAATTATATTACTGTACTTAACATACTGTACAGACTTTAGTTAAGAGCTCTGCTGTATTGTGGTCAGTCTATCATACTGTGCCGTACCGTGTCTATGTATGTATGTACTGTACAGTACAGTATGTATACACATTCAGTTCAGAGGTACGGTAGGGGTAATATATTCACATAACAGAGTGAAGAATTCCCAGCAATGCCTTCATTTATTTCAGCAAACACTTTACAAGTTTGTTGGCCTCCCATGAAGAATTGTTCCGGCGCAAATTGATCAATCAAGAGTTGTCACAAATTAGGTCATAATTGAGTACGTATATCGTGTGTCGGGAACTAAAAAATACGCATAACTTGTATTCTACTCGTAACAGTAGACTCTGTTTCTGAGATGCCATTAGCTAGTCTATCTGATCGGATGCTACACTACAAACTACCAAAGGTCCATTTGCGACATTTATTCAATTACTTGAAGTTCTCCATCACCCTCAATTGGTTGTCTTCTCCTGACCCTTGTTGAAAAAGTCGTTCATGCAATGCCGGTAGTGGTCGTCGAATAGTTCCTTGAGAAAGAAGTTCTTACACCAGGGACATTGGAAGTCTGTTAGGGGAGGTGTTTTTGACATGACTGGTTGTTTAGGGGACAGAAAGGGCTTGAAGCTGGGCGCCTACTCCGTCTTATGTACCCGACCAAGAATGACCTGTTACATCAGCCTCAAGTGGGCCCCATATTTCCACCGCGCATTCATGTCTCACAAGAGTAGCCCATTCCCACCCACGATTTCGAATCATCGTCTCAAGTCGCTTTTGAAGGCTATCACGTACGAACAGTCACGATAATGAACTTCAATCATCTCCTTGAGTATGAATTTCAAACACGAGGGACATTCCACGTAATCTGAAGGAGGTGCCGAGTTCGACATTGTGAAGATTGGTTGTGAAGGTTGAGGAGAGTGCAGAGGAGAAACTGGAGACAGCTGCCGTATACGAGTACTTGTACCCCACGAGCCCCATAATAAGTGGTGTCAACTGATTTAATTCTTTACCCACCTAGGTAACCTATTGAAGAGATGATTTATGTAATGTTTTTGAGGCTTGACATGGTGTTCCTTGTAGAGAAGTAATGCTTACCCAGAAGTACTGTATGTACTATATGTACTGTATGTACTATAGTTACTGTAGGATTCCGTGAAGAATAATGTGTACAGTTCAGTATGTACAGTATTATATTATGTTTATAAACAAGAGCCGTAATACCCTTGTATAGCATCAAAAAAAACTGTGTATTGTCATAGCGCCAAAAACTGTGTATTTACTTGATTACCTATAGGCAATCGAAAATCGACTCATCAAGATGAGTCTCCAATCTTCCAGGAGCAACTTTCAACTTGCTCGTTTATCCGCATGGGTTGTAGAGCCACTTGTATCGTGGACATACAGTAGTTTGTATAGTTGGAGGAGACAAGGACATGATAGGCACAGTAGTAGTTTGGTCTGTAGTTTTGAACAGGTAGTTTGATCTGTACTTGGAACAGTTTGTTGAGATTAGAATGAACATCAACAGGACGTTTATTTTTTGTTGGCCTCTGTCAATACCTTTGGTTAATGTGACTACAACCCCAAAACTGTTCTGTTCTTTGCTGTACTGCGTTACAGTACTTGCAGGCTGACTGGTCAACGGACTAGTCAACGAGGGATGATGAGGATTTCTGCCATAAGTGTGGCTCAGGTACTCTCAAATGCCATGTCATTTCTGCGTCTGAAACCGTCATGAGCTCTTCTACCAGCTCTCCTCCGTGCTATACATTGTCAGTAAAGATCTTCAGCATCCAGATGTGCCTGCGCCCCTCTGGAGGTCTGATACGGCACTCCATTCCATATTCGTTTGTGATGAATCTGAGATCGATATGCACAGTCAGGAAATCAATTTCTTGTATAAATTTATTCGAGAGTAATACAAGCATTTGTATGACCGAGTTCTTGTCCGGCTACTGTGCCAATATGGTTATGAGCCGCCGCATGGTACAATATGTACGATACTCGCTGAGGCTCAAAAATCAAGAGGCATTCCATCATTCAAATACTCCTTCCCATACAAGTACATACTCGTACATGTTCTGCCTTTAGAAGCTCTGCTATTAGCCACAGGATGGTACTGTAGTTATTGTAGCTACGATATTGTATTGTATTCGTACAAAGTACGACGTACTCGTATATACTGTAGCCTGTTAATCAATGGTTAAGTTACAGTAAAGTAGCCAGTCTCTAGCCTGTTGAAAACACTCTTCTCCTTTTCCTCTTGTCGACGCACTTTCTGACATGTTTCCAGAACAGATCCTTGGCGACAAGTACAGAACACACTGGACACTTTGGAAATTCAAGAGTGGGGAACGTGAAGTACATCAAACACAATATGGAGCTGTTGAACATGACCTTGAGAGGACATTATATACCCATAGAATTGCCTCCAGCCAATCGTATACGATGATTTGGGGCACCAATGAGTTGACCAATCGAGTTACTTGAACTTGAAGAATCCGCTTGTATCATACGATATTAGCTGTATAGTAAATACAGCACGTATGATACCACAATTGGTTCAGTACTCCTAGAGCTACCTATTCGCTACCAAACGTCTCTTCCAGGCACCATGAACCTGTTTCTTATGTTTCCTGATAGCAAATTGATGGTGTTTTTAGCAGTCGCAGTGAGTGTAGTATGTACTCTTGACACAGCTGTATGAATGTATCTTTGGACATACTCCATTCTTGAGGGACCCAAACAACACACTTTCCAGAAGTACAATTCTGAATGGGGTCTTTAGAGTCTCATTATCCCATCATTTCAGCAGAAAAAGAAGTCTCGGGTTTAAAGATACAGCATCACGTAGTATCATGCTTGAGAGGCACGATTGCTGTATGTATCGTACTAGTACAAGCCCAATGTGTATGATAACTACAGTGCTGTCTGCACCCGCTGCAACCGAATCAAAACACCCTCCCGGTCACGTCACAGTCTTCTTCACATTCAAAAAGGGCGTCCTTCTGGGCACCTCAGTGTCTTCGTTCAGTAGTTCAAATACCTCGGTCCAATACTCCAAATGCTCCTCGTCGACATCGAGTGACTCGATCTCCGTTCTCACCTCTTCTCCCCCCATAATGTCCCTGAGATACCCGCTGTGATCAAACTTCTTCGGCACTCTCTTTTCTTGTCTGTCCCCTCCAGACTGAGCACGCATCCCTCCAATCCTCAACAGCTCTTCACTTATGTGCTTGCCTGGGGCATCGTCCAAACTCCCGCGTGATGGCTCAGAGAGTCGACGTAGATCTGTGAACACTGTTCTTTGGCTCATGTATCCCTCCTGAAACTCCACTCTTCTTTTGGCCGCCCTTCTGTCTGGCGGATATATCGGCTTACCAGCTTGATCTGGCTGCTTGTCAATAACCACAGACAGCATGGGAACAAACCGGTGCTGTAAGGACGCGCCCTGGGCAATCTTATGGACTGGCTGAGTCACCACGACAATCATACGAGCATCAGAGATGCCCATGTACTTGGAGGGGTCATATTGCACAGGTAAGAACAGAGGAAGTGAGTCCACAAACGATCCAGACACCAAACTGAGGTATGGAGCATTTAAAAATTTAATGACCAAACTGGTCTCTTCCGTCAACTCGGTGTGATACTTGTCTTGAAACTGCTTCGCCACCTCTGGACTAATAGCACAAAGGACGCGCTTTCGACGGTCATCAACACAGCAAATCAGCCAAGAAGAACCGGGAGAGTCACGCGGACGGTTGTAAAACTTGCTGATTAACACGTTTGTGTGTTCAAGCTGAGGAATAGGTGTTGGAAACGGTTTCTTGCTTCGTATCGTCGCGTTGAGGGTAGGTAGAATGGCATTCTCGAGGGTAGTTCCCAAGAGATCCATCTTCACGTGATTTCGTTTATTTGGGTAGGTGAAATCACGTACCAAGATCTCATGTGATTGGGTATGAGAGGTATCAAGGTTGAGTACAGTACCTACTGTACAGTATTTACTCGTACTAAGTGGTGGTGATGTTTTCGGCTGTCTGAAAATGGGTGGATTGGGAAAGGGTAAGATAAGGTTTGTGTTATATTTTAGAGGGTCTGTTTGGGGGGTGGTTATTCTGGAACCATTATTTGATCTGCTACGGGTTTGTCTATTACACTAGGATTGGGTGTATTGTGGCCAAGAAATCCTCAGGTCACTTCCTGCTCTGTTCTGTCATTGTTTATGTGCTAATCATAGTTATAATGTCAATACAACCCATGTTAAGAAAAAATGCCGCTTCATTGCCATAAGGCAGGCTTTTTAGATAGTGAGACTCTGTGCCTCAATTCAGCGGGATCTGAACATGGTAGTGTATTTATCCAGATGCCTGAACTCCGTAGGAGTACCCGACAGAAACAAATTGGTTTGCAAACGTGCCTGTTGATGGTTCCCAACGATTTGAAGATTTTTGAAGTTCTCTTCACCTACAGCTTACCCTTGACTAATTGGACAATTGGTTAACAGTTCTCTTATCAGGACTTCCGCAAGACAGGAGACTTGAGGTTGAACAGCCACGAAGAGCTCTTGTTGCGTCTAATAGGGTACTCCTCAAACGGATCAGTGGCTGGAGAAGGAATGTGGTTGCGCATGAACAAGGCCGGCTTGGGAATGGTGATTTGAGGAGGAAGAACTCGCGGGACGTTGATGTCACGTGAAGTGTCAACCATATCGAATTTCAACTCACGTGACGGCTCAAAGTTGGTTGTTCGGTCACGAGATTTGATCAAAACGTAGACCAAAGCAATCAGACACATGAACAGCCAAATGCCTAGACAAGCTAGAGCAATGTACAGCTCGGTGAACAGCAACTTCTCCACCGTCTTTATGATTCTCGCAATTCCGTCGCTGACGTAATCTGCCTTCTCTGAAGCCTCCTGCTCTATGTCTTGATGGCTCATGAGTTCCTTGTCGATTCGAGGCAATGTCACGTGAGCATTATCGCTGACCCAGCCCATTCCATCGGCAACCTTTTGTAGTTTCAGTGTAACTAGGCATTTTGTGACGCCCTGAACGGCCCCATGGAGCGGAGTGTCTTTGAACACTGAGTCAATGCCATTGTTCATAGTATCAATGAAGGTGGACAGAGTAGTGTTGACTGTGGATGTGGAGTCTACGACCCAACCAAGCAAGTTCTTGTTTATGTGAGTCTCTTGGGAGTTGAGAAACAGGTTTGTGTCGTTCTTCCAAGTCTCAATTTCCCGCACAACTGTCTCAGTAACGTCAGCACCTACCTCTGAAGTGGGCACAGTGAGGCTTTGTAGACCACTCTTAAGGATAGACAAAAGACCGAGCTGTAGGAGAAACGCTAGAATACCAAATAATCCAACCAGAAGAAGAGTCAGCATGTAGGGATACAAAATGTATGCCCAGTACCACTGACTGAGGTTGCGTTGGTACAGTTTCTTTCCCCAGGCGAGTTTCTGTTTGACCATGGTGACGTACTTGTGCTGGGCCTGGAATAGAACAGTGTGGAAAGCGTGTCTCTTCTCCTGTTTCACGTCCACAGTGCTTTGTTCAACCCACAACTCCTCGTGGTACCTCCACAGTCTCCATTCAGACCATGCCACAGGCACTATCATGATTAGTGCTAGAATCAAAAGTAGGGAAATAATTACCTTGAGGCCGGTGTTCAAACCAGAGTTGAGCTTTGCATACACTTCAGGGATGTTTGCGTCTTTGCAGAATTGAGCTGACTTGAGAGCAGGCACCTTGAGCGAGTCAGACACATTCAATGGCGTTGCAAGAGTCTCGTTCATGCTCTTTGAAATGGTCTGGAATGGTTTTCGGATAAGAGACTCGATTTCGTTCTTGACTGTCTCGAAATCAGGCACCTTGTCCTTCACAGAGTCGAGTTTTTCGTTGACAGACGCAGGAATTGAGACATTCTTGAGCCCATCGAGCTGGAGCTTGACGAAATCAATCTGACCAGTGTACTCCTCGGCTTGCTTGCCCGTGATGAGATTTCCCAGGTCCACAAAGGCGTTGGTGGCGGTGTTGAGACCGTCAGCAAGGCCATTGAGACCCTTTTCAATCTCAGGAACAACTGTGCTGATGGTGTCATTGACAAATGAGATTACGTGCTTCGAGGTGTCGACAGCCAGAGAAACAGCACCTTGAACCACAAGTGTGATAAGACAGGTGTAGGTGGAAATGAGCATATTGACGGCGAATATCAACAGCTCCTGAACTCCAGTAATGATCAAAAGAACCATCTTAATCAAACCGGAGACAAACTTCTGGATAGCCGTGGCAATCACGTGATTCATCCCCGTGGCCGTGTAGTGAGGAATGGACATCATTTTGCTGACTGAGCGTTCAAGGGCCGAACAAGACCGTTCGGAGTTGGATTCGGCGCCGTCAAGTTGTCCGGACAACGACATCTTGAACATCCACAGCTTGATGCTCACCAGCAGCAGACCGATAGTCCATTTGTTGAGCCAGGTCTGACTGAGACGGGCCTTGAGAAGTGGTATGGACGAGTGCTCCGTGGGACTGTTTTGCGTGTTCCACCAGAGTTTTATTTGTGAAGCGAGCGACATTGCCATAGTGTGTTTGAGGGTAAATACAGAGTGGTTCCGTGGGGTCGTAGTGTTATATATGACTGCCTCATGGATGGTCGTGGGGCTGTTTCATGTTGGAAAGAAAAGGGTATCAGGTAAAACTGAGAAGTGCTTGGATCAAGAAGCGAAAACTCGGAGTATTGGGTATTTCGACGCTTTTAAAATCATCTGAGATACTTTTGGAGCGATCTGAGCATTTTGTAGGCCCCTAGAGAACACTGATGTAGACAGTGATATCTGCCTCATCGTTTAAGTTGCGTCATGTGAAGTGTGAAGCTGAGGCTGTATACGAAAAACGAGGTCCAACAACACAGCAGCAATACCGTGGGCTGAGAAATCACGTGATCCTTCTTGATAACATCCCCCCCCCCCAAGTTGTCTTATGAAAGCATCCAAGCGAGCGACAGTCGAAATATGAACATTTCTTCTGAGTTGTTTTTTTTTTCTTCTGTCAGTGTCTTGGTTGCTTTAACAACCCTCAAGTACTTTATTCACCCTTCTAGTTGATCTTGAGCTTATTTTCACACACTGAGAAACATATTTCAGTCGATCTAGCCCTATGAAAAAGCGTCAAGTCATTCCTGGGTGCTTCGACTCCAGCAGTATCAATCTGTGATTCGGGTTACTACAGTTAATTAGAGCGAGCAAAAACCGGTCAAACTGATGCCAGGAATACGAACCCAGCAGCGTATATATCTACGGATACTCATACGGTGACTAACTGTCTTGTACGTACAGTACTGTACTATATATATGACCTTCCACCTCTCACTCTCATTCTCCCAGTGAACGTTGGGGTTAGGGTTGCATATTTGGAACATAAAAGCCTGTCTTCTATTAGTGGAGAACAAGAGGGGTCTACAGAAGGGTCAGCAATAGTTCAATCGCATAAGTTTGGACTTTCAGTGCGACAATAATGTTCTAAACACTGAGCCTGTAACTTCATCGCGGTGTTTGCATACAAAAACACCGAGTATAGACCTCCTCCATTTTCACCACTCCACCTCAAATAAAGTTTGATTTTTCGCTCCCAAATTTCACTCTGATTCAAGGCTGAGATTCCACTCTACAACCACACAAGTCTCCACTTTCTTTACAACATGAGCAGCAGAGTGTCTGGAGTTTTGCCCAAGCCGCGATCCATCGTGGTTCCGTACGCGTCTCGGCGAGGCTTTCCTGTGGGCCAGGGCTATGCTGACGAGAAGATGGTGCCCCGGGGCTCTCATCGATTCCCCAAGAAGAAGACCGTTCCCACTGAAGAGCAGCTGATTGCCACTCGAAACCCCCCTCGAACCTCCGCCAAGCATGCCACTCCCCGGTCCGAGATCCACAAGTGGCATTTGAAGATGGCAGATCTGCGTAAGCAGTATTTGGCTGACTCGCTGGTGTCTGCTGAGCGAGCTGACAAGGCCAAGTACCACTACCACAAGCGGTACCTTGCTGCCGCCGAGAAGGTCAAGGAGGATGCTCGAAACGCCGGTCTGACCGAGGCCGAGCTTCTGACTCTGCCCACAATTTCCGGTCTTCTTACCAACTCGCAGCTCAAGCGACAGACTGAGGACGAGTATGAACAGAAGCGTCTGGAGCGGCAGTACAACGACCAGCTGCAACAGCTCAAGGATGAGGAGGAGCGAGCTCGAGTGACCGTCCAGCTGATTGACCAGGCCGACGACTTCATTGTGACCGAGGAGCAGCTGATTGCTGGCGTGGAGAAGGCCTTTGTCAACGGCTCTTCTTCCGGCAGAAACCCTGTGGGCGGCTGGTCCATCACCTCCTTCAAGGAGGACTCCATCATGGGCGTGGGCCGAAACTCGGCCGGCCTCGAGAAACTGGTTTCTCTGGCCAGCGAGTCCGAGGAGTCCAAGCTGACCGAGATTGGAGACGCCATTGCTCTGGAGCTTACCGGCGTCACCAACAACGGCAAGCCCGGTCTGGGCCGAATCGCCGAGATCCTCCGAGGAGACAATGTGCTGGAGCGAGCCGAGAAGCTGCGACTTGATCAGACCAAGGCCGGCAAGGCCCAGATCAAGAAGGACATGGGAGAGGCCGAGGATCTGGCCGAGATCCGACAGGCTCTCAAGGATATGGAATAATGTATATAGCAACCGAGCCCGGCATGAGAATGAGTGACTGGGCAAAACAACTGTCTGAGAGAAGTATCTCGCAGAGCAAAGTGAATAAAATTACTGATATGACAAACGCTAGTGTGGGTGGTGTTCTGGATGTCTTGGTGACGCAGAACACAGTGGGTTTGAGAACATTCTTACTACACTGTGACTATGGACATGTTGATCATACACGACTGCCAGAGGTGAGTCTGTTGACTCTGAACAGAATAGAGACTCTTTCCACATGGCAACGAAGATTTCATCTACATCTGTCGACGGTAATATTAATACAGCAGTATGGACAGACCATGAATAACACTTACATTACTATGCATATCAGTGTCCATTCAGTGATATTCCGGTACTGTACTGTATAGTGTCATCTAGGCAAACTGGTAGACTACGATCACTCTCATATTGTAGTAATAAATCAATCCATTAACATGTCCTGCATGTGAAGATGAATTCCACTCGACTCTGGTTAAGCAATAACACAAGAGGAGGGTTGGAAAGTTCGGTAGCCTCCAACGATGGTCACGTTGGAGTTGACTCGGTAGGAGTCGGTGCCGTAGTCTCGAGGGATAGCCTTGCTCATTGTAGTAGTGTGGTAGTTGTAGTTGTAGTATCTGTTTGATGGAGCTCAACAGCGGGTCCCGGTGGGCCATATATACTGGATTTGGGAGATTAGTAATGACCTGGATGTGATATCAATCCAGGTCAATCAATAAGCAAATCTTTCAAGGCACATTCAATAATGGTCCATCGCATCTCATTGTCACTTCTCGTTTCGGTGGGTTGATATCTGCATGCATGCAGGGGCTTTATTGACCTGTCCTAAAGAGGAAAGACGAAAGAGGACAATTCAATGGGTTTTCATTTCAAAGATCGATCTTGAACCTTTACGTGTGCGCTATTGAGCACTCTGAATGTCCTTTTCGGTTCTGGTTTGTCCTCGTCATCTCATTGTTGAAGCGATTTGATATGCACACCCTGTTCAGGATGCGCATACGAATAATATTCAGTTTTTCGATTCCGATATCCAAACGGGATCACTTGTTAAAAAAGATAATATCAGCCTGGAATTAACGAAAGAAGAAGGGAACAATTGTCCTTAATCACCAGTTCATGGTGGATGGTTGTCCTGCTCTGTTCCGGTACCTGTTCCTGTTCTTGTACCCTTATAAACATAACTGCCCCTTCTACTAAGCCTCCTACGGCCACTACATTTCCATACCTCTATTCATTAACTAAATATCATGTTATCCTCTTGAGGGCGAAATATCCAAATGCAGGGTTATATTGCACTAGCATCCCGTCTCAAGGTCTCGTCTCAAAGCCGCCGTAACAGCAACCGTTGGCTAGCCCACCGTCTACTCTGCTTATTTAAGCGACTGGGCAACAAAGACCTGTGTGGCCTTCAACGCCTCGAATCGCACCTCCGAGTTATCACTGCTCATGAGCTCCATAATCTTCAATTTTGCCCCGTCGTCCTGCAGCACCTGGATAGCATCAGGCAGCAACTTGCACACGTTAGCAACGTCAGAGCAGGCCACAGCCTGAACAGTGGGATCAGTGGCGCTCTTGACAATTCCCGCCAGCATCTTCAGCACCTTCCAGTCGTCGTCTTTGAACTGACCAACGTTTTCCTGCCAGAAAAACTCGGATTTGTGAGCAGGAGTCCAGGACAACTTGCCGCTCTTGATTTCGGCGTAATACCGGTCGAAAGTGGTCATTCGAGCGACCTCTTCGTTGAGCTGTGTGTAGACCACCTCAATGTCTTCAATAAGCTCTTCATCGGTCCATTTTCGGTCGCTAAAGTTTTTGAACACTGCCTGGCCCTGGTTCAGCAGCAGCGAGGCAACCGTGTCCTTGGGGGCGGCCTTAAGCACGTTGACGATGATAGCGACACAAAGCCGCGTGATTTTCTCCTTGACGGAGGTTCGTGCAGCCTGCAGAAGAGTGGGGATGAGTTCGGAGAAAGAGGACACCAGCTGGTGGGCAGCCTTGTTGTCGAAGCTCTCCAGCCAGATGACCAGCAGGGTGTAGTACTGCAGATGCAGACCACCCTTGTCGGCCTTGATGATGTCCAGCAGTTTGGGGACCAGCTCGGAGTTGAACTTCCAGAACAGAGGTCGGTAGGATCTGTTGGACAGCAGTACGGCCAGAGACACGGTGCCCACGTCCTGGACCTGCACAGATGCAGATGAGCCGATCAGAAGACCCACAAACTGCAGGTACTGGGCTGCGTACTTTTCTGTGGTGAGATCGACCGTCTTGGAGTCGGCCAAAAGCACGACGATGGACTTGACAGCCAGCAGTTGAATCTGCTCGTCCTCAGACTCGAGCAGCTTGAGAAGGGGACCAAAAGGCGAATCCGAGTCCAGTTTACTCAGTTCCAACATGGCCTGTGCGAACTCAGGGAGCTCCTGGACCAGGCTAGCAACAAACGACAGAATGTACTTGGCCACATCTTCCCGGGGAATCTTTCGCAGCAGCGACACAAATGAGGTCGCATAGTGGGTTAGGTCCTTCTTGACGGTCTCCTTTCGGGCCTCCGGGCTCTGCTTCTCAATAGTCTTGATCAGAGCAGCCTCGTCGGGGGTCAGCAGGTTGGCCCGCACATAGCCGTCCCAAGGAATGGGTCTGGACCGAATGGCGGTCTGGATTTCGTCGAGATAGCTGCTGTTGAATGCAATTGACTGGGTTAGTGGGGGAAAGACGCCATAGCTGGACCTGGACACTCACCATAATGTGCTGTTATGTCGTTTGAGGATGTCGACGACACTATGATGTTGATAGGTGCAGTGCATGGTAGGAGTAAGATTAGGGTTACTGAGGGAAGTAAGCGGTTGTGGGTTCGACTTTGGGTGGGGACAAATATGGGGAAGACTGTAGAATTGGTTAACTGGCAATGGAGGCAATATAATTCACTGTAATTGGGCATTTAAACTGCTTTTAATTTACTTTTGATTCAGTGCTGTGTCTTTTACAGGGCAATAATAGTGGTGATCTCTTGATAGGGGGGCGGGCTACGTAAGTTACGACGGATATCAAGGGAGTCTCTATTTTGGGCAGATCCTCTCCGATTCTGCTTTTGAGAAATAGAATAGTATGTAGATAGACGAGTATTGCACAAGTACGGTACTCGTCTCTTGTTTCAGCAATGTCTGTGGAGGTCTTGCTCGACAGACTCCTACATATAACCAGTTGAGTCTACACACACCTGCTTACTAACATTGAGAGCACGTTGTGGGAGTGGTTCAGGAAAGGTGCTCAAAATGAGCCATAATTGAGCAAGAACGTTTCTGATGGTTCACGTAATAGAATGAGTATGTTTTTCTCTCTACTATGGCCGGTTTTCCACCTACAATTTCACACTCTTCGATCCACCCAACTTCGGTCGTTCCACCACGCATAAAATTAACTTCACACACGTCACGATATGCATGTCGAGGCTCTCCATCTCGACAAGTTGCAACACTACAACCTCAACACAAACCGCACACAATGGCACCGAAAAAGAGCGTAAAGAAGAACGTGGATGCCACCCTGGAGAAGAAGGATGCGCCCCCGGTCGCTGTTCCTGTTCACGTGACCAAATCCGCCGACAACGATAACACAAACGTCTTTACCAAGGTGCTCAACAACTACACCAAGCAGAGCACCCCCAAGCTCAAGCTGATTGACTCGTTTCTAGCCTTTCTGGTGGTTCTCGGGGTCTTTCAGTTTGTCTTCTGTTTGCTCGTCGGAAATTTCGTGAGTAATATGCGTGACTAGGATCTCAAGGGCGAGAAGATCCATGTGGTAGAAGGACACTTACCAGTAACAAATGTGTGCTGGGGACACGTTAGTGAAGTATTGGGGAGAATCCGAAGTTATGTTTGAAACAGCAGGTGTATAGGGGAGGACTCCGGGTGGAAGTTTTTGTTGCCTCTTCCTAAACTACATCTTATGGATGTGAACAGATCTGATTGATCACTGATGACATCGGCATAGCGGTTTGCGAAGCTGATACATAATATCGTGTTTGACACGTTCTACGACTTGACCTCTTGCATCCATGGTCTTCTCCACTGTCGACTCTTCTGACAGTACCATCACTCTAGCATACCAGATCATTTTCGTGGGAGATCTATGGGATTCTTTAGACACTGAGAAGAGTCTTGCACCATCAATCCCTACATTACATTCTCCTCCATCCAACTATTACTGCTGCCCATTTGACGCCTTCACTTACTGAATACCGTACTAACACAGCCCTTCAATGCCTTTCTTGGTGGCTTTGCCAGCACTGTGGGCCAGTTTGTACTCACTGCCGCTCTGCGAATCCAGACCGCAAAACAGAACGCCAAGGAGTTTCCTGGCGTCAGCAGCGAGCGATCATTCGCCGACTTTCTGCTCGGCTCTCTGGTGCTGCATTTCTGTGTCTACCACTTCATCAACTAGGCCAAAAATGGGATATATTATAGAATAGACTGGACGGAATGGAATCGAACCCTTATGAAAACGAACGAGTGAGTCTTATATGGAGAGTTGTGGCGTATGAATACTGTAGCTATGGCATCACACGCCACGTCGGTACCATACACAACTGTAGAAAGGTGTGTAAACAGATAGATACAATATTGAGATAGGGAAGATATCACACATGCCACGCGGTGCTACCACATTGGCCAAATACATGATGAAATACACAGCGAGGGCAACTAATTCGAGGCATTGTTGCGGTGTGGATCGTTGCGGAGACCAAGACGTTTCTAGAGTCATGTCAAAAAGACAAAGACGTAGATGCGAATTACCAAGATGTAATTCAACATTTGAAGCGAGTGGGATACTTTCCTGTAAGCAATTAAGACGCTAGGAGGTGTTGTTGAAGAAGCAGAAGGTACTCCATGGTGGAACCAGCCATGCCCTAGCCACGCTGAGGGTACCCTCTCTCAAACAGAAACGGGTAAGAAGCAGGTATATCTCTTTTATGTTTAAAACGTGGTGTACAAGTACAGTACAGTACTAGAATATGTACCAGTTTGTAGACTTTTGTTGATGGCTTCTGTGTCGCTTTTGGCCATGGGACAAGTGATGAATCAGAACTCACTGCCGACAACAGCCGACATGCCAACCGTCTTCGTTTTATGGCTTTGCAGGATTTGCTGTGGCTCATTGCTGCACCATATTTGGCCTGTTTCTCTATCGACAATCAAGTATCGACCCCCCTGAATGGGTGGATACATCTGTTGATGATCAATAGGAGAACCATTGGTATCAGGTTTGTGATCCATGTGGTCTGGGCGGTCGTGTGAACGAGTAATATCAACGAGACCACGTGGCTGCACAGGGCGCGGGTGATACTGGTATCTGCAACTGGGAATCTGTCGAGCTGGGCTCCCTTTCGAGAACTGGTGTCTCTCCTGACTGGGATATCGAGGAGGAGGATCTTCGTAGAGATATCTCAAGGGGTGCCCGATGGGGTATGGGTTCATTGGTTTCTCCGTAGGAGAAGATCCAGGGTCATCAGATCTGTTCATTTGGTGCTGCTGGGACGGAAGGAGTTGTAGAAGACAGGCTGGGCATGGGCTTTCGCCAGTTAAAATATTAACACAGGGGCTTTGTTGCAAGTCCCAACAACGTTAAAGAGGGCCTAATTTGTTTGAACCCCAAGTAATACTTGTCCCAATCCCGTAGTAAAATCTAGATATACTCAACTAAACCCACTCAAATACTACAACATCAGGTTGACACACTTGAAAGGTAAACAAAATGAGTACCTGCCAAAAAAAAGCCATGAGAGAGATACACACACACACAGGCAAAAACAATGGCGGGCGCCTGGGTATCCAAAAAAGACGACCGCGGAGAGGGTCGAACTCTCGATCTTACGATTTCAGAACCCGAATGTTTCTAACAGTCGTACGCCTTAACCAACTTGGCCACGCAGTCTCAGATGTTTGCTAGGGCAGCCTTTGTTAGTTTTGAGAATGAAAATGTGATTTTGAAAATTTTTCCAGCAATGAAATTACTTATTCGACCTTATCAGACCGCCTTAAGTACTTGTGGAGCCAGATTTTTCAGTCCTTTGGCATTGTTTTGGGAGCTCTATCGCCAATCGCAAGAGGAAACCTCTGGCATCTGGATACACCCTTCTTTGAATAGTATGAACACTGTATGACTGACAACTACAGTTCAAAAATGAGTAGTTCTGAGGATTACAAGAACTTTGACAAACCACTGGTTGGATGTAGTAGGCTTACTTACCTGCTCTTGTTCAACCGACTCTACGGTGGTGACTGCACTTTCCTCCATGTAAAAAAATGGAAAAAAATAGTAAAAAAAACGCCTAGAAGACACCATGGAAATCTTTAGGGAGCTTGGAAAAATAAAGTGGAGACAATGTTAACAAATGGGCGTTCTCTATCATCCTTTCGATGCCATTGATGCATCACTCGTGACTTTTCACAATGGCAATACCTCCAAGAAGAGTCGAGGATCTTGGAAGTATCTCAGGGTTGAAATTGTTGGTTAGAAAGTGAAATATATATCTTCCACTATCAAAAGATTACAATACTGGTTGTTATGCTAGCAGTTGTGTGTTAATCCTTAGAGGTATGTTAGGTCCGATATATGTGTATTGATACGTGAAAGCAACGAGAGTGTAGACACTTCAAGTTCATTACTTACGCACCCAGAAGGGACTTTGTGGTCAAAATAATCGGCATGAAAGCGTTTCCTTCCCGCTTTTATACTCATTCACAAGCCCAAACGACACCCAGGATCCGCAATAGTTTAGTGGCTAGAATTTCCGCCTGTCAGAACATCAGTTCAGCTCGCGGGGGACCGGAGTTCAATTCTCCGTTGCGGAGGATTCTTTTTGGAATCCATACCCCATCATCTTCCTGTGCTGGTTCTGGCCGTTTTGATACACATGTCGGTGGTATGATTTGGATAACCAGATTATGAGTACAGTATGTGGAATGTTGAGTAGAAAGAAAATATCACAAGTGGAGACATCATAGGGAACCAGACCGTCTAACCTACACTACGGTATGACACGACACAGTAGGCGCCGTATACCTATTGCGAAACGCTGTCCGGTGGAGTACGACTTCTTCCATACAAACGAGATGTTAGAAGCTTTCATGACAACGGTGGGAATTGACGATCTTGTAGCATTCATAAGACTACAAATACGCAGACTGTCGAAATATTCAGTCTCAATTGTATCAATTTGACAAACTGGAGCGTATCAGAGAGTGCAAAGTCAGCGGATCTGTAACTTGATTCAGTTTTTTATCAAGTAAATTGGAGATGTCTGACAACATTCCAAGTTCGTCAGTTATAATTATGAATATTCTGAATACGTCTAATCCTCAATTCAGTACGTGATCAACGAGGTTCAACAGTACGAGTACTGTACATATTGTTGACTGTACTTGTGCGAAACTAAGCACAACTATGGGTACAGTACTGTACGTGGACTCGTGAGAAGAGCCAGTGCTAGTTCTTGTTGCAATAGAATATATAGTGGCATCTTCAGTTGTTCGATCACGGTTGAGGTATACTGCACATTATATGAGCAGGCTACGGAGATTATGGCGAGCACTGGCCAACATGCTCACACTTCTGACACTCTCGTGGAAGACCATACCTTCAGATGCCCAGAAGACACACAAGAGCAATAAGTACCTGCTTCAATGGTAAGTTGACCTACAAGTGTATCTTCAACATCTTTTATTGAAAGTGTGGGCAACTTCTGCTAAGAACATATCTCACACAACTCTCCGTTCATAGAACGTGTACATCCGTCCAGAGTTCCTATTTTTTGTACTTCTGACTTCGGAGACACTAAACATCTCTCGAAACTACGACCGGCAAAAGCTTTTCACCGACCTCCGTTCTCGTTTTTTGTCGTCGAGGAACGATGTCTTGGGTTACGAGAAGGTTGGGTGGAGTATTGCAGTACAGGCCTTGGCGAGCGATGAGCACAAGAATACTGTACTTGGCACAGAGTTTTCATATTTATCAATCTATGTGAAAGGGAGGCTCTATTTCTGCCTGTACAACGTACTCTGTGGTAGTAGAGCTAGATTGAACAGGAGTATATCGCGTGAGAGTACTGTACAGTACCGGAACTTGTACATCCCGGTCCTCTTCTCACTTACTGCTCTCCAACAAGTCCCCCAAGACTTTCTGAACGAGCCTCCCGACTCTCAGTACTCATTACAAGTACTCATCGCAGTAATACCCCATTGCATCCACGAGACCGCCTCGGCCGGAACACTCTACCAGTATACTGAAATCAATCCTCACTATACAGCACATCGAAGTCAACTCCATCATTCTACATGGTGTGTGTCGACGACGATGATCTACCCGAAAAATGTCGCAGCCGTTTTGAAAAAAAGCAATTCTTCCCTAACACAAGACACCCTGATTATAGGGACAAAAGAAGAGACATGAGAAAACAAACAATTCTGACGTAAGACCAGACCCCAAATGATCACAACATCAGTTTTCTCTTTATGCTAAGTCAGTTCTAATGGTATGGGGATGTTTGGAAGGATTTGTCATTTGAGTTTCGGTTGAGATTATTTACGACAGCAGGATGTTATCGTGAAATGAGAAGTAATAGTGCAATCCGTACATGGACTTCATAGATATGCTGCCCACCCTTTGGAGATGGCAATGGTACAAAAATCATCTCTCTCATGTCCCTATATCTCATTTTATACTGCGCCTCAGCAACATGTTTTTATGCACCAGCTAGGTTTGTCGATCAGGAGCAAGAGTTGATCTAAGAAGATCCCAAGCCGATCCAAGCTGCTGATCCACGTCGATCTCAAGATGTGGTTGGTAGATCAGATTTGAAGATCTCCGGTATGACGAAGGTCACGAGCCTTGAACTAGTCTGAAAGTGAACGTGAGTGTGAGTAAAGATAGGATAGTGATACAGCACGTGTCACTGGCCTCATATGACATAGACGGAGGCTCTTCTACATGCTTGCTCTTCGTATTCACTCGCGTAAGGCTCCTCAAACCTAGTCTCTGTTGATGGATGCTCGAGGCTTAGCTGGACTGATTGAAAAAAGTGGATTTTGGAGCCATTTGGATAGAAATTGGCGGAAATCGAAGATATTACTAACATAGAACGATGCTGGACATCTTAAAGAGGAATCGTAACCCCCGAACACCCTCCATCGCTGATTCCAACAACTGCATTTACACCTTGCTCCAGACATCTATGGCTGCTGCTTGGCTGCTTAAGCTAGAGCTAGATGTCGATTAACTCCCCAGTAGCGATTGGCAGGTTCTAGTTGACGACAGAAAAACGCGGAAGTCGAGGGAGGGTTCCAGAAGCGAGCTTGCAAAAGATTTAAACAATAACAAAGGACCATTGGTGGCTTCTGGACGTCAGGGGTGTCATTTTGACATGTGTTCTGAGCTTCTGGAACGCTAGAAAAAGAACCACCGAATCAGTGCCCTCTCTATCATCATTGGTGTGACAGATGGGTTTTGTACACAGATTTATGATTCTCGGTGAATAAGAGGAGATATCGTTGGTACGCGCAGGGAAATTGGGGAAATTGGGGAATTCGTCGAAAGAGATACACGTACATACTATAGACGGGAGAACAAGTAGCACAGCTGAAAGAAGCATTTTGACAGATCCAAGACAGCCGAGTTGAGACGAAAATATTAGAAATCGCAAGAGCTCTTATACTGAATGCTCACTTTGTTAAATGATTCAAGTGATGCGCCTCATCATACAGTCTACATGAGACAAATGTACCGCTGCTTAGACGTGGAAATGAGTCTTCAACACATCGAGACAAGAGCCAGCCGATGACCGTGGTACGTCACGTGACAGGAATTGTGAAGCATGACTGTCACGTGAGGGGAAACTGCGTTGATATCTATCATCTTAAGAATCTATAAGAGAAGTACTTGGGTTTCTGTTCCTTGGTTCCTAGATACCCTGGTCGAAACTAAAAAGGTTAACCTGTGGTGATTATGGATGTTGGTTGATTCATTCTGGAGGATAGGCTTAGTTGATGAGATGTTCATGAAGATAAGTAGATTAGCAGGATCTAGTGGATCATATTGGTGTAACTTTTGTTTCATTTGGGTGTCTGTGGCTGATTTCAGCTGCTGGGACAACAATGACTTGTAAGTTTTTGGGGTATCTTTTTGGAAGAAATAAGCCGAATATAGTTCGACTTCAGTTGGGACATTGGTTAAAGGGTATTATTTATGACGTAAAACAGTTAGGATTAGTTGAGATGGTTAAGTAAATGTCCATCTCGATATATGGAAGCGCTTTAGGTCAAACACTTCTCTGAAATGTTTCTGAAATAATTCATGTCAACTCCAGACATCTTGACTGTTGCTCACCCCCTTCCCGAGTCCCTTACTTCTGTTCCGCATTGCAGGCTGCTCCATTGCCTGAGAGACGCATCGACAAGGGTGTGGAGCTAATGTCGTGTTGACTATTGTTTCGCGGACTTGTTGGAGTCGTATCTAGGAGATAGAATGGAGCGTGTCGGTGTTAATAGCGCTATTACATGTGGTTCTTTGATGTCTGTGAAGGATGCGGTATACGAGTACATTCTGTGAGGGTTATTCTGAACGGTTGAATAACATAAACATGTTTCAGAGACGTGGCGATCTCTGGGGAGACTTGTTCGAGTGAGCTGCGAAGCGATCAGGGAAGACGATCAGTTCAACTTGCAGACAAAGAGATAGTTTCTGTTCGTAGTTGGTACGAAATACCAAAAATGTGAACTAGAAGGAGCGTTAGTGATACGTACTCGTGCTCACTCATACGGACGTTGTTACCGAGAGACCAGTTACAGACAAGTCCGCGAATCAGGGCTTCCTGTTCGCACGAGAAGCCATCTCACAATAGAAAGTATGGGTGTTTCAACCGCCTCGTTTGAGTGGGACAGGGAGGTTCAATGCTGCTTGTAGTGAGCAGAATGAGAGATACGCGTAGTTGTACATCCATATAATAGTAGTAGCGGGGGTCTGGTGACTTGATAGTAGCTATAAAAAGGCCACAAACAATCTATTATACTTGAAAACAGTCTCGAATTCCCCATGCAACATAAACATGTTGAAGGGTAAGGTCACACTGTGTCACCAACAGGTATAGTTATAGGGGTGGGTTGTAGGGAAGTTAAAGAGTGGGGTAAAGAAGTGGAAGAGATAAGGAGATATATGAGAAGATGTATGGTCATGTGATCAAGTCACTGTACGGTTCGATTGCGGCTTACTTAGTCGAAAGTTGCATGGTGGGTGATCGAGACGATCAAGATACTCTTTTGGCCTGTCTCTTTCGGAGTTTGAGACAAGAACCACATCTCCAGAATCTCCACATCAACGGCTTTCAATCGGTAGATCGTACTAATCACTTCTCACTTTTCAACTTCTTCACTTTTCAACAACAAATCCAAAGGTTCCCCTAGTCTTCACTCTGCTTAAACAAAGCAGCAGACTCGTACCGTTGTCGTAAGTGGCAATATATCAAACCACTAGTGATCATATACTATCGCATAATTCATTACACCTAACTTTCAATAACTTAATGGGTCCCCGACCCAGTTCGGGATTACCAACCCAGCATCCTCTTCGTTTTTCCCTCCGAGCACATAGCTCTCCGAATACTTTCATGGTTGCTTGCCGTGGTTTAACAAATAACACAGCACGCCTTCTTTTCTTTCTTTTCTCCGTCATCCCCCTCTTCGAGCTTCTCTCGCACACTTCGGCCCTTAACACTGCCCATACTGCTACCCATGCTCATGTGCATGGTCGAGCTGCTGCTGCCCTGTCGGTGTCGCTCAATCTGGTGCCGTCGAATCTCCCGCACAAGATCGCAAAAGGGCTCGTCGACATTGACTCTGTACCGCGCCGAAGTCTCGAAGAAAGGCACGTTCCACTCTCGAGCCAGACGCTGACCCTCGACTGTAGAAACCTGTCTGTCAGCAGAAAGATCACACTTGTTGCTGACCAGAACCACAGGTGCACGCGCCACGTCCTTGACTCGCAGGATCTGGTTGTAAAACAGCTGGGCCTCTTCGAATGAGTCCCGTGAAGTGATTGAGTAAACCAGCAGGAAGCCATCGCCGTTGCGCATGTACTGTTCTCTCATGGCGGAGTACTCCTCTTGTCCAGCTGTGTCCAGGACATCGAGGGTTGTGAGGTTGGTGTCGATGATGATTTCTTTTCGGTACGAGTCTGGGTTAGTACGAACTGAATGAGATATGGAACGAGGCCCACTGAACACCGAGGAGAGAAGTACTAAGGGATGTCATGTGATATTGGTCTGATGCGTGGCTGAGTGTGATTGAGTGAGTTCTAATATCTCATGAAGTATTACAAGATTGATTCTGGTGCTGGATAATTGATCGTGTCTCGGTCGCATTAGGTCGATAGAAATCAGAACAAGAGTACGTTGTAATGATAGACAGAACAAGAGCAAAGGAGTTGTCGTTGTAGTACTTGGAGTCCAAGCCGGGGGATATATCTGGTGAATGGCATATTTTTGGGCGAGTTTGGTTGTTGGAGAAAGGTTGTACCACAGGTCGCAATGTACTTGTAGTGACCTTGTTGGATCGACACAATTTCAGTCGTTGCCACATCCATATTGATCGATCAACATTTCACGAGATCACTTGGTGTTTCAACGGTCTGCTAGCATCAAAGGTCTAACAGGTCTATCAGCTAGGACCAGAAAGAAGGATAGTTCGCGGTAGCGTAGATACTGAAGAATCAATCAGGTTCTCTTGGACTGACTAATCACGTCAGATCTCACAATCTAACACGCGCACACCACATCACATGCACAGACCTGTCCCCGTAGTTGCATCCGATAGACAATTTGACAGAACTGATAACCCCAAAGTCGAGTTATTCAAACAACAAGTCCCTTATCGAGTCACCCAAACAACAATGCCCTCATCTCAAAAACCTCCCCATGTATCACCAAACGGTTCGTTCTGGTTCATTCCTGTCCTTTGGCCAGTTACCACATCTACCTGCCGTACTGTACTGTACTCACCCTCAATAGTTGGATCGTATTCGTCAACGAAATGGCTCTGAACAAACTGGAGAGTGATTGCGCTCTTTCCGACGCCTCCGCCGCCAACCACCACCACTTTGTATTCTCGCTGTGAAATGTTCATCTTGTCGTTAGTGTCGTCTTTGAAATTTCATTCTAGGTGGTTATTTGCATGTATTTGTGTAATTGAAGTGGAGCCAATAAGGTTAAGATATTGAGTTTACCAAGCAGAATCTGCACAAACCACTTTGTGTTTTTTCGGTTAGCCAGGACAAGGAGAGCTTATTTAGACTCATTCACTTTTTTAAGCTTCGGAATAGGGGTAAATTGGGTGGAGGTGGAGAAACCGGTTTGTGGGTGAAGGGCGAGCAAAAAGCCGTGCTGGTCACGTGCAGAGTAAACAGACCATGTGGTCGGCTCGTAATATCGCGAAATCCGCGACTCTTTAGACGCGTTCGGCGGCATTGGGCGCAAAGCGCCGCCCCTTGGTGTGCCGTATATTTTTCCACAGACCAGATAGCGTCTTTGGAACAAGTCTGATCGACTCGCAACGGCTGGGAGAACGCCGCGGGTCTTTTGTTTTTTCAGAAAGAGGTCCAAAAGGACCAGTTGGACCGAATCAGAAAGTTGTGCCGGTAGGGTCCCAGTTTGGAGGTTAATTGGGGAGATGACATGTAGGTCACGTGGTTTGCATGGATCGGGACGTCTCAGATCAATTACGGGAGTATCCAGAGCTGCACGTGTCCTGTATAGGGTCTTCACGGATGTGTCAAGTAAGCATCTGCAAAAATTTTAGAGAAAGGTTATTTCAGAATACGATGTTTACTTGAGTTTACTTGGACTGTAAACTAGTCGATGGGGGAGGACCGCATCTCCATGATTGGCAGGAAAAGGTGCTCAGAACATGGAATATGATCCCTGCAGTTTTTTGATCGTACACGCTGGAGGAAAGGCAATGTAGAGAATCAGTTGAGGGGAAACCTGGGGGAATACGGCCGCCATAATAACAACTTCTTTTGTGCGGTGAGATTGTATTGGGGTCTGCATTGGTCCACTTTGGGGAGATGAGCTGTGTGGGGTAGATAAGAGCTGTAATTGGTGGCTGGAATGATGAGGTGGTTATGACGTGTATTTCGGGGAATTGTCGTGTTAATCAAATCAAAATGGTGCCATATTGGTGTTTTGTTCGCCTACAGTACAAGTACTGTCTTCATCTTGCTATATCGTACGAGTCAGATATTACTGACAAACGTACTTGTACTTGTTACTACAAATATTCGATAAATAGCAGATCATAACCTAAGAAATGTCGTTAATTAAGAGGATACATAACCCACAACCACACGTGTAACCACCTTCATCAATTACACCACAGACGTAGGCACCCCTACGTGCAGTATAGTACAGTACCTCGGCTATCTGACTCGCTCCAAGAGAGACAGACTTTGGACTTGACAAGACAGAGATTCAGGTGGTAGACAGTTGATGGCTAGTCAAAGGAACGGGGAAAAATTCATTTAAAAAGCCGTTGAATTGGCAGACTATTTATGGGGTCCATTTCTCAGATACATTTCCCCAACACTTGCAACCAACTCTATACATCGTTGACTGTATTGTTAGAAACGGATAATCCTTTAGTTGGTGGGAGGGACAACCAAAGGGGAGGGGGACAGGCAGTGAGAAATTACCCAGGTCTGTTGGAGAATTTCGAGTACAAGAGCTTGTATTATATTGTTGTAAGAAAAAAATTGGAAACATGATACAAGAACCTGTACAAGTAAGTCTGCTCCATCTCTTTGGGTTTCATATGTCTGCTACATCAAGACCACAGGGCCAGGGGTGCCTCGACAGTTACATCCATACCAAGGCATGAAGAGGTCCAGAGAATGCTACAAGTAGCCGAGATTTGAGAATACATAAACCGGCTTGAACTTACACCTACATGACTTCAAACAACTCCCTGCATCTCTTTCACCTCTCTTACGTCATCTCATACATCTCCAGAGCACTCTCACATTCCTCGCGAATGGCCTGATTTTGTTATACCATCTCTGAGGCTTGATCGGTCCAGATCTAACACGATCAGATTGAGAAACTGCTGGAAACGGACAACATTCCCCGCTAATTCCATTATATATCAACTTCATTATCAGGTAGGTGCTGACAGGTGATAATACGGCCTTTAACACACCAGAGTTGCAAGTTGGACAGAGCACCCCACAAGTACATACTGTACCGTATGTACTGTAGACACAGATGTGATGTTACAATCAGAGACATGGCCAGATCGAGAAACAGACTACCCACTTAGACCGTCCGCAGCTCGAGTAGTACATATCGTCCTTCCCCATACGGACACTTTTCACAACCCTATAAGGGGAACCATTTATTTTGCAGGAAAAGTAAACCCGTCCAGAATTGGCCAAAATTTACCCACAAAAAAGAAACTACTTATGACAAGTTGTTACAAGTACAGACTTCCAGCCACGTTGAAATCCATTGTGTACTTTTGACTGTCATTCCCCACTACGGGTCACACCACATTACGAAGCTCAAACTGACATTTTCGCTCGCTGTCAGACGTCAATCTAGTCCAGGTTTGGTCAGGCCGCGAGGTGAAACTCGCTCAAATACGCGCAATATTTGTGGGGACAGTTATTAGCTGCCGACGCTATAATATGGCGTTTTTGCATCCGATAGTGTCCCTTATGGCTAGATATATCGAGTGTAGTGTTGTCCATTCTGTTATTATTATAGTTAGTTAAGATTGGCATTTTCTTATCAAAACAAAGACACAATGGGGGGAGCTAATTGAAGACAGTTAAGACCATAAGTAAAGCATTAATTAGAAATCAAGGAAGTGGGATTCTCACTACCACCCTTCAAAACAGGTCAATTGTCACGGTGAGAAGAGCTTTCAGTTATCCCCTCCTATGTTACTATCCAACATGTACTGACCTTTCAGTATAGTATACATCTATCAAGCTAAAAGTTGCACTAAAATGCCATACAAACAGGCTCCCCCCTGACCCCCTTGAATATTGATGCGGGCCTATTCTTGGCAAAAACAAGTCCCGCAAAACTAGTCACGTGAAACATTGAGATGTTTGTGAGTGAAAAGAGCGTATTTACCGTGTCAGCGACTTGTCATCTTTGGAGCCATCAGAACAATGGGTCCTGTCGCTTATAAAAGTGGTTAGTGTGTCTGTAGGTACAGTACAGTGATTGCTTCATATCTGCATACCACCACATTGAAGCCGTTCCAGCTGTCTTAAGTAGGTTTCTGAACTTACAGATTCTCGGAGCTAAGCGGGGTTAAAGAGAAGGAGTCCCATCGTTTCTGAAAGTGCTTACAGGATCTGATAGAGAATTTGGATACAAAATATGTCGAGTACATAACATAACCCAGCTGTCATTAACCTGCTGCTTGAGTGATGTTTCTTCTTCCCAGCTTATATAATGGCTCCTTTACCATCATTCTGCAGAGGGCATACAGACAGGGAGTACGAGCTGTCTTCTAAACACCAATTGTAGATACACGGACTTATTGCCAGGCTTAGGGAGAAGCCGGCGATGTTATTGTTGTGGCATTATTGATTGGTATGCCGAAAAGTGGCACGACTAATCGACCACAGAGGGAAATACAGAACGAGTGCACTGTAGGACTGTACTTGTATCCCCTGTGTTTATAAGCACGGCAAATTCTCTCTCACTATCAGTATGAACAGAAGTCGCCGTATACGATCAGATGGTTCCAGAGTTATTATACTTATAGTTGATGTTCAAGAACTACTTGGTAATCTTTAACCACCAGTTTGAGGTCTATGTTCATTGTTCTGTACTAGATACAGCAAGTAGAAGTCATCTTATCCATGTGTATACTAACATGTGAATTTGTTTCAAGTATCTAGACTGACAGATTCGTTATCTCCTGATACTTCTAATATATCTCGACCATGGAGACACTGTTCATCATTCGTAGCTCACGTAAATGGATACCAGAACACCGCAACCACTCCAAATCATCCGCAAGCATTTAATACTCCGTGTAATTACCCTTTCAACGAGTTTCACCTCTCGTTCATCTCCGTTACTCCGTCGTTTCCGTTAATTGGTAATACGGTTTGGAAAACGGTGATCCTGCCTTAACAAGTGTGTTTCGCCGGGCAGTGCACATGACCACTTGAGGGCTGGATAAGGGCATTACGGAAATTCAATTGCAGACTAAAGCGCATGGCCGGACGAAATAAAATGTCGGAGTGGAATAGTTGCGGTGTTTCCGGGTGGAGGACGTGCGTCAAGATGAGTTTAGCTGTAAGGTAGGGTCGTGTTGATGCACCGGAGAAATACCAGGTAAAGAAGTTCTACATTGCGAATGATAATTGCATCATTTGAATCAGCTAGCCCTTTTGGTCACGAAGATACCGTTTTTTTTTGTTTCTGTAACTTCCACAAACACCGCGGCCCTCGTTCCCAGAACACGACAAAGTTCAACGGCGGCGGAAAATGTTCCTGATCGGCGTTAAAGATCCGGCTGGAGTGGTGGAAGAGGATGTGGCATTCGCTTCTTGCCTCTTGTTTGATCAATCTGACCATTGACTGTAGTATGTTAGTACCCCGTTTAACTCCCACTATCATCACGCGATGGATTGCTCTCTTGTTTGATCGTCGGTCTGTTACGGGTTATGGCCGATCGTTCAACGGCGGAGTAAGCATGTTGGATGTTGGCTTTGGGTAGGATTTTATTTTCTTTTTCCGAATGAATAATCGCGTCGGGTTAGCCGCGTATGTTCCAGCACGTGTAAATTGATCCTTGCACTGGTGTTTGTTTATCCGTCCATGGAAGGGTTACTACTTGTAGCCATTTTCCACTCCGAGCTATGGATACGGCTAATGAACGGCGTTGTGAGATGAAAATAACAAAGCAGCTGTTCCTTTCTGAGTTGTTTGGGTAGTCTTTCAGCTGTGACAACCGAAATAACGAAGACATACCAGGCCATGGGTGATCGTCTGCTCGAAACGACGTCTAGTGAGCAAAATGAAGAGCATCGGAACCAAGAATCGCACGCAATGTATTTATCTGCGAAATGCCAAAAAATATCTCATGGCAATCATCCCGACCGT